TTTTACTTTCGCTCGAGCGTTTCGCAGACGCAAAAACCTTGGAACAAAACACCGTGAGCCACAACGATGCGGACTTGTCGCTTTGTGGTCCAAACGCAGAAACACCGCCGGATGGGTGAAAATACGTCAACTCTCGAGAATATCCCATGATGACGTTATTTGAAAGCTCCGTTTTTAAAGCGCTTGTGAGTTTATTCGCAGAGTTCAAGTACTCGGCTATGTACACATTTGGTGCCAGTAACAAGAGATTCTGTTCACCACAGCCCATGGGAATCTGGACAAACTTGTTGATGTTTTGAATCGATGGACCCATGATATCACCAACGACGGTAATGAAACTCGAATACGTATCTACAATCGCGTTTGCACTCAAACCATTCGGAAATGCGTTCAAAGTAAATGTTTCCGACGCATCTTCCGCACTTCGACGAAAAACTTTCGAAACAGTCGTCGTTTTGAACACTCCTTCCGGGTTCACGACAATACTCTTCTCGACCGCATCTGTATATTCTTTTGATTCTGAATCTGTGCTCGTCGTCGTGGTTCCTATAGCGGAAAATTGGAGTTTGATACTTCCGAGTACCGTGGGAGAAATTTCGAAAGATATAGAGTCGGCGCTGTTCTTTGAAACGTTGATCGTTTTCGAATCGCCAATTTGTACAGCCTCACCCGATGTCACGTCTTCGGCGGAAACTGATACCGACATATCTTGGTCTTTCAAGTAATTAAAAACTGCGAGAACAATCTCGACGGTTTCACCTCGCGAGATGGAGTACGGCATTTTCGGCGAGATGAAAAATTCGCGAAACACTGTCATTTTCGAGGCGGTTTTCAAAATGGAAATACCCTGCGTCGGGTGCGAGGTAAACGCGGTTATGCTCCACGTTGTAATCGAATCAGGCGCGGTTGATTCGAACGAACCTGAATCAGACGATTCCCAAAGCCAAGTTTCCGGGAAAAGTGTGCGCACCGTAGGCGAGGATGAAGCTGAATCCACATCTGTTGCCGCTTTGTTGGTTGTACTTTCCTGACCAGCGGCACCGTCGTCCATGGCTATATCGGCACCAAACGCAATTTCCGGCATTCCGACTCCAAATCCTCCGTTACTCGACGACGACGGGTCACAATAACTCGCAATCTCAGCAGTGGATATAATCGTTACGCGATCAAGTTTGATATCGTTATCGTTATACGTTGCATCACATGGCCACGTATTCGAGCTCGCATCCAAAGTGTTCGTTTTAGCATCGTACACGCTTGACAAAAACGTCGTCGCTTTTAAAGCAGACGTGTTCCCGCCGCTTTGTATCACGACAGCTTCGTCGATGGCGAGAATGTACGAGCGCGCGCCATCAGGCGCGCCGATAATAGTGAATGTAATGTCTGTGCCCGTTGCAACGACGTTCGTTTCCGAAACGTTAGTGTTCATGGTGATGTCATACGGAAACGCGATTTCGCTTTCGCTTTCCACGGAGACGCTCGTTCCGGGGACCAAGAAAACATCCGAAGTTGTCCCGGCGAGATACGTTTCACTATACACGCTTCCGCTCAGTGACCATACGGCGATTGAAACAGCCGCGCTCAAAGTGGATGCGATGTTGCCATACGTCATTGTCACTGTTTTTTCGGTTTCAGTGGAAGAGAGAGTAGTTGTGCCCGCTTCTAAAACACCGCGTCCTAGGCCTTCCGAGTCGACGACGGCGTACGCGAATGCGACATCACTTCTCGAAGACGCGAGCGTGAACTGACACGCCTCAGCGCTCTCACAGCTCGTATTGATAACAACGACTTCAACCGAAGCCTTCGCACTGGAAGTATCTCTCGCAAAGTACACCGATAAGTAAGGCACGAGCGCGTCGAGTTCCGTCGTAGACATATCGTCGCTCGCGGATGCGAGTATCTTCTTCACGACATCTCTCGACGCCGCGTTCTTGACCAGCTGCACGTTCGCCCCTTGCAAACAACACTTTTGCGAGGATCCATAAAAGTAGTTTGTTTCGTCCTCGTAAGATGCACAACACGAGAGATCGTTCGCGGGGGCGTCGAATTCGATATCGAGAGCGCCGGAGGAAGAGACTCGCGTGGAAATTGTTTGCGCGTTCGAATCACCAGAATACGAGTACGAATTCATTTTGTTTATATTCAGCGTAAAGTCCAAGGTTCCAAGATCTTCTGTATCACTGAACGCACCAGGGATATCCGAAGCGAGTTGAATCGTGTGCTTCATCGGTAACCCTGGTTTTAAAGCTGGCGACTGGTAAATCATCGACGTTTGTTGCGTAAACGCCTCGCGGACGATTGGGACAATCAATACCGTCGAGTTTCGAATCTCTCTCGTGGCTGCTTCTTCAACCATAGCGTATGCTTCCAAATTTCGCGACCATTGCTGATCTAGCATTGATTTTGAAATTGACGCCACAAAAGTTGCAGATCCCTCGTATAAAGTCATCCAGCTCGACTCGTACAGAATGTCTGAAACTTCATTCGGATAACCACTGCTACCGCTGCTACTACCGCTCGAATCCCATTCATCCGGCGGCTTAAACGCGGGTTCTTCGACTGCCACAAAATCACCACCACCAACATCACCACCAACTGCGCCACCGTAGTAATAATTCGAAGTGCTCGGCCTTTTGATGATAACTTTCGCTTTTCCTTCCACCGCTTTCCCGTAGGTGTATGCGCTTTCTACCTTTCCGGAGAACTCATTCGCGCTTTTCGACGCTAACACGTACAAAGGCATGCTCGACGCGTCGAAAGTAACGTCAAACGACGGTAACACGTACTCTTCCACGTTAAATCCAGTCTCGCCTACAACTTTCGACCCGTCGTCGTCTATTTCCACTTCCGCTTTCACGGTCCACCAACCGAACGGCGGTTGCTCTTTCGCTATCGCCACCTCTGCCGTTGCCACGCCAAAAACATCCACTGCGCAGTCCGCTTTCTTAAAAATCGTTCTCTCCAGCGCGTCCTTCACCTCGACACTCGCCACCGTCGCTCCATCTTTTTGTTTAATCAACGCCGTATTCTCGATATCGGCGACGAGCGTTCGGATTTTGATTTTCTGCCCCGGCGCGTACAACGGTTTATCCGTTTCCACTCGTACCAAACTCCTCGTCGAAGCGACATCGTCTAGACTCTCTCCATCCTCGTCTGAAACCACCGTCACTTTCGTCTTAGATTTGTACGTCTTCGCTTTCCCGTCGTACATCCCCAAAACGTACTCCTGCGCCAGCAACGGCACTTCTACTTCCACCACGCCAACGCCGTTTTCCACCACTTTGACCGGTGTCGCCTTTACCGTCTCGTCGTCTTCCTCATCGTTTATGAATCGAATTTCCGCCCCTGCACTCGTCACCCCGGTGTACGCGCACTTCGACGTTTGCCCGGCATGAAATCGCTGCTCGCAAACGACGACGACTGGCGCTCCTCGCACCATCAGCACCATTCGCAGGTCAGGAAGGACACAGAGGAGGAGGAGGAGCATCGGGAGGAGGAGGCACCCAGTCGTAGATATACACTCGCGCATCGTGCGCCCGCTTTAAAATCGCTTCTTCGTTTACTACGAATAAAAAAGAAGAAGGAGAGAAAAAGCAAACACTACTTAAAACGAACAAAACCCTCTTCGCGCTGCTCTCGCTTTCTTTCTCACTCGCTTTCTTCTTCCGACGATGAAGCGTATATATTTCCTTATTAGATGTATATAATATATCCCTTTTTCTGACGAGGACGTGTGTGTTTTGAGCGAAAAAAACGCTCGAAAAAAAAGCGGTTTTTTACATTTTATTCTTTTTTTTGTCTCCGCAGAAATCACTCACTACTACACCTGTTACTCCTACCTCATCATCAGAGAGAGAATACTACTACTGATTTACTAAATGCCGTACTTGAAACCAAACGTGCCGTACGAGGATAACCGGACAAAAGAGGAGGTTTTGGAGTACGCGTTTTCCGCGCTGAAACGAAACCACGACGCTTTTTCTTCTTCTTCTTCTTTACGAGGGAAATCATCATCGTCTTTGTCTTTTGTGGAAGAAGAACGAGAACGGTTGACCGACACCGGGAACAACTGCGCATCATCATCGAGTAGGAATACGAACAACGCGACGACGCTAAATCATCATCATCATCATAATAATAATAATAATAATAGTAATAATAATAATAATAATAAAGCGAACGTGGTGACTTTGAGGACGAATGATGATGAGTATTATTATACGAATGGCGGTGACAAGCAGCAGCAGCAGTTTAGGCAAAATGATGACTCCCAAGAAGAAGGTTCGAGGTATTGGCGAATATTTGCCACGTCTGACGTGCACGCGGACATGCAAGCGAATAAAGATTGGGTCGTTCGATTTTGTCAAAATTGCTCGCACCCGGAACCGGGGACTGTTTTACTCGTCGCCGGCGACGTGGCGACGGACGTGCAAAAAGTCATCGACGCTTTGAAACTGTTTAAGATGCGATATCAGGAGGTTTTCTATTGCGTGGGGAACCACGAGTTATGGTCGCCGGGGAGAGGGGAGATGGGAGATTCGGTGGATAAGTTTGTGGTCATCATGGACGCGGTGACGAGCATCGGCGTTCGGTGCACGCCGACGGTGTTTACGCACCAGGGGGTGAACGAGTTAGGCATGCGACAAACGAAACGGATATTGGTGGTACCGATGTTGAGTTGGTACACGGAGACGTTTAAAGGTGGAACTAGGCCGTTTACGCAGATGGAGGTGCACTTTGACGGGGCGTGCATTTGGCCACCGGCTATCGGAGATCCGAAGGATAAAAGAAATTCGCACCCGGCGACGTTGGACGAGTTTTGGAGACGGTTAGGGAAAATGAGTTTAGAAAGTTTCTTACCGAAGTCGTTGAGAGTATCGAATACTACTCGTAACAACAACGAGGACGACGTAAATGCCGTCGATTGCGGTAACGAGGTTGCGTTTTTAGCGACGTTTGGCCATTTTGTTCCTCTCCCCGATTTATTCAACGGCACGCCCTTCATCGAAAAAGTCGTCGGCAGCGAAAGTTTAGGCGAGGACATCCTCGCGTTAAGAGACGAGTGCGATTGTAAATCCACCCCCGGGAGCGGTCGAAGCAGCCCAGCAGCTCGGTTTAAAAAAGGCAGATTCGATTACAACAGCACGATCAAGCACATCCACGTGTTTGGTCACTCGCATTTGAACGTGGACGTGGAACTCGACGGGAGTCGGTGGTATCAGAGAGCGGTCGGGTACCCGACCGATCGAGGACCGATGCCGCCGGAAATGCCTAGACAGATTTACCCCGCGTAAAGAGTACGATGATGCATATGTACACATAGACATGCGTTGTGAACGCGCGAATTAGAGCGAGGTCGAAAATGAAGAACGCTTCTTGCAGCGTATAGCTTACTAGTTTAAAGTAGAGATTATTTAAAAGTTCTTGCCATCCTCCACGCGCGTCCGGAATATACAAATCTGCTTTTCTTTCGCTCCGCTGATGTCAAAAATTCGTCAAAACTTTCTCTCGCGTATACACGCGAGAAATATAACAGATGCATTATTCAAATCGTGCCGCGCTTCTGCGCATCATCGGGGGGCATCTCGTATCATCATCATCATCATCATCATCACGTCTTTTCCTTTTAAACGGTAGCCGCAACATCATCAACGCGGGGAGTTTTTCGTCTTCTAGTAGTATTAGGGGAAATTCACACTTTTTCTCCAGGACGAATGAGGAGGAGGAGGAGGAGGCGCGACGAACGCGACGACGAGGATATGGATCGACGATACCGTCGACGAGTTACGAAACGAGAGGAAGAGGAGAAGGAGGGGGACGTCTTCGACGTGAGCAGCTCGGCAATACCTCGAGAAATCGATTTTGCTTTTCGACGTGCACCTTTCTTGCCAGAGGAAGAGGAGCAGCAGCAGCAGCAGCTGAGCAAGAACAGCAGCGAGAGCAGCTCGATGATGCAACGACGACGGCTGAAACGACTGTAAAACCAAAGAGGAAGACAAAGAGACAACTGAAGGAGGACGAATTCATATCGAACGTCCTCGTCCCGGGATTGCGACGATTTTACGCCGAGTTCAAACATTTAAACGTGCCAAAAGGTTACGAGTTTAGTAAAGACGGGGAGGTGGAGGAGGAGGAGAAAAAGGAGGAGGAGGAGGAAGAGCAGACGCCGCGTTCATTTGGTCGCGCGGTGCACAATTTCCGAGTTCGACGCGGTCGAGCGAGTTTAACCGAAGCGCAATTGAAGGCGTTGGACGCGGTCGGCGCGGAGACCGGGGAGAGGTTTGTTTGGGACAATGACGAGTTCGTTTTTGAGAAGCAGATTGTGCCCGGATTAGTTTTGTTCAAGGAGAAGTTTGGTCATTTGAACGTGCCGCACAAATACTGCGTGGATGGAGTGGATGTGGAGAGCAGCGAGAACGAGGCGTTACGCAAACCTTATTTGAAAGATTTCCCGCTCGGCGTGAAAGTCAACGACATGCGCGCGAAAGGAACGTACATTTTGCACCAACCGCAAAGATTAGAAACGTTAGCATTGCTTGGTTTTGTTTGGGACGACGACCAGTTTCGGTTCGAGGAAATGCTCGTCCCCGCGGCGGTGGCATACCGCCAATATTGCAAACGAAAACTCGTCGAAAACTACTCTGCAGAAAGAAAAAGGTTCCCGAAGAAAATGTTCACGCGGAAACATTTCAAGTTTCTGTTACCATGGACGGCTGTTATTACCGCAGTGGAGCAAACAACAACGACCAAAGAAAACAACGACGTCGACGACGAAGAAGAAGGAAAAGAAGACAAAGTTGACGACAAAAGTGAGGAGCAAAACCTCCGCGATATTCCAGAGTTTCAATCGCTCCTCCTCGAGAGGCCGTATTTGGACGGATACGCGCTCGGCAACGTCGCTCGTTGTGCTCACCTCGAACATGAAAAACAAAGCAAGACAATGAAAGAAGTATCGAAAAAGAAGAAACTGTTCATCGACGGAAGAGCGGAAAGGATTCTCCGAATGTTGAAAACTCTCGGCGCCGTCTTTGACGAGGAGAAGGATGTGATACTCACAGAGTCATTCGAGGAGCGAGACAAAGGAGGAACAAGACAAAGGAGGAGGAAGAAAAAGAAAGAAATCGAAAAATCCCTTTCCCTCTAAACTGGGCCCTCCCAGGGAATAGCCGAGAAAATAGCTTCATGTAATAAAACAAACGACTTCAAAAAGAAGAGCACACACGCACAGCTTTAGAGAAATAAAGATGAACGCACAAGCAGAAAAAGACGAGCAAAACGCGCTCAAACAGGCCGGCGACGTCATACTGGACGTCTACGACGTGAAAAATCAGCACGTCTTTCAAAAGAGAGACGTCGCTAGGGATCAGCTTTCGTTTTTGTTTGAAGACGTGAGCGATATTTTTTTCTTAGATACAAAAATACGAGCTGATACGTTTTCTTTAGGACAAGCCAACCGTACCAGTCGTTCATGGACTCGTCGTCCCGAGCAAGACAGACTTCATACGTCGCTTTAACGAAATCTCCAGCGGATTTTTCGAAGGTTTTACCGAGCTCGATTGGCAAGGCGTCGTCGTTGCAGGTACATCGAGCGTTTTTTCTCTTTATTTGATGTGACTGACCTTTGACTGCTTCTTCTCGTTCTCAAAGGGGGTGCGGTATTACACGCCTTGACGCCCAATTTACACCCGCTGTCTAACCAAAACGCGGACATAGATCTGTTCTTGTATGGTTTGTCCGACGCGCAAGCGCGAGAGAAGATCAAGCGTCTCTTTGAAATCGCCAAGAATCAAAAAGGGTGCAAATCGCCCTCGACGAAACCGTGCGTCTTGAGAACGCAACACACGGTGACGTTTGTTTTTGCGTTTCCTCATCGAAATGTCTCTGTCATTTTGCGTCTCCACGACGACGCGCCGCAAGTGGTACAGTGTTTTGATGTAGACTGTTGTGGATTTTACTACAACGGGAAAACCGTGAAGTGTACGGTTCGTGCCGCATTGGCGTTGCGAACCCGATGCAACGTAATGGTGGAAGAGAAGCGAACGCCGGCTTACGTGCAACGTCTCTTGAAGTATGTTAGAAGAGGCTACTCGATCGCTGTTCCAGGCCTGAAATGGGACGATAACGAAGAAACGCGTCGCATGTGGACGAAAAAGAGAAAATCAGATGAACCGCAGTCTTTCATTCGCTCCTACTACGGTGATGGTGATGAGTGTGATAAGTACGAATATTTTGAGGCCACACAGATGGACAAGCTATTGCTCGCGTGTAAAGCTGGGCGCAAGGTTTTTACTCCCGAAATTGATCGAGGGGAAGATACGTATCCTATGCTTAAGCGTCTAAACATCAACCCAGGTCATGCAATCCAGACTCGTCGCTCAAAGTTTCCGCCGCGCCTTCAGAACACGAAAGAATTGGCTTTGTTATATTTCTCCGAACCTCCAGAGGAGGTCGAAGATGAGTACGATTTCGACATGTTCAGATTGCCCCTGGGGCACTTCAACGACCTCGTCGCTTGGAAAGTTGACGGCTTCCTTTCTGCGAAGAAGAAATGTAAAGGACGCGTCGAATTCCAAATCGGCGGCATACCCACCGGCAGAGCCGAGCTTTTGAACGAAAGACAAGGTCCGCTGTTTAATATTCCAAAAGAGGATCAGAACGAGTATCAAGAACCACCGAAATTGGAGGTGGTTAATCGAGGCGTGCGCATCATGCTCGCCGAGTTCGCCCCTCCTGGGAGCGCGCCCCCCGGTGCATCCGCGAAGGATCCAATCGTGTTGTGAAGAGCAAACGAGAAGATATAAAGTTACAGACACAGGCCTCATAAAAGAGGAATTAAATACGTTTTAAAAGCAAATCTCGGGATCACCGAGGAAGATAAAACAGATCTCTCCCCTCTTTACACTTACGCGTTCGTTCAGAAGCGACGACCTCGAAGCGCGCTCTTATGCGAGAGTCCTTCAAGGCTTCACCGCGAGCGATATTTACGAGTATTTTTGTGCGACATTTCCCTCAGAACGAGGCTTTGCCCCTCTCTTTTGGGGACCAAAAAATCACATCATCATGACGTTCTTTTCCGGCGTTACCTTTACATTCCTCGTCGCGTTTACCCATTTCCCGTTGTTTTGTTTGTACGTCGTATGGTTTAAGAACGGTCTCATGCGTTTTGAAGCCGCGAGGGAGGCGTTGGTGACGCGAGGCGTTATAAAAAGAAGATCATCACAACAACGGGGGAAGAGCAGAATTCGGGGAAACGCAACGGAATTGGAGCGGAAGAATAACGACGACATCATCGCAGAGCAGACGGAAGAAGAAGAGAAAGAGGAAGATGAAGATGAAGAGGATGATGAAAATGCTTATTTATACCCGGAAAGACCGATGCTCCCGCACGTGTTCCCGTCCGTGTGTTTGCAATTAGTCATAGACGGGGCCAACGACTCCAACGATCAGGTGACCGAATCCATCGATTCGTTGTGTTTCGTCCATTGGCCGAGGGATTTACTCGAAGTGCACGTGCTCGATTTAAGCTCGGTGAGAACGATGGATGAGAGCAGTAATAACACGACCACCTCTACCGCGGGGATGAGTACGTTTGAGAACGCGGCGGTGAAGTGTGCGGCGAGATGGAGAGAACGCGGCGTCATGTGCGACGTGTTCAACGTGAGCGAGTTCGAGACGAGTAGTGCGAGCGGCGGGTCTTTGTTTCGGACGCCGAGCGGGAATTTGAAAGCGAATGAGATGACGCGCAATAACAGTAATAGCAGTAATAATATTAATAATAATAGTAACAATAAAAGGAACGATATAGAACAAGGTGAAAGTGGAACGGCGTCCTCGAGCGGACGAGAAGAGAGGTCGCACAAAATCGTCAGCTTTGGCAACGCGCTGGAAAAAGGACGATTGAAAACGCGCGCCGAAATTATCGTACCCTTTACGAAAGATTATTTGCCAGACCCGGAGTATTTAGAGCACATTATCCCGTCGTTTTACGTGCGAAATACGTCCTCTTCCGCGGCGTCGAATTCGATGAAGAAGAAGTACGGAGGTTCCGCGGGCGGTTATTTACAAACGAGAGATTTGCGCATCGCGTGCGTCGTGCCGAACGCGAGATTTGAGAATAGTAACTTACAAACCAACACGTGGTTTGGTGTTCGGGCTAGATGCTCGAAACAAACGTCAATGACTACGATATGTGCAGAAAAATCTGGATGCGCGTTGTCCAACGCCATTCCGGGAACGGCGTTCGCTTCGAGCGCGCTGAAAACAATCGGCGGCTGGGATACTCGCGTGAACGGCGCCGTACCTGTAGCAGATGCCGGTATGCGCGTGTGGTTGCACGGTCTGAAAGTTGCGCTACCGCTAAGCTCAAAATCGTCACCGTCTGCTTCGCGACGAGAAGTGTTATCGGTTCGTGTGCCCGGTAATTTCGCAAACTATTGTGCCAAGACATACTACGAACATCGAAATTACGCGAGTTTGACGCACAAACACGCCGTAAATTGTTTATTAGAAGCCAATTGGGTCGTTACGAACGATGCTCAAAGATCAGTAGCATCAAGAAGTGGCGTGAATATGAGTAGCGGCGCGATGATGCCGGGTATCGACGAGAATGAAACAAACGACGTCGCAACCAGCGCGCGAAAGAAAGCGGCGAAGAAGTACGCCGCGTTTCATGGGTTAACGCACCAAGTGTTGAGTACTCTGTTGTCTTTTTGGTGTTTATTAGTCCTACCGACGGCATTTCTCAAAGAAATTTGGCTCGGCAACGCCGCTTACGTCGGAGGTAATGTCAACGCGAACGTTTTGATTTGGTTGGTGTACATCTTGCCGTGTCTTTCGGAAAGACTGTTCGATCTTGCGTTCGCTTTGAAAGCGACGCCACCGTTACCGGGCGAGAAGAATAGATTCTTGACGAACTTTGCGTTCGCGTTCTTGGCTAATTTAGCGACTTTACCGGCGAAATTTGCTGGATGTTTTATTGGATTGACTTTACCGCTGAGGAAAACCTTCCGAGGCGATAAGGATGAATCGACCACGCCGTTCGCGGTGGCAGTTTTCGAGACGGCAGTTTCGTGCACCGCGTGGTGGAATTGCGTCAAAATCATCGCCTGGACGGTCGAAGAAACGTTTAGCGAGTTTTACTTCACCTCCGTGGTGATGTTGTTGTGCATTGGATTCGCTGGTTTGATTTCGAGCACCGCCACGGTGAACATTTTGAAGCAGTTTTCAATCATTAAACACGACATCAAACGAGATGGGGTGACCGCGGTGACGAAGAAAAAAATGAATTTGAAAAATTTGAAGAAGCATTTACGCATGCGCCCTCCGAAAGCGAGCGGAGAGGAGAAGCAAGGTTTGTTAGCCTCGCAAAGAGCGAAGGAAGAGGAGGCGTTGCGCAAGAAGAAATCCGCGGCGGCGCGCGTGGATTTAGATGTTCCTTTAGAAGGTGTCATCGTCAACGCGCCATCGTCGGTAGACGACGGAGAAGACGACTTGTTGTTACAAATAGGCGCGGTTAAATCGTCGAATAAATCGAAACAACAACGAGCGGTAGATAAAGCGAGCGCTTCTTCTTCGGCGCCGAAATCGAGAGGCGGTCAAACTGCTTTAGGCATGGTACAGTCGCAGCCAGGATCTGTATACGGGCGCGAAATCATGCACTCGTTCCAAACGGACGGTCGAGTGTATCAACAGCCCGATGGGTCTTCACATGCTGGCGGAGTTGGTGGTGGTGGCGGTGGCGGTGGCGGCGGGCACGATAACTACCGCACCGTGAGCGGTAGTAGCAAACCGAACGCCTACGCGCCAGTTTCCGATGTCTTTGCGCAACGTGCGGCGATTAAAGCGTACAAGAAGATGCGCCAACACGACTTTGACCTAGACAAACACTCTCAAGCGGACACGCGCTCGATGCTTTCGAACCAATCGGAAGGGAATTTGCCCTCGCACCTTCGATTCGGTTCGGAAAATTCCCAAGCGCTTGATTCACAAATCGATATGTTTGACGAGCATGGGAACTACATAGGTAACGTCGGTACTGGTGAGAGTAACATTGATCCAATGTTTGTTCCAAAAGATAGCGAATACGCATCGAGCTCTGACGATGATTCTAATCGCTCCGACTCCGACGATTCCAACGACGACGACCACCACCACCAACAACACCGTCGCAGAAGCGGTAGGCGATCGAACGAAGCTTCCCCGCATCGCGTCCGAAGAACTTCGTCCAAGAAAAACTCCAACGCCGCTACCGATGACAGCGCGTACGTCGGGGGCAAAGTCAACACCGCCGGTTTAGCCATGGAGAAAAGCAGTCCTCCGTCTAAAACGGATGTTACGAACACGAGTAGTGGTGGTGGCGGGAAATCCGTCATGTCTCGCATCAAAACGACAATAAGCGCGAATGCCTTGGCGAACCTCGGCAAATCCAAAAGTAAAGACGAAATGACGAGTAGCGCGACGACAAAGAACAACGAACAGTCAACCCAGCGCTCCCCGCGCGCCGCGTTTGGTGATTTCGTCCAACCGAACCTCGGTAAGATTTCCATCAAAGCGAACGGCATGGGACGGAAACCTCCCATCTCGCCCAGGATACAAGACATCGACCAAGTCTACGACGACGCTTTACCGCAAAGCGTTTAAAAGCTAAACGAATGGCGCGTAATAATATGTATTTTTATAAACACCGCCGCTTTATTTAAAACGTATTCCTACATCAACTCTACGCCTACATTGCTATTTCTACGTGCGTTCATATAATGTCGCGAATGGTATCGTTATCAGTATCATTCTCGTTCATATCATTCTGTTATCTTCTCATCAAGGACTCATGCTCGTCCGCCTTCGCTCTCTCGCTTCAAAGTGTAGTCGTTTCAAGACGGAGTTGATCTCCGCGTACGCGTACTCCTCCTCGTTGGTCTCCTCTTTCTCCTTTGTTTTCTCTCCTTCCTTTTCCTCCTCCTTTGTCTCAATCGACGCTCGTTTCACTCTCTTCGCGATTTCCTCCACTTGTAACAGGTCCTCCTTTTCCTCTTTCTTCTTTCTCTTCGTCGTATTCTTCGCATTCGTACTCACAGGAGGACTCTTAGGAGGCGTTTTGCTCGTCTTCTTCCCCGCGGATGATTGCGCTCGGGTGGTTCTCCTCCCCGGTGCGTTGTTCGCCATTTTTGTTTTGCTTTTTATCACGCGTTCTCTCTTTACGAAGAAGACGAGTTTTGACGCTTTCGACTGTTTTTTAGAGCAGCTCGCGCGCAGAGCGAGAGACAGACGCGGAGGAGAGAAAGGTACGTTCGCGAAAGCGCCGGTCGTGGTCGAGAGAGTGAGAGTGAAAGAGTGAAATCCCCCTTTCGTTGTAACGACTTTTAGGGGAAAAAGAACAGACACACGGACGAATGCTCTTCGTGAGAGTTTCGCGCACGCATATATATATATATACGAACTTTGGCATCGAGACGAGGACGGAAACGCGTACACACCAGGAGGAGGAGTCCCGTTTCTTTTCGCTGTTTCTTCGGAGAAGGAGACGAAGAGAGAGAGAGAGAGAGAGAGAGAGAGTCTTTCGATGGCGGCAAAGAAGAAGAAGAAGAAGAAGAAGACCAACGACGACAAAGAGACGAAGAAAGAGGAAGAAGAGAAAACAAAAATCAAGAGGCACAAATCGACGACCTTGGTCCGAGGGACGGCCACGTTTGACAATAACAAACGCGTGGACTTCGTCACCGGGTTTCGGAAGCGAAAGAACACGAGACGGAAAAAAGCCGCCACGGAATTCGAGAAGAAATTGAAAGAAGAACGAAGAGAGGCGAAGATGAACAAAAGAAGGACGTTTCGAGAAATGCTAGGGTTAAAAGCAGACGACGATCAAGAAGAAGAAGAAGAGGAGGAAAAGAAGGAGGAGAAAAAGAGAGAGGAGAAAGCGTACGCGAGTGGTGTCAGCGTCGTCATCGAAGGGCTGTAAAAATACAATGTTCGCCGCCGCGCGTACGTATGCGTATGCGCTTTTGACGCTTTGAGCGAGAAGAGAGAGCGTTCGTTTCAGCGCGCCGCGGGGCGTCCCCTAAAGTCAGAAATTGCTTCGCACTTTAGAAGATGCGTTTTATAAGAGTCGTTGTAGTTTCCTTATTAACCGTTAGTAGTTGCGGGTCTTGCGCTGAACTCTTTCACTCACTACGTGTACCTCGCTCGTTGTACCTCGCTCGCTCCTCAATTTTATCCAATTAAATCCTCCTCACATTTCATCACACAAAGAATGACTTCATCGTCGGCGATACGACATTTCACCCTCACGTTTGATCGACAGATGCATTCCTTTCGATCGATGCGAATTTTGCAGAGTAGGAGGTCTTTTGTTTCTTCTTCTATATCTTCTTCTGATAATGGAACAACAAGTGAGAACGTAAACGCGAATCGAAAAGCGCAAACGCTCCGACTCCAACGGTTTTACGTCAGACCGGAAACGTTCGAAACATCGAACTTCTCTTTGTCTAAAGAAGATTCCAGGCACGCGTTGAAATCGCTGAGATTACGAGTAGACGATGCGATCGAAGTGTGCGATGGGCAAGGCCGGGTGAAACGCGCGCAATTGGTCGATATCGATTCGAGAAGGACGGATGCAACGTTTGAAATGATGAGCTCAAAGGAGGAAAATTTTCATCCGTTTCCGGGACGTGTGAAATGGGACGTGGTGTGCGCGTGCGCTGGGATTAAAGGCGAACGGTCGAGCGTTTTGGTTGAAAAGTTGACAGAGTTGAACGGAAGAGCGTTGGTGCCTTTACTGACCAGTCGGAGCGGGAAGATTGGCTCGGCGTCGGCGAGCGGGAAGAACGCGAGTAAAGGCGGGAGTAGTAGCGATAATAGTATTGGTCGGAGTAAACGACGGAAGAACGAGGAAGAGGAGGATGAAGAGACCGGGAAGAAATTGAGGTGGCAACGCGTTGCTTTGGCAGCATCGAAACAGTCGCTGAGAGCGCACGTGTTTGGGATCGAGAAACCGGTGAATTTTAACGATTTCGTGAGCTCGACATATTTTCGAGAGGCGACGTGTCGATTCGTGGCGGCGGCGGGAGGAGCGGATTTCGCCGAAAAGTTAAGAGGCGTGAAAGAAAATGTTTTGAAAGATGACGACGAGATCACGAAAGAACGATACGGTCTGATAATTATTGGACCCGAAGGTGATTTTGACGACGACGAGATGAAAGTATTGATGGACACGTGCGAAACGATTTCGTTAGGCGATTTGCGTTTACGAACAGAAACCGCGGCGATAGCGAGCCTCTCGATCGCGCAGATGATTACGAACGTATGAATTGTTGTAGCGGCTATGTAGTATGTATTTTATTAGTTATAGTAGTATCTGCTCTTTCTCCTTCTTCTTCTTAATCGCTCTTGATGGCTTTGTAAATGTGTTTGACGAACAAACTGCTCGCTCTAAATCCAACGTTCCCTAACATCAAGAAGAACCCGTAGCAAATAATGCTCATGTACCCGAAAAAGAAGCTCGTTTGCATGAACCCGCTCATGTCCGATCTAGCTTCGTAGTAATAAAAGCAATACCCGAGAATGAAAATCCCCGTACTTCCTCCGCAAAACACTGATCGCCACCACCACGCGTGGTCCTCCGCCGCCAACTGAAAGTACGTCAACGCGACACAAATGAAAGCGGTGACGATAATTAAAATAATGAACACGATGAACAAGATCGAGTAGATAGTGTACACCTTGTGTCCCCAAACCGAGGCAAAAATATAATAAAGTTCGATATAAATCGCCGAGAACGGTAAGAAACCAGCCATCATCATTTGCGGAATAGCCTCGCGAAACCACGGCAACTTGGGAATCTCGCGCGGGTATTTCGTCGTTCGGCACGGCGCATCGAACTCGCTCTTTGAATTTTTACCGGCGATACCACCGAGGACGGTCAACGGGAACGTCACCAACGCCCAAATTACGACGATTATGCAAATAGTACCAAACGGCAACGCCGCCGTGCTTCTGTACGCGATAGCCACGGTGTTCAAGAACGAAAACATCAAAAACATCGGTCCGCAAAACATGCACCCGGTCAAAGAAACGTTTCTCACCCACTTCTCACCGCCCATTTGTCGGTACATGTTCGAAGCGACGTAACCAGAGATCCCACTGGTTAAGGCGTACAATACAATCGTGGCGGTTAACAACGCGCCTCGATTGTACGGGTAAAACACGCCAACCAGCGCCAACGCGAATACAAACAAGACCATAAAAAGCAATTGCGTTCCGGTACCGATGACCGCACAGAACAAGTTCGCGTGTCTCGGGAAGCGGAAAACGTCGCCGTGAATGTACTTCCATCCCGTTTCCTCCTGTTCCTCTCCAGTCTCGTCGTCTCTGGCGTACTTGATAAAATCGTTCTTCAACACGCGCATCAAAATAGTCGCCAAAAAGCCCGTCAATAACAACACCGTCACGCACGAGTTGATAATACTGAACCAGTGAATCTCCAGGTGTTGCGGCAAGAACGAGTACCTGGAATACTTTTCCATTCTGCGTTCGAACGGAATCCTCGTCTCCTTCCATTTCACGGAATACGAAAACTCAACCGCGACTTCGTCGCCGTCCGTAATATCCACCGTCCTCAACGGATCCGTGCTCACGTTGATCTCGATGATCTTATCCCCGTTGTACGATATATCAAAATGCACGTGCGTGAACAAATAATACCTCAACTCCGGCCCGTTTCCGTGCGTGTGCCTCAAAATCTTCTCGATCTTCCCGATGAACCCCCAAATCGGCAAGTCGTCGTAATACATCTGAAAGTAATAATCATCCTTCACGGCTTTACGAAACTTCTTCAAATCTTTCGAGTTCAACGTCTTCTTACACAACGATTCGTTATCTCGGTCCACGCGAAAGGAGATATCGTACGGCGTGCCAACCATTCGGTCGCCTTCCAAAACTTCGCCGAGGTCTTCCGATTTGTACCCGATTTGGTTATCCGCTGGTAAGCAAAACGGTAAATCGTAGTGCTGATACGTCTCGGACGGGTTGTGGAACGGGCCAATCTTGTTCGCGTATAGCGGCACTTTCTCGTGAATTTTATACGAGTGGTCTTTTTGTCCCAACAAGTTTCTCATTCCTCTTCTTTCTTCTACCAGTCGTTCTTCGTTGTGATTTTCGCGCCCGGAGGATTCAATTCTTTCCCCGAAAGCGACGACATAATCCTCGATACAAAAGAAGAAGACAGAGAAGAAAAAAGCGACCAGGAACAAAAGGGAAGAAGGAAAACGACGCGTCATCATCTTTGCTTCTTCTTCTTCTTCTTAACGCGGCGTGTTCTTCGTGTTGAAGCTTTCGTTTGCAACGAATGTGAATGAGAATCTGATCACGAGGAGGAAAAAGTGATGATTTTTGACCTTTTTGTGGTTGTTTTTTGCTCATTTTTGGCTCCTTTTTTGAAGGGATGAAAGGACAGTCATCAAAGAAAGTTTTTCTATCGCTCTCGCTCTTACTGTTCTGCTGCGACTAGTCTACTACTCCTTTTGCTACTATTACAATCTGCTACTACGTGCTATCGTACTATTATTACGAGTGTTAGTATTAAAAATCAAAAGGCGAATGCGAGTTGGAGTGGAGTTCTTTTTCGATGTCCGACGCTCGGTCTAACAAACGTTTGGCGTCTTCGGTTTCGTCCTCGCTCTCGAGGTCGTCCGAGTTTTCTGAATTGTTATATCTCTCGTTATCGTCGAGTAATCCAAAGAGTTTGAAGAATTGGCGAGCGGCGGACGCGACCAAGGCGTGATCTTTAACGTCGTGCGCGCCTAAGTCCGCGGTCTTCCTCGTTCTGGCAAACTCTAAGCACTCGCGAAGGAGCGCGTCTTTTTGAAAGTTCTTTATGGCTTTTAATCGAAGTCTTTCGCGGTCGACGTCTTCTTTCTCGTCGCGGCCTAGAACCATTCGCTGAAGTTCTTCGATCGGCAAGCCGGATTTGAGCTGGTCTTGCGCGAGAAGAGAGGTCGATGCTTCTCCCGTCGAGGAGTCTTCGTTGACTTTATTCAGAATGGACGGGTCGTTGAGCGCGGCGGATAAAATTTCCGCCGACGTTTTGTTCTCTCCGTGGTGGTGCTTGTGAGGTAACGAAGACGAGAGAACTAGCGGCGGTGCCGCGTGTGTTTTCGACATTTTATCTTCCTTCGCGTTCCGGCCAACGCTTCCGACCGATCGATTGCTCCTATAAATCATCGTGCCGTAATCTCTGATATCCGAGCCGCTGTTGCTTTTCCGTAACGTATCCGAGGACGAGTAATCCGAGCCCTCTTTGTTACTGTACTGTGACAATCGACGTTGTCCCCCTCCACCTAAGGCACCTTTCATCAAAAGCGTCATGTATGCGTCGACGTTTGGATCCAACCCGCCGTACTTTTCCTCTAACTTTTCCTTCTTATGCAATACTCCCAAAGGAATCAACTCTTCGACTAAAACTCGCCTCGCCAGGCGCCAATCACCTCCTGCTTTAATCTTTGCATTCTTAAAGAACTCGTGTCGTTTCAGCGCTTGCGCGCTCGCTCGGCCTCGCGGATCTCGTTTCAACGCTTGCGCGATAAAATCGTGAAAAGCTAAGGACCATTCGCCCCTGCGGTTCAACTCCGGGCTGGCGTCCACGGCGATTTGAAAGATTACTCGCATGGGGTGCACGTCATGTCGCGGAGGATGCATCTCGGCCATTTCGATGGCGGAGATACCTAAAGCCCACACGTCCGCTTTACCATCGTACCCTTGGCCGAACGATGACGACGATCTCGAGAATTGTTTGCTCCTTTTGTCTGTACCGCTATCGCTTTTTTCTTCTCCTCCGCCACCATTATTGCCTTCGCTCGAAATCACCTCCGGCGCCATCCAATGCGGCGTCCCAACAAACGTCTTCGCGCGTTCGTTCGCGCCTTCTTGTAACTGCGTCGCCACTCCAAAATCCGCCAGTTTCACCTCCCCTCGTCTCGTCAACAAGATGTTCCCGCACTTGATGTCCCTGTGTATCCTCCCGTTCTCGTGTAAATACTGCAATCCGCTCAACGCGCCGAAGCAGACGTACGCGACGACATCCTCCCTGAACCCTTTATTCACCACTTTAGACACTAAAAACGCGTTCAAAATGTCTCGCACACTTCCTCCGCCGCAGAATTCCATGACGATCCAGACTTGCGAACAGTTCGAGGTGACGAACGACTTGAAGTATTTCGTCACGTTTTCGTGCTTGGACGCGTGTAAGACTTCGATTTCTTTCTCGATGTCTCGCCTCATGCCATCTTTTTGTTGTTTCATCAACGCGTCGTCGTCGTTCTCTTCGTCTTCAATCGGTGTTAATTTCTTGTTACTGTTGTTGTCGAAGAACGGGAGTATCTTTATCGCGACTTCTTCGTCGTCGTCGTCCTCTTTCTCGTCTTTCTCCGTTCGCATCATGGACGCTTTGTACACCGCCCCAAACGAACCGATCCCGATGAGTTCAGAGAGTGCATACTTCTCCTCCTCTCTTTTCTCCTTCTTTTTCTCCCACCGAGAGCTCGTGCGAACGTCGGTGTCGTCCTCACCAAAGACCTCCTCGTCTTGGTCTTCTTGGTTGTCCGACATGACGACGATTGATGCGTACGCGCGGAGAAAGAATGGAGAAAACACCGGTGTTGTAACGAACTCTTTTCCTCATTGATTCGCTCTGTAAACGCGCGTTTACTGTCATCAGAGAGCAAAGAAACGCGCGAGTCTCGTCGGAAGAATCAAAAGCAACAAAAGCAGGCACGAACGAGACAGAGAGAGACAGAGAGAGACAGAAATACTAAAGATGCCGCCGAAGAAGAAGAAGAAGACAAAAGAGAAACAGATTTCCCCCCCGTTGGAGGAGAAAAACAACGACGCAAAGGTGAAGAAGACCAAGACGACGAAGACCGAGCGAGTGTTGGAAGGAGGAAAGAACGAGGACAAAAGAAGCAAACGAAAAGGAGCAAAAGATGTGATGGTGTTGCCGATACCACCATCTCTCACGAAGACGACGACGGAGAAGAAAAAGAGTTCGATACTCAAAACGACCACACAGGTGAAGACGAAGACGAAGAAGGAGAACGAGGACGTCGAGAACAACATCGAAGAAGAAGAAGAAGAAGAAGAAGAGGAAGAAGAAGAAGAAGAAGAGAAAGAGAAAGAGATGCAAGACAACGAGACTACGAAGAACGAGAACACGAATAATAATAACGCGTCTGTGAGCTTCTTCGATCGATTGACGGCGGTGCTCAGTTCCGCGAAGAAGAAGAAGAGCGCTCGAGAGGAAACGCCGACGAGTAAGAAGACGAAGGGAAACGACGACGACGATGACAGTGAGACGGCGAAAAGACCGAGCAGTCGGAAGAGGAAGATTTCGTTTTCCTTCGGCGGCAAGGAGGAGGCGACGATGATGCCGCCACCGCCGTCGAGTGGTAAGAGGAGACGGGTGACGTTTGAGGACGAATCCTCGCTTCTCGGCGCGGGGAGGATGAGGTACGCGACGGCGATTGGAATCTTAGCCGGGACGACCGCGTGTGTTTTGGGAGGGCACTTGGCCTCGGTGGCGTATTTGTTGGATAGTTTAGGCGCGTAGAACGCACACGGAGCGAGAGAAAGAAAGAAAGAGAGAGGGAGAGTTGATGTCAAACTGTAATTTTATAATTTTACCGCGAAAGCTGCTAAACATATTCTGCTAATACAACGATACGTCTATTTGCTATTACTACTCGTTTGCCTTCGTCTTGCTGTCGTTGTTGTTGTTACTATTACTAAAATTATTAGAAGTCTAGAGGCCCTTCGCTTCCAATTCCAGTCGGACCGCTACTACATAATCCACCGCTACCGTTCGTCTTTTTTTCGTTGTTGGCATCGTGGTCTTCCGGGCGTTGCGCCAGCGGTTTAATCGCATACTTCTTTCCTCTTCTTTGCACCGCAAACGTTGAATCCACCGTTCCGAACCCGCCGGCTAATGCACCTGGAAAACATTTTTTACCGAGCGACAACAATGCGATGCAATTGATGGTCGGTTCTGGCAATACCGACTCAATCGCCGTCGCCCTTTCATCGAAACCAAACTCTGGATTTAACAAGGATGAGGTTTCAACGTAACAATCGCACGTTTGCCGTAAATCACTCAACTTAGTCATCGATAACAACTGTTTCGACGGGAACAAAACGAACGAAGCCATTCTGTGTACCATATCGCCTCGTTGCATGAAACCTTTCACCGCGTGAAGAAGCTCGAGATAGTTTTTGAAGACGATTGCGTTGGACGGATCATCGAGCAACGCTCGGGGCGGTTGAATAACTATTCTTCCGACTGAATCTTTCTCGACGAGTTTCTTCCCAAAACTTTTGACCGCCTCGAACGTCTTCCCAATGTTATTCCGACTCACGTCGCATTGAACCACGTCGATGGGAATATTCATCGCCTCTTCGTTCGAGTGCGCTCGAGTCACGTCAAAATCGTGGCAAAACGCGCGCAACTTCATCTTCTTCTTCTTCTTACTTTCGCTATTTAAAGCACCGCCACGACTGCGAGTATCACCACTCTTCTCCTTCTCTTCCTTACTCTTTTCCAAATACCGTCGATATTGCCACGCGATTTTCAACCCGTCGCCGCTCGAAGATTTCTCGGAATCCTCCCCGGAGCGCGCGGCGGCGCTCTCGGCTCCTCCTTTGCCTTCACCTCCATCGTTTTTACTGTTCTTCATTTCCCCATCCATTTCGCCAGTACTAGTATCGCTTCTCCTCGTCGTCATCCTCGGAAGTGTCTCTCTCACATCTCTCTCGTCGTCTGCACCTTCGTCGTCCGTGGTCAACCACAACCCCGCTTGCTCGCACGCCAAAGCGCCTTCGCTCAGAAACAGTTTCGCGAACACGTTCGCCACCGCTTCAGCTCCTCCGAATCCTCCTCTGTTCTCGTCGTCTGAACAATCGTCGAGAAAGATCCCGAACACGCCGTTCAGAGGTACACCGCCGCCGAGCACGTCGTCTAAATCCTCCGTGCCGGTGGAAATTACTCGACTGCCGCCAACGCCTACCCCGTGCGCTCCCGGTCGAGTGCCGTTCAACGCTTTAGTCGTCGTTTCCTCGTTTTCGAACTCGCTTTTTAGTTTCCTCTTTTCGTGTTCTTCTTTACAGATCTTCGCGTCTTCGCGTCGCGCGCGTCGTCGTCCTTCGTCGTCGTCCACTTCAGTCGTTGCGCGTAAAGTCGTCTCTCGCTCCGATTGGTGTTGGTTCTGTTGTTGTTGTTGAAACCGTCGTCCTCGTCGGACGAACGACGACGACATCTCTACGTGTGCACGCGTATACTATCGCACAGAAAAGGAGCGCATGATGTACGCAGAGAGAGCACTCGTCTCGCGTGATTCTTGCAGTCGACACGTGCACACAACTTTTGGGGAAATCCAATCCGGAATTGTCAAACGTTTGACGCTTTACGTTGCGCTATTATGCGCGCGATGATGCCAACGAAACCTGGTGTCGCTGGTTTTAAGAGCACGAGTGCTGCGCAAAAGAGTGATACCACCACCACCGCGCGGGATCGAGATCGTAAGCATCAAAGACCGTACGATTTAATCGTGTTCGGCGCGACTGGCTTTACCGGCGCCTTAGCGGCGAAGTACTTGGCGAAGAAAGACGACAACGTTCGATACGCGCTCGCCGGTCGAGACTTGGAGAAGCTGCAAAAAATCGCGAACAAAAGTACGAGCGAGGAGAGCGAACGTCGTTCCGTCGATGTGTACGCCGGTTCTACGCCGGAAGAACTGCGAGAAATAACCGAGAAAGCGAACGTCGTTTTATCCTTCGCCGGCCCGTTCGCCAAGTTTGGCTTCGCTTTGACCGAAGCGTGCGTGGCGACGAAAACGCACTATTGCGACATCACGGGAGAACCACCGTTTATACGGAAATGCGTGGAACAGTTACACGAGAAAGCGAAGAGAGAGAAGACGTGCGTGGTGAATTGCGTCGGGTACGACTCGATACCGTGGGATTTAGGCGCGTGGGCGGTGGCGGAGTCGTTCAAAGCGGACGGGTTCGAGTGCGTGAGAGCGGAAGCGCACGCGGGGAAAAGTAAAGGCGGGGTGAGCGGGGGGACGATTGCGAGCGCGGCTGGAGTCATCGCGGAGAACTCAATGGCGGATTTGAAGAAGATGGGGGATCCGTTTTATTGCGTTCCGGAGCTGTGTCGAGACGGAGAGAGACCGTTGAAGAGAGAGATCAAAGAGAATTGGCGTTTGCAAGGCGACGCGAGGTTGGACGAGGCGACGGGGAAGTACACGATGCCGTCGATTATGGCCGGAATTAACTCGAAAGTCGTCGCGAGGAGTTACTCGTTACTCCGCGATAAGGATAAAGAGAACGCGTGTTTCGCGGAGGATTTCAGTTACGGCGAAAGCGATTTTTGTAAAGACGAATCCAAAGCGAATTGGGGCGCGAGAGGGATTAAAACGTTCGGGGTTCTCTTCGCCATTCCGCCGACGAGGTGGTTGTTGAGAAAAACGGTCTTACCTGCGCCGGGCCAAGGACCGAACGAAGATATTTTAGAGAACGGGTACTCCAACGTTTACGTCGTTGGACACGGACGAGATAAGAACGACGCGAGCAGCAAAGTCGAGCCGAGGGTGGCGCACTTTGAATTTAAAAACGCGGACCCGGGGTATAAAGGTACCGCCGCGCTCGCGGTTGAAGCCGCCTTGTGTTTGAGCTTATCCGATAAAGCGCCGGGGTTGAAAATGGGCGGATGTTTAACGCCGAGCGTAGCGTTGGGGGAAACTTTGATCGAGCGGTTACGCGACGCGCCGAATTTCTCCTTCTCCGTATCCGCTTTGAAGGGAAAGGAGTTGAAAGTTTAATCGTAATACGTCGGGTAGAAATGAATGAAATACAAAAAGAGAGCAGAGCAGAGCGCGCGCACGAGTTAGAAATCAAAACGCATATTTGAAGTTTTAAATCATATACAAACAAAACAATCCCGCTAAATCCTCCAAATCTTAATGATTTGGAAGTAATAATATAGTAACAATAAATCCCATCCGTGATTGAATCACCGGGCAACATTCGTATCCGCTAACATCGTCGCCGATTCGACCGAGTCGCCGATGGATAACTCCCCGACCGCGATTCGCCCGTGGCCTTTCTTCCCCCAATTCAACCACGAGTTGATAATTTTCCACGAGTACGTCCCGTCTGATTCTTTGTGCCAACCGATGACCTCAATCACGTGCCCACCGTGTGATCGACCTCTTGTCTCTGAATCCGCGCTCGTTCTGTACGCCCCGTCTTTATACGCATAAAACTCGTCGTAAATTGTCCCGGCATACGAGGACACAGGTCCGCTGTTATAAATCTCCCTCGCCATGCAATCGTAATCACCGTCTGGACAGTGGATCAACTTATCGATGTGCTGCGCGACTTCATTTCTAGTGTGTTCGTCCAAATCGCCTTGGCACTGAGCTGTGTCCGATTTCAGCGGGCACGCCGGCGTCGGCTGCACGTGACACGGGTGATGACACGGCGGGAACGGGTACGCCGCGCACCCTTTCTCGTCCCCGTACTTTCCACCACTAGCGACACCAAACTCTTTCGCGAACTCGTACGCGTCGTCCGGCATCCCACCTTCGCACGACCCGAATGAAAACTCCGACACCAACTGACCGCACGACAAAATCTCCGACGCCGCCAATCGCTCTTGCACTTTGCCTCCGCTCGCGATGCACAACCTATCGCTCATCACCTTGGTCGGCGCAATCGCCCAACACGATCCGCACTCGCCTTGATCCCACGCTTCGCCGATAAATTCCGAGCACTCCGGCCATTTCTCTCTCGCGTCAAAACTTTCCGGTAAATCCGAGGGCGGTTCCCACGCGTATTCGTTCGACGACATGCCTAAATAATCGACGTTGTTGTTGTTGTTGCTTTTCTTCTCTCCCTTTTGAGGAGGAGAAAGAGTAGTAGGAGTACTACTGCCGCTGCTACCACTCCTCGCCGTTGGTATTCTCTGCTCTCGCCTCTTTGGCTTTTCGTACTCTTTATCCTCGTTGACGATTTGATTCTCTTTCAGAACCTCGACTAAATTCGCCTGTTTTTGTTTCCTTTCGCTCTCTTGCTTCCCGTCTTTCGAGGCGTACTCGGAGAGTTCCCAGCGCACTTTGTTTCCTCCTCCTCCTCCTCCTCTCGAGTTGCTCTTCTTCGATATCAAATCTTTACTCGAGGACGACGAAACAGAAGAACTGCTCGAACTCGTCGCCACAGAAGAAAAACCGGACGCGATTTGAGACGAATCTTTCTTCTTCGACCGTCTCCCACCCGGGTTGGTCACGCGTTCGACCGCGTCCATCTTCTCGTCCGCGCTCCAGGAGAGATTCTTCTCGTTGATGCGTTTCCCTAACCCGTTGGATGTTTTCCCGGACGAGTTCGTTTTGTTCAGCGACGCCAGGGAGACGCACGCCAAAAACCCGAGCACGCATATGCACAGGGTTATCAGGAGGACTTTTTTAATCGCGTGCGCGGGTTTACTCGCGCTTTGAGTCGTCGTGTTTCTGTCGTCTCCTCCGGGCGTTTGGTGATGTTTCCCCGTCGTTGCATTTAAATCATCACCATCCGCGTCCTCCCTGACGATGCCAACGACGGGGAGCAACAAAGGCTGCCGCTCGTCGATCGGTGTCATCATTTTTCTTTACTCTCTCTTTTGAGACAGAAAGATAACAAAAAGAGAGAGAACAAAAAGAGCGAGAGAGAGAGGACGGTGATGCGAGGAGAGACAAAAAGGCGACGAGGTACGCCCCGCGCGCGCGCGTTTAAGTGTGGATGTGATTTCTCTAAAGGCGCGGTCGAAGGAAGAACATTTGCTTTAGGGTTTCTCTTATTTAGGGTTCTAAACCCTAATTGGCTTAGTGCAAGCTCTTTCTCTCTTCTCTAGAACAGTTCTTTGGCAAACTGGGTGTCTTTTTTTCGCCTAAAATGCCGAGTCGTCGTTTCCTTCACGTCGTCGCGATCAAAGTTCGAAAGGCTGGTCGCGATGCCGAGCTCTTTGGCGAACGCGGACGGTTTGAACGAAGACGATGGTTTCGAATTTTCGTCTTCTTTTTCTTCTAAAATCGACGACGACGGTTCGCCGCCGCCGCGGTGTGATTGTTGTTTCGAAGTCGATGGTTTCGGCGCGAACCCGGCGAAGCCGCTGAAGACGCCCGCGCCGCCTTTCGGGGGCGGGTTTTTGTTCTCGTCGTCTTTGAAGTTGGCGAGGCCTGGGAAAAGCGCCAGGCCTGGTCGGTCTTTGTTTTCGCTCTTTTGTCGTTGTTGTTGTTGTTGTTGTTGTTGTTGTTGTTGTTCTCGCGCGAGTTTGGCGGCTTCGGGCGAAGGAGAACCTTTCTTTGTCTTGTCCTCCTCTCCTCCTCCTTTCTTACTCAAACGGCTAAACACGCTCCCTTTTTGCGGACTCTCTTCTTTCTTACTCTCGTCAACCGCTTTCTTCACGCCTCCGGAGACTAAGCTCGCGAACGCGTTCGGCGTCTTCGCTTCGTTTCCGTCCTCCTTGCCATCATTCTTAGACATCCCCCCCGGCCGTTTCGCTCGAACGACTTTCCTTCTCACCACGTCCCCTCCTTTTCCTCCTTCCTCTCCTTCCCCTGCTTTCGCTCTCGGCACGTATTTCAACCCTCGATTCTCCGCCGCTAAACGTTCCTTCTCTCGTTCCTCAAATTCGATCTTCTCTCGTTCTTTCCGTTGCATTTCCGTTTGCCTTTTCGCGTCTTCGATCATTTTTTTGATATCCTCTTTGGTATCACTCGCAAACGTTTTGGTCGCGAACGGGTTCGTCCCCGGTGGTGCTTTCCCTTCCTTCGCGAGCGAGCCGAAATACCTTTCGCCGTGTTCCTTCTCGTCTTTGTCTCCGTTGGACACTTTGACGACATCATTTTCGTCGTCATCTTCGCCGTCGTTAATGGTGTTTCTGTTGTTGTTTTCGTCGTGCGCTCCGTTTGCGAGGTGGACGACTTCGCCTTCTTCTTCCTCGTCGTCTTCTGCGGCTCCTGCTTCGACCATTGCGTGTGTATATCGTTGTTATTAATAAGATTAAAGTGCGGACATTTCCTTCACTTTTAAAAGGAACCAATTGGAAAGAAGAGAGAGAGAGAGAAGAGTTTACGCTCGAGCGCCTGTTACGGTAAAAAGCGTTTGATACGCGCGGTAGCGTCGAGGGGAAAGCGTATTCTCGTTTCACGTCTGTAAAACCCGTTCCGACTGTCTTCAGAGAGAGAGAGAGAGAGAGAAAGAGCGAGAGAGAATTCAAAATCCTTCCCCCGTGGGGAAATCTCTTCGTCGTAAGTTATGGCGGGAATACCACCGCCTCAAGTCTCTCGCCTGGACTTTCTGAAACAAAAACCACCCGCAAACTACGTCGCCGGCATCGGCCGAGGCGCGACTGGGTTTACCACTCGGTCTGACATAGGTGGCGCGGTGAAACAAACCGCCGCTGGGAAAGTGACTTTGGTGAGTGGTGGAGGAGCAGGTGGAGGAGGAGGAGGAGAGGAAGAAGACGAAGGCGACGATACCGACCAAAAGAATAGAAGGAGAGGTACGAACGACGACGCGGGTTTGTTCGCCAAGGATAAAAACGATGGCTCGTACGACGAGGACGACGAGGAAGCGGATCGGATATGGGCCGCCGTCGACGCGTTTTGCGAGCCGGACGAGAGGACGCGAGCGAAGAAGGAAAAGATGCGACGCGAACGGCGAGAGGAGAAGAACGATAGGGTGAAAGATAAGACGATTAAAGATCAGTTCGCGGATTTGAAGAGGAAACTGAGCGAAGTGAGCGAGGAAGAGTGGGATCAGATTCCAGAGATTGGAGATTATAGCGTTAAGAAGTCAAAGGCGTACGAACGTTTCACGCCGGCGCCGGATACGTTGTTATCGGCGGCGTTGAAAGAACGAGAGACGGTAAATACGGACGAAGATCACGAGCGAGGAGGTGATGGAACGAGCACGGATTTAACCGCGGTCGGGGAGGCGAGAGGTTTAGGATTGGGATTGAAATTAGACGGTTTGCAACAACAATCGCAAGATAGTCAAAACGGGTCATCTACGGTCGATCCGAGAGGGTATTTAACCTCTCTGTCGTCGTTGAAAATTAACTCGGCGGCGGAAATTTCGGATATTAAGAAAGCGCGCTTGCTTTTAAAGTCGGTGATAAACACGAACCCAAAGCACGCGCCCGGGTGGATCGCAGCAGCTCGGTTGGAAGAGATTGCCGGGAAATTGAAAGCGGCGAAAGATCTCGCGAGGAAAGCGTGCGAGGCGTGCCCGAAAAGCGAAGACGCGTGGATCGAAGCCGCTCGTTTACACGGCACGGAATCTGATCAAGGGAAAGCGATATTAGCATCGGCGGTTGAATCGTTGCCAAACTCTGTCGCGATTTGGATGCGAGCGGCGCAAGCGGAAAAAGACGAGGATCGCAAGAGAAGAGTTTTAAGGAAAGCGTTAGAAAACGTTCCGAATTCTGTCCGATTGTGGAAAGCGTTGGTAGATTTATCCGAAGAAAACGACGCGAGAGCGTTATTGCAAAGAGCCACGGAGTGCTGTCCACAACACATCGAGTTATGGCTCGCACTAGCTCGATTAGAGTCTTACGACAACGCGAGGAAAGTTTTGAACAAAGCGAGAGAAACGTTACCGACGGAACGCGCGATTTGGGTCACCGCGTCGCGGTTAGAAGAAGCCAACGGGAACGGCAAAATGTGTCAAAAAATTATCGACCGGGCCATCAAGTCTTTGCGAGGTAAAAACGTGAAAATTGACCGAGAGTTATGGATGAAAGAAGCCGAGACGTGCGAGAAGAGCGAGCCGCAATCGCTGGAAACGTGTCGCGCGATTGTCCACGCGGTCATTGGCGAAAACGTGGACGAATTAGATCAAAAGCTCACGTACGCTGCAGATGCGTCCGAGTTTGAAAAGAATGGCTCGTTTGAAGTCGCGCGAACGATTCGTAAGAAACTCATCGAGGTTTTTCCGGAAGACGTGGAAATCTGGATCGACGCCGCGACGCTGGAGAAGAATTGCAAAAATTTCAAAGGCATGGACCAAGTCTTACGAGAGGCGACGACGAAACTTCCGAACGAGGAAATTTTGTGGCTCATGGCGGCAAAAGAGCGATGGTTACAAGGCGACGTGACGGGCGCGCGAACGGTATTAGAGGAGGCGTTTTCTGCAAACCCAGAAAACGAGGACATTTGGTTGGCGGCGTTCAAGTTAGAATTTGAAAACGAAGAGTTGGAACGCGCGAGTTTACTCTTAAAAAACGCGCGCAATCGAGAAGGCGGTGACAAGACGAATTCCGCTCGCGTGTGGATGAAATCTGCGGTGTGCGCTCGACAAATGAACGACGCCGAGGAAGAACGCGAGGTGTTGAAGAAAGGCCGGGCGTTGCACCCGAAGTTTTGGAAACTCTGGATCATGTCCGGTCAACTCGAAGAGAGAGAAAAGAAGTACGCCGAGGCGAGAAAAATATACGATTTAGGATTAAAGAAATGTCCAGACTCTTCGCCGATGTGGATCGCTAAAGCGCGATTGGACGTGTTGGAAAAGAAGTTTGGTTTAGCGCGAGCGACGTTGGAGCAGGCGCGATTGAAGAACCCGAAAATTCCAGAGGTTTGGCTCGAAGCCGTCGCGGTGGAGAAACAGCTCGGCGAACACACCGCCGCGTCCGCGTTATTAGCGAGAGCCCTTCGCGAGTGTCCGAAGTCCGGTATTCTCCACGCCGAAGCCATCAAATCTGCGCCTCGCCCGCAGCGCAAAGCTCGTTCTGTGGATGCACTCAAAGCGTGCGACGACGACCCAGACGTCGTCTGCGCCGTCGCGCGCCTCTTCTGGAACGACCGCAAATTAGACAAAGCCCGCGCCTGGTTCAACAGAGCCGCCACGTTACGCCCAGAAGACGGCGACGTGTGGGTCCGCTACTACGCCTTTGAAAAGTCTTTAGAAGACGACGCTGCTGAGGGTAATCTCAACGCCGTCGCCAAAAAAGTCTCCTCGAAGAAAGCATCATTCGCCGACGCGAAAAGCTCGCCCAAAGAAGACGTCCTCGCTCGCGCCGCCAAAGCGAATCCGAACCGAGGTCGATACTGGGCGCCCGCGCGTAAAGATTTCCAAAATTGGCGCGACTCTGTCGAAGAAACCACACTCAAAGTGTTGGCGAAGATGGAAAGCGAGGGTGAGTTTTCGAGTTAGAGATTTGTTGTAAAAAGAACAACCCGAAAACATCTCTCGATATCTCTCGTCGATACGACGATACCAGTCAACACCACTCTCAACGAGTCACTCGTCCCCTTGAATTCGTCATTTTTTTACGCACAAAACTCCTTTTCCTACGCTACAATAACACATGCCGGTCAAACCGGGCCCACCGCCTCCGATCCCACCTCTCCGTCCTCCCGAAACCATTTGCATCCCGTCTCGTTCAAAGACATCAGAAGGAATATCGAAAATAACCTTCACGCAATACACGGACGAGGACAAACAACTTCCCGAAATTTCCCTTCTGATTAAACAGCAACTCAGCGAACCGTATTCGATATTCACGTACCGATACTTCTTAAACCAGTGGCCACAGCTGACGTTTCTCGCGTACGATTCTGAAGAGAATAAATGCATCGGGACGGTGGTGTGTAAGTTGGACGACCACCGAGGGTCGTTTCGAGGGTACGTGGCGATGTTGGTGGTTGCACCAGAGATGAGAAAAGTTGGACTCGGGTCTATGCTCGTGGAGAGAGCGCTGGAAGTGATGCACGAGATGGGCGCGGACGAGTGCGTGTTAGAGGCGGAGAGCACGAACGCAGGGGCGCTGAGGTTGTACGAGAACTTGGGGTTTATTCGGGATAAACGGTTGCGACGGTATTATTTGAGCGGAACGGATGCGTTTCGGTTAAAGTTGTGCTTCCCGATGCCGCCGGAGGGAGAAGAGGAGGAGTTTATATGAGAGACCGGACGCGTTCGGTCACAGTATAATAGTATACGAGTAGAGAATAGAGCTTTCGCGCGAAGCAGATAGAATAATAGAAAAACATCAGATTGTTGTTGTAAATTGTGTAATAATGCTAAATAGTTGTGTAGGAATCTACTACAAATAAGTCTAAGTCGAGAAGCGCGCTTCTCTCGCTCGCATCTTCTCTCTGTATTTCTCTCTCTAAGTCTTGACTACGAAAAAAAGTTCACCTTTTACTTGCCCAACTTCCCTCTTCTCCCGGTCGTCTTCGTGTGTTGGCCTCTCACCTTGATCCCCCAGTAGTGTCTCAAACCTCTGTGGTTTCTCATCTTCTTCAACCTCTCGATGTCGTCTCTCAACTTGGTATCCAACTGGTTCGACGTCAATTGCGAATATTTACCGTCCTTCACGTCCTTCTTTCTGTTCAAAAACCAATCCGGCACGCGAAACTGTCTCGGGTTGGAGACGATAACCATCAACGATTCGAGTTCAGCCGCGGAGAGTTCCCCGGCTCTTTTCCCCATGTCGATTTCCGCCTTCTTGCAGATGATGTTGGCAAATCGACGCCCGATGCCTTTGATTTTCGTGAGAGAGTACATGACCTGTTTTATGTGTGAGAAAGGCAAGCGTGTGAGTAACAATAGTAAACGGTATAAACACCAGGGAGAGCGCAAAAGAGAGAGAAAAAGAGAACTCGGTGATCGAAAGCCACGCGAGGAACGGAGAGGAAAATTGGTCTCTCTGGACCCTTTTTCGCTCTTCGTGTTTGGTGGTGCTCGAAATGTCGAGGAAATTTCGTTGCCATCTCGGCGCCGCAACACACCACGCGAACGCGCCACTCGCTCCAAAAGCACGCATTCGCGCGCGGAAATACTTTCTGAACGCGACGCGAACGATTTTACTCGCGAGTTTGTTTCTCCAAACAGCGTCGTCCATTCAAACACAAATGCGCAGGTTTTGGATCTCTCTCAAAAGGGAGGAAACGAGGGCTAAAAAATGTGAAAGCGGGGCTTGAATTTCAATCTCGCGCGCGCGCAAACGCGCACGACGCGAACGAGAAAAACAAATTCTCTTTCACGTACCTTCTCGCGTCCATCGACGTTCGTGTTTAAAACGCGCAAAATGTGCTGGAAATCGTCGCCGACAATCAAAGCCATGATGATGCGATAGATGTTTTGCTCTTCTTTTGACGCTTCTTTTCCTTCCTCTCTTTGTCTCCTTTCTTGAAAAAAAAGGGAGGACTTGCTCGAATTAGGGTTTAAAGCCCTAAATTTAGTGCAACACAAAAAAAGAGTTCGAAAAGTGTTGCGTTTTATCCACAAAATCATCCAACCATGACTGCCGGTGTTTCCTTCTGTTCGTCGTCGTCGGTCCTCCGGACCGCGTCCTCCTCGCAATGCACGAGCAGCAGCAGCAACAGTAGGAGCAGTCGAGGTTGTCTTTTTTTTCGCAGCTCTTCTTCTTTATCTTCTTCTCAAAGCGTTGTTGAGCGTGATGGCAGCAGAAGGATTGGAAGAGGAAAAAAGTTCGTCGCGTTTGCGTCGTCGTCGTCGAACGACGACAACAAAACCTCGGAGTCGCTCCAGTCTTCCTCGGTGTTCCTCCTCGGTCTCATGGGAACTGGGAAAACCACGGTGGGTAAAAAACTCGCCGACGCTTTAGGGTACGGCTACTTCGATACCGATCAGTTGATTGAACAAATATGCAAGCAAAAAGTGCACGAGATATTCGAGGAAGACGGCGAGGAGGGGTTTCGAGAGACAGAGAGCGCGATATTAGCGGAAGTGGCGTCGTATAAAAGAGTGGTGGTATCCACTGGCGGGGGCATCGTGACGGTGAGGAATAACTGGATGCACTTGCACAACGGCGTGACGGTGTGTTTACAAGGCGACCACAGGACGTTGGCGAGGCGGGTGCATAAAGACGGCGTCGGCGCGAGGCCTTTGTTGAAGGAGTGTCTTTCCGAGGAGGACGAAGAGGCGCAGATTACGAAAATTGAAGAGAAGATACAGTCATTGTGGCGAGATAGGGGAAAGATGTACGCGGAGTGCGACATTGCGGTTTCGGTGAATGGGGAAGAGGACGAGGCGTACGGCGCGAGCGTGGAGACGATCGTGGAGAGGATTTGTAAATCTATAGACAAGCGTTTGCGCGAGGACGGCAAACAGGAAAAGTTGAGAAAGGGACCAGAAGTCGGCGACATAGAGGTGAAAGATTTGAAAACAGGAGAGAGAATAGATAAGATTGATTGAGCTTATTTTTGGCATCGATTGATTGATTATTTGTGTGAGTTGTTTTATTAGTATTCTTTAAATCACTCGTTCGAGCCTAACTGCGTTCATACACATCGTCATCGTAAAAAATCTATATATACCAACAACTCTCGCGCGCGCTTGCGTATTATACGTGCGTATTACTGCGCATATTATATTATATTAATTATTTCGTTTTTTCCTATTCTCTCGTTCTCTCGTGTTAAACCATTTCTTTGTCGAGAACACCTTCCGAGTCGCGAACGGCGTCTTCGGTCAACTCCGGAGGGCCAATGAAAGATAATATCGCCGGGAGCGTCACGAGAGCGTTGAACAAGCCAACAAATAAAATCATCGCGTACATAGAAAAGAAATATTTCTGGAAGTACTCGTAATCTGCGCCGACGAGCGGGAGTACCGCCAAGAACGTCGTGAACGCAGACGCGAAAATAGCCGGTCCCATTTCCGAGAGCGCCTGAGCGGCGCGCTCGGGTCTCGTGCCTTTCGCTTCCGCGAAAGCGCGAGCTTCGTGAATGACAAACTCGATCGAAATACCAACCGTCATGATCAAATTCACCATAGTCACCGCGTTTAATTTTAAGTCAATCCAATGAATTAAACCATACAGCTCGATTTGAATCACCGCGATCACAAAGGTCAAAATAACATCCAGCCATAGGGAGGTCACAAACGGATACATGACGACAAAGGCAATCGCCACGGAAATGCCTAAACCGCGCAGAGTGTTTCTTTCTATGTTCAGATACTGTTCGTTCAAAGCGTACAAAGCGTAGTCGAATGGAAATACCGTCGCACCATCTTCAGTGGCGAGCTTAGAATTTTCGGCAATCTTTCGCGCCTTGCGCATGTGATTTAACTTGTCTTCCAACGAGAACACATCCTCCACGTAAAAGAGGGCGCGCACGTCGCTAATGGTCGTGTGCCCAACACTCGTTGGCGTAGAGTTGGTGATCATCAGCGATTGCGAAATTTGACCTCTCTCGCCTCCGTCGAGAAAAGTTTGCAAGTTTGTATTGTACAACGTTGGGTTATACACTTGACGCCACGGGCACACGCAGTGATTGTTCGTCGCGTTGTACGAACACCTGTACGTCTGCGAAGCACTCGTAACGGTTGGATTGTGGGTCGTCGGTGCGTATGCCATTTGCGGCTCTGCGTTCATGCACGTTCGAATGCACTTCTTCTTTTTATCGGAATCACTTAAAATCGCGTCTGCGTTGATAGACGCGCACCTCTCCAACGATTCGTCGCTGAGGTTGATGTAATCGTACAGCCAAACTGTATTCTCGCTGCAGACTTCCCCTGCGTTAACTTTCCCCGTCGTTTCGTCCGCAAGATATCGCAGGTAGTTTACGGAGCCGTAGTCGGCGTTTACGTTCGGCGCCGTGACAAAATCGTGCTCGAGCAACGCTTGATTTTCTGTCGTGGTCGCAAAGTCAATACCCGACGAGACGAGCGACACTTGGTAGGTCGCGAAATAGTTTCTCGTATTCAAAGCGTAATCGTAAATGTACGACGAGGAAGGCACGACATCTTCGAGATCTAAGCCTAAATTGACTTTGTCGATTCCAGAGGCACAAAATGCGAAAAATCCAGCCGAGAGTAAAACGCACGTCATCCGAAAGACGATGCTCGCTAGCGCGCCCATACATCTGATGCACGAAAACCCGTCTTTACCGCTCGATTCTTCACTCTTCGCTGTTAAACGTGCACGCTGACCGACGGCGTCGGGATTCGCGTTCACGTGCCTTTCAAGATCGAAGAGCAAAAGGCACGGAAAAATGACCACGGCGGCGAGGTAGTTACACACGACAGTCATGGCGACTTGAATGGAAAACGCGCGAACGGCTGGAATCGGCGTGATCGCGCCGAGACAAAACGCTGCAAAATTTGTCACTGAACTCGCCGTGATGCTCGCACCCGCCTTTCTGTACGCCTTCCTGATTATGTATCGCGCGGACGACCCTTTTGGGCTTTCACCGTGGCATATCCCAACGTATTTCGCAAACACGAAATAATCATTCATGCCGAGACCGAGCGCGAGGAACGGCACGACTTGCAACGTGATGGCGTTGAACTTCAACCCAGCTTCGACGTAAAACGCGGCAAATCCAAGAGAAGCTGCCGTGCTCAGAATGCACACGATGGTGGCTAAAATCGCCGGCACAGGTCCCGGGGGTTTCCCGCTTTGCGCAGAGAGACCTCTGATGAAGAAGAAGAAGCAAAACACAACCACCAAAGCGTAGCCGATGGCGACGAATCCGTACGCCGACTTCGAGGCGTCGCTAATGACATCTTCGAGAGAACGAGAGGCGTACCACGACACCTCGATGTGTTCAAAATCTTTCGTCGCATCTTCGATGCCATCCAGCCACGTTTTTTCCCATCCTTCTAAGATGGATTCCGCTTCGGATTCGTCCACCGCGTGTCTCGTCGAGCTCGGTAGCGTATACTTCGGGTCGCCCGGTGGCGGCGACGGCGGCGGCGACGGCGGCGAGTTGCAGGTGTACGTATTCGCAGTAAAACCAGCAGCACCGAGTGCGGCCACGCAACCGCTTACTGGTGTGTTAAGAATAAAGTCAAGTCGGATGTCAGTCGTCGAAGCGATGGACCTGTCGACGCCGTATCCGTCCTCCACATTGACGCACGGACATGCATTAAACGCCATGACGTTCGCGGCGGTGCAGCAAGCAGAGACTTCCTCCGCTGTCGGATTAATGTTTGCGCCCATTTTTCCAATCACAACGTAGCACTTGCCTTGGTAATCGTCGTAATTACTCGCGCACGTCTCGTGTTGCGTTTTTTGATCGGGGGTATGCGCTCGAACGGCGATACCTCCCGTAGCACAATTAGCGGATACTCCAGCGTTAACGGTACTATTGATAGCAGCTCCATAAAGTGCTGGGTTTGTAGCAACGGTTGCTATAACAGTAGGGTCATCCATGCAATAATTCCCGTAATACCCTTGCGCTAAACCACACATCGCGATAGCATTTTCCACATTCGTTACATCCATCTGCGCCAATGCCAAAGCATTTAAAAACGGTCCCATGTTGGCAATACAAGTGTATCCCACGCCCGGTGGCGGCGGCGACGGCGGTGGTGACACGTTCGGACACGCCTCGTACGATTCGTTGTCCTTGAGACATTTTCCCGCGTACGTCTCAAAGTCTTCTCCAAACGTAGTGAAATAGGCCTGCACCGGCGCGTCCAAGTAGCGGCAGTGGCACATCTGTTTGGACGCGTCGTACACCATCGCGCAACACTTTGTCGCGCTTTCGTACGAATTATCGAAATCGTTGCACGCCGCGGTCAATTCTGCATCTTCCATGATAACTTGACACTCGGTCGCCGTCGGCGTCGCGTACCCGGTGTACGGCTGTAGATACTTTGTTGTCCCATCCGGTTGTAAATTACAGCTCGAGGTGCCCATATCGATCGCCGGTAATTGACACGATTCGAGAACCAAACTTCCAACAGACAACGCGGACGGGTTTATTTGGAACAAATATTTCGCGCACGGGTGCGTGGAAAATGGCTTCATGAAACCATCGCAGCACGAAGCGGGTTGATTTGAGCCACTCGGAATGCACCCGTACGACGTCACGGACGTGATGGTGAACGAATCAACGCAAGAGCAATCATTGGCGGTCACGTCCAACGGGCAATCTAAGATATCCGTCTCCACGGAGCCACTGTCAAGCCACTCCGTCGTTAACACGCCTTTCTCGGCGAGATTCTTCGCCGACCGCGTGGCAAACACGTTGCGCATGCCGCCGATGCCGGTCACAAGCGCCGATTCCCCTTCCCCTTCGTGCGTCGTGCCACCAAAAATCATCTTCAAAGGCGTTTGCAAGTTATACCACTCCTTGCACGCATCGTCGATGAATGCCTTGGTAAAATCAGTTCCAAAATCAAACTGCGTCTGGTCCGAAAAATCCGGTCTCGCCGAGTACGACGGCAAAAACTTGGTGTTATTCTCAACCCCCGGGACGCTTTGCATCCCTTGCTTAAAACAATCCAACGGCGTTAAATGGAAACACGGCGTCTCGTCCGCCGTATCCACCACTTTATAGCACAAATTTTCATATTTCACCTTTCCGGAATATTTCGCGCCGTCGTGGTCGTACTCCACCGAAACGAACCATTTTTCCAACCGCTCCATCTCCGCGAACGCTTCTTTCGACGCCAGTGTCTTCCCTTCTTTCGCGGTTAATATCAACGATTGAACGCGCGCAAAACCGTACGCGTCCTCGAAATAGTCCATTTGATCGTGGATGTCCGTGCTGTCGTCAACCTGTTTATACACGCACGCGCGCGCGCACAGGAGAGAGAAAGAGAGAAAAAGGTAAAATGTCGTCAGTGTTTTCTTCAATCTGAAGAAAAAATCAAGAAAAGCTTCCTTCAAAGTACCGAAAGATGAGGGAAAAAAGGAGGGGAAATTGATTCCCTCTTCCTCCTCCGTTTTGAATGAGAGAAGGAAAGAACGAGAGAACGCGTCGAACGAACTCTTTCCTCTGTCTCGTGTGCGCGCGTTTTTGTTTCTGTCGCGCGCGTTTTTTTTCCGACGATCGAGAGAAAGAGGAGAGAAAAACATCATCATCATCGCGACGAGAAAAATATCTCATTCGAGACGAGATGATAACGAGAACGAAACCGTACCCAAAGCTTGAACACGTCGTGTTCGATCTCGACCAAAACTATACCAACCGCGAGTACGCCAAACGCGCACAAGCAGACGAGCACGTGCACCTTGGGCGTTTTCGAAATCGAGTCGCCGAGAAAGGCGGAAAACGCAATCAGGAGACGCTCTAAGGAGAACATCTTCGTTGGTCTTCTGTTGGTGGTGGGGTTGTTACTATGCCGTGAATCACGTCGTTTGTTATTTTTTATATTGCACCGGTGTCTTATTTTCCCCCTCCTCTGTTATACTCTCTCGTTATATAATTTTATGCAGTATACGATCGAGAAGAACACACAGAAGAGACAAAAAAGAACAACTCCGTCGTTCGCGCGCGAGAGACAGACAGACAGAGCTCCTCAACGCCTTTCGGTGGTTCGATGACGCGTGAATAAATAACTGGGTATACATACAGTGTGGGTAGATACAGTGGCGAAATGTATCAATTTTGCGGAGAGAAAGAAAGCAGAAGACGCTGACTTGGCAAAATTAAAATGTTGCGGCTAAGACCCTAAACATTACGTTTCTGAAAAGGGACCTCTCTCGGTGTTTTTTTTCTTTCCCTCTTCTTCAGAGAATCACTATATCGCTTGGTCTCTTTCTTTGCTCTGCTTTTGTTGCGAATAAATCACACGCACACGCAGGAAGGGGCGGTCAAAATGCAACAACATTACGTCGATGAGAACGCGCCGGTACGCTTTGTGGCGTTTCTTTTTTCTCTTTTCTTTTGAGACTCTCTTTTTCTCTTCTCGTTTAATGTTCTTCTTTCTTGGGAAGAATGAATGACTCTCTCGGGGGCCCGCGGAATGGAATTTTACATCAACAACAACAACAACGTCATCATCTCTCTCTCTCTCTTACTCTCTCTCTCTCTTCGACCTGCTTTGCTCGTTTTCCTCTTTCAAATAAACTGACCGCGCTTCTTTCAAACAACACCAACAGTTGCTCTTTCCTTCCGGAGGAGACGTCGAATCAAACAGAGGAGGAGGGAGAAACAACAACAACAACAACAACAACAACGCGTTCGCAGTCTTGAACGAAGAGCTCCGCCGAGACGTTTTAATCGCCTCCGTATCTAACGCGGACCACTTATCGGAAACGTTAGAGCAGGCACACAAAATCGCCACCGAAACCGACGACGCCGGGGAGACGATTTTAAAATCGCTCTCGCAACAGAAAAACAGACTCTTGTCCGCGCGCGCCGCCGCGACGAGCATGGAACGGGACATGGAAAGTTCGGAGAGGAAACTACGAAGGATGGGATACGAAAAGTGCGTGCAGAAATGGATGTGGCACGTGGTCGCTTTGTGTTTTATAGGCGCGTTGGGGACGTTTGTGTATTTTAAAATCACCAACCCGGACGCGCACCACAAGAACGGACACCGCTTGTCGGATTACAAAATACTCGACGAGGACGAGGACACCGGGAAGTTTGTGTAGTAATAAATAGCAGTTTCGCGAAGAACTTATATTCTTTGGGCGACGTAGATGTAGAGATAGAAAGAGAGTGAGAACGTGGTGACGTGTTATGTAAAAATGTATACTAAACTCAAACGAACAACAACTCGCCTCTTACGCGTTGAAAACGCTTCACAAATCAAACCTCGAGAGGAAGACAAAGAAGACAAAGATAAAAATGAGCGGAATACACGTGGAGAACGAAGATCTGCGCGCGTTGGTCCTCCTCGCGTCTTCCTCGGATTCGTTTGGAAATCTTCGAGAGGAAATCGAACAAGAAACAAGAGACGACGCGACGACGGAAATCCTCCATCGAATCCAATCGAACGCCGTCTGCGTCGTGGAGTTGTTACAAAAGATGGACGCGATATTAACGAGCGAAAACACCACGGTGAGAGCGAGAGCGACGGAAGTTCTGGCGAAATGCGTTCGGTCTGTGAGCGTTAAAACCACGGAGCAGCAGAAAGAAGAAGAACAACAACAACGCGTGAGAGAGAGTTTACTGTTGACGCAGTTTTTCGCGAGCAAGTTGAGAGAGTTGTGCACGTTAACGCACGGGTTGGACGGGATGTCGCACAGTTTGAGATGTTTGAAACGGGCGATGACGTTTGATGACGAGGAGGAGGAGAGAGTCGTGAACAGTCGCGTGAACGACGAGGGCGGCAGTAGTAGAAGAAGAAGGAGATATAAAGATGCGGCGATGATTAACCAATGCATCGATGGCTCGATAAAAGAGCTTTTCGAGCACGTGCACGCGCCGAGTTTAGCGCACAGAGATCGACAGAAAGTATACGCGGTTTTAGAGGAGTTGTTGAGGGAGTTTCCGCGAGCGACCGTGCTTGGCGGCGACTTCGACGACGACGACGACGGAGGGTCGAAAAATAAGAATAACATTAGCGCGAACGAAAGAGACGAAAAGAAGAAGAAGGCCGTCCGGAGATTGGAGAGCATCGTGGCGAATTGCGACGGGGAGAGAGATCCGAGGAACGTGTTAGCTTTGTGTAGATTGTGGCGAGAGCTGCCGAAAGCGTTCAACGAAGCTGAAGAAGATGTCGTAGACGCCGCGGATAGTACGACCACGACAACGAGCGCGCAAGCGTTCGTGGCCAACTGCGAGGAAGTCTACGATGTTGTCGCGGCGTATTTTCCTATTTCTTTCAAACCGCCGCAAAACGATAGCGTGAAAATAACGAGGGAAGAGTTAGCGAGTGGTTTAAGAATTGCGATGACCGCGACGAACTGTTACGCGCCTTTTGCGATACCGCACGTGTTGGAAAGCGTTGTGAGCGGCGGCGAAAATGAAGGCGCTGCTACTGCAGTCTCGGGCGAAGCTTGCGCAGATGCCATCGATTGTCTCGAAACTATGGGTTCGAGTTGGCCAGACGAGGACATCGCGACGGATGAAATCTGTAAAAATGTTTGGTCCCGGTTGCGTCTGTGCGTCATTTCTCCGAGAGATTTGGAGTGGTCGAAACCGGTGCGAAGAGCGACGGCGAGGTTGTTTGCGAACGAAAATTCGACGTTTTCCAGGAAGATTTTGAAATTAGCGTTAGACGATCAAAGTATAAACGCATGCGAGCAAGCGTTCAAAGCGTATAAAGCGCACAAGAAGGAACGAAGCAAAGATGCGCCGACGGCGATGGAGTGCGGTGGTGACAGTGACACAGAACAAAACGCGATGGAGGTGGACGGAGAAAAAGAGAACGAAGGCAACGGGTGTTGTGGGGGAGGGTGCAACAAAACGCAACACCAAGAACATTCAAGAAGCGACGAGATTGAAACAACCGCGAGAGTTGCAGCGGCTGTCGCGGGACGGTGTCTCGGTGCCGCCGCCGCGGCGAACGTCGCCGCGGCGAAGGTTGCCGCGAGCGAAAAACTGAAAAAGTTATTAGGCGCCATTCGAGACGATGAAGAGGATGCGAAAAATAATTCCATGCCGCATTGGCGTTCGATTGCAATGGTTCTAATCACGCCAACGATTGGTGGTGCGCTCGACGCCGCGCTCCTGTCCTCCTCCTCATCATCATCATCAAAGAGTTCCGTAGAAGAAATATTAGGAAGCGAATTGCGCGATATTCTTCGCGATACGCTCGTTTCTGGACTCCGCTCGTTTACGTGTAAAACGAAAGACCACGACGGCGTCGTGTTATCCATCGCGTGCGCTTCAGCGTTCCTCCAGTTCCCAGAGTTTTCGAAAGTTGAGGATGCGAACGCGAAGAAAGCATATGCGGATGTCTTGGAAGCTTTGTTTTGGGTTGCCACGACGGCATCGAATGAAGAAATTGTGTTTAGTAATAAGGAGGAGAAGAACAAAGATGACAGCTCGTCGCCAACGCTCGCCGACGAAGCCGACGACCGAAGATTACGCGTCAACGACGCTCTCGTCGTCGCCATAAACTCCGAGGAATCGAACGGAATACTCGCTGGCCAAACGATATCGAATTTAATCGAGAAAGCGCTTTTCGATGAATCCAATGGACACGCCGATCGCCGCCGCCGCGCTTTGGAACTTTGTCTCGCGATCGTGACCACAAACAAGAAAGACACGAACATCAACGGACGACGATCGTTTCGTGAGAATATTGTCGGTGGGCTTGCAAAATTAATCGCGGAAAACCCCGCGTTGCGTTTACGCACGACCACCGCTTCGGACTGTTTACTCGCCTGTTTGCGCGGACGAGCGTTGGAGAAGGAAATCATCCTCGCGCCGGGCGAACCCCCCCAAGACGTGAAGATGAGCGAAGACGCGCTTTCGGCGGAGCTGTGCGCTAGACTCGTGCTCGGTGGGCTTGGTTTCGGTATACCCGAAATGAACTCCAACTTCGCGTGCGCTACGATGGCGTGTTCCTCCTCCGAAGCGCAAATCGCGTTGGTTGGTTTGTGCGCGTCCATCGTACTCGGCCAAGCGAAAGGGAACTTCGAAAACGCGTGCGCAAGTCTGTGCGGCGCGCGTGCGGTCATTTTATCGGACGAGAATAACGAGCTGTTGAAATTGACCGCGCAAAGATTAGTCGATGTCGCGTGCGCGACGAAGCCGTACGATACGTATTCGAGTCTGAAGAGACGAGCGGCTTTGCACTCGCTCGCGTCCATGGTGCACAAAAGAGGCCTCGATCGATTCTTCCCGAATGAAGAGAAGACAATGTTTTCTAAACATAACGTTCAAAAGATGGTTTTTGAGAACGAAGAAACGAGCGGGGTATTGCTCAGAGCGCTTCTATTTTCACCGAGCGCGAAAACGGCTTTGAATACGGCTAAACTTGAACTCGTCTCGGCATCGTTTCTTGAGTTGTTACTCAAAGGCGACGAGGACGCGAGAGCGAAACACGTCGCCGGAGCCTTTTATCGAGCCATCGAAGAGGAAGAGATGAAAAATCGCGGAGATGCGTTCGAAGAGGAAGATGAGATAGGGCACTTCGCGCATTTGCTCTGCAGTTCTTCTTCTTCACCACTCGTTTCACTTTCAACATCTCTTCTTGGATTCCGATCGTTCGACCACGGCTTTCGCAAACCGGTGCGGGCGCAACGGTACGTCATGGAAACGACGAAAGGAATTCGCGAACTCGCTCAGAACAAGATGTCTCTTCACATCGCTTCCGCCATAGTTGCTCTCGCTTCCAGCTCATCCGCCCTCGTCGCTTCCTCTTTAGAGAGCGGCGAGAACTGCGACGTCCTCCTCTCCTGCGCGGCGACGGTGTTAACGAGGACGACTTCTACGAAAGAGACAACATCCGACACGATCCCGACCGGAGCCTCGGTCATCGCCTCCGCCTTCTTCAACGCTCCGTCCACCTACGACAGAGACACGCATCTCACGGAAAAGCACGCGAGCAAACTCCTCCTCGCCTTATGCACCGCGTGCAAATCCCCGTCCGCCTCGGTCGATTTCAAAGTTCGCGCGTTGCGCACGCTCGCCAAGTGCGGTACAACCTTACCGTTCAACGCCATCTACCCGTGTCGGTTTGAAGTCCTCGAGAACTGTCGCGCGTTTTTAGACGATCCCAGAAGGAGAGTCCGACGGAGCGCGGCGAAAAGCTGCGCCAGTTGGGCGCCGTTGTGTACTAAAATCTAGTATTTAGTAGAGTTGTCAACCACAACCACACTTTTATTCACGCGCGAGACGATTTTTAATGCCGGAAAAGAGAACACGGAAAAGGACGACAGACGTTACTAAAGAAAAAAGGGAAGACGAGGAAGCGAAAGCGTCGCTTTTGTTGCAGTGGCGAAGTTTCTTCGAGGCAAAACAGCATCATCATCGACGACGTAAACGATGCGGTTTGCATCCGCACTGGGAGGAAAAAGAATGGAAACCGTTAAGGATAAAATCCTCTGAGGAAGAAGAAGACGACGAACAGCTCCCGTCGCGAGAGGAAATCATCTCTCAATTTGGCCTGTTTGGAGGATCGAAGTGTGAGGATTCGAGCGAAAGATACTGCGAGATAGATTTCACCACGGGCACGTGCGCGAACGGAGAGAAATGCGAACGGTGCGAACGATGGAAACGTTTCCTGGACGGTGTGGGAGGAGACGCGGCGAAGAAGAAGAAGAAGAAGCATTACGAGGTATTTACGAGAGATTTGGTCAGAGGCGTGGCGCAACACGTCAAGGAGAGATGCATGGAAAAGGAGATCGGGAAAACGAGAGTGGTGGTCGTTTTAGAGCTCGGCGCGAGGGATGGGACGTTCGCTCGGGCCTTCGTGCGAGAATGGACGGATGAACGAACGAGATTGGAATACTTCGCGTGCGATTCGGCACCGAAAGACGCGTCGGTGACGAAACGCGACGCGAGCGAGGCGATAAGAGAGATTGGAAAGAAGTATGAAGGAAGAGATTCTGATACGTTATGCATCGCTCTCGTATCGTGGATGCCATTTCAGATCGATTGGACGAGGGAGATTCGTAAACACGCCGCGTTTGACGAGTACATTTTGATTGGAGAAGGAGAAGGAGGGATATGCGGCAGTAAGCAAACGTTTGGTCGAGAGGATGAAAGTGATGATCAAAGCGACGGCGACGACGAGAAGGAGGGAGAGGAAGACGATGTTCCAGCACTCTACGAACGCGAAGGTTTCGTCATGCGCGAATTGGAAAAAGTCAAAAATTTGGGCAAATCGGACACGACGTACGAACGCGAGGGCACGCACTCGAAAACGATTTCGTTTCGTCGGCGGGTAGATATACAGTAGATATAGATTAGATCATTCAGCAGCAGCATCAGCAGCAGTAGTAGTAAGTATCGCATTAATATTCAAAATTCCTATCGTTTGTTACTTTCGATACTACACGAGTCGCATCCAACATCGCAGCTAAGTCTAATCGTTCTTTTTGTTTCCTATTATTCGGACTCGTTCTATCGACGACAATGCAGTCCTCGTCCGTGCCAAAGGATTTTCGCGCGCGGTGCAAGACGTCTTTGCGCACTCGCACGACTTCCGGACGCGCCGGATCTTGAATTATAAAAGAGTCGCCTTTAACGCCGACGACGCAAACGTAATGCCCGACAAATCCATTGTGAGAACGATGATGATCGCGAAACTCATCATTCGCGCCATGTTCATCGTCGTACCCGTTCTCTAACACTATCTTATCCACCAGAACGATCAACATCTTCTCGCTCTTCTCCCCAACCTCTCGTTCCATCCATTCGTCTTTCATCCCGCCTTCTACCAATCGCACTTCGATCCCGCTCTCCTTCTCTCTCGCAATCGCAAACGCCCTCTTCACCCTCTTCGCGTCCATCTCGAACGTCTTTTCGTAAAACCGTTCGTTTTTATATTGCCTCTTCGCGCCTATTTCCGTGGTGTAAAAATGCACTCTCTTCGCTCCGAACGCGCGCAACGCTAAAGCGATATCGATCGACCACACTGACTCTTCACCCTTCAAAAACGCCTTCAAATCTCTCAGGTGCACTTTTTTAACCGCGTTCTTCTCTTCTTCAAAGCCTTTCGAGAGTTCTCTTAAAATCATTAAAGCGCACGCTAAGCCGCAATCCCAGGAGCGTTTCTGTTGCACGAACGGGAGACGTAATCGTCTCGCCGTGTGTGCGATACTCGCGCTGTTCACGCATCGCTGCTGACTCGACAATTCTACGCAATCACATTCGTCTTCTTCTTCTTCTTCTTCTTCTTCCGTCTCTCGGTTTCGTTCTTCGACGTCATCCGTTCTTCGACAAAATGTAAAGTCTTCTCCTTCCTTCTTCTCGTTCGAAAACTTTGCCGGGTTTTGTGCGCTTTCGCGTTGTCTTCTTCTCTCTCGTCGTCTGACCATTATAGACGAGCTATGTTTGTGGGGAAATGTGAGAGAGCGCAACACTTTAAAAAGGGGGAAAAAAAATGCATTGTTTAGGGTTTAAGTATCCAGTCAGAAAAAAAAAACGTATTTTCTCTTCCAACTGTCCTTTGTCTCACTCATCATCACATCATAGGTTTACACATATCTCTCTCACACACGCGAGGTAAAAACAACGCGACCTGACTTTTACGACGCGATTTACACGACGACGACGTTTTTTATCTCCCTTTCTTTTTCTTCTCTTTATTTCTCTCTCTCTCTCTCTCTTTTTGTTTGTGTGTTCGGGGAAACGAACGGATTCAATTTTCGGATCGTTTTTTACTATGTGTGACACGATGATCGAATTTTGGTCTGAAGACTGCTGCACCCTCCTTCGCTTTATCACATCACGAAACGACCTGACAACGACAACTTTTCTCTCTCGTCGCAACGAACGCTCACCCTTCGTGCGTGACCCTCCTCCGCAGAAAGAAAGAATAAAAGAAAGATGGCCACGCAACGCAAAACCGCCGTCGTGATTCGGGCGCAAAAGACTCAGCTCCCGAACCTCTCCATCTCCAACCTCGCCGCGAAGAAGCAAGAAGAACCGAAGAAAGTGAACTTTGGCGAAGTGATGAAAAAAGCGTCGCAGAAAGCATTTCGAGGCGGCGTTGCCGGGTTTGCAGCCGGGGTTATTCAAGTCGGGTCTTTCATGTGGATGCGAACGACGATGAACTACCAGTACGCCAACGGCGGGACGTTAGGGAACGCCTTGAAAACGTTGTATAAAGAAGGCGGCATTAAGAGATTTTACCGAGGTTTGCCGTACGCGATTATTCAAAATCCAATGTCCAGATTTGGCGATACCGCGGCAAACACCGGGATTTTGGCCGCGTTGGAGGCGTTTTATCCGCAAATGCCGGTGCCGGTGATGACTGGTTTCGCCTCCGCCGGCGGGGCCTCGTGGAGAATCTTCTTGACGCCGGTGGATACGTTTAAGACGACGTTGCAAGTGCAAGGTTCGGGCGCGTTGGAGTTGTTGAAGAACAAGGTGAAACAAGGTGGGGTTGGCGTGTTGTATTCCGGCGCAGCCGCGAACTTTGCCGCGAACTGGGTCGGGAACTACCCGTGGTTTGCCACGTTCAACTATTTGCAAGCGAACGTGCCGAAGATGGACGGTACGGCTGGTTTGGCCAGAAACGCGGCGATTGGCGCCACAGCTTCTATCGTATCCGATTGCGTCTCAAACTCTTTGAGAGTCGTGAAAACGGTCAAGCAAACGAACGCGGACGCGTCGTTAGGGTACGGGGACGTCGTGAAACAAATCATCGCCAAGGATGGCGTCAAGGGTTTGTTCGGGAGAGGTTTACAAACGAGAATGTTGACCAACGTGATGCAATCGATGGTGTTCTCGGTATTTTGGAAGGCGATCGAGAAGTCTTTGAACGACAGAGCCGCGGCGAAGGCGAGCGCGCAAGCGAAAGGCGGAAAGAAGAAGAAGGCGAGCTTTACGATGGCGCACGCGGATGCGTTCGGGTTGCCGCCGTTGATGAAGAGATCAATCGCGAGAGATTGCGAAGCGGCGAACGGGTTAATCGTCGCGTAAGTTTGATTAATAATATCGAGTGAGAGTCGGATTTAATGATGATTAAGAGTAGACGGTAATATTTATTATTTATTCCATTATTAAAACAAGCGTGCGCGTAAAGCAGCAGTTTCTCTTCTTTTTTACGCCAACTTTGGCAAAGGCTCGTTGGAAAACACGTACTCGTCGCCTTTTCGGACGATCGCCACGCACTCGCTTCCAACTCTCCACGTCGCCTGCGCGATCGGCGTCGGATCGAACAAATACAAGTCCGGCCAGTTTTGTTTTATCGCCTCGGTAGCCTTCACGGCGTTGTAGTGCGGTATCGTGTGGTTGATGTGGTGCGCCACGTGCGTGCTCCCAATTCTGTGATGCAAAAAGTCGTACACCTTCCCGTACGGCCTATCGATGGTCATGAACGCCCCCTTGACTAAATTCCAATCGTTGCCTTCAAAATGCGGCACGTCCACGTCCGTGTGCTGCAACCACGTGTACAAAACCAACCAAAAGTTGGTGAACAAATACGGCGCCAGATACAAACCAAACACGGTCGCAAAGGACGTTTGCATCGCCCAGTACGCCATCGCCCCAACAGTCAAAGCCACGCCAATGTCTGAGTACCACACCTTGTTTTCCCATTTTCCCGGAAACAACGCGTGCTTACCACTCGCGCCCATTTTCGGCACAAAGTGGTTTGTTTTCCCTCGCACCGGACCGCCGCTCGCGCCCATCAACAAATACAACGGCCACCCAAACACAAACACGCCGATTAAATTCAACGCAGAAAACAACGTCTTCCCGACTGTCTTTCTCAAACCAAACGTCAAGTTCGCCTCTTCGCTGCCCATTTGCGCCGGTACGTGCGTTTCCCCTTCCGAAACGTGATTCGTCCTCGAGTGGTGCACCGCGTGGCTTCGTTGCCACGAGAAATACGGGACCAACAACAACGAGTGCAAGATATACCCAACTGTATCTTGAATCGTTCGGTTATCCGAAAACGCACCGTGTCCGCACTCGTGCGCGGCAACCCAACACCCAGTCGCCGCAGTCCCAGCCACGTACGCGTACGCGATCCACGCCGGCAAATAATACACGGTAAACGGCAACGTCGCCCACGCCGCCACGCCAACTGCGAACGTTATCGCCGTCGAAATCCCCGCGTACATCAACGACTTCCCCGTATCTTTCTCAAAACATTCTTTCGGTATCTTCGCTAACACTTGCGCCATGGAAGGAAACTCCTTTCCTTTCGCGTTCAACGCTCGGCCCTGTAAACCAGAGAACAACTGCGTCTGTTTAGAACCGTCGTACAAATCCGCGTGTTGGACGTATTCTTCTTCCAACGTTTTTGATGCCGCTACTGCTGATGACGACGACGATACCGTCGTCGTAAACACCCTCCTCGCGCCTCCTCGAACGAAAGCATTCTTCGGAACCCGCGTCGTTGTTTTTCTCACGCGACAACGTCTCTGACGCGTCGTGACTGTGGACGCAATCGACGTCAGCGCGTTCATATCTTCTTTTGCTCGCTCTCAAAGACGCGCGACACCGTTCCTCAAATCCTTAACAAAGAAGAAGAAGACGAAGACAAACGCGGAGAGAGAGAGAGAGATTCTCTCGAAAGAGCGAGAGAAAGACTTTTAAAAGGACGACGACGATGCGGCAAAAGAGTGCTCTCCTTGTGCGCTCGTTTCAAGTGAACTTTTGAGATAAGTTTTGAAAAGAAGAGAATTTAATTGAACGACACAAAAAAAACACATGCATTTTTTTTTCGACGAACGAAAAAAAATTTTTGATGAAATCTCTCTCTTCTTTCTTTTTCTTGAATAACACAAAACTCTTCTCTCTCTTATAATAACACTCTCTCAAAGATAACACACTTTTATATAATAATTACGCGGACAAGAAGCCTTCGGTGAACTTGGCGCACAATTCCTTCAACTTCGCATCGGTGGCGTCGGAGATGACACCTTCGGTGCGGATAGCTTCCAAGATGGAGGCGTCGACTTGTTTCATCAAGCCGGCTTCGAACGCGCCGATGTCTTTGACCGGAACCTTATCTAAGTAACCCTTCGTGGCGGCGTAGATGAAGACGACTTGGTTTTGGACCGGGATCGGTTCGTATTGGCCTTGCTTTAAGGCTTCGGTCAAACGCGCGCCTCTGTTCAACAAATATTGCGTGGCGGCATCCAAATCGGAACCGAATTGCGCGAACGCGGCAACCTCTCTGTATTGCGCCAATTCCAACTTCAAAGAACCGGAAACTTGTTTCATGGCTTTCATTTGCGCGGCGGAGCCGACGCGGGAGACGGACAAACCGACGTTAATCGCCGGTCGGATACCTTTGAAGAACAATTCGGTTTCTAAGAAAATTTGGCCATCCGTGATGGAAATGACGTTCGTCGGAATGTACGCCGACACGTCGCCGCCTTGCGTTTCGACAACCGGCAACGCGGTCATGGAGCCTCCGCCGACGTCGTCGGACATTTTCGCCGATCTTTCTAACAAACGCGAGTGCAAGTAAAAGACATCCCCTGGGAACGCCTCACGTCCTGGCGGTCTTCTCAACAAAAGACTCATTTGTCTGTACGCGACAGATTGCTTGGACAAATCGTCGTAGATGATCAACGCGTGCATGCCGTTATCGCGGAAGTATTCCGCCATGGCGCACCCGGAGTACGGCGCCAAAAACTGCAACGGTGCCGGATCAGAAGCCGTCGCCGCGACAATAATCGAGTACTTCAACGCATCTTTATCGCTCAAAGTCTTCACCAACTGCGCAACCGTGGATCTCTTTTGGCCAACCGCGACGTACACGCAATACAACTTTTTCTTTTCGTCCGTGCCGTTGTTCACGCTCGCTTGGTTGATGATCGTATCAATCGCAATAGCCGTCTTTCCAGTTTGCCTATCGCCGATGATCAATTCTCTTTGTCCTCTACCAACTGGCACCAACGAATCCACCGCTTTTAACCCGGTTTGCATTGGTTCGTGCACAGACTTTCTCACGATGATCCCCGGCGCTTTCAACTCGACGCGTCTTTGCGTCACATCCGCGATCGCGCCTTTCCCGTCGATCGCGTTCCCGAGACCGTCCACGACTCTCCCTAACATCCCTTTCCCAACCGGAACGTCCACAATTGACCCAGTTCTCTTCACGATGTCGCCTTCGTTGATCGTCGTGTCCGATCCGAAGCACACCACGCCGACGTTGTCGTTTTCCAGGTTCAACGCCATCCCTCTCACCCCTGAGGCGAATTCGACCATTTCGCCGGATTGGATTTTGTTCAGCCCGTACACGCGCGCGATGCCGTCCCCGACGGATAACACTCGCCCGATTTCGTCGATGTTCAAATCCGTGTAATGGTTCGAGATTCTTTGTTCGAGCAACGAGGAGAGTTCGACCGCGCTCATCGCCATGGCAGCTTTTTGTTGGTGGTGTTGGGGAAACGACGAGTTCGAGCCGATTTTATTCGAATGTCTCAACGCGTTGTTTAAAGAAGAGGTGGAGGAGGAAGAAACGTTCGACGCCTGCACCACCGCGCGGGCCGCTTGGACGCTGATTCTCCGGAACATGTTTAGATGTTTGTGTGATCTGCTTTTCGTTCGATCGACAGTCGGAGAGTGCGGAAAGGAAACGCAAGAGAGAGCGCGAGAAGGAAAAATCCGATCAGATCGTTTAGGTTTAAACCCTAATCTTATATGAAACCCTAAAAACGATGCCTTACAATTTTTTCTCTTCTATTCCGGGTGGTGGTGGTTCTTTTTATTCTATTCTATGTATTAAATAATATTCAACCGTCGCATCAACTTATCGGTCAATTGCGCGACGATGACTTCAGTTTTACTCCTCGCCAAGCGTTCTAACTTTGTTTTCAAATCGTGCGTGCGCATGATATCTCTCGGTGTGTCCGCGTGTTCGAGTATGTGACCCATGGCTTTTAAACCGGCGAGTTTACAACCGGCGGTCGCCGCGGGCGCTCGAACGGAAGGTTCGTCGAGGACGACGCCGAGAACGGATGTGACGACGTTTTTCTGTTCACTCACGGCTCGGGAGAGGCGGCTGGATTCACCGATTAAATTCGCGAGCGCGTGGAGTGTGCTTTCGCCGTTGATGTTGCTTTTGTTTTTCCTGGAAAACGCAAAGGCGAGGACCAAGACGTCCAAGGCGTCCGCGGTGAGTAAACGCGCTTCGATTTCCCAAGGTTCCGCGTTGAGCCAAACGACGCAGGCTTGTAAAGCGAGAATTTTGCGTTCGCAGTTGCCTTCTTGATCGATGACGGAGACGAGCGTGTCTAAGATGCCGTGTTTTACCAACTTTTCTCTCGCCGCTCGAGACGCGGAAACGCAGCTGCACAAGAGAGGCAAACAGACGTCTTTTTCCGCTTCCGTGCCGCTCGTGGCGATTTCGCACAGAACCCAACTCGCGTGGCACGTTGCCGCTTGTTGTTGGTAGGATTTTGAAGCGACGCACAGATTTCGAATCGCTCGCAACGCCGCTGCTCGCGTTCGACCGTTACAGGCGACAGATTCGTAGAGTAAATCGACGTTGATCACCCCGGCGCGTTTCGAGCCGCGTTCGGCGTCGAAACCGAGATAACCGATTTGGTTATCGTCGTCGTTGTCTTCTCTCCACGTGATTTCAATCAATTGCGCGAGTTTGGGAATGCATCCTGACTTTTGTAATCGATCTAAAGTGTCCGCATTTTCCGTCAAAGACTCGATCGTTTTCGCCAATTTTTCTCTGGTTTTCTTCGACACGACGCAGATTTGCGCCAAGAAGCCGTGGATGACGCCGATGTCGCAGAGCAAGTTTTTCGTTTGCGTATCGAAAGATTTGAACCCGGTTCTTTTGGCGTTTTGCTCCAATAAAGCGAGGTACTCGTCGTCGTCTGAATCGTCATCGTCGTTACCCCCGTCTATATTGTCATCGTTCGTAGACTTGTCTTTGTTTTTTTTCTTCTTCTCGTCGTCTTCGTCCTTGTCCTTCTTTTCGCGGTCGGCTTCGGCCGCGCTACCTTTCCCTTCGAAAAGCATTTTCGATGTCATCGCCTGGTTGCTCAACAAGTTGGCGATGAAATCAGCAATTTTTTCGTTCGTTACGGTCGATGAGGACGTAAACGTCGCCGGGTCTTCGTTTGCTACTTTTGCCTCTTCGAGATGGCCAAAGTGCGTTTGACCCAACGCTTGCACCAAATGCGGAAAGACGTTCGCTTTGGCCAACGCCCGCACGTTCGCCCACGTCGCGTCAAGTTGCGCGGCTTCCTCCTTTATGATTTCCATATCCGACTGACGAATTTCGCGTTCGATGTTTCGTAACTCTTTATCGTCGAAACGCGATCGGTCTTGCAATTTTCTCTTCAAAGATACCATCGCCTGGCGCATTCGTACCGCTTGGATTCTTTCGCGAGGTTTTGGAGGGATAAAGGCGGCCCGAGCGCAATCGACGGCTATTCGCGTCAACGCCTTACCGGATTCTCCGAAATATCCGACGGACAAAGCTTTTGCGATCCCGGGCGCAACACTCGGCGCGATGGCGGAAAACGCGGGTACCTGACACTTAGCGACTGATTCCAATAAGTTTAAAGCCGCAATCTTCGCTCTCCGAGAAGACACTTCAAAGTCTTTCGCGGCAACTGCACTGGCAAATCTACACACATCTAAAGCGACGAGTGCACTAGCTAACGCGATTCGACTCGTTTGATCCGCCGCACGCATGGCGAAAACGAGCGCTTCGAGTGCGACACATCTCGATCGATCGTATTCCGGCGATTCGTTGGACAAAATATCCGCCACGGACGCCAGCACTCTGCGCGAGGGGATAGCTTTACACGTGCCGTACGATTCTACCGCATCAAGCGAGGACGTCGCGTGCGTCTTTGTTGATGGTTTTGTTGCGGTGGTACCATTTTCTTGGTGATATCCTTGCGTGGCCTCTTCCATGATCGGATGCCCGCTTCCATCGAACATGAGATGGTAGCGTTCCATGGAATCTTTCACCGATATCCCGGCTCTTTCGACTGCACCGTTGTCTTTCAAGTCCATTGCCGACGCGAGCGATTCCCACGCGTCGTTTATGTGCGCTTCATCAAATTGCGACGTGCCGTACGACCCATATAAATCATCAAACGAACTCGAACGCGAAAAGCCGCGATTGATGCGAAGTAAAGCGTTGCCGGAGAGCTTCGCGCCGTTCAAAGCAAACTCACCGTCGTCTTCAAAGCTGCTTCTGTTTTGTTGATCAGAGCTCTGGTCGTCTCTGAGATGCTCGCCACCGTTTTGAGAGACTGGCGTCCCTATGTAAGACTTTGGCGTGGACGGACCGGAACTTTCGTTATCCGAATCCGCCGAAGTGCGAAAAGCGGAGGACCTGTGATTTTTGTTGATATTGTGCGCCGTTCCCGCCAGTTTCCGTCCACTCCGAATATCGAGCCATTCTTTTAAGAGCGTCCCTCTATCGCTGGCAGTAACCGACGGTGGCAAACTTTTCACGTCTATGCGCATGTTGTTTCGCTTATATCCTGGTCGGCTTCCGTTCGCACCGCTCTCTCTGTCTGTCGCGGCGCTTGCGTTTTTATCGTCATCGAAATCGCTCTCTTCGTCCGAGGAAAGATTCGAATCCGATTCGCTGCTATCCTGTATGTTTCTCTTCTTCTCGTTATCTAACACCGCATCTGCCGCCATGAGCGCCGCCGTCGCGCGATCAATCGTCGTTAACTTTTTCAAATCCGGTTTTTCGTCGCCTTCTTTTCGGAGTTTCTTCTTTAATTCGCGTCTCTCGAGCTTTAATCTCCGCAAATCCGCGCTGTTCTTTTCGTCGTCGACATTCGCGTTGATCGTCGATATCGGTCGTTCCGAGGAAAAGTAGATGGAATCCCTGTACTCCACGTCGACTACCATTTTATCTACCGCGCCAGCGAGTCCATCTGCAATTCGCATGGCGTTAGTGTTACCTTCTTGTTCATTATCGGCTTCTATTAAAGCGTTGTGCGCGTCTCTGATTTCTTTCGGAAGCCAAGTCGAAGCTAACTCGTTTCGAGCGTCTTCAATCCACGGGTGCTTTAACAACTCCCTCGCAGTCGGTCGCGTCGACGCGTCTCTTCGGAAACACTGTCTCAAAAAATCTTCGCACTGTTTGGAAATACCCGAAGCTGGAAGCGGCGGTATGTCGTCTCTGACCATTCTAAACAACGCCGCCATTGGCGCTAAATCAAAATAAGGCGGCTTTGTAGTCAATAACTCAATCAACGTACAACCAACGGACCAAATATCCGCTGCGGTAGTAACGCCGCCAGTCATTTCGATAACCTCCGGTGCCATCCAATACGGCGAACCGACGACATTATCGCTGAACTGTTGAGGTGAGGAAGGCGACCCGCCGTTGTTACTGCCGGGAGATCTCAAAAGGCCTTTCGCTGGCGGCGTTTCCAACGTAACGTCGTTGCTCGCATTTAAACGCATCTCGCCGTTATTGTTCTTATTCTCCTTGGCACCTCCTCCTTTCGGTGAATTTCCGGGCGACCCGAGCGACTGCCGTCTCCCACCTTTTTCCTTCTTTTTCGGCGGCGCCGGTTTCCCGCCGTCGAACAAACCGCTCGCATCACTACCGCTATTCTCCTTCGACAAACGATTCTTCAGCGCCATTTGCGACCTCCTACTTTTAACGAGCTTTGCCGTTTCTTCTTCCTCTCTTTTCGTTCTCAGTAGTTCTACATTCGGAGACCGCGCTATCTCGACGTTGCTATGACTAGTGTTGTTGCTCTTGTTATTATCATCCCCGTTACTATTCTGGTAAACGTCGCCAACTTTACCCGTGGCCGTCGCCGTGTTCACTTTCGTCGCCACGCCGAAGTCCGCTAATTTAACCACTCCATCCCTGGTGCATAAAATGTTCGCCCCTTTCACGTCTCTGTGAATCACGCCTTGCTCGTGTAAATATCTTAAACCTTTCAAAACGTGAAACACGTACACGGCGGCTAAACTCTCCGGAAACGGTCCAACCCCTCCAATCCCGCCAGAAATGCTGTTCGACGACGAGAAACTCTTCAACGCGGACGCTAACGACCCGTTCTCGCAATACTCCAGAACGATGTACAAGTGATGGTCGTCCCGAATGGCTTCGATGTACCGCACGACGTTTTCGTGTCTTAAAGAACTCAACAAGTCCACCTCCCCTGTGACGAGCGTTAAATCTTTTTCCAAAACGCCCGCCAAAGAAATCTCTTTTATCGCGACGACTTTCTTCGAAGACGCGTCGATGCCTTTGTACACTTGGCCGTACGCGCCTCGACCGATGGTTCGAACCAGTTGGTACTTGTTGTTCAGCTCACCGACGATGACTTTAACCCCATGATGAGCGCTTTCGTCGTTGGTTTGGTCGTTGGTGGAGGAGATTCGATTCGTGGAATTTTGCGCACTCGTCGGAGTGGTACGATGTTGAGCGGCGTTTACGTTCACACTCACGTTCGTCGTCGTCGTCTGAACAAAAGTCGTAAACGTCGGTGGGACTTTCGACGACGACATCGAGTCTCGGCCGAACGTGGTCTCGTTCTTAAGTTCTCGTTCGTGCGTTACTTTTGAACGCTTTCCGAGTGAGGAAAAAGTGTTGGATTTTGCTGCCCTTTCGTCAAAATTCGTCAATCGAAAGGTCTGGATGTTCTTTTACACTCGCGGGAACGCCCGCGCGCGTTTTATTATACGGTATAAATATGATGATACAAAAACGATACCTAGTAGTAGTAGTAGCAGGTAAGAAGAGAGAGTGCGAAGTTATGTACAGGAAACCCTCACTTAAATGTAGCATCACGCGGCGGCGTACCCGTCTCCGAGTCTTCCGCCGCCTTCGCGTTGCATCGTCGCCAGACGGTCTTTGGCTAATTTTTTCGCCTCTTCTCGCGCGTTTGCGATGTTTCGTCGCAGGAGCATAAATCGGAAGACGAGGGTTGCTACGAACGCGATGATGATTGTTGCGAATGGGTTATCGATTATCGCGCCTTTTCGTTGAAGAAGTGGGAGAATCAGCGCGGTGTATTTCTCTTTCGCGCGTTCCGTGGAGAGCAGGATGGAGACGGCGAATAAGAGAAAGAGGAGGAAGAGGAGGGATGCGAAGACGGCCCAAGAGAACTCCGCTTCGTTGGATTTCAATTTATCCTCTTCGTCTCTCGCTTTTAACGCGTCTAAATCGTACCCATCGCGTTTCCAGGTCATTTGTAAATCGCCAATTAATCCGTGTTTAAAAGCCGCTTCGCAATAGGCGAAGTAAAATTCGTACATGCGCACGAAGCGTTTGCTGTACCCGAGGTCGAAGACCTTTTGTTTTCGAGCGAGCATGCGTTCGCGCCACAAACGCAAAGTAACCGCATAGTGTAAACCAATGTCGTCGTAGGAATCTAAGGATAATCCGTTTGGAGCTGCATTTTTCATGGCGGAGATGGACGGTAAATGACCGCCGGGGAAGATGTACGCGCGGATGAAATCCGAAGTGGTTTCGCAATACTGTTTGTATCGTTCATCCGGGATGGTGATGACTTGAATCGCGCACGTGCCGTTTGGTTTTAAGCAATTTCGAACGGTTTCAAAAAAAGTTGGCAAGTGTTCGTGCCCGACCGCTTCGAGCATTTCGATCGAGATGACTTTATCGTACACGTTCGTCTCGTCGCGATAGTCTTGAATTTTGATTTCAATCAAGTGCGAGAGTTTCAATTTAGCCACTCGCGCGCGCGCTTCTGCGGCTTGCTCTTTGGACAACGTCAACCCAGTGACTTTACACCCAATTTTTGTCGCCAAGCGAATGGCGAGTTGGCCCCACCCGCAGCCAATTTCGAGAACCTCATCGGTTTTCTTAAAGTCGAGGCGAGCAATCATGGCGTCGATTTTATCGTATTGAGATTGCTCGAGGTGAATTTCTTTCTCCTCGAACGTCATTTCTCGGTTGCCATTCATGAGAAGCTTATCAATGTACATGTTATCGTCGCCGTTCAACTCCGCGGGCGTTCCGTCCGCGTTCTTCACGTGCACCGCGGACGAATACAACAACGTGTTGTCTAAGAACAAGGAATAAAACGCGTTCCCGGCGTCGTAGTGGTACTCGATGTTCTTCTTCGACCCTTCCTTGGTGTTCGATAACGCTTTGTGCGCGGCCATTTCCGCGGCGCCACCAAGGATGGACAAGATTGCCGCCACCAGCTCTTTCGGGTTGAACCAATTCTTTTTTGGATTGGACAAACCTTTCTTCCTGTTTGATTTTTCCTGCTTCGACGGGTGGCCGGAACAAATCAAATCCAAAAACGCCATCACGTCGCCGGAGAAATCGTTGTTCATGTACGCCTCACCAAGTCCGATGTCCTGTCTCGTGATGCACTGCTTGAACATATCTTCGCTAAATATGGTCAAACGAACTTCGTCTGGGACTGGTTTACTCTTGTCCCTCTTCCCGGAGATGGAAAAATCAACGCCGGTGGGTAACGTAAACGTCAATTTCGCATTCGGCGGCATCCATTTCCCGGCAATCGTTTGGAACATGCTCATAAACGCTGAACCGAGCAAAGATTGTTTCGGCTCGACGTCAAATCTAGGCATCCATGGAACCACGTCGTCTTTTCCTAAAAGTTTCTTGCACATCTCCACCGCCGAGTGTATGCCGTCTTCGTGGAACCCGTATCTCAACCACGCGCCGGTAAACCACGTGTTGTTTTCACCTTGTAAGCGACTCTTCAAATCCTCTTGCGCCTTGATCGCGTTCTCGTTAAACACCGGGTGGCCTAAGTATTTCTTAAACTCCACCCTTTCCTCGTCGATTTTCTCGGTCGGATTGAGCGTCACAAACACGTCCTTCGCGCCTTTAGGTAAATTTTGCAACAAGTTCACCCAATACGTTACGCACACGGAATCGTTCTCGCCCTTCTTTCCGATAGATTTGCAGTTCCAACTCGCCCACGCGCTTCGATTTTTTGGCATAAACTGCGGGTCGTCGTGTAACACGACCTCGTTCCTCGTCGTGCGAAAATTCGATAAAATCTCCAACTCTTTCTCCGTGGCGTTTTTGCCAATCATCGCCAACGCTTGGTGCGCGTGACAGGCAAAAATCACGTGGTCAAACTTCTCCTTCGTTTGCTCCCCGGTCGCCGCTTTCTTAGTTTCTGTCGTTTTCACTTTAATTCTCGATTTCGAAGCGTCGTCGAAATATCTGTGCACCGTGTGCACGTACCTCCCCGTCTTCACGCACCCGTCCGGCAACGCCTTCAAAACCGCCTCCACGTACGCCTTCGACCGGCCTTTCACCACCCTCCACACCGGTCGTTCAAAGATCTCCAACAAGTGGTGATTCGCCCAAAATGTAATCAGCGGTTTCAGAGGAAACCCGAGCGCGTCTTTATCGTTACAGCTCCAAATAGCCGCGCACATCGGCAACACGTAGTGGTCGCGGAAGTAATCCGAATACCCGTTTTCCCGCAAATATTCCCCCAACGTTTTCTTCTCCCAATATTCCTTCTTTGAGCCGCTCAACACGTCGTGTTTCACTTTCTTGAACTTAAGAATCTCCCGTATCATGTTCCAAAACTTTGGATTGATCAGGTTCCGTTTTTGCGCGAAGATCCCACTTAATCCTAAACTCCCCCACTCCGTCCTTTCGCTTTGTAACGAGAAACTCATGTCGCTTTGCTCGTGTTTCACGCGCAACTCCTCGAACAAACCGACCAAGTGTGGATACGTGGTCAAATTGAACACTTGAAATCCTAAATCAACGTCCAATTCTCCGGCGTGTTTTGACTTCTCCCGCGTCAACGCGTGCCCGCCGGCGGTGGGTTCGGACTCGTACACCGTGACCGCGAATGCGTTCGATTGGTGGAGCAGATAGGCGGCGGATAAACCGCTGATGCCGGCGCCAATCACGCAGACGGTTTGCTTCTTCTTTGAGCTTTCATTCTCGTTGTTAAAATCGTCGTTGTTGTTGCCGAGTGGTGATGATGCCATGACGATTTTGACGTTTTTGTCGTTTGTTCGTGGAACGACGAGTGCAACAAGTAAATGTTCTTTTTCTGAGGTGTTGTTGTGGCGTTCGTACAATGCAGAGAATATGCGGTGCGGAGTAGTCCACGACGTAGAATAGTATAATTAAAAAATCAAACGACCGAGCGCAATGCGGACCGGCCTGCGGCACCACTGGCGGCTTGTGCGCCCATTTGCGCCCCTACCGTGCTGGCGTTGTGCCCACCAGCTCGGAAGCTCGTCCAGACGAGCCGCATGGAGACGACCGAGAGAACGGCGTCTAAAGCGAACAAACAAAACGCGACGGCGTAAAACGCGCCTAAAACTTTATCTTTGTTCAGAGCGGATTTGATGACCATCATTCCAGCTAAGGACCACTGGTCGCCGGCGCCACCGGGTGGGGAGATGCACGCGTAGACCATGAAGGCCAAGTGGCCGAGGTACATGAGGAAGAACCAGCCGAATTTCAAACCCGAGTCGTTTTTCGCCGCCATGTACAGGCGACGGTACCAGATGAAGTACGCGCCGGGGACGCCGGCGAGAAAGTAGATGATGGCGACTAACCAAGAGACGACTCTGCCGTCGACGAAGAACGCGCCGGTGACGGCGCAGAGGTTCATGAATAACGCCAAAACTAAGCAGAGGTAAGAGTAGTAACACATCCGCACGGCTCTTTGGTGTTGGGAAGGAATTTCCGCGTCGATGTTGTGGTACGCGATCGCCCAGAATTTAAACGGCCAGTTGTTGACTTGTTGCCCTCCACTGCCACCGTTAGCGCGCATGGCGGCTTCTCTCGCGGCGAGCTCGCGTTCGCGTCGCGCGATATCCCCCTCGCGCTTTTCGAGTTCTTTCCTTTGCTGGGCTAAAGACTTATCTCCTCCTCCTCCAACGCCGCCACCGCTGCTACTACCAAACGCGCCAAACCCAAACCCACCTCCAAACAATCCACCCCCACCTCTTTTCTCTTGTTGTTGTTGTTGTTGTTGTTGTTGTTGCGGATTCGTCGTGGCGGCGTTATCGTAGGCGCCGCCGTACGCGCCAAACGTGTCCATCCCAGAATCTCTCGCGACCGCCCCTGTCGGCGCTTCGTACACGTCCGTTGCCGCTTTCTTACTGTTCTTATAACTGCTTTTTACTGCCGGTGGTGACGGCGCCGTGCTGCTCGATCCTCCTCCTCCTCCTCCTCCTGATGGTGGTGGTGCAAACGGATTGGAAAACTCCGTGGAATCTTCGTCGTCGTCGTCGATGTGTACCGTCGTCGTCGTCGTCGTTTCTTGCAAAGACCCGCCCCCGGCGTTCGACCCGCCCCACGCGCCGCCTCCCCCATCGCCGGTCTGTTGGAACGGATTTCCGTTATTGCTCATATTTCTTCACGACAGAAGAATATATAAAGAGAGAGAGAGAAGAGAGAGAATTTGAGATCCAAACGTCTCCTCTTCAACGGTCTTTCTTCAACAAATCGCTTCACGAATTTTTCAAAATCGCGCGCTCCACGAATCTCCTCTTCCCTTTGTCCTCCTCCTCAAAGAGACTCTCGTTTCGGTGAAGAATCGTGTGTGGTTTTGTCGACGAACGCTTTCTTTTTCGCGCGCGCGCGTGTTTTCTGTGTGTTTTTGCGCGTTATTATGAAGATCAAAGCGTCCTCTCCTTTCTTTCCTCTCTCCTTTTAAACTCGGTGAAAAGAAGAATATATAAAAAGTGTGTCGCAGAACGTGCTCGTCAAAAAAAGTTGCTCTTTCTCTGCTCTTTTTTTGGTCGTTGTGTTTTGATTTTTTCATTTTTTGGTCGTTGTTTTGTTTTTTTTTTCTCTTCTTTTTTCTCTCTTTTTTCTCTCTCTCTCTCTCTCTCTCTGTTGCATTGCTTCATTGTAAATAAAGAAGAAGGACGAGAAGACGAACGAAGCGAAGAAGAAGAAGAAGAAGAAATCAGAGAAGAAGAAGCACTTTTCGTTCTTTTATTCTTTCAGAGTAGTGTCTTTCGTTCTTTCTCTCTTCTCTCGCGTTTTTTGCGCGCGCGCGCTCGTTCTCTCTCTCTCTCTCTCTCTCTCTCTCTCTCTTTGCTGAAGGTATTGTTGTGTTGTTCTTTCATTGGAAGAGACATTTTGAATTCCATCGTCGTCGAAACGAATTCATTCAGAAACGATGGAGGACGGATACTCGCAAACGCTCAGAGACCTCCTCGCGCAAACGCCTTTAACCACGGACGCGTGGGTCCAGTGCGACTCGTGCCAAGTCTGGCGACGAGTGCCGAACTTTGTCGCTTTGAAGTTAGGCGAACACGAGCAATGGTTTTGCCACAAAAACTTCCACCAAGAGTTCAGCACGTGCGATGATCCTCAGGAATTACTCGACGATGAAATCGACGTCCTGATGAAAGCGCAAGAGAAAGAACAAAAGAGGAAACAAGCGGAGGAAATCGGGAGGAAGATTTTAGAGGAGGACGAAGAGGACGAACGAGAGAAGTTGGGAGTTAAAAGTGAGAAAGGAGGAGACGATGATGAGAAGAAGACAAAGAAGGAAAAAGATGGAGCGAGTGGGTGGAGGAAGAAAAAAAATTCAAACGACTCTGACGATTCGAACGATTCGGACGACGATACCATGATGTGCAAACCAATCGAAAACGCGCACGTCTGGTCGAGAGTCTCGCGGAACATCTTCAAACACAGAGAGCCGAGGAAGTTAACCGAGGACGACATCATGGTGTGTAACTGCGCCATCGACCCGGAGACCGGAAGCGGATGCGAGGAAGAGTGCGTGAACAGATTGGTGTTAACCGAGTGCGATCCTAAATTTTGTCCGTGTTCGACCGCGTGTAAGAACCAGAGGTTTTCGAGGAAGAAGTTTAAAGAGTTAGAGGTCAAACGGTCGAGTAAGAAAGGACACGGATTGTTCTCGGAGGAGAATATTAAACCGGGCGAGTTCGTGTTGGAGTACGTCGGCGAGGTGTTGCACGAGGAAGCGTACGAGGAGAGGAAAAGGCAATACGCGAGGGAAAAGAGGCGGCACTTTTATTTCATGACTTTGTCGAGTTCGGAAACTATCGATGCCACGGAAAGAGGCGGCGTTGGGAGGTTTTTGAACCACTCGTGCGATCCAAACTGCGAGACGCAAAAATGGATGGTAAAAGGCGAGTTGTGCATCGGCGTTTTCGCGCTGAGAGAGATTCAACCGGGGGAAGAGATTACCATCGATTACAAGTTTGAAAGGTACGGGGAAAAACCTATGAGATGTTTTTGCGATACCGCCGCGTGTTGCGGATGGATTGGCGGTGCGAAAGCCGCGAGAGAGGCGGAGAAGTACGCCAACGATTCCGAAGACGACGACGAGGAAAAGATTCACTTGGAGGACGAAACGCCGGTGATGTTGGAGTGCGACGAAGACCAAATCGTGAAAGAAGAAAAGGAAGCCCGAGTACAACACGAACAAGAGAAGGGTGGATCCTTCAGACGCTCTGAATCGAAAAAGTTGAAAGACGAGGAGAAGAAATGGCGACCGCCGGAGGAACAAAAAGCGTACGATCGCGCGAAAAAGGCGCGCGAAAAGAAATACGAAAACGAGGAGAAACAACGATTGAAAGCGGAGAAGAGATCAGTGCCGAGCTTTGGTGGTGGTGGCGGCGGCGGCGGCGGCGGCGGACGATCGCGCGTGCGCGCGCCAGCTGGTTCGTACGCTGCCAAATGGGGCGGCATTTCCAGCGCATCTCAAAGACGTTCGGAAATTGACGTCGCCATGGACGATTTGCGCAACTCCAAGGGCGCTTTGCGCAACGAAAAAGCGTGTCTCAAATCGATTCAAATGTTCAACTTGGCGTACCCAGTGGACGAAAAAGGCGAGTCGCAAGTTTCCGAGAGAGATTTGGGATTACTTTTAGAAGCGATATCGATGACAGGAAGCACGCAACTACAAAGAGTGCTCGCCGAGAGAGGCGGGACGGGCGCGTTGCAGACGTGCATCAGTCGATTAGGCGGCGCGTTGTGCTCTCCGCAAAGAGCTCCATTGTTGAGAAAGGTTTTGAGAGTTTTAGGAAACTGGTTGACCGTGTGTAAAGAAGCAACGTTAGCGGCTATGCGCGACACGAAGACGGCGAGAGGGAGTTTTTTCGATTTACTCGGTGAGTTACGATACGCGAAGGACTCTGAGTTGCAAAAAGTCGCCACGGAGTTTGCGAACCAGAAAGTTCCGCAAGGGACCATTATCGATAAAGGTGAGCCGGAGAGTATTAGACGTTTGAATAGTGCAAATGCGAATAATAGTATAAACATGAACGGGGGTGGAATGACACCGGGTGGAGGTTTCATGCGCGGTGGAATGGGGACTCCGATGGGCGCCGGTATGGCGCCAAACGGCGTCGTCGGGTTTCGAACGGGAACACCACCACCCATGCGAACTCCAGGAAGTGCCGGTGGTTTTGGTAGTAGTGCGCCGCCGGGGAGTGCGACAACCATGGGTGGTCGAGGAGGTGGATTCAATTCTGCTGGCCCGCCGCCTCCAGGAAGCGGCATGGGATTCAATCGAACCGGCTTAGCGCCCCCGCCGAGATTCGCCGGCGCGGGAGGACGAGGTCCACCAGGTATCGCGGCGAATAACACGCCGGGGAGTGCGCACCAAAGAGATGCGATTGGCAGAGCTTTACCGAGTGGATGGAAATCGCAAACAACGCCGGCGATGCCAGCTGCAGCGAATGGTGGGTACCAAAACTATTACAATCAACAGCAGCAACAACACCAACCGCCGTCCAACCGCCAATATCCGCCGTACTCGAACCACACCGGTGGCAGAGAAGGTGGTGGTGGAAACTACAACAACTACAACAGTAACGGAAACTATAATAATTACAACAACAACAACAACAACAACGGCTACAACAATAACGGGTACAACAACTACAACACCAGTGTCGGCGGTTACGCCGGAGTGAGCGCAAAACGCCAGCGAATGGATGCTAATTTTAGCGCGCACCCGCCCGTCAATCCTCCGCTCCCTTCCGGCGCACCTCCCCCGCGTTCCACCGACGCCCCTTCCGCTCCCAAACGAAACGACGAATTCGATGACCCGCACTCCCTCTCCTTCGCCTCCATCGTCAGCGATATCGTCCAAGAGTTTGCCATGGAATACCGAGCGCAAAACCATCCGAAGCACGCCTCGTCGGCGGATTACGACCGCTTGCAAAACAAGTGGCAGACGAAAATCTTAACCAACGAGCAAAAGAATTTCGAGGAAACCGGACGGAAACCGATCGACTTGACCAGACTGAGAGATTCCATCAACACTTACGTCAAAATGGCCAACGAGTGGGAGTTTAAGAATCAGTCGAAATAGATAAATATTTCTGAACAACAACACAATGAAAAAATCGTCAAAACATCACCTCACGGGAAACTCTTTATATATAATGAACTACCACGTCTCGTCATCACTCGCGCGACGATGCGCTTCCGTCTCCTCCTCCGCGAGTGGTAATCCTTCGTGTTCGTCGTCTTCTCGAACAAGAAGAACGCGAGCTTTTTTATCCTCCTCGAATGGAAGACGACGACGAAGCGATGATGCGGTCACGCTTTTAAGAAGTTCTGGAGTTGGCCAAGACCGATTCGACATAGCGCTCACCGGGCAAGAAGAAGACGGGGAGACGGATAAAAAGGCAAAGAAACGAACAATTTCGCTCGATTTAGGCGGAACTCAAATGCAAACGACCGCTATCGAGTATACCGGCGAGTTAGTCGCGGTCGAAATCGACCGGCCTCTCGGTTTGATTTTGGAGGAAACGAGAGTGGAACGAAGCGTCGAGACGCGGATAGAAGTTGTGGAGATTGTTCCGGATTCAAACGCTTCAAAAGATGGCAGAGTAAAGGTTGGGGATATTTTACGCTTAACCACGGCAGTGTTCAACGTTTCCGCACCGATCGATGTGACGACGTGGATGAATCCGCCGGCGAAGGCGAACGTGAGAGCGTACGTGAAAGACTCGACGTTCGATAAGACGATGTTGGCTATTCAGAGTCACTCGGTGCCGGTGGATTACGACGGCGACGCGAGGGAAATGAAAAGCGTCGGGATGGTGTTTGAGAGGAAATAATGATATACTAGTACTGCTACTGCTACTACAACGTACTCTAACTCAAACCGCCTCCCTCCCTCGGCCACGCCACGGCGATAACTACCCCGACTAAACTCACCGCACATCCAACGTAATCGCCCACATCCAACTTAAACCCATCCACTATTCGCGCAAAAGCGTAACTAAAAACGATAAACACCCCTCCGTACACCGCGTACGTTCGGCCGAAATCCTCCAACGGTTGTAAAGTAGGGATTACGCCATATGCCATTAAAATAACGAACCCGAGTAAAAGGTACCAAATCGATTTCTTCTCGCGAACAAATTGCCAGACGAGCCACCCGCCTAAGATTTCGAGCACCGCCGCGACTGCGAACAAGAAGACGCTTTGGAACGCGAGAATAGTAGTCCACTCTTTTTTATCGTTTCCTTCCTCTGAAGCTGCCACAGTGCCGTTCGTTGCTTCCATTTCCTTTACGTGAGATGTTGTTCAAACGTGTGCACATTTGAAGTGTTTTCCAATGCAGAAGGGGGGAGACGTTCGCAACATTTTATTTAGGGTATTACACCCTAATCCAATCGAGTTTCGACGTCGACGACGCTTTCACGTCGTGCCTCATTTCTTTCTCGCGAAGAAGAGTTACGACGCAAAACTTTCGTATCGCTTTTGAGAAGAAAGAAAAGAGAAGAGAAGCGCTCGCAACACCTTTACCTCTCTTTCGTCGTGGATCTCTCTCACTCGAGTGGTCGCAGAGTGTGTGTCTGTCTGTCTGTCGTTTCGGAGAAAGAGGAAGAGAGAAAGAGAGAAATTTTTGACCCCCAAACAACAAAAGCGAGATAATACACAAAAAGAACGAATATATAAAGAATAATGATGACGATAAACGTGCTCCGATGCCCGCGAAACGCAGGCGCGGTTGCAAACAACAAACGAGTACACGCGAGCAGCGACAGATGCAGCAGCAGTAATAGCACGAAGAATACTAACACGAATAGCAGAAGAAGAAAAGGAGTGGTTCTCTCCTCTTTCGGTAAGGCTTGAAAATCTCTCTTTATCTCTTTGTTTTTCTTCTTTCTCGTCGGTCGCTTCGTTCTCGGGAAAGAAAAAAACGTTTGAATTCTCTCCTCTCGTGTGTTCTTCTTCTTCTTCTCGGAGAAGAAGATTTGGTGCTTTTTCGCGCGCGCGCGCAAACGACGAGTACGAGTACTGCTCTGCGGTATCTTCATCGTCCGCGATCTCGGATCGATCTCCGAGGAGTTTTGCGCGCGCGCAAAGAGAGAGATCTTCTCTCACAAGAGAGAGAGAGAGAGAGAGAATAAAACGACGGCAGAGGGAGAGGAGAGAAAGTTTTCCTCCTCTCTTTTCTCTCTTTTTCTTTCTGTTTCCTACAAAATCAATCAAAAAAGAAGGGGGCGTTGAAGAAGATCCATCGTGTGGCTCAGAAAGTGTGGCTGTAAAGAAAGGTGGACGCAAAGGAGGAGAGAATTTTTTTTTTTGTTCTGACATTCATTCTTTCTCTCTTCTCTCGTACTTACAAAAACAGGGAATAACAACGAGAACAATAAAAGGACGTTACACGCGAACGCTTTAAACGACAGAAGAGTAAACACAGAGAATCATTTTAGTCATCGTTATGGATATACGACGACGACGACGACTCCAACGAAAAGAAGAGGCGACGCGGTTGGCCCCAGACGAGCGATTACCATGCCGGAGGATTCGTCCAACGAGAAGAAGACCCTTCTCACGTCTTGGCAGAGAATTGGCCAGGAAGGGGTGCAGAAAGCGTCTGAGATTTGGTCGGCGGTGAACAGCGAAGCCGCGGCGGCGGCGAAAGGCGCGTGGGAAGGAGTGAAACCAGCGCATAAGGTGTTTTTGTCCGATATTATCGCCAGTCCGAAGAAGAACGCGTTTGTGCGAAAGTGGTTGGGGACGGATATAACGTACGTGTCGTTTATTGGTGCCATGCACGTTGGCGCGTTGTTGGCGCCGTTTTACTTCACCTGGCAAGCGTTCAACTGCTTTTGGGTCATGTATTTCATCACCGGGTGCTTGGGAATCACGTTGAGTTACCACAGGCAGTTGTCGCACAAGTCGTTTCAAACGCCGAAATGGTTGGAGTACGCGTTGGCGTATTGCGGCGCGTTGGCGGTCCAAGGCGACCCGATCGAGTGGGCGTCGTCGCACAGATATCATCATCAACACTGCGATACTCCGAAAGACCCGCACACGCCGTATGAAGGCTTTTGGTGGTCGCACATGGGATGGTTGTTGGACAACGAAGCGACCATCGAAAGAGTTGGCGATCGATCCAACGCCGCGGAGATGGCCGCGCAGCCGTTTTACCAATTCTTGGAGAAGACGTACATGTGGCACATCGCTGCGTCGGCGTTAGGTTTATACCTCCTCGGCGGTTTACCCTTCTTAGTGTGGGGCTTCTGCGTGAGAACTGTTTGGGTGTACCACATCACCTGGGCGGTCAACTCCGTCGCCCACTGCTGGGGCAAACAAACGTACAACACCGGCGACTTGTCCAGAAACAACTTATCGGTTGGAATTTTAGCATTTGGAGAAGGGTGGCACAACAACCACCACGCGTTCGAATTTAGCGCCAGACACGGGTTGGAGTGGTGGCAAGTGGACATGACGTGGTATTTGATTTGGGGGTTGAAGAAGTTGGGCTTGGCGACCAAGGTGAAGTTGCCCACGCAAAAGCAGTTGGACCGCATGCGCATCGAACCGACCACGGCTTAATTAAAAAAAAAGTTTGATAATAAAAAGAGAGAGAGAGAAAGAGAAAGAATTGTTAAAGAGAGAGAGAGAGAGAGAGATCACGCATCTCGCGGATGTTTTGTCGTTTGAAATCATCATCTAATACTGCAAATACTACTATACTCTTTCACTCGTTAAATGTTGTTTTTCCTTCTTTTTGTCTTAGTCTTGTTCAGATTTCGAAACTTTTCTTCACTCTTCGGAGAGAAAACGTTTCGTTTACGTCGTTTACGTCGTTTACGTCGTCGCGATGACGAAAGAACCTCTCGTGGAAAAAGAAGAAGAAGAACGCGGGCTTTCGTTTTCTCTCGGTCGCTTTCCCGGCGCCAAAAACAGAGGCTTAATCGCTTCCTCTTCTTCTTCTTTAACACAAGGCTCGGTCGTTTTTCAATCGGTCCCGTATGCGGCGGTTCTCCGAGACGACGGGCTCCACGAACGCGACCACTTCACGTTCGAGAAGTCGAAGGATCACTTTAACGTGAACAACAGTAACGTGAACAACAACTCATCAGAGTCGCCACGGCAACAACAACAACAACAACAAAATCGACAACAACAGTTGCAACGGTGTTCGGCGACCAAATTTGCGAGATATTTTTCGAGGGAGAACCAGTTGAAAGATTGGGAAGACGGCTACGATAAAGAAACGAAAGCGCTGAAGAGTTGTCAGTTGCGAGCGCCAAAGGCAATGGTACGGTTGGCGAGTAAAATCGTGTGGCGAATGCAACGAGAGAGGAAGAACGAAACGAATACTAATGAGAACAAGAACAACGCGGAGAACGAAGTACCCGCGAGCGAAGAGAAATCAAGGAAGACGAAACGAACCGCTCTCGCGGCTCCGACCGGGCGATTGTACGACGACGAAGGGAAGACGGAACAGTTGGGATTAGGCAGAGGGTACTCGACTGTCTTCGACCAGTTAACGCACGGTGAAGAGTCGAAGACGTTTGGTTTGAACAACCCGAGCGATTACACTTTAGCGGCGATGACGAGAGCGTATTTGACGCACTCTTTGAACGTGGACGATAGCGTGGTATCGGACGAGGAGAGAGCGGAGAGGTACGAGAGAGAATACGAGGACATACCGTCGGTGGCGGATTTAGCAAAACTAATTGGTAAGTTGCGTTTGAATTGCCACACGTTGTGCGACGATGAGTTGCGACCGTATGGGATTGGCGTCTATCCAGTGGCGGCGATGATGAATCATTCGGAAAATCCAAACTGTTTCGCGACTTTTAGAGGCAAGAAGATGATTGTCCGATGTTTGCGAGACGTGTTGCCGGGCGAAGAGTTGACGATTTCGTACGACGAATTAATGAAACCAAAGCGAGAGAGGGCGAAATCGTTAAAGTCGAACTACGGGTTTGATTTACATGATGACGGGGAGGAGGAGGAGGAGGGGCAGGAAGATCTTTTGCCTCTTTCCGAAATTCCTTTGATTGGCGGACATAAGTTGCGCGCGTTGTCTCGTGCGCCGAAATACACCGACGAAGACGAAGAAAGGAGCTGGTTTCAAGTCGAGCGCGCGTCTGGTGGTATCGTCGACGGTGGATGCCACATATATCGACTCTTTGGGGAAGAAAGCGGTGGATTCTTTGAAGACAACAGCGCGTTGGCGAGCTTCAACTTGGAAGAGAGCGTCGATGAAGACTACGACGACGACGACGAAGGTGATGACGGGGAAAACGATGAAGATAAAGAGAAGGATAAAGAAGAAACAGAAACAAACGGCGATTTATCGAAGGACCCTGAATTTGCGGGTCAGAAGACGTACGGTCAGTCGAACAAAAGTAAAAAGAGTAACAAAAAGAAGACGCGATTGATTGTCGAAACGTGGGGCGATTGTAAAAACGTCGTCGTTGCTGAAATTGCCGAACGGTTTTGTCAGGCGTTTGAACTGGTAGAAAAGTTAAGCTCGACGTCTTCGGGAGATGTTTCCGATGGCAGCTCGTTAAACCGCGCTTGGGATCGATTTAATAGTTTAACCGATACAAGATCGGCGCTGTTTGGCGCTTCCGTTGGCATTGCGCGAGGACACCACTTGCGTGTCAAGGCGTTGGAGTCGTTCATGAACGCCGCGGTTCTTTTCGAAGATTGGAAGATAGCGTTTGACTGCGGCACGGAGCTCACACCATCTTTCGAAAAGTATTACCCGAATCACCATCCGCAAATCGCCGTTCATAACGTCGCCGTCCTGAAATTGCTGTTGGAGCGTCTCATGGCGGATACGTACGCCGTTGGAGCGCGTTTGAGCGCACCTGCGAGTATCATCGAGAGCCTCGACGAGATTAAAGAAAAAGCAAAGGAGCTAGCTTCGGGAGTTTCCAGAGTTGTCGGCGAAGATAGCACCGTCGTCGAGCAATTGGTAGAGGCGATGCACACGTGCAAAATGATGCGAGAGCAGGTTTTAAAAGAGGCGGATTCCCTTTGTTCGTCGGATGACGACGCTTTCTGAAGAAGAATAGAAGAATCCATTTTAGAATTATAGAGAGTGCAGAAGAATACGCACGCACGCGCGCGCACATAACTCACATACTACATATAAATACACAAGAAGATGTAAAGATCTACGTACTACCATCGTCTTCTATTATTGCTATTTTTGTTGCTATTTTTGTTTCTTTCCTTGTCCTTGCGTTGACGCGCGCTCAGCTGTAACTCTTCGATGTTTGCGGCTAAATCTCTCAAGTTTTGTTCGAACATCTCAGCATCGTCGTCGTTGTCATCTCTTTTCGCCGCCTTTGGCGGCGGCTCTATTCTCCACACGTCCACAAATACCTCCACCTCTTCCTTTCTGTGATGCCCGTATTGATTCTTTAAGCCGTATTTCATCTCGGCCACGACTTTCGCGCTCTTCGCGCCTAATTTTTTCACCGCTACTTTCTGAATATACTCTCTCGTGGACGTCTTATGGAATGAATACACCGCGGTTTCGGCCATTTTCATCGCCGCGGCTAAAAACGCCACGTCCGCACCTTTCCTTCTCGTGCCAAATGGTGGATTCGTCAACACCGTATCCGCTCGCGGCCACACGTAATCTTTCCTTTTCACGTTCTCGCTTTTTCCTTCTTCTTCTTCTACGTCCTCCTCCTCCTCGTCCTCATCATCATCGTACCGCCGAATCAACTCAACCACGTCCATTAAGCACAACTCAACCTCCAACTCCGGTTCGTACGTCTCCAAGTTCTCCTTACACTCCTCCAACGCGTCTCTATCCACGTCGATTCCGAGCACGTGTCCCGCTCCCATAAGTTTCGCCCCAATCGCCAACACCCCCGTCCCTACGCCTAAATCAATCACCGATTTCTCCTCGATGTCGTCAAACTCCACCGCGGCGACGTGCAACACTCTCGTCGCCAATAAAGGCGTCGTCGCGTATTGCTCCAAATTCTGTTTCGGGGTTGAAAACGTTTTCAAGTCTTGCAATTCCGATTCGAGTTGTTTCGGTTTCATTCTTTTCAAGAAAAAGCGTTCACTTTTGCGTCTTCTTCTTCTTCTTCCTCCTCTCGTTATTCTTCGCAAAAGCAGCAGCAAAAGTCGTCCTCCGTCGTCTCATCGTTAAAACAACTCGATTTAATTAGCGCAACAAAAATGAAGAACAAAAACAGTTCGACTCAGAAAGAGCTCGGAATAAAATTTAGGGTTTCAGAACAAAATTTTTCTCTGAACAAAAAAACGCTCGCTCCGTCTACGTCGGCACTCATAAAAAATTACTTAAAACACACACTAACTAATACACATACAAATATGTCTAAATCAGAAGGACCAGCGATCGGGATCGATTTGGGGACGACGTACTCCTGCGTCGGCGTGTGGTGAGTTCTCTATTCTTTGTTGTTCTTTTTTTTTTATTTTTCGTTTGGATGATGATGAGGAGGAAACACCCGACGCTTCGTCAATTCATTTTCGTTTTGTCGGCGGTGTGTGCTTTTGGAAATGATCGAAAGCGCGTTCCACTTGTCTCCTCTCTTCCGCGTAAAAAAAAAAATCTCGCGCGTCGTGTCCGATTTCAACAGAGATACATCTGTTGCTCTTGCGACGAGTTTCCATCATCGCGCCTGGTGGTGTGCTTTTTCCTTGCCTTCCCGCGCGATGATGATGATGATGATGAAAGAAGATGATGGCACCCCAGGAGAAGAACGAAAGCACGAAAGAAAGAAGCTTCTGAAAGCTTCTTTTTTCTCTCTTTTGGGCGGGAAAAGAAAAGAAAAAGAAGAGGACAAAAAGTTTTTTTTTTGGTGCCAAGATTTCTTCTTTTTTTAGGGTTTCTCTGAAATTTTTTCTGGTCTGTCTGTCTTTTTTTTTTTAAAGTGAAGAAGACGAAGAGTTTTGTTGTTTTACTACTCCTTTTTAGAACGAATAATACTGACCAAAATAATGAAACTTTTCTTTTCAAACTTAGGCAACACGACCGAGTGGAAATCATCGCCAACGACCAAGGGAACCGAACGACGCCATCTTTTGTCGCGTTCACGGATTCCGAAAGATTAATCGGCGACTCGGCGAAGAACCAAGTCGCGATGAACCCGAAAAACACCGTCTTTGACGCCAAGCGGTTAATCGGGAGAAAGTTTTCCGATCCGCAAGTGCAACACGACATGAAGGAGTTTTCGTACACGATCGTGAAAGGGGAAGCGGAGAAACCGATGATTGAAGTTGAGTTTCACGGGGAGAAGAAGACGTTCGCGGCGGAGGAGATTTCGTCCATGGTTTTGGTGAAGATGAGAGAAGTCGCCGAGGCGTTTTTGGGGAGAGACGTGAAGAACGCCGTCGTGACCGTGCCGGCGTACTTTAACGACTCCCAAAGACAAGCGACCAAGGATGCGGCGGTCATTGCCGGCTTGAACTGCTTGAGAATTATCAACGAACCGACCGCGGCTGCGATCGCGTACGGTTTGGACAAGAAGAACTCGTCCACGGCGGAGAAGAACGTGTTGATTTTTGATTTGGGAGGCGGTACTTTCGATGTGTCTTTGTTGACCATCGAAGAAGGCATCTTTGAAGTCAAGGCAACGGCAGGGGACACGCACTTGGGTGGTGAAGATTTCGATACTCGTTTGAGCAACCACTTTGCCGCGGAGTTCAAGAGAAAGCACAAGAAGGACATCTCCGGCAACGCCAGAGCGTTGAGACGTTTAAGAACCGCGTGCGAAAGAGCCAAGAGAACTTTGTCCTCCACCGCGCAAACCTCCATCGAAATCGACTCCTTATTCGAAGGTATCGATTTCTACACCTCCATCACGAGAGCGAGATTCGAAGAGTTGAACATGGACTTGTTCCGCAAGTGCATGGAACCAGTCGAGAAGTGCTTGAGAGATGCCAAGTTCGACAAGGGCCAAGTCCACGAAGTCGTTTTGGTCGGCGGTTCCACGAGAATCCCGAAGGTTCAGCAATTGCTCTCCGACTTCTTCAACGGCAAGGAGTTGTGCAAGTCCATCAACCCGGACGAAGCCGTCGCGTACGGCGCCGCCGTCCAAGCTGCCATTTTGTCCGGCGAAGGTAACGAAAAGGTCCAAGACTTGTTGTTGTTGGACGTCACGCCGTTGTCGATGGGTTTGGAAACCGTCGGCGGTGTCATGACCGTGTTGATCCCGAGAAACACGACGATCCCGACCAAGAAAGAACAAGTGTTCTCCACGTATTCTGACAACCAGCCGGGCGTGTTGATCCAAGTTTTCGAAGGCGAACGTTCGCGAACGAGAGACAACAACTTGTTGGGTAAATTTGAATTGCAAGGCATCCCGCCGGCGCCGAGAGGCGTCCCGCAAATCAACGTCTGCTTCGACATCGACGCGAACGGTATCTTGAACGTGTCTGCGGAAGATAAGTCCACCGGCCAAAAGAATAAGATTACCATCACCAACGACAAGGGAAGATTGTCCAAGGAAGACATCGAAAGAATGGTCCAAGAAGCCGAGAAGTACAAAGCGGAAGACGAAGAGCACAAGAAGAAGATTGACGCGAAGAACGGTTTGGAGAACTACGCGTACAACATGCGCAACTCGATGAGCGACGAAAACGTCGGCGGCAAGTTAGATCCGGAAGATAAGAAAACGATCGAAGCGAAGATTGACGAGACCATCGCTTGGTTGGACGGTAACCAAACCGCCGAAGTCGACGAGTTCGAAGACAAATTGAAGGAAGTCGAAGGCGTGTGCAACCCGATCATCTCTAAGATGTACGGCCAAGCTGGCGGCGCGCCGCCGCCTGGCGCGGACTTTGGCGGTGCCGAAGGTGGAGCGGAAGGTGCCGGCGGAGCTTCCTCGGGCCCGAAGATCGAAGAAGTCGATTAAGAGCCAAGCGAGAGCGCGGATGAGAATACGAGAGCGAGAAAGAGAGGAGACGAAGGAGAAATTTAAAAACCAACACATACAAGTAGTAGAAGAAAACACATTACAGTTTTGCATTTTAATCTAACAAAGTGATAACCTATATTGGTCAATTGTTGTATCTGGTACCTGCTCGCATTTCTGCTTTCTCTTTGCACTTTAATCTTCTATTTGTTGAAAGTTACTTGTCTTTTCCTACCCGCCGTGCCGGGCGCTTTCAAAGCGCTCTTTAGCAAGTTTTGCGCTTCTTTTTTTGTTATCGTTCTCGCCGTTGCCGCCGCTGCACTGTTCATATTATTATTATTCTCGCTATTAATCTCCGCGAATACTGCTCTATCTTCCGCCCTCGAGCCTCGTACCGGACCTTTTCGAGCGCCGACGTGTTTTTTGTTCAAGCCCGTCGATTTTTGAAGTTTTGGCGTCTTCATGACGTGCTGTTGCTCTCTCTCTCGCTTTTCTACAGCTTTTCTTCGCTCTGAAATCGCAGCACCTCGCAATTTGAACGGTTTGGGCGTGGTACACGCGCGTCCCGTGACATCTACCAGGAATTCGTCCGAGGAATCGTGAGACATCACTGCCGGCGACGATTTTGTTCTCGTCGGCGTCTTCGCGACGACTCTGCTCTGCGTCGCCGTACCTTTCTTATTGCTGAAAGCGTACGTTTCGCGTTCAAGTTCAGCTTGCCTATCTTTCATAAACTGTCGGCGATTGATAATTGCTCGTTTCTCCGTCGCCAGTCGGAACGGTTCCGGTTGCGTCGAGGCGCCGAGTTTCTGCGCGTTTGACTTTGGCGTCTTGGCGGTTTTATTCATCAAGTTAGACTGGCGTCTGCCGCCAAACTCAATAGGCTCCGGAGTGAACTCAAATACATCATAGTTCGGATCTGCTTGCTCCAAGCTCGAATCATTCGTCGTATCAGTAACGGCGGCGATAGTGGTAGTGGTAAAAGTCTGGTGTTTTCGCACCGCGGCAATTGGTCGATTGAAAATTTTCACCGTGTCGTTCATCTTGCGCCTCTCCGCCGCTTCCTTCTTCGCCGCTTCCATAGCCGCGCGTCCTTTCGCGCGCGAGGCTGTCTGAAGGTGCGGCGAAATCGCCGCCGTCGTGCGTGGCGGCCAGTGCTGCTGAAACTCTTCCTCCTCCTCCTCGTAAAACCGTTCGTCGTCCTCTCTTCGTCGCTTCTGATTCGTTGCTTTTTTTGGCGGCGACGTGTACGTCGATCCAAAACCGTAATACTTACGCGTCGATGTCACGCGTTTCACGTTCCGTTTTACCGTCGCCGTCGCGCGGTTTTTCTCTTCTATATATTCTCTAGATGGCTTCCTTGGCTGAGTACCGGTGATGTACTCTTTATTTTCAGCCAGCGTCCATCGCGTCTCGTCCACTTGTCTTCGTTTTCTTTCAAAGCCCCCGACCACTTGCGTCACCGAAGGACCGTAATCGTTGTTCACATCTTCCTCCTCTTCCTCCCCCTCCTGAACAGTCGTCGTCGACGCTCGACGGTGCATCAAATTCACTCTCTTTGCTCGTAACTCGGCGTTCTTCGCCACCGCCTCGATGCGCATCCTCGAGTCCATTTGACGCTTCTCGCGAATCGATGCCGCCGTTTCTTTCACCCCTACCTCACGAGGTCTGCTATTCGCAGCATTACGACTGAAATTATACGCCTTCCTCTCCAAATTCCTCGGCGACCGCCTTCTCACCGGTTGCGTTCCCGTGATGACTCTCTCGACAAGTTTGTTCCTCAACGCCGCCGGCTTGCTCACAATTTTCTTCTCCACCCTCTCCCGCGCGAATTGCCGTCGTCGTTGTTTCTTCCTCTCACTCTCCTCTTCTTCCCCGCTCTCGAACACCTCCGCGTCGTGACTCGTTGCCACGTGCGACCACGGCGGTGAACTCGGCGGCGTGTACGACCTCGGACCTTCTGTCTCTCGAGCGTCTTTTTCCCACGGCAACGGCGGCGGCAACTCCCACGGGTTCAGATTCGTCGGATTCGTCGCGCGCGGGGAAAGTAATCCTGTTGTTTTTGAACAAAGACCAAAATGCGCGAAACAGCGCGTGTAGTGATAATACAAACGTGAGTGTAACGGTTGTGTGATGATATATCCTCGTAAAAAAAATCGTCGCGTAAGAAGAGACGACGATAATGTGTGCACCCCCCCAAGGAATTTCAAAAACTCTTCCCTTTAGTGGGGAAAAGGAAACGTACCGTTCAATTTCTCGCTCGTTTCGAAGTACATCTCCGCGGTTTCTGTTTCCTTTTCTTTCCGTCTCTTTTCGCCGCGTTGGCGGTGGGAAATGAAATCGTAATATTTCGGCGCGGAGAACTCGAATCTGTTTTTGATGAGACGATGATGACGTGAAGAAGAAACAACAAATGTGATGCGTCAGTTCACGGGAAATGTTTCAACGGACATGTGACGGCTTTCTGATGCAGAAAAACAAAGGGAAAAGGTTTTAAGAAGAAAGAAGCGCGCACGTTGGATCCATTCAAAAATCAATTTGTGCTAGTACTACTGCTTTTCTGGCAAAGGCCGTCTCGTCTCGAGCGAGGATTGGAGGAGGAGGACGTGTTGATGATGAAAATTTTAATGTGGCGAAATTTATCCCAACGGTTGGTTCTCTTTCCTCTCTCTGCTTCTCATTGATTACGCTCGAAAGCGAAAGGAAACTTTTAGTAGTAGTATTCAAATAGTATAATGTTACAACGTAGAATTCGGCCGCCGCTGGTGATGCTGCTGCTTTTTGCTAAAAAGGAAGAAGAAGAAGTGACAGAGGACTTTAAAATCCATCAAAAAATCATCGTCGTCATCCCAACAGCTCCATCTCCGCTCTGAGCGCTTCCAACTCCTCCTCTTCGGTGGAGGCGATTTTCTTCACGTTCGCGGGCATCTTCGGCACTGCTTTCATCTTCGGCACGTCCGGCATTACCACCACCTCTTCTTTACTTTGAGTAGTAAACCCAGGTTCCAGTTCTTCGATTTCTTTCTGCAAAAGCGCGTCTTCCACGTCCAACGCGTCCAGCTCCGCCAGCTCCGCCTCTAACTCGTCCTCGTCCAACTCGGCGGCGTACCCGACTTGTTGCCCTAACGCCTCGTTCACCTGCCTCATCTTCTCCGTCTGATCGCTAATCTCGTCCATAACTTTATCCACTTTATCCACGTCCGTTTCTTTTGCCAATTGTTTCATCGCTCCTGCTCCGGATTTTAACGCGTTGAACGTCTCCGCCGTCGCCTTCGATCCCTCGAGGACAATCATCTGTTCCTGTAATTTCAACTGTTGATTTGCAACCACTTCGCACTGCGACTCGTATAACTTTTTCCGTTTCAGGCATTGCAAGGCGGCTCGTTTGTTCCCCGAGCGGTTGAACTCTCTCGCTTTTTCCAGTTCCGTGGATATCTTTTTGATTAATAACGCTTCGCGTTTATCCAGCATTTCCAAAGTCTTCGTGTTGTAGTCGTCCCCGGCGTCATCGTGTTTTGTACGATGATGATGTGAGAGAGAAATGATGGTGAGTTTACTACTCAGTGATGTTGAAGATCGATGCGAAAAAAGAAAAGAAGAGATCTTCGCTAGAGAGCGATAAAACCACTGCGCGCGTCTGCATCGTCGTTTTTAAGCGTCTTCTCTCGCAAAACGACGTAAAGAGAGACACCATTTAACGCGCGAAAGAACGAACGAACGAACGAACGAAATCAAATCCCCCCGAAAACACTTTTGAGACGCACATCTTTCAACTTATCGACGGCATCGAACGCGGCTCGCCCACTCGTCGTCGACCCAGAACCAGAACCACCTTTAGAGGAGGATGAAGACGAAGGACGACCAGATGATGCGCTCGAAGAAGAAGGGTTACCGAACAGTCTCTTGAACATGATGAATATGTGAGAGGAAGAATTGTTTTTTTTTTTGTGAGGGAAAAGAGGTGCCGTTTCACAAGGAAGAGGTTGAAAAGACTAGAGATAAGACGAGAAAAGACGACGCCTCTCGCAGTGTTAGTATACGTAGTATTCGTGGTGTTATTAAACGCGCCTGCGCCGGAAACGACGCGGGCTTTTTTCTTCTTCGGTTGCGCCGGTTTCGTTCGGCGTTTTTCTTTTCCTTTTTCTTCTTCTCGTTTATTCGTCTTCGCCGAGTAAATCGAACACGTTCGATTTCTTATTCGCGGTCCCGTTTCCGTTTTCCCCGGCTGGTTTTGTTGTTTCGGTTTGCTCTTTCCTTTCGCTGCTGTTCTTTTTCGCCGGCGCTTCCTTGACGGAGATGAATCCGTCCGCGTCTGGGACGTTGGCTGGTTTCTTTTCTGACGACGGTTGTTGCTTTTTGCCGTTGTTCTCGGACGACGAAGATTTGTTGGCGTTGCTCTCTTTGCGAGCCGGTCGAGAGTCTCTTCCGCTCACTCTGAGCTTTTTCAAGTCTTCGTAGAGTTGGTCGATTTCAGCGGCGCGTTCGTCCGTGGCGTCGTCGCCTTCGTTTTCTTTCTTGAGCGCCGCGATTTTGTCCTTCAACTCTTGCTCTTCTTTGGAGATTTGGCGACTGCTTCCACCGCCGCCGCCACCTCTGCCGCTGCTGCTGTCTTTTTTCTTATCACCTAACTCTGCTAAACGTTTCTTTTCCTCCAATTTGGCTTCTTCTATGCGCTTATCTTCTTCTAACCAGTCTTTACCGGAAGCTTTCAAAGCCTCTTCTCGCGGTCTGGCGCCGCCAAAGAGGGAACTTCTGGCCTCGGAAGTCGATTCTCCAACAGGCGTTTCGCGTTTTTTCAGTTGCAATTTCGGTCGATTTACGAGTTCTTCCGCGGAGGCTTCTCGCAATTCCTCCTCTTTTCGCGGTTCTCTGCGTTCTCTGCGTTCGAATTCGCCGGATTTGCGACGTTCGGGAACGGGCGCTCTCGGCGCGTCTTCGACGTACTTCACATCCACCGGTTTCGCGCCGCCAAAAAGACTGGAAGAACCCGCGGGTGCTTCGGCTTTCTTATCGGCACCTTCCGATCGTTTTTGTAAATTCAATCGCGGACGCTCGCGAACGGGTTCGTATCGATCGTCCTCTCTGACGCTCGTTCGTTTCGACCAGTCGCCGGTATCCGCGCGACTCGGTCCCAGCGGTTCGCGCGGTTCGCCTCCTCCTCGTCGATCTTCTCCTCGATCCTCGTATCGCCGATCCCCATCGCCGCGGTCTCTGAAACCACCACGTCTTTCTTCTCTTTCCGGCAACACCGCTCTCTTCGACCAATCTCCGGTATCCGCGCGACTCGGTTCCGGCTCGCGCCTTCGCTCTCTCCCGTCTTCGTCGAAATCGCGATCGTCGTCTCTCCTTCCGCCGCGAGATGACTCATCTCTCCGATCCCGATCGTACCGATCTCCTCTGTCCCCGTACCGATCGCCGCCTCTCCGATCGTACCTATCGCCTCTCTCGCCGCCTCTTCGATCGTACCTATCGCCTCTCTCGCCTGCGTCCTCGTCTCGATCTCTCCCGCCGCCGTACCCGCCGCCACCGCCACCACCTCTGTCCCCGCCGTAATCTTTAAACGCCCCACCTAACTCCCCTGGTCGTCGTCTCTCGCTTTCCTCTTCCTCTCTTCGTTCTCGATTCGGCGCCTTCGGGAGCGCGTACACGTCCACGTGGTCTGATCCTCCACCCGATCCTCCTCGGGACGGTCTGTACACGTTATCGTCGGTAATCGGCGCGGACACGGAGCTGGTAATCCCGGAAAACTCCGCTAAGGAGAGTTTCGTCCCTTTCTTTTTCTTGGATGTCTTTTGCGCTTCGCCTAAGCTTGGAAACTGCGAGCCGGAGGAACTCCCCGTCGTCGCATTCGTGGTTGGCGGCGGACCGAAACTGTCCCCTAAACCGGGGAAATCCGGGAGCTTCTCCTCGTCGTCGTCGTCCCATGATTTAGCATTAGTGGAAGTTTTGTTACCCCACGCGGACATGATTGTATTATTAAATAGTGTGTGTGATGATTTTGAGATGTTGTTGATGTTGATGTTGTAAAAGCGTGCGAACAAAGTTTGTGTTTGATGTTGTGTTTCTGCGCGTCAGTGTGTGTGAGATTTTTGGGGTCGTCGAAACCTTTTTTTCGGAGAAAGAGAAATGGAGTCTTGTGGGCTTTGAAAGGTAAACAACGCGTACATATTCCAGCGTATTTCTAACATCAGAGAAGACGCCCGCCGGTTTTCCCACCTCCTCGAGGCGTACCTTCCACCGGTCTCCTTTGTTTCTTATCCTTGCGAAAGTCCCGCAAAGCTTTCTCGGCTTCGGATTTGAGGACTTTTTCTCTCTCGTCGAACGGTAAGGTCTCTAAAGACATCGCGGATTCGATGATATCTCTCGGTTCGATTTCGTCCGGGTCGCAGTTGTCGAAGATGAGAGAGCCGACGCGTTTGATTTTTCGAGAAGAGGTTTGTTGGTTTTGAGCGCCTTCTTGTTCTCGTTCTTCGTCCTCTTCTTCGTCGGAGACGTTGACGGAAGAGCGCTGACTGTTTCGACGCGCGACGCCTGGCACGAATCTTTCCAAGAAGTCACTAACGATGGGACTTCCTGGTCCAGTTTCGTTTCCGTCTGATTGTTCACCGGGGGTTCCTCGACCGCGCGAACGCGAGCGACTCTTTTCGCCGTTTCTCTGAGACGGGTGCTTGTGCTGAATGTCCGAAGAGTAGCTGCTACCGTTCGCAGTTAACGCTTCAGATTGTTTGCGCGCCAGCATGTGCTCGAACGAGCCTCGACTGCAATAATTGAGCGTGTTCCAAGACGGCACGCGTCCTCGCGTGGCGACGTTTCGTCGATCCATTTTCATCTCTCTCAATTCGCGGACGCACTCATCCAAAGTATGTTCGATGCCGCACGCGTTTTCAATCGCGCCGAGTTTCGGCCACGTTTCGCGTTCGCCTAAAGTAGCCGTGTCGAATAAGTGTTCTCTCGTCGGATTGGATTGAATCATTCTTAAGTGCTTCCACCCATACGCCATGACGACGGTCACGTCACCTTCCCACGTTTGGCCGAACAGTTTCGCCACGTCCAAAACGTCCGCGCCGGGGATAAACTCGAGAAATTGTTGACATCTGTGCTTCCACTCAGACTCGACGAAATCGGCAATCCACGAAAGCGTGGGGTGCAAAGACGCAAACCATCGTTTTATTCTTAAAATTGGAACGATGTGCGGATTGGTTTGACTGACGATGAAATAGTTCACGTTGAACAGTTGCGACAACGCCTCCATGGGTAAATCGGCTTGTAAAGATCCGTCGCGCCAGCGCTGCGTTTTGCGACCTTTGCCGCCTTCGTTCGCGCTGGATTGCCACGGAACAAACGCGCCGTTCCGTGCTTTTGCTAACAACGGCTGCGGCGGGAACAACGATGGAAACGCGCACGAAGCGGCGACGGCAGACCAGATGACCAAGTGTGGTGACGTTAAGTAGTTCAACAGTCTCGGTTTTTGGCCCGGTCGGGCGTCCGCCGGGGAAACGCAGACGGACAAAATTCTTCCGCCAGATCTATCGTACGCCTCTTGAAAGGTCAAATCGCCGTATAAATCTCTCAAACACTTTTGGAAGAAATCAATGTTGTGCATGCCTCCAGTTTTGACCAGATGAAACATAGAAGTTAAGAAGTCCGTGCCGGAGAAGAAAGTCAAATCCGGCAACGCGGATTCAAAGTTTTCGTCGCTAAAGAAATCGTGCAACTCCTCGCTCGTTCGCGTGCACACCACCGCGGCTATGATGCTTCCAACGGAAGACCCAGCTAACACTCGCGGCAACAAATTTCTCCTGTTGAGCGCTCGGCACACGCCGATGTGAAACGTTCCTAAACTTCCTCCACCGGAAAGGAGTAAACCGGTTCTCCCGAACACGTGTCTCGTTTCTTGTAAAAACGAAAGCTTTTCCGTCACGGGAATCTGCGAATCGTTCGATATGAGCTTCAAACACGTCTTCACCTCGTTTATGTATTCTCGGACTAACTTCGGTACGCCTCCGACGGGCGCGTGTAACCGCCTCCCGAGGTTGGACATGTTCCCTAAGTTTCTCAACAGTTCCGCTCTCAAACCGAACATGATCTCCTCGACGTCTCCGGAGTTCCTTTGCACTCTCAAAACTCTCAACTGCTCCGCGATTAACGCGCGATCGTACTCTCTCGGCGTAAAACCGGTATACTTTTCCTCTCTTTTGTGTTGCCTTTGAAACCCGACGCACCCAAAGTCGTCGTTATCCATCGATTCTTTTTTCTGGTCAAAACTACTGCTCTTCGTTTGTTGGTCTTCTCTGTGGTGACTTTCTTTGGTATTTGTACCGTTATGACTACTATGACTCAATCGAAACAATCCGTTCAAACTGTTCCCGAACTTCCCACCCTTCAATCCTCTTTTATCGCTCGAACAATACGTAATCGCGATATTTTCCTCCTCGTCCTCTTCAAACTGCTCCAACTCTTCCTCTAAAGTCACGTACTTGGCGTACGTCTCGCACTTGGACATCCGCTTCAATATGCTCCTCTTCACGCGTTCCTTCCGCTGTCGATGCCGTCGCCGTTTCGCCGTCGCCGTTTGCCTCGCGAAATACACGAGAACAGAAATCACGCACACCTCCTTATAAAACGAAAACGGATCGACGATGAACTCGTACACTTTCGACAAAGCTTTATTATTTTGCTCTCGCGACGATTGAGACGACGACAGAAAGGGAAGTTTCGCCAGCAAAGGGTGGCCGATTTTTCTTCGATAATTCGCGGTAAAATCAGACGCGAAATTCGCTCGCGCGAACGACCACTCGTCTCTTTTCTTCCGGATTTGTCCGACGATTTCTTTCGCATCTTTCAGCACCGCTCTCAAAACGCCGCTCTCGTTCGTTTTCGTGGCAGTATTTCCACCACCTCCTCCTCCAGAAGATGACGACGACGATGCAGTCAAATTCCGAGTCATCAAAAACTTCCCCAAAACCGGTGGTCCGTTCGTTCTCGCCCCGTCCTTTCCTCCTCCTCCTCCAAAACACGCCGCATCGAAAAGGTAGGACAACGCTTCCAAGTGTCCTCTTTCCATGACGACGATTCTTTTCAAAGCTGCTTTTTAAGTCGTCGTTGTTGTTGTTGTTGTTCTTAAAGAGAAGTCCCGCTCCTCTATTGGGGAAAAGTGAGGTCAAAGCGTGGACGCTTTTTGACAGTTACGACACGAAATGCGTCACTGAAAAGACCGGTTAAAAGCGCTCGCTCTGGTCTGTCGAACACGTAAGAGTTGCAACCGAGGAATACTTTTTGAGTCGACTCTTTTTAAGCGCGAGAAGAAACTTTTTGTCGTTCGTTTCCCATTCTGAAAGGTCGCCATTTATTATACGCTTGGAAACGCGAGAAACGATTGACGCACAATTCACGAGACGAAGAGCGGGGAAAGCGATTGCATTCGAGAAGACTACGCGCAGACCAAGAACGATGAGCGAGGACTTCGAGAAGAAGCACGTGAACAGTTTTCGAGCGAACGAACGCGTGGCGCATTTTTCGAGGACCGTTTCGATGCGCACTAATGCTACGAATAACACCGTTTTGACGAGAAGTTCTTGCAACGCTTCTAAAGATGATGGGCGAGCGGGTGCGCTGGAAATTCTCGATTCGAGAACGGGGCGGAAATACGTAATCCCAATCTCCTCCGATGGCACGATCAACGCCTCGGCGTTTAAAGATATCAAAGGACCGATGAAAGAGAACACGAGTTATGAGAGTAATAAAGGTTTAGTTGTATACGACCCAGGGTACACGAACACGAGTCCGTGCGTGAGCCGAATAAGTTACATCGACGGCGAGAAAGGGATTTTGAGGTACCGCGGGTACCCGATCGAGACGTTAGCGGAGAAGAGTTCGTACTTGGAGTGCGCGTTTTGCGTGATTTACGGGAACTTACCGACGGCGAACCAACTGGCGGATTGGAGAGAGGCGATTTCGAGGCACTCGGCGTTGCCGATTCCGGTGATTAATACCATCGAGGCGTTGCCGCACGACGCGCACCCGATGGGGGTGATTTTGGCCGGGTTGAACGCGTTGTCCGTGTTTCATCCGGAGCAAAACCCGGCGTTAGCCGGGAACGGGATTTATCAAAACAAAGACGTGCAAGATAAACAAATCGTGAGAATTTTGGGGAAGATGACGACGTTGGCGGCGCACGCGTATCATCGAAACACAGGGAGGAAACCGGCGCCGCCGAACGCGAGGTTATCGTACGCGGAAAACTTTTTGTACATGTTAGACGCTGGTTTGGATATTTCGCATAGGCCGAATCCAAAGTTGGCGAAAGCGTTGGATACGATGTTTTTGTTACACGCGGAACACGAGATGAACTGTTCGACCGCGGCGTGCAGGCATTTAGCCTCGAGCGGCGTGGACGTGTATTCCGCCGTCGCCGGCGCGGTGGCGGCGTTGTACGGGCCGTTACACGGAGGCGCGAACGAAGCCGTGTTGAGAATGCTCGAACGCATCGGCTCGGTGGAGAACATTCCCGACTTCATCGAACGCGTGAAAAGAAAAGAAGTAAAAATGTTTGGATTCGGCCATCGAGTGTATAAGAACTTCGATCCGAGAGCGAACGTAATTCGAGGGATTGCCGAGGAGGTGTTTTCGTTAGTCGGACGCGATCCGTTGATTGACGTCGCGGTGGCGTTGGAGAAACACGCGAGAACGGACGAGTATTTCATCAAACGGAAGTTGTACCCGAACGTAGATTTTTACTCTGGTTTGGTGTATCGCGCGTTGGGTTTCCCGCCGGAATTCTTTACCGTTTTGTTTGCCATTCCGAGAGCGGCGGGGTATTTAGCGCATTGGAGAGAGCAGTTGGCGGATCCAGACCTGAAAATCGCTCGACCGCAACAAGTGTATAAAGGCGAATGGTTGAGAGATTACCCGGAAATTAACCAAAGAGACGAGCGACAGGAACACATGGGCGTCGTCAGAGCTTCGAACGCGACGAGACGTCGAATGGCGGGAACCAGAGGCGGGACTGGATTTTTACGAGATCCGGGGTCGCAAATCGTAGCCACGAAAGAAATATCGTTGAGCACGAAAGGGTGGGGGAGTTCCGCCGGCGAACAAGGTTCGAGCGGTATCGAGCATTTAACCGGACGTTAGAGAGAAAAAAAGAGAGAGCGGAGAGAGAGCAATACACAAATATCTTGTACCTGGTACATTTGAACATATAAAATAAGAACACACATTAAAATCGATCGTTAACGTCGTCCCAATCGCGCGCCGTGGTAATAGTTTGGTTGCTGATCTAAATACGGGAACGGATAGTACCCCGGATCCGGGTATGGGTAGTTAAAGCCTTCTTCGTAATAGTACTCCTCCTCGTAATATCCTCCCCTGTTATTATTTGTTGGCAAGCCTCCGGGAAAGTTATTGTTATTGTTGCCGTTTGTTTGATACGCCCCGGAAGGAAACCCACCGTATCCGTTCGGACCGATGTTGTTTGGCCCGTACGATCCATACATCCCTGAACCGGGGTAACCTCCTCCTCCTCCTCGTCCATCTCCTCCCCATCCTCCTACGCCTCCCGGCGACGGACCGTAATATCCGCCTTGATACGGGCCGTACCAAAATGGACCACTTCCCGCGTCACCATTTTCGTACATCGCTCGCCATCGCTCTTGCTCCAACGCCGCGTTTGCCTCGAAAAGCGCGACATCTCTCCGTTCTCGGGCCAATTTCGGGTCACAGATGGAACTTTGCAACTCTATTTCGTTGCAATACTCGTACACTTCCTCTAAATCTGGCTGACAATACGGCCAACCGACTGGAGCGTTTATTCTCGAACGTCGTTCTCGGTACCACGAATTTCTCGGTTCATACGTACATCTCGAAAGCGTCTCACGAATCGTGCACGGTCTGATTAACGTCGAACATCTTTGCCAATCGTCAAAAAATGTTGGGTTGTTCGCAAACGGCACCGCGACAATCCACGTCAACGCCTGCAAGAAATTGCCCATCAAACCTTGTGCGGTATAGGTCACGTAATTCGGATCAACGTTAGGTCTAGGCGGTATGTTGTCCAAAGGAAGATTTGTTCCAAAAGGCTGCGTGGCTAAAGTCGTATCGTCGTATCTCGGCGCATCAAAGATTGGCTGTCGCACCGGCCCTCCTCCTCCTCCTCCTCCTCCTCCAAAGAATTCCTCGAAGAAACCACCGTCTTCGTTACCGGGAAACAGCGGCGTCGCAAAAACTTCTTCGTCTCCGTTTCTCTCGTAGTTCCAAATATTCGCGTTCCCGTCCGGACCGTTCGTCTTTGCCGCCGTCCTCTTCACCGAAGAAGACGAGGACGACGCCTCTAAAAAAGTCTGCAATTGCATCTCGGCGTCTCTGATCACGTTTCGTATCGCGTTTGAAAGAGCTTCGCCTTCCTCGCTCTCCCGACTCACTCTCGCCCCTTCCAACGCCTTCTCCACGATCGCGTTCGCGGACAAATCATCAACATCACTTCCTCTCTTCTCATCCTCGTAATAGTTCTCAAAGAACGACCCTTTTTCGCCGCTCAAATCGTCGTAAATCTCGCTCGTTTCGATCGCGATCCGTTTTTCGTTTAATCTCAGCATCTTCTCCTCGTCGAATTTCGATGGATAATACATCCCCGAATTCAATCCATCCACAACCCATCCTCCCCCGAAAACAAAGAAAACAAAGAGGACAAAGATATTGCTCCGTGCGATAAAGCTCCTCCTCCTAATCCTCGTCGTCATATCATATTAAATCTCTCTCTCTCTCTCTCTCTCTCTCTCAAGTATTTTTTTTTTCTTGTTTGACCGAACAATAAAAAAACCAAAAGGCGTTTCTTTCATTTTTAGCAAAGAATTGCCCTTTTTTAATGAAGACACTTGTTTTTCACTCTCAAAAGAAAGAAAGAAAGAAAGAAAGAAAGAATATTAAGTATTTACTACTTTTACAACTTCGTCGAGCAACACGTACTCTTGCCAGATTTCGGTGGCGGTAAATCGATCGTTGGGTTTCCTGCGAAAAATCCATCCGGTTTAAGCGAGAACCCTGTATGTTCGACGGGCATGACCGGAAAATCTTCCGGTCGAGGAATATGCACGACACCGAACGCGTGCCAAATGACGAGCTCCCCCGATGAAATATCGCGGTCGTCTTTTGTCCATTCTGGTAAGCCTTCGCCGAGCGCGCCTTGGACTGTGAATTCACCAGCTGGCCATCTTTCGTTTGGCCAATTATATGGCGTGACCCATAAGTTCTTCGTCGCGAATTCACCTTTTTTTGTAACCGCACACTCTGGACCTGTCAATAACGTTGGCATTGCCGGTCCCCTAGTGAACGGGATCAATTTATAAGAAACCGGCTTCTTCGTCACTGGATTTAAGGACGACGGGTTTGATATTTTCCACACTCGCGCTTTTGTCGAATCGCATACGCGCCTGGCTTGAAGTTCCGTGACGAGCGGCGTTGTCACTGGACCGAACACGTTTTGACACGAACCTGTTGATGTATCGGAACAAATGTCGATTTCGGAGACTTCGTTTTCATTGCCATCAATGGCGACATCTAATCTCGCGCAAAACATGTGCTGGTGGATTTGTGAGTTCACACCCGGTGCGACGAGAACGCCATGCGTTGGATCATCGTTGCTTTCACCAGCCGATATTGCATTCGTTGATAATTCGCCTGTCAATTTGATCTCAAATTCAATCGTGCCGTCTTGTTGAAAGTAATAGTAAAACAAATACTCATAATTCACAACGGTGGCGATAAAACTCAGAACGAGTCTTCGTGAGCGCCTTGCCTCGGAGTGACCGGTCCTATATTCAACGTGCTTCCATAATAACCCGTGGTCTTCTTCGTGCATGCATACGGCTTTTTTAATGACGTACGGTTCTCCTTTCGAGTTCGCCAACGTCGCATCGAAGTAATGAATATTTCCCAAACAATCGCATCCGAGTTCTAAAGAATCTGTGCAATAGCCTAAACCGTAGTCGCCAACATCAAACGCACATTTTCTCGTATACGGCGGATTCGGATCGGCATAAGGAACCGCCATTTCGACTAAACTCGCGCGATGTAATATCGGACGATTGTCGTACTTAACGTCGTGTAAGACTAAGCCTTCTCTGTAATTGAAACCAACTCTGAGCGTCCATTTATCCCATTTGACGAGACGGCCATCGACTTCGAACGCGGCCCCTTCAGGTTGTACGATTTCCAACGGTTTCATAGCATCGCGCCAAACGTTTGCGAGATACGAATTACTCTTTAACTTTTCGCGATGGTAGTTAACAGACTTCATTGGAATCTCTCTGGGGACGTCTTGACAAGTAATATCCACGACTTTCCCGGCATTCAAATCAACGACTGGCAATAAATCGATCGGATGCGCGTATTGATTATCATCCAAATCATCATCTCTCCAATACAAAAACGTTTGCACCAATCTCGCCGGAATCTCGCCGTCATCTTTTCGCCAATCCAACGGCTCCATACCCGGTTCCGTAACGTGCACGGACCAAGGATCGCAAACAAGCATAGTCAAATCCTCTATTCCATATCGCTCCTTCATCATCGCTTTCACTTTCTCATCGTTCTTACATATCCTTTCCGCTTCCAAGCAATCATCCGGCGTTATCAATGGCTGCTGCCCCTTTTTCACTCGTTCGACCTTCACGACTTCCAAGCTCTTCACGGCGATTACATACTTATAGGCTTCACCGGTCCATGGAACGATGATCATGACCTCGCCTCGCCTTTCATGAACAGCATCACCATCACCGCAATTTGCAGATAACTCTTCTCTTGTTGGTTCCGCGAGCGTAATATAATTGAACAACATCATCTTCTCTGGGTCCCCTTCCTCTTCTTTTAACGAAGAGTTCGTTACTCCTTTCCCGGTGGTTCGAATTGAATTCGAGAAATTGTCTCGAACGACCCGAGCTAACTGAGAGATCTCTTCCGAGCTCAGTTCATCGAGCGCGTGTGCAGTCACCCCGGGGCTCATTTTTTACTTCAGAGATAAATTTCTTCTCAATCGATCTCGCCGATCGCGTGGGTTTTGAAGCAACGAACAAAACGGTGTTCGACGACTTTTGAGACGACGAGATTCCGAAACGTCGTTTCCGTAAATTCAACAAAAAAAAAGGCGTTTCTTTCCTTTTTTTTCCTTTTTTTTTCAGAGGGACAGACAAAACAGACAGACAGACATTCGCTCGTTTTTTCGGGGCGACCCGCCGCCCTTATCCATTTTTCTCGATGTACCTCAGAGTTACATAAAGGTTTGCAGACACTTTTATTCCACATAATAAAACACACAGACAGACAGAGAGAGAAAGAGAGATGATTTCGCAACAAAGCTTGAACGCGACGACGATACAAACGAGCGCGTCGTGTAACTCCATCCGGAGAAACCGATCCATGGCTTTGAAATCGCAATCCACTTCCGACAAAAATGTCTTCTTTGGGAAAAAGAAGTTTCGATTCCGAGTGCAAGCAATCGGTGAGGGAGGTTTATCGCGCGACCAAGAGATGATGGGAGGGCTCGGTGGTGATATTGGCGCCAGAGACCCGACGGCGGGGGAAATTGGCTCGAACTTTGGCACGAGCACGTTAGGTCACGCGGATACGGACCACATCGTCAAAGCGACTGGGAAAGGGGCGAAGAAGTTGCAGGATATGACGCTGTTGAAAAACCGGTCGATTCAACAGTTACCAGCGGATGCCACGGCGTGCACGTTATCGGACGAGGAGATTTATAGAAAACAGTGCGTGGATTGGAAGGTACGACCGAGCAACAAAGATTCTATCCCGAGGTTACGATGGGAGGTGACGACGACGGACGGGGAGAAGTTCGCGGCGAGATGTCAAGCGGTGGCGAGCGAAGCCGGATGGCCGGTGGAAACGACCGCGACTGGTGAGAAGGTGTTGGTGGAAGTGCACACGAAAGACGTGAAAGGGTTGACGATTAACGACTTCATACTAGCGACGAAGATTGAAGCGGACGAGGAGGTTGCGGCGATGATTGTGAAGAAGGCGAAGGTGGTCAGGAACTGGATTTAAGTTTTGATCATGATGGTTCTTTGACGCGTTTGCGAAAGTTAAAACGACGACGACTTTTTTAATTCTCTATAACTACACAACAAGTATATATCTACACGACTACAGGCTAATACTGCGCTACTTTCTTTCTAACTGTATCTTCATAATCAACAAAGCTTTAATCTTCTTCATCATCTTCTTCGTCGAAGAGTTCGCGAACGTTCGGTAAAAGCGAAGGAATGCGCCGTAAATTTTTAAAATCGACGCGCATCAAGTCGAACGCAATCATTGCGTTTTGTCCCCTCGCACTCGCGATTCCATCGTCACCATTAAAACTTGGCACTTTTGGATACCGTTGCGAAAAATGCGTCAAGATGTTCAAATATGCGGAACTTCCAATCTCGAGAGCTTCCGCCGTCGTCGAGTGCTTCTTTGCCAACGCTTCGTGTTCTAATCCATCCTCAAACGTCGCCTCGTGAATGAGCAGCGTGCACTCTTTCGCTGCGGTTCTCATGTTTTCACACGGCCGCGTGTCACCAGAGTAGACTATGGAATATGGCAAGTTTGATTTGTTTGTCATACCTTCTAATTTGATGCCAAACGCGTGCGCGCAGTGAGTCACCGGAATCGACACGAGTTTCTCAAACGGCGATGAGAAAGAAGAAGAAGAAGAAGAGGAGGAGGAGAGTAGCAACTCTTGCATCGTTTTCGATTCCAACGTATCTCGACAATCCACGAATCGGTAGCTCAAAGGTTCTATCTTTTCGCACTGGCTTAAAAACCATCGCAACGGTCGAGGTCCAAAAACAGTTAAATTTGGAATGTCTTCTTCCTTCACGCCTGAACTCAAAAAAGCTTCGCGACGCTTGGCGAGAATCGACGGTAAACCTACGTGATGATCCGCATGTACGTGCGAAATCCACGCAAAGTGCATGTTTATAAGCACATTGTCCACGACTGTAGTGTTGCCATTTTTCGAACGATATATTTGTCCCAAAGATCCTTCGCCAGAATCCAACAGAGCCGAATAGTTTTCGCCGTCCTTCTCGACTTCGAGCAAAATTCCCGTCACGTTTCGATGTTTCGCCGGTTGCGCGGAACCGGTGCCGAGAAAAGTTACCACGACTTCGTTGTCGTCCACATCATCTACGACTTTATGACCGGGGTGGTTCGCACAGAACTCATCATTTGTCTTCCTATTACTTTTGTCTTCGTCTGGGTTTTTGTTCGTTTTTGTTCGCAACTCTGCCTCTTTCGCGGCTGTTTCGCGAATCGCGCGCGGCGTTTCGATCTTTGGCACCGCACTTTCGTCTATTCCCATCGATCTTTGCGGCATGAGCGTGAACTTCAACAAACTCTTACCAGCTACTCCAAACGACGTCGATGGTTTTTTGTCATCGTCATCGTCTTTGGATGCGCTCGGAGGCTCTGGAAATATACTCCCATCCACGCCGTGTAACTTTGCTTGAACCGCCCGAGAAGCTAAGAAAATAGGCGTTCGCTCGTTTCGCGAAGCATTCGCAAACACGTGCTTTGGTTTTGCGTTCGCGAAGTTTTCTTGGACGAAAGCTTGGTATTCGCTGGAGTTTGCCACATTTGCCGGCGCTAAGTGTACGACCAAATCTCTCTCTTCGTTTACGTTCCATCCGCTCGAACATTTTTTCATTTTTTCTACGATCTGAATTGCCGCGTCTAAATGCGCTTTGGTCGGTAAATCGACAACTGCGAACCTCGCGCCTCTACCAGCCTCTTCCACGCACATGTCCGGCGTTATAATCTTTTTTTCTCCGCTTTCTAGCTCAATTTCAATCGATTCGCCTCGAACGAGTACTCCCCTCTCTTTCCCTCTGGGAACGCCCAAAGCGTCCGCTTTCTTGGCATCAAATTTTCCAGGCGGCGACGCGAGTTGAACCTCGTAACTCACCACTGGCTCTAATTCTTCTATCGCGCTCGAAGATGACAAATCGGGTTTAATTCTTCCTCCGTTATCGTTATTATTATCGCTATTTTCATTCAACCTCTTTCCTAACGGCCCGATCATCTCAGGCACTCTTAACATCGGCTTCACCTCGCAAATCTCGTCCCGAAACGTCTCCCCGCCTCTCTCAACGACAATACCTCTATTCTCCGCCACCAAAACCTTTACCGCCTCCAATAAATTCCGAACATTTGGACCGTGTACGGTCATTTTCGGTATCGTCGTCGTCGCTAAACCTCCGTCGTCTTCTTTCGCCATCATCCCTCCGAGCGTCGCGCCCGCCGCGTCCGCCAACGTCAACAACATCCCAATCACTCCTCCAGTCGCTTTACTCGTCGTCCGGGTAAAAAATACGCGCTCTAATCGTGTCATCTTCAGCTTATGTTCCACGCAAAATCTCTGGAACCCTTCGCCGATATTAAAGCAATACCTCCTCTTGTCCGTGAACAACAGCACCGAAGGCGTGGTATCCTTCCCATCGGTATCGGTCCCTAAACCGATAATTTGCGCGTAACACGAGCCGAGCTGTTGTTTTGCCACGAACGGAGGACGAGAGGAATCCGTCGTGCTTTTCATTCGAACATTATTTCCTCTTTTCGTCATGATATCTGCGTCGCCTGCGCTCCCTCTGTCGTACATTCGATTGTTAAATTTCCCCAACTTTTGCTCAGAAAGAAACAACGAATACGAGCGCGAGGAGTACCAATAATAATAATAATAATAACACGTCGATTGTTGTTGTTTCAGTTGTTTCAGATGATTCGCAAAGGGGCCGAATCTTCTCCTGAACATGTATTCGTGTGTGTGTGTGTGTTTAGGGAAAGATTGTGATGAATTTTGTATCTCAACGCTTCTTCTTAATTGCCTGTTTTTTATTCCTCAACGCGGTGAAAAGCACGCCGAAAACGCCTCCAACGATCGCGGATCCGAACTGCTGTATCCTCCTCCTTTTGAGCGTTCTTTGTTTTCTTCTTTCCTCGGTTTCTTTTTGTTCTCGTTCTCGCCTTCTTTCCTCTTCCAACTTAAACTTTCTTTCCGGTGGTTTCGCAGGACGCAGAGAGAGTTTCCCGTGGCGATACGTTCTGACCTGTTTCGGGATGTCGTCTCCACCGAGTAAAGGCGACGCGTCCAGAGCTTTGATTCCCGCGGTGAAGAAAGCCTGTTGCGTCGGGTGGTTGGCGATGCCGTGCAGGTCGAGCGGCACGCGCGGGTTAACGAATGATGGCGGTTCGTGCGGTAAGCCAGAGCCTGTCATCTTTCTAAGAGCTTCCTTCGTGTATTTTAAATGTGGATTTTGCTTCTTTTCGAGACGCGATGATATGAAACAACACGTGTATTATTAAAGTCTAGGTAACGTTCTCAACACTCGAAACGGAGCGACTTGGCTGAATCCATCGGGCCAGGTTACGCTGACCGCGTAGTTTCCAACCGTCGCGACGGAGACGGGTTCTAAATCGTCCGGGACTCGCTCGCCGGTGAGCAAAATATCCGGGGACTCGTCGGAGTTTTTCGCGCGAGCGGATTGGTCGGATTTTCGGACCGACGATCCAGAAACGTAGAATGGAAGCCCGTCGTTGACGTCGGAAATTTGAACTTTGAGGCATCCTCTTCGGTCTGGGTCTAATGCCGCGGTTGGTCCTCGACCGGAGTTGATTTTGGCGACTTCGCGAACGACGCACGCGCCGATGTCTTGGTAAAGCGCGGCGATTGGACCGGTCGGGTCGGAGAGGGAAAGAGGGGTACCAGAGTCACCGCCCGAGGACAGTCCAGGTTCGATCGGCATTTCTATTAAATGCGGAATGTCGTACGCTTCGCAGATAGATTTGCCGCTCCCTCGACCGAACGGTCTGTAGACTTTACCGTCGTCGCCGGTAAAGGTGGACATGTTTTCAACAACCGCCACGCACGGAACTTCCAATTTCGCAAACATTCTCACGCCTTTATCGACATCGATAAATGCCAACCTTTGCGGTGTGGTCACAACAACCGCCGCGGTTATTGGAACCACTTGGCCTAACGTCAAATGAATATCACCGGTCCCGGGAGGCATGTCCAGCAAAAGATAATCCAACTCGCCCCACTCGCTGGTGGTTAATAACTGATTCACCAAACCGGAAACCATTGGCCCTCGCATAATCGCCGACCCTTGCCCGGCGTACCCAAACGACACCACCTTTACGCCTTCGTATTCAACCGGCGTAATCGTTCCGTCCTCTTTCATCTCCAACTTGTCAAACGCGGGCGTAATCATCGTCGGTAAACTCGGTCCGTACACGTCCGCATCAAATATCCCGACCTTTGCACCCATCTGCGCTAAAGTCATCGCTAAATTCACGCACGTCGTCGATTTCCCTACCCCACCTTTACAACTGGAAATAGCTATGATGTTCTTCACCCCTCTCAAGCCAGGCGGCGCTTCCGGCACGTCCGCCATGGCGGATTTCGGCGACGCCGTCATGATCACGTCCACATCATCCACCCACTCTAACCGCTTCACAAACTCTTTCGAGAGCCTGTTAAACTCATCCTTCACCGGACACGCGGGCGTGGTCAGCTCCAGAACCAACGCGACGTCTTTCCCGCTCTCGGAGACTTTCAACACTTTCACGAAACCGCAGTTGACGATGTTCTCGCCAAAATCTGGGTCGATGACATTTTTCAAGCACTCGAGAACTTGCTGCTCTTTCTCGTTTGTCGAGGAAAAAATGGCCGGTAACGAGGACGTGTTTTCGTCCGTCATGACTGCTTTATCTTCCTCTTCGGTCGTTTCCATCGTCGCGCGAGCCTCAAAACCGCCGCCTTCCATCCTCTTCATCCTCCTCCTCCTTTGATTGGTTTTTGGATAATGCTGATGATTTCCCCTAACAACAGATGAAGAAGAAGAAGAAGAAGACGACGACGCGGTGTTCGACGAAAACGATCGCGTCGTCGTCGTCGTCGTCGCAACGAACGAAGAACACGTCACCGTACCGCTCATTCTTCGCTTTCGATCGCGCGTAAAGTATGGAGATTGTATTTATCCTTTTGTGTGTATAAAAGTGACGCGAAATGCGTCAGACCAAAAGATACGAAAAACGAGTGAAACGCATCGTCGGAACTCTTCTCTCGCGACGACTTGCGCGCGACCACCAGAAGACGAAGAATGCGGAGGAAAAGAACACTTTTCGCAGAGATGCGCATTTTCGCCGCGTTTCCTCTTTTTCTTCTTCTTCTTAAGTCCTCGTTACGGGTGGTAAAAGCGATGCACATCGAAGCGGAATGTTCCGGATGTCGAGCCGTGGCGGTGCGCGTTTCGTGTGTATCGTTTGATTCTGTGTCGTCGTATTCGTCGTCGTCTTCGCGATTTTGATCGGTAGTATTCGTATTCGTCCCTCACAACATTTCTAACGCGTTCAACAGAGAGAACTCGCGCGAAAACTCCTCGAAGAAGACGTCTCGTCGAAACCGAAAACGTTGAACCATCAGTACGGCTTAGACTCGCGAGGAAACCGCGTGGGAAAAATCTTGGACTATTTCGACTCCGAGGAGCGCGCGTACGACGTGTTAGAAACCACCTGCGATGGCTTGAAAGATTACGCGCTCGGGAAAGGAGAAAACCGAGCTTTACAGTGGCTCCAAATGGACGGGGAGAAGAAGACGCGACAGAAGATGCTCGTCTCGTTCGCCGGCGAGCCGAACGAGAAGAACGCGCAAGAGAGAGGTTTAGGCAGCGACTGGAAGGAAAGGTGGAAGGCGGAAGGGAAGAAGTTAATGCAGTGGTGTCAACTGTTTTTGGAAGATCAGGAGGAACTTTTGTTAAAGCTGTTGAAAGAGAAGGTGGTGACGAAAGAAACCGCGAAGGCTGGGATATTGGTTGATTTGATGTGTAAAGAGGAGAACGCGTTGCAGACGTTTAAGAGGAAGCCGCCGTGTTCGGACAAGGCGGACAGCGTGATTGATTTGCCAATCGGTGCGCCGGTCCCGCAACCAACGAAAGCAAGTAGCACAGAAAAAAGAAAAGGTGGTGGTAAGAAGACGACCCCGAGGAATCCGGTGAAGAGCAAAGGAGGGAATAGTGAGTTGTGACGCCGCGCTCTCGATGTACGCCGCCTACGATGAACTTTAGCGAAGATGTAAAATACTATTTAAAAATTTTGTACTACGAGTACTTCCCGCAACACCACGCGAAGAAAAACGAGGAATCCGGTGAAGCGCAAAGGGAACGCTACGCTCTGATGCGCTCTCGATGTAGTGAGGTACCTAATAAGATGTCCTTTCGAGAAGACGTCGCAGCGCGATACTCTCGAAAAATTGTGTACTTCAGCGCAGTTCTTGCACCACAACACACACGAGTCTCGAGAAAAAAAAAGAACGAAACCTTTTCTCTTTTGTCGTCACTTTTTTATCTCGCGAGCTGCTTTTATTGCGCTCTTGTTTTCCTTCGCTTCTCCTTCCTCGCGGCGTTCGTGTGGGTGGTTGTGTATTCCTTTTCGTGAGGCGTAGGTGTGCGCGACACCACGTACTTAGGATTTTCGTTTCGTTTCCGTTCGGGAGCGCGAGCGAAAGGCACCACCACCACACGGCAAAAGGGAAAAAGAGTCCAAGACGTTGAAGACCAAGACGTAATAAAAGATGGGCAACGCGGTTTCGAGCACGATGACGTCGTTCAAAAGGGCCTTCGACATTCTTTTCGGCAATCGAGACATGCGCGTGGTCATGCTCGGCCTCGACGCCGCGGGGAAAACGACGATTTTATACAAACTCCACATCGGGGAAGTCCTCTCGACGGTCCCGACGCTTGGATTTAACGTGGAGAAAGTGCAATATAAAAACGTCTTATTCACGGTGTGGGACGTCGGAGGACAAGAGAAACTGAGACCGTTGTGGCGGCATTACTTTAACAACACGGACGGGTTAATCTTCGTGGTAGATTCGCTCGATCGCGAACGCATTAATCGCGCGAGAGAGGAGTTCAACAGCATAATAAACGACCCGTTCATGAGAAACTCGGCGATATTAGTGTTCGCGAATAAACAGGACATGAGGAATTGCATGACCACGGCGGAGGTGTGCGACGCGCTCGGGCTGGTGGAGCTGAAAGGGCGGAAATGGCACGTGCAAGGTGCGGTGGCGACGAAAGGGTTGGGTTTGTATGAAGGGTTAGATTGGTTGAGTTCGACGTTGAAGACGATGCAATTGAGCGGACAAAAGACGAGCGTAGGAACGAGCGGCGAGCGCATCGGAAGTTGGAGAGTTTGACCTTTGTCCTTCGACTTTTTGTTTGAAATATATATACTTTTAGCGATTAATAATATTTACAGTAACGATGCAAAGTGTCTCTTCTTCTTCTTCTTCTTCTTCTTAGAACTATTCAAGACGACAGTCGCGATTTGGTCTTTGGCGCAGCCGGAGTACCGAACAAAGCTCGGTCGAAAGCCAACTCGCTTCGACATTTCGAACACGCGGTGTACCGACACTTGGAACATCCCAACTCGGTTCGAACCGCTCGAGTGTGTTTCGTTGGTCGACCCACCGGGTTTTTTCTTCGTTCGTACGTCCTTATTACTTGTCTTCCTCCCCCGTCTTCCTCTCCGGGCGCCGGGAGACACAAGACTTGAGACGAATCCGTGCTCTTCCTCGGACCTCTTCGTTGTCTCGGCTTGGACGGATCGCACATGCCACATCCGTTTTTAGAGTATCGACACTTGGAGCAACCAGTGGATGTATCCTTCGTCGACGCCGTCTTTTTCTGCACCAAAGATGCTTTTGTTTTCTTTCGTACTACTCTCGTCTTCTTCGTCGCTTGCGTCTTCACCACCGCTAACTTTTTGTTGTTGTTATTATTATTATTCTTAGTTGCGGGCGGGCGGCCTCTTGGACGTTTGGCGGTTACCTTGGATTTCGTCGCCGCTTCTCTCGCCTTCTTTCTTGCCGCTGAAATACCTCTCGGGACTCTCGGTGTGTCTGGATCGCACTTGCCGCAACCTCTCGACGACCATCGACATTTTGAGCACCCGGCGGTTTTCAACACCATCGCCATGGAGTTGTCAGCAGCAGCAGCAGCACTAGCAGAAGCAGCAGCAGGTTGGCCTCGTCGTTTAGAAGCTACCGCATTGACAGCAGCAGAAGCAGCCGTAGCCGCCGCTTTTCGCTTTCTGCTTCCTTTCTCGATGACCTGAGGACTAAAAATCTTCGGCGGCTTCACGTCGCGCTTCGACGTTCGAGCATTCTTATTGTTGGTGTTATTCCTTTTGTTGTTCTCGTTCGATGACTGCAAAGCGCTGTTTCTTCCGACTAACTTGCGCGGTGACATGGCGAAAATACGCGACCCGGCCCCCGAGTTTGCTTCGTCGATGGTATTTTCTTTGTTCCCGGCGTCTAACGGTTGCGTCGTTTCAATCTCTTCTTCCTCCTCTCCGCTATCGTCCTCCTCTCCATCTTCATCGCCTCCGTTTCGTTCTTTTTGTAACATTTTCTCTTTGAACAACTCTGCCTCTCGCTCAGCCTCGGCGAACAACGGAGGCGGTAAAACAACTTCGCCATTTCGTCTCGAGTGCATCGGTCGTCGGTTAAATCCAGGCGTCTCCGAGTACACAACCATCGGCGACGGTTTATCTTCAAACCGAACCGGTGACGCGTAACTGTAGTTGTTTGCGCTTCCATTCGCGCTTCGACTGGTATTGCTTCCACCAGTTTTTAAGATTGATCTCAACGGTTGGTCCGTTTTCCTCGACGAAGACGAGTTTGGTTTCTTCGCCGTCGAGTAGACGTTGTTTTCGTGGTCCAACTGAAACGTGGCAGATTTTTTACGACTGGCAATAGGCGTGTATTTCTCCGACATTGGGTTATACGGCGTTCTTTGAACGGAGTTGAGGTTCATGGCGATGCCCCCCATGTTGTGCGCGTTGAACCGCTTTTGCGCTATGGTTGTTGGCTTGACGAGAGTACCTTTGATCTCCGTCCCGGGCGCCTCGTTTTCGTCGTTTTCGTTCTCCTCTTCCTCCTCCTCCTCCTCCTCTTCTTCTTCTTCCTCGTCGCTGCTCTCTTCGTAGAACGAATTATCTCTCTTCGCCGGTGTGCACGCATACTCCGTGGGCATCTGCAAGTGCACGTTCTCGTCTCGAAACGTCACTAAACATTCAATCGCCTCGTCGCACGACCACCGCTGTGTCGGTTCCACCCACTGGGTTTCCTTTTTCAAAAAGTTGTAAATCGGCGCGCACCCTCTCTCCACCTCAAAGTCAAACGCGTCTAAAATCGAAAGGACTTTCTTCTCTTGCGCACTCGTCGCGTGTGATTTCTTCTCCAACTGTAACTCGGCCAACTTTTCTTCCAATCGACAATCGACTAAACATTCGACGGTTAAACACATACTCGCCGCCCAGAGTAAAAACGCCCACATGTCCACCTGGTAATCGTACCCGTTCCCTCTCGTTTCTGGAGCGATGTACCCATCCGTTCCTGGTCCGTGCAACGTCATCCGTCGTTTCCCCATTTTCGGTAACTCCACGGCTGTCCCCCAATCGGTAAACGCGATCGTCACTTTCGTCACCTTCTTCGTCTTCGCGTGTCGCTTCACGTCTCGCACCAAAATATTCTTCGCCTTCAAGTCTCTCCATATCACTCTCTTCGCTTTCAACTGCTCCAACCCGTCCAAGACTTGTAAAAAACAATCCAGTTTCACGCTCGGCGTCAGCGGTTCCTTCTCTCGTTTCATAAAATCCTCCAAGTTCCCGTGCGGACATAACTCGCATATCACCGCCAGGTGCTTCCTCTTATCGAACGTCGGCCCGGGCTTTTGCGTCCACGTGTACCCGAATATCTTCACCGCGATTTCCGGTAAGTTTGAAATCGTCGCCACTTCCCCAACTGCGGTTTGTTCTTTGTTCACCTCCCGGTCTTCGTCGATGACTCTCGCGCAGACCGTGTGCTCGTTGTACGTCGCGCGGTAGGCGGAACAAAACCCGCCTTCGCCTAACAAGGACGTTGGGTCCGAGTAGTCGATGACCACATCTGCAGGTGGGATGAGGCGTAAATCTTTCCGTCGTTTGCGGATATCTTTGAGACATCGCTGGATTGCTGGTGAGTCCATTTTGAATTCTTTTCACCCGAATCAATACCGGTTCGTCTGAAGTCTCTCTCTGCGTTCTCTGTCTCGACTTGACTTGCGCAGCACACGCTTTAAGCGATCGAGAGATGATCAGAGAGATACGTTTTCCCAACGGCCAAAATTCCAATCAGTGCAGAAGACACAAATTTGTTTTGTCTTCTTCTTCCCGTCAAAGATGATTAAACTCTACTCTTTCCCTCCGAACAAGAACAACACAACAACCAGACTCTCTGTCTCTCTCTCTCTCTTCTTCGTTCCCACCGACACGCGTGCGCAAATTGCGTTTTGTGCGTGCGCTTTTCGCTCTCAAATGTGAGGGACAAAAGTGCTTGTTCCCCTCCTCAAAAGGAAGGACGCAAAAAGTTTTATTTAGGGTGTATACAAAACCCTAAATTGAGAGAAAGAAACGCGAGACCTTTTCTTTCCTCCTCCTCAGAGCATTTTCTCGTCGTCATCTACATCATCACCATCAAGGACAACATGTCGACAACATCAGCTTCTTTATTCAACAACAACAGTTCTTGCGTTTACGCAGCGACTGTGACGACGACGAGGTCTTCGATTATTTCGCAGAGACAAAGACGAAGCGCGTCGTCCTCGAACGCTTGTTGTACAACTTCGAGTTCTTCTCGTTCCACGTTTTCTTTCCCAAGAGGAGGAGGGTCTTCGTCTTTTACGAGGGCGAGTGGCTGTCGCGATGCGTCTTCTTCTTCTTCTTCTTCTTCTTCTCGCGAGAGAAGGAAGAATTCTACGAACTACCGCATCAACTCCTACTCTGGCTTGAACAAAACGAACAACGAAGTGTACGCTCGATCGATGGGTTCGTATTACTCGCGCGCGAAAACCTTCGCGGAAAACGTTTTGGAACAGACGATGAGTTTCACGAAGGGTAAAAAGAGAGTCGCGACGATGATGCCGATCGGCGTACCTCGCGTGCCGTATAAGACCCCAGGGGAAAATATGTGGCAGTGGGTGGACATATGGAACTGCCTCTATCGAGAGCGTTTGATTTGGATCGGACAGAATATCGACGATGAGTTAGGGAACCAGTTGGTGGCGACGATGTTGTTTTTAGATAACCTGGACTCGACGAAGCCGATGTATTTATACATCAACACTGAAGGTGGTCAAGTCGTGCCTACGATGGCGATTATGGACACCATGAACCACGCGAAGAGTAAGGTTGGAACCGTTGCGTTTGGAAGCGCGCGAGCGATGGGTGGTTTATTGCTCACGAACGGCGAGAAAGGAATGCGCGCGGCGTTGCCGAACACGTGCGTGATGTTGCACCACCCGTCCGGCGTGGCGAGAGGCGCCGCGTCGGACGTCCAAAACGAAGGGAGAGAGTTGTTAAACATCCGCGAGAAGATTAATAAAGTTGTCGCCAAAAATTGCAACCAAGACATCGAACTGGTAAGGAAAACGATCAATCGAGATAAGCACTTCACGGCGGAGCAAGCGCAAGACTGGGGAATAATCGATAAAGTTTTATATCGAACCCGAAAGTAATAAAAGAGAAAGAGAGTTACTACGTGTTGCTACTATATACTAAATATTATACCATATAAAAACTACAGAATGAACGCACACCTTAACGCGCGCGCATCAATATTTAGTAATCAAAGCCCCTCTTTCCCGAAACACACACAAAAAAGAAGTGTTTAAACGTCGTGAGAGATTGAGAGAGATGATGAAAGTGAGAAGAATTTGTGTGAAAAAAAGGTACTTTTCCAAGAGCGCATGCATTCTTTGACCAGTGTTTCGAAATGGGGTCGTTTTCCGCCTCAATTTTTTGAGAAAAAACTTATCCAAGGTGGCTTAAAAAACGACAATCCTTTCTCCCTTACGAATTTCCCTTATAATCTTTCCACGCGTGAGACGACTCTCAACGCGTGTACAAGACAAAGTCTCGATACTACTCACACTCCTCTCTACTGTGAAATGACAACGACTTTGATGCATTCCGTGCGTTGGGTGGGCGAACTGTCCACGAGCACGGCGTCTTCATCGAGTTCCGCGAGAAGATCATCGTTGAAATCATCGTCGACGTACGTCAGCAGCGCGAGGACGATGACGACGACGAAATTATCTCCGTCGACTCGGAGACGTAAAAAGTTCCACTCGAAAGAGCATTTGTGCTCGGAGGCGGTGAAAGAACCGTCGTCGGACGTGTCCGCGTCGTTCGACGAGCTCGACCCGGAACAACACATCTTTAAATCCGCGGACGACGAGGAACAAGCGTGCACGATTCAAGAGCTGATGGTCCCCGTGGCGCAGGATTTGGACGAGATGACGGCGAATTTGAAAAACGTGATTGGGAGGAAAAACCCACTGTTGATTGCCGCAGCAGATCAGATTTTCGGCGCGGGCGGGAAACGGTTGCGACCGGTGCTCGTTCTGTTAGTTGCGAGAGCGACGGCGGCGTTGATGAAGTTGCCGGATATCAACGCGAAACATCGACGCATCGCGGAAATCACGGAGATGTTGCACACGGCGAGTTTAGTGCACGACGATGTGTTGGACGAGTGCGACGTGAGAAGAGGGAGTACGACTATTAATTGTTTGTATGGGACGAGAGTGGCGGTATTGGCTGGGGATTTCTTGTTCGCGCAGAGTTCCTGGGGTTTGGCGCAGTTGGAAAATTTGGAGGTTATTAAACTCATCTCGCAAGTTATCGCGGATTTCGCCGACGGGGAGATTTCGCAAGCGACGGCGTTATTTAACACCAACATTACCTTTGAAGATTACAACATCAAGTCGCACCAAAAGACTGGGTCGTTGATTGCGGCGAGTTGTAAGTCCGCGGCGGTGTTTTCAGACGTGCCGTTGGACGTGAAGGACGACATGTACGCCTACGGGAAACATCTCGGGTTGGCGTTTCAAATCGTGGACGATATTTTGGATTTTACACAGACCGAGGAACAGTTAGGGAAGCCGCCTGGGCAAGATTTGGCGACTGGAAACTTAACCGCGCCGACGTTGTTCGCGTTGCAAGCGGACGATCGCTTGAAAGGTTTAATCGAGACGAGGTTTAAAGACCCGAAAGATTTGGAGTCGGCGCTGAAGATTGTCGAGGAGAAAGGGATAGAGAAAGCGATGACGATGGCAAAGCAAGAGGGAGATAAAGCGCGAGCGGCGTTGTCCAAGTTGCCGGATTCGCCGTCGAAGAGGTCCCTGGACTCGATGATTACGTACGTTTTGATGAGAATCAATTAATTTTTCCCTCCCGTGAATTATTGCGGGGAGCGTGTGCGTTGTGTGTGTGTGTGTGTGTGTCATGTATTTTTTTTCCCTTGATTATATTGTAGATCGATTTGGATTGCAGCGTTTTAATATATATATATATAAATATAAAGTAACATAATACACGACGAGGAGATCTCGCTCATCTTTCTTTTCCCGGTTACGCGCCTCCGCCAAAGAAACGTCCACTCAAGAACCACGCTAAGCTTTTCTTCACTAACGGTTGCATCCCTCCGTAATAAAAGCTTAAACCTAACAAAACAAAAAACGAAACCACCATGAATGATAAGCGCAAACCTTCGATGCGCATGGTCCGTTCGATCTCGTCGTACGTGTAATCAGGACTACCTAAATTAAAAATCGCCGGCGGCGCGAACCCGATGATCGGCACTTTCGACGCCGGAATGAGTTTACTTAAAATCATCAACGTCGATACGCGTAACACAAACCAAAACGACGCCGCAGTTCTATTTGTCGTCCCGCCAAACCCAGCCATGGAGAGTCTTCCACACGCGTCCGTTTGCGGTTTTCGCAACTTATCAAACGTCTCGATGGCTTCTTTCGTGTCTTCGATCTCTTCCAAAGCGATGCCTAAACACGCCGCGGACTCTAAAGCCACGTTCGCGCCTTGTCCTAAAGACGGCCAAACCGCGTGGCCTGCGTCTCCAACTAAAACAACGTTTGATTCAGGCATCGCTAAGTGGCTACAAAAAAGAGTCGTTCCGCCGTTTGCCGGTTTCTGATTCGCCAAGGACGTGGAAATCTGCGGCGGCAACATGCCACCAAACGCGTTCGGGAAGAGTTCGGTAAACATTTTCTGCACTTCTTGCGGCGCCGTGATGTTATCCCAACTCCATTTCGCGTTCTTACTAATTGCTAGCGATGGCAAAATGACAACACCACTCAACGTACCATCCGGATTCGGCGGCGCTAACAACGAGTTCAAACCTCTCGGCCAAGTGTGGAACGATTTCTTCCACTTCTCCGCCGCTTCTTCGCCAATCCATCCGCCGATGACCGGCAACGTGACTGATTTATATTGCATGCCGTCCACGTGTTTCTTCACCGTAAACGTTTGGTCGTGGAAAATCTCCATCGCTCTGCGAACTTCCGAGTTCACGCCATCCGCGCCGACTAATAAATCGTACCGTCGCGTCTCGTTCGGATCCTCGTCTTCGCTCAAAAACGGACACGTGTCTTCGCCTTCGAAACGTTCAAAAACAACTTTCTTGCTCTTCAAATCAATCGAAGTCCCTCCCGGTACGTCTAAAATTTGTTTGTTGTAATGAAACGTAATCTGCGTCGGATATCGTTCAATGGCGGCTTTTTGAATCTCCGCGGCTAACACGCTTCGGTTAATCGAAATCGACCCACTGAACGCGTTCGTCGACCGACTCGTCACGTTCCCAATCTTCGTCCGTTTCTTCAAGTTGAACAAAAAGAACGGATTCCTCAGCGGTCGTTTAAATCCTTTCTGCTCGTGTCTCACGCTCCCGGCTAACTTCACGCCAAACGAATCCACGTCCACGCCGTGCATTCTCAGCGCCGCCACGCCTCTTTGGTTCAGAACGATGTTATACGTCCTCGAGGACGCCACGCCGGTATTCACCAACCCTTGTGAAGGCAAACGAGAACTCGGTCCTCTTCGTTCGAACACGTCCACTTGAAAGCCAGCTCGGGCGAGACTCATCGCGGTTAAAGCACCCGCGGGCCCCGCGCCAACGACGATGGCGTTGCCTCGAGACGGCGTGAAATCGTTCGTGGTGTTTATGGTGTTCTCGTTCGAAGTGGAAACGTAATCGAATTCCACATTCGACGAAGCCGCCGAACAAGAGCAACCGTTTGATGATGAATAACGAAGTTTACGACGACCGGACGAGGACGCGAGAGGAGGTCTTTTATTCATCATCACTTTTGAACACCCCCCTCGGTAATCGTGCGACTGCCTGAAGGAGAGGTAATGAAGACGAGCCGTACTCGTCGTCATGGTTTAAAGAAAAAGTTACAAGGAAATGGTTGGCGACGACGAAAAGTGACGACGTGGCTGCACGTTGAAAAATCAAAAGTATTCGAACGAGAAAACGCAAGCGCGCAACATTCACTCGGTCTCGCAAACTTCCTTTCTCTTTCTGCTTCTTTTTCTTTTACTACTATTACTATTACTACAACTACTATTCTAGTGATCGTTGTTTTCGTCGCCGTCTAAAACGACGTTTCCGGCGAACCCGGCGGCTTGCAACGCTTGCAAACGTTCGATTTCGTCTTCTTTGTCGTCGTTCGCGGCGGCTTCTCGAGAACGCGCGAAACCGCCGTGCATGCCTTTGGAAAGTCGGTAGATTAAGGAGGATTTGGGCGCGCTCGGGTCGACGATGACGTCGCGTTGGTACGGTTTCTTCCTCTTCTTTTTCCCGTCTTTTCCTTCGTCGCCGTTTTGCTCCTCCTCCTCTTCCTCCTCCTCCTCCTCTTTGTCTTCGTCTCCGTCATCTTCGCGGCTGTAAGGTAAACCAGGACGGCACCGATCGTAGATGTGACGCAAACTTCGGAACGTCCGGTCCCAAGTTAAACCAAACGTGGATTCGCGAGCGTTTGTTCCCATTTGTCTTCTTTTTACGGCGTCTGTCATGAGCGACTCGATGGCGTCCGCGTAATTTTTTATATCCGAAGACACCGGGTCCGCCGAGGTAGTCGAAATCAAAATACCAGTTTTCTCGTCGTCAACGATGGCGCGATTAACGCCGACGTTATCGGTCACGACCGGTAACCCGCTCGCCATTGCTTCGATGATGTTGTTTGGAATGACTTCTGTTCTCGAAGGAAAGAAAAATATGTCACCTCCAGCGTAAGTTTTCGATAACGACAAACCGCCAGAATGGCCCAAGATGACGACGTTTTTGATATTCGCGAGTTCTTTTCGAACCATGGGTAAATCCGGTCCGTCGCCAGCGACCACAACTTTGAACGGCGGTAACGCGTCGTTAACGCGCGTATCGAGTTCGCGGATGGTGCGACAAAACGCCATTAAACCTTTTTCGCGAACGGTTCTGGCCACCCACAAAATAACGATCGTTTCATGTTCTCGAGAAGGGTCGATTTCGAACTTGTCGATGCGATACTGTCGATCTCGCATGCTCGGATTGTACATCTTCTCGTTCACACCGCGAGGGAAAAAACCCAACTTTGAAAACGGCACTCCCATTTTCTCTAAGTGTTCCGCAGCCGCGAACGAAGGTGTTGCAACAACATCGCACGATCGATAAAACTGCGACAACATCTGTCGAATCGGTCGAACCAGCAGTTTTGCGTGGTAATATTGCAAGTACGTGTCAAAAGCCGTGTGATAGGAGCACACCGAACACGCGCCGCGCTTTCTCGCCCATTCCACCGCGGAGTGTCCGAGAACATCTGGTGCGGCAACGTGAATAACTTTCGGGTCGAACGCATCTAAAATGGTTTTTTGCGCAGTTTGTAACGGCGCGGACATCTTGTATTCGGCTCTGCCTGGAACGGCTACGTGGGGAACTGGAGTGACTAAGATTCTTTCTCGGTCGGCTGGATCGAGAGTACTGTAAGGATCTGTATGCTCACCTTCTTCGTCTTCCTCGTCTTCGTCCTCTTCGCGTTGATTAATCTGGTAATCATCTTTCGCCAAGTCAGGAGATACAACCATAACTTCTGAATCGTCTCGCTCTCTCAAATATTCCGCGACGCGTTTCATCGTTCGCGAAACGCCGTCGACGTGTTCCCAAACCGAGGTTACGATTGCCACGCGTCGAATATCTCGTGACTCGTATCCACACGCGATTCCAGGACATACGATTTGTAGCAGGCTATTCGCCGGCAAATTACTCGAGTGCTCGCTGTTTTCATTACTAAGATCGTCGCGATTATTAAAATTGTGCTTGCCAAACTTGCGCGCGCTAAACTTGTTTCGCCAATACGAGCTCAGAATTCGTGCCAAATTTTTGGCAACTTTAGCGGCGCCATGTTTTAGTTGGTCGCATCTTTCGAAGCCAGCCGCTGCGACCTTCATTTGCTTATGTGCCAAATCGTGCCACTGATAGTGTTGAACTTTCAACGGCACCGGATAGACTTTTTCGTGATGCACAGACGGTAACGACGCTGAAATGACGTCGTCGATGGCAAAGTCGTGCAACACTCGAACGTCAAGCACTGGGAAGGAAACTTTGTGTGCGATGACGTTGAGTAACGCTCGCGGAACCTTTCGTCTTTTATTATGATTGTGTTGTTGATGTTGTGTTGTTGATAAAGACGTAGCACCATCTGTGGCAAACAATGCGCGCATCAAACGCCGACGACTGGACGAGAAGGAAGAAGGCGTCGGTTCATTTGATGTCGCCGAACCCGCACGCATCTTAGGGGTCGGAAACTTGATCAAATGTTTAGCTTCTAATCTCTTCGACGGCGCATCGCTCGCAAATATTCTGTGCGTTGGGTTTCTTCTCACGTCGCACGTCGGTCCGATGTAGCACTGACGAGGGAACTGCGCGTCCAACGTTTGCGTAGGCGACACCGTCTTTAAATTCCCATCCTCTGCTACTCTATCTATCCATTTTCCGTTGACTAAATTAAATCCTAAAGCGTCCGCGCGTGCGAGAAATCGCGCTATAGATTCATCGTGCGGTGTATCGAGATGTTCGTCTAAATCTACCGCGACTATCCAATCGTCTTCGTCCACGGCAAGCGCTAGCTTTTCTTCAAATCGCGCAGCCGCGACGGAGTACAGGAGCGCGTCGCCTTCGTAAACATCCGTGAACGCGCCATATCGTAAGAACGCGTCTTGGATTTGACTCACGAGCTCAGCATCCACGTTATTTGAGCGCGATTGTATGACGCACAATACGTGCCTCGCGGGGATCTCGTGCTTTGTCACGTAGTGCATCAAAAAATGCTCCGCGAGTTCCACCGCGTTCGTTTGCCAGGCAGAAATGCCGGTTAAAATGAACACTCTCGATGCGTATTGCGCGACCGAAGGAATGCTTCCGTAATTCCTCGTGTTCCCGGCGCCGGCAAGAAATGAAGATAATCTGTCGTCGTCGCTGCTCGCTTCTTCTTCTTCCTCTTCTTCTTCTTCTTCTTTCCTCTTGTTACTACTCCCGATCCTCCCACTACTACTACGTTCGCTCCCTTCACTATACACTACCTTCATGTCTACGTTCAAATCTTCTTTAGCGGCATTCTTCTTACTCCTATATTTCTTCTTCTTGTTTGAAGAAGATGATCTCGTCGAGCTCGATATTCCCTCCATCGCTCCGAGCGTCGGAAAAATGAGCGTATCGATCGTCGCGTTCAAACCGGTATCGAGAGAAAGAGGCGGAGAATACGATGTCGGTGGAGGCGGCGCGAAAACTCTAGAACCATCACCGCCTTGACTACTACTCATCCCGCCCATCCCGTTCCCTTTCGCTCTCGCGTTCGTATCTCTTTCCAACCCAACGCTCCCGAACGCGCCGCTAAACGGCATCACGCTCCCGCTCGGCATCGGATCGAACGGCCTGTTCGTCGCGTCGCTAAAGCCTCTCCCGCTCCGATCCCCGAACGTCAATTTACACGTCAACCGTCTCGCGCTCGTCGTAAACGTCTCGTCCGGTCTCAACAAATCCGGAATGTTCGAATGTAAGTGATGTCGGCTTCGCGAGCGGTACACCGTGGCGTATAAGAACAAAAACAACACGTGCAAAAGGACAACCAGAGAGGTTGTCCTCGTCACGCACTTGGCGATTCTCTGAAACTTCTTCGCGGAGGTTTTTCGCCCCCCCGTCGAACTCGAGCTCGTCGTCGAAGAGTTGTTGTTGTTGCTGTTGTTATTAGTGCTGCTCTTTCGAAACGGGAACATCTTCTTCTTCGGAGACGAGAGCATGTTGCGAGATATATCCGTCTTTCTCTTTCCAAGAGGACCACGAATCTCCCTAAGAATCAATCCGCTAAACTCCTCTTTAGCTTTAAATCAGCTCTGTGCTTTCGCTAATGCTGCTCTGTTCAAAAAAAGGTACTCCTTCTCGTTCGGGGCAGAAAAACACCTAAAAGCGAACTGACCGTCGTCTGAATCGTCATCTTCTTTCTCTTTCTCTTTCTCTGTGAAGAGATTTTGAGGGGCGGAAAAGTTGCCTCTGAGTGTTTAGGGTGTAGGGTTTAAGAAAAGAGGTTCTCAATTTCTCAAGAAAAAGAGCGCACACATCTCTGCACATATTGACGCGTTTGTACTGATACATTAAACACACACATACTCCGCTCGTTTTGTTATATTCTCCAAATTCTCCGTCTGTCTGTCTGTCTGTCTGTCCAGAGGTGTGTGTGTGCATCTCTGTCTGCTTCTTTTGAGGAAACATAAACGCTTTCTTAATATTCCAATTGTTTAATACATAACGGCTTCATCATCATCTTCAACGCGCGTAAGAAACTGCGAGAGAACAGAGCACGGGAAGAAAAAGGAGGAGTAAAATGGTCGCGCAAGTGTTCAAAGTCGCGATAAAACTGTTCCATTTCTTGCGGAATCCTTTGAACAGGCCTTTGGAACCACTCTTGTGGGTCGCCTCGACGATATCGGCGAAAAGGGCGTTCAAATCCTCTGTTTCCTCTTTGCCGAACGCCGGCGCGGATGAACAACGAATCGATACAAAGAAACGCATTTTAGGCAACAGATTATTTCCAGCCTGCGTGGTTTTAGTGCAAGCGCGGTTAGATGGCACTCGGTGGCAAGTCGTCCCGGCGTATGTAGGGACCGGTTTGACCGTGTTGGTGGACGCGTTGGACGCGAAGCTGAAAACGAGAGTGCCGAACGTCGTTCGGAAGACGAGTTCGGTCATCGGGTTCGCGACGGCATTTAGTAGCGTGTTTGCGGGATTGTTTATACCGGTGTTTCGTATGCCTAAACCGACTGGACCGCATAAGGTTGGTAAGAGGCGGTTTTATTGGGAAGATACGACGAGAAAGTCGTGGATTCGACCGGACCATCCGAGGAGGAAGAAGTTGCCGGAACACAGGAAGTTGATGGCGGATATCTGGTACCCGGCGGAGTTAGAGGAGAAGATGCGAGAGATGGAGGAGAAGAACAATAAGAACAAAAGTACGAGAAAGAAACGAAATAAGAAAATCAATTGGCTGGACCCGGATTTAGCGAGGGCGATTGCCATTTCGTTTTGGGCGCCCGGATGGGTGGTAAACTATTTTCGATTGGTGCGCATGGAAGCGAGCGATACGCCGCACGTGGCCACAGAGCCTCACCCGGAAGGTTCCTACGCGGACGAGATAACCGGGAAATTCCCAATTGTTGTCTTTTCGCACTCCTTTTCAGGCATGAAGGAACAGAATTCAGCTTTATTACAAGAACTCGCGAGTTGGGGCCACATTTGCGTCGCCGCCGATCATCCGCACGATGCCGCTTTGGTGTTATACCCAGACGGTTCTTCCGCTGATTTTCGTGGGTACGACCAACCGGAAGAGATGCGTCCAAAAATGTGGTGGAAGTTTCGACACCGACATTTGAAGTATCGAACGTTAGATTTACAATTTGTGCTCGATCGATTGCTCGAATTGAACGAAGACAAAGAGGACCCGTTGTATAATACCATGGACGATACGAGAATTGCCGCGTGCGGCCATTCGTTTGGAGGTGCCGCGAGCGGGATGTTCGCCCAGTTAGATAAGCGAGTGACGAGCGTGATTATGTTAGACCCGTGGATGTGGCCGATGGGCCGATCGGTTGTTCAAAAAGGTATCCCGGTACCTCTGTTGGTGTTCGAGGCGCCCAGGTTTCTAGGCAATCGCGACATCTTTTGTATCGAAAACGATTACTCGAGTTCTATGTTAGCGCTCGCCACAGCACCGCAGTGCGCGAGAGTAGGTGAGGATGTTGATAACAGCATCGATAACGGGACCTCGTCTGCGTTGCCACAACCGAAAGCGATTGACTTTGTGGACGTATCGACGACGGATGAGCGAGACGACGACGACGACGATGATGATGTTGAGAATGCGTGTTCGCGAACGGGGCGCCCGCCGTTGCCACCGCTCAATATTAGTAATCCATCAAGTAGCAACGCAATAGAACGAGGAGGCCGACACTCGCGATCGAACTCGTTCCTCAACGACCAGATGATGAAGCATTCCTTTTCATCGGTTTCCATCGCCGATTCGCTCGCTGAATCCGATTACGAGTTTTTCGGTCGCAACAGTCGAGATGACCGCAGCGGCGACGACGATTTTGAATACGCGCCTCCTTCCGGTGTCTGTTACAAAGCCGTTCTTGAGGAAACTATGCACTTTGATTATACGGATTTAGCCATGGTGGCACCGTTGACGACGCGCTTGTTAGGTATGATTGCAGTTGGCGGATCCGAGGTGCACGACGTCATTTCGAGAGCATCGTTAAGGTTTTTACACGCGCACAACTTACCGAGAAGAAAGCACGTCGTGACGACGTCGAACGTTCCCGTATACGAATTCGACGCGGAGACGTTGACGCAAAGAACGCGCATGTTGCACCCGGGGCCGTGGCCTGGTTGTCCGGCGGATGAAAAAGACATCGCGGAAATAATAGAAAAGAAAACAAAAAGCATGGAGAAAGAAGCAAGCAAGAAAAAGAATAATAAAACGAGCAATTCAGCGGCAGCAAGGACGACAATGGCGGTCGATAGCGCGATGAAGTTTGGCGGTGCGAGTAATAAACGCGCCAAGGAAATCAAGGAAACCGACGCTCGCGCCGATCCGCCGTCCTCGCCGAGGGCAATACTGAAAAATTTAACTCCTTTTAACAAAGTGCGCGAGGCTATTTTAGAAGCTGAAACGGATGAGCGGTGGAAGAACAAAGGGGGTTTCGTCCGATGGATCGACGTCGAACATTTTGCAAACGAAAGAGAAGACATCGGAGACGAACGTCCGTGGACCGCGGAACAACTTCGCGAAGTACGTTGGCTCCTCTCTGAGACGGAAGGTAAAGACGATTCGTTCGTTTTAAAACGCTCGGATTGGATTGCCATGTTCCCGAACCGAAGCGAACGCGAAATACGTGAAGCTTTGGAAATCATTGAAAACGATCCGACCGAACACTCGCCGCCGAAACCGTTGATGTGGTTGGTTGGTGAAAATCCAGACGTTATTATCGACGGTCCGGACTCGTACGTTGACGTGAATTCCTCGGACGACGAAGGAGGCAGAAACGACGCGTATTCGCCGAGATTCTTGATTGGCGGGAGCTCGAAAAACCATTTTGGTGAAAGTCCGAGAAACAGTCAACCGTCGTCGCCGATGCACGTGGTAAAGCCGCGCGCAATGACTCGAATCGACAGTTCTTTGAGGCCGTAAAATAATAGAGTAGTAGTAGAGTACTGGTAGGTGTTTATGAATATTATTAAAGACACAAACGCGCACGCGCAATATATTATATCGAGTTGTTTTTTTACATTCTGATTTCATCTTCTTCGGAAATCCATCTGTTTTTCCCCGCATTCCTCAAACTTTCCACGGAGCCTGCACCACCAATCTCGTAGAAACCGGCGACATCCAAAGGTTCGACGCCCGCTTTGGCGTAGAAGTAACGCAATATCTCCTTCCCGATCTTCTTCTTCTTCACCAACGCCGTCGTTTCGTTATTCGTATTCTTATTATTCTCATTACTACTACCACTACCGCTCTCTAAACTCCCATCCAAGATCAAATCCGCAGCTCTTTCGTACCACGGTCCTCTTCTCTCCATGATTTCTTTAAACGAGTTCGTCTCGCTCAAAGTCGGTCGATTGCTGTCGCCGGCTATTTTACTCGCTAAATAGTCCGCGTCTCTTTTAATGTACACAATCATCGCCGTTTCTTTCAACGCGTTCACTTTCCTCTCCGAGTATATCTCCTCTCCTGTTTCCTCGTCTAAATCCACGCATATTCCACCTCCGCAATCGATCAGAGTGAACTCCGAAAACGCGTTGGCGGCTTTCGCGCAACATCGAAATTCCACCTCTCGAAAGTACTGCCAACTGTTCTCGGCCACGATTTCGGGAATAGATTTCGACTCCTCGTAGACGATTAAATCGTCCAAGGAGAGCAGTTTAAACCTCTTGTCGTGCGCGAATAAGCGCCTGCAGATTGAGGATTTCCCGCATCCTCTCCCGCCGATGATTGCGAGGTTTTTTTTGGAGCCGATTGCGAGGTTTGATGTTTCCCGTGCAAACGGTGAATGCATCTGATTGGAAATGTGCTCGTCCCCGTCGGATGATGTTATTATTGAGGATGATGATGAAAACTCCGCTCTTAAAGTACTTCTTCTCTTTTCGGGACTAAAAACTCGCCAGGAAGGAGAAACACGACACAAACTAGGCGCACAGGTTAAAGTCGTCATGATTTTGCTCACTTATGGTGCGTAAACTCTATCTCTCTGCGCGTCTTTCAATGGAAAATTCGAATGGAAAATCCTCATAAAAAAACGGCGTTTTTTCCATACAGGTTTATTCAGAAGACGAGATAATAATGGTCTCCATAGAAGAAGAAGACGAAGAAGAAGAAGAAGAGAAAGAAGAAGAATTAACGACGACTGAAGCGATGTCTGAAAAGATGTGCGAAGAGTTGGAAGCGATGCAGTCTTTGACGCACGAGGAGATCGTGGAGAAAATACTCGCGGTGACAAAGAAAAGCGAGAACGACGACGACGAAGAATTGGAGAACGACGACGTACTGAACGACGCAGACGACGACGACGATTTAACCGGCCACGAGGGGACAAAGTTCGCGATGATTATCGCGCAAGGCATGAGAGCGTCTCTGGCGAGACAACGAGTGAAGAAGGAAATCGAGCGGAGAGATAAAGAGGGAGACAAAGAAGAAGTCTCGGCTTCGGACGAAACGTTTCTACGAAAGCTGAGGAAAAAAGTGTACCAGAACTGGAAACCGGACATGCCGTCGTTACAGAGAGACGTGGACGAACAAGAGGAAAGGAATCAAATGTTGGAGCGAAGGAAAGAAAAAGCGAAAGAGAAAGAGCGAAGCGTCGAAACGCATCAACGAGGCGCATTGTTGAAAGCTTTACCGAACGACGGGAAATCGATTCAGAGGAAGAAAGAAGGGACGAAGATGAAGAAGCGAGACCCGGAGGCGCAAGGCGGCGCGTTTGAGAGAAGGAAGATGCACGAGGAAGGCGCCGGGTTGTTTGTGGCACCGATGATGCCAGAAAAGGCGAACAGAGAAGTCGCGAAGACGACGCGGAAAAGCGCCGGGAAAGGGTGGTTCGATTTACCCGCCGCGGAGTACACTCCGGAGTTGAAGAGGGACATGCGAACGTTGAAGTTGCGAGGCGCGTTCGACCCCAAAAGGTTTTATAAAAACGCGGACACCAGGAAGCTCCCGACGCACTTTTCCATAGGCACGGTCGTCGAAGCCGCGCAAGATTTCCACTCCGCGCGCTTGACGAAGAAAGAGAAAGGGAGGACGTTCGCGGAGGAAATCGCGAAGGACCAAACGATTAAAAAAGCGAGAACGACTCGGTTCACCAAGGTCCAAAACGAAAAGAAAGGTTCCGGAGGAGATAAGAGGAAAAGCAACACTAATAGCAACGCTAGTCGTAGGAAGAAGTAAAGTAGTTTTATTAGAGCCATTTGTATTCATTATCATTCGTACGCGTGACATCTGTATTTTCTCGGGAAACAGTCAGACAGACAACCTCTTCTCATCATCGTCACTTTTTATCATCACATCTTTTGCGTTGTTGTTGTCTACTCTTACTGCTTCTGAGAATGGGAAACGTCGCGTCTAAATCCAACCAACCACCGTTACCTGATAACGATGGTCCCCCGTGTGCGAGCGGGAAAGAGTTCATGAAGAATTCCTCTTCCTCCTCGGAGTGTCCGATACCGGAGGAAGTGCGCAACAATTCCAAATTCGGCGTCTACAACGTGTACAATCAAAGAGTGGACGACAACCCTTCCGCGTCGTCTTCTTCGAATACGAACGTAAGGAGTGGTTCTTCCTCCGAAGGGAAAGGTGGATTTCGGTTTCTGGGTCGCTTGGACCCGAGGAATAACATGCCCTCGGAGGCGAACCAGAAACGAGCGCCTGGGCAGAAAGTCGCCCTGAGCACGGACAGAGAAGCGTCCAAGATACCTAAATCGGGCGGCAGAGAAAGTGGTAGTACAACGTGGCAATATCCGTCCGCGCAGATGTTTTATAACGCGCTGGTGAGGAAAGGGAAAGCGGAGGATGTGGACGAAAACGACGTGGCGACGGTGGTGTCCGTGCACAACGCGATGAACGAAGACACGTGGGACCGCGTCGTGACGTGGGAGAAGTTACATCCGAGAGCGAACGAGGACGACGGGCCGAAGTTGGTTCGGTTTCGAGGCAGGCCTGACGATTTGTCGCCGTTAGCGTGGGCGAGGTATTTGATGGGCGGGGGGAAGCCGTTCGATAGGCACGATTGGTGGATTGAAAGAGGAGACGAGGAAGTTAGGTACGTGATTGATTATTATTTTAAGGAGGACAAGGCGGGAACGTCTGAACAGTTCGAGTTGGTGGTGAGACCGGCGTTAGATTCAGTCGAAGGCGCGGTGGATAGAGCAAAGATGTTCACGTACGTAAATTGTGCGAGATTTGGGGTACCGTGTCCGATAACCGGGAGCGCGAGCGTGATTGGAGAAGAGCAAAAGCGGTAGCGGGGAGAAGAATCTTCCATCGTTTCCTAGATTTTGTATTTAAACAATAAGAAATGCTAGCACGTGCCCTAAATATGCGCTATGTGGCTAAAATGACTATACTTTATACTACGAGTTTGCGTCGTCGTCATCGTCGTCGTCGTCGTTCACCGAGTCGTCGTCGTCTGCGGACGGAAGCTTTTGATTTCTTTCGAATTCGCCTCTCAGGAGCTCTTTTTCCGCCGCCGTACAATCGACACCTTTTCGACAGTCTAGATCGGCGGTAGTCCCCAAATCATAATCATAACTACCATCGCTTTTGTCGTCACCGCCTATCGAGTATGGTTTGCACTCGTTCACGTCCGCAAAGCGACATCCGCAATTCCAGTTCCTCTCGCTATTTGGATTCTTCCAATCGTATTTACAAAACGTCAAAAAATTCCCTCTTCCGTACGCCTCGAAGGCTTTCTCCTCGGTGTCGAACGAGTGTACGTCGTTCCCTTCCGTTCGCGCGCCTAAACCTTTGAAATAATGATACGACATCGTTACGTTTTTGTTGCTATTCGTTAACTCTTGAACTTTTGTTCGATCTAGAACCTCCCCGGCGCGCGTTTGTAATCCTTTGGACGCCTGCGCCATACCTTCGACGCCAAAGCCATACACGTCCAAGGATTTGCACAAATCAGAGCTCAACATGGCATACGCGGCAACAAAACCAGACGAAGGAACGTTTAATCCACGATACGGTCCAAAGCCAGACTTGCATAACTTTTCTCTGTATGCCATCAACGGTTTCGAAGACATGGTGGTAGCTTTGGACGAGAGGCGAATAGGAAGCACGTCCGGACGATACTTCTTAAATTGGTTCGCCAACAAACCAAACTCTTTTAAACTCGCTCTGGTGATGATAATAGCCACGTTATCTTCTAAAGCGTTGTTTTCCCACGGAGTTTTACCTTTAAAAGAACTCGATTTAAACTGGCGCATGGCGTGTCGCGCCTTGGACGGATCCCTCGATTTCATCTTTTTCAGTTCCTCTTCCTTCTCTTTGTTCGTTCGTTTTAGTTTAGACGGAGAGAGATAATACGCTCGCGTCCAAAGTCGATTGAAGACTCTGTGGGTGACTTTTAATCCAACGCGTCGACTGTACCCTCGAATTGGCGCTTGATTGATGCGTACGACCACATCGTGCGAGTCGATAGCTTTCCCATACTCTGAAAATCGCAGCAACCCCGAATTTCCGACGACGGCACATCGTCCCCAATTCGTGGACAACCCTCTTGGATCGTTCTCGGCTCTCGTCGTCGCTTCCACCGCCGCTGCTTTCGCGAGCTTAGCCACGCGTCGTTGTTGTACTTTTTTCTTGCGCTCTTCTTCGGTGAGCACTTGTTGTTGTTGTTGTTCATCCGAAGCGTTTTCGTCTTCCTCTTCCATCCCGCCATTATTCTCTCCTAAAGCCATTTTCATTTCCACGTCTAAACCGCGCATCTCATCCGTCGGCATCCACGATAGCGTCACTTTTCTTTTCATCCTATCTGGCGTCACGTTCTCCACATCCGTCACGTCTGGAAGAATTACACCTTCATCTCCTGCGCTACTACTACTACTACTACACTTTACGAATCTTTCGTAATCCAACTTTTCCTTCACGTACGCTCGATCGAACCACGTCACGTTCGAGGCGATCATATTCGACGCGTACGAAGTTTCGCCGAGACCGAGCGCGTTCACCTTAACTCTCGCTCGTATCTCTTCCGTGGTTTCGAGCGCGTGCGTTTCAATGCTCGAAACATCCGTGTGACTTTTGGTTTTTGTTGCAACGCCTTTCTTAAAGGTGTTGGTGTTGGTCTTCCTCTTTGTCGTCTGAATCGTCTTCTTCTTCTTCATCGGCGACGACGACAGCGACGACAAAGGTTGTTTTAACGTCTTCGTCACGCGAACGATAAAAACGCACAGCATGAATGCAATCAGCCATTTCCGCGTCGCGTTTACGTTCATCGTCTTCTTTTCATTTTAACATCATCATCGTGTCATCACCGCTTTAACGTGTGTGCGGGGAAGTAAAAATGTGCATTTAAGAACGCACAACTCTCGTCGTTTACGTCGAGCGAGAGAGAGAGTTTAAGGAACAAAAATGAATATCTCTCCCTGCGACTGCTTTTGACGTCAACTCTCGATAGAGAGAGAGAGAGAGAGGGAAAAGAAAAGCTGACGAGATGAGAGCGCAACGCGTGCTAAAGTAGAGCGTAAAGAAGTGAAGAGATCAGAGCGCAAGACGTGTGTGATAAAGCGTTCGCATTAAAACAAACCGAGAAACTTCTTCGGCTTCTTCGCCGCCTCCTCTTGCGCTTTCCGTTTCTTCTCCATGAGTTCAGCTTTCCACTTGTTGTAATCGTCGGCGGATTTCTCCCCGTCCGGAGCTAAAGCGCTCCAAAAGCCACGGTCGGGCATTTCCTTTGTTGCGCTCTTTTTTTCCCCGTCCACGGTTGCCATGGAAACGATGATGCGTTTCGCGTTCGTTTTCTTTCCCTTCTTCGAGGACGCAGAAAAAAGAGCGGTGGACGGTGTCACGGCGGCAGAGAAGGAAAACATTATTTATGCGTGTGTTTCTCGCGTGCGTAAAGTAGAGTGCGTGTAAAGCGCGCGTATTAAAGTGATGCAAATATCTATCCAATTTTGCGTATCTTTTTCTCCCCGGGAAAACCATCGCATCATCACTTTAAAAGCGGGGAGTTTACGTCGCGAGGATGACGACGACGACGACGATTCGGACGACCTCTTCTTCTCATCCTACCGCTGACCGTCTTTTTCCTCCTCCTCCTCGTCCTTCTCTGCGATCGCGTTCGAAAACGAGAGCAAATGCTGAGAGTTTTATCCGACGGAGGAGGAGGAAGAAGAACAACAACTCAAGCGTGTTGGCGTCGTCGTCATCGAACGAGGAGACGACTTTAACGACGACGATTCAGACGGGAGAAGGAGAGGAAGCATCAAAGAGGAAGATTTCTTCGACTTTAAGCGGCGCAAGCTTTACGACGAGCGCGAACAAAACATCGCTGCCGCCGAGAACGTGCTCAGAAGCCGCGATTGAAGCCAGAAATGTGCTGAGATATTTACGAGAGAACAGAAGTGCCAAAAGGGACGTCGTATCGACGAAACGAGTGCGAGTGGAACTCCCGCTTCCGAGAGAATCCGAAGACGACCGAATCGTTTGGCTGGGATTACACGGCCAAGCGAGCGATTGGTCCGGTGGCATGTCGGAACGATTGGCAAAGACGAAAATTGTGGTCGAAACCATGTTGAGCGGGTACGCGTTTCGATATTTGGGACTGTTGGATAAAGACGCCGAAGGGATGGGTTTGTGGACGGCGACGGAGGACATGTCGATCGTCGCGCACCCGAGCGATACGACCATCGTGCCATTCTTTTTGAACTTGTTGAGAGGAGAGTACGGCGAACGCGTGGTGAACGAACGAGAACATTTTTTAGTCGTCGTGAATGGATTTTGGAGCGGTAACGGAGAGAAGGTTGGTCAACCGTGGCAGTTTCGCTTGCGAGAAGAGGCCAAAGAGTATTTAGCGACCGACACAATCGGAGAAGAAAAAAGGTGGGAGAAAGTGTACTCCTGCAGACGCGCGCGGTCCGCCGCCGGCATCGAAGGTACGCTCGTTCGAAGGTACCCCGAGCCGTGGTCCTTATTCGACGCGAGAGGCGTTCGATTACTCAAACAGTGGCGAGACGAACCGTCGAACCGAGAAATCGCGGAGACGCTGAACGAAGACGCCGGTCAAGCCGAGGCGGTTGGGTTTACGAAAAACGCAAACGAGATGAGCAGAGACGACGACGTGATCTCGTAGACCGTAGAATAGATTAAACAGTAGTAGCTAGTTTCACGTGTAAGACTTTTCTATCGCATTAAGGTATTAGATGGAACAACAACACCAACACCAAACACGTCACAATAAAGAACAACAAACGCACACAAACTATACAACACCATGGGTTGCGTCTTCTCCTCCTCCTCGTCCTCATCAAATCCAGACGATAGCGCTTTAGAGGACGAACAGCACGAGCTCACCGCCAGGCGTCAGTTTCAATCCGTCTCGTCTCAGGAATACAATCGCACGTGGACGTTTCGAAACACCGATCCCATCGAAGACGACGACGGAGACGAAGCGGACGAGAGGAAGAAAAAAGCAACCATCTTTTGGGAAACCATTCACGCGTACGGCGGTGCCAAGGATTGCTGGACCGCGTTAGAAGTCGCGCTGACGAAAACAGAAGACATCGCACTCGCGAGGGAGATTTTAAACGCGAGTGGGATGAAAGTCTGCCACAAAAACGCATTAGCGTGTTTCGACGAACGCGGGTTTTTGTATTCGATTCCGAGATACGCGTTAGCGGTAAAAACAGTTAGCACACCAGCGTAGAAAGAGTGAATGCGAGAATAGATGGCGTAGATTATAGGCGTAGTTTAGTAGTTGTACATATATGCATGTGAAATGATTCATTGACAAAATATTCAAAGCCACATGTCGCTTTCGCGCGCTTTGAGATGCGAGGAGAGACGGTTGGTCGTCGCGACGGCGTCTTCGCAAGACGTGTTCGGTTTGAACTGACAGAAGAGTTCAAAGTCTCGACCAAAGCACCCGATGCGGACGCCATTTCGGTCGGATTCGTACCGAACGCGGTGGGTCCTAGAATCGCCATCGCCGTCTTGGTTTTGTTCATCTTCTCCTTCTTCTTGTTCAGAAGAAGAAGAAGTTTTGCGCTTCTCGTTTGCTGATGTATTGATATCGTCGCTGGTGTCGCTGGTCCCGCTGGCGCTTCGACCGAGCCCCGAGAGTATGCGAGAAGCCATTTGAGAGAGACGATTGTTGTCGTTACTTTCGGTCGTTGCAGTACCACCACCATCGTTTAAAGTCAAACCGCCAAAATTGAAAAATCCTCCTCCTCGAAACTCCGAGGAGGACTGCGGCGAGAGCGAGGAGGAGGAACCGACGCCACCGTCGCTGCCTATGGATTCTAACATTTCATCGCTCGCTTTGCTCTTCTCGATATCTTCCAACATATCGTCGTGAAACTTTCTGTTTGCATCTTCGTAGTGCGCCGCGGCGTGCATGCGCGCGTATTTCTGGAGTATGCGTTTACGCTTTTCTCCGCCGTCGCTCTTTTTTTTCTCTTCCTCTTCAAAATCCGCTATTTGGTATTGCCCGAGCTCTGGTTTCGCGTATACGAAATGTTCGAGCTTGGCGATTGCGCTTTTCGCCGTTTCCGTGAGGGCGATATCCAATTCGCGTTCTTCTTCGTCATCGTCCGATAACGAAGGGGCATACGCGATGGCATTTACCAGCGCCGGTGCAATGCTATTGACAATATCATTCTCGCGTTCGTGTGTCGCTAAAAATATGTCGCGCAATAAATTTTGCGAATGCATTCGCGCGAAGAGCTCATCCATGCTCTCGTGGGCGCGAGCGGCGGCATCTTCGGATTTGGAAACGATTGAAATGTACATGGTTTCATCGTCTAGATTCTCTTTTACTCTAGAGTCGTCGTACTCGACCTCTTTACCGACGAGCTCGTCTTCGTTCAAACGAATTTTCATCGTCCTCGCCAAGACGAATTTTGCGCCTTCCGCGCCGCTCGGTAAACAAATGGACATGTCGTAGGCGTCTTCGCAAAATGAACGCTTGAACTTCTCGAGCAACGTAACCTGTGCGGGTGCAAATGAACTCGAAGGCATCGGTGGCGGTGGTGGTGGTTTAACGACGATACCTCCTCCGGCTAAAACAATCTCCTCTCCAAAACTCGCCTTGCGCGAATGTTTCTCTTGCTTTCGCGGCGACGTGGCATTACTCGTCGTACCTTTATTATCCTGCAGCTTCTTATTCATCTTATATCTATCTACTGTTCTCACGTGATGCATCAAATACCACACGTCCTCCGTGCGTAGTCGTTTCGATTCAAACGAGGAAGGGTTTCCCACGACGTTGGCATTGAACCCTTCGAAAACCCCTCGCGAGCGAATGGTTGTTTTAGGGGACGCGTACGCGACGACCCCTTTCCGCTCCGTGTATATAACCGCAAAGCACGTTTTTGTATGATCCCCGCACTTCTCCAAGGAGCTTTTCAGCACCTCCGTCACCTTCTCTCGTCTCTCTTTCCTCATCGCCAGCGCTCTAAAAAACCTTCCGCTCGTGCAAGCAAACGCGTCTCCCCCCTCGCAACTCTCCGCTACGGATTTCAAATACACGTCCTCTTGTTCTCGAAAAAATGCCTTCCTCGGATCAAACCGGTGGTTACTTCGCCTCAAATTCATCTCAATCGCGTCCCCGAACAAGAAAGTAAACGCTTTCGATATCGTCTCGAGCTTTACTTTCAAAACGTGCTCGGTGTCCAGCGGATCCTTTGAAACGGCGGCGAACCGTAACGCGCCTTTTCGCAATACCGCCAATCGAACGACGACGAGCTTGGCGGTTGTCTCCGCTCCACTAAACGACGACGAACATCTCTTTTCCACGTAGTGTAACTGCCCCACTCTCCGATTGTTGTCTTTCTTCTTCTTCTTCGCTGCGTCTTCGCCCTCTCTACTAACTGTTTCTTCGCCGTCGTCATCCACCTCTCCCTCTTCTTCTCCCTCTTCTTCTTCTTCTGCGACCGCGCAAATCGCGCTCAGCGCGCCTACCAGCGACGAAAGTTTCATAACATCCCCGAATCGACTCCAAACTGGTTTCCCGCTCATCGTAAACGCCACGAATTGCGTTTCGTAACAGTTGCTCTTGTTGTTCTCTTCTTTCATCATCGTTCCACAAAAATCGTTCCATCGACGACGCCTCGCGTTCGCGAGTCGCTCCTCGTCGAAGCTCCAATACCACCGATTTTGATGACACTCCTCCTCAAAATGCGTCGTCGTCGTCGTCGTCGCAGTCGTCCCAGTGTTCGCACTCATGATGACTTATATAACACAAAGTGTCTCCTCTCAAAGTCTCTCTTTACCAACAACAACAGCAACGCACAACAACAACAGGTCACTTAAAAGCCAATCATCATCCAGATGCTCGCAAAGAAAACGTCAAAAGGAGATGCGCTTCGTCGGACGATATCGCTCGTTTCAAATCATCCTCGCGCACTTTGTTTGCCTCATTTTATGTGTGTTCGTGCGGAGTAACGCGACGAGAAAGACTTGGTACTTTTGAAGGAAAATCAGACGAGTCTTTTCAAAATCCCCCCAAAATCTGTCACAATTTAAGAGACATTCTACGCACACACGGAGCGTATTCGCGCACGACAGAGGGATACTTTATACGCACAACAAAACACTTTCTCACCTTCTCTCGAGATGATCGTAAAAAACGTCCAATTTAAATGGGGCAAAGAAATCTACGCCGTCGACGTGGACACCTCCTTACCCGGTTCGCATTTAAAAACGCAACTGTTTTCGTTGACGTCGGTCCCTCCGGATCGGATTAAAATCATGGGTTTAAAAGGCGGGAAAACGATCAACGACGAGACGGATTTAACCAAGTGCGGGTTAGAAGAGTTGGTGAAAAAAGGGAAAAAGTTACTCGTGATGGGTTCCGCGCGAGAAGTGGAGAAAGCACCGGAAAATGAGATTCAGTTCGTGGAGGATCTGCCGGAAAGCGAACAGTACGGGGCAGAGCTAGGGGAACGGTTTCGACCGGGGTTGCAGAATCTAGGGAACACGTGTTACATGAACTCGTGCGTGCAGTGTTTGAGCCACGTCGGGGAGTTAGTTGAGTGTTTGGAAACGTTCGAGGAGGATACTACGAACAACGGTGGTGGTGGCGCGAGCACGAGTGAGAACGACGGCGGCGCCCCGGACGCGGCGGCGAATAGCGCGGGCTCGACGGCGTTGGCGAAAGCGGCGAGAGATTTGTTCGTTGAATTGAAAACGTCCAAGTCGATGGTGATGCCGTTGCGGTTTTTGATGGTGCTGAGACAAGTCTTCCCGCAATTTGCCGGTAGAGACGAGAGGAGTGGGGTGTGGATGCAACAAGACGCGGAGGAGTGTTGGTCGTCCATCGTGAACTCGCTCGCCAGGGCGTGTCCGAAAGTCAAGGATATTTTTGGGATCACGTTAGAGACGGAGTTGAAATGCGAGGCGACGGGGGAGACGAGGAGCGAAGTGGATACGGTGAATTATTTGAAATGTAACATTTCCATCGACGTGAACCATTTGGCGGACGGGTTTCGTTTGCAATTGAACGAAACGAGGGAAATCGGGAACAACGTTTTCGAGGGCCACGCTAAAATTTCAAAGTTGCCGTCACATTTGGTCGCGCAAATCGCGCGAATGTATTATAAGGTGGACATTCAACAGAAGGCTAAGATTTTGAGAGCGGTGACGTTTGCAAACACGTTGGACGTGTACGAGTTTTGTAGCGACGAGTATAAGAAGGTTTTGGATAAAGGGAGGAAGTTGAGAGCGAAGGCGATTGAGATGAACGTGGACGAGGTGTTCGGAGATAGTTCCGATCCAGACGCGTATATTACCGGTCATTACGAGTTGGTATCCGTTTTGACGCACAAAGGACGATCGGCGGATAGTGGACACTATACAGCCTGGGCGAAGAATTTCATCACGGACGAAAAGACGAAGAAACCGGTGGATTCGTGGACGTTGTTCGACGACGAGACGCCGCACGCGAAAAAAGAGGAGGATATTTTAGCGTTAAAAGGTGGCGGCGATCATCACATGGCATACATGTTGGTGTATAGAGCGCTTTACGCGAAAGAACCCATCGACGTAAACGACGAGTCCGGCGCGAAGCCTATGGAATAATATTATTTTTTTTAAACCCACAACAACAACAAACAACAATTTCATTTTTACAACGCAACAGTTTCGTACAACTCGTCGCCGCACATTTTCACCGGCGGTAGAAAACGTAAATAATGTTCCTGTTCGTGTTCTTCGACGGTCGAAAAGAGCTTGCAATCGCATCGACACAGCCGACACCGTTCGATTTGTATTACCTTTGTTTTCTTCTCCCGTTTGCGCTTTGTTTTTCGAGAGAAAAGGGTGAGATGATGCACCGTATCCATCCATTGAGGTAAGTACACTCTCTTCAGAACTTTAAACCGCTCGTTAAGAATTCTAAACATTTGGACATCGCCAGTGTTCATCACATCTTCACCGATTACGGCGACGTGTTCGCCTTTGAAAGCCCTTAAAGACGTCGAAGCCATGTTTGAATCTGGAGGACAATAACACACGAGCAATCCGTTCGCGCGGTGGTTGTATTTTTTAATGGCTTCCAAGTGCGTCATCTTTTGAACTATACTTCTATTTCTCTCGTTGCTCGATTCTTGCTCGATGAGATGGTAATCGTTACCATCTTCTGGCATCGCATCAGTCGCGGTGATGTGAATGCCGAACCGTCGCATCGCTCTCGCCCAAACGCCTTTCCCGGCGCCGATTTCAAGCCATTCGTTTTTCTCGCCGACTCGTTTCAACGCTTTTAACGCCGCCACCGTTGGCGTCGCGTAGGCGTACAAATATGTGCTCCACCGTCTCGCGTTATCTGCGAGGATACTATACGTCGTGCCTTCCAATAACTGATCTAACGAGTTCACTCTGATCTTCTTTTTTTTATTAATCATCATCACGTTGCGACGATACGCGGCGACGGTTAATTCGTGCTCCTCTTTCGCTTCGATTTCATCGCCTAATATCATTACGGCTTCTATAAACTTTGCCAATTGTATTCGAAATAAAAGTACTATTTCCTCTTTATTCGTAGCATTCGGGCTCGTTTCGGTAAAAAAATCAAACCTTCTGTCGATGTCGTCCAATCTCTCGAGCCATCGCCAGCCTCGATAAAAGAGCGACGAGGAAGAAAATAGTATCTTCGCACGATTTCGATACGCAATCGCTCGCTCGATGCCGTCGGGATACCCGCAAAACGCGCAATACGAGATGAAATTAGCGTACCCGCCGTTTGGCCCGTTTCGAGCGATGTATTCATCGAACTCGTTTATTATTTGGACGCGACGTCGCAAACTTACTTTTTTCTTCTCCTTCTTCTCCTTCTTCTTCTTCATCATCTTCGTCGAGCGATTTCGCTCATCTCGTTTCCCGCTCATCCTCGCCATCGCTAACTCCATCGGATCCAGTTTTATAGTTGCATCCTCATCATCTTCGTCGTCTGAATCGTCGTCCTCTTCGTCGTAATATTCATCATCGCCCACCAAAATCTCTCGTATTCGTTCCAACATCATTTTCGTCGTCGTCTGAATCGATGTCATCGTCTCGTTCTTTTTCTGCTTCTTCTTCGTATTCGAAGACAAAGAGAAAGAAGAGTTCGTTAAGATTTCACACGCCCAATCGATTCTTTTCGCGTGGCTCACGCACACTCTCGCGCACGCGAAACGCGATAAAATCGAGAACTCCTCTTCTCCTTTATCGTGATAAAAGTTACTATTGAGCATTCCCATTTGCGTTTCTTTTGACAGCGTCTTTTCGTACTCCTGAAAGAACACCTTTCGCGATATCTCTCCTTCGTCATCATCGTTCTTTTTTTCCCCGACAGACATCTTCAGCTCGCCGTCTCTGTCGAAGTAAACTGTTCCCGCGTGCACGTGAGGCCAGAACACGAGTAGTGAGAGCTTTCTTCTTTGCAACGCGTCGTCGTCGTTCTCGCCGTTACTCCTCATATCCATCGGTTTCTCTCTCTCTGATGCATTTCTTTTTTATTTCATAGCACTTTTAAAGACAATGCAAAAAGAAAACTAAAAATTTAAGGTCTCACAAAATGTTTTAGTACTTTTTTCTGAACCCTAATTTCACTGTTTAAAATCGGCAGTGCCGAACATTGTGCCGCAAGGGAAGAAAACTTCCCATGATACAACAAGGGCGTGTGGCATAGTGGATATTGCGTCGGTCTACGAAACCGAAGATCGCGAGTTCGATCCTCGCCTCGCTCATTTTTTTTGCTCGCGTCGATACCGCGTCGATTGAATACAACCTTAAAATACATTAAACTTTCCGAAATCTTCCCAATTGTCTTTTGCCTTTTTGAACGGGCGCGTTGCGTCTTCTCGTCGCCGCGTGAATGCGAGCAGCCAATGGTAACTGTTTCTTCTTTGCTTTTTCTTTGTTTGAAGCGCCGCCGGTTTTCTTCAAACGTCTCGCGGTGGACGAACCGAATTCGTTGTCTTCTCGGCCGGCTAAGACGGTAGCCAATCGAGACGCTTTGTCGTGCGCGCGTCGAATGCCGATGGCGGCCAACGCGTCCGGGTTGACGCGACGTTCGGAGGCCCGATCGGCTTTGCGCATCACCAACCGCGTCAAATCAGTTTCCGCCGCGTTCTTTACTTTCTTAGCGCCCATCTTGTCCAAGTTCTCGTCCAGTTTTGATTGCATGCGCAACGCTTTGATCTTGTTGAAATCTTCGTCTCCGAATATTTTCTCCTGTTCGATTGGATTTTCTTCTTCCATCATGCGCAGTTGCTCTTCCTCTTCTAGCTTTTCTTCTCGTTCGGCGACTTTTTTCGCCTTCAACACGGCAATTTTGTGGCGCCGTTTCAGTTCCGCCAAGGTGAGTTTACCGTTCGCGCGCATTTTCTTCTTCACAGGAAGAATGTCGTTTTCTTCCAACTCGTTTTCGGAGAGTTCGATATCCTCGACTTCCTCGGAATTCTCTTCATCTTCTTCCTCATCGTCGCTATTACTATTGCTATTACTATTACTATTACTATTGATGTTACCATCATCATCATCATCCTCCTCTTCTTCAAACTCAGTCATAGTTTCGATTTCAGCCACCAACCGCTTTCGTTTAATGCGCTCCAACTGCAATAACTCGGCGCCGTCGACGCGTTCGTTCACCACTTTCGTTCCGTAGGCTTTCACGCTCTTCTCTAAATCAGCACCTTTACCTCTGTCTTTCTTTTCTAACAAACTCGGCGCGAGTTCTCGAAACAGAGCAATCAACGCTCTCGCCGCAGTCGCCACGGGTTTATCTCTCGCTTTTTTATACTGCGACAAGTCGCGAAGCAAATCTTCCGTCATGACTAAAGGAGTGCGGTTACAAATTTCGCGAACGGAGTTTATGCCGACGGCGACGACTTCCGGTCGCGCTTTGTCGTGGACGAACTGCGTGACGAGCTGTCTCAGTAACGGTTCTATGGCATCTGGTGGGACGAGTTCGTGGCACGCCGTGGCTGCCGCGGCGAGGAGTTTGGTTACCTGTGTGCGATGATAAAAGTATGGAAGAAAGTTTGTTCATAATTCGTGAGTAAACGTGGAAATGAAATGATAAAGAAACAAAAACAAGGCACTCTTTTGCTGCGTGCGCGCGTTCGTGCTCGTCATCATCCGTGGCGTCAAATACTAAGCGGTGGTTTTTGTATGCGTCATGTTATGAATGCGCTCCGCCGAATTTTCTGCTTCATTCGCCACGATACAAACAAACAAGCGCGAACGCGCGCGCGCTCACGCGGCAAAAATGTCTTTAGAATAAACAAAACGTACATCTCTCTGGTTCGGTTGAATGTATCTCTGCAAGAACGGGTAGAAGTTCAACAAAATCAGCTGGTGCAAACCGACAACTCTGGAGACTACTTGTAAGAGCAACATTTTCGTCTCAAACGCTTGCGCGCCTTCTTTGAGCTTTTTGAAGAGCATTTCGGCAAAACCTTGCGGGTCGTCGATGAGTTGCATGGCGGCAAATCGAGCTTCACCATCGTTGCCTTCGGCTTTGATTTGTTGTTTTCGGACCGATGCGATCATTCGTTTAAGTTTAGCTTGTTTCTTACGTTTGGAAGATGCGACGCCCTGTTTTGTGTTGTCGTTTTAAGGAAGAAAGATAGAAAGAAAGAAAAGAGCCGAAGTCAGTTTAATAAGGCATCGGAATTCTAAAACAACCACACTAAAGTGATGATCAACAAACTCGAGCGCAAACGCACAAACGCACAAAAACAAACACGCCTCGGCGATCTTGGTGATTAGTTAGTCGTCACAGGGGTCTTTCACCCTCGAGAGTAGCAAATATTTAATCTTAATCTTCATCGGCGAATGAATTGTTTTTTGCGTGTTTCGCGTTTCACGAAAGACGAAGAGGAAACGCAAAAGCGAAAGAAACAAAGTATGTGTACGTAAACTTACCTTATGGTACGCCTTGAACACGTCGTCTTTACTCACGAGCTGCTTTCCGCCTTGTTTCGTGTTCATATCCTTATCACCGCCCGCGAGGCCATCGTCGTCTTCGTCGCTCTCCCCGCCTTCCTCCGCCGCTCTCTCCGCCGCCTCGTCCTGCCCGAGAAAGAACTTCAACCCAGCGACTAATATCTTCGGATGTTGGTGAAAACACGCCTCGACGACTAAATTCACGCTCTTCGCGTCGTTCCAAATGTTCCTCCTGTACAACTCCGTCACGATCGCCAGCGCCTTCTTCGCCGCCACCGGATTTTCGTCCCTTACCGCGTCTCGCAAAAACTGCCGTACCACTCGATTATACGCTTCGTTCTTCTTCCCTTTATTCGCCAACTTCACGTCCGCGACGACGTGTTTAAACACTAACGCTCGCAACTGCTTATCTGCGCACCGAAACAGTTTAAAAAAAATCGGCAACGCTTGGTTCACCGAAACGCAGTTTCGGTTTCTCAGTAAAATCAAAGCCGCCACCAACCTTCGTCGGAGCGAAACATCCAATCGCATGAAGTGTTGATCGATGAGCGCTAAAAGCAGCGACGGAAACCAACTCGACTCGGATTTGTACACCGTGTGGACGTGACTGATGAAGGAGACTAAATCGCCGAAATTTTCGTGATCTTTCGAAGAGGAAACACCGGTTCCAACGTGAGACGACGAGGACGAAAAGACGGCGTGCAACGCGTTGAAGTGTTCCAATTGCATGAGGAAATCCTCGCGGTACCCGGCTGGGTCTCTCTTACACCGAGACTGAAGCTCGAGCAAATCTATTTTACCCATCGCTCTTGGTCGTTCGGTCGTTCGTTATTTCTAAAAGACGAGGCGTTGAGAGATGTTTTATCTTTGTGTTGCGCGCAAAAATGTCTCGAGAGTGAAGGAATTGAAGAGAGAGTTGTGAGGGAAAAGAGCTGAACGAATGTATGCGTGTCTCTCTCTCTTTGTTTTACAAGCTGCGTTTTGTGTCTCTCTCTCTCTATTTCTATCTCTTTCTTAGTAGTACGTATTTATCTAAACCCTAGATATAAAGTTCCTTGTTCGTATCGCCAATAGTCTGGTAACGGACAGTCGTTGTCGAGAAGGTATTGTACACAGTCGGGGTGGTTGTTCTCGTGCGCGGAGCGTACGGCGCGAGAGTCCCAAGGCGCTTTGGCGGTTTCGTGTAAGTACTGCAAACAGTCCAAGTGGCCGTTCATGGCTGCATTTCGACACGCAAATTCGTAATATTGATCATACTCACGCTCAACAAGGTATTCGAGTATGTGAAGATGACCATTTAAAGCCGCCCAATTGGCAGTATTCGAATACCAAGGCGCTTTGACTTCTTCGCGTAAGTATTTGAGTACCTCGAGATGACCGTTTTCGGCAGCATATGCACACGCCTCCTCATCGATAGGATGCTCATTTGCAACGCAATACTTTACCATTTCCAGATTACCTTGTTCTGCGGCCGAACTAATCGTCCCTGCACCCCAATCACACTTTTTCTCCTCTCGCGCCCACTTGAGCAACTCGAGTTTATTCGTTTCAGCAACTTCGTAGCAGAAATCTCTTTCTTCATCTATCCAGTCTCTCGGCCACAACGATTTATTCTCCCACGCTACTTCCAAAGTCGATATCGACGACATCTCTCTCACTTTAAACCTCTCTTTCAACTCCCACGTGCGAGATGATCTCTTCACCAACTTTCTCGTCTCTGTATTCACTTCGTACAAGAATTTCACATCGGTCGCATTCAATCTCGGAAGAATGTGTTTGAAACTTATATCGTCGTTATTCACGATCAAATCCCACACGTCTCGCTCCCCAATCCGTCTTTTCTGCGCTCTCGTTCTCGCACCTCCGGACATGATGTCTTTCTCTGTCGTCTTTTAACGTTTCATGTGTTTGGTGTTAAAGAAAGAAAACCAATGGCGTTTTGACTGCTGAAATGCCGCACTTCGTCTCTTCACTTTTCCCCTAAATGCGAAAGAGAGAGACGCGCTTTCTCTCTCACCATCTGTCCATAAAATCAAGCGTCGTCGCGCAGAAACACAGAAAACGTTATTCGCCGTAGACGCGTCGATCTGATCGCGCAGAAAAAGAGAGAGAGATGACGGACGAGGACGAGAAGAGAAGGAAACAAAAGGAACGATTGGAACGAGTGAAGATACTCTTAGAGGCGAAGAAGAAGAAGGAGATGGAGGCGAAAGATTACGTAAAGAAGAGCGAGAAAGGCGAGGAAAAGAGCGGTGATGTGAGAGGTATCGGGGCGAACCCGAGTTTTTTAGCGCCGCGCGGCGGCAACAACAACATGAACAACAAGAGAAGCTTTGGGGAGCGATTCGGAGGAGGAGGAAGGAAAGGTGACGATTCTGTCGCCGCCGGTCTTCGAGTCGGCGAAACCGGTGGGAATGGTGCTCTTAACATCAACGACGAAGAAGGAGAAGAAAAGAACGACGACGACATAGACCCTCTGGATGCGTTCATGACGAAAGAGATACACCCGGAAATCGCGGAGAAGGAACGTGCGGAACGAAAGCGAGTCGAACGAGAACGGGAGGAGCGAGCGAACATGGACGAAGGGAAACAGAGGAAGATATTGAAAGCGTTGGTGAACGACTCCGACGACGACGACGACGATGGGAATAACGAGAATAACAATAGCAAACCGAATGAGATTATATACATTCCAACGAACAAAGTAAAGTTGTTCGTCGGCGCTTCCGGCGAGAATGTGAAGCGAATGCAAAAATCGAGCAACTGCCGCGCGCAAATAAGGAAGAAAGCGAAAGCGATGTACGAAGGCTTTTCCGGGCAAAAAGTCGTCTTAATCAACGGCGACGAGAGCGACGAGAACGAAAAAGACGACGCGAAAACGTGCGTGGAGTTGTACGGCGACAACGAAGCTGTCAGAACGTTTAAACTGTTACTCGAAGACTTGTTCGCTCGCGCCAAGAAAATGAAAACTGAGAGTCGCAAACAGGACCGCGATCGGCAAAAGGAGAAGAGGATGCGAGAAAAGCGCTTGTTTCACTTGCGACACGCCGCAGATTACGAGCGTCTCGGCGTTCCTCTCGGCGCGCCTCGTAAAGAGATTGAAAAAGCGTACAGAAAGTTGATGCTCGCTTTACACCCGGATAAACACCGCTCGAAACCAACGGACGACCGCGAAAGAATCCAACGCCAATACGACGACATGCGCGCGAGTTACGACAAGTTATTAGCCGTGGACGAAGAGAACATTCAAGAGACGAAAGTGTTGGGAAAAAAATCACACGAAGATGAGTTAGAGAGTTTAGTTCCCGAGGAGGAAAAACGAATGGACGAGTTGAAAAGAAAAATCGAAGAGGCCAAGGCGAAAGTTTTGTCGTCAACCGCCGCGACGAAGACGCGTTTTACCACCACCAGTTGAAAACGAGATACATAGCAGAGTAGAAATATGTTAGAATTGCGTAGTAGTAGAAGAGTAGTAGATAACATCATCAAAACGTTCGCTCGATGCTCGTATTCGTTAAACTTCATAAAAACTGCCGAGGCAACCTTCTCCACATTAATTAAACACCTTGACCTTTTCTACGCTCCGAGCGAAGAAAGAATTAAACAAAATGGGAGGATGCTGCACCTGCGTCGGCCGCAAAGGTTTGTGGTACGTCTGGGCGTTTAACGCTTTAATCGCGTCCATTTTCTCCATCATCGCCGTCTCCCACGGCGCGGTCTTCGACAAGATCATCGTCAACAACAAATCCGCGAATGCGATGCTCGACGGTGCCATCGCGTGCATCTCCTGCTCCGTGTTCTTAAACATCGCGTACCTCGTCATAACGGCGCTGATTTTGTTACGGAAAACTATAGCCCTGAATGGTGCCGGAGCCGCGTTTGGGTTTATGATTGCGCTGTCGCTGATGATGTTCTTTAACCAAATTCAGGTATACGATTTGTGTTCGTTTCTCTCTTTCTCTCTCTCGAGCGCTTTCTTACTTCGGCGAATACATCACAGATGTCACGCACATAAATGCTCACAAAATCACGCATTTCCTCTCACAACAGGTTGGATTCTTCCTCCAATCGATTCACCCGTGGATTGAGGAGTTCATCGCACCAGCTGCCGGGAAACACTGGACGTCCGAGGACGACGCGACGCACGAAGCGCTCGTCGCGTTTGCCTATTTAAGCGGATCGACGTACGTCGTATTAACGTTCGTTTTATTCTGCGGGAGCGGTGGGTTGCAGAAAAGCATGATGGACGACGGACCGAGATCGATTGAGTTAGAGCATAATAACAGTAGTAATAATAACAATACCAACAACGCTTAGCGTTAATAGCAGCGAATACATGCACGGCGGAGAGATACCTATTTAGTAAGTACTTGTGACAACATTCTTCACTCAAACAAGCACACGAACCACACACGAAACACTCACCTATTTCTGCCACATCATGCCGCCATCTTTCCCGACGACAGGGACGTTTAAATTGTTATCATTCAACAAACCAAACGCGTTCATTTCTCTCGAACGGTCTCCGTTTTTGAAATGGTCCGCGCAATCAAAGGCGTTCGAAACCGGGAAGTTTTCCCACGTCGTGCACCCGAATTTACCGGTATTTGATGACGATTCAGACGACGTTAAAGGCAAGAGCGATCGTGATATTATTCCTCCTCGATGCGTGAACATCGCCGAGGAAGAGCGGAACGCGTTCGGGAGTGAAGCGAAACACGTGCAGACGTTAAGCGCGTCGATGTTTCACACGGAAAAACAGTTCAAAAAACAGGTGGAGATGGTGTCGTTCGGATGCGAGAACGTCAGTCACGTGTTGTTCGTGAGCGGAGACGAGAAGAAAAAAGAGCTGGACGCATTGAAAATGCTTAAAATTGCGACGAAAATGAGACGAGATGGGGACATTCCGGACGAGATTAAATTCGCAGTCGTGGCCAATCCGAATACGGAGAACGTATCGGCGGAATATTTAGAGGAGAAAGTCGCGGCTGGCGCGGAGTTGATTATCACGCAGCCGTTTTTTGATTACGAGCGTTGTCACGAGTGGGTGTCGAGTGCAAACCGGAGAGGCGTGTTGAGCACCACTAATAGCGGGATCAGTAATAGCAATAGCGCATCGTTAGTCATTGGCGCGTGCGCGCCTTCGAATAGAAAAGACGTCGAGTTTTGGGCCAAGCTCGTCTACGGAGACGATCAATCCGCCAAAATCCTCTCCTCGCCGAGTTCACCCATAGCCAAACTCGCTCGAGAATACGAACAAAAAGAGAGAGAACTAACCACGGCGTTATACAGGGACTGGATTTTTGAACGGTGCGAGCTGCGAGCGGTTGCCGCGCTCGGTCACGCCGCGAGCTCCGGCGTTCACTTCATGCCGGTTACGCGAATCGGATACGACATCGTCAAACATTTAGCGAGAAGAACGAGAGAGATGGAGACTATGGAGGAGAACGCTTGATGGCTTTTTCGAGCTGGCCGAGAGAACGTTTGTTGTAATTGAATTCATGTAGTAATAGTAGTTGGAGTAGTGATAGTAATAGTTGTTGTTGTGCGATTTTTCCTCTGCGCTGCTTCATTTTTTTGACTGCGGATACAAAATAAATGAGAACAGACGAGAACGGGGGGCGTCTTTATCTCGTGTATTTTCACACGAAATTGCTCGACTTCCGGTGCGCTTACGCCAGCCTCTCTTTTCTCCCTTCCTCTCCATCTTTCTCTCTCTCTCTCTTTCTTCTTCTTTCTCTCTCGCGCGTAAAGCTCGTTCCTCTACATTTTAGGGGAAAACTAACACCTAGAAAGAAGTTTGTACTGACAGTTTACTTTTGTCTCTCTTTGAATCACACAAAACAGCGAGCAAGAGCTTGAAGCGATTGCGAATTTATGTGGATGCACGCTCCCGTTGAAGTGGGTTTCGATACGATCGTCGTTTGGTGGTAGGAGCGGCGATGATGATGCGCACAGCAGCAGAAGCGAGAACGAAGAGGAAGAATCCACATTCAACCCGATTCGGTTGGTATATTTACCCTCCGACGTTGTCGCGGAGAAAATCGCTTCGCGAACATCGCTGGTAAAATACATCGTGCACTTGTGGGGGTACGGGACAAATGACGAGGAGTTGAAAACGAGCGTGAGAAAAGGTAAAGACGAGGCGTGGTTGGATCAGTCGATGACGTATAAGTTGACGTGTTGCGACTTTGGCGCGACGAGGAGCAACGAGAAGAGCGAGGTAATGCGGAGGTTATCGAATTTAGTACCCGGGGCGTTTGAGCCGCGATCTAAGGTGAGCTTAGATCAGCCGAGAGTTGAGTTTTTATCTATGGAGGTGAAATCGACCGTTCAAATAGATTTAGGATTCCAGGGCGTGCGGATGTTTTTCGGACGCGTCGTCGGTAAAGACAAATCGAGGAAGCATTTGAACTTGTTAGATTTGAAGAAACGGAGGTATTTAGGACCGACTTCTATGGAAGCACACATGTCGCTGATTATGTGCAACATGATTAAAGCGGAGAGAGAAAGGGGTGGACCGGTTTTAGATCCGTTTTGTGGAACCGGAAGCGTTTTATTAGCCGCCGCGGAGCTCGGGTGTTTCACGTGCGGCTTTGAAATCGATCCCAGGGTGTTGGAGTTTGGTAAAGTAGACGCGAAAACGGGGCAGAAATTGGACGTGATTACCAATTTCAAGGACTATGGGTTCAACAAACCGATATTTCTGATTCGTGGTGACGTGCACAAATCACCTCTGCTTAAAGTTGTAGAAGATGAAGTAGAGAGTAGGTGTAGAATTAGTGGCAGCAACGGCGGCGGCGAAAAATTTGCGCCGTTAGATTTAGAAAAAATAGAAAAGCGCATCAAACAGATGGAAGGTGCTTTCCAAGGCATAGTTGCCGACCCGCCTTATGGTATACGCGAGCGCGGTCGCAAATCTCAGTTTGGGGGCAAACGGGGTAAAACGGAACAAGACATGATAAACATCGGCGAGCGATTCGACAATCACATCCCGTCCACGGTGAACTATCCGCTATCCGAAATTATGGACGATTTAATGGATCTTTCCGCGAAAACGTTACCGGTTGGTGGACGCACGTGCTTCTTTCTCCCCGCGGATGTGCAACAAACGAATCCGGAAACGGATTTCCCTTCTCACCCGTGTTTACGGGTCGTCGCGCACTCTTTGCAAAATTTTTCGCCCACTTGGGGGAGACGATTGGTCACGTACGAAAAGATCGAACCGTTTGACATACACAAACACTTAGAAAACGTTCGCACGCGTGAACACCTGCGTCGAGTGCTTGAACAAGACGTAAACTACTTGGATCTCACCGAGCGCGTAAAAAAATTCGTCTTTGCGGACGAAAAATCCAACGAGCGGAAAAAAATCCAGCGCGATATCATTCGCCGGGCGTGCAAAGAACATCGGGAAGGCGTCACGTTGGACAGAGAAACCATCCTTGAACGTCGCGAACGAGCGAAGTCGCTGAAAGAAAAAGACCAGGGCTTAAAGAACAGAGGGAAGAAGACTTGAATGTTCGTTGTTGTAATCATTTCTTTATCGATGTTGTGTTTGCAACAATCGCGTCCAGCTTCTGTTCCAGAGCAGCCATCTTGGACAGCACGTTTGAAAAACCGTTCACGATCTCTCTCCTCAGCATCGCCGCGACGTCTTCTTCCCGAATCTCGTCGTCTTTTCTCTTCTCTTCTCCTTCTCCGGCACACTCGAAGTACACCTCCTCTTCTTTCGTCGTCGTCGTCCTCGCCTTCTTTTCCTCCTTCTCGTCCTCCTTTCCTTCTTCTTCTTCTTCTTCTTCTTCAACTCTCCTCCTCTTCGAACCGACACGATTCATTGGCGTCCCGTTTTCGTTCCACATCGACGCGTCGTGCCACTCTTGCTGCTCGAGGATTTGCATCAGCTCCCGTTTACTCATTCTGTGCATATATTCTCAGCAGCAGCAGCAACAGAGAGAGAGAAAGACTGCAGTATTTTTGACTTTTGTTTTCCCCAAATGCTTCATTTTTCCCCTACTTCTCTCTCGTATTAGTACACACCGCTTTCTTGTCGGAGGATGACGACGACGACGCACGTACCACACGCGAGAACGCCAGCAGTAACTCCACGACAGATGTCGTCTTTATTCGCCTCTTCTTCTTCTTCTTCTTCTTCTTCTCGTCCAGCGGTTCGTTTTGGACAACACAAACCCACGGGGAAAAGAAGATGTGAGTCAGCAGCGGCGATAAAGATACGGTCGGAAAACGAGGACATGAAGCATCCTCATCCGCTCTCTCCGTGCGTTTCAGAGTTGAGCGGTACCAGGAGGTATCAACAACAGTACCAGTTTCACGAAAACGCGGACGGTGCGACCATGCGATATATGGATAGGTCGTTCCAACTCTTGGGAAAATTCGTCCCACCAGCGGGTCTGTTGTGCCTCGTGTCCATGTTTTGCGCGACGGTGTTTAGCGTTTTTTTTGCCGCTTTGTACGTGTTTAAAGAAGTCGTTTCTGCGTGCAGAAACGTGATGAACGCGTGTCAGGCGGTGATACGATCGGCGGATGCCATCGAGAGGGCGTGCAGCTCCGTGACGACGACGACGGCGAATTTGGATACCACGACGGGGAAGATTGACGCGACGGTGGTTAAGATTGACGTGTTGAGCGAAAGCGCGACGAAGGCGTTGTCAGATGCCGGAGTGATTCAGAAACGGGTCGCGGATTTACCGAAAGATGCGAGCAATACTTTGTTGGATGCGATTAGCGCGGTGAGCGTTCCAGTCAATCAGAAGTCTGTGTTGCCGAGTAAAGCGGAGTCGTTGGTCGGGACTTCTTCGCCGGAGGAGGAGAATGCGAATAAGAACACGAACACGAGCATTTTAGGCATGAATATCGACGGTAGACGAATTGGCGCCGGTTGGATTGGTAGCGATAATAATTACAGATTCCACTTTTCTGCGACAAACACTTTTAGCGTAGGCGAGTACGTCGCCGTGAAGCGAACGAATAATTTATACACGTGGGGCGTCGTGGAGAATAACGAAAACACGGATCCGTCGTGCATGCCGGACGCGAATTGTCCGGTTGATGAGAGCGTGGATGCGGAGAAAACTGGTGCGACGTGCGATTGGCCGCCGAAGAAAGAGGACGCGGTCGGTGTAGACGGAGGAAGGGGAGGAGGGGGAGCCGAGCGAGATTCGTTCAAAGAGGACGAGTTGAACTTCTTCGAGCGCGTGAAAAAGTTTGCGTTACCGACCGGTTTGGCGCCTGGACAAGTCGAAAAAGAATACAGAGTTGTCGTCGAAGTTTCCGCGACAGTGTATCGGTATAAAATTGTCCCCGCTTCAGAATTAGGCAAGCGTTACTAATGTTGTTCATTTTTTGCTTTCAATACACATCCTACTGCAGTATGTCCGTGCGTCTATTATTCTAAATTGCTGATACTATATAAACTTTACTTTATTCTTCCGTATTGATGGGACACAAAAACGAAAGCATCGCTTGGTTCACTACTCTTTGCGTGTCGTCGGATGGGTGAACTTTGTCTTCTTTGGGAACTTTCGCGGTTAAAATCATCTTGTTTGGGTTCCCGAGTTTGTTGTGAATGGCGTACCCGTCGATAACTTTTACGCCGTTCTTCCTCGCTTCGCACATAGCGTGCTCGTGAAATCTCGCGACGTACTCGCCGTTTGATTTGTGTTTCTTTTGCGAGTTAAACGTGGACCTCCACAAAAGTGTGTTGGAAAAACCGCACACGGATGGCGAAAATACGCGCATGAGTTGCGACAGCCTACTGGCGTAAAACATTTCGGATTCGTACTCCGTAAATTTTGGTTGAAGATGCGCGCGGTTTCGTCGACCACCCATTTTCAAAGGAAACTCCGACTGACGTTCACGAATCATCGAAGGAAGTTCCCATAAGCCACTGTTCAAAACTATGACGCTCGGTTGCGTTCCTGCCGGCATGCGACCGCGTAAAAGTGAACGCGCTTGCGTCGCGAACTTTGCCTCGTGGTCGCCGAGACCAAAGTGTTCATTTTCTGTCGTCTGTTGCTCAAAGTTTGCGTCGTTTACAGCGGTAAACTCTGGCACCGGCCATCTATCTTCGACGTAGTCGTGGTTTAAGACGAAATCGGCGCACGTCGCCGCCGCTTTTACCACGTGGTTTCCCACTAAAAATCGTAAACTCAAAACGAGGACGTTATCGTAGTCCTTCCTATCGATGAGAATAACGTCCTGGTCTCGCTTGCGATTTTTTAAAGCCTCTTTTGACGGGTCCACGCCTTTCTTCCCCATGTCCGCCGGTTTCTTCCACTTTACGCTCGAAGCCGCGACTCGATAGCCTTGATCTCTCAACGTGTTTAGTAACGTCTTCCACTGGTGTCTGGTCGTCGAGTCGCCGACGAACATGAACCACGGGTCGTTCGCTAAATTTTCAATCCGCTTTAGTCGCTGCACTTTCCTACTTTCGCTATTCTCGTCGCCGCCGCTTGTTTCGTGAACATTCTTGTCGTGAAAATCGTTCGCTTTTACCGCGTTTCGTTGCGATACCGTTTCTTTCTTGTGCACCTCGACCGCTTTGGCCGCCGAAATCTTCCTCGCGCACGATCCAATCGCGTCATTATTCACTTCTTCCAACTGCCCAAACGCATATCCGTCACCGTTTTCGTGCGTATACCACGTCGGAAGTGCGTTTGTTTTCTCATCCTCCTCGGTTCTAAAAAAGCCGCTCCTCGCGCTCGCCGAAGCGGCGATGCCTAAAACTTCGTCCAATTTGCCGTCGTGAAAGTCCACGTCCGTATTTACCCCCGGCCAACTCCTCGCGTTCGCATTCGGAAATATCTCCAACGTTGGCACGTTCGCGCTCGTCACGCCACCACCCCCAAAACTATTACTCTTCGAGTACGCGTCGTCTCTTAAACATCCTGCAGACGACGACTTCAGCGTCTTGTTCGTAAACTTTGGCATCTTTCGCAACATCTTCTCGATGTCTTTCCGCAACGCCTTCTCGTACGATTTCGGCAACTCTGCTTTCATAAGCGAAGGATCGTCCGCGTTCGTCGCGGATTCTTCCTCTTCATCGAAATCCTCGTCTTGTTGTTGTTGTCTCATTACCTTCTTCTTGGATATTCCATCGATGCTCTCCTCCTCCTCCTCTTCCTCCTCTTTCCCTCTCGTCATCACGAAAACCGATTTCCAAAACGTCTCCCTCGCCTCTTTTATTTTATCCACGACGCCACCGCCGGAAAAAATCCTCGGCGCGTCCGTCCCGTGCGCTCTCGCCAACACCGAGTTGTATTCGACCACCGACTCGTCTCTTCCCGTCGTTTCGATGGCGAAAGATTCGAGTTTTTCCGCACCTTTCCCCAACAGAACGAAGAAACACGCGAGAAAGAAAAGACACGCGAAGAAGACCCAAGAGGAGGAGGACGGCGCCGCCGCTGCCCCCCGGTACGACGCGCCCCGGCCGACGAGGAGGCGCTCCATCGTTCTTCGTCTCGTCTCAAAGTCTCTCTCCCTTAGAGAGAGAGAGAGAGAGAGAGAGAGAGAGAACAGAGCGCTCCCTTGTGTTTTTGGGGGAAAAAAGTTTCTCTCTCTCAAAGCAGAGACGAAAACAGCATCGCATCAGACGCGAAAACGACAAAACGCGACGAGCGTAGTAAAAACGAGAGAAAGACATCACACGAACACAGAAGAAAGTGCGTTTTTTCGCATCCTCGAGAAACAACAAAAAGCAGACCTTTTTTGCTTTTTTTCACAACAAGAGAGAGAAAACGAGAGAAGAAGATTTTTTGTTAGACAAAAAAAAAAGATCAAACGCTCCACTAAAATCGGGGGTTTATATATACACACATACTCTATATTTAGATGACGAGCGCGACGACCGGAAAAGAAGAGAGTTGGGATCCGGAGGAGTACGCGATCACGCCGTCCTCGTTCGAGATCGTCGCGAAAGAAAAGGTACAAATCGCGAAAAAAGGAGGGAAGAATAAAGGAAATTATGATGATGATGATGATTACGACGAGCAAAACCCACAACGACGACGCAGAGAAGACAGAAACGCGATGATGCCGACGTTGAGCGAGAAGATGTGGGAGAAATTATACGGGAATACACCGAAGAGCATGGAGTCCTTAAACGCGCCTTGGCACGCTTTTTTGGGAGAGGAAGAAGAAAACGCCAAGGAGGATCGAGGCAGCGTCGACAACGGGTCGGGGAATCAAAACCAGCTGATGCGACAGAGGGAGAAGACTGATTCTTTCGCCGACGCAAAGGCGGCGCCGATTACTGTGCAGTACGCGAACACGATTGAAACCATGAGAACGACGCATAGTCATGCACTCGTGAGCAGCGGTAGTGGTAGTGGTGGTAGGAGTGATGCTTCGGAACGAAACAGAAGCGAAGCGAACACCGCCGCGTGGTTTCGCGGAAGGTGTTTAGCCGTGAACTGCGGCGAGGTGTGCACGGCGCAAGGGTATTTGTGCAAGTTTCACAGAGTCGCAAAATCGGTGATTTTGGAACGGGACAAGAATAAGGAGGAGGTGCGATGGTGTCATTACTGTAAAAAAGTCCAAAAGTTGAGCGAGTTTACCGAGGAGAGTAAGACGCTGTGCCACGCGAAGTACGTGTTGAGATGCAAGAGGAGCAAGAAGAACAGAGAGATGAGTCAGATAAAAAGACAAGAGAAAGCTGCGATGGAAGGTAGAAGCGGTGCGGCAATAATGATGACAAGCACGCCTACGACGACGGCGATGGACGAGCATTCGAGAGAGCAGACATCCAATACAACTACTACCGATGGGACGTCGTCGATGGACGTTGGCAGCGCTCGCTCGGGCGGAAGTGGAAATATCGCGAATATCGCGAATAACAACGCCGTGACGTCCAACGCGCAACATTATTCAGAGAAAAGAAAGAAGGCTTTGAAAAACAACCGCAAATCGAGGGAAGGCACCCCAGAGGAACTGATGATGTCGCCGGAGAATCCGTTCTTTGCCAACCTTCTCGAGGAGAACTTTTTATCTCCAATGGGTAATATGAACACGAATAACGATGAGTTCGACTGGACGTCTACGATCGAAATCACTAATCATCGCGTACGCGTAGACGCGCACCCGGCAGATTTCATGGTCGATAACGAAATGGCCGCTGCGGCGGCTGGGACGGCGATTGTGAATCCGAACAACGCGATCTGGAAAGAGTTGAGCCAAGCTGGTCTCGTCACCAACGACGATCATCAAATTGAATACGCTCAAATCGCTCCTGGATCGACGATTTTGTCCTGGCAAAGCTTCCGCCAAATTCATACGGCTACCAGAGAGGACTTCGTTATTCCGGACGATACGCTGAAGGAGAACGACTTCACGCGCGGCAAACCAGTGAGGGATTCGTCGATATTTTTGCGAAACTTTATGTCGTACTCTGGATTTCGTTCGCGCGGTGGTTCGACTCGCGGGCGCGCCTCGACAGAACAGGCAGTGCATGCGCGAAGATCGCGCGGAAATGATGGATCGATTGAAGTCTTCAAGACCCATCGATCGCACTTGGCGTGGGTGGAAGAAGCTGGAGCTCCGCTCGTTGCTGTCGTTGGTCGCCCATTCATGGTTCGTTTGGGTGCGGACTTTCGTGCAAACGCGATCACAGCTGTGCGAGCTTACGGTGCGTTTGGGACGAGAAAAATATCTGCCGACGAGTTCTCGCCGAGCGGCATCGCAACTTTCCCGGCGGAAACTTTCGCCTCCATGGCGAATTTCAACGGCACCGGTGGAGGTTTGTTTTGGATTCAGTTTGAAACCGTGGATGATCGTTGCTCGATTCCGAAACCTGCATTGATTTTACCAGATTTACAAATGGCTGTGGATACGCATCTCGCCTTGCGAAGTTTACGGAGCGAACACGCGATGCGTTGCGCCATTCAGGATATCGGCAGCGTACTTTCCTTCGCGGAAAGCGGGTACATGTACGAAGATGAGATGCGTGAGTGGTTACGAAGCATCATTCGCCAATGCGAACAATCTCCTCCGTTTCAAGACAATGCGAGATCTTTGATTGCTTTGTTGCAAACAGTCGCAGATGAAATAAAGGAACACGAGAAAGAAATGAAGCCAAAAGCTGACAGAACGATGACGAAAAACAATTATTCGGGCTCGTGCGAGGCTACGGATGTTCATTCGGATTCAGACGTGTTGTATTGGGTTCCAATTAACCCGAATATGCACGAATACGAAATTAATGACTACTTCGAAGAATGGTACGACGACGATATGAATGAGTTTCGATACGGCAATCGGTGCGCGATGATGGTGTACGGTCAGGTTGTATATGGCGCGTGTTTTCTTATCCACTTGTTTCGCTTGGCGAGTCTTTTTAACATCCATCCTTTGTGGGCGTTTTGGTGTAACGGCTCCACGCTCTGGCTCTCATTCAAAACTATTTTCACTCCCGGAGGAATGAAAGAGTATTCGAAGCCGAGATATTTCTATTTGGGTGTGTGGTGGTCGTTCTTCTGGTACGGACGAGTGGTCACGCCAATCATCATGAAGGGGCATGAGCATTTGGAACGCGCACGAACGATGTTGACCGTGTGCATCTTCGTCGCGTGTACGCTGGGATTTTGGCACTTGAAAACGCGCGACGCGATTGTTGGGCCAACTTTCACAGTATTGTTCTGCTACTACGAATTCATATACGCTTCGATATATTCCATCGTGCAAAATGAAGATAGGATGGTTCATATTCGAACTTTGCTCACCGAGTACGTGCTCGTTCTAATCGGAGCAGTCTTTACGACGTTGTATTTGCAAGTTGCCGCGAAATCCCTCGCACTTCGAAGGTGTAAAGCCAAAATGCACGAAGCGAGGATGTCTTTCCGGGGGAAAGTCAAAACAATTTAAGTCGTTCTAGATTCAATCCACGGATATATTCTGTCTCGCTTTTAGCGAATTGTGTATTAAAATTACTATGTGACTATAATATTTTTTTCCTTTTATTAAACTACTACCTACTGTTACTGCTCCTATTTTTACTAAATCGTTTGAGTCCAACGGCTGACCAGTCTGTCTAACGAATTCACGTCTGCTCCTCGCATCACGTCCATTTTCATACCGTATCTGTAGAGAACAAAAGTTGGCATGGCTTGAACTGCTTCTCGCGCCGCGATATCTTGCGCTTCGTCGACGTCCACCTTTAGAAATAGAACGCTGCGGTACTTGTTTAAATTCATGGCCGCGTACGCCGGGGCAATTTGTTTGCACGGACCGCACCACTTCGCGTGAAAATCGACGAGCACTAACTCGTGATTTTGAATCAAAGCGTTGTATTCGTTCATATCTGAACATGCTCTCGGCCCGGCGATTGCTTTGAAGCTTTTTTTGTTCGGTCTTTCCGATTTCTCGACGCACTCGTTGAGCTCGTTGGCGATGTTTGCATCGCCCGGCAATCGAGTCCAGCATAAGAAATAAGCCTCAAACGCGTCGCTGAATTTTTCTTGTTTCTTCAAAGCATCTGCTTTGCGCAAAAGCGCTTTGACGTAATTCACGTCCCCATCCAATACCGCTCGAATGGCTTCGTTCGCGTCGTCCAACGCGCCTTGGTAATCACCAAGTTTAGATTTCATCAGCGAGCGATTGCAAAGCAAAATGGATACACCAGGGGTTACGACCCTCGCCTTCTTCTCGCTCATACCAGTATCCATAACTTGGGAATACTCCGCCGTCGCCGCGTTTATCCCGGCCGTGTACGCGTTCTTGGCGTCCTCGAAATCGCCCGCGCGAAAGCACCCGTTCCCGGTTTCCTTCCCTATAAACACTTGTCTCAAACTCGCGCTCAAATCTTTCAAGTTCTCCTCGCACTTCTTCGGGAACACACTTTCCTTCTCCATCTTTTGAAAGCACTCGCGCACTCTTTTCGGCGTAAACCCGTCCATCCTAATCATCATCTCCCCGCTCGCCATCCGCGACGCCGCTTCGATATCTCCACTCAAAGTCAATTCCGTGTTCAATTTCTCCACCGCTTTCACGCGCTCTGGTTCCAGCGAGACGCTGAGAAGTAAACACCGGATGACGTTCAATCGATTCTGCGTTGGTCCAGCGCCGGATAAAGCGATTGCAAGGTTCGAAAGCGCGGAAGACGTCGGGTGTGTGTTTATGGAATCGCAGTAACTGTTTATCGCGTCGTGGTATTTCCGTCGCTTGTAGAAATCGTTTCCCTTGAGACGCGCGTGCTCGGCCGCTTTTTTTTGCTCCTCTTCGTTCTCTCCTTCCAACATGATAGTGGTGTCGCTGTTACTGTCGACGGGGGGTGTGGGTAAATGTGCGCGTTTGTGTGTGTGTTCTTGTTCGTTTTAAAGTATAAAATGTGCTGAAATTTATGAAGCTTCTTCTCTCTCTATTCTTTCTCTCTCGTCTTCGTCGACGAGCGCACGCGCGCTTCTTTTCACCTCAGGCTCAGATAAATAGTGTAATCAATGCATATTCAGAGTCTTTTCACCTTTAAACATCATCGCATGTTTTCGTGTTCTTCTGCGCGTTCGATCGAGCGTGGATCTGAACGCACAGTTAAAACTCAAAGATACGCGAGCCGCGCTCGACGAGAGAGAAGAGAGAGAGTTTGGTCTAAAACCATCGCCTTCTAAGATAGCCCGTGAAAGATGCGCTTGCTAGGCTCAGCTCGATATTTCAGATCACATTTGTCTCATAAAATGTATGGGAACATTGTTTCGCATCATCGCCTGTATCAATGTCGATTTCTTTCATGCGCACCGACGTCAAAGAGAAAGAGAGAGAGAGAGAGAGAGAGAGAAAGAGAGAAGAAAAATACGCGACGGAAAAAACAAAACTCTTTCTCCGTCTTCTTAGGCTCAGGAAGACAGAGATAATCATGACATTATCAGACTTGCTTGTATTTGTTTTCACCATCATCGCCTTTCGCGCGCGAAGAAAGAGACGAAAGAAAAATGGCACGAAGTCGCGCACCTTACACATATGCTTGGAAGCATACGACGCGAGGAAAAGTTTTGTATCTAATTTCAGCTCAGAACGTTCCTGAAGTTTTGTAATCACGAGTCCACCGCAAAACACATCCAATCGCGGCAGAGAGTCATAACCCACAATGCATTCTCTTAGCATCATCGCTGAGTGAGGCTTGTGCCAAAAACCACCACAAACGCCCCAAATACAAAACACCAAACACCACTCGCAAAAGAGAATGTCGCATGTGTGATCTGTTTTTCCCACTTGCCCTAAAACCTTAAACGCCTTTTTTATCTCTTTGCCTTCAGAGAAAGAAATTTTCCCGCACAAAAAAACAACACGTAAAGAAGGGTTTGTTTGGTCGTCGGGACAGAACGTCATCTTTACAACAACAACAACGCAATTAAATTACCGAAAAGAGTATGACTACTTCTATAGCTTCCGCCGTTTTAACGAGTCGATGCGCTCCGTCGTCCTCGTCCTCGTCGTCGTCTAAACGAGAAACATTAACAAAATTTTCAATGACGACGAAACCCCGACAGACGATCGCGGTGAAATCATCAAACGCTTTTGCGGATGATGAATTGTACGTCCCTCCGGGAGGTTCCATCGTGGACGCGTCCGGGTACGAGATGTTTTCGTCCGCGTCCGGTATAATTCGCTCGGAAACGCAGGCGAATATGGTCGTCCCGCGATCCGAAGCTGGCGATCCGTTTCAAATGCTCCTGAGGCAAAGAATCGTCATGCTGGGGAACCAAGTGGACGACTTCATCGCGGACGCGATTATTTCTCAGTTGCTTTTGCTGAACCAACAAGACCCGACGAAGCCAATCAAATTGTTTATTAACTCGCCCGGTGGGTCAGTCACGGCTGGGATGGGGATTTATGATGCCATGCAGTTTGTGCAGGCGCCGGTCGGGACGGTGTGCATGGGGTTGGCGGCGAGTATGGGGGCGTTTTTGTTAACCGCGGGAGAGAAAGGGAAGAGATTGTCCATGCCGAACGCGAGAATTATGATTCATCAACCGTTGGGTGGTGCGAGTGGTCAAGCGGTGGATATCGAGATTCAAGCGAAGGAGATGATGTTTCATAAAGGACGATTGAACCAGTTGATGGCGTTTCACTCCGGGCAGCCGGTGGAGAAGATTGACGTGGATACGGATCGAGATCGATACATGTCGCCGCTGGAGGCGAAGAATTACGGGTTGATTGACGAGGTTATTGGTGGTGACGACGCTGGGTTGAAGATTGAAGGCGAAATGGCTGACTTTAAGAAGACCAAGGCTGAGTACGTCAGCTGGGGGAATAAGTAAGAAAAAAAAGATTGAGGAGAGAGAGAGAGAGAGAGATGGGAAGAGGAGGTAGCGACGAGAGCTCGACGGAGTTTTTGATATCTTTCTTCCTCCTCTCGCGATATCTTTCGTGTACGTAGGAAATGAAATAGAATTTGTTAATACTAAATAAGATACATATACAGTAAGATGATTTTAACGTCATAACAGAAATAGTGGATAAAGCGCGATTTTTAGAGTCGTTTCGTAGTTGTATTTTTCACAACGGAAAACAAGAAAATTTATTAGTATCGCTCGACTATGTGTTCGTATCATTTTGAATGCGCTCTTGTTGTTGTTATTATTATTGTCGTATTATGTTCTCTTCGAAGTCTCTCTCTTAAAGAATCATAAACGTCTCAAACTCTTCTTCTTATCCACCTTCTTTGCTTTCTTGACGACGTTTGCGTTTTCGCCACCGGCGGATGCCTCTTTCCCTTCCTTGCCGCTGCTACCGTTTTCCTTCCCGGATTCCGACAACGAGTTTCCATCCTTCGCATCCAGCACGTTGCCTTTCTTCTTCGCGGTCGTTGCCGTTGCCGTCGCCGCACCGCTCCCCTCTTCCACTTTCGCCGCGTGAACTTTCGTAAACATCTTCGCCCGGGCAAAGTACTCGTCGTACTCCTCCAACAACATCCTCGCCGCCTCCTCGTTCAACGCGCTCTCTGGAAACGGTTCAATCATCAAGCACCGAATGACCATCAAAACGTGCCGCAAACCTAAATCTGGCTTCCAATCTCGTTTCAACGTGTTCACGCAAATCTCCCCGGACGGTTGTCGTATGTTCGGGTGGAAAATTTTCGTCAAAAAGTACCCTTTCGGCGCCGACGTCGGGTAATCTGCGGGAAGCACCAACTTCATCTTAAACACGCCATTTTCAAAGGGCGTGTTCTCTGGACCTCGAATTTCCGCGTACACGTCTTGTACGTTCGATTCTGTCAGTTTTACCTGTTGTTTTTTTGCATGTCGGTGCAAGAGGAAAGAGAGAGAGAAATCCGTTACACGTAAGTTTTGAGCGCGAAAACACCACGCCTTTCAGTAAAAAGGGGAAAAGAAACCGAAATCCCATCATCTCTAACCGCCCCCGCCGTAAACGACGACGAAACGATCAATACTATACGAGAACAAGAATAAAGAGAGAACTAAAAAACGTACCGTGATTCCTTCCGCGGGATTCTTCTGTAAATCTTTAATCTGTTTCACGATGGCGTTCACCGTCGCGGACGAGAGGTGTTCCATTCTTCTTTTCTTTCTAGGGGGGGTTGTTGGGTCAGACGAAATCTGATTTTTTGGAACCAACAAACAACTAAAACGCTCTCTGTTTTTGCGCGAGAAAAAAGGAACGCACGACAAGCACCAATCGCAGCAGAGAGAAGTGCGTTGCTGTCGCTGTTCTTCGCGGAGAAAGAAGCTTCTCTCGAGTTTCAGAGCGGTGTTTTTTCTCTCTCCCCTTTTGTGGGGGGTGTGAACAGGAGTAAAGTTTTCCCTTCTTTTCTCTCTCGTTGTTTTTACCTAAACCCTATCGTGAAAAAACCCTAAACAGATTTTTGTCTCTTTTGTTCCCTCCAACTTGAAGAGAGAAAAAACATCGGTGTTTTCTACGTCAAACACATCACGCGCAGTTTATTTATGCACATTTCTTCGTCTTCTTTCTCAACTGGAATGAGTGTTCCAGTAAGTGGTAGCAATAATACTTTGTTGTTTCGGCGGGATACTACTTTTTTACCATTATTCAAGAAGAAGAGTAGTATTATTAAGAAGAAACGAATGAAGATGATGAAGATGACGAGGATGCGCAAGAGAGATGATGAAGACGACGAATTTGATGACGACGATGCGCTCACGACGACGATTCAAAGACAAGACCAAGAAACGTTGCGATGCAAACACAAACCGTTGTTTCGAGAGGACAAACCGTTTTTACCGCGAAAGATTTTCTCCAACGTCGAAGGGACGTGGGCGTTTGATACCGTCTCGAGACGGTTGCACGAAGATATTCTGGAAAGAGTCTTCAAGGACAACGCGAAGGATATCTTAAAAGACGCGTCTTCATCAGCGTGTAAGAAATTACGAAAGCTGCAATGGGAGCTAGAGAAGAACGAAAAAGTCACGTACGTGGAGGAAGATGGAGGCGAAGACGTGGAGACGTGGAAAGCGCTCATGCGGGAACACGTGCAAAGTAAAACGAGATGGCAAAGTATCCCGTGGTTGGACGCGGAGTTTTACTTTTATCGCAGAGTGTTGAGCGCGATCGGGTATTTCGACGCGAAGAGCGAAAACTTTGGTAAAGATCCGTTTAAGAAGGATAAGAGGAGAGGGTTGGAGGCGAGTTTGAAACCGGCGGTGAATTTGGCGAAGAAGTTGAAATCGTTCGACGCGAGGAAAGAGGCGGATTTGAGGAGCATGGTTTTCGTCTCTTTGTGGGGAAATCGAGCGGATTTGAGCATTTGGGCGGCGGAGGACGCGGAGAAGACGGCGGGAGAGTACGCGAGCGGCGGAAGCGATGGGGAAGACGAGGATAAAAAGAACAAGAACGCGCTCTTAACGGACGATTCAAAGGCGCTGTGCGCGTATTTAGCGAGCGGGGAGTTGAAGGGTAAATCGGTGTCTTTAGTCGTAGACAACGCGGGATTCGAGTTAGTGTGTGATTTGGCGTTGGCGGACGCGTTGACGGCGGTGTGCGACAGAGTTGTGTTGCGAGTTAAAGCGCACCCGACGTTCGTTTCGGACGCGACCGTCGAGGACGTTTGGGAACACGTGGATTTTTTAGAGTCTGCGTCGTCGAGTAGTAGTAATAGCAGCAGCAGCAGCGGCAGCAGTAGTAGTAGTGGTAAAAGTAACAAAAGCGATAAAGCTAGTGAAGAGGGTAGGGAAAAAAGTAAAGATGTCGAGGCGCGAAGAAAGATGGCGTCGCGATGGAAAAGCCACCTGTTGAGCGGTCGGTGGGTGGTTGAACCCGATTTTGCGTGGTGTCAGCCGCAGCCGTTTTGGAATTTGCCGGCACTCGCGAGAGCGTCGTTGAGTTCAGAGCTCAACGATACCGGTTTAACGATAATCAAAGGCGACGCGAATTACCGTCGACTACTCGGAGATAGACTTTTTGATCACTCAAAAGATGCGTTTGAGGACGTCGTTGCGTACTTTCCGTCGCCAGTGGTTGCGTTGCGAAGTTTGAAAAGCGAGTTAGGTTGCGGCATGCCGAAAGAAAAGTGCGAGAGCGCGAGGAAGGCGAGGAAGGATTGGATGACATGCGGTGTATACGGCGTCGTTCAGTTTGTGAGACATCCGGTGCAACAAACTGCGGTGGCGGATGCGGTCGTGAATCAAGCAGATCCGTTCGCGGATTCGCACGAGCTGCAAAAAGTGCTAGTGGCCATAGCCAACGCCTGCGCGGAAATCTCGGAACGAGTAGCCGCGCAGCCGACACTATCACCGTCGGAAAGAGGCTACACCGGGGAAACAAACGAATCCGGAGACGTGCAAAAGAAACTGGACGTGTTTTGTGACGACGTTTTTGAGAAACATTTGATCGAACGCTTACACAATAACGAGAGAAGCGTCGTAAAGGCGTATTTTAGCGAAGAACGAAGCGAGAAAATGGCCAAAAGCGGGGCGGCCGAGGATGATTTTATCGATTTCGGCGCGTCGTTTGTCGTCGTCGCCGACCCTTTGGACGGATCGCGCAACGCCGATATCAACATTCCCGTCGGTTCCATTTTTGGTATTTATCAATTCAAAAACAACGAAAAGCTCGAAGACGTCGTTTTGAAACCAGGACGAGAACTTATCGCCGCCGGATACGCGCATTACGGCAAAGCAACATCCTTCGTCTGCGTCCCTGGACCAAACGCGAACGCCTGCGAGTTTTGTCTCGACGAGAAAACGAAAGAGTTTAAACTCGTCAAAGACAAAATAACTATTCCGGAACGCGGTCAAGTCTACTCCTTGAACGATGCCAGAGAACCCGATTGGCCTTCCGGTTTGAAAAAATACATCGACGACGTGCGCCGGGGCGACGGCGAAAGCGGGAAGAAATACTCCGCGCGATACATCTGCGCGCTCACGGCTGATTTCCATCGAACGATACAAGAAGGCGGGTGGTGCGGAAACCCTCGCTCTCACTTACGCGTCGTGTACGAGTGCAACCCGCTCGCGTTTGTCGCGAAAGCCTGCGGAGGCCGCGCTTCCGACGGCGAACGAGACATATTAGACATTCTCCCTGCTGACTTTCACGAAAAAACGCCGCTCTTCGCGGGATCTAGCGAAGATATCGCCGAGATTGAAAAGTATGAAAACGTGAAACAAACCGAAGGTGGCGGGTATAAGATTTAATATGACATCATTATTTTCCACTCGAGTAAAAAATATCAACAAACACACACACAACACACACACTCTAAAAAGCATCATGTTACAAGAACCAGCGCACCAAAAAGGCGACGGGCCGCAATGTCAAGCATCAACAAAGAAAGGTAAGAATACACGCGCGCGCCAGCGCTCGAGAGAACGTTGAGTTTTGTCCGAGGGAAGGCGCGCCGTAAAAGCGCGTTTGTTTTCCCGAGGAGGTTTCACACTTTAGGGAGATACAAAACTCTCTCACCAACCGAGCGCGCGCGCGCGCACTTTCGCGCCTCTATTTTTGCGCTAAACTGACGATTCTCCTTCATCCCTCTTCTCTCCGTTTGGGTGTCGTTACAAAAGGCGAACAGTGCAAGCGTCCAGCTCAAGAAGGGTCCAAATTCTGTGCGCAACACTCCTCTGCTGCTTAAAAGAGTCTCTCGTTTTTGTATCTATAAACGAAAGAAAAACGGAAGAGAAACAAAACTTTAAAAGAGAGAGAAAGAGAGAAGAAGCGCGTGAGATTATGCGTTTTTGCGTCCTCCGCGTTGGTGTCTGCGCTGCGCGATGATCGCGACGAGAGAGTGAGAGAGAGAGAGAGAGAGAGAGAACGCGCGTAGTATATACTCCGAGACGTAATAAAAGAGAGACAACACATGCGCGATTTTACCACAAAACGAAAAAACGTTTCACAGAAAACCACACTTCTTTCCCCCCCCATTCTCGTACCTACTAAGAACGCGGTGTTGTTCGAGAATACTAAATGTCGTCCTCCGATCGACACCCACCCTCAGACGAGGAAAAAACGAAGAGACGGAAACGAATAAACGTCTCGGTCGGGATATTAGGCCACGTGGACTCCGGGAAAACCTCCTTAGCGCGAGCGCTTTCGACGTCGTTTTCAACCGCCTCGTTGGATAAAAACCCGCAATCGAAACTGCGTGGGATTACGCTCGACTTAGGGTTCAGTTCATTCGTGAACAGACGAGAGATTTTAACGAGAGATGGTAAAGAAACGGTCGAAGTGGACGTGTGTTACACGATGGTGGACTGTCCCGGGCACGCGTCGCTGATTAAAACCGTCCTCGGGGGCGCGAGTATTATCGATTGCATGATTTTAGTCGTGGATGTGAACAAAGGCATCCAAACGCAAACGGCGGAGTGCGTCGTCGTCGGGGAGATTGCGGTGAAGAAATTGATCGTGTGCTTGAATAAAATAGACTCGATAGAGGACGAGGAGAAGAGGAAGGCGAAAATAGTGCAAGTGGAGAAGAAGATACGGATGGCGTTGTCGAAATCGAAATTCGCGAGTCTCGATTTCGTGGCGACGAGCGCCAGGCCGGGGGGAGGGAACGATCAAGACGTTGGGTCGAAAGAGACCGAGGCGAAACCGATTGGGTTGGAAAGTTTAGTGAAGATTTTAGGGGAACGCGTGCCTAAGGAAAGATTCGAGGAGTTGGAGAGTAAGGCGACGACTTTGTCGTCGACTTCTGCATCAAATTTTCTCTTCGCCGTGGACCATTGTTTCGCGGTGAAAGGGCAAGGCACGGTGCTCACCGGTACCGTTTTGAACGGGTCGTGTAAAGTAGGCGATTTCGTGGAAATTCCGCATCTGAAAGAAGAGAAAAAAGTGAAATCTATGCAGATATTTCGAGAGTCGACGGATAGGTGCGCCAGAGGCGACCGCGTAGGGATGTGCGTGGCCGGTTTAGATCCGGAAGGATTAGAAAGGTTCTTAGTATCTTCACCGAAAACGGTCCCGACGTTTGACCGGGCAATCGTAAGTTGCGAGAAGATTCGTTTGCATAAAAGTGAAGTGAAATCGAAAGCAAAGTTTCACGTCACAGTTGGACATCAAACGGTCATGGCCAAGGCGATTTTCTTCGGCGACGCGAATAGTAGTAGCGGTAGTAGTAGTAGTAGCATTAGCGCCGCCTTGACTAGTGAAACGCTCGCAGGTGCAGTAGGGACGCTCTCGTTGAGTAATGGCGATACCGGCGGAAACAATAAAAAGCAGGAATTTGATCGTCAACGAGAGTACGCGTTAGCGAACGAGTTGCTCCACGTGAGCGAAGTCGTGAAGAAAGAAACAGTCGCGGCGGAAGACGAAAAGAACAACGACTCTGAGAATCAAAACGAAGATGAAGAAGACGAGGACACCGCGAACGTGTTCGCCAAGTACTGCTACCTGGAATTTGAGAAGCCCGTCACTGCTCCTGAAAATGCACTTTACATAGCCTCAAAACTCGACGTTCCAGAAGGTTCCAACGTGTGTCGACTGGCGTTTTTTGGCAAAACGCTCTCCTGCGCCGACACCTCCAAATCACCAAATTTCGCCGAAGAAAACTTACGTCTTTTCTCCGTAAAATCACGCAAAGGTACAATCGAACGTGCAGAAAGCGACAATCGCACGTGCGTTTGTAAAGGCATGTTCAAAAAAGAATCCGATTTGTCCAGTTTCCGAAACATGTTGGTTTGGATGGACTCGAGCGCCGGCGGCGCGAGAGGTCGCATCGAAGGCTCTTTCGGAAAGACCGGTAAGTTCAAAGTCTACTTCGAGAAGGAAATCGATATCAGCAACGCAAAAACGAGTCGCAAGATTACCATGCGATTCAAACGATTCGTCTACGACAAGAGCGAGAAGAGAATCATGGATCAAACTGGTTTGTAGATATTATTTTTATGAAGGAGAAAGCGGAAACGCTTTTTTTTAAAAAACGACGAAAAACATCACAACTGTAAGATCAGAACTGTAACATCAGAACTTAAGCGCTCGTATTCTCTCATCATTCAAAAGAAAGAACAAAATGGAAACGAGAGAGATCACTCCGGAACAAATCGTCATGATAATTGTTTTCGTGGCCATACCCGTAGGCTTGATTGGTTTAATCGTTCTGTTTTCATTCGCGTCGTGTTGCGGGTATCAAATAGCCGTGATTTCTCCAAAAACTTCTCGTTTAGACGATGACACGTCCTCGTCGTCGGGAACGATAGGGTACAAGCACGAATACGACGTGCACGACGATGAATCCACGGACAATGACTTGGAATCGAACGCTGTGAAGACGCCGCCGAAACGATATTCGTTGATTCGCTTTATATCTAACGGGAATAACAAAAACCAGACCAAGTGAGAGAGAGAAGGAAGGGGTTTTCAATTTGCACTTTAATGTCTGCGATAACTATTTATATACAACTACAACTTGCTACTACTACATACACCACGATACATACATTAGGCATTCACTAAATCCGCGCACTACTCGCTTAATTATGCTCTTTCCTATCCAATTTCAACCGCGTCAATCGTCCTCGTACACCTGGCACTGCCGCTCGCGCTTGATGGCGGGATCGCACAATCTTAAAATTCCGGCTTCGGACCACGTCTTCACCAACTCTCCTTCTAAATCAAACGCGTGGCTTTCATGCGCGCGCAACTGAATCGAATCCATCACCGAGTGTCGTCCATCCATGGTGGTAAAATAGTGATACGGTGCTCTCAACGTGTCTCCTTCCCAAGACCGTTCCAAGGACATACCGTACACCGCAACCTTCCCGCATAAGTGTCTCGCGATGTAAATCGCAATGAACCCACTACTCGGTGATACACCAGTCGACAAGTCTCGAAACTTTTTCCGCTTGCTCGGACGTAACTTAAGCAGTCCTTCTCGAAACGCCCTTAACGTCCATCGCGCTCTCGTGGCCACGCCGTGCGCCATGCTAAACACCTTAACGTCGCCGTCTCTTTCTTTTCTCACCGTCGCGGCTAAATGCTCAAACTCTGTCGTTCGCGCTCTCGTTACCACATACGACGCCCCGGCAGTATCGGCAAACAGAAACCCTTTCCCCATCTTCTGATTAAAAATCTGCGTCCACTTTCTATTCAACACCCTCAACGTCGTCTTCTTCCCGGCGAACCGTTCGAAATATTTCGTCGGCGCTTGGTTCACTCTAAAAACCGCGTCGTGATTATCGATGCGCTCGCCTTGTTTCCTGTCCCCAAACGTCGTCAAAACGCCTGAATTTAAAACGACGGCGCACGTCCGGTAAAACTTCATCGACGGATCGTTATTCTCGTTGGAATCCCCTCCTCCGTACGGCGCCGAAGCCGGTAAATTTTTCGACGGAAACCGTATCCGATCTTTCGGTTGTAACCGTCTGTGATTCTCTACCGTTAAAAACAAATCTTCTACTTTGTAATTAAACGGTGATTTTGTTATCTGCAAGGCTACGTTCGTCATCGAGGTTGGATTTTGTATCAACGGTCCATCTCGTCCTCCTCCTTTGTCTTCCTCTTCCTCTCCAAAATCGTTCACATCCACATTCACCTTCTTTGTCTTCTTTTCTTGGTTCGTCTCATCTCCTCTGCTACTACTACTCCCGTTAATTCCAAACATTTCGTTCATCTCCATGTCTTGGTACTCTCCAATCTCTAAATCCTCCAATATCGCGTTCTCGTCGTCATTACTTCTCGTCCTCATCATTTCATCATCTTCAACATCCATCAACTGTATCTTCGAATGTTTTTTATGCGACAGAACGATGCTCGCGAGCACGGCGACGATGAGGATTCGGAGCACGACGTTCTCGATCGTCCTCCTCCTCTGCCTTTTCGACGACGAAGAAGAGGAGGAAGCAGAGGAGGAGAGTCTGCCTTTCCGCATCTCAACAAAGCAGATAGAATACGCGTTGGGGAAAAAGTGGCGAAAGAATTCAACACAAAAAGACTCTCATAAGATATAAACAGAAAGAAAGATGACGACGATGAGCGCTCTCAAAACCCCTCGTTGTTGTTATTGCGCGTGTTCCTTGATGAAGAAGAAAATGAAAATGTTGCCCTTTTCATCATCGTCGCGGAGCAAGAAGAGCTGCACGATTGGTAGGGGACTGAGTCATCACCCCACGGGGAAAGAAGCAAAATCATCAACATCAACATCATCATCATCATCATCATCGAAAGAAGAGGGAAAGACATTTTGGATGGAAACTACATCGAAAGAGTGCATCTTAGCCGCGTTGGAGTCGGGATGCGCGTCTGCGTTCATCGTCAGCGATGAAGCGATGCTTGATAAGTTTATGAAATTCACGACACATCCGGATGTGGGAGCTGATGCTGCTCGAACAAGCGGTGAAAATTTTGACGGAGGAAAAACAAAGACATCGATGCTGCGATGGTTTCGACGAGAAGAAGAAAACACCAATGCAAACGGGGGAGGAGGATCGTTGGTGGAATTTTCGAGCGGCGAAACAATCGCGTCGATCGTGACGATTACAAATCCAGAGGACGTGTCGCTGGCGGCGAAGCGAACCGGCGTCGTCGTGGTGGATGTTTCGGAGAACGATTGGTCGATTATTCCCGCGGAAAATTTAGTCGCCGCGAGTGCGGAACGAGGAGGTGAAGTCGAGTTCATCGCGTGCGTGAAGACGAGCGAGGAGGCGTTGGAACAGTTGGAAGCGTTGGAAACTGGAGTGAACGGGGTGGTTTTGAAAACGGACGACGTGAAGGAGGTGCGATTATTCAGCAAAGTGGTGGATAAAATAAAGAAAAGAGGACGAGAGAACGAGCGACTGGAAGTCGCGAAGGTGACGAACGTGAAGAATTGCGGCACGGGTGATCGAGCTTGCGTGGATTGTTCGACAAATTTTAAACCCGGCGAGGGTTTGCTCGTGGGAAATTTCGCCAACGGTTTGTTTTTGGTACACTCGGAATGCATCAGCGGAGAAGGGTACGTCAATTCGAGACCGTTTCGAGTAAACGCAGGGGCTGTGCATTCGTACGTGCAGATGCCCGACGGACGAACGGGGTACTTATCGGAATTGAAAGCCGGCGAGGTTGTTTTAAGGGTGAACGCGGAAGGCGAAACCGAAGAAGCGACGGTTGGACGCGTGAAAATTGAAAGGAGAAGCATGGTTCTCGTCGAAGCCGAAAAAGATGGCGAAACGTATTCGTGTTTACTTCAAAACGCTGAAACGGTTCGATTGATTTGTAACAATAAAGGCGAGGCGAAATCGGTCGCGGCTTTGAGAAAAGGCGACGAGGTATTGATTAAAATCGGTAAGCAAGCGAGGCACACGGGAATTGCCATAGATGAAGACACGTGGTGCGAGCGGTAGTTTTGTCAGTTAGGAATAGTCACGCGTGTTGTTCTAGTCTAGTAAAATGTACACATGTATTTAAAGCTTCGTTCTGCGCTTCTTCTTTGAAGACTCGTCGTCATTGGTTGGCGGTCTCGCGTTTCTGGGGAACTTAATTGGCGCAATAACCGCCCCGGACGGTTTCAAGATTTTCGGTTTCGTCAATTTTCTGAACTGTTTATCCGTGTTGACGTCTGCTCCAAGGGGCGTTCGCATGCTGCCTTCGTAGACGGCTTTGGAATCGTAGCCGCGAGGAAGCTGCTCGACGTTATACGCCGCGGCTTTCTTATCGTACCTTTCCGAGATGATAACGCGCTTCAGTTTGGCATCTTTTCTAGATTTCAACGCCTTTTCGCGAATGGCGTCGGCTTTTTTGTTCTGGTCGATGATCCATTTTGGCGTGCTTTTGCGCTCTCCTTCCCAGGCGCCCCATCCCGGGAGTAAAGTTGGCCTTTCCACGTCCGGAAGTTCCTCTTCGATGTCTTTAAGTTTCTCCTTTTTGAACGCCTCTTCGACGTCATCACCGGCAAATGCGCGCGAAACTAACGATTTTTGGTCGTCTAATTCAGTCGCAGCGGTAGTTGGAAAGTCATTCGCGTCGTCGTTTATATCGCCGCCTTCTTCTTCAACGTACGTTCCGTTGGCGATGGCTTTTTTCTTTTGCTTCTCCTTCTCTGCCTTTTCGGCGATGTGACGCGGTTCTGCATACAGCTCAGCTTTTTTCATCGCGGCAGCCTTTCTCTTCTTTTCATCTTCGTCGTCTTCCATTAGCACGGGTTCAAACTTTTCAAATCGCGCTGGAGGTCTGTTGCGCAGCGCGGCGCGTTCGCGAAGAGCTCTCGCAGATTTCGAAATTGGTACCGTTTTCGCTGGTACCGGTGCCGCTGCTTTTTTCTTCTCCACTTCTTTCTGTTGTTGCTCGGACTGTTTCTCAGTTCTGCTCTTCTTCTTCATAGTCGCCGCGCCAGCTTTTTCGGCAATCGCTTGCCACTCCTGCGCGTCCTTCTCGTCGACGATGTTCAAATCATCGTCGTCGTCAGAGCCGTCGCCGGAACCGTCTCCGTCATCTTCCCGCTGCATCTCCTCTAAGATCGCTTTAGCCGCTTCAGCTGTTTCCATCTTCTTTTTCTCCTGCGCTCGCTTCATAAATGGTAACGCAAAAACACCTTTCGATAATCCTTCCGGCATATCCTCGTCCCCGCCGTTGGCTTGGTACAAAGCGTCCAACGCTTTTTGCTTCGCGCGTTTGCGCCTTTGCTCTGGATCTTCATCTTCAGAATCGGACTCACTCTCTGAACTGTTGTTCGTGCCGTCGTCGTCGGAGGTTTCATCTCCGGGCGCGTACACTTTCTGCTTCAACTGTTGCGCCAACCGATGTTGTTCGGCCATGGCTTCTCTCGTACCCGGCAAATGCGCGATGCCTTTTTTTATCGCTCTTTTCGCCCATCTGGACGTGTTGCGATGTTTTAACAACACGCGCTCGCGCACGCGAAAGTATTCTCGTCGCTCTTCAGCCGTTCGACCTTCGCTATCTAATCCGTTTTCATCGAGATCGTCATCGTCCATCGTCAAACCGAGATCGTCGTCGTCGCCGCCGTCTCCCATCAGCTCGCCGTTCTTTTTCGCCTTGAGCTTATTCGCTCTCTTCTCGCGTCGATGATAGTCTTTAGATTTGATTTTCTTTAACCGCGCTGCTTTTTGTTCGTGATAAAACATCAAAGCTTTCATTTTTGCCAATCGCGCGCGTCTCGCTTTCGCTTCTTCCGGATCCATCTTCGATAAAGCCAGTTCTTCGGTTTTCGCGATTTGTTCTTCGTCAGCTGCCTCCGCTTCATCCTTCAAAATGGCGGCAATTTCTTTCTCCATCTCAGTTCTTGGCTCAAAGTCGTCTCTCAAAGCACCTAAAGTATCTTTCCTGTTGATCATTTTCTTCGAGGACGGGTCGAACGTGAGCGTTTCTTTCTTTCTGTTTTCTTGGACGATGGGTTGCCATTTGCCGAGATCCTCTTTGTTCATGTCGTACGCCGCGGCGCGGGTCATTTTTTCCGTCACCGATTTCCTCGCGGGCTGTTGCGTAGCTTCTTTACCAGAGATTCGCCGAAGCGCACGTAACGATGCGCCGCTTAAATGTTCTTCTTTTCTAGGCTTGGTGTCGTCGTCGTCGTCGTCGCCGTCGTCGCCCTCATCTTCATCGTTGGCTATCTCCCCGGTGGATCGTTTCGCTCTGGTCAACGCCGCAATCGCATCCTCTAACGTCAACGTTTCTCCGTTCAAATCCACCGGCGCGTTATACTCGCCCTCTTTCTCGTACTCTGTCACCGAACCGGGTTTGGGTTGTTCCAACCTCCTCTCTCGTCTGTTTTCGCCTAAAATATCGTCCAACATCTTCTTCCGCTTATCGTCCTTCTCGTCGTCGTCCAACGCTCTCGTTTCCTCGTCGTCCTCGGAATCTAAATCGACTCGCTCCTCCTCGTCCAACGCATCGTTCACGCCTCGCACTTTCCTCTTCTTCGCGACGGCGGTTACGGACGGTGGTACTATTTCGCTTCTTTTAACGGGAGCAGCAGCATTATCGCCGTCCTCCGATTGTGAATTTTTGCTCGTCGTCGTCTTATTCGTCTGCATGGCTCTCGCAATCAGCTCGCCATACCCGTCGTCGTCTTCGTCCTCTTCTTCTTCTTCTTTTTCTTCCTTTCTCTTTTCGTCGTAAAACCGCATCCCTCGATACATCTCTTTGTCCTCCTCTGCGAACGCTTCGTCCTCGTCGATTTCTTCGTCCGTGAAGTCCTTCGGTAAATCGTCGTACGCGTCGTCTGAATCCTCGTCCTCGTTTTCTGAATCATTTTCTTTCATCTTCTCATTCCTCTTTTCGATGTTGATTCCGCCGCCAATGGTGTTCCCGGAATTCGTTTCCGTCGTCTTCTTTGAACCATTATCACGACCACCACCGCTCGTCTTCTTCGTTAACTTCTTCGAGTTGTTGTTGTTGTTGTTGTTCTTATTCTTAGTATTATCTCGATTTCGTCGCGCAGACGGCATTATTAGTATTCTCACGTCGTATGCAACACGTAGTGTGCTTTTGTGTAAGAGTCGAGAGAGCAGCAGCCGCTGAAAAAGTGGCGTGTGTTTATTAAAAAAAAGCAAGCGAAAAAAAAAAGGATGATGTTTACTCACATCCCGTGGGCCCAGTGTTCCATGAATTCGTCCCAGTCTTCCGGGTCGGCCCAGTATTCCATGACTTCTTCCCAGTCGACGTAATCTCCTTCCTCTTCCTCAGAAGAGTATAACTCTCCGTCTTCGTACGACCAACCATCTGGTAACGGGCAGTCGTTGTCGAGGAGGTATTGTACACACTCGGTGTGGTTTTTGTTGTGCGCTCCTCGTACGGCCCAATAGTTCCAAGGCGCTTTGGCGGTTTCGTGCAAGTACTTCAAACAGTCTAAGTGGCCGTTTTTGGCCGCCAACTGACACGCGCCTTCGTCAAATTGAAACTCACGCTCAACAAGATATTCGAGTATGTAGAGATGACCATTTTTAGCCGCCCAAGCGGCAGTTTCCGGACCCCAAGGCGCTTTCGCTTCTTCACGTAAGTATTTGAGTACCTCGAGATGACCGTCTCCGGCAGCCTTTGCACACGTCAACGTACTGATAGGACACTCATTTGCAACGCAATACTTGACCATTTCCAGATTACCTTGTTCTGCGGCCCTATTAATCGTCCCTTCATTCCACTTACACTTTTTCTCCTCTCGCGCCCACTTGAGCAACTCGAGTTTATTCGTTCCAGCAACTTGCCAGCAGAACTTTGTTTCAGCATCGCTCCAGTCACTCGGCAACAACGATTTATGCTCCCACGCAACTTCCAAAGTCGATACCGACGACATCTCGTCGACCTTAAACTTCTTCTTCAAATCACCCGCGCGAGTTGATCTCTTAATCAACTTTCTCGTTTCACCATTCACCTCGTACAAGAATTTCACATCATTCGAATTCAATCTCGGAAGAATATGTTGGAAACAAATATCATCGTCATTCACGATCAAATCCCACACATCTCTCTCCCCCATTCGTCTTTTCTGCGCTCTCGTTGTTATCACTCCAGAAGACATGACGTTTGTCTCGCGACACCAACTTCTCCTCTTCTTTTTCTTCTTCCTTCTCGAAAGTCTTTTTAATTAAATGTGTTATAACGATTTGTTTTTCGTCAAAGAAGAAAAAATGGCGTTTTTGATATATTAATAGACGACATTATTAACACACCAACCTTTTGAAAGGCGATGATGATGATAATGATGATACATGATGTTTTTATTGTTTACGTTATTACATATACTTTATTTCCTTCTTCTTCTTTGGGTCGTCGAAGCGAACGACGCAATCGAACATTTCGCCTCGACACAAGCGCTCGGCTAAGCGAGCGTTTTTAATCATGGCTAATTTGAGCGAGTCGCAAACGAATTCGGCGTTGTAATTCGTGTGCACGGCTCGACCCATACCTTCGAGGACGACGAGGTCGACGTTTTCGGAAGCTTCGATGAGTTCGCGACTGGCGCGGCGAAGGTCGATGCAAGGACCGCCGTTACCAGAGGAAACGACGGAGAGTTTTGCCGTCGCGCGTTCTTCTTCTCTCGGCGCTTCTTCTTTTTCATCTTCGTCAAAGTATAACGCGGATTTGAGTATGCCACCGCACGTTTCCGCGGCGCGATCAAGCAAGGAGGATAATTCGTCCGCGGTGACGTCGTTGAGCGCGGGTAAGGCGTTCGCGACGAGAACGACTTCCGTGCCTCGTCGTAAGAGTTCGACGACAAACGGAAGGACGCCGAGGACGATATCCGCGCCGCTGTTGTCGACAAAGATGTGCGCTTTCTTGTAGCCGTCGTTTGAGGATAACTTCTTTGCAAACTCTTCGAAACCGTCAATTTTCCATGACAACCGCGTCGCGTTTTTTCTCGCCGCTTTGTAAATGTCGAGGATGGTGCCGTTGTTGTACAAATCTACGCACGCTTGCGACCCCCAATCGAAGACGTTTCCGGCGAGTACGCCTTCGACAATTTGAATCAAGCGTTGACTTTCATCTTCCATTTGCTCGAGCTCTTCGAGGAGTTCGGGTAAAACGACTAAAGCGGCATCGTTTTCACGTTGTTTTACGTCCGCGTAAGCGTCGGCAAACCCACAGTCTCGTAAACACTCTTCTCTCGCTTCGAACAAAGAGGAAAGAGAGATTTTGCCGCATCCAAACGGGTCTTTGAGCAACCGGTCGAGCAACGAATCGTACGCGTTTCGAAACTGTTCCGCGCGTTCCGAGGGCGTTTTCTTGCGGTAGTTGTTGTTGGACTCGAAATCGTACGCGTCGTAGTTCACGAACGCGTGGTGCTCGTCCAACGAAGCGCGCGCGCTCGATTTTTCGTGCTCTTCTTCGTCGTGGTTTTCGAGTTCTGAATCTCTCGCGCGTTCCGCGACGCCCGCGGTGAGCGATTTCAACACCATCAGCCAGTACTCGCGATCTTCGGCGCTGATTGTCGTTTTTGCTTGCAAATCAAACGTATCCGGCACGTACGATTCCGGGTTTTGTAACAACGGGTACGGTTCTAACAACGGCGCGTAGTGCAAAACGCCAACGTCAAAGTCGTTCGGCGGCGCACGCACGCCCAAGTGGCTCGATAAATTCGAATATCCACGTCGATGTCGACTTTGATGCGAGAAACTATTGTGTCTCGGCGCGGGTTGTTCTCTCGCTAAACCTGAAAGTGAATCTCTCGGCGCGCCGCCGCCGTCTAAAGAGTACGCGCGTGCGTTAGAGTCAGCGCCGCTTCCATCCGTTTCTATGTGTAAAGCAGCCGTTGCAACGGCTAAAACGTTCTCGCCCGACGACGTGTAACTGTTCGATCTTCGTAGACTCGACAGTGGCGGCGATGACGATTTACCTCCTCCACTCTTACCGTTGTTGTTCTCTTCGCTCGCGGCTTTCGTGGAGTACTTGATAAACTTCTCGATCCACGATCCTCTCGTTTCCGCCGCCCCGAGCTTTTCTTTTGCCGTCGTGTCGCTCAAAAACGCTCCGAGCGCGCCTAAAAAACCTTCGTGCCTTAAAAACATCGCTTTCGTTTCGCCTTTACTCCAAAAGTTCACCGCGAAAGAAATCGTATTCATCGTGTACGCGTGGCCACGAATAAAGTACCCGCCAAAAAATATTCTCTGCAAACCGTGCGCTTTAGCGTTCATCGTCGCCAAATGCGCGATGTTATACGAAATCATTCTGAGCAAAGATAAAGTAATATCCGCTTTGCTATAATCGCTCAAATCACCTTCCTCCATGACGACTCTACCAAACGAACTCGCGATAACGTCGGAGGATAGACCAACTTTAGCGTAATCTCGACCGTAGATATCCCCGACGAGCATATCCACTCGCGCAGAATCCGCGTTTTGCGAACACTTTAACATCTCGTCGTAATCTCTCATCCCGGTTAACAAACGACACAAACCCCAAAAGGTCCCACCGCCAATGTTCGACCCGGATATCCGTTCGTGTCCAGTCTCGGTGACTTTAATAATCGACACCCCAGAGCCGATATTCACGAGCAAATACGGGAACAAATTGTTGCTACTACTATTACTACTACTAGCGCTATAACTATGACTTTCCACGCCGCCGCCGCCGATGCCACCACCACCACTAATACTACCACTAATACTACCACTCGCACCACCTGTCGTCGTCGCCGTCGAGTTAAAATTGTTGACGTTAAAATTCGTATCCACAAACGTCTTCGTATCGTTCTCAAACGTAAACGCCTCGTCCCGAATCGTCTTCAACAAAAAATTCGCCCCTCTCACCGCACACGCCATCTCGTCCTCCTTTTGCAACTCGATCCCGAGCGCGTCTCGAAACGTCCGCTGATGCTTGAACGACCCGCCACCAGTCGCTTTGATTTCCGATTTGTGTTGCCCGAAGCCGCCGCTGTAGTGTAACTTCTTCCGCTCGATGAAATCCAAACACTCCTTTAAACTGGACGACGGGAATCGGCGGAAGTGTAATCGGCCTCCGAGCGTCGCCGTCGTCGTTTTAGAGGACGCTTCTTTCGTCTGTTGCTGACTTCCATCCTCTCCATTCATCGCGTTGGTATCGCTGTTCGCGCTAAAATACACCAGCTTAATCAAACTCCCGCCTAAATCCAACGCGAAATGTTTCACCGCGTCCCCTCGCTGTCGAGGGAGCGATATCGACGGTGCCGCTTGTTGTTGTTGCTGTTGTCCAACGTTTGTAGTATTCGCGGTCGTCGTCGCATTCTGAGTCGTAGAAGCAGCGTTATTCGTAACGCGAGTCGTCGAAGGTTTTAATGCCGACGACGACGGAGGACGTTTTTCCCCATCGGTATGCGCCGGAGAGGACGACGATTCAGACGCTTTCGTCGCGTGTTTCTCAGTCGTGGCAGTAGTATTCAAAGATTTCCGAGTTTTGTCGATGGCGGCGCCGTCGAAATCGAGCAACGTCGCCCCGGACGGCGAGCGGCGCATTTCTTTTCTTTTACTAAAAAGTCGTCGTCAGAGGCGTCGTTGTGCGGAGGAAAAGGAGTTTAAAATGTGAGATTTTAAGAATACTTCTATAATACACTTCTACGGTAATACTTTTCTACGGTCCTCTCTCTTCGTCGAACACGTTGGCTAAGTTTTCGATGAATCTAGATTGGTGGAGCATGCTGTACCCACCTATGGTGACTTTAATATTGTTGGATTCTTTGCTCGCGTTGAACTTGGCGACGGCGCGAGCTTCGGCGTACGTGGCGCCGCCGACGATGAAGACGATGATTTCCGCTGGTTTTTTCGAGCACTCCGGGGTAAAACCATCCCACGTTGGCGAGTACTCCGAAGCTGGGAGTTTACCGTTGACGCACTGAGCGACTAACGAGCGTACCAACGGAACGTGTCGAGTGTACACATTCTCGGCTCCTTTTAAAGCGGAAACCGAGGTGCGCATTCGCGCGGCGATCGTTTTCGTTCCAAACAAGTCGCTCGTGCGCGCGTTCTCACCGCCTCGCCGGAGCATACAATCTAAAGCGTCTATTCGTTTTCCACCGACGTGATTAGAAAGAACGCGGATGAGATGTTGACATATTTGTGGCGCTTCGGTTTCGCGTCTCAGGCAGTACAGCGCGACCAATCGCACTTTCTCGGACTCTCCGAAGGACGGGTCGTTGACAATCTCTTCGACTTGTTTCTCTAATCCGTTGACCGAGGTTCCCGCGCACGCGAGCTCTTGTTCGATTTCCGACACTTTCATCAACTGCCTATCGTTTATGACTTTCGACAACGTGTGCACTAATTGCACGTGTTTCGCAACCGTGGCAGATTTTTGGCGAAACTCCGGGAAGCGCTCGACGAATTTCGCAACGTCGTCGACCGAAGCCGTGGATTTACTCGCGGTCGTTTTCGATCTTTCGTTCGCAAAATCGTCCACATATTTCTTCACCGCCGCGCCGACGTCGCCGTAATCGTCGTACTTGTGATCTCTAAAAAAAGCATCTTCTCTGGAAGAGAGAATAAACTCCTCCGGCTTCTTGCTTAATTTTTGCGCGTCCGGCGCTCTCACTCTGTTCGAACTCGAAATACCGAATATCTCATGCACCATGGCTTGGTACGTCCACTGTGTTAGCAAAGGCGTCACGCAATCGTCGAATCGGTCAACAATCAGCACGTGGCAATACCCTTCGTCGTTACGCCTTCCGAAATCGAACAATCCCGGTTCTCTTTCCGAGGCGACGCGTTGCGCGTCCTCGGCGATTCGTCTCGCAATGTTCGACTTCGCAGAATATCGAAACATTGGAGGTCGTTTCAACGCTAAACATACACTCGTTACACCTTCTACGCACCTATCAATCAACGGCGTCCCATTCCTCACCCCCCAACTCGGGTCACACATCAAAGCGTACTCGTAGTTGGTTCTTTGAAAACTACTATTATTATTCCCGACTCTCTTCCGCATCCCGCCGTTCGGATCGAACGCTCGCATCGCGTCCTCTTTAAAACAATCTCTCGAGTCGATGACGAAAGCGCACTCGTCCATCGCAATCACGTCGCAAAAAATCTCTTGAATCTGCTTCACTTTGTTTCCTCCTCCTCTCGCGTCCGCTTTCGCAATCGCGCGAAGTTTGCGCTCGTCGATCGCGTTGGTAAAAAACACGTGAAACTCCCCGTACGACGACGAAGTCGACGTACCGTTACCACCACCGCGTAGTCTCTCGCACAGCGCGTTCACGTTCTCGTTCGTCGGTCGTAAAATGCACACCGCTTTCACGAACCGCAAACTTTCCTCCTCTCTTGAAGGCACCACCACCACCTTCTCGAGACTTTTACTTTTACTTTTATTGCTCGTCATCATCAAAGGCTCCACCGCGAAGACTTCGCGTTTTAAAATATCCGTCTGGTTCATCCCGTTGCTCGTCATCGCCAGCGCGAAGTCGTCCACCAGTAACGATTTCATTCCCGGGCCTGTTTCTTTCAGCGCTTTCTTGATGTAATTGGTAAAGATGTTCGAGACGAGATTTCCGTCGGATTCCGTCGATATCGTCGCACTGTTTTGATGACGATGATGCGCGTGAGTGAAAGATGAGGGGTGGTGGTGGTCCATTCTTGTTGCGAGCGAGACGTTCTCTCGGAGAGCACGAACAGAGAAGCAAAAGTCGAATGGTACTAAAAGAGACTCTCAGTGTAGAAGCGCTGCTTCAGAATGAAGTGTCTTTGGGGAAATTCAAAATCAAATTCTTCATTTCATTTCAATCGCTCGAGGACGAGACGATGTGCGCGCAGACCTCCTGAGCGATGATTGGAAAACAACGACGCGATGTCGAGAACGGTGGTTCGTTGATGAGGAAGGGAAGTAAGAGGAAGAAAAAAGGGCTCTTTATCCTCCGCAGAAAAGGCGCAAAGTTGTGCATCGGGTTCGTCCTCCTCTACTCGCTTTGGGTGATTGGAGTGTACTCGAGGATGAAGATAAACAACGATGCAAGAATAAAGGACGAAGTGAAAATGATGAAAAGCACGAACGCGAAGAAGAAGTTCATAAAGAACGAGTTACCGTCCTTCGAGGAGTTATTCGGAAAGGATGACGATGATGCAGACGTGAACGTGCTTGGATTCGGCACATTTTCGAGAATAGAGAGGAAAGCTTTAACGTACGAGCGAAGACGGATATACAACAGCGAAACGAAAATCATGCGACAAGACGAGATGAAAACGAGAAATACGAACACGGGGAAGTGGAAAATGTTATCGAAACCGAGAGAGTTGAACTCGACGGAAATGAGAGGATACGTAAATCACATCGAGAGCGAAGAGGCGAGGGCGAAATCGGTGTTGAAAACGCTCCAAGCGATGAAATGCGAGAGCGAGAGAGAGTGCGAGAAAGTCGTCGAGGAGTTGGTGATGAAAACCATAGATGGGTTTAAAAAGAGCGAGAAGTTGTTCGTAGATCACGAGGTTGTTTCGTCGATTAATTTGAGCAACAGAGCGTTCGGGAGTCGGAACGCGGAGAAGGCGATTTTAACGTTAAGCGGGGACAGAGAGCAATTGCGGATGTTAGGCCTCGACGAGGAGAAGATGGATAAGTTCCGAGGAAAAGGACGAAAAAGAGACGGTGGTGGTAAGAGGACGAAGGAGTGCGCGGTAGTCGGAAACGGGCCAATCAGTGGAAAGGATAGAAGAGAGGGAGAAGAGGACGTCGAGGATGTTGAGGAGGGGGATAACAACAACAACAATTACGATATCAACAACATCGGACAAACAATCGACTCGCACGATGTCGTCTTTAGGGTGAACCAAGGACCAGTGGGCGGTCGATACGAAGAGAAAGTTGGTGCAAAAACTGATTTTCGCGTGTTGAACAACGCGTGGGCGGAGAAATACGGTCAAGAAAGCGCGCTCGGGGAGAAACTGAGAGAGGTGGTGGAGACGGATGAAACGGTCATCTCGACGAGAGCAAGCGCGGAGAGGTTTTATGCACTCGCCAAACAGTTCCGCCGCCATAAACGTGGCGTTGAATTACATCCGCCTTGGATGGCGAGCGATAGAGTCCAATCCGACGTCCGAAAGCTTCTCGAAAAGGTTAGAGCGGTGAAGACTCGAATCATCGTCATGCGCGAAAACGAATCGCCGGAGGAAGTAGAGAGAGAACACGAGGACAAAAAGCACGTCATCATGCACGGAGGAACGACGCCAAGTACGGGGATATTAGCTATCTTCCTCGCGCTCGCCTCTGGATGCGATATCGTCGACCCGTACGGATTCAGTTTCGGACGAGGTGGACGGTTTTCGGGCGGTAACAGCATGAAGACGTACCATTACTTCGCGGACAAGGAGAGTTTCCACAACCCGACCCATTCGTACGCTTTAGAAGGCGAAATACTTAGAGTAGTCAAGCGCTTAGGATTCTAATAATTACTAAAACTAAAACTAAAACTAAAACTAAATATAATAACTAAATTCGTTTCCGCATGATCACGTAGTGCGCATCCACCGGCGCGTGATCGGTTTCCTCGTACCCAATCTTCGCGTAAAAGCTCCTCGCAGCTTGGTTCGTTTTCAACACCGTCAACGCCGCGTGTTTCAATCCTAAAGCGCATCCTATCTTTTCGCACGCTCGCATCAACACCCTTCCTAACCCGGACCGTTTCATCGTTTGCTCCACCTGTAACTCGTATATGTACACCGACGCGACATCGTCGTCGTCCACCTCGAATCGATAGTGTGCGAACGCCACCGGTTTTTCTTCGTCTTCGTCTTCGTCCGTAGTATTCAAAGCCACTTTTGCCTCCTTTCCCTCCTCCCCCCTCTTCATCTCCCGAGTAAAGACCAAAACAAACTTCGCGTTTTGATCGCTCAACTCTCTCCGTTTCTCCAACGAGTTCCATCCCCACGTCTGTTCGTACATCTCTCGCATGTTCGTTTCCGTCAGCGCGTACATCCAATCTCTGACGTTCTCGTTGTTTTCGATTTCCAAATGTGACGCGTAGCATCTCACGAACAGACGTTTACTAAAAGCATCATCACTCACAGAGAGCGCAGTTTTCTCCAACCACGTTTTCGGCACCGCGTTTGCCACTCTCCTTTTCCTCTCCTCTTCATCTTCTCCTCTCGACAAAGACGTCATCTTTCTACTGCGCGCAAAAGTCTCTCTGTGTCGAGACGTGTGTCTCGATGTCTCCCCTGTGAGAAAACATACAAACATTCAGTTTAGGGTATTATACCCTACTCGACCTCGAATCTCCAAAAAGCGTATCAACGACTTCTCTCGCTTCGGAGCGGAAAAAGAAAATATAATCTCCTCCTTGTCTCTCTGCGCGCGTAAAAGAAACGTCATAAACACACACGCTTTAACGCACGTAAAGAGAAACTCATACACATAATAAAAATGTTTTCGCTCGCACAAACGGTACGATACTGTCGCTCTCGCTTTGTTTTCTTGTTCGCGTGAAGGCGCTTTGGCGTGGATTTCGTATCTGGAATTTTACAACGCACGCGAGACATTTTCTCTCGAGAGAGAGAGAGAAATGCGTTCGCTTTTGTTCGAGTGCGATGATGATTTGATGAGAAAAGAAATTTGAAGAAAAGCGTTCAAAGAGAGAGAGTCGAAAGACGAAATCGTTCTCTCCGAAACAACCCGCGCTCGTCTCTCTCTCTCGTCCCTCTCCCTCGAGCTTTGAAACCTTTCAAAGAGGAGAGAAAGAGAGAGAGATCGATGCGCGTGTCGTGAGAGGCGAGATTTTGATCGCACAGAAGGGGTTCAAAATTGCCCCCGAAAGATCAGCATCATCTCGCGCGCGCACTCGTTGCGCTCTCTTTCTCTCTCTCTCTTCATCATCTCCGGTTTCAAAACCGCCTTCATCTCGTCGTTCGCATCGGATTCTGTCAGTATGCTTTCGCGCTCGCTTTTCGCGGACGATTCACTCACCGTATTCTTAAATATTCTTCTTTATATCTCTTATAAAACAGACTTTGAAAGTTTCCCCGACGAGCAACTTGAAGGCGGAAAAATCCACCAAGAAAACCTCTGCGAAGGCTATTTCTTGCGACGCTTCGGAAACGGCGAAGAAATCCGCCGCGTTAGTCGCGGCGGCAATCGTCGCGGCTACAATCCCGGCCGACGCTGCGTTCGCTCGAGACGTGCAACCGTACGCGGGCTTGACGCCGTGCAAGAAAAATGCCGCCTTCAAGAAGAACAACAAGAAGGAAGTCAAAGGTCTCGAAAAGCGCATGAAGAAGTACGATCCGGAATCCGCGCCGGCGTTGGCGTTGCAAGCGACCATCGACAAAACCAACCAACGCTTTAAGAACTACGGCGAAGCTGGTTTATTGTGCGGCGCGGACGGGTTACCGCACTTGATCGTCGACGGGAACTTGGAACACTTGGGTGAGTTTGCCATCCCGGGTATCGGCTTTTTGTACACAGCCGGGTGGATCGGCTACGCCGGGAGATCGTACGTCATGAAGAACAAGTTGACGGCGAAGCCGACCAACGGAGAAATCATCATCGACGTCCCGATGGCTTTGGATTGCATGTGGCAAGCGGGCGCCTGGCCGTTGTTGGCTGGTCTTGAATTGAAGAAGGGTGAGTTGACCGCGCCGGAGTCGGAAATCACCGTCTCCCCGAGATAAATTATACAATAATTTTCTTCGAGACGCTATGGATGACGAGAAAGCGTAGTATTTAAAAAGAAGAAGAAAAAGAAGAAAAAACAAACACACATAAGAGAGAGAGAGAGAGAGAGAGAGCGTTTACTGCCGCAACGAATAATGGGAGTATTTAGGAGAATAGTTTTAATGTCGAAACAAGTTTGTATCGCGCACGTATATTATAATAAATCCTCTAAAATGGGATAACCTTTTCCCTTCAAAAAGAACTCAGTTCCTCCTCATTCATTTTCTTTTACTCTTACTATTAAACCCAAAACAGTTTTCATCAAAAGCTCACATAGTGTTGTTGCGAGTGTTGCGAGTGTTCGAATAATGTCGTCGTTTTCTTGCTCCTCTGTTCAATCATCATCGGCGTTTACGAGAGGGAGAACGACGAGACGAGAACGACGAAGAATCGCGTCAAAATCATCATTTCTCTTCTTGTTGTTCTTCTTCTCGTCGCTGCTTTTCTTGTCCTCGTTTTCGCTCGTCGAGGCGAAGAAGAAGAAAAAGAGCAGCAGGATGAGTGAGGACGATGGTTTCGATGATGGCGCGGGAGGAGGTTTAGGAGGAGAAGAGACCGCGATGGATGCATCAAATTTGTTCGCTTCGGTCTCGAATCAAGGCTTGCTCTCGCGAAGCTCCGGGAAAGCGGACGATTACACGGAAGTCGGGGAGACGCCGGAGAATGTGTTAACCGCGGAGGATGAGTTTTTAATGCAAGACGACGGGACGAACGGGGATTCACCGAAAACGGCGGCGATTTTAGCGGGGGATTTGAGCATGGATATAGGGACGGCTGGGAGCATCGGCGGAATACCGGAGGATATTAAGAAAGAAAACGAAGAGGAAGAAGAGGAGAGAATAGAGGAGATGTTCGACGAGGAGTACGACGGAAGTCATCGAATGCACGTTCACGGACACGCGGGGGCGTTTTTGATTGCATTGGTGGTGTGCGCAGCCTTTGTGAATTGGGCGTTCGGTTCGTTTTTTGTCGTCAAGACGAACAAAGACGGATGGTCGAACTTACCGAGCTTGGAGTTATCGCGAGACGCGAAGGTTTTGTTTAATAGCGTTGATAAGTACGATAAGGTTTAAGAGTTGTTTTTGAGGGGTTCACATGTTATATAATATGATGGTGCGAGTCGCGTGATTTTATCTATCTACGATACATATCTATGTGCTATATAAAATACAATTCTTCTATGTGCTACTAAAATTTGATAAGTTAAGAAGCGTTCGCCGTCGTCGCTATAGATTGATCGATTTCTTCAAACTCTGATTTCTCGTCGTTATTCATCGCGTTGAGTATTAAAATCCAAGAGAAACCGAGAAAGGCGAGCACACCAACGACCCTCTTTTGCCAAACGGGTAACGCGGAGAAGTTTGATATCGCCGTCGCGAATATCCCGGCTGCTCCGCCAGTTTCTTTGCTATTCTTGGCGGTCGCTTTCGCAATCGCCGCGCTCGCGGTTTCTAAGCGTTTAATCGCCAAGTCCACGGTACTCAGCACGTTCTTCTCGATTGCTTTCTCCAAATCCTCCTCCTCTTTTGCTCTTCTTACATCATCATCTAATAAAAACACGACGCCCTTCTCTTTTCCGCTTTTACGAACACCGCCCTTCTCGTCGTCGTTCATCTCGAAAGCGCGCAACGACCGCTCCGCGTTCAAATCCTCCTCGTCCATTTTCCCTCCACTCATCATCATCGAATTCTCTATCCCGAATTTTCGTATCCATTCCACTCTGTTTTCCTTCTCTTCGTTTACTTCTTTCCCGCGTATCGTGTTCGTCTCGATGGCGTCTTCGTCGCCGTCCACGAACAAATCCAACTCTCTCAAGATATTTTCCTCTCTCGTTTTCCTCTGATTTGAAACGACGGTGTTTCTCACCGCCGAATCGACGTATTCCGCGACCTCGTGGATTCGAGAAGAGAGGAGGGAGAACGCAGTAGTACCATAATCGTCGTCGTTATTATTATTCCCGCTTTGTTTCTTCTTCTTCTTCTTCATCGTCGTCATCCTCCGCGCTATGCTCACCCTGTTCTGTTCCAGAGTTTCCAAACGGGATTCCAATTCACCGTATCTTAAAGAAGAAGAAGAAGACGTTTCCTCCAAAAACGCAATCTCCTCGAGCAGACGATCCACGTCTCTTCTGAGAAGCTCTTCCTCTTCCTCGCAATCGATATCGTCGTCGTCGTCTGCTTCGTTCGTCGTCATCTCGAGAGCGGCTTTTGTCTGAGCGCAGGGAAGAGATTTTCGAAATGAGAGCCAGGAAATTAGGGTTGTAAACCCTAACTAAACCCTAAACAAAACTGTAGAGAAAACAGAAGGAAAATTCACTCAAGCAGTCACTTACGAAACGACCACCACCTTTACCACCGCCGGACGAGATGAGCGCTCGAAAGGTAATGCACTCTCTTAAAAGAGAGACGACGACGCACTCTCTCGTCTTCTCTCTTTTTTTCTTTTTTGGTCTTCTTCTTTGAGAAGAGAGAGAGAGAAAGGAAAATCTCAATTCTCTTTCCCCGCGGGGAACTTTTTGATGGTGTTGTTCTAAAAGCAAACGCGGATGACCTCTCGAGGGTCACATCTCTCTCTCTCTCTCTTTCCACGCGACGCGATGCGCACCTTTTTCTGTGACTAAATACCTTTTCCTCTTCTTTATGTGATATTATTAATACACAGAGAACGCTTCTGAAGCTCATAATATTAGGCGACTCCGGTGTTGGTAAAACCTCCCTGATGAACCAATACGTGAACCGCAAGTTTTCGAAGCAATACAAAGCGACAATCGGGGCAGACTTCCTCACGAAAGAAGTAAAAATAGACGACGAGAATTTAGTCACCATGCAAATCTGGGACACAGCTGGACAAGAGCGATTTCAATCTCTCGGGGTGGCGTTCTACCGCGGCGCGGATTGTTGCGTCTTGGTCTACGACGTGAACAACGAGAGGAGCTTTCAAAACTTGGAGAATTGGCGAGAGGAGTTTCTCGCGCAAGCGAGCCCGGCGGACGCGGAGAATTTCCCATTCATCGTCCTCGGGAACAAAACGGATCAAGACGGAGGCCAATCTAGGGTGGTGTCGGAAAAAAAAGCCTTGTCCTTTTGCGCGGCGAGCGGAAACCAGTGCCCTCATTTCGAGACGAGCGCCAAGGAGGATAGCAACGTCCAAGACGCGTTCGAGTGCGCCGCGAGGAACGCTTTGAAAAATGAAGTCGAGGAGGAAGTGTATTTGCCGGATACTATCGTCGTGAATAAAAGTGGGAGTAATAAGAGCGGGTGCTGTTGAGAACACCGCTCGAGAGAGTGAGTTTAGTTGTCGTGTTCTTATTGTATTTACGCTCGCGAGTTCCTCCTTAAGAGAGAAAAGTGGATAGAAGTCTCTTCATTAATCATCGCACATTGTACGCGCAATATGTCCTCTTTTTTACGCCACATCGCGTATTCTTCGTCAAGTACCGAACGAGGGTTGTTTAAATGTTCCACTTCATCTTCTTCGTCTCGTAAATTGTCTTCGTATCGCTGTAAAGCCGCCTCAATCGGGGCGACGGCGAGCGACGAGACGTCGTCGACATCATCATCGGAAAGCGCTACGAATGAAAAGAAGAACGACGCTTTAGTCCAAACGTTGACTTCAAATTCGGACTTTTCCTCGCTCGTGGAAGCGGTTTCGAGAGCGGACATGTTAAACGCGGTGAGTTCAATGGACTCCGGGACGATTTTCGTGCCGACGAACGCCGCGTTCGAGAAGTTTTGTGAAAAGAAAGGCTTGAGTCGAGAGCAGATGTTGACGAGAGAAAATTTGGCGGATATTTTAAGCTACCACGTGATCCCGTCCTCGGCGATGTCGAGCGAGGAAGTGATGTCGAGAGAGGAATTAGAAACGCTGAGTGCTGGGAAAGTTTTGACGACAAGAGAAGTGCGAGAGGCGAACGTGTCGAAAGCGGACGTTTCGTGCGGCGGCGTGACGGTACACGTCGTCGACGAGGTGCTGACGCCGGTGTTTTCGGTACCGGCGGACATGCAGTCACCGCAGGATATTTTGGCGCTGAGCACGGATCCGACGAAACCATCTGGGTGGGCTCCGGAAGTTCTGAATGGGCGAGTTGCCATGCTCGGGTTTGTCGTGGCTTTGTATGGAGAGATTACCACCGGGCACGGCATCGCGCAACAGTTTGGCGAGAACTTTGGCGAGGTGTTGCACACGGCGTTCGTGTGGACGTTGGCGTCGTTTGCGCCGGCGTTGTCCAGTAACGAAGGGTACACGAGTAACCCGAAGACGATGAAAGATTCGAGAACGTGGAATTTTGTGTTTAAAGGGTCGCCGATTCCAGAGTTTGTGCAACCGGTGTTCACCGCGGAGGTCGAGGAGTTGAACGGAAGAGCGGCGATGGTCGGATGCACCGCGCTGTTCTTGGTCGAATTGTTTAAAGGCTCTGCTTTGTTTTAAAATTGACCGAAATTGATATACAATTATTATTAATGGCTACTACGTACGTGCGTTTTTGTATTTTTCTCTCTCTTCTTCTCTCTCTTTCTCGGCGTATATTTTATTACCCTGTGTCTTCAATGAAGACCCTTCGTTTTTTCGCCGGAATAACTTCTCCGCCAACGACTCTCTTCGATCCTTCTTTTATGTGGAACGCGTCGTCGTCGTCGCTAGAACTGTCGACTTTATAATTGAGCTTGGTTTTCGTTCTCGCACCGCGTTGATCAGGAACCGCGGTAAAATCTTCCGGACGGAATCGGCCACCGGCGCGACCGCCGCGCTTGGCCATGTTCCATTTGATAGCTTTCTTCAAATTTTTAAGCCGGAACCAAATGGACGGGAAAGACGCGTCGCGGAGGACAGGGGAGAAACGCGTGAAGCGGCCCCACGATTCGTGCAACCAGGAAGGAGATATGGCTAATTCTAACGCGAGCGTAGCTGTCGCTAGTGGAATCGCATCGTTATCTGATGATCCCGGCTGCGTGGCCAGAGCGCGTATAGCGTTCGTTCGAGTATCGACGACGCTGTTACGACTCGGATCATCGTACGCGTCGTAGGCCATCTCGGGGAGATCGTTAAGAATGTCGAGGAATAAAGACTTTGCCGACTCTTTCGTGCACTTCAGTAACGATTTCTTATCCACCTTCGAGGCAATTAACTCGTGTTCTTCGGTAACGTCCCAAGCCGTGATTTCCTTCTCTTCTTCTTCCTCTTTTTCTTCCTTTCGTTCATCCTCCGCGCCTTCCTTCTTGGCACCAAAACGTTTTTCTAATTGCTGCCATAACTTCCCTTCGCGATACCCGCGCTTGTTCAACCCTGGAATGACGGTTTCTCTCACAGAATCTGCGTCGAGTACCATCCATTCCTTTTCAGAAACTCTGAGCGCGTCCGAGCCTCGCATCTTCGCCGTCGTCGGTGTCAAGCTTCGCTTGGCGTCTCCATCTTCTTCCTCGTCGTCTTCTTCCTCGTCGTCGTTGTAGTCCTCGTTACATCCCCAACCACCACCGGCGCCCGCGGCTTGTGCGATGATGATTGCGCTTGAGTCTTCTTTCTTCCCAAGCTCCTCGTCTTCGAGTACCCAAAACGCCGTGTTGTTTCGGTCGCCGCCGATGGGTTCTAATCGAGTCACACCATTGTCTCTTTTCGACTTTTCCAACTGATTAAACCGCTTTTGCCATGCTAGACGAGAGTCTGGGTACTCGCCGGTCTTATCAAAATACTCGGTGATCTTTTTGTTTTCTTCTTCGTCGGTGGAAAACGTTTTGACTCGGGCAAAGTTACCGCCGCCGACGTTTTCGCCTTTGCGATACGCCGCCCAGCTTTTGCGATGTTCGTCCAGCATCTGGTTCTTTTTCTTCAGCTCTTCCGGTGCCTTGTTATCGATCTCATCTCGCGCGTCGGTGGTATCCAAAAGCAAATCCGCTAAGATCTTCAACGCGTCGATTTTGTCTTCGAGAGCTAACGAAGTCCAACCGTCCGCATCGAAGCGTTCGGCGAATCGCTTGAGTTTTTGCGACAAGAGAATCCTCGCCTCTTTCGATAACGATTTCGACTTTAACATTTCGTTCGTAAACATCGTACCTTTTTTTGCCGCTTCACCGAGTTGCGAGCCTTCCGCGACTCGCGTGAACGAAGTTGGCGTTATCATTTCGCAACTCGTTTTCGAGGTCTCGATTGCGTTCTTCTTCGCCACGCAAATCGGGCAAAACCACGTGTCCGGAAGCTTTTCATTCTCATCCACGGGCGGATTGAGACAGCTTTTATGAAATTCGCGTGGACATCCGTCGCACAAGAGAACTTCACCTTTACCTCCTTCATGCATGTCCATACCGCAGGATTGGCAGCCTTCCTCCCAGACCGCGCGAGTGAGTTCGCGCTTGTTTAATTTATCGTCTTCTTCTCCGTCGACGTCCATGCGTTCCTTTTCTTCTTCTCCTTCTTCTTCGATTGCAATTTCCGCAACAAATTTGTCGCGCCCGACTTTCGTCGCTTTCGCAATCGCACCATCAATGGCAGAGGCAACCAATTTCTTGCCTTTTCCGGATTCAAGCGATAACGTCTTCCCCGTCGCCTCGGCGACTTTCTTACCTTCAATCTTGACTAAGCGCAACCACTCTTTGTCTTCGTTCGGTTCGTCTTTGGACGGGTTACCGGTCGACGTCGCTCGCGTATTAATCGCAGCAGAGATGGCGAAAATACCACTTTCTAACTTGGCGTCAAAGGAGGCGATATCTTTCAAAAAAATCTCGCCTTTCGCAGAAGCAATGTCGCCGCGTTTGCATCCTGGCTTGACGATTGGATCCCACGAGACATAACGTAACGCGTCTCGAATCAAAAATACACGCTCACTACTCTGATCCATATCACACATTTCACTCGCGACGATTCTTTGTTTCGTTCGTTCGGGTTCCGTATCGTTCGTTGCGGTCAAAGCTACGAAGGTTTCGACTTCGACGCCTCTTTCGGCCTCGACTTCAGATTGAACCACGAGCGCTGGAGGGGCTCGACACGCGTACTGATGAGGAGCCGCACGTAAACCGTGGTACGTATTCGTAATTCCCGCCTTGTTTTGAACGTCAAGAGTGAGATTTCTAAACGATTCCGGATCCGCTCGACATCGGCAAAACGCGTTGACAAAAGCGTCCGCGGCTTCCGGCGCGATGCACCCAAACGCTTGACGTTCGTACGAAGGTGCAGCGGAATGTTGCGCCGCGAGGGCTTCAAACGATCGGCTCAAAAGTTCGTCAAATAAGGCGAGTTGTTTCTTGAGTGGACTGTCAGCTTCCGCCAGCATTTCCTTGATTTCTCCAATGGTTTTCTTGCTAGTAGAGCCACCTTCCTTGAGGACTTCGTTAATCGGGCCAGCGATTTTTGTCAGCGCGTACGCTCCGTTGTCGTCGGTAGAATCTCTGACGTCGCGAATAATCGGGTTCAGCATGCCTATAATCAAACGCTTCGTACCTTCGTTCGGAACTTTTGCTTTTAAGGCGTCTACGAACACCTTGAACGATTTTGGCATAAACTTGTCCGCGGAACCTTTGCCCGGGAAGAGCACTTTTCGAAACCGTCTGGCAAACGTGAAGAGTTCCAACAAAAAGCCGACCGCGTGCTTGTCATCTTCGCCGAGGAACGAGTCCACTTTCGACTGTACTCTCGCTTCAACAGGAGCGATCGATTTTCCATCCTCTTCGTCTTCTTGCTTCGGAAAGCATCCGCCGAGCCATTGCGATTTCTCCTTCAGTTTGATCTTCTCCTCTTCCTCTTCTTGTTTCTTCTTTCTCTTTTCTTCTTCTTCTTTGACTTTCTCCAACATGCGCTGTTTGCGATCGTGCTCTTTTTGCTCCGCCTTACGATCACGCTCTTGTTCAAATTTCTTGGATCTCGCAATTTTACGAATTGCCGTGGATAATCCTATTCGTTCTTTGTTACTTTCGCGCTCGATGCGCACGGCGTCTTTAGGCGCGAGACGTTCCGCGTCCCACTCGTACTTTTTCTCGTCGTCGGCGATATCTTTCGCAAGTTTTGCGCGTTTCCCAGTTTCTACCACGTTTGAGACCACGTTTGCCGCCAACTTTGCACACGCGATATCACACGCGCGTTCCTCGGCATCGCGTTGATCTTCTTTGAATCGGGCGTCGTATTTCTCCGCGCTCGTGACGCGTTCTTTCGTGATTTTCCTTCGATACTCGGACGTTTCTAGATCAAAGACGAGCTGTCGAGTCTGTTTGAGATACTCGCGGTTCAAAATAGCTTTGTACTCATCGATACCGTATCGTTCTTGTAAAAACGGTAACGTTTCGCTCGATACCGTGTCGTAAATGTCTTTCGCGAATTTGGCTTGAAACGCGACGCGGACTTTGAAATCTTTCGTAGCGAAAGGGTCGACGAGGTGCGCCGCGATTTCCGGGTCGATAGATTTCGCGAATTGCGTCCAAGCCTTTGTGGGAGAATTCGATTCCGCGAGAATATTTTGACCCTCGGATATGACAAATCTGGCCTTGCCGACGTGCGCGACGAGCTTTCTCGTGACGGTCGGGACAGCCGGCGTCGGCTGTTCCTTCTTCTCTTCGGTTCTCTCCTCCAAAGGCGTTTCCGCCGACGACGGTACAACTACGACAGTTTCAGTCGCGGCAACAGCAGCTGCCTCTACCTTCTTCTCTTCATCTCCCCCTTCCATCGGCTCTTCGACTACAGACTCGATCAACTCATCCGACGCGCTTTCGTCGCGATTCACCAAACATCTAAACGACTGCGTATCGCCGTTTTCTTTCGTATACGTCCAAATCGCGGCGTACCCGTCGGCCCAAATCATCCCGTCCGCGTCTTTTAAAAACTTGGTCGATTTCTCGCTACCATTTTCGCCACGCGTACCGAGCGTCACGATGCGCAATCCTACCTCGTTCGTTTTGTGTTCCACCTTATCTATCTCGCACTCTTCTCTCTCCGCCACGCCGTTGACGATGCTTTCCATCGCTTTCTTTCGACTCATCAATTTCGTCGGCTTGGCCATCATCTGCGTCTTTGTTAAAGGCTTTTCCGCGGGCACTCTCGGCACTTTCGGTTTCTTCGGCACTTTTTCCGGTTTTGCCGGCTGCAACCCCAGCGCTCGGCACACCTCTAATCGACTTCTATAAAACGCTTTATCTTTCGTGTTATCTTTCGCGACGAACCCGTCTTTCGGGTAAATCTTCAAATCCGGCTGTCCTTTACTCGCGCCGTGTTTTCGAAACGTCATGTATATGCTCCATCCCTCTAAACATTCCGGCGTTTCACCCCCGCTCGTTTTGATAAACCTCTCGAGCTCGGCTAACTGCTCTATCGGATCGTTCCGATCGAAAGTCTCCGCCGAACAAACCCTCCCGCCTTCCTCCGCCGCGCGAACGTCTCTCATCGTCGCTTCCTTATCGTCCGGAACTTCGACATCGTCCTCGTCAACCGCCGCGCCGTTCAAAGCGCCGTCGCCAAAAGCTTCCAGTTTTCTCTTCTGCGCGGAATTTCTCGGTCTGTGCATGCGAGAGGGCGTCGTCGCGTCAACATCGCGAACGTGGAAATCTTCGTCCATCTCGTCTTCTTTTTCCTCTTGCGTTTCTTCTTCTTCTTCTTCCTCTTTCGTCTCTTCGACAGGAGGAGGAGGAGGCGTTTTCACAGACACATCTTTCTTCCTTTTCTTCAAAGACGACGGAGAAGAAGAAGGACTGCTGCTGCTCATTTTCGCGTTTCCTTTGTCTTCTTCTTCTTGTTTTCCTTTGTCTTCTTCTTCTCCGTTTTCCCGCGTCGTCGTCGTCTGAATCGTCTTCTCCGTCGCGTCGTTTTCCATCGCAATCTCGCGCTTCGGAATCACAAATCCGCCCATTAAATCTTTTCTCGTCCGTATTATATATAATAGAAAAGAAAAAGAGATTATTATTATATCAAAACGCGAGAGATGTCGATGCAATCAATCCAAAGAACAACAAGGGAGAGAGAGAGAGATTCAGAGAGAGAGAGAGAGAAAAGAACTTTCGCAACAACCGCGCGAATGAATGAAGTTCCTCTTTAGTAGTAAGAGAGATATTATTTTTGTGATGCGATTCGAAGAAAAAAATTCAAAAAATGGCGTAAGTTTGTTATTTAGGGTATTAAACCCTAATATTGAAGCGCAGAAGACAAAAGGAAAAAATTTTTGAAAAGTCCGTTACAATATTTATTCTTCACGCGACTTGGAGAGACTTTGACATCACACGATGGCGCATCAAAACGACACGCACGACCGAGGAGGGGGACCCGGAGGACGATCATCCGTAAAAACGTTCGCGATGGGCGACAAAGTGAAGCAGATGAAAGAGAAGGCGGGGAAAATGTCGGCGTTATCCTCCGCGTTCGTCGCGAAAACGGTGAAGAAGACGACGTCGACGATGAAGATTCCACAAATTGGAACGATGTCGACTGCGAACCGTTCGAATAATGGAAGCACTATGAATACTAATACTAATAACACCAACAATGGATTGAGCTCGTCGTACGGACGACAAAGTCCCGGGATTCCCGGAAAGAGCAGTTTTGAAGGGACGAGCCCGATCGCGTTCGCCGCGATGGAGGAAGAGCGAAGAGCGAGGACGATTGGTGTGAATACCACGCAACAACAGTATTCCACGAAAGAAGACGAGGAAACCATGCGTAGATTGCGAGAGCAACTGGTGGACGCGCAGATGCGACACGACGAGACCGCGAAAGTTGTTTTGCATTTGCAAGAAGATGTAGAACGAATTCAACGGGAGAAGGAGGATTTGAGGGTGAAGAGCGCGAAGATTTGGCAGGAGCAACAGGATGCGCTCGCTGCGAAGGAAACCGAGCGGAAGACGAGGGAGGAGGAAGGCGAGGCGCGAGAGAAGGCGAGGGAAACGGAAGTGGCGAATTTAGTCGCGAAAGTGAATCAACTGGAAAGAGAACGTGCGAAAGAGAAAGAGATGAAGGCGGAGAGTGACGTAAAAGTAGACGTAGGAAAATTTGAGGAGGAGATTGCAGATTTGCGGAAGAAGTTAGAAGCGGAGCGAGGGAAGGTGGTTGCGGCAGAGAAGAGCGTCGCAGAGGAGAAGGCGAAAACAGAAAAAGTGCTCGCCGATGCATCTGTTGCTGCATCTGTAGCTGTAACACCAACCTCGAGCGAAGAAGAAAAGAGCGAAGAAGAAGCGCTCAAAAAAGAGATTGAAAGCGTGAAGACTGAAAACGAGAAATTAAAAGCTGAAATCGAAACGATTCGGGCCTCGGAAAGCAAGTTACGAGAAGAAAACCAGACGCTTCAATCGACCGCCTCAACATCGACGCAGGATAAGTCTGCGAGCGAGTCCGAACACAAGAAAAATATGGATGCTCTTACTTTGGAGCTCTCTGCGGTTCAATCGAAACTATCCAGCGAAATCGAATCCAACAAGAAAGCGCTGGAAGATGCGCGAAAGCAACTCGAAAACGAACGCGCGAGCGCAAAGAAAAGCACCGACGATACTATAATGAAAAGCGAAAACCATGTAGCTGAACTAGATAAAGAGATTTCAAATTTGAAAGCGCAACTGGACTTATCCAACGTGGAGAAAACTGAGACGACGGAAAAGTTTGAACTTTTATTAGCCACGCGAGACGAGGAAGTGAAATCGCTCGAAAAGAATATAAAAGACGCGCTTGCCGAGATGCAGTCCATTCGAAACGAGTTGAATGTTGCCAAAGAAGCCGTTCAAGTTGCAAACGAAACTTCAAAAGCTGCCTTAAATGGCGCCGAGGACGCCGAGAAGGCGCGCGAGGAAACGAAAGAAGAAATGAAAGCGCTTCAACTCAAACTCGACCACGCAGAGGAAGCTTTGAAGAACACGCAAATTTCTGCTCCAAACTTGGAGCGCCAAATAGCCGAAAAGAACGCGTTGAAGTCGACTCTCGCCGACGTTCGATACGAACGCGACGTCTTGGCGAACATGTTGAAAGATATGAAAAAGAAAGTCGGAGCGTACTCGATGGAAACGCCGCCAATCTTGCGCGCCGTGAACGATGCCAAGAAAAACTTGAACGGCTTCATGTCTCGTTTCCAAGGCACGGGTTCGACTTCCACGTTAAAGAAAAATACGACGACGGCGCAAGCGCCCGCTTCGGCGTCGGCGTCGAAGAACCCGAATACCAAATCGCCTTCCGCAGCCGCGACGCCTCAAAAGTTAAATTTTAGTCAGCCCGCGGCGGCGTTGACACCGCCTTAAAACGTTCATTTAGTAATGATGATGCTGTTTAGTCATCACGTAGTATAGTAGTATGTCCTCGCGTAGTTTGTAGGTAGTATCAGAAGAGAGGGGTGATTGTTCGCGTTCTCTTCTGTATGTTATTAGTGCAAATATTATTTAAAGCAATATGAACGTGATGAAAACAATAAACAAAAGTTAGTTAGACTCGACACAATAAGAGACGCCCTCCCCTTGCCGAGAAGCCCTCTCGCATCATCAGCATGACGTCCGCCTCCGCCAATTCCCCTCCCGAGATCACCTTTGAAACCACCCACGGAGGCTTGCCGATACTTAAACTCGATTTCGACGCTCGTACGCCCGCTGAGATTGACCTCGAACGTTGCGTCTTGCGTTTGTCTTCTTCGAATGGAAAAGAAGTCATTCTCGTCGGCACCGCGCACGTCTCTAAAGACTCCGCGGAAACCACGGAACGAATCATACGGGAAGAACGGCCAGAGATTATCTTCATCGAGCTCGACAAAAACCGGTTGGAGAAGTTACTGCTCAATCGATCGCTCGGCGAACGAGAGGTGTTGAAGAAAACGATTGAAAAGATTCGAGATATTCCTTCGGCGCTCAAGTTCGTGATGTCAAATCTGAAAGACGTTCCGGGCTTCGTGTACCAACTGGGCGGATTAATCGTCGGTTCACCGGCAGGGAATGAGTTCACGAAAGCAATCGAAGTTGCGGGCGATATTGGCGCGTTGGTCGTTCTCGGTGATAGGAGCGCAGAGGTTACCGCTTCGCGCGTGATGCAACGAGTTCGGTACGGGAGTAAAGAGAAGAGAAGGGAGGAGAGAAGGAGAAGAGAGAACACGAAGAAAGAAAAGACGCTGAGAAATCCAGAGGAAAGAGTGCGCGAAGTCGCGGAAAAATACGGGTGCGAGGATCCCGCGAAAGTGCTGAAATGTTTGAAGAGGATTTTGAGCGCAGGAATGAACGTGGCATTGCCGCCGGGCGAAGCAAACGACGAGGAGGAAGAAGTGGAGGAGGAGGAAATGGATTTGAACGATCGAAATGGAGGAGAAACTTCGTCGTCATCATCATCGAGAACTACGAAGATTAGTGCAAAAGATTTAGAAGTAGTTCGACAGTGCGCTCGGAAAATTATAGAGTCCACTAGGAAGGAAGGGTTCAAAGGCGAAGGGGCGTTTAGCAGTAGCGTTTTCTTGGACGCGTCGAATAGCGAAACAGAAAAAGATGTCCGAAGAACGATTTTAGACGAAAGAGACGTCATACTCGCACATTCTTTACACAGAGCGGCAAAACAGGCAGGACCGGGAGTTCATAAGATTGTTGGCGTAGTTGGGAGTGGACACGTTCCTGGAATCAAGAGGATATTTACTCGTTTGAACGACACGAGTAAACAGTCAGAGAGCGACGTTCTCATTTCCATGCTCGCGAAAGAAGAGGAACGACATGCGCACGACGAATACTTGAATGCGTTCCCACAGGACGTGGACGCTCCGGACCCGGCTCGAGATATGGCACAGTTTGCCATTCTTTTTGGTGGGTTCGCATATCTCAATTACAAGAAACCAGCGGTTGCTCGTCGAGTATCGGCAATGTTTTTCGGTGCAATCTCCGTTGTCGCAGTAGGCGCCGCGAACGTTCTCGTCAAGGTTGGTCAGCTCGCTGAAAAGCTTGACGACGCGTCGCACGAGTTGCGAATGCACGAAAAAATTCCGTCTTTATTGGGCGATGAAGCTAATAGTCGCGTCCTACGAACTGCTCGCATCCGAAATGGCGTTCGAAAGTATGGCGACACCGCGCGCGAAGACGAGTTTTAGATTATGATTGCAAGCATACAGCATTAATTCTTAGTTATTAAAAAATGTAATCATTTAAAGTATTTCGCAGAACGTTGCGCTCTCGATTGCGCTCTCGTCAATCTCGGCGAGAACTTTGGTTGCTTCGTCTCCTCATCTTCGTCTTCGTCCGCGTATTTCGGTTGTTGGGCAACTGGAGAGAACATGGGTGTCTGTAACGTACCAGAGTTTCTTCGGCTCGGAAACGTCGTCGGCGATTCGTTGTTCACAATATCGTCATCGTCAACATCGACGGAGTTTTCAATCTTCAACTTATTTTCGTCGAAACCCCACGGGTCGGCAACTTCTCGTTCTTCTTCCCCGCGTTCTTGCTCTTGTTCTCTCGGACTATTCATGCTATTCATTTTTCCAAGCGGCGAGTTTCCGTCGCTCGCAATGGATCCTCCCGGAGAGCGCATTGCATCCACGTACGCATCGCCGGTCACTTCGTTCGTCATCCTACCTTTTTGCATCGATTCGATGTACGCGTCGCTACTCATGGTTCGGTTTAACTCTTCTTCTTCCTCGTCGTCATCATCATCTTCTTCCTGCTCCTCCTCGGCGTAATTTTTGTCCGATTCGCCTTGGGCAGACTCGACACTTTCTCTATTTAAGAAATTCATCGCCGCTCGCGCCGCGGCTAAATCCGTTTCAGCTCTCATCTTGACGTCCGTGACTGATTTCTTCATTTCCTCAGACGCACGCTGCCATTGTAGCGAACGCCGGAGCATTTCGTGTTCGCCCGTTCGATCAATCATGTTCGCGAACGCCGACGGTTCGTTCGTTTGGAAGCTTTCCATATCTTCATCCTCTTCTTCCCCAGCCGAGTCTTCAACTTTGTACGCAGTGTTATTGATGTCCACAATGACGTCTGGCGAACGAACAATAGCCATTTCTTCATCGCCGGCGCGTTCATTCATCGTTTCTACGACACCATGGTCGCGAAAAGTGTCGATGCGATGAGTGTTGTTGTCGTATTCGTGAATCGGAGACGTCGTGGTCGCTTCCGCCGCAGCAGCGTTGAACTTTTCGTCAATATTCTCGCCATAAGCGTTGTTATTGTTACTGTTCCCAGTCTCATCGACTTCAATTACTGGCGATGCGGTCGGCGAGACCCACGCTCTCGAGCGTCGAGCAAAAGGCTTCACTCCCGAACGTCTACCGCCCATCGAAGATTTTTTATCCTTGAAAGAAGATATCGAGGAAAGTCGATAGTTTTCCGGCGCCGCGACGTTCGCGCTTGGATAAGCCAACGGTGGGCCTTTTGGTGTGAACGGGTTCCACAACGCCGCCGACGATATCCAAATGACTGCCGAAGAGAGCCAGATGAAGTTAATAAACGTCGCCATGCCCAAGTATCTGTACCAATGGTCCACCGCGACGTGCGTAACGACAACGAGCATGGTACCATTTTCGAGCGCGAAGAGCATCAAGATTAAAACGAACGGAATCAATGCGTCTTCGCGAGTTAATCCCCAGAATGTCTTCCTCGGACAAGTCGTCGAACGCCACCAGAATCGGCCTTTCTTATCGGTTGAGTTTGAAACGAAACAACTCGGCGGCCAAATCAAGCAACACACGAGCAATTTCACGTCGTCTAAAACTGGAATTCGGATCGTCTTCTTTTTGCCACCATTTTTGGCGATTCGTTTTGCTGATTGAAACGGTAACTCGACGCTTTTCAACTCTACAAACTTGCTCCAGATTTTCTTTCTGTCCGGAACGCCCGAGAGTTTGATGCGCATCAAACCGATGATGCACAAGATGTGCACGAAGAAAACCAAAAACACCCAGGCACCACACACGGATGCGAACAGACCAATCGTCACCACGCGCGCCGTGAGCTCGAAGAATCTAAAGTTGAACTTGGCGAGCATCTCTGATAAGTGCGCTTTGTGCACGCCCCAATATTCGCGCCAAGAATACGCCGGCGGCTTTTCGTGCAAATCCAAGGAAACGAAACATAGCGTCCCGCTGAGCAAACCACCAGCTACGGCGGAGAATAAAACGTAATCGAAACCATTTCTGTCTGGACACGTGGCAAATGGAGATGAACACATCATGCCAATGTAGCATTGCAACGTAGCCACGGGTAAAGAGAGAAAAATGCAATCAACGAGTTGCATGCCGCGCAAATCCATCTCCGCTTTGCGCTGACGCACGTCGTGGCTTCTCAACGCTCTCCACGCGGCAAACGCAGTCCCAAGCTGACAGGCTGCGCAAATAGCACCAAAACGTCGAACAAACACTTTAAAGTCGTATTTTGTGTACCCAAACACCACCGCATTCGCTTCTTTGTCCTCTTTTGCCGGTTTCTCCGGCATCGGGTAGTGCAAGAGCCAGTAGGACGTCGTCAAACATCCCGAGATGAGGAAGAAAATCAACACGAGGGAGAACCATAACCACGAGGCAGTCACGGAAAAACGTCTCAACTCTCTGACCAACGAAAACTTCCCCCAAAAGTCGAGGAAGATGCCCGTCAAAAGCATGATCTTTTGCACTCGCGCTAATTCTGGGCCGAGGCACTCGATGCGGTCTAAAACGCGCTTCGATATTGGTAGCGGACTCGCGACAGACTGCGCGAGGTTAGCTGGTAAAGACATGCGCATCTTTGCACGATTGCGATTGTTTATTTTCTCGTCCACGCCGAAATCTGTGGCTTTTCCGGCTGAACCTCCGAACGATTCCGTGGCGTCTTCAAACTCAACTTGTTTATTATTATTGTTATTCATTTTATTCTCGGCGTCGTTCATGGTATTGTTGGTATCGTCCATACCGGTGGTAATGTCGCTATTCTCGTTATTGTTATCGTTGTTGAAATTATTCGCATTCATCACTCGGCTTTGATTCTTGTGAGGAAACGCGGGCGAACCAATCGACGCCCACATGGCGCCGTGGCGATACGAGTCTCGGTCGTACTCTTTCGGCGTGCCGTTGTTCTTGTTGTTCTCTTTTCTCCTTTTGTTTTTCTGAAACAAAAACGCCAGCGGGGATTTCATCTCCACGTTTTCATCTTCCATCTCACCACCACCACTTTTGGCGGTTTCGACGTCCTCCTCTCCTTCTTCGCTTCGAGCACCATCCGGCGACGCTTTCGCCGAATCGTCCTTTTGATTCTTCTTCGTCTGCGCTAAAAAATCCTGTCCATTTGACGCGTCGCTCTCATGAGTACGACCGCGTCCAAAAACCATCGGCGACGTCGATTCTCGGTCCTCGTTTTCTTCTTCTTCTTCTTCTTCGTATCTTTGATCTCTTCTCTGAAACGCATTCATGGGAGTGTTCACCGCGGAAGGCACGGGTTGAAAATCATCATCATCATCGGGAGAAAACAACACAGCATCTTCTTCTTCTTCTTTGTCTTCTTCGACTTTGTTTTCCTCCTCGTTTTCGTTTTCGTCGTCGTCGTACTCGGTGTTGTTGTTATTCCTCATCGCAAAAGACCGTCGCGTTGTGAGTATCTCTCGCTTCGTATTCTTTGTCTTCTTTCGTCTCGTAACACACGAAGCGCTTCTCTACCTGTCTTTGACGCGTTTAAAAAAACACGAACCAACGGAAAAAAGTCAAGAGAGAAAATCACATTCGAGTGATTTTGAAACGTGCGTCTACTTTTTTTTGGTGCAAACGAAAGGGTCTCTCATTGTTTTGTGGCACGCTCTCTCCTCATTACTAAACGCATTAAAAACAAAAATGGGTCGCGTTATCAGAGGTTGCCGGTAAGTTTGCGTCTTTCGCTTTCTCTCTGATTGTTTGTTAGAGATATCGTTTCTTCGTTCATTTCGCGGGACGCGTGGACGGATGGACGTTCGCGTTGAACTGCGCGCGCTGTGGTTCAATTTTTTTACGCACATTTTCGCCTCTATTCCCAAAACGAGGGCTAGAGGAGACAATGTGCGCGGTCGAAATTATACCTGGATGGAGGTGTTCGCGCGAGCGAGAGGGGTAAAAGAGGACGCGAACGCGTGCGAACGAGACGTTTGAACGCAACGGGTGGATCTTTTGTCGCGTTCCGCGTTCGCGTCGTGTTTCGGTTGGGTTGGAAATCATCTCAAAAATCGAATGTCGCGCAGTTGTCTGCCCAGGGGCGGTCGTTTTTAAAGTCCTTCTTTCCAGCTCTCTCTCGTTTGTTCTTCTGTGCTCACCCTTTTCTCTCCCTTCTTTCCTCAAATCATATTACAGTAAGGGTAAAGGATCGGTTTTCCGTTCCCACACGCACACGCGTAAAGGCGCGGCGAAGCACCGAACCGCGGACTTTGCCGAAAGACACGGGTACATCAAAGGCGTCGTGACGGACATCATCCACGACCCGGGACGCGGCGCGCCGTTGGCAAAGGTTACTTTTCGCAACACGAGACGCTACGCGCACCAAAAGGAATTGTTTGTCGCGGCGGAAGGCACGTACACCGGTCAATTCATCTACGCCGGTAAAAAGGCGCAGTTGGTTGTCGGTAACATCATGCCGGTGTCCGCCATGCCGGAAGGTTCGATCATTTGCAACGTCGAATCCAAACTCGGCGACAGAGGAGTGTTAGCCAAGGCTTCTGGCGAATACTGCATCTTGATCTCCCACAACTTGGAGACTGGATTTTCTAGAATTAAATTGCCGTCTGGCGCGAAAAAGACGATTCCGAGTGGGTGCAGAGCGACCGTTGGTCAAATCTCTGGCGGTGGTAGATGCGATAAGCCCTTGTTGAAGGCGGGTACCGCGTACCACAAGTACAGAGTGAAACGCAACTCGTGGCCGAAGGTGAGAGGTGTTGCGATGAACCCAGTAGAGCATCCCCACGGTGGTGGTAACCACCAGCACATTGGTCACTCCTCGACTGTTCGTGGTGACGCGCCGGCGGGTAAGAAGGTTGGTCTTATCGCCGCGAGAAGAACCGGTAGACTCCGCGGCGTGGCCGGTATTCTCGCCGCCAAGGCCAAGGAAGGCGGCAAGGATTAAAAGCTTTTGTTTGTCGATTATCTTGATGGTAAAGAAGATGTATCTTAAAGACACAAAGAGAGAGAAAGAGAGAGAGAGAGAGAAATAGATTTTGGAATTATTTTCAATTTAGCCCTTATTACATTTTTGACTTTGTTGTCGCGCGCTCGCGCGCGCGCTTTCTCCTTTTCCTCCTTTTCCTTGCAAACGTTAATTACCGGATCTCGAGTCGAGTTTATACACTCCCGTGCGTCGTTCGGCAGTCCGTTTTGCTACATTGACTTCAGAAGACTCCGGTTTTACGCTCTCTTTTTCTCGGTATTCGTACGTATTCGTACCTACAGAGTTCTCTTATATAAAAATTTGAGCCCAAAGTGTCTTCGATATTTTTCTTCTCAAAAACATCTCGAGAAAAATCTCGAAATCGAAACTTTTTTGTCCTTTTTTTTATGTTTTGCGGCGGTTTCTTCCATACGTCACTCTTTTTTAAATCGTTTGCGCGCGTGCTCTTATCTGTCTGCACAGACGACTACGCAGTATCGATTACCTTAAAAACGATCGATTCGAACGCAAGAGGTACGTTTATTCAAGTGTACTCGAAAATCTTTCGGGAGTACGAGTCGCGAGAAGGCACATTTGATCGTACTTCTTCTGCGCGTTTTGAATAAAAATATAATAATAACGAACGTGGTGTGTGGTTTCTTGCCCTTTGCGACATCAAAAGCCAGCTCGACTAAAAATTGAGCAAATTCAACGCGCGCGTACACGAACGCGCGATCGAGAAAAGTCCGATTTCTTTCGAGAAACGAATCGAACGAGGTTTTATCTGCGACATTCATCGCTGAGATCAAACTTTTTGCAAGAGAGAGCTCTTTGGTACGCGCGACAACGATTCAATTTCATTGCGTGTCCGCATTAATAAAAAACAGAGAAAAATAAATATTTCTGCTCTCTTTTAATCCAGCGAAGAAAAGGAAAAATGAAGCGCGGTGGAGAAAAAGGAGCGCCGACGAGTCGCCACGAGGCACAGGAAAAAGCAAAGTTGATGCGAAGTCAAAACCGGAAATACGCGCAGAGCGCGAAAATGCACGAAGACGGTGAACATCGCGTTCGCGCGGTGATGGCGACGACGGCGGACGACGACGACGGAGAGAAAGAAAAGAAAAACCAAGAAGTCGTCGTCGAAGCGAATTTGAACCAACAGAGAGAGCAACAACCTCCTCTGAAAGAAGAAGAAGGAAAAGGAGTGAACGACGACGTCGACGAGCAAGCCGAGGAGGAGGAAAAGGAGGACAAAAAAAAGCAAAAAGAAGAGGAGGATAAAAATATCAACAACAACAACAACAACAACAACAACACGAGCGAAGAAGACGCGACGAAAGAAGAAAACGAACGGGTGAAAGAAGGAGACGAGGCGGAAGAAGAAGAAGAAACGAAAGAAGAGCGGGAGATAAAGACGGAAGAGCGGGAAGGCGACGCCGCCGAGGCCGCGGAAGAAGGAGAGAAGCCGCGAGCGGGGGAGGGAGGAGAAGAAGAAGAAGAAGGCGACGATACTAATAATAGAAAAGAGGAAACGCCGGCGACGATTTCAAACACCACGAATAGTGGCGGGGAAGACATCACGAGAGCCGCGGCGGAGGCGGCGCAGCAAGCGGCTGCGCAGGCGGCCAATCAAGCCGCCGCCGAGAAGCACGCGGCGCACATCGGGAATCCTTTTTTGATGATGCATAACCAGAAGCAGCAGTTTTTAGATCCCTCGTCGATGCAACAGCAGCAGCAAAACGTTGGTGGTATAAATGGCGTGTTACCTCCGATGCCGATGGAGTATCAAAACGCTATTTTAGCGCAGCAAATGATGCAGCAACAACAGCAGCAGCAGCAAAACGCCGAGCCGCCCGGACCGGCGAATAGCAACAGTACTAACAACGATCCAGCGGCGGCAGCGATGGCACATATGATTAACGGTGGCAATGGCAATGTACAGATGGTACCGCATCAACAATTAGCTATGGCGCAGATGATGCAAGCGATGATGGCGCAGCAACAGATGGCGGCGATGTTTCAAATGCAACAACAACAACAAGGCGGAGGCGACCAACAACAGTTCAACCCGATAGCGGCGGCACTTAGCATGGGTATGCTCCCTCCAATGCCACCGGCTATGTTTGATAACAACGGCAACGGTATTTCCCCGGAGATTGCGTATCAACTGATGATGCAGCAGCAACTGCAGCAACGGCAACACGGCATGATGGGGATGTACGGAGGTATGGGTGGCGTGCCCTTTCAACAGCATCAACTGGGCGGGCAAGAGTTTATGAACGCGCATCAAAACCAAGCCATGTTAGCCAATCAAATAAATGTCAACAACAATAGCAATAGCAACACGCCAAACGGAATCGGGATGATGAAACCATCGGCGCTTAAATCGAGAGGACCAAAAGTTCAATACGACGACGTCGATATCATGTATCGCAAGCGCGGACGTCCTTTGGGCTCGAAAAACGCCACGACGAAAGATTCGTTCAAGAACGTTCCAAAAGGTAAACGTACGAAACGCGTCGCGAAAGGTAACACCACCACCAACGGTAATGGTGTCGTCGCAAGAGGTGGTGGAGTCCAAAAAGTTGCGAACGTGAAAGGTAAGAAAGCCACCGCCGAAAAGAAAAAGAACGGGAAGAATGCGAGCAACAATAATAATTCTGTTCCGAACGGGGATGATTTGCAGGAGTACTACGACGTCTTAACTTCGCTCAAGAACTCCATAACTTGTTAGATGTGTGTTTCATTGTGAACTATATAATATATACGCTGATTTATTTGTAACTTTCTCGTGAAAAAACTGTATCTTTTTGGCTTCCGCTGTCGCGTCATCTATTTAATCTTCTCCCTCTATTCACTCACTAATGCTGCTTATACTACTACTACGACTACTACGACTACTACAACTGTGACTACGCAATCATCGCGGTGATTTTCATAGCCCAGGCGAAAAAGAGAATTACAAATGCCGTAACAATCACGAACATTGAAAATAACTCGGCGTCGCCTCTTCTTTCCGAAGACAAAGGCGACGCCCCAATACCTCACTCGTTCGTCTCGTTATTCTCCTCTTTTCTCTTCCTCTCTTCCTCTTCCATCGCATCGATTAATTCCGCGAACACTTTCCTAAACTGCGCGTTTCTCACCAGCCAGGCGACGCTTTCTTTCGCCAACTTTTTCTTTTCCTGTTCGCTCGTTCGAATACTTCCGGCAGTTATCTCGTTGTCCGCCATGAAGCTCTGAATCCCTTTCAAAATGCTCGACACCGACCACATGGGGTTCCACGTTTCCGGGTGATAATCCGACATGGACATGCATATTTTCTTCCCCGGTTCGAACCGCCCAGACGGCGTGGACATGATGATGCCGGGTGGTTTAAACGGGTAATCTTTCGGGAAAAGAATTTTGCCCAAGTATTTTCCTTTGTCGTAAGCGGTGTCTTTCGGTCCGTCGATGAGGAAGTACCAATCGAGAATATTGGTGGAGGAGGACGGTTTGGCAACGATGCCGGGTTCGGGAGATTTGAGGAGGAGTTTGAGTTCTTTTTGGAGGCGGAGAGTGGCGGCCATTTGCTCGGTTGATATGTTCGTGCGTGTTTGTGTGTGCTGCGCGGATTTTCAATGAAGTGACTTTCTCTAATTTTTTCGAATACTACGAGTTCATATTTCTATGAACGTTGAAATGCCAAATGCTACAATGGTTTGCTACTATCTCATTCTGATGAGCTCAACTTCCTGGTCAACCATCTCGCGCCGCGTTCGCTTAAATCTTGCGTTTCGGCTTCTCGTATGGCGTGAAGACCAAAGCCGGTTTCGTCTTTTCGCAAAGCGTCGACCGAGTCGTATTTTTCGATGAGTTTACGCATGCGAGTGTATTCGTAGCCGAAGTGTTTGTGGACGTAGTACGCAAAAGCAGGGAAGAACTTCTCGAAGATTGCGCGACGGAGCGGCTTTGACGTCCATTTCCACGAGACGTGGTCGATGCCAGGGAAGCCAAGGTCGTGGAGCATCGTGCGCATTTTATTGTCCGATTCGCACCACCGGCGATCCGCCTGAACGCGAAATAACAAAGCTCTTGAGAGTTTCTTGTACCACAAGTAATACTCATCTGGCTGTATTTCAATCTCTTCAAGTTTTTCTATGATCGGAAGGTACTCCTGAGGACACGAGGAAGGATCGTACTCGTTCTTTCTCTCGGCTTCGTTCATATCAAACTCAACTTTCTCTTCGACTTTCGGAGAAGCCGGCGGCGAAGGCTCATCACTATTATCTTCTTCTTCATCTTCATCGTCATCATATTCGGTATAAGACGAGGGTGATGCTATATCATTATTGGCATTGTCGGCGTCGTCGTGAACACACACGATATCCTCACTCTCCCCATCGGCGTCATCTTCCTTTAATTCAGCATTCCGTTCGATATCCGTCGCGACATCGAAATCGCACGATGTAGCCGTAACTAACGAAGGCCATTTACACACGACGTCATCGATGCGTCGCGAAGCAGGATGATAACCACTCGGCGTTTTTCTTGCCTTACTCAAGACATCGCGTAACGCGAGACAGTCTCTCCCAATCTCGTTCGAATCGGCGACGATAAACTCGTGTCTCTGCGAACGCGTCAGCGCGACGTTCAAACGCTCCCTCGTCGTGAACGAATTTGATCCTTTAAATGCTCCACAAAGCGTCAATATAATAACCTTCTTCTCTTGGCCTTGAAACGCGTCTACTGTGGAAACTTGAATTTCGCCATCCTCTTCCTCGTCCAATTCTGATGGCGCGAGGATATTTGCAGTGGTAGTCGCACCGACGCGCATTCTTACTAAATACGAGTTCACGCAATCCACCTGCGCGCGATAAAACGCAATAATACCAACATCTTTTGGTTTCAATCCGCGGTTTAGAAGCTCGCGCGCGATAACAGCACACCCGCGCGCCTCGGAAGCGTTGAATTTCGACTGGCCTCTTCGCTCTTCTCGCGCGTTTTCGCCGTGCGTGTCGAAAAAAACCAAAGGAGGTACTCCTTCGAGTAACGCTCCGCGGTCGCTCGCCGAAACGCCATCCAACAATTTGTTCTCATAAAAATGTGCGTTCGGGACTTCGCTCAAGAGCGGATGCATTCGATATTGTGTTCGCAACAGCGTCACGGGTAGCCCAAGTTTCGCAAGTCGCACGAATAACGTGGGTTGTTGCTCAGAAATCGTCGGATATTCCAAGTTGCTTTCTAAAACCGGCGGTAACTGCTTCGGATCTCCAACCGCTATCAAATGTTTCACGCCGAACCGAGCTAACGGCAAAAGGCTGCATATCTCAGTCATTTGCGAGCACTCGTCCAAGATTAAAATGTCAAACTTTTGATCTTCCAAGTGCTTGTTCACGCAAGAACTGCACGTCACGGCAACCACTGGCGCGGATTTCACCAACTTGGCGCGCTTTTGTAAGGCGCCTTTTATTTTCAAGTTTTTGATTTCTTCTTCGATGCGTTTTCTTCTCGAGGAAATTTTCTCGTTTTCTTTCAGCGCTTTCTCGAGTTCTTCGATGTGCGTGTTGCCTTTCTTCGAGTCACGCTTGGCGTGAATAGAAAATGGGAGAATGTCCGCGTCAATTTTGGTCAACGAACCGACGCGACAGAAATCGGTGAAACCATTCTCGAGGAGCGTTTTTAACACGCGATCGACAGCGACGTTGGTGTTTGCACAAACCAAAATTCTGCCGTTTCGTTGTTTCGTATCCGGAGGAAGAACACCCAGCTTGTGCTGCATATCTTTCACACTCGCGACGTGTTCGCGAATAAAGCTCGCGACTAATTTCGTTTTACCACTCCCAAACGGACCGTGCACCAAACTCACGCCGCATTCTGTGTTTACCATTCCCTTCATCGCGACAGCTTGATCGTGATTCAAACCGTATTGATTCTGGAACGTAAACTCCAAATCTTGAAAATCTTCCTCCTCGTCAGCTGCTATATTTTCCGCGTGCTCGCTGGTCAGTTCTGCGACTGATGGGTTCATTATCATTCGCATGAGTGGCATCGTGTCTTCTTTGACCATTTCGAGCGCATTCTTCATCTCCTCCAACTCGCCGAAAGCGCTCAGAGCTCGCGCTGCGTATAACGTGAGGGACTTTCTCTTCACCCATCCACCGTTCGAGCTATTCTTGAGCGACTCTTTCAGTGTTCTCGGTAAATCGCCGAGCATTTCTACATGCATCTTACCTTCTTTATCGGGTGCGTGCCACGTGGATGCGACGACGCCGGTCCAGTTTTTGTACGTATCCATACCTTGTCGAGTATTTTTTGCCACGGGAGAGGAGAGAAAAAAGCCTGGATCTGTAGAGAGCACGTAAACGTCACCTTTTGCAAAATCGTTCGGTCTATGGAATTCGCACCTACCGAGCGTGAGTTCGACGACAGTTTTAGATAGTTTAACGGTGCCGGTCTCTTCGTCTTTTTTCGTTTGCGTCTTGTACGCGGTCATTTTACACTCGCTCCAGTAATGAATCCGATACTGTCGTCCAAGTCTAATGCCTAAGTTTTTTGGATCGACAGTAGTGTTCACGTGCACCGAGGTCGTCGCAACCGGTGCGCCTCTTTTTTGCTGCGGAAGAGCGTGTACGACCGTTCGCACCGCGTCCGAAACGTTCCTGAGCTTGAGCGAAAGTTGTTCGCACGAAGTCGAGAGGAGGTAATTTTGGTATTCTCGAACGCCGCCTTCGAACCGTAAAGCGACGTGCGCGGAAAGCTTTTCGAACGGAAACTTGATAGCAATCGTCGGTTCCGCGTATCGATATTGATTATTCTTGCTATTACCATTGTGTTGTTGTTGTTGCTGTTGCTGCTGCGCGTATGAAGAATTCGTATTTCCATAGTTCACCACGCGCTGTGGAACCATCGCCTCTTCGTCCTCCGTGTATTTTTCTTCTTCTTCTTCTTCCACTGCTACTATTTCCATCATCTTTTCCTTTTCCTCTTTCTGTTTTGTCAAATTCGCGAGCCTTTCTTTCAACGCTGCCGCGATGTTTACTCTTTTTGGCTGTTTCGCCGCATTACAAGGCTGCTCGTTTTCCTTCGAAGCGGCGGCGCCCACATCGCGAAGACCGACGTCGTTCATTTCCTCCTCCTCTATACGTGATCGTTTCCCAGCGACGTCCTTCGCACTCACACCAACCGTCTGTATCGGCGTAAGCGTATCTATTGTCACCGTCGTCGTCTTAGTAAACATCGGATTCCGAAACGACGCTGGCGTCTGACTCTCGCGTATACTCCTCGTCGCCCGAAACAGCGACGTCTCCCGCCCAACGTCTGCCGATCGATTCATCGCCTTTTGTCTCGACACCGCGTTCCCGTCCTTTCCAAACTCTTCGTCGATTTCAACTTTGTATCCGCTAAATTCCTCGATCGTATTTTCTTCTTCCAACTTTTCTAAAACCGATTGAATCGCTTTCGTCTCTTTGCGCGAAATTTTCGCGATCGTTTCAAGGCCTGCTTTTTTCCTCGTCGTTTCCGAGGACGACGCGAAACTTTCTCTCGTGACTTCCTCAAACGAGCCCCGATTATTCTGCGCATTTGCGCCGTACAAAACCACCGAGAGCGACCCCGAATGAGACGCCGCGCAACACCGCACTATGCTCACAAATCCGTCTTTCCATTTCGGTCGTTTTTTGTGCGTCTCGTTCGTGTACGTCACCGCGAAGAATCTTTCCTCCTTTTCTTCTTCTTCTCTTTCTGGCGGTCGTTGCAAACGCGTCGAAGTCATCGTCGTCGTCTTTTGAAAAACAAGACTCTACCTTCTTCTCATCGCGCGGAAGTATCGGGATTGCACCGCGTTCTAAAAACCGTCGTTTTTGGCCAGCCGTTGAACTTTTGTTCCTTCGTGGTGTCGAGATGATGATAGTCGTAGTATGAGTAGTATTCTTTGTAGTTCGTAGTATTACTGCGCGTGTTAAAAATGAGGAATCCGATGTTTTTTTCAAAAAATACGAGGGTGGGTGCACAGTTTTTTTTAAGAGACTCCCACACAATATACACACACGCGAGACGAGGACGACGACGAGTACGATGTCCGCAGGTCATGGACAAAAACAACTCGGGTACGCGAAAACGTTCGAGTTCGACGTCGTCGTGGTTTTTATAATTTTGGTGTTGATACCAATCTCCATTTTTATGATGCAATCGAAACGGAGTCAAACGAAAAGGATTGGAAGTTTCGTCCTCTTAGGGGGCTCGTTTTTGTATCTCGCCGTGTTTGAAGGGGTGGTGCGATTGAGGGAGACGGAACGGGCGAGCGAGATTGGTTTACGCGGGATGATTGGAGGTGGTGGTTATGGCGGCGCGTCGTCGTCGTCCGCGTGGTCGAAAAGGAAGCGAAGGGGAGTCGTCCAGAAGTCGTCTTCGTTCTCGGGAACCACCGTGTTCACATCCGAGAAAAAGGATAAAAAGACGACGAAAACAACAAAGACGTTGCAATATTTTTCGTTGCGCGATGTGCCGAGCGAAAACGAGGCGATGTTTCGAGACGAACGGATTCGAGAGTCGAAAAAAACGATCGATGGATCAATAATTGCAGCGCACGTGGAGCAAAGGTTCTCCGGGGGCGATGCGTTCTTTCAAGAGGCGTTTAGAGAGTACGAGAGAGTGGAAAAAGTGAAAACGGCGAGAGTTTCCGCGAGCAACGACAAGAGCGCAATCGATGATGATGTGGGGACGGTATCTGTCACCAGTGATGGTGGTACTGTTCTAACTCCTCAACGCATGCAATCTATGTTTCCAGAACATTTATCCTTCCGAACCGTATTCGTTGTGCGGGATCCCAGAGATGTTATCACGTCCTCGTACCTCTCGATAATCTCAACGCTGGAGGAATGGGCGCGGACGAAACGAGACGATTTGGACGGTTCAAGCTTCCAATCCGTGATGCGAAACAATTTAAACGCTGAAATTGCATTGGATGTGGAAATTGTGCGGTTCATGAGCGCGAGCGTGGACGTACCATTCTTTACCGGTCTCGAGAACGCTGTGGCTGCTGAGATTGAAAAATCAAACGGGGCGTACGCCAACGCGATACTCTCTTTCGCCGAAGCTATGCTCGACGCAAACGATCAAACGGCAAAGAATTCCATCATCTTTGTTAAATATTCCGAGCTTCTTTCTGCCAACGTGACTGGATTCCGCAAACTCTCCGAGTTTCTTCGAGGAGACTACTCTCTAGAACAGAGCTTTGTCGCGGCCTCCGCCTCGCTCCGAAAGAGAGCGGAAACCGAACCTTTCCTCATCGCCTCTCTCGTCTCCAAAAACGACGACACGATCTATCGTCACAAAAAAGACATCATCACCAAAGAGCAAGAAATTATCACTCCACCATCGATCTACAAAGCGCACATGACGGCGCGAAATCAGGAGCATTTTTTCTTACTCGGAAAACCTCTTTTGAGTTTCCTCGCCATCGACGAAGACGACGACGAAAACGAAGACGACGACGAAAACCTCTTCGCCGATTTCGACGCCGTCGACGGTGCCGTGCTCAACCCTTGGTAACGAGAAAGGGATAAAGTAGTAGAAGAGAGAGAACGCGGTTGTTTGAAATAAAAAAATCGCGCTGGCTGCCCTCCGCACTCGCGCTCGTATTTAGGCACTCCCAATACTCTCTTTCCTGTTCTTTGCCAAATCTGCTTTTCAAATTGAAAAAAAGCAGAATTTCATTCTCAAAAGCTTTCTCACCTTCCCTCCTTTTACACTCTCCTCTTGCGTGAAATTGCGGCTTCGACGGTGCATATAATTAAATCGCAAAATCTCGCCTCTTTGAAGGGAAAGAAGGTTCGAACCAAAAACCACAAAAATTGAGCACTGCCAACCCTCTTCTTCAACACGCGCGCGCGCAAAACGAGACCATGAGCGATCAACAACAGCAACAACAGCAACCGGGAATAATACTGGCGGCAAATCGTCGCGTGCCAATTCCAAACTCCAAGTACGACGACGACGCAGAGGACAAAGAGAAAGAAGAATCGCGGCCTAAAATCACGAAGAAAGCGAGAACGCCAAAGGCGCAAAAACAGTCCAAAACGAGCAGCGCGACGGTAAAGACGACGACGGTGTCGTCGTCTGAAACGGACACGGACGCGGAGAAAGAAGACGCGGAGGATGAGAAGTTGGTGCAACCGTCGAAGATTTTGATCCCGCAGGACGGGCAACAACCCAAGAAGTGGCGGTTGGCCGATCAGAGAAGGTAAACTTTACGCGCGGAGAGATCCGTTTCGTTTCAATTGTGTTCACGTTTTTAAATGTGATCACATGATGATCGGCGTAATTTTGTTTTACGTTTGCTTCTTTTTCTCTCGTCGTTTCTCTCTCGCGCTTCTCTCTCTCTGTCTCTCTCTCTCTCTGGTCGTCGTGTACGTCGTTTGATGACGACGACGACGATGACGCTGAATACTTACGACGGAGTACTTTCATGAAACACATTACACACATTATACACAAAACAACAGAACGATTCTCTCTCGAACGAAAACGCTCTTCCGTTTCCTCGGTTTGGGGCACATGCGAGGCGTCGGCATGGATTTACCGTACAGGCAAAGGTTTCAATTTTTACTGGAATTGATTTACGGCGACACGTTTAAACCGAAAGCGTTTTGGGCCAGACACCCGGACCCGGACGAGTTTTTCTACGCGTTGTTTCGAGTGGCGAAACCGGATTTGCCGAGAACCGCGTTCGTCGGCGACGTGTTCGAGCTGAGCGCGGAGACTTTGCACAACGAAGTGAACGCGCTCGCGTTGGGGCGGTTAGGGGTATCCTCGGAACAGTTGTTGAGGTTGTTTCAGCACAACGCGGCGGTGGAGCATCCGCAGGAGCAAGGAAAGGAGAAAGGGAAGTGGGTGAGGGTTGTGGACTCGACGCTTCCGGCGGAGGTGAAAACCGGGGCGGAAGGGAAGACGACGCTGTTCGTGCCGACGCCGACGGAGGAGACGGAATATAGACCAAACATTCCAAACGGCTGGAGGCCAGGACCTACGAGAGGGAAAAGAGACCGTGGGTCTAAAGGGCACTCCGGGGTGTTTTTAACGCAACAAGCGTTGAAGGCGGTTGGAGAGAACGCGCCAGTGATTTCGCCGGGCGTGAACACAAAGTATATGGAGCAACGGAGGGCGTTTATCGCGAACGGGAAGGTGGATGCGCCGGTAACTGCGGCTACCAAGAAGAAGGATACCAACGGTAAAGGTAAGAATGCTGGTAGTAATACTACTATCACTACTAGTACCGCTGCCACTACTACTGCTACTACCACCACTACTGCGAAAGGAACGAAACGACCGCGATCGACGAAAGCTGGTACTCAAGCCTCGAAAAGAGGCGGCGGGGGCGGCGGCGGTGGCAGCGGGATGTTGGACGGACTCGTCGCGGCGGCGTTGTTATCGGAAATGGACAACCAAAAAGAAGAAGAGGAGCAAAAAGAGAAAAAGGCGAGGGAGAAGGAGGAGAAGCAGAGAGCAAACGCTTCAAAGAAAGAGACAGGTGAGAAACAACCGAAATCAAAGTTGGAGAAGCTCATGCTCGAACATTTGAAAAAAGAGACCGGAGACGGGTCAAACATCAAGAATGCAAAAGACGAGAAGGCGAGGTCAAACGACGAGAATCATAACGGAAACGTTAAGAAGAGCGATCAACACGCCTTGTCGAAAAAAGAAGAATCTGCGTCGCCTAATGGTGGTAGAGGTGGGGGAAGAGGTGGCGCGCCTCTCGAGGAGGAAGACTTTGACGACGCCATTCCAACGCTTCCCCTCGACGACGACGATTTGGACACGTGGGAACGTTTTGATGCTTGGCGAGCGCCGTTAGAGGAAGACGATGCGGATTGTCGCGCCAAGCACCGCACCGATACGGATAGAATTGAAGACGTGTACTCGATGTTTGATCAGGTTGTGAACGACTTGCGAAGTCCCCCGAGTTCTCAGCAGCAGCATCAATTGACGAACAATCAAACGGTGTTGAGAGACGCCACGTCGAGAGCGCAAAAATTGCTAGGCATCGAATACGTGCTGAAAGGCATGAGCGGTGACTTAGAGCAGTGTTTGGACGACGACGAGACGTTGCACATGGCGAAGCACCACTTGGCGAAAATTAGCGAAATCATCAGTCGCAAGATGAATCAACAGCTCGGCTAACAGATAACAATAATACATAAATGACGAGCCGCAAAAATAATAAGAACGAGAAGAAGATATAATACACCTGAATATTCACACATGTAATATATGCGACAAAAACTACGTGTACACACTGCAAGAGTGAAATCTATAATAAATCTAACTATTTAAAACTAAAATCCGCGACGATGCTTAAATGATCGCTTGGGTACTTTCTATTGGGTAAAGTTTTCTTTTCGTGCAAATTGTTATTCCACTGGCGGGCATTGGGAGTTTTGAGCACTCTCATAACCTTCGCCGCGCTCTCGTCGAAGAAAATATAATCGGTCGTGCCGACAAACTTCCTGTGACAAGACGTCCACGAAGGCTCTTCCTTTAGCACTTTTTTATATGCCGAGCGCATGCGACCGCTTGCAGTGTTGAGTTTGGTTATGAGCGACCCATTGAACACGTTTTCATGCGTGTTGACGTCGTCTACATCGTTCCAACTTTGCAAGTTGCTTTCATTGAACGAACCCCCGACGAGCACCTCTTCTTCCTCGTCCTCCTCGTCGTAACATTCTTTTTCCTTCTTGCTATCCTCGCTCAAATATCCGCCCATATTTCTACGGTTACACGACATTTTATCAAAGTACCCCTCCTCTATGAAACTATACAGCGCCGAGTTTGGCAAAAAGTTGCCATCCAACGAGAAAATTTTCATCACTCGAGAAGACGAATTCGACAGCGCTATGCTCTTCGCGCTTTCCATCGCCTCCAAGATCGTTTTCACCTGCGCTAACTTTACCAGACCATTCTTCGGCGCGAAGAGTACGTGGGCATTCCCGGTAACCACAACTGATCTATTTTTCTTGTTTTCCAACACTAAAACCAAACCGAACGCGTCGTCGTCGTCGTCTAACGCCACCCGCGTCGGCTTCTTCGACCACGTCGCCGTCGCGAATTTACTCTTCCTAAAAAACGTCGCCACCCCGTCCGTCTTCCCTTTCCCTCTCTTCACGAAATACCCCTCGTATTTCCTCATCATTTTTGATATCTGCTTGAACCTCTTCGCTTCCACTTCTTGCAAATTGATGACGTCCGGTTTCAACCTTTTTAACTCGTCCTCGAAAATTTTCTCGATTCTCGTTTCCGCTTGTAAATCCTTCCTCGTTTGCTTCGGGTACAGCTCTCTCGCGTATTTCTTCGTCGCGGATTCGCACAGAATGTTGTACGAGACCACTCTCACCAGACCGTTTTCACTCTCGTTTTCACCGGGCGACCATTCGCGTCCAAAGAGTGGGTCTTGGTCTTCTTCTTCTCTCGTTTCCATCCGTCGCCGGTTTTGCCAAAACGTTCTTCTCTTCTTCTTAACCGACGCGGGCGACGACGACGAAGGAGAAGGCGGTGGTCGTTCCAAAGTCCTCCTCGTCTGCACACCCTCTTCGCCCGTCTTCTTCTCGAGCGGCGGCGGTGCACTTCTTCCTCCTCTTCTTCTTCTGTTCATCATCATCCGCGAGCGTCAAAGTTCTCGCATTTTGTGTGGAATTTCAACGACCATTTCTCCAAAAGAAAGACGCACAAATATATCTCTCGACCAAAGAGAAAAACGATCGTCGTTATCATGTCTTCCGGAAGAGAAGGAGTCGCGACGACGAGAGCGAGAAAGAGGAAGGCTGGTGAGAGAGATTCTTCGTGGGACGTGGTCGCGAATAACGACGATGTGCGTTTCAAACACATCACTCCGAGATTGAATCGAACGGATTTGAAATTCGTGTCCTCCGAATACTCGACGGAAGAGGAACACGAGAGACTACGAAACGCTCTCGCATTGCTCGAGAATAAACCTTTGCCGTTGTGGCGTTTGTTCAGAGAGGCGGTGCTGAATGGCGGCGCGTGTCGCGATATCGTGGAGAAGCATGTGATGTGTAAACTCAACGGGACGGATCTCAAATTCTTGTATGGAGTGAATACGGAGACGAGAAAGTTGATTAAGAGATCATCTCGCAAGGGGGAGTTGAAAAAGAGGTTTAAAGTGAGCGAGATGTCGTCGATATCTACGTTGGAGTTTGCGTGGGAGCATAAATCGTTGTGGCCGAGTGACTGGGAGGATATAACTTTCTCCAGTGAAGTTGCTCGAACGAATAAACTCGAGTTGCTCAAGTGGGCGCGAGAGGAGAAAAAGTGTGAGTGGGATGAATGGACGATTAATGAGGCCGCATCTCAAGGTAATCTGGAAATGGTAAAGTATTGCGTTGCAAATGAGTGTCCTATCGATGAGGACGCGTGTGCATATGCTGCCGAAAACGGTCATCTCGAGGTACTCAAATACTTACGCGAAGAAGTCAAAGCGCCTTGGGATTTTTCTACTGCCGAATGGGCGGCTGAAAATGGTCATCTTCATATACTTGAATATCTTGTTGAGCGTAAATATAATAAATATAACGAAAGTGCGTGTTGGTGTGCGGCCAAGTACGGCCACTTGGACTGTTTGAAGTACTTGCACGAAACCGCCAAAGCGCCGTGGGACTCTTGGGCCGTTCGATTTGCGCACGAGAACAACCACACGGAGTGTTTACAATACCTCCTCGACAACAACTGTCCTCTCCCACCCGGTTGGCGATACGAAGATGGAAAGTTGCACGTGCCACCAGTTTCATAATAACAATCGCGTTTCTAAAGTTGTATAATAACAGAAAGAGAGAGACATAGACGCGAGTAACAAACGCGCCGCAGCCGCTGCTGAAAATACTCCACAGTAGAGTAGTTGTAAAAATACGAGCGAAATGCTTCAAAAATTCAAAATCCCACAGAGCATTCCTCGCACATTGAGACGCTTACACTATCTATCACACGTATTAAATATATCCGATGACGACGAAGAAGACGACGAGGACGAAGGAGACTGTATCGTCGGTCTCTTTGAAAGACCGAACGAATGATTTTAGCAGGAGCATGAGCAGTAAAGGAACAGAAGAATTGGAAGAAGAAGAAGCGGACTCTGAGCGCAGTTTCGAGAGCGATTGGTCGCGAGACGAAAACCCGTACGACGCGTCGAATTCATTTCTCACGAAAATCATAAAGACGCACAAGAAAGCGATGGAAACGAGCGAGGACGAACGGAGACGACTGAAAGAGTTACTCTTTAAAGCCGAGGATAGGTGCGAAGAGCTGTTGGAAATGAACGAACACTTGGAACGAGAATTTGAGAAAAAAGAGAAGCAGTTTCGCCTCAAAATGGAGGAGGAGAAGACGAAAGGAAAGCAATTTCCGGAACGCGAGAAGATGGAGATTCGGGAACGAAAATTGGAATCGGAGTTGGCAGCGGTGAAAACGATGAACGAGAGTTTAGAGAGGCAAGTTTTATCGCTGAAAATACGCGAGCGGGAAAGAGAGGACGTTTTGACCAAGTTGCGAGACGAGACGGCACAGATGAAGAAGTCGTCGAACAATCCGCAAGTGCTGAGAGACGAGATAAGGAGCGAGGAGCAGAAGGAGCAGCAAACGTTAGCGGTGATTGCGGAGACGTACGCGATTGAGATACGAAAGTTAAAGGAGAAGGTAGAGATGTACGAGAAAGCGAGGATGAGAGAGAAGGCGTTTGGCTTCCAACAAAAGCATCAACAGCAACAACAACGAGAAAAACAACAACAGTATTTCTCCTTCGAAGAGAGTGAAGATGGAGAAGAAAATGATGACGAACCGAGACCTCCACTGACAGTAGCGAAACGTTTACCGAGCGAATCCGAATCCCCGTTTGGGACGTTGAATAGCGAAGGTCGAGTAAAAGCGGCCATTGTTAGATTGGGTATTTTAGATGATAACGGCGACGTGCCAAAGATGCGAAATTTTTAATAGATACGTGTACAGTTGTTTAACATTCTGTGTTTAGAATTTTTCGCACGGTTGAATTCATTACAAGACTAAAGTCGCTGTTGCCGCGTTCGCGTTTGATTTGCGTTTCTTCACAACCGCGGTTGGAGCTTTCGCCGCCACGCAACACACGCCGCACTTTACGTACTCCGAATGCGACGGTAATACAAAGCCGTACTTTTCCACCCACTCATTCTTGTGCGCTTTTTCGAATTCGGCGCCTGAAGAGCACGTGTCGCAATACGCGAACCCGCACTCGACGCATCGTAAGGTGGTCTTCTCTGTGTGACCGCAGAGATCGCCGCACACTGCGCACTTGTGCGAAGGACACAACCACGGTTCCGCTGGATTCGGCGCGGTGAGAACGCGAGCACAGCCAGCACTACCGGCGTGCGGACATTTTGAACATTGTAACCAGATCGATGCGACTTCTGGAGTAAGCCACGCCGGCGGGATAGCCTTACATCCACCCTCTTTGCTCGATTTACAGCCGAAACAGAACACGTCGTGATTTTCCGTCGGAAACGGGGTAGAAGCATCGCTCGTTGGGCGATTAAATCTCGCAGTCGCATCATTGTCATTGTCCACAACAACACTCGCAGACGATAAAAACTGAACTTCTGGAGAGCACTCGCTGAGAATGCTTTTCGCAAATTCCGCCATTGCCTCCTCTGTATCCTCGAGCGTTTTCAACGCTGCTTCGTCTACATTCGCAGTGCTTTTCAGATGCACGAGAGGAATTTCGTCCTTTGCGCGCGTATCGCACGGCGCGAGCTTGGGATAGACGACATCTCTCACCACTTGCGCATCGATTTCGTACAAGACGCACACTTGCGTCCCGCGCGTCAATCGAGACGCTTTCTTCAAACCACTTAAGCTCACTATACCCACAGTTCGTTTCTTTATGTCTCTGTACTCGACCGCATCTACAAGTCGCGCGCCGAAAGGTTTCACCAAAGGATCAAGTATAGAATACCCGTCTTTCTCTGCGAAATCGGAGATTGAAAAATCAGTCGTTTTCTTATCATCGTACACGAACAGAGTTCGCGCGATTGAACGACTCGCGATGACTTGAGCAAATTTCAGTGCTCCTTGGGTTCCATTCAAGATCTTCTGCGGCTCCATGACATAAAAGGACTCTTTGAGGCGATCGGCAATATTTAGTTCGCTTTGTGTGGTGTTATTTACCGCAGGTTCCCACTGTTCGAAGACATGAGAAGGTTCAACTAATTTGTTTTGAAGAAACGAATCCTCCTCGGAGTGGGTGGTGAGCATTTCGCGCGCTTTCGTATCCGTAACATCATCGATTTTCGGCTCTTCTTCAGGCGACGGCAGTTCTGACGTGAAACGTATATCCATTTCTTCAAAGTTTGGCGGTTGAGGCTTGAGTGCCCATACACTTGTGGCGGACGCTTTGGCGTAGACTTCGCCGCACCTCGCGTGTACCGTGCGAAATACCTTGCGAAACTCTTCGCCTTTGTTCTCGAACTTGTCCTCATCATTCGGCATCAAGAGTACGCGCTTCGTTTTTAACCGGATTTTACTGGCCGCATCGTCGAAGTGTGCAACCCATTTTCGAAAACCATCCACGCCGTCGAAATTTGCGCTCGAGAACGGTCGAAGTAACGTTCCCGGACTTAACGCGGCATACGTCGCAGGCACCGGAGTCCCGTCTGCGTTTAGCGCGGTGCCGTGCTTCAATACCACGTTAAACATAATTTCTGTCGTGATAACCAAAACATCAAACGAGGACTTTTGAATCGCCGCACCTTTCAGCGAATTTTTTGCATCATTTGCGTTCAAGATGGACACTTGCCTGAGTTTAGGACAAAACTTGACTAGATCGGCGATCCAATTCAAAGCGTCAAATCTACTGTCGCATACAATAACGTGCGGTTTTTCAGATTGAATAGCCATGGCAGTAATTGTCGTCAGCCGCTTACCAAATCCAGAAGGTAATCTAAGCACAGCAAACGCGAGACCGAGGAATTTGTGCCGCGAGACGATATCTCTGGCTATTACTCTTTGAGCTACCGTTAACACTTTCCATGGTTCACTATATTTCTGAGAACCAGGAACCTCAAACGCTGAAAACGTGCGTTTAAGTACGGAACAAACGGAATCAATCGAAGCATCGCTCTTCACGTTTTCGTCCACGAATGCTTGTGGAAACAAAACCATGCACTTTGGATTCAAACTGCGCAAGATAATTATCGCGCGCCCGATGGCAGATTTTGCATTCGGGACTATATTTTCTGACGTTCCTTTCGTTATGTTTTCTAAATTTGTGCGCTTCCCTTTCTTTGGTTTCTCTATGAAGGCCTTCACGGGTTTTTGCCTCGCTGATGTAACTTTGTTTTCTTGTTGCAATTGATCATCTGCGCTGTGCGACGCAGCGTTTATGGAAGTTAGCACTCGCATACTTCCGTCACCCGTATTTACCAACGCTTTCTCGTGCCTTTCATTTGCTAAATCTGTAGTGGTTTCTGTTGTCGTCGTTGCACCGTTCGCATTCGCAAACAATTGCGTCGACTGACTAACTGCAGCGTTCTGTATGCCCCAGAAAACGGATCCGCCGGTCAAATACGCGTCGTTCAACGCTGACTCTATTGGCAACGAACATGTTTCGCGTCGCTTCTGCAACCATCGCTCGCTCGAATGCGTGGAGCAAAATACCATCGGCTGACCAGTACCAGCGCGGCGAAGCCACGCGTTCTTCGACCCTCTCGCACAGAGCGGGTGAAACGCCTTGTAACATTTCTTCATCGCGCATTGTGTACAAGCGCCTTCTTCTTCGCAAATTTCACACTTCAACGTCATCCGCGAGCTTGTAAGCTTCGAGGCGTCTATGCGCAAAACGGAAGATCCAGATTCCAACGCTTTTTTATCGTTGTCTACTGCTTTAGAGAACGAAATTTCGGGTAATGTTAGCGCACAAACAACGTGCGCGTGATACCCAGGCGCGCGCCAGTTAGTTGAAAATTTTGATTTCGGCTTGATCCTCGCTAACGCGCCTTTCGGCGTCGGGCATAAAGCGCACATACCCCGTCCGTTTTCGATGAGATTAGACACGCCATCCTCGCACCCCGCGCACAACCACTCGCCGTCTGGAATCTTTTGGATGCCGTAACAGCTCTTGTGCACTTGCACGTCGCACCCATCGCACAATAAAATTTGGTCGTTGACGTCCCAGTAATCCATGAGCTGTTCGTTGCACACGTGGCAGGCGTCCACAGAAGACCAAACAACTTTTTGAATATACTCCGAAGCAGGTTCAGGTGCTTCTTTAATCTTCTTCGTATCGCGAAGTTGGTGTGGTGGTATATTTTTCTTTTTGTTCTTTTTCTTTTTTGTTTCATCTTGCATGTCTGCGTCGACTTCACCTTCCGCGGCGGTGACGTTGGATTGAAGTAAGTCCTTCTCGTCTTCATCCTCGTCCTCATCCTCTGAACTCGATGCGGTATCGGTACCGTTATCGCGTTGTCCATTACGATTCGCATCCAAACTAAACTCTTTTCTCATCTTTTGCTTTAGCGCGCGCCGTTGCTCTCTTACTCCTATCTTGCTCACCTTCAGTTCCTCTCCGTTTGGTTTCTGTCTCGTCTCTAACACCGAAGCGACTCGTAACAGCTTCTCGGCGCGTTGCAACTTCTCCGCCGCAATCTTCGCTTTCCTATTGGCATTCTCAAACGCATCTTTCGCTTTTTGCATTTTCTTGGCAGCAAATATTTCAGTCGCCGCCGCCGCGCTCGCGGTAAACGCCCACTTATTCTCCGCGTTCCCGCCAGCACCGCCGTTCATTTCACCTAATCTCGCATCCACCGCTCTCATGATTTCTTCGGAGGTTGGAATATTGAACGGATTATTATTACTCGTCGTATTCTCCGCATTACTCTCGCGACCGCGCATCTTCTTCGCCAACATCTCCTTCAAAAACAAAATTTCCTCGTCGACATCCGCGTCGGAATCCGTGTCGTCTTCGTCTTCGTCCTCCTCCTCCGTCACTTCCTCCAACGAGCGCTTCCTCCCTCTCTTCGTCGACGACGCGCCGCCGAACCCTCTCTTCCTGGTAAACTCCAACGCTTTTCGAACGTCTGCCGACTGTTTCTCGTACTCTTTCAAGATGTTTCCTACCGTTGAGACGACTGCAACTTTCGTTTTCTCCTCTTGGTTTTTGTAAAAATCCGGAACTGTCTCCTCCTCGTCTTCGTTCGTATTCATCCCTTTTCCTTCTGCATTCTGCCTTTGCATCATCATCATCATCATCATCTCGTCGTCCTCTTCTTCTTCTTTTTCTTTCTCGTTCTTTTGAACAACGACGACTTTATCCTCCTCCCGCTTCTTAAACGTCTTCGTTGCCTCTTCTTCGTAATCATCCTCGCCCGTTGTTCGTGTTGCGTGAATAGTAATCGACGAAGCATTCGTCCGTCTGTCCAATTCGACGCGTTTCTCCTCCTCGGTTTCATCTTCCGTGTTTTCATTATCGTCGTCGTTTACGTCGTCCTCGCGAAAAAGAGGATCATCTGCCGACGAAGGTAAAGACGACGGGGCGTTTTTGACGATGGTTTTGTTCTCCTCTTCGTTGGTGTCGTTTTCATCGTCGCCGCTCATATTTCTTCTCCCTTGTTTAAAGTTTTTTGTGTGGGAAATCGAGTGAAAATGTCAGAAGTGCTCGATGGTACAAAATTTAACCGGTGTTGGTATATACACAGTAAACGCTCTAAAGTCATCATCGTAATCATCATCGTCGTCGTCACATATATGTCATCTAATAATAAAGGTGTTCTTAAGCTAAAAACGCTTCCTCTTCCAAGAAGGTTTCTTCCTCGTCTTCGCCGTCGGGGGCGACTTTTTGGTAGAAGAGAATGTACCCGTGTTCGCTGCCGCCTGCGTCTTCATCTCCTTCTTGTCCTCCCGAGACGACACCTTTACTTCCGAAAACGGATTCTAAGTCTTCCGTGTTCATGTCCTGAACGGTTTCGTCGTCGAACATGACCCACCGTTCGCTGGCACCACCTCCGCTGGCTTTGTAGCCAGAGGTTCGAGCGAAGCAGACGTAGTGGCCGTGGTTCGGGCCGCTGCCGATGTGGACGACGACGGCAAAGAGACAGTAGAGGTCGTCGGAGGAGGTGGAGTCGGCGGAGAGGTTGGGAAGTTTCAGCTCGCGCGAAAATGCGACTCGGTGGTTAAGTTTTTGCATTCGTCCGACGGATTCGACGTATTTGAAACGTTTCAGGTGGAGCGCTAAGACTGAAGGCGCGGTGCGGATGAGAAGTCGTTTGTGCGCTTCGTGTAAGCCCGAACACGAATCGCATTGGAACTTATCTTCGCCGCCGAGAAGTTCGCTGGCAGAGAAATCCGACAGACACTGTTGGATGGAAGAGTTTGGCTTTACCTCGACGGAGATTTCGAGGAAGGATTCTGACCGCGACGTGACGTTCTCGCACCACAAACATCTGGTTTCGTTGACGGTTTCGCCTTGGAAGACTTCGTGGACCCACGTTTGCTTTTCTTTTTTCTTGCTGTTACTGGATGCTTTTTTACGCATGTTTAACGCGTCGCTAATGCCACCGATGTTTGTGTTACTACCTGCATTCGACATAGTTAGCGCGGCCGATGCGTTGGCGGCGTCCTTCTCCGCACCGTTCTTGTTCGCGGCGCTCTTGCTCTCTTCTTCGACGTTCCTCAAATCCACGTCGTTACCTTCGCTTCCTTCATCTACGCTCAGACGACCGCTACCGCTCGAAATTCTCGGCGTTACACTGCCCGCGCTGCTTCCACTCCTCCTCGAATTCCTCTTCGAATCGTAATTATCCTTCACCTCGTCTCTCTCCCTCTCTAAAATCTCGCAACACTCGTTCAAGAGATAATTCAAAAACTCGTGCGCGTCTTGATGCTCGTACGAGTTAAAACACTCGTTCGATTTCTTCAACCGAGAGACAAACTTCTTCGGTTCAACCACGGGAACTCTTTTCGCCGAACTCGTCAACGCTTTTTGCTCCTTCTTGCTCATCTCCGCGAACAAACCGCCGAGCGAAAGTAACAAGTTGGCGTCCGAATCAGTTTGCGTCGCGTGGTATTCCAACAAGAGCTTCTTAAACGGTTGGCAGTGATACAACGCTTGCAACACTGAATTGCAGTAACACGTGTTCCCGAAATTTTCTAATCCAACGCCTTTTGATGCGCCTTTGTTTTTGTCGCTCGTCGTATTCGTCTTCATCCCCGAGGCGATGGTATCTTCGCTGTTATCAGACATCTTCAGATTGTTCTTTTCGTTCTCGTCGTTCGAACCGTTATCATCTTTTCGTCTCCGGTCGGCACCAGACGCCTTTGCACTCGAAGACCCGTTCGTAGTGTTCGCAGATGATGCAAGAGTACTGCTCTTAGTCGCGTTCGAACCGCCACTTCCGCGAGTCGTAGTATTCGTCGTTGGTTTTCGACTTCGCGGGGAAGAATCGTTCGAACGGTGTCGCCGCTCGTCGTCGTCGCTGCTCGTCTCGCTCGAACCGTTCTCTGTCGTTCTCTCTTCGTCGAAGGATAAGTTCCGAACGCCATCGCTCAAAGAAGAGGAAGGCGCTTTTGAGTTCGTGCCTCCCATACTCGTGTTTTATTCTTTTCTTTCTCGCGTGGTATTCTTCGTTTTTTTCTGGAGAGGTTTGAGGGTTCGTTTGTCTCGAACGAAAGGAAGAAGGAGAGAACGAGAAGCGAACGCGCGCGCGTGTTTTCTATGCAGACGTACAAGTGTAAAAAGTAGATACTTAAAACAACGTCTATGTGATAATGTTACACGATGCGAAATGTATATTTACCTTTTCCTTTCGTCTAACCGTAACTGGTCGCAGATGTCGGTCAACGCGCTCTCGTATCTCGGAATGAAGTGGTCGGAGACCATGTTTTTGTTCAACCATAAAGCGGTGTACGCTTCTCGTTTGACGTCGGTATATAAGGCGTAGTGTTGTGGGGCGTCTTTGGGAATGGCTTCTCGTAAAAGCGGCTGTTCGTTGGCGAGACCTTCGGCTCGGTTCGCCGCGGCGAGGTCAATCATGTGGAGGATTTTGCCAGCCGGGAAGAGCGGGACGTGTAACGTGCGCTTGCGCTTGGTACCGCCGCCGCTGCCAACATCTTTGTTCTTCGCTCCTTCGCCGCGTTTTTTCAGTTCTGACTCGATGGCTAGGATGGTGCCTTCCGCATCGTCGACTTCCATTGCCGCGGCAGTTTCGGAAGGATCTTCGATATCGTCCATAGGCTCGAGCTTTTCGCTTTCTTCGAGACGTTCTGGAGAGATGTTTTCACCCGAAATTTTCATTTTGGCGTTTAGAAGCTCCTCTGATGCTTTCGCGATGTCTCTGTCGCTTTGTAAACGCAACACGCGCTCGGTGGCTTCCGGTTCTGAAGCATCCAACATTTCCTCCGAGATTGATTCTCTCGATATGCGTTCCTCCTCGGCGGCGTCGAGTTCTCCGACGCCGTATTGCGTGTGCGCCGCGACGCCTCCCATACGAGAGGAAGATTTCGTTCCTATTTCTAATTCTTGTTGCTTTTTATGTTCCTCTTTCGAGGAAGATGCAGCAACGCTCGGTTTTATTTTGTGTTGACTTCTCGGCGCGGTGCATCGAAGTAACATGGCGACTGATAAACTCGCCAATCGCGACGAGACGGATCGCGCAGACTTTGTCGCCGCCGACGCTGTGGTTGCTAATAAGTTGCGACTTTGAGACGCAATCGTGGCCGCTAACGGTGGAGCAGCCACACCACCATTACTACCAGCAGAAATCTTAGGAGATGGAAGCACCGCGACGTCTTGCGGCGGCGGCGCCTCGTTCCACTCGTTGTCCGGCGAAGCGAAAGTCTTCTTCTCTGGCGATCGAGGACCGACGCACGGTATGGGCACGCCGCACACTTTCGGTGCGGTCGCTAAAACTCTTTTCGCTGCGTCTTTATCCGTAAACGTCGCCGCTAACGTTCCAGCTGCTTCATCGCCCATGATCCCTAGCCCGCCAAGTTCCGCGTCCCCTTCGACTCGCCGGCCTGTTTGCAAAAACCGTTGCAATACCTTTTGTTCTACGCTCGTCTTCACAATCTGCTCGCGCATATCCTCCGCACGCGAATAGGACAACAAAGGCACAACATCGCCTCGATTGATCAGCGTTGTCGTCCACGGGGCGCAATTCGCGGCTAAATCTTCCGAAAGCATGGACGGACACCCGAACGCAATCACTCGCACGTCTGAAAAATGTTCCGGCTGCGCGTCTCTGAGCATTTGCGCTAAAAGAACGCCGACGCCGCCACCCAAGGAATGACCAACCACCATAAAATCGTAATTTGGGTTCATTTCTCTTGCTTTTCTCAACTCGTCCGTCGCGTTTTTCATCAACCACCTCGCGTTGGCTAAAAAACCGGCGTGCGCGTACCCGACGACGACGTCGCCGGATCCGTCCGGTCTCAACGCGTGGTGCGGACTCGAATGCGCCGTCAACGCCGTCAACGAATCCCGTATCGAATGCGTCCCACGAATCACCAGCAACAACGATTTAACGTTTTCATCCTTAAACAAAACAAACGCCGGTTTAAACGTCGACGGTTTAATCTGATGGAGCAAAATCTTCTGGTACGAGTCGTCCACTCTCCCTCGAATGGTTTCGAAATCTCTCGCGCGCCTTAAAAGTTTGTTATACTTCAACGCCAACCGTATCCTTAACAACCGTTCGTCCCACCGTTCCCCGTTTGCGACGAGACTTTCGTGTTCCGTGATGTTTTCTCGAAACGCTCCCGTCGTGATTCGTTTCCCTTTTCCAATGTTGATCACCGCGTCGGCGATTTCGTCTTGGCAGTCTCGGTTCGCCAACTGTCGAATGGCGAGTAAGTGGTCGACCCTCCAAATCTTCAAGATGGATAAAGCGTCCGTCCACCCGATGCGAACGATTTTCGCCAATCGCGAGGCAGTTTCTCCGTACGTTCTCGGTTGTTCCGAGAGTTGCCAATCGTCATCATCTGCATCGTTCTCTTTAGTATCATTGGGCGGCACCCCGCTCGGTGCGTTTTGCACCGCGAACGAGTTATTACGCGAATTGTTGTTGTTAGTACTACTATTACTACTATTACTCGCGTAGAACAAAGACGCGAGCGTGGTCAACGTCGCCGCGGCGACCACCGATGCCATCTATCTCTTTGCCTTCGTCTTTTCCTTCTCGTTCTGTTCTTAATGCGAGACGATATATATATAATATACTAATATACTATAGATTTGTGTATATTTAGTTTATATATATAGCTCCTGGTACCGAGTTGACGGAAGAACGCGGACATTTTTCGTGGTGGTGGTGTTGTCTCTTTCTGGGAAAGAGAGCGAGACAACGCGTCGGAGTTTTGAGGATTAGTTCTATTTGTTGGGGGATTTTCGAGACTCAAAAAAAAATAAGTTTTTTTTTCTCCTCACAAAATCTCTACAAAAACGCATTCGTTCACACGCAACAAAAGATAGGAACACGCACCTTCGAGCGAATTTACTCGTGCGAGTGCGAGAAAGGAATTGCGCGGAGGAAAAGTGTAAGTTTCTTTCCTGCTCATTTTTCTTCTCGTTGTTGTTCAAAAGGCACGTCGCGCGCGTGTGGCTCAGAATCCATCTCATTGGTAAAACGAAAAGACGCGAAATTTTAAGAGAGACGACGACCAAAAAATAAAAATAAAATGTTCCTATCGCGTGAGCAAAAGCTTCAGAATGTCCTTTCGGCGTTGGACGCCGCCGTTGGACGTGTTCACGGCAATGATACTGACAAGGCGCTCTTGCATGCTTCTGAAAATGTGAGAGTTGCTGTTAGAAGGTTAAAAACACAACGTGAAACACCTGTAAGAGGAGAAAACACGTTGAACGAAATCCTCAAGTCTCATTCGCACAGAGTGATCTCCGTGAAAAAAAGCACAATTGGATGTGAGGAGAATAATACGGACCCGGGAGATGTTGTTCGCACGATAGCGAAGGAGCGCCTTGAAAACTACGACAACCCAATTCCGCCAGGTTCAGCAGAGCATAAGAGAGTTTCGAAGATTCGCACGAATACAGCGGTCAAGTTATTGAGTACAGAGTTTAATTCCATCAAGAAATTTTCAACTCATAATGGAAATCCAATTTCTAATATCGTGAGAAAAGTGGCGAGAAAAATGAGTGGAGGCTGTGCCACACCGATGGAAGTCAACGGCAGGACCCCGGTGACAACGGGGGGCGCGAGACGGACATTCACAGGCCGATCTGACAACGGTAGAGGAAGTCAGCAACGTCCGCGATTCGATTCCAACGTTGGCAACGGAAACGTTGGCAACGGAAATGTTGGCAACGGAAACGTTGGCAACGGAAACGTTGGCAACGGAAACGTTGGCAACGGAAACGGAGGGAACGGAAACGGAGGGAACGGAAACGGAGGGAACGGGAACGGAGGGAACGGAAACGAAGTCAGCGACGAGGATGAAGACAACGAGGACGAACCAGACTTAGAGCCGGAAGACTTCAGAGATATCGAAGACGCTTGGCTCGAATCGGCGACTACCATCGAGAATGCCAAGAAAGAGAAAAACAATCAAAAGAAGATGAAAGCTGATTTCGTGCGGATCGAGTTGAATTCTACGAGTGGCATGTTGGCTGGTGTGGGGTATTTTGATCGAGCCGATACATCTCTTCCGACTACATTGAAAAAGGAGAGTTTCGACCCGGTCCCGTGCATCATGGGTGGGGATTCTCTCACGTGGTCGCTTCCTTCGAATTTGACAGCGGAACTCACATCGAGCGCGTTTTGCGATATTTTAAATGCAGAGGAACGGATCGCAATACAACAAGATAGAAGCGAAAATGAGAAGATTTTACGCATCTCCGCTGCGATTGACCGTATGAATGCTGAGGATAAAAAATCAAATTTTTTGAAGTTGCTCTTGAAAAAAGAAAACGACGTCTGGAGTTTGGGAACGCGCCAAGCACCAGACGTGACGGATGGTGATCTGAAGAAATACACGTGCTCGGAGAATGTGCATTTGACGAAAACTGTGGTCGGCATGAACGATCTCGAACACGGCGCGCTCATCGATTTGTGTGGGTTTGGTGCTTTTAGAAATTACAGTTTGAAGGATGCCGTGTTGGGGACTTTCGTTGTTCGAGGTTTCGAAAAGATTTCGAGGGAGAACGAAACGAACCGAGCGAAAATTATAGTGGAGGACGACACGTTTCACTTTTGGATGTCCGAAGGTGCGCACGGCGGAATCAGTTTCTTGAAACATTTTAAAGACGCTGAATGGGATATTATGAAGATTCATCCGGACGCGTTCGAGAAAATCGAGTTCCTGGGACAAGACGAAAAGCTCGTATCTGCAAAAGAAATGATCCTGAGCGGATTTCGTTCGGCGAAAAGATACATGCAATCGTGGCAAGGCTTGTATTACTGCTACCGCAAAAATGCAAACAGAGAAGTTGAAGTTCGATGGTTGTTCAATATCATATCTCTCTGTCGTTTGGGACACTTGGAATTATGGCTATTATGGGATTACCGGCGTTTGTTAGCTATGATTAATGTCGTTCGTTTCTTGAGAGGAAAACGCGTGTACGCGTTCAACAGCAATCCTCTCAAAGACGCGCTCGATGAGAGAATGAATGGCAGAATTTTTCGCAAGTTTCTCAAGCCGAGCGTGTGGCCTATTAACGACAGCGTTCCAGTCGCCGGAGATCGCGTCGTTCCATGAGCAGTGAGATTCCTTTTTTACTTTTTACTTTTTACTTTTTTACAAATTTTACTAATACAAAAGTAATATATTATTTTAAAATAAAATAAAATCTGCTCTTCGAGCGCGTAAATGAGATCCTTTGGATGTATTTTGTTCTCATCTCTCGAGCAACCCGTGTAACTGCATTCATCTTTGTGTTTCATTTCTTTCGCCTTTGCTTTTTAAAGACGCGAAAGGTAAAAGCAATAAGAACCACTTTTGCATATTTTAGGCAACTCGACGCCGGCGACGTTGGTCAAAATGCACGTGTTTTTGCGAACTTCGTAACCGAATTTGCAATACGACGTCTCTAAAAGGAAACACTCGAAATCATAAAACGGCTTCGTCCAGTTGAACAAGCTCGCGAAATCGTTTCCGGAAGGATTTTCGAGCCAAAACGGACACACGAAATAAACCACCAAGTCGATGATAGAACGCACGGGAACCAAAGCTCGATCCACGAGTTCTCTCTTCAAAGCGGCTCCAATCTGTTCGCCCCATTTCTTGTTGAGGTCCGCATAGAACGTGTTGCGTTGGACGCTGAATGCAGTGCACTCCGGCGCGGCGAAAATCTTTGAAATTATTCCAACGGGAGGTAAAAAGCACGGCATGAACGACTCAATCTTCGCACAAACAAACACGACGTTTTTCAACCTCCACGCTTTCTCTTCTGCGGTATATAAAATCAAAGGATCGACGCAAATGTATATTTTCTTTTGAGACGTTGCTCTCTCGTGCGCGTGTACGCTCGACAAACACGAACCGGCGCCAATGTCCAAGACGAATCTGCTCTTTTCCTTCCTCATCCACTTCGCTTCCTCGCTCAAAGACTCCCACGACAAGTCACCAACGAGCAGACGCTGGAGTTGACCGGAGGTGAACCAGCTCGCGACACCCGTCTTCAAATTCAAAACTTTCCACGGGATGAGCGCGGCGCACTCGTCGCCTTCCCGTCGAACGGTATCGTTCAAACCTCTGTCAAAAGCGACGACGGCGATGTGCTTCTCATTTTGTATCTCCGCGGCTTTGGCAAAGAACAAATCCAAATTGCCTTCCTCGTCGCTCACGCACCACGTTTGTTCCTCTCCTTCGCGCGTTGTTCGTTGGAAACAAGCGTTGGAAGTTACCGAGAGACGCGCTCGCAAGCTCAACTCTGCGCGCAAACGCTGTTCTTTTGGCACCCACTTTCTCAAACCTTGGGGGAGGCTTTTCAAATCTGGAGAAACAAACGACTCGACGGAGACCACGACCCGACGAAATTTGCCTCTATTTCGTCGGGTTGTTGGATAATCTATCACGATGCTCGACGTCAAAATAGTTTCTCCGCGAATGACGTGCACAGCTGCACCAACGATGCGCGCGAGACGTCGTTTTGGTCCTCTCTTCGTTTTCGTTTTCTTCTTCTCGATGTTGACACCCGAAGTTGTGAGACACGCAGTCGACGACGAGGACGACGACGCGGCGATTCGCGACGAAACGAAGATTGGTATTTCGTCACCGTCGAGGAACATGTACCGTTGACTTCTAATCTTTTCCGGAGAGCGAAGGAAAAAAGAAGAGCTGTCCGCTTCTGACTTCCACAGCTCTTTTTCTTCGTCGTTCAGGTGCGCTTTCACGGCGGCGTCGACGCTCGAGAAGTATTCTCGAGCAGGATATTTCCGCTCCATCGCTTCTTTATGCGTTCGGCGTTTCGCTTTGTACCTCTTCTCCTTGTCTTCCTCTTTGCCCAACACGTCCTCTCTCGCTTTCTCGAACTTCTCTTTTCCTCGAACCACCTCTGAAGCTCCGCAAAGATGATGACGGCGGCGGCGGGAGCTAGTTGTCTTCTTCTTTCTCTTCATCATCATCAATTCTTTCATTCTTCTCTCTCACTCTTTCACTCTTCGTATTATCTTTCGTCGCGAAATATTAAACACCGCTCTTCCTCTCTCTCTCTCTCTTTCTTCCTCTCTCTCTCTTTCTTCCTCTCTCTCTTTCTTCCTCTCTTTACTTTCTCCGTTCCAGAAGGAGAGAGAAGAATTTGTGGTGGTTTTTTGTTTTTCTAGTGATCTCCATTATTCAAAAAACGAAGGGAGAAGGAAAGCGACGGTGCGCGCGTTTTTTCTCCGGCTCGTTTGCCGTCATTACTGCACGGTTTGCCGCGAAACTTTGCACGCCTTACTTTAATCGCGAGACCTATCGAGTCGCGAAGAAAAAGAAAGGAACGATTCGTCGTGCGAAGCAAAATTCATTTTCGCGATTAAAATCGCTCACAGTCATCGCTTCTCGCGAATCACACGGAACCTCTTCGTGGGTTCATTGCACGTTTATGAGATGTTCGAGCGATGCATTCTTCAAATCCAATCGCTCATTTCACGTGCACGGCGAGAATCGCGCAATGTGTGCGGAAAGGCACACGTGCGTACTTTTATTTATGTCGCGAATGTCGTTTGAATTTTTGCTTTTGTTTTGTTTCCATGAAGAAGGGGGGGGTTCTTTTGTTTCAAAGACGAAACAGAGTGATGCAACCAGCCGAACGAAAGAACGAAAGAAATACCATGCGTACGATTGTTTGTATGTTTAAATTGTTCACGTAGTATTTCACTACTCCTCTTAAAGTTCTCTCTCTCTCTCTCTCTCTCTCTCTCTCTCTCTCTCTCTCTCTCTCTCTCTCTCTCTCTCTCTCTCTCTCTCTCTCTCTCTCTCTCTCTCGTAAAGTTCCGTCTCACCAACTCCTCGCTGCGAATAATTATTAGATTAATTTCTGAAATTCGTCAGCGAGTTTATCCAGATTTTTCTCAATGTCTTCTCCGTTTTTCCCTGCAAATTTTCGCATGCACTTTTCTCTTTCCTTTTCTTCCTTTCGATCGATCATGTCGTTTCGAAGGATGCGAAAGCAAGACTCGTGCACGTCGCGTTCCAAAGTTTTCGGGGCGGTTACGACCTTTTTCATGTACTTCTCCTTTATTTTGTGTCTTCTCATGTTGTCTTTCATTTGTTCTGGCGACAACTTACACACGTATAAACGCCTACAACAAATGCCACAGCCCCTCTCGTCTTCAAACACGTCGAATTCCGCGCAACTTCTGCAAAAAAACTTACCTTTCGTTAAAGGACTCGGTCTATAAATTCCACTCGCAAATCCTTTGCGTCCACAGTTATCGCACTCTCTCTCTAAACACCTGCCGCTCATGATCGTCTTCAACGTCTCCTTGTTAAAAGAGTAAACTTGTTCCTCCGTCTCGGAGTCAAACCACGTACTGCTCGCCCAACCTCCTCTCTGTCTACCAAACGGAAGAACCCCTCGGTGTACCGTGCATCGACAGCCTCCTTTTTCCTTTCCTCTGTTGCACTTACACTCGATGAACTTGCACTTGGCGTTCATCATCGTCTCCAACGAATCCTCCGTGCAATTTCGAACTCGATCTTCCGTAATTCTATTCAACCAAACTTCGCTCATATAGCCGCCTCTCTTCCCGTTCACAATCGTCTCGCATCGACAGTTATCTCCTAACTCACATTTGCACTCGATGAACAAGCACTTAAAGTTGACCAAATTTTTGACTTTTTCTTCCGTCAACTCGACATAAGGTGAGACTGAGCACCCCGTACGTCCATCCACCACAGAGTAGACTCCGTAACTACATGCTTTTCCGTCAAACTCGCCATCGATACTTCGACAAGTCTTGTTTTTGTTCCATGAGACGTTTGTGCATGAACAGTAAAACGGGAGACACATCGCGTGATAAACATTCTCCTCCTCCTTTTTCAGCCTCGGATCCACGATCCTCGGACCCGCCGCTCGTGCTCCGCCCTTGTGACGACACTTCTCTCCCAACGCACACGCAATTTGTTCAAATCTTCTTGTTTTGCTCTTCTTGCTTGCCCAACTGCTTGCCCAACTTTAGCAACTCTCTCTTTTTTCCTCTCTTTGAACGCCACCTTTTGTTCTTCTGTTCCTAGGCCGAAAGCCGCCAAAGTGTTATCCTTGTTGAACCACGCGGCACTCGCATACGCTTCCGGTAAGTTTGCCCAAGGAATCATATTTATTTGTGAATCTATGTTTCTAGTTTTCATATTGCGAAAAATGTTAATCCATTTTTTATCTCCGTTTTCGTTCCGTTGATCAATTGGAAGTACGTTCTCCGGCAAACTTGCGAGTATATACGCATTAGAAAACGCGCCTTCGATTTTACTGTTCCTGTATTCCTCTTCTCCCTCCTCGGGATCGTAAGTTTTATATGTCGTCCATCCAGATTGAAAGCCATTTCCAAGTCCAAATTTCTTTGCGCGCATCAGTGCATCAATCTTTTCCTTCCTCTCATCCTTCCTGAGCAAACCCCACTCAACAAAATGAAACGCGGTGTACCAGAAAGGAATTTTGTTCTTATCCCCATTCGTTTGTTTATACGTCACCGAAGGCTGGGTTTGACCCACCATTCTTGATGCAATAAAGTGAAGGAAGACAAAACCTTCTTTAGTTTCTTTTTCCTTCTTTTTTTCTCTCGAAATGTAAATGTGACAGAGTTTTTTGTGTGTTCAAGGGAGCAAAAAAAGGAACAAAAAATTTGAGGAGAATTTTTGCTCTTTTTTGGCTTCTCTCTTTCTGTCTTTTTGCTCCTCATTTTTTTTTTTCATCTTCTCAGACAGGTGTGTGTTTTTGTCTGTTGTTAAAAATACTCGCACTTTGAATACGAAGGCGAAAGAGTGTTTTGTGGTCGCGCTCTTACGGTAGTATTACTGCGCTTGTGAGTAAAAGGAGAGGAAGGGAGGAGTACTCTTCGACTGACGATGATTATTAAAGCTATGAATTTGCCTTTTTATGAGCCGTGCGGCGGCTTTGATTTCAACGAATAATACTATGAGTCAGTTTTAGATACGAATACGAAGAAGAGAGAGGTTTTTTTGTTTTGTATCTCTCCCAGGCGCGCTTGAGCTGCTCTCGCGCGTTGTGCGCGCGAGAGAGAGATCTCGGATCTCTCTCTCTCTCTCTCCCTTTTGATGGAAGGAGATGATGCTGACGATGATTATACAACGTAATACGCAAAGTTCTTTTTGCTGAACGCTGTGATGTACACTGCACAAAATGAGTCAGAAGCTGCCTTCTTGGAGAGTGTATTTTTTCCCAACAGAGAGAGAGAGAGAGAAAGAGAGAAAGTCTTTCGAGTGGTGCTTCTTCTTCTGCTTCGTGAAGGCGATGATGACCAATATTAGTTTGTTTCACTGAAACCCGTCTTTCTTTCTTTTTGTTTGTTTTGACGGGAGTTTGTGATGAAGAACATGTTCTGAGCCTATCTGTCGTGGAAGAAGAAGTATGCCGAAAGAGGGAGGAGTCGAACGTCGCTCGTTTTTTTACCTTCGTTTCGCATTCTCTCGTGCGAAACGGTCGTTGTTTCCGCGCGGATTCAAAGGCGATGATGACCACAAAAATAAAAAGCATTTTCTGAAGCTTCACGGCGTATTTGATTATAGCAAGTGCTCTGAGCCTAAGAACTTACATCCGCGATACTTTTTTTCTTTGATCCGCTCGCTCACGCAGTATTTTTTACACACACACAAAAACACACACACAGACGCGCACAGGAAACACAGTTTTCGTTGAAAACATGCAGGTTGTATCGAACGCAAGCACATTTTATGGTAACGCGCTGCGTAGTACTCATAGTCGACGACGACAAAAAGCGCATCTCACCACCACCAAAGCGTACGTCGATTGGACACTCGGCGAGCCGGCGAGGGTGGTGAAATCCGCATGTTCGCCCTCCTCCGAACAGTACGAACCAGAAGATGCGATAAGTGTGAACGCAATCATCGAGAAAAACGACGGGATTTTCATACCGTTTAAAGAGAGCAAAGAGGTCGTTTTGAAATTTACGCTGGAAGACGCGAAGACGAAAGAAGTGACGAAATTAGCCAAGACGTGTTGCGATTTGCGAGTCCAAGCGGTCGAGGGCGTCTTTTTTCTCTACGATACGGAAGAAAACGCAAAGCCGGTGAAGTGTTCAGGAAAAGCCATACGAACGTTACGTCCGGGATCGGTGTTATCGTTTTGTCACCACGGACGCGAGAGGCGATTGGAATTGTTTCGAAACGCCATCGCGCACGCGTAAAACGTAAAAGGTGAACGTTCTTTAAACGCACGCGCAAAGCTGTACCAAACTAAAATTAAAAATACAAAACTACCGTACCTATCGTCTATCTCTGCCTTCTAAATCATTCACGTATCCTCTCGGTGGCTCTTCAAACACCACGTCTTTATACACGCCGTCCTTCCCATTTCCTCTCCCGCTACACCTGAACGTCAATGAAACTCGCTTCCCGTCGATTAAATCCTCGTTCCGAATGCCGTGTTCCCATTCGAATCTACATCGTCCGCCTTGGATCTGTAACGAAAACCTCGGTAACTTCTTTGCAATCTCAATCCCTTGATTCTTATTCATTCTGTATCGCATTATGCACGTTCCTACCATGCTTAAATTGATGATAATATCGCTCGATAAAATCCGATCGTCCACGTGCGGTCTCAACTCGTGTCCTTTCTCTCGCACATATTCAATCGCGTTGCACTCGTTGCACGCGAACCCGAATTCTCGCAAACCTTTGTACCCGTACTCATTCGCGCGTAACTTCTCCAAAACAATCCTCTGAAACGCCTCCGGCATTTCCCTCTTCGCTTTGAACACTTTCCTCCGTGCCCTGTCCGCGTTCACCCCCCAAGACTTCCCGTTGTGCCGTCCGTTCCCGCTCGCGTTTCGATCGTTCCACGTCTGCTCCGACATGTCGTACACCGCTCGCAATAACTCTGTCTCTTCTTCCTCGGTTATGAAATTCTCAATCACTTTGTGCCCAGATATGTGCGACGGCGACGAGATTTTGGACATTTCAATCGAGCCTCGCTTGATTTTCAAGAACGCGTCGTTATTCTTAGCATTAGGAATAGTAGGAATAGGTATTGAAGGCATTTCCTCCTTCTCCTCAAAAGCCTTCCTTTTCCGGCAGTTTTTGCTCGCCAAAGTCTCAGTCTTCTCTGCATCTGTTATTACGGAGTGTTCTCGTTCTTCTTTTTCTTCCTTTTCTTCTCGCTTTGCGCGTTCGTCTAAACACTCGTTCACGTGTTCTTGCAAGCGCACCACGTGGTGCATCGTCCCACAAACTGGACATTTCTCGTATTTATTCTTGTTCTGTTTTGTCTTCTTACCATCGCCTCCGCCGGCAAAAAATAACGTCGTCTGTCGCATCACACACGGTGTGTTTCTTCGTGTACTTCTTGTCTTCAGAGTGGTACGCTCGAGAGAGAGAGAGAGAGTAAGAGAGAGTTTGTTTTAGGGGAAATCAATCATTTAAACTGGGGAAAGTCAACAGAAATCTCTCCATTTCAAAGCCAAGTAAACATCAATGATATCAGACTTACTACTCGCTCTTTCGGGAATTCCGGGCGATATCATCGTCCACGAGTCCTACACATCACCCACAACGCCGGACCGGTTTATCATCAGCTCGAGAGCGATGGAAATGGACATCGTTCTGCCATTTGAGAGAGATTTGGTGGAAAAACGACTCTTACCACTCGCGTTTGCGGTGAAGGTTTTGAAAGAGTTCGCAGAACGAGAGGATGCGAAAAGAAGGATGAGAAGTAGTGATGATGATACTAACGGTGTGAGTATTCAGTCGGAGCATCATTTGTGCGCGTACCGGCGCGGATTACTCTCCGGCATAGACCAAGCGGTGTTACAACCGTACGAGGAGCGGTTGCTCCTGTTGGAGCAGAAAATACTGAAAGGCCAAATCGAACCGAACGCGAACGCGATCGAGGAATTTTTAGGCGAGTTTACAGTTTCTGTTATAGGTACGATGGATGCGTTGAAGAAGATAATCGAGGAGGAAGAAGAGGATGGATTTTACGGCGCGAAACTTTTGGACGAACTCGCGTTTCGGTATCGCCAGTGCGGGAGTTTCGAGACGAAGCGAGCGTTGAGAATTTTGAGGAGGTTTGCGATGCGAGCGTTTTATGGGCACTGTTTCGTGTGGCTGGCGTTTGGGACAGTGGCAGAGGAGCAGCAGATTCGGAGGGATTTTGGTGGACGACGACGACGGGAAGTAAACAATAAAGGGTCGTTTTTTATCGGCGCCGTGAGAGAGGAAGACGTGATGACGCAAAGGCTGGAGAGGCTCGAAATGAACGAAGAAGAAGAAAAATATGATGATGATGATGAAAAAGAAGACTCGATGATGAGGAACGCAGACGAAGAATATCAAATCAGGTACTTTCAAGACGACGATTACTTGGAGAATGCGAAAATATTACCAACCGATGGCGGCGCTTCGGCTTGGCGCGACGCTTTCGCGGTCAAAATCGAGCAAACACCGAAACGCATGTCCGCGAGCGACGCCGAGGCGGTACATTTCGTAGGGAGGTGCGTGAGAGCGTTACGGTTACATCGAAGAGCGCTCGAATTGCGAAGACGTAAGAAGTTTGGGAGCATTAAGGAGACGAACGCGAAAAAAGCAGACATCGATGCTTTCCTAGAGGAACACGCGAGAGAAACCGGGAAGGAGATTGAATCGCTCGTGTTAGGTATTCGTGATGATGAATCCAAAAACACAGAGAAGAATGAAGCCGCAAAAAACGACGGCGAGGACGATTTCGACGATTTTACCTCTCTCGCTGTTGTCGTGAACAAAGCGAAACGAAGAGTTTCCAAGAAACTCGGCGAAGTCATCGATTCAGAAACCTACGACGTGAACGACAAATCCGCCTCGTCGTCGTTCGTAACGGAAACGTTCGCGTCTTTGCGAAACTTCTTTCTGTTACAAAGAGGTGACATCTTTTCCTCGCTTTTGGACGACGAAGATTCAATCTTTATCGTATCCGGGAGCGAAAGGAGTGGTATGAAATCAGCGAAGAAACGCATTGAATCGGCGTGGGAAGATGCCGTCGCCGATAACAAGTACGACGGCGCGAGCGAACGATTTTCACTTAAACGAGGCGACAAAAAATATTTTTCGGAAACAAATGCTGTGAGTTCGTGCGATGGATTTGACGATGTCTACATGTCCTACGAGAGGACATGGCCCGTAGGTTTACTCGTAACGGACTTTGCGCTCGAGAAATACGGTACGATTTTCAAGTCTTTGTTTCGATTGCGTCGAGCGAGATCCGCGTTGTCGCGAGTTTGGCAGAATATCAGCCGACACAATCGATCGAGTGTGACGGCTTTACAAATGAGCAACAATACCGGTACTGGTTTTGAAACCGACGCAAACGGCGTTATTCTTCGCTCGCGAACGGCGATTGATTTTGCATTACGAAACTGGGAACAGTACGCGAGCGAGGACGTCATCGCTCACCGATGGTCGTCGTTCGCGCAATCCATGACGTCGAGTGCAGGAGACGGCACTGCCGTTGACTTCGAGAAAGCGACCAAGGCACACAGAGAATTTATTGTGAGCGTATCGCGCGAACTTTTCGTGAAAGATGGGAGTATGGTTAGGAAAAAGAAGAAAGACGCGAGCGACGTCGAGAAAGCAGTGGCGGAGATTTCAAATTTAGCCTTTACGTTGGAACTTCTCAGTCGAGAATACAGAGATATTAACGATAAAGAAATTGAGGAAGAAACGAGCGATGAACAAAAATTGTATGCGAACGAACATCTGGTTACGAAGACCGAACACGTCTTGTCTCGCGCGCAAGAGTGCACCGCACTTCTCTGCTCGGCATTGCGAAGCGAGATTTTAGGGGTCTCGGATGTCGCTTTGCACGATAAAGTAGACGCGTTACTCTTCCGGCTCGAGTTCAACAAGCAACCGTAATTATAGCAGTAAATGTAGTAGTAAATGTAGAAGCGGCAACTAATTAGTTAAAACTTTGTCGAATTTAGAGCCAAAAACCCGAGCGCGTACCCGGCGTGCGCGGCGGCGCCGTTTTTCAAAATCGACTCGTCCAAAATGAACTTCGCCGAGTGTAACGGATGCACCGCTCCTATATCTAGATTATAACTACCAATCCAATTCATCACGCTTGGATACTCGTTCGCGAAAAACGAAAAGTCCTCCGCCGGCATCACCGGAGCCACGTCCAACACTTTACCTTCCTCCTTCCCGAATATTTCTCTCGCCACTCGTTTCGCAAACTCCGCCGCTTTCGCATCGTTCACCGTCGGTGGGTACACTTCTCTACTTGCGAAACTCACCTCCACTTCGCACCCGTTCGCCAATCCAACTGCGTTAGCTACTCTCGACAGTTCATCCATGGCCCATCGAAATGTCTCCGGCTGCAACGATCTCAACGTACCGGTCAATTTGGCCTCGTCAGGCATGACGTTGCTCACCGTCCCGGCGTGAAACGTCGATATGGTAACCACCACCGAATCTAGCGCGCTCGTTTTCCGACTGACAATAGTTTGCACATCCGTCACAATTTTCGCCCCGCAAACAACCGCGTCGACATTTTTATGCGGCACGGCGGCGTGTCCGCCTCTCCCGGTCACCGTAATCTCAAACGTCCCCGCGCCTGCCATTATCGTTCCTCCTCTCGTTCCAAACGAACCACTCGGCGTTTCCGCGTACGGCCAGTTATGCAAAGCGAACGCGGTACTCGGTCGTATCTTCATATCTCGCATGGTCTTCGACTCTAACATTTTCTTCGCGCCCGCGCCGCCTTCCTCCGCCGGTTGAAACAACAAATACACAACCTTCCCTCGCCTCGCCTCGTCCGGTAGAATCTCTTCGCCGCTCTCGAGAACTTTCTTAATCAATTTTGCCGCGCCTAACAGCATCGTCACGTGCCCATCGTGCCCGCACGCGTGCATCTTCCCCTCATTCTTCGATTTAAACTCCAAATTTGTCTCCTCCGTCACCGGCAACGCGTCCATATCCGCGCGCAACAACACCGCGATCTTATTCTTCTTAGTAGTAGTACTCTCGCCGCTCCCGTTTCCTCCTTCGCCTTCGCCGTCGTCGTCGTCGTCACCATCCAACGGAATCCTCGCCAATATTCCCGGTTCCGCCGCGTCTTCGTACACAATTCCTAGTTTTTCTAACTCTTTCTTGATAAACGAAGCCGTTTCTCGTTCGTTCCACATCAACTCTGGCGTTTCGTGTAAGAAGCGTCTCTGGCGAATTAAGTCGAGCTCGAAATCGGACTCCAGACTGAACCGTTTTATCGAGGCGAGGACCGCATCGAATGTCAACGAAGAAGAAGAAGTTCTTCCATCCACGACAACCGTGACATCATTCTCTTCGTTTTTGTTCGACGTTTTGTTGTTCTTCTTCGACGAGGTCATGCGTTTGATGGTGTTCTTCTCGTTCTCCGGATCGTTCTCTCCTTCCCCGTCGGGAACTGCTTCCGCTTTCCAAGAAGACTTCGGAAAGAAGAAACAAAAGAAGAAGACAAAGAAGAAAAAGAAGGCGTTGAACAGAGAAAGCGATGTAAAGGAAGCTTTCCTTTTCCTATTCCTCGTTCTGGCCGTCGTCGTCCGAATCCTCGTCGTCATCTCAGCGGAAGAGTAAAGTTGCGATGTGTTTACGATTTTATACGAGAGAGAACAGTCAAAGCTGATTCTGAATGAAGAAAATGTGGAGATTTTTTGTACTTTTACAACTCTTTCTTTGCGTTTTCCTGCGTCCGGGGAGGAGGAGGAGGAGGAGGAGGAGGAAAAGGTGGTGGCGACACATCGCGCGACGTCGGTAGCGGCGCTTTTTCGAGTGGGGGTTCTTCTGGTGCGTCCTCTTTCTTCTCCGCCGCGAAGAGAAGTGGCCCCGCTTGCTGACGTTTGTACTCGTCGGATAAAACGTGAGCCGTCGGTCGCCGGTGTCCTTCTTCTCGTTGTTGCTTCTCTCCAAGGAGAAGAGGCGGAGGAGGTGTCCGTGCTCGCGTAACGCGAGGGTGAAGAATGCGTTGTTGCTGTTGTTGCTGTTGTTGCTGTTGTTGTTGTTGCCGCTGCTGCTGTTGTTGTTCGATGGCGGTGTTGGCGTGAAACGCGATGACGCTCGAGCGCCAAAAGACCAGAAAGGTGATGAAACAAATCGGCCAAACGAGTTCGAACGTGGGACTGGCGGCGAACTGCTCTACGGTTGCCGCGATCATGCGAACAACGTCACGGAAGGTCGGGTTTCCGGTGACGGTTTGAATTGTTTTCTGAATCTCCGCGGAGACGTCTAACGAGCGAACGCCGGCGCTTCGATTTTCGTCTTCCTCTTCGTCTCGCTCGTCCTCCTCGTCTATTCGGTCCTCGAAACCTAACCGACTTTTTCTATTTTGGCTTTTTCTATTGCTATTGCTACTGCGTTTGCTGAGCGCCGACTTCGGAACACTGCCACTACCGGGAGAGAAAGGCGAGAAGGTGCCGTAATTTTTACTCGGCGAACTCGGATCCACGAGCGACGCGGACGCGCTTTTCGATTTGCGTCGACGAACGCCTTTGTTCGAGGAAGGCGACGTAGGCGTTTGAGTGAAGAACAACGCGGCATCGCCACTTCCGTCTAACGATTGCGTCTTTCGAGCACGCGCGCGGCGCTGTCCGGGATCTGTCCTTCTCGATTCTACACTTCTCGGCGTGAAACCTTGATCGTCTTCGCTCTCGTCGTCGTCGTCGAAAAACCCTTCTTCATCGCTACTGCTCCCCATACCGTCGCCGGCTACGGATTGCGTAAACTGCGACCCTCTTTCCGACTCTAACTGTGACGCGGCTTCCAACCATCGTCTCGTTGCTGCCATTCGCGACGCCTCCGATTTCGCAAGTTCATCTTTTGTTTTCAACAACTTTCTCGTGAGTCTCTTGCGTTTGGCTTTTTCCATTTGCATCCACGCAACGAGCTTCGCGCGACCGTCGAGGGCGTTTATGTCTTGTTCGTGCTCTCTGCTTCGGTTCGTAGGAACGTCGTCGTCGTCGTCGTCGTCATCATCATCGTCGCCATCGAGAGAATACGATTCGTTGACATCATCATTTGTTCTGAAATAATCCTTGTCTTCTTTCTTCTTCTTGTTCTTCTTCCCGGATGCAATCTCGACTTCATCCACGACTCCTGCAATGGCGCTCGCGACAACAGGATCTAACGCTTCCTTCGCCGCTCTATACAAAGCATCACCGTTCGGCACGCCTCTTGCTTCGCTCGTAAATCTTTCCAACGCGCTCGAAACAGTTCTCCGTAATTTCGCTTCCCACCGTCTCGCGCCGACTGCCTCGACTGAGTTTGAGAGATCGCTGCCGGATCCTCCTCTTCGCAGCAATCTCGTTTCGGTGACTGCGTCGTTGACGTCGTCTTCAAACTTCTCGTCGTCGTGATGTTCGCGCATGGCGTGCACTAAAGCACTTTTCAGTTCGGAGATGATATTCGCCGCGCCGGTTAAGCGTTCGGCAATTTCCTCGGATTCTTTTTTCGTCTCGAGGTACGCCTTTTCCGTTTTTTCCAAGTTTTTCTCGTACGCCGAGGATTTTAAACGCTCGTTCTCAATCATTTCTAAAAGATTAGCGACGGTATCGTCGATGGTGTCGTCCACGTCCCTTCGAATAACATCAACGGCACCCGTTTTATGTTCACGTTGCTGATGTTGATGTTGTACTCTGGACGACGTCGACGTCGACGCCATCATCATCGCCGCCTCCGCAATCGTACTCGCCGACGCTCTTCTCGCGTTTTCTAATTCGCTTCTCACGCTCTCACCCACCGACGCCGACCGAAACGTAAACTCTTCCTCGTCGCTCGCAATATCTCCTTCTCCTCGTCCGACAGCACGACGAGTATCGTTCGTATTCCATTTCGCGTCCACGTAATAATCGTCCCTGATTTGCAACGCGCTTCCCGCGAACGTCGCCGCGTCCGTCCTCTGAGAAGAAGAGGCGCCGCGCGAAGCGTCCTCGTTTCTCTCGTTTCTTCGTCTCGAATCATCATCAACAACAACTCGCGCTTCGCGTTGTTCTCGCGAATGTTGTTCCTCCCTCTGAGGAATCATCTTCCTGCGATTCGACGAATCATTCGTCCTCGTTTTCGCCTTGTGTTCTTTCACTCTCATCGTCGTCGTCGTCTGAATCGTCCTTCCCGCGCCTCCTCCTCTCACTCGCATTCTCTGCACCGTCTCCTCCTCGTGCGTTTCTCTTCCTTCGCTTTGCTGCCTTACCAAACGCAACGATTCACGCGTGGCAAAAATCGAATCATCCGTCTGAATGCGTTTTTGTTGATGTGTGTTGTTGTTGTCGTTGCTGCTGCTGTTTTTGGACATCATCAAAGAAAAGCGTAAGAATCTCTCTCTCTCATCGTTTTCATCGTCATTTTCATCATCCTCATCCCGGTGCGTTTGTGTGTGTATCTGTGCACGTAATGAGGGAATGAACGAGAGAAGAGAGAAGAGAGAATTGCGCATGTTTAATTAGGGTTGGACACCCTAAGCAACTTTCAGACAAAACCTCTTTTCGCTTCTTTTTTCCGCAGACAGAAAAAAAGGCACACCATGAAGGGTTCTCTTCAGATGCTCTTCTTCGCTCTGTTCTTGGTCTTTTTCGAGAGCGCGAAAGCTCTGGAGACCGAGTGCGACGTGTGTCACGTGAACTATTATCACAAGGTGTGCGCTTCTTCTTCGTATTTATCAGAGAACGCGCGCGCGTGATGGTATTCGTTGTTTTTGATGCGGATGATGACGACGACGATGATTTCCCCGTCGTTGGCGGCCGTCTCGTTGACTTTTTATCGCGCGTTGTTTTTGTGAACTCACCGTTTGAATGAACTCTCTCTTATAATAAAACACACAACAGCACGTGTCCACGCCGACGTTTATGCCGTCCGACGTGAACGTCTGCCGAGAGTACCAGTACGAGGCGTGTTGCTCGTTAGATACCGTTCGCAAGTGCGTTGATTTTTTTACTAAAACCCTCCTCTTTAGAGAGAGACTTTTGTGACTTTCCTCTTCTCTTTCGTTATTATATACTTTTTACGAAGAAGACTGACGCGACAACATCACACTCAACAGGGTACCGACGCAAATGATAAGCGACTTATACGGTGATGAGTACAACCACGGGTTGTGCGTGGACATCGTCGGTGGTGGTTTCACCGCGATGTCCACCGGTTGTCAAGCGTACTTCGACGCCGAGAATTGCTTTTACGAGTGCGATAAAAACGTCGGCAAATGGAGAAAGCATTCGGATTGTAACGAAGAAGACGCGGACGTGAGTAATCACAACGCGTGGCAGATTGAGGCGATGCCCATTCGTGCGAGCACGGCAGACGCGATGTATGAAGCGTGTAAGGATGATTTTTTTCCGGACAGTAAAGGGATGTGGGGCACCGAAGCCGGGAACTGGGCGGATGCGTGGAGTACTCGAGTGAACGTGGACGCGAATGGTGTAAATACCGGTACTGGAACGTGCAAGAAAGGCTCGGAAATTTGGACAAACGGTCAAGATATGGTCGAGAACGTGTGGGGTACTGCGTTTAAGTACGAAAGCGATGCTACGAAATCGTACGTCTGGGGATTCAATGAAGGCGAATCGAACCCGAACAATAAAATTTTGGAGGACAAAGCTTACCCGCCATTTACGTGCGCATATCACGGAAGTATCGACGTCGATAAGCCGAGCACGGAACATCCGGAGTATTGCCCAATCGATTGGCATTTGGACGAGTCGTCTGGTCATGCGTTGGCGACGACTAATGTGACTAAATACGATTCTGGCGCAAATTCTGCGCAAGATTCTGGCGCAAAGATGGCGTCGGTCGCTTTGGCGTATTCGTTGGTTGTTTTGGCGCTCTGTTTCGCGTAAAACGCAAAAAAGTTTTTTGAGTAAACACAAAACGCGAAAAGAAGCTGAGAATGATATCCGAACGGATATTGATTTCGTTTCCCTCCCGATTTGTGAAACACAAAACGAAAATCAAGCTAAATCCTTCAAACTTATTCATAAGCAGGGTGAGATGCTCGAAGAAAAACGAAACGAGGAAAACATCGCGCGTGCGCTCGCGAGAAAGTCAAAAGAAAAGCGAAAAGAGCACTTTCAAATAGAAGAAAGTGCGTGCTCAATGGGGTGCTACGAGCTTTATGCATAACACGCATAAAGTGGCAAAGCTGAGAACGAATACCCTTATTACCGGATCCACGATAATGCGTGCGTCGGGAAACGAGCTCTTTCGATTTTTTTTTCAAACTCTCTCGCGCTCGAGCGCGCGCGCGTCGATTCTCGTTTCCAAAGGAAAACCGAGTTTTGTACGAATGGAATTTGAAGGCGCCATGGTAGGGTGCGCGCAGGCAAATGTTTGCACTGCCGCGAGTGGTTAGGGTGTTTTTGCGCTTTGTTTGTTCAAAGCGTCGGGACTGGCGTACGAGAAGAAGACAAGACATTTTATAATATAAATCGAAAAATCGAAAAAAGACGAAAAACAACACAAACTCGTACGCGCAAACAGTCGTAACAAAGCGAACACACACACACACACACACACAAACAAACGCGTTTTTCTCATCGTCGATATGTCGCTCTTCGCCGCGTGCTGCTCTGAGATTCGATCCGGGAAACAACAACAACATCAACGCGACGAGGACATTTTGGACACTTCTAACGGGGAAAATATCCGCGTGATGTTGGAAACCACCACCGTTACAAAAGTCGACGTTCCTCGCGCGCTCTTTGGAATGAACGCGCAATTCTTCAGCGGACAGATCGATTACGCGCACCCAAAGTTACCGGGAATATCCGTGGACGAATTAGGGTGCTCGGTGATTCGATGGCCCGGTGGCACGAACGCGAACGCGTACAATGTTTTCGAGGAAAAGTTGGACGATGAGAAGATGACTGGTGTCGATGGGAAGGAGATTGACGTGGAAGAGTGCGCGCAGAAGAGGAAATATAAAGCCACGAACGAGAACATCGCGCGGTCGAAAACTTCGGGGAAGTACAAGGTGAAAGACTTTGGGATATTTTACGAGCGATGCAAAGGGAGAATGCGCGTCTCGCTCGTGTTGAACGTGTGTACGAGAGACGAGACGCACACGAGAGCGGTGTGCGAACGTTTGAAGCAGGAAAACGTTGACGTGGCGTTTTGCGAAATCGGGAATGAGGTGTACTTTCCCGCATACGCACCGTATATTGATACTGTTGAAGAATACGCCGAGAGATGCGATAAACACTCGAAAATGGTCAAGTTTTTTTATCCAAAGTGTAAGATTGGGGTCGTGGCGAGCAGCGCTTTTTGGTCTAACGAAAGCTTTTTAGACGACGATAACGCGGTGAAGAACAATAAAAACAAAGGAGCGGAGGGTGCGGGAAGGAAGGCGACTTGGAATGCTAAACTTGCAAAGATATTAGCGAGAAAGTCAGAGACGTTCTCGTATGATGCGGTAATTATACACATGTACGGGAGTCCCGGGCGTCACGGTTCGCAGTTTTTCCCGACTGAACTCGAGTTTTACGCGCATTCGTTGAGTCACTTGGAGTTGCAATTCGCGAAAACGATGCAGAATTTGGTCGATACGTTCGGTAACGATAAGAAAGTCTGGGTTACGGAATTCGGAGTTGGTGGCTTCGATAGTCAAGAGATTCGCAAACATCCGTTTAAGAAATCCTACCTGGCGGCGTTGTTGGTGATGGAATTTTTAAGACGATTGAGCGCGTTTGAGTGCGTGGAAATGGCCAACATGCATTCCTTAAATCAAATGATTGATCTCGAGAAACGGAAAGGGAACGCAAAATCGGGTGAGTATCACGACGTTGGGATTAAACGAACCGTGTTCAGTCACGCGTTGGCTTTCTTTAAAGATTTGAGCGAAACGTCGTCATCGGCGTGCGCTTTGAAAAGAAGCGAGCTTTCTATTATCGGTGCATCGAGGAAGACGATATCGAGTGGGAAGTATGCACCTTGTACGCATAATCACACGCACGCGACGTTATTCGAGAGCGATAAAAGCGATGTGATTCTAATTATGAACTTGTTTGATACGGAGCAGAAAATACGAGACTTGAAAAAGCCTACATCTACGGAGACATTTAGCGCAGGGAAGGACGGCGTTCATGGCGACAGCGCGAAAATAATCAAACGCGATATTAAAGACGAGGAGAGAGTGAGTATCGAGCAGAGCTTCGTAGTCGCTCCGTTTAGCGCGGTGAAGTTATATTACGCGCCAGGAACGTTTGCAGACCACTCACAATAATGATAGAGGTTGTTAGATATCCAGGCAGCAGTACATACAAAGTTTACTATTATTACACAACGCGTTAATACTACACCGTCGTCAGCTCGTTGACGTATCCAGTTCGAGACGAAAAGTTATCCACCGCGACGTGGCCTGGCTCGCCTTTCCAATACTGCATGACTAGTCCTTCAACTTTTCTCAACATCTCTGTGGACTCGGTCTCGTGGTCGGCCACGCAGACTATTTCGTTCATCTTCTCAGCTAAATACGGGTTCCCTGCGAATAAATACTTTACGATGGATTTCAACTTCCCGACTCGTCTCGAATCGGTCGTTTTTTTTATTCCTTTCTTACTCGTGCGCAAGCGTATTTTACCTCTGGAAGACTTTTCGCTCTCGCGAACGTCGTTTTCAATCATTTCGTTATAAAACGCTCGAAGAAAAACTATAACTCTTTCGGCTTCATCTTCCATTTTATGCTCCTCAGATACTTCTTCCTCGGAGAATAACGTCACGGTTCCACTCGCGTCTCTTCTCACGCGACTTTTAATTCTCCGAAATAACAACGGATCTTGCACCGCGCCTCTCCCGATCATCACCCCGTCGCAGTTGGTCTCTCGTAAAATCCTCGCCGCGCGTTCGCAACTGGTCACGTCCCCGTTCCCAACAACCATGACGCCAAACTTTTCGCAAATACTCTTCGCCTCGGCAATCTTCTCCCAATCTGCCTCCCCTCGATAGCCCTGTTTTCGCGTCCTCCCGTGTACGGTTAAAATCTCTGCCCCTCCTTCGCACGCCGCCTGGACGTTCTCTCGAAACAAACTCGCGTCGTCGAAACCGACGCGCATCTTCAAGCTCGGCACCGCCGGATACCCCTCGCACCCATTCTTCACGCTTCGCATGCATTCGTACACCAGATTCGGATCCAATAATAAAGAGCTGCCAGCGCCTTTCCCAGTCACCACGTTCGCCGGACATCCGCAGTTCAAATCCACTCGCGGCGCCTCGCCTTCGCTCGCCAATTCTTTCGCCGCCAGCTCCAACAACTCCGCGTTCGACCCCATGAGTTGCGCGGAGACTTTTACTCCCTCTGAACCTAATTCAAACGCGTCGTAGTCGTGTAAACTGAGTTTTTTTATGAACTTTTCCGCCTTGGCGCCGTTCGGTAAGTTCCCCGGTACTCGGGTAAACTCTTTACAAATGTCGTCGTAAAAGTTTCCCCCAACTGTAGAAATCGCTTTTCGAAACCTTTTGTCCCCGAGTCCTTCCATGGGAGCCACGAATAACGGCGGGCAGTTTTCGCTTCGACCGAGTTGGAAGTGTTTTCGGTAATAGTTTTCATTATTGGTAGTAGTAGTATCACCGAGAGAGGAAGAGGAGGAAGAGGATAAAAAAGCGCAGAAAGGGGAGAGCATTTTTTTTTGCCGAATGTCTGTTTTGCGTGAATTCCTGCAAATTTTTAATTTAAGCAGAAACGTCTTTTTTTTTCTGTTCCTCTCTAAAAATAGATCTACTACGAGAGATACAAAAAAGATTTGTCCTTAAAAACGAGTAAAAATGCGCGCGGACGGCGCGAGAAGAAGGCGAAGAAACGAAGGCGACACGCGCGTGTCGAAAGCGACGAAGATGGCGCGAGAGAGACGACAACGCGCGTTGTTTCTTGATGGCGCGAAAGAGAACGAGGAGGAGGAGAAGCGAGGGGTTTTGGGGAAAGACGAGGACCAACAGCGAGGAGGTTTTTCTTTGTCAGAGGAGGAGGAAGGGAAGGAGGAGGAAGAAGAAAAAGACCAGAGCTTGCATCGTGCGACGGTATCTGCGCCGAGGATGGGGTACGAGAGCGTTCAGAGACGATTGGTGGAGTGGAAGAAGCAGCAACAACGGACAACGAAAGGAGAGGAAGAGGAGGAGGAAGAGGGAGAAACAATCGAGATACAAAAGAGAAAGAAGGAGGAAGAAGAGAACGAAGAGGCGATGAAGCGACGAGCACAGATGATGAAAGAGGAAGAGAAACGCACGAGGAAACAACGAAAATGTTCTGGATATTTGGAGCAGATGCCGTGGAAGTCGCCGAGGCTAACCGCGAGGAGCGCGAGGCGGAGAGAAAAAGAAGAGGAAGACGAAAGGCGCGAACGTTGTGAGAGGAAGCGATTAATAAACGCGCAAAATGCTGCGGAAATTTACGCGAAACGGTGCAACAAGATGCACGCTCGCGTATCGAGTCGTGTCTTAAATGCGCTCGAAAATGAAGTCAACAATGAAACGTTCGACGTGTCGAAAGAACCGCTCGGCGATGGCGGCGCGGTAGCCGTAGCGAGTGCGATTCAGGAAGGGAGCGCAGAACACGAAGCGTTGATTTTTGCAAAGTGCCAGGTCGGTTTGCGCGGGTTTCACGCGATTTGCGAGAGTGCTTTGCAAGTCTCAAAGAGATACAGCGTTTTGAAAGTGCTCGATTTGAGCGATTCGATTGGTTTGCATTGTGCGTTTGAGGACGGTCAAAACTCTTGCCATTCGAAGCCTCCCGCCGCAGTCTCTCTGCTACTGTCTGTTTTGTACCAGCTTCTTGAACGGTTGAAAGTTTTGAAATTAAACGGTTGCAAAATCAATAGCACGCTCGCGAAACCTATTGCGGACGCATTGATATCGCCCAAGTGTACGGTTGAAATTCTTGAATTATCGAGAAACGCGTTAGGTAATCGCGGCGCCAAGAAGATTGGCGATGCGCTCATCACGAATCGAACGCTCAAGGTACTCGACGTGTCTTTAAACGCTATTAGTTCGCGCGGATGCGTTTCGATCGCGAACGGTACTCGTGAAAACTCGACGCTAAAAGAACTCTGCATGTCTTGGAACGCCATTGGCGATATTGGAGGTAAAGCGCTTGGGGAAGCGTTGGCATCAAATCGAGCGTTGCGCACGTTAGATATTTCACAATGTGCAATCGGAGAGGATGCCACGTGCGCAATCTCTAAAGGTTTGAGGAAAAACACGACGTTGAAAGTACTCAAGATGGATCACACGCGATGCGGTGAAACTGGTGGAAAAAAATTGATGGCCATGCTTACGAGGAACGATTGCTTGACGACGCTCACGCTCGAAGGCGCCTCATTCGCCGGCGCGAAGAAAGTAGAGGAGAAAGGTCGACAGCGGCAAACACAGGCGACTGTAGTAAATAATTCAAGCGCTCCAAAATCGTCGGATCGTTCAAAAAAACAGCAACAACAAAAAGTTAACAATCAGAAGAAAGGCAGAGACACCGCCGAAAAGAAACGAAAAACGAGTAAAGCGACAATCGAAACCAAAAAGTCTACTCGAGAGGATTATGAGAACAGCGACACAGCATTATTATCATCATCATCCTCTGAAGAGGATGAGGACGAAAAGGATGGCAACGGCGACGACTATGTAAGCGTGATTGTGGATGAAAACGAAGTATACGGACATGTGCTCCGTACGCCTCGTGGAAGCGCACGAAACAGCAACAGTAACGTCACGCCGGTGAGCGAAAAACTCCCGCTTTCCGAACTTATCCTTCCGGCATGGTCAACATCCGGGAACTCTCTCGCACGACAAACACCCATCGACGAAGAAGATCTTCTGAACCTCTTGCAACAGCTGCGAAGTAATCGATTATCAGATTTCGAGCGCGTTTCGCGATTACAAATGGTACGTTCCGCGTATCTTTTCACTTCTGCTCAAGTTGCTCGCTTGACTCAAACTTTTTTCTTGCCTTCGAGCCACCGTCTGGCAGCCGCGGCTGCGTGTCAACCTCGATTAATCGATAGCGAAAATGCTATCGATGTCATATATCTCAACAATGGATTCGGCTTTAGGGATTACGCGTCTGCTAATCGAAAATTGGAACAGCTCTACGGCGAGCGCAATGCGCAGTTTCGCTCGCAAAATCCAAACGGCCGATACCGATTCGATCTAGTCATCGACGCCGATCGTGCGTTGGCGCAAAGAATGGCGGATATTGCTAACGAAGAGAGTTCAAAGCAACAATTTGGCGGTAAATGCTGGAGAAATGTGAGCGTGGACGATGGACCGTGTGTGAGCGAAAGTATGTGCGAAAAGGGTACAGGAATACCTAAAATCTTCTTCTCCGCTTCTTCTTCTTCTGAGAAGCGGCGAAAGCGAACGAAAACGCTGAAACTTCCAGAACGAGGTACGTTAGCGTTTGATTTCTCGAGTGTTTCCGCATATTTCGAAAACGATAGGCGCCCTGATGACGATGACTATTCCATGTTGAAACTTATCCGAGACGTGTCAAATGTCGAGGCGTATTTATTCGACGAGAACGGAAAAAATACAGAGAATAGCAAACACAAATACAAAACCGATGGCGAACTATACGCATTCAATCTTCGCATATTGCGCGTGAACGCGTGTACGTTGTGGTTTACTCCGTCTGCTGCGAAAAATATCATCCTTTACTTCCCGAAAGGCGCATTTCGAGTCGAAGCGATTGTCGCACTTTTCGGCCGGATCCCTCTACATCTCCGCGACGATTTTTCTCGCGAAGTATTTTCACTCGGTCAACTCAGCGGTGTCGAGCAGTGCGTTCTGGGATTACGATTAGGCTGGCGAAGCGTACTCGGAACGCGTATGGAACAATTGACATTTCGATGTCGCCTCGATTGTACGTGCGAGGAGGATTTGAACGTGGCGAAATATTTGTGCGAGAAAGCCTCGGAGGCAAACGCGGACGCGCACTGCAGAGTTCGAAACGTTCTCGTAAACGATCGAAGATTAGCGAAGGACCCCGTACAAGATGCTTCTTTGTGGAGTGTCTTGACTGCGGAGAGCTCGACGCCTTTGTTAGAGTTTGACTATTTTGGTGAAGACGAAGATGTTTTGAACTCGCTTTTGGAGAGAGAGCTCGCGCCAGTCGTCCAAAATGGTAATACGAGCGCGAGAGGACGGGAACAGAGTGCTCCTTCGACGACGGGTACGAAAAAAGAGTCGTCATTCAACCTCCAACTGCGAAAATTTAGCAACAAGCTCAACTTTACTCGCGCTTGCGAGGTGCACAGATGGCGACAAAACAACCTGGTCAAAGTCGACGTCGAGCGCTCGAAAGTCGCGGAGAAAAATAGTAACAGCAATAACAACAACACTACGAGCGCCAACAAGAAGCTAAAGAAGAAAGTTAAAGAGAAGAAGAAGAAGCCCGAAATCCCCTCCGCCACGTCTCCTCCTGTTTCGTCTCCCTCCCTGAGCTCGACGACGACGGGCGGGAACCCGTACGAGACCTTCTACGCGTCCTACTTTTCTTCTCCGTCGTCCTCGTCTTTCGAAAGCAACAACAACAACAACAACAACAACAACGTCCTCAAACACATATTCTCCTCGTTAGACCAGGACGGTGGGGGCACGTTATCTCTGTACGAGTTTAAAAAAGGCGCGACTGATGTCCTCGGCGTGAAAATCGACCGGAAAATTTTAGAGCCCTATTTCCCGATCCGAAGGAGTTCCGAACACCAAAACAACGAACAACAAAAAGACACCAACACCACCAACAACAAAATCGATTTCCGCGCGTTCCAAGAAGGCGTCGTCGAGTACGACACGTTCGAGAAAATCTGCTCGGAGTGGATGGAGCGAGAGGAAGCGACGAGAGGCGTCCTAAATAGAAAGTACAATTCATTTTCGTGAGCTTAAATCGTAGTACTATTACACCTCATAAACGCAAAACATTTCATAACATCACTTTGATTTTTGCAACCCTTTCCCTAACTTCCCGCCGCCGGCGACTTGCTTCTTCAGCGCGTTCAACTTTGCCTGCTCTTCTTTTTTCCTCGCGAGCGCGGCTAAGTCGTCGTCGTCCAGTTCTTTCGACTTCTTCTTCGGCGCTTTCAAAGGCTTTTCCGTGCCCGTTTTGCCCATTAGTGTTATTCTCTTCTTAATTAAATTCGCGTTTGTTGCAAGCGCAAAAGTGAGGTGAAAAACGCTCACTTTTACAAAGGGAGAAAAAAGAACCACGCGCAGCACCGTTGACTTTAAGAATAATAATAATGGGGAACAAGTTATCCAGCACGGCGAAGAGGAAGAAGGAAGGGGCGATGATCGCGGAGGCTGCGGCGGATATGGAGAGATTGAAGCTTGGGCCGACCAAGATATGGACGGGATTGGTGTTGCATTACAAGGATATTTTTGTATCGCATGTGCTTCCGAAATTGAATACGACAGATCGGTGGTTCTTTGCAAAAGCGAATACAGAGAGTCGGGGTGTGCTTGAGTATGCCGGGGTAGACGTATCGGAACTATATGCGTATATTGACGAATGCTCATCCATTTCGACGTTAGAATGGGCGTGGAATGACATGCTCTGGGGAAAGAAAGATTATTTAGGAAACGTGATGGATCAAGCCTGGTTTTGCGCGGGAGTTGCTGAAACGAACAAACTCGAGTTGCTCAAGTGGGCGAGAGAAGTGAAACATTGCGAGTGGGATAAATGGGCGATTAATGCGGCAGCATTTAAAGGTAATCTCGAGATGCTGAAGTACTGCTTCTCTAATGGTTGCCCGTGTGATGAAGAAAAGTCGTGTAAAGAAGCTGCTATTGGAGGACACCTCGACTGTCTTCGATTTCTTTTCGCCAAAGTGAAACCTTCGCGAGATACGGAAGAATTTGCGGCACAAAAGGCGGCAGCATATGGTCGCATAAACATCTTGAAATATTTTGTTGAAGAAAGAAAGATATCTGATGAGGTTAAGAGTGACTGCGTGTTCAACGCTACAGGGTATGGCCGACTCGATTGCCTTCAATACTTAGTCGAAGAGGCGAAAGCGCCTCTGAACGACTGGCAACACGTCGCTTACGCTCGTTACAAAGAGCACCACGACTGCGTAAACTACTTGCTCGAAAAAGAATGCCCAGAACCAACAGACGAGCAATACGCTAAATTTGTCGAGGATCGGAAAGCAGATTAGATAGATCATTGAGAAAGAACGAGAATGAGAAGAGAGACATTTTTCTAACACAACGCGCTTCGCCAGAGACCATACTTGAGACCAAAATCGTATCTATCCTCAAAGCGGACAAAATTTCGTTATAAATAAAATATACTCGCGCACGGATTAGTAAGACCGTTCTCAAGATCACGATCGCGACAAGAACACCACCGAGAAAGATGATGTTGGTGGCGACGATCCCCGCGTCGTCGTCAAGGTCGTTGATGACGATGCGCGCGAGAAAGAAGAGTACCAGAGTTCGCAATTGGAAAAAAACGACGACGTCGTTGTTGAGTCACGTTAGGGGGAAACACAAAATTGGAATAATATCGCGGCAAACCAAAGTGAAGAGTTTAGGGAAAGAGGAGGAAAGCGGATTGAAGTTGTTGAGAGACGAGGAGGAATATAGATCGTCTGATGAGGACGACAACTCGTGGCGGAAGAGGGACGACGGAGGAAGAGGAGGAAAGACAACGAGTACAATAAAGAGGGTGAAATTCGCCAACAAACAAAAATTTTCAGAGGACGAAGACGAAGACGAAGAAGACGAGAGAGGCGAATTAGAAGAACAACCGTTCGTGATTATCAAAAGCACCCGCGACCCGACGAAAAGGAAAGAAGACGCGTACGATAAGTTATTCGCGAACGGCGCGTTCGATAAGAAAAGGCTGCTGAGATTCTTTAGGAGACGACCGGTGCGCGTGGCTGGGAGGATGACGAGGATAATAACCGTGTTTCGGAGGTTGTCGAGGCAGTGGAAGTCGCAAGATGATTGGCCAATGGAAAAGAGAACGCGGGCGAAGTTGTTGAGAGAAGCGCTGTCGAAACTTGGACCGGTGTTCGTGAAAGGTGGACAAACGTTATCGCAAAGGCCGGATTTGATTGGCGAGGAGGCGGCGGACGCGTTGAAATCGTTGCAACAAGAAAACGAACCGTTTGAAGACGCGATTGCCTTTCAAACAGTTGTTGAGGATTTAGGACATTTAGGTCCTTTGGCGGAGAACCATCCGTTTCAAGGGTACGATCCGACGTTGAAACCGCTCTTTAAATCGTTCGGGACGTCGCCGATTGCCGCGGCGAGTTTAGGACAGGTGTATAAAGCCGAGACGTGGGAAGGCGATCGAGTGGCGGTGAAGGTTCAGAGACCAAACGTGAGAAAACAGGTGGCTTTGGATTGGACGTGTTGGTCGTTGTCGTTGTCGGCGTTGCGGCGATTGTGGAGATCGACGAATGATTTGAGCGTCATCGCGGACGAGGTTGGCAGCGGCGTGTGGCAAGAGCTCGATTACATTAGCGAGGCGAACCACGCGGATGAGTTTAATCGAAGACACAATTGGTTAGGTTTCGTGAGAGCGCCCAAGTGGTTTCCAAAATATACCGGGCCAGCTGGTAAGGCGAGGGTTTTGACGACTGAATGGATCGAAGGCGCGCACATTGCGGATTTGCCGCAGGAAAAGAAACTGGTCATGGCGCAAATGGCTGTGGAGGCGTGCGTCGCGCAGTTGGTGTACACCGGGTTTGTCCACGCCGACCCTCACGAAGGGAACATGATGTTAGACATCTCGGACGACTCTTTAGTTTTTCTCGATTTTGGTTTAATGGCTGAAGTGGACGGGAAAATCATGGAAGGGTTCGCGAAAGGCATACAAAGCATGATTTCTGGCGATTGGCGCCAATTGGCGTTGGTGTTCCAAGAGGTGGGTTTCACGCCAGAAGTTTTCGAAAAGAGAAACCCAGACGATGCGTTGAGAAAGAAAGTGCCGTACGTTGAATGCACTTTGGATGAGATCGCCTTGGCAATTAAAGACCAATTGGAAAGCGAAGCTGGAGGGAGAAGTCGATTTGGCGCGTTAGCGACGGGTTTAGCGAGACTGTCCGCGACGTACCATTTTCTCACGCCGCCGTACATCATTCTCTTAATTCGAACGTTCTTGACGTTAGAAGGTATCGCCGCGAAAGCCGATCCAAATTTCAACATTTACGAGGCTGCTTTGCCGTACGCAATACGACGAGCGATGGCGCCCGCAACGCCGGACGGGTTTGAATCCATGCGACGAGCGTGGTTAACTGATGCAAACGCGTTGAACATGGACAGGTTGAAGGAATTTTTAGGCGGCGACGACGACGAAAGCGCCGACAGCGCGAAAGAGTCAGCGTCCGGACGCGACGGTGGTAGTGATGTTCTCATGCGTCCAACCGAGGAGAGCGAGAAGCTCATGGCTCGTCGCCGAAGCGAAGTTCTCGGCGGCATCCTCGGCGCCACTGAAGGCGCCGCTTTACGACGCATTTCCCACGACGTCGACACCGGCAGCTTAGCCGCGTATCTCTACTCCCCTGAAGCCAGTGGTATACGCAAACAAGCCGTGAAAATGCTCTCGGATATTTTGGTCAAACCAACCAAAGGCGGTACCATCTTCATCGATAAGAAAGAACAAAAAGAAGACTCCTTAGATTTGCCGGAATGGCCGGAATCCGAGGAGGCTCGAAAAATCCGCGAAAGGCAGGAAATCGCCGCTCGACGCGCGATAAGCGTTCTCCTCGGCACGCACTTGAACCGATTGTGGAAGTACCCAATAATCGCCGCGCGTTTAGCGTTATCCATCGCGGCGATTACGTTGAAAGCGTTCGTGTTGGCGACGCAAGAAATTTGCGTCGATTTGTGCTCGTCGGCTGCTTCCAACGCGCTCGGTGTCGCGACGTTCCCGTTCAGAGTCGTTCGGAATCTATTCAATAAAAACAACAAAAAGAGCGATAGTGGCGATGCTCCTCGCACCGCTTCTGTGTAATAGTATATGCGTAATAGAATATCTGCGTTTTCTTGTTTTGCTTCTTTCTGAATGAAAGGAGAATGAGAAAATTTTTCAAAAATTCATCAGAAACACAACACACTTTAACACACGCGCGCGACGGTGGCGAGCGCTCGCGCGAATGCAACAACACAGAGATACTTGTTCACACACGCACGCGCGCACGTAATAATAACGAGAGAGAGAAAGAGAAAAAAAAGAAGAATGAAAAACGGAAGCGCACAGAAGAAAAAGAAGACGACGGTGAAAGGACAGCTCTCTCTGAAATCTTTCTTTTGTCGTGACGCCATGGACGACGACGTAAACGACGACGAAGAGAAGCAGAGGAGGAAAAGGAGCGTGGATTTTGAAGAGGAGGGTGTGAAGGAGGAGAAGTCTTCTCGCGATGATGATTGTGCCGCTCAACCGGAGACGAACAACAAGAGAGCGAAAATTGGTTTCGAAGAAGAAGAAGAAGACAAAGAAGAAGACAAAGAAAAGGACAACAAAAAGTTTACAATACCAGAACGAGACTCGAAACTGCGGGAACGATTCAACGCGAAACTGGTCGCGAAAGCGACGACGACGACTTCTACATTGAACATTCGCGGACGCGGTCACGCGTTCAAGAAGCAGCGCGAGGAAGAGGATGAAATTAACGACGAAAAGTTGGATGAAATCGAACCGAGAGATAAAAAGTTGACGCCGTTGGAAGCGCAGGTGAGAGATTTTAAGCGGAAGTATCCGAGCGTGTTGCTTTTATTCGAGGTTGGATATAAGTTTCACTTTTACGGAAAAGATGCGAGGAAAGCGGCGGAGACGTTGAACGTGTTTGCGTATCCCGGGAAGACGTGGTTGCAAGCGAGCGGGCCGGTGCATAGGTTGGCGGTGTACGTGAGACGGTTGGTTAACGCGGGGCATAAAGTTGGGGTGGTCAGGCAGACGGAAACGGCAGCGTTAAAAGCGGAAGGGTCGACGAAAGGAAGCGTGTTCACGAGAGAGTTGGTGGCTTTGTATACGAAGGCGACGATGGACGCGGGCGTGTCGATTGCCGCGGAACCGGCGCATACCAACAACGAGAGCGACGAGGCGCAGAAAGCAGTCGATATCATCGAGAACAAGACAGATAGAGAAGGTGAAGGTGATGAGGATTTACAAGGTGTGGTGATTACAAATAATCATCGCAAAAGCTCGACGACAACGAGTAATATAACCGCAGACGAACAACAACATCGTCTTTCGAATTATTTGCTGTGCATATCGGAAGAAAAGAAATCTGAGCGAGGAAACAAAGACGAGATCGCGTTAGTTGCCATCGAAACGAGCGTCGGGAACATTTATTACTCGCACTTTGAAGATGACAGTTCGCGGTCGAGATTAGAGTCGGCGCTTTTGAAAATCTCCCCGTGCGAAATTTTGTTCGCGGGTGGAGGAGGAGGCGAAGAAGAATCCTCGTCCTCGAAAGAAACGAAACGGTTGGTCTCGGCTTTATTTCCAGACGCGCGAGTGGAACAATCCACATCGTCCGTCTCGAGTTTATCCAAAGCGGAAATCGATGAGTATTTTGGATCGAATAATTCAGAAAAAGTCGCGGGTCTGCCTCGTCTACTTATCGCGACCTTGGCGGCGGCGAGAGAATACCTCGTCCCGTTCAAGCTCGAAAACGTTTTGAAATTGTCCAAAGCGATAAAGCCTTTGGACGACTTCCAATCGGAGATGATTTTATCTCCGAACGCTATTCGGCAGCTGGAAATCTTCCGAAACTCGGACGATGGCTCGTTTACTGGCAGTCTCTTGTGGCTCATCGACCACGCGAAATCGAAGGCCGGGAGTCGCGAACTTTCGCGATGGGTCTCGAGACCGTTGCGAGATCGCGCGGAAATCGAGAATCGTTTATCCGCCATTGAAACGCTCAGGTCAGTGAATAGTGCGCCAACATCCGTACTCGCTCTCGAAAAGCTTGAGAAGATATTGCGAACAGCTCCAGACGTCGAACGAGTAGTTGCTCGAGCGCACCATTTGAACGCCACTCCGGCTGAGTTTGTCGCAGCTATGCAATTTTTCCTTTCCTTTGGCGCCGCGTGCGTGGAAATGCAACACTCCGCCCTGTTGAATCAAAACGACGAGAAATCTCCGTTGAATGAACTCTTGAGCGCGTGTGCGGACGAAGCCACTTTGCGCGCGTGCACGAAGGCACTCAATGCGTTAGATTTAACCGTAGCCAACTCAAGAGCTGGGAATTTGGGATGTTCCAGAGACGCGTACGTAGGGTTGTTCTTGAGAGAAAACGAGGACAACCAAAAGCAGTTTCCGGAGATGTTTCGAGCGCATGATAATCTCGAAAAGTCGAAAGCAACCATGGATGCGTTGCTTCCCGATTTAGCGGCGCAAATTCCGGGTATTATCAAAGGCGCTAAATTATCGTACACCTCTGTCGGCGGCGCATCTGGCGCAGAATATCTCATCGAAGTTGGCGATAAATTGAAACCACCGAACGACTGGATTAAAGTCAGCGCAAACAAGTCCAAGAAAGTAATTCGATATCATCCACCGATCGTTCTTGAAAACATGAAATCGTTGGATGCAAACAGCGAGCGACTCGCGTTGGCGTGCGAAGACGCGTGGAAGTCGTTTCTGAAAGAGTTTTCGCGCGTATCGTACGGCGAATGTCGCCAAGCAGCAAAAGCGGCGGCAAAGATTGACGCGTTAAACGCGCTCGCGATTTTATCGATGAACGACGGGTATTGTCGACCGGAATTTTTCAAGGAGGAGGAAGAGAACGAAGACGGCACGGCGCGCATTGAAATCGTAGAAGGGAGACACCCGACGCTCGATGCGAAAATGGTCGATAAGTTTGTGCCAAACTCAGCGTCGTTAGGCGGTGCTCAATCGAGCGGCGAGAGTAGAAACGACAGCACTCGCCGTCGCCGTCGCGCAATGATTCTTACCGGTCCAAACATGGGCGGTAAATCGTGCTTTGCGCGTCAAGTCGCGCTCATCGCCATCCTCGCGCACATTGGCTCCTTCGTTCCCGCGAAATCGTGCCGATTGTCCGTGTTAGATGGCATCTACACTCGCGCCGGGGCGGCTGATAATCTCGCGCTCGGTCAATCCACATTCTTCCAAGAGATGAGCGAAACGTCCGCGATATTGAAGTCGTGCACCAAGAAATCTTTGGTCGTGCTCGACGAACTCGGTCGGGGCACGTCCACGACCGACGGCATCGCGCTAGCAACGGCTACGCTAAGAATGCTCGTCGAAAAGGTTCAGTGCGCGACTGTTTTCGTCACGCACTTCTCCAATCTCGCGAAACAGTTCAAAGAGAGCAACGCCGACGAGGTGTTTTGCTGCTTTCCTAGTCACATGAAAACGAACGACGAGAAAGATAGCAAACGAATCGCATTTCTCTACACGCTCGAGGAAGGCGTGGCCCACCGCTCCTTTGGATTAAACGTCGCGAGCATGGCGGGGATACCTGAAAAAGTTCTCGAAGTTGCAGAAGTGAAATCGTTAGCGTTTGAAGAAAAGAGCAGCCGCAAGAGTGCGGGAAGTGACGAAGTAGTAGGAGATAAGATGATTCGAGACGCTTTGTTGTTGGAATCGTCGAATATAGCTCAAATAAAAGAAACGCAGCGAGCGCTGCGTTTCTTTGCGCCTGTAAAATAAAAGTAGTAGAACTTTGTGGGACACACATACATATAAATATAGCTTGCTTCGTGTTACAACCTGGCCGTAAATCCATTATAACTCTTTCTCGACGATGGCGGAGAATCGTTCGCAATCTTTGAAAGTCTTTCTAAAAGACTCTTCTTCAGCTTCTCCTGCGTTTGTTTCGTCTCTGGCGTCGGATACACGCGATTCTCCGGCGTGTTGTACATTCGTCTCGTAGAACCAACCGCCGGCGATGAATACTTCGATGAATAGTTGTTGTTGTTGTTCGAAAAAGAAACGTCGTTTTCTTGATCAATCTTCAACACGCGTCTCGGCGGACCAAGAGGACTGATGTGTACAGGCGTCTTCTTCAGCGCCGAGCCTCTCATCTGGAGAGGACTGAACGAAATCAAATTCGGACTACTATTGTTGCTATTTTCCACGGGAACTCGTCTCGGCGGTCCTAACGGCGAGACGCCTTTTGTCGCTTTCCTCGAAAAATCGCTCAAAACGTTACCATTACTATTCAAACTATCTCTCATTCTTCTGCTCGACGACTGCGGCGACGGTGTCTTCAGGAAATGTTCCTTTTCCGTCGCGCTCACAACCCGTCTTCTCGTCCTGTACGTCCTCGCGCTCTCCTCCTCCTCCTCCTCCTCCTCGCTCTCGCTTTTCGCGAGAAAGCGCCTCCTCCTCGCCGCATACCCGCCAAAACCGCCAACTACCTCCGGCGTCTTCTCCAAATTCCTCTCTATTTTCAGTTTCCTCAGCGCCGCCGTCACTCGCTCTTGCGCTCGTCTTTGCCTTTCCACCGTCGACGGTTGCGGGTACGAAAACGAAGGACTGTTGTTTGTTTTGAAGCCAAATTTTGCTTCAACACTCCGTCCTTTGTTGAAAAGACTTGTTCTCTCTCTGTGCGCATTTTCATCATCATGATCACCAATTTGCCTCTTCTTCTCAAACAACCGATTCCTCTCCTCGTCGATGGTGTTTTGCGTGACGGTGTCGTACTGACCTCCTCGACGACGTTGTGCGAAACGACGCTTCTCATCTTTCCAATTGGAAGAATAATCATCATCATCTTCGGGAAAAGAATTATTCGAGAGATGCATCACGTCGCGAATGAAATCTCTCGGGTCAAAGCTTCTTTCCTCCTCCTCGCGACGAGAAAAGTAGTATCCTCCGTCGTTCGTCGTCATCGTATCGATTGAATGAATACACGACAGAGTAGTAGAATGTAGTGCTTTGAAATTGTGTGGGCAGTTTGTATGAAAATTCGTCAGAAAAAAACCTTCTACAGAAGCTTCAAATATGCGCGGTTTAGTCACCACCACGACGCGAAGTTCTCGCCCCGCGAGTTCTCTTTTGTCGACCACGACGGGTGCGAAGAAGAGCGAGCGACGGCGGCCCTGTTTCGCGGGATCTCATCGTGAAAAGAAGAATACAAAGAGAGGAATTTGTTTGAGAGCGTCAGCCTCGAGAAGTGATGAGGATGGTTTTGCCGCCATTACTGGCGGCGAGAGGAGGAAGAGTAGTCACCTTCTTTCGATGACGAGGAAGGAAACGAACGGAGTATTCGCATCGTGTGAGAGTAGGAGGAGTAGAAGAATTAGAGATTCGCTCGCGCCCCCTTTAGCGGCTTTCGGGGGGAATGGAAACAACGATAACAACAACAACAACAACAACAACAACGAGGAAGACGAAGAGGAAGACTATTATTACGAAGAAACGCCGTTACCGTGGCCAGAGGCAGTCCCGGAGTGGGCGAGGCTTTCACAAGAGGACGTGATTACAGTGGTCGTCACGTTTGCGGTTTCCATCGCGTTTCGCACGTTCATCGCGGAACCGCGGTACATACCGAGTTTGAGCATGTACCCGAACTTTGATATCGGCGACCGGTTGATAGCGGAGAAGTTAACCTACCGGTTCGCGCGAGACCCAAACGTCGGGGACGTGGTCATATTCAACCCTCCGAGAACCGCGAAAACTGAAAAAGTGTACAACGAAGTCTTCATTAAAAGAATCGTCGCGCTCGAAGGCGACGACGTGGAGGTGAAAAACGGCGAGCTGTACGTCAACGGCCAATCGAGAGGGAAGGAGCTGAAGCTGGAGAAGATTAAATACAACATGCCGAAACTGCGAGTCCCGAGCGGGGACGTGTTTGTCATGGGAGATAACCGAAACAACTCGTTCGATTCTCACGCGTGGGGACCGTTACCGAAAAATCGGATCATAGGCCGAGCGGTGGCGAAATATTGGCCGCCAACCGCCATCGGCGGTTTACCGAGTTACGCCAAAAGCGCAAACGTTGAACTTCTGGAAGCGCCGAAAGTTGCCGTTTAAATACTACTAGTAATAATACTAAAGTTCTTGTTGTTGTTTTTGTGTGCATGCGTTGTGTTATTTATAGTATTATCGCGAGACGAATAGTATCGGGTATATATGCGTGTGTGTTTCTGCGTCTCGTCCCTTTTCCTTCTTCTCGTACTCTTTGAAGAACAACGTTTCGTACTCTTCTGTCCAAGGGGTCGAAAAAAAGAAAGAAGGAGAAAGAAAACGTCCTCGTCAGCATTCAAATTTTCAAGAATTTTCAAAAATTTCTACCTTCTCACGACTCGAAAGAGCGCGCAACAGAACACTCATTGCTTTCACGCGCCGCGCTCAATTCAGGTTTTAAGCGTTCAAAACGTGCGCACTCGCGCAAACTTTCGTTCGGACTCCTCTTAAAAGTCCCTTCTTCAAATGCCTCAAAACTCTCTCACAAATCAGAAAAAATGAGTGTTGATTGAGCTAAAAATTCATAAGTCTCCCTGAAAGAGGGCTTTGAGTGGTAAGCAGTCGTCACAAAAAATCAGAAAAAAAAAACACCATGGTGCAACTCATCGGTAATTTTGATTTCGCAGCCTTGTGCCTCCCGACGGTTCCGTGGGGGAAGAGCACGAGGAAAATGCAATTCTTTCGCAAGGTATTATATAATCATCTCCAGATCGATCGATATCGATGTTGTTTTTTTGAATCGTTCTTCCTTATGTGTCTGTTTTTGCGGCCGGGGTCGATTTATTTTTTCTCTTCTCCTCCAATTATTTTCCCGCCACAATTGAATTTTCCCCCCGTGGAGATCATCAGAAGACGACGAAGTTTCGGTTTCAATTCTGGGCAAATCAGATGAGACAGCGCGTGCATTCGACGAAATGAATGTTCTTTTGTACTTTGTGCACGTTTTTGAGTCGATGTGTGCGTTTGGAGGAGGGAAAAGGAGACCGCGAAAGCGAGAAGCGCCATTTTCCGTCGATTTCAAACGACTCGTTGAGGAGGAGGTGTACCTCCCCCCTTAAATCATCAATTAATTACCAAAAGAAACTAACAACAACGAACGCTCACATTTTTTTTTGCATCCTCCAACAACAGGACGACGATCTCCCAATCCTCGTGGCTTTAGTCATGGGCCTCCAACACGCGTTCGCGATGGTTGGCGGTCTCATCGTACCTCCGTACGTCGTGATGAAATTCTCCGTCGCGTTCGCCGACACGGATTTGCAGCAATACGCCATCGCGTGTTCGCTCATTTTATCTGGTATTTTTACCATTTTGAACTGCATTCAGTTTAACATTCCGGGCACGAAATACGTGTTCGGGACAGGGATGTTGTCCGTTTTGGGCACTTCTTTTGGGTTTTTGCCCATTTATGAGAATGCTATCAGTACGATGAAGAGCGAGGGGTACTCCGGGAAAGATGCGTATGGGAAGATGTTGGGTACGACGATGGTGTGCGCCATGCTCGAAGTTGTCTTGTCGTTCGTTCCGAAGGATAAGTTACGAAGAATGTTTCCGAACATTGTCACTGGTGTTGCGGTTATGCTCATCGGCGCCGGTTTGACGGCGACTGGGATCAAGTACTGGGGCGGCGGCGCCGTGTGCGCCGAAATGGCCTGGAAGAATAACGCCCAGGTTTATGGTTTGGTCGGTAAGGGAGGCACCTGGTTCGGTCCAGATCAAACCGGTGTCGCGCCATTCCCGGGTAGTGGTGGTAGATCTATGTGCGATGGTAACGGTGATGTTATCAAACCGTTCGGTTCTCCGGAATATATCGCGCTTGGTTTTTCAGTCGTGCTCATGCTCATTCTTGTTGAATTGTTCGGCTCGCCGTTCATGAAAAACGCGAACGTTATCATCGCGTTGCTCTTTGGTTACTTCGTCGCCGGTGTTTCCAGAGCGGAAGGTAACAAATTCGTTCCGGACACTAAGATTGAAAATGCTGAACCGATTACGTTTGCGTGGGTGGAAAACTTTCCGATTGGCTTTTACGGTCCGGCTGTATTGCCGTTGTTGATTGCTTTCTTGGTCACAACGGTTGAAACTATCGGTGATCTCACCGCCACGTACGAAGCGTCCGAGGAAGACACTGAATCGGAAGAATTTGACAAATCTGTCCAAGGTGGTTTACTCTCGGACGGCTTATGCTCCTTCGCGGCGGCTTTGGCCACCGGCATGCCTAACACCACGTTTTCCCAAAACAACGGCGTTATCGCTTTGACCAAGTGTGCCTCCAGAAGAGCTGGCGTATGCTGCGGTCTCTGGTTGATCGCGTTGGGCGTCTTATCCAAGATTTCTGGCATCATCTCTTCCATGCCTGATTGCGTGGTTGGTGGCATGACGACGTTTCTCTTCTGCAACGTCTTTGTCTCCGGCTTGTCAGTCGTCTCCAAAGCCGACTTAAATTCTCGCAGAAACCGAATCATCTTGGCCATCTCCATGGGCGTTGGTTTGGGTGTTACCGCGGTCCCGTGGATCTTCGGCGACCAAAGAGCGAGTGGTGGTACCACGCCGTTTTGGCCGTGTACCGGTCCGTTCCGCGAAGGCGCCGACTGCAGCAAAGGTGAACGAGGCATCAGAGACGGTATTCTCATCTTATTGACCACGCCGTACTCCATCGGTACGCTCTTGGCCATGTTCTTGCACGCCATCTTGCCGACTGACATGGAAGTTGTCGGCTACGGCACCGATGCTGGTAAAGCGTAATATTCCTCACGGAATCTTTCGTTCACCAAAAGGAAAACCGTCTCTCCCCGCCGCGTTCAACAACGAATGCGCTTTCTCGAAAAGAAAGCGTTTCGAAAACGACGACGCGATTATTAAACGTGTACATACATCAACAACAAAAAGAAAAAAAGAAAAAGAGAGGCGTCGCTTTGTCGCGACAAAGTGAAAAGAAAGCGAGAGAGAGAGAGGGAGAAGAAGAATCGACTTCTTCTTCTCCATCGTTTCTCCGCGGTAAAAATTATTTATTATTATTACGACACTTGTTTATATAAAATCAAAGACATAATAAAGAAAGACTTGTCGTTTTTTCTTCCTTCGTCACATAAAATCGTCATTTTTTTCCTTCCTGATATACTACTTGCAAGATGATATCTTCTTCGTCTTCTTCGTCTGCTGCTGCTGTGTTAGTATTCACGAGAGCCAAAACTTTGTCGCCGTCGTCGAGGATGAGGTCGTTTTCGCACCGCGCGGCGTCGTGTTCTTCCTCTTCCTTGTCTTCGTCTTCGACGAAAAGAAATGCGATGACGTTTCAAAGATATCCCCGTCGAGACCAACCTCATCACCACGAACAACAACAACAACAACAACGCAAGGTTTCGGTTTTAAAACGAACGACGCGAGGACACTTTTTAGCCACGATGATGGCAACTTCAAATGATGGCAACGAGAGCAGTAAAGAAGAGGAAAAGGAAGACATCCCCCCGTGGGAGCGACGAGAGATGGAAAAGAAACTTTCGAAAGAATCAGGCGAGTTCCCGTGGCCTGTGTTCCTTTTGGGAAGTCTGATCACCTTACTCGCCGCGACGGGGAGCGTGTTCGAGTGGACGTTTTCGAAACCAATTTTCGGCGTCGTGGACGCTTCGAGCGGGATGTACAAACCAATATTAGGGTGGTTCATCGTGACGGGGTTCCCGTTGAGCGCGATTTTGTGGACGAAAGGGATCGAAGGCGCGAATAAAGCGAGCGAGTTGACGGATAAAATGGACGGATACGATTAGATTGCGTTAGTTTATTTTCGTTGCTATGAATACGTGTACGCGTACATACTGTTTGCTGCTATCTTCCTCTATTAGTTCCAAAACTCGTTCCAACCCCCGTTGAAATCGTCCAAAGCGCCGCATCCGTGCGCGACTCTTTGTAACTTTTCCGTATTCCCGACCGGGCGAATTTGGTCGTCCGCGGCGTATTCTATGAACTTCAACTCCTTTTCCAAAGTAATTTCGGGAACGCCGGAGCAACAGGCGCACTGTCCGACCGCTTTCGGTTTTCCAGCACAAACGAACGCTTTATACCCGATTTCGTTTTGGCGAAAGTACGTGTGCGTGAAGAGGATGCCGTTCGCGTTACCCGAGTTGTTTTCGCACGCGTCGTCGTCCTTTTGAGTCGTTGTAGAGTCTTCGTCCAAGCGCCACCATCCTAACGCGCGCATTGCGTCGACACGTTTCTTTGCTTTGCTGTATACGGCGTGGACCGCGACTAATCCGCCACCTCTCGCGGCTTTTCCAGGCGCTCTCATACTCGTTCCGGCGCGCGGATTTGCCGGGCACGTGTCCTTCCCAATAGGATATTCGGATTTGTCTAAGTTAGCTTTTGTCATCATATCGCGAATAGAGCGGACGGTTTTCGTACCATCCGCGACGCCGCGAAGACAACCGCGTCCGAAAAACCAATCCGGAGCACCCAGAACGAGTTCCGGAACGATGGCGTCGCCGAGGTTTCTCGGCTGTTTCGAGATTTCAACGAACGAAAGTGCGGTTACTTTTCTTTCCTTTTGAATGATTTCGCACTCATTCGCGTCGTCGTGAGGACACGCGTTGTGTTGGTACATCGATGTCATTCCATCTCCAGCGGTGGCAACTTTAAAGCTTCCGACGAAGAATTGGTTCATAACGTCGCGAAAGATTGGTTGATCGAGCAATCGTTCGGCGTTCCCGTCGGCGTTTTGATCTTCCAAAATGCTTTGAAACTTTCCGTTCAATTTCACGAAAAAATCGTACAGTGCCGTCTCTTTGTGCGGCGTTAAAGTCGACTTACGAAAGTAAATCAACCCAATGTTTAAGAGCGCGTTTGGTACCGCGTCGTCGCACAAAACGATATCGTTTCCGAGAGCCGCGGAGTACCGCTTTCGTTCCTCCGTCAACGTCGCTTTGTCAACTTTCCTATCGCACTTTGGCCGCGTATTCGCGGCGAACAAATCCGTCTGCGAAATCACCCGAAACGGAGACATCAAAGGCCCGTTTATAATCTTATACGGGTCTTCTAAAAATACGACGTCTGAATCGACTCTCATGACGCTATAACCATATTCCATCGCCTGCGAGACGAACAACCACTGTTGCATCCAGAGTAAAAACATATCGCCTACTTTTAAGTTCCACTTTTCCAGCTGCTGCGCGTTCTCGGTATACGCGGTAGAGAACCCGCACGAACCGTATTCCCCGAACACTTCCGCGTATCTCGTTTTTAACGTCTCGCACAACTCTTTCGAACTCGCCACGACTACGTAATGTTCGATGCCCATCGCTTTCAAATTCAACGCCACGTTGGCGACGAAATCGGTACTAATCGTCGCAATCGCCGGATCTTTCGTCACTCTTCGGTGATCTCTCGTGTCACCAACTGCGAAAACGATCAACTCGTCGTCCTCTTTCCTCGCTCGAGCTTTAAAAAATCGCTCGCGAGTCGCCGGGTCGTTCACGTCGATGTTTTCGTTATTATCAATACCGCCGTCGGTACGAGGGATCGTACTCTCATCGCTATCATCACTACGTCTATCGTCACCACTATCTCTATCACCGCCCTCCTTTCCCAGCATGCTCTTCGCCCGTTCCAGCTCTTCGTGGTGTGCCCTCGACGCCGCTCGATACTCGTCTCCGATTCGATCGAGATCCGCCAACGACATGCCTCCTCCTTTCTGTTCTCGAAAATCAGACATCATCTTCCCATACTTTTGCTCCAAGTCGAGCAAGTTCGCGAGCGTTTTCGTTTCCGCGCCGCGCCATTCATTTTCAGACTTCTGAGTTTCTTTCTCTCCTTTTTCTTTCTCTTCTTCGCCTTCTTTCGGTGGTATAAACAGCGACCGGTGAAGATGGTTGCGTGCGTCCGATGCCGTTGGTTTTTCTTCCAACAAATATCGTCGTCGTCCCCGCTGCAAAGCCTGCGAGACGGCAGTGTTTTTGGTGGTGGTACTACTCGCGAAACAAAAGCTCTCGCTAAAAACAACGAGGACAGTGACGAAGAAGAGAGAGTACACGACGCGTGCGCGCATATTTGGGGCGTTTTTACGTGTATCCCATAGAGAGGAAAATGTTTTGAGGAATGTGAAGAAAAGCAGCCCAAAACATGTGGAAAACGATTCGCAGATAATATTCGCGCAAACTCTCGAGGAATCCTTTAAACGAGACGGGACGAGTACGAGCGCGCGAACGCAACGATAACATATTTAACTTTAGTGCGGTGAGTTTGTTTTTTCGTGTTGTCATAGTTTTCGTTCTCTCTTTCTCTTTCTCTATAGTAGTATGCGAGTCTTCTCTCTTTCGCTCTTTGGTCTCGACGCTCTGATGGGAGAGTCCATCATCACCGCCGAGTGCGCCGCGTGGAGTACATCAAAAACATCACAAACAAAACACCCATGACGGCAAAGACCTGTTGCATTTGGTCCACCCAACGAGCGCCGTTTTTCGGGTTCAATCCCATGCTCTCGCGCATTTGTTCCAAGTTGAACGCGTACGCGGCGTACCCGCCGAATAACGTCAACAAACCAACTTTAACGCCCATGGACAACGGTTGGTCGTTATTCGCGTTTCGTAACTTTTCCAGTTTCCCTCGGTCGCTCGAATCGATCATCTCTTGCGCTTTCTCCGTGGCCAAATCGCATAATCGCATGGTTTCCTTACGGTTCGGGTCTTCTTTTCGCACTTTGTTCTTCAAAATCTTCACAAAGTGTTTGAAACCTTGCCCGATTTGATACGTGTCGTTGGACGATAACATGATGCGAGCCGATAAGCCCCTTCGGATTTTAACCACGCCTTCAAACACCTTCCCGTTATCGTAACACTCCGCTAATGTCGCTATAGCCATAACCTGCGGAATCGCGCAAAATCGAAAAATAGACGGCGTTTTCACTCGGCTCATGTACTCTAACGAGTCGCACGCGTGCGTCAGCGCGTTCGTAATCAACTCGTTCAAACAATGCACCGCGTTCGTTCGATTCTTCTTGTATTGCAAGTCGTCCAAGCTCGTCGCGTATTTTCCCCACACCACTCGCGGCCAAAACATTCTCGGTCTCGGAATCTCCTGTATGTCCTCCAAATAATCTCTCACGATGTTCGTCTTTTGTAAAAACAACCCCATGGCGTTGCTTAAATCCTCCATTTCAGTCTTGAACTTCTTCTCTTCCAACTTTGATCCGGCCCATAAATCTGACAGACCAATCCCAACTAACCCGGCGACGTAATGGCAGTACACGTCCCAGTCTTTCAACGTGTTCACTTCGCTCTCGATGAAATCCGCCATCCCTTTTCCCATGCGTCTCGTGATGTCCGCGATGACGTCTTTATACGGCTTCTTCAATCGTAAGAAAACGTTCGTCACTTTCGGATATTCTACCATCAGCGTCTTGTAATGTTTCTCTCCGCACGTTAAGTGTTTATATTCCGGATCATATATGTCCTCGTGAAACTTCAAAAGCTGCGGTACTTTCTCCGCGTTGTCGATGGCCATGTCGTCCTCGATCGTATCCAACGCTCGTAACACCAGATAGAAGATGCACACCGCGTCTCGTAACTCCTCGTCTAATTGTTGAATAACAATCGCGAACGACCGCGAGACTTTGTTCAGCATGTCGTAACAAAACGCCAAGTTTTCTTCTTTCGGGAGTTTCTTCGCCTCGTCGGCCATTTTTTTCACCCTGAGTAAGGGAAACACATCGAACGGATGTCTCAGGAGGACCGAGATGGCACCCATTCTTTTCTTCTTCTTCGTAGTAGTATTATTACTCTTCTTCTTACGATGAAATGAAACGAAGAAGAAGACAAAAAGAAACCTTTAATAAGCTTATTATGTAAAAGGTATTCGTCCGTATCTCTCCCACTCTCTCTCTCTCTGCTTCCTCTGCTCCTACTCTTTATATTTATATGCACACACACACACACAGAACACACTTTGACAAAAAGTCTGTCCTTCTGTCAAGAAAGAAAGAGTGGTTGTGTTCTAGGGTTTAGGGTTTCATTTACAAATTCGCGTGAAAAAAATGCAAAAAAGTTTTGTGTTTGCGCCTTCCTCTTTCGGGTTTGGGCTCATCCTCTTCCTAAAAAAAGATCTCCTCTTTCCTCCTTTTTCCTGCGTTTCTGGTCCTCGAAAAAAAAATCTTTTCGGAGATGAGATGCACGCAAAGAAGCGCTTATTATAAGTCTCTCGCCTCGTTTTCCTCACTTTTTACACAACATCGTCTTCTACGATGGCAGCCTCTTCTTTGACAGCGGCAGCGCTCGGGAGCAAAGTCGCTTTTGCAAACAAGGTACGATTAATGAATAACGCGTCGTTTAGACTCTGGTTGTTCTTTCTTTTCTTGGTGTCGTTTTATACGTGCGCGCGCTGCACACGGAAGGGCACATATGAGAGAGAGATAATTTTCTCTGTAAAATTTTATCATCTCTCCCTTGAAAAGCTCTCGTCCCAAACAAACGCGAGGAAAAGGGGCTACAAAACGCATTCTTTTCCTACGAAGAGTGCGCGTCTCGCGATGTGAACGACGATCTTTTTGTGCGAGAATGAAAGACTTGATCTCGATCTCGCGTTTGGTTCTCGGATCGTCGATTTTACGTCCGTTTGAGGAGAAAAAGAGCGCGATGAATGGATGATGATGAGAAGTCGACGTCACACATTTTCTCGGGAAAGATCAGATATCTTTGGGGAGCACTTTTCACTCTACTCGCTCTTCTCGCGTGTAGTATCAGCATCAAATCGACCATCAAACTGACCAAAATCATCAATAACTCTTCTTTACTTTTACTGTCTTTTCGAAACAACGACATTATCACAGAGCTTACGCGCGAAGACTACCGCGAAACAAAGCCAAAGACTGGTGGTCACCAAAGCAGTCATCTCTCCACCAAATGGGCCTTTGAAAAAAGCGGGAGCGAAATCCGAGGAGGACAAGTTGTTGGCGGATGCGGACAGCAGCTCGAAAGGAATGTTCACGAACGTCGACCCGGCGATTCGTACGATTATTCCGGAAGCGAACGGGAGAACCGTCGTGAAGATGGTGTACGTGGTTTTGGAATCGCAATATCAGTCTTCCTTGTCCGCCGCGGTGAAGCAAATCAACGCGACGAACAAAAACGTCTGCGTTCAAGTCTCCGGTTACTTGTTGGAAGAATTGAGAAACGAGGATAACTTGAATCAGTTCAAAACTGACGTGGAGAACGCGAATGTTTTCATCGGTTCTTTGATCTTTATCGAAGAATTGGCGGAAAAGATTGTGGATATCGTCGCGCCGTTGAGAGACTCTTTGGACGCGTGCGTGATCTTCCCGTCCATGCCGGCGGTCATGCGATTGAACAAGTTGGGTACGTTTTCCATGGCGCAGTTGGGTCAGTCCAAATCCGCGATCGCTTCTTTCATGAGAAAGAAGAAGGAATCCGGTGGTTTCGAAGAGGGCATGTTAAAGTTGGTCAGAACTTTGCCGAAGGTTTTGAAGTATTTGCCGAGCGATAAGGCGGCGGATGCGAGAAACTTTATGAACTCTTTGCAATACTGGTTGGGCGGTTCCTCGGAAAACTTGGAGAACTTCTTGTTGATGATCTCCAAGGCGTATGTTCCGGAGTTGGCCGGAGTCGACGTCGGGGAAGTTGCCGAGCCGGTGACGTTTCCGGATATCGGTATCTGGCACCCGATGGCGCCGACCATGTTCGAAGACGTCAAGGAGTACTTGAACTGGTACGATACCAGAAAGGACATCAAGTTCAAGAAGGACGCGCCGGTTATTGGCGTCGTTCTCCAGAGATCGCACTTGGTCACCGGTGATGCCGGTCACTATGACGGTATGGTCATGGACTTGGAAGCGAGAGGTGCCAAGGTTGTCCCGGTCTTTGCCGGCGGCTTGGACTTCTCCGTGCCCGTGGATCGCTTCTTTTTTGATCCGATCACCAAAGGCGCTTTGGTCGACACCGTGTTGTCCTTGACTGGTTTCGCCTTGGTTGGTGGCCCGGCCAGACAAGATCACCCGAAAGCGATCGAGTCGTTGAAGAAGTTGGACGTGCCGTACATGGTTACCGTGCCGTTGTCCTTCCAAACGACCGAGGAGTGGAAAGACTCTACGCTCGGTTTGCACCCGGTGCAAGTCGCGTTGCAAGTCGCGCTTCCGGAGTTGGACGGTGGTTTGGAACCGATCATCTTTTCCGGCAGAGACTCCAAGTCTGGTAAATCCCACGCTTTGGAAGATCGCTCGTCGCAAATTGCGGACAGAGCCATCAAGTGGGCCTCGTTGAGACGCAAGAAGAACGCGCAAAAGAACTTGGCCATCACCGTGTTTTCGTTTCCGCCGGACAAAGGGAACGTCGGTACCGCCGCGTACTTGAACGTCTTTGGTTCCATCTTCAGAGTCTTGCAAGACTTGAAGAAGAGAGGTTACAACATCGGTAACTGCCCGGACAACGAAATGGACTTGATCAATTCTGTCTTGAACGACAAGGAAGCGCAATTCCAGTCGCCGGACTTGAACGTCGAATACAGAATGCCGGTGACTGAGTACAAGAAGTTGTGCGACTACGAAACGGAACTCCACGAAAATTGGGGCCCGCCGCCTGGGAATTTGAACACCGACGGCCAAAACATGCTTGTGTACGGCAAGAAGTTTGGTAACGTCTTTATCGGTGTCCAACCGACCTTTGGCTACGAAGGCGATCCCATGCGATTGTTGTTCTCCAAGTCCGCGTCGCCGCACCACGGCTTCGCCGCGTATTACACGTACATCGAGAAAATCTTCAAAGCGGATGCCGTCTTACACTTTGGTACCCACGGCTCTTTGGAGTTTATGCCGGGGAAACAAGTCGGTATGTCTGGCGTCTGCTACCCGGACTTGTTGATTGGTTCCACGCCGAACATTTACTACTATGCCGCGAACAACCCTTCGGAAGCGACCATCGCCAAGAGACGTTCGTACGCCAACACCATCTCCTACCTCACGCCGCCGGCTGAAAACGCTGGCTTGTACAAAGGATTAAAAGAATTGAAGGAATTAATTGCCTCGTACCAAACTTTGAAAGATTCTGGTCGTGGCCCGTCCATCGTGAACACCATCATTACCACGGCAATCACGTGCAACTTGGACAAGGACATCAAGGAGTTGCCGTCCGCGGACGCTGACGCTGCTGAATTTGAGCAAGAATTCAGAGACTTGATCGTCGGTAAAGTGTACGGTAAGATCATGGAGATTGAATCAAGATTGTTGCCGTGCGGTTTGCACGTCGTCGGTTGCCCGCCGTCCGCGGAGGAAGCGGTTGCGACTTTGGTCAACATTGCCGGCATCGACCGCGAGGAAGACGGCATCATCGGTATGCCGCAATTGTTGGCACAAGCTATCGGCGAAGATATCGAAAACATCTACCGCAGAAACGATGCCGGTGAATTGGAATACGTCCAAATGTTGCAAGACATCACGTTTGCGTCCAGAGATTGCGTCGGTTCGTTTGTCAAGAACGCGGCTGACCCGACTGGAAGAGTCGCGGCTAACGCGCTCGGCCAACTCGGCAAAATGTTTGGCGATGCCTCCATCGCGTTGCCGTGGGGCGATGCCTTGAAGGGCACCAAGTTCGAAAAGGTTGACAACGGCAAAATGCGCACGTTGTTTGACTACCTCAGATTTTGCTTGGAGCAAGTTGTCAAGGACAACGAGCTCGGTTCCTTGGCGGAAGCTTTGGACGGCAGGTACGTCTTGCCGGGCCCGGGCGGGGATCCGATTCGTAACCCGAAGGTTTTGCCGACGGGTAAGAACATCCACGCCTTGGATCCGCAAGCGATCCCGACTGGTGCCGCGGTTGCTTCCGCGAAGGTTGTCGTCGACCGTTTGATTGAACGTCAACGCGTCGAGAACAACGGCGTCTACCCGGAGTCCATCGCTTTGGTCTTGTGGGGTACCGACAACATCAAGACGTACGGTGAGTCTTTGGCGCAAGTCATGTTGATGGTTGGTGTCAACCCGGTCCCGGATGCTTTGGGCAGAGTCAACAAATTGGAATTGATTCCGTTGGAAGAACTCGGCCGACCGAGAATTGACGTCGTCGTCAACTGCTCCGGCGTCTTCAGAGATTTGTTCGTCAACCAAATGAACTTGTTGGATCGCGCCGTCAAGCTCGCCGCCGAGCAAGACGAACCGCCTGAGATGAACTTTGTCCGCAAGCACGCCTTGGAGCAAGCCGAAGAGCTCGGTTTGTCCGTCCGCGAAGCCGCGACGAGAATCTTCTCCAACGCGTCTGGTTCTTACTCATCCAACGTCAACTTGGCGGTTGAGAACTCGTCGTGGAACGACGAATCTCAATTGCAAGACATGTACTTGAACCGCAAATCCTTTGCGTTCAACTCTGATTCCCCGGGCAGTGGCATGGAAATCAAGAGAGAAATCTTCGAATCCTCCTTGTCCAAGGTTGATGTCACTTTCCAAAACCTTGATTCGTCCGAAATCTCCTTGACGGACGTTTCCCACTACTTCGATTCCGATCCGACCAAGTTGGTTGCCGGCGTGAGAAAAGACGGTAAAATGCCGGCTTCCTTCATCGCCGATACGACCACTGCCAATGCGCAAGTCCGATCGTTGTCCGAAACCATGCGCTTGGACTCTAGAACGAAGTTGTTGAACCCGAAGTGGTACGAAGGCATGTTGGCCTCTGGCTACGAAGGTACCCGCGAAATCCAAAAGAGATTGAACAACACTCTCGGTTGGTCCGCGACCTCCGGCCAAGTCGACAACTGGGTCTACGAAGACGCCAACAACGTCTACATGGCCGACCCGGAAATGCAAAAGAGATTGATGGAAACCAACCCGAACTCGTTCAGAAAGATGGTTGCGAACTTTTTGGAAGCGAACGGCAGAGGCTACTGGGAAACCAGCGAAGAAAACATCGAGCGCTTGCGACAGTTGTACATGGAAGTCGAAGACAAGATCGAAGGTGTGGAATAAACATTTTTCGTATTAATGAGATGTAAGCAAGGCGATAGAGGAGGTAATTTATTGAGGAGGTGAACAAGTGAGTGAGTGAAAGAGAGAGAGAGAAAGAGAGAGAGAGAAAGAGAGAAAGAGAGAGTGAAAGGCTAATACATAAAAAACGCGGATGGTCGCGAGACGAAAAGCGCGTCCACGTCGTAGAAAACAAGTGCGAGTGAGAGAGAGAGAGAGAGTAAGTGAAACAAAATTATAATACGATTTTTTAATGATAATATTAAGAGTACGAGCAAAAATACGTAAAAACAAACACGTCCGCGTGTATGCGCTACTAACGTGTGCGTACTCACCGACGCCTCCTCCTGCGTTCTCGCGTTCCTTTGACGCTTTTGCGCTTTCGAAATTTTCCATTTTTGCTCCATTTTTGCTCAATGCCAGAGGGGAAACACTTCTCTTTTCTTCATAAAAAAAATGAATATTCTCACGAGAATGAACGCGTCGTCCAGGTCGCCTCCTTCTCTGAACGACAAAAAAAGTGGGAAAGACGACGATGATTTGGATGAGGATGATTCGGAGGACGAGATTGTGGTGCAGCACAGGAGTAAGAGCGCTTTAATGCGCAGGAAAGTACTCGTTTCAGAGGACGACGTAACGGACTCAGATATCGAATTTACGACTGAAGATGTGAAAGAAGAAGACGAAGATGATGCGTTTGAGGACGCTTTGGATGCGAGCTTTAGCGAGAGCAGCAATAAGAATGATTTGGTTGTTCCTTTTTCCTCGATGACGCCGACGTTGCGCTCGTCGTCATCATCTGACGACGACGAGGAGGGTGAATTCGAGACACCAATAATAGAGACGGTGGTGAAACGACCGACGGCGAGGAAAGAGAAGACAACCGAAAGAGGCGGCGGCGCTGGGAAGATATCGCTCTTCCAAGCGTTTCGGAGTCCGGAGGCGAAGAGAGCGTTTGCGACGACGACGCCATCGCGAACAGCGACGTCGGCGGCGAAACCGATGGTAGGAGCAAAAGTTGCTTCTCCGGCTTCGCGTCCCGACGAGAGCATGGCTTCTCCTTCTCCTTCTCCTTCTCCTTCTCCTCTTCCTTCTTCTTCCTTTTCTCTTCCGGCGCCGGCGCCATCCTCGTCCACGAAAAATAAACCCAACAACAACATGCGATTAAAAGGGAAAACGTACGAAGACAAGCAGTTTTCCTTAGACCATTCCGTGGCGATGAAACTCTACGATCACCAACGCGACGCGGTTCGTTGGCTGTGGGATTTGCAGTTGAAAAACAGAGGAGGGATCTTAGCCGACGATATGGGTTTGGGTAAAACGATGTCTTCCGCGGCGTTCATCGCGGGCAGTCTGAAGTCGAAAACGATAAAACGCGCGTTAATATTAGCTCCGACGACGTTATTACCACATTGGAGGAAAGAGTTTATCGTGTGCGGCTTGAACGAGAAGCGGGAGATTTTCTCGTATACCGGGACGAAAGAGCAACGCGCGAAGGTTTTGAAGAAAGTCCAGTCGCGAGAAGGCGAAGGGTCAGTGCTTTTGTGCACGTACGGGATGTTGTCGCACAACCCAGAGGAGTTTGGGATTGTGCTTGAGAACGATGAAGGAACGAATTATCGTCAAATTGAAGACATCGAACGAAGAGAAGGTCGTGGTTTCGAAGTCAGCGCGAAAAGCTACAGCGGCGACGGCGTTCGATTCGGATGGGTCGTCATGGACGAAGGCCATCAGATGAAGAATCCAAACACTAAAATCGCGCAATTCGTGAGACGGTTACCGTGCGATTTGCGGTTGGTGGTTTCTGGAACGCCGATTCAGAACCATTTAGGAGAGTTATGGGCGCTTTATGATTTAGCTGCGCCGGGTTTATTAGGAAGCGAGGAGCAATTCAGAAAAAATTTCGCGAGAAAAATAACCTCTGGTCGGTCTCGCGATGCGAGCGAGTCAGAAAGACACGAGGCGAGGGAGTTATCGAAAATGTTGCGGAAGATGTGCGCACCGTATTTCTTGAGACGCGAGAAGGAGGGTGTTTTGAGAGATGGCGAACCTAATAAGGAGAAGAAAGATGGAGTCGAGAAAGACAAGGAGAAGAACGAAACGGTATCAGAGGCGGCTGCGAGGGCCGGGAATATAACAAAATGGGCGTCCACTCATAACGCCCCGAAGAAATTGGGTAAAAAGAACGATCTCGTCGCGTGGATTCCACTCTCAAAAGCGCAGAAAACGTTATACGAAGCCTTCCTGAAATCGCCGACGATCCAAAAAGTGTTGAATAAAACTGGATCTGCTTTAGCGGCGCTTTCCGCGTTGAAGAAGATATGCGACGATCCGTATTTGGCGTTTCGAGAACTCGAGAGTGTTAACGCGGACGAACGAGAAGAACCGAACGAGGATACTCGCTCCATCAATACCACCGACGCTTTGCGCGAAGTTGCTTCTTCCATCGGCCTCGACGTCGATCAACTTCGCGAGAATCCACTTCTCTTCTCCGCCAAGTTGAAGCGCCTACACGCGCTCCTCTCTGAATTTAAAAAGAACGGGAAGAAAGTCTTGGTCTTTTCCCAATCCCGATACGCTTTGGATCGATGCGAAGTTATCGCGAGGAAGATCTTCGACGTTGACAATCAAGTCACTCGCATCGATGGTAACGTTTCCGCGAACGTGCGCCACGATCGCGTCACCGCGTTTCAAGAAAGCGGCAGCCCGAACCAGTTGATGCTGTTAACCACGCGTGTAGGAGGCTTAGGTATTACGTTGACCGCGGCAACGAGAGTGATCATTTTCGATCCAAGTTGGAACCCGACGACCGATAACCAATCCGTCGATCGTGCGTACAGAATTGGCCAAACGGAAAACGTCGTCGTGTACCGCATGATTACGGTTGGAACCGTCGAGGAGAAGACGTACCGCAAGCAAGTGTTCAAACAAGGTATCGCTAACGACGCGCAGAAAGGTGGGGGCAACGAGGACTTCAGTCCATCTAAAGAGAGTAATAACGAAGAAGAGGACGAGTTTAGATACTTCTCGACAGCGGAGACGGATGGGAACGTCATGTTTACATTCGATGTAAAAAATTCGGAAGTATCGAGCACAGCAAAAACGCTCAACAGTTTACACGCTCACCATCGAGAGTACGACGAACAATTGAAGCGAGAGCTGGAGTCCACGAAAGGGATGTTTGAAGTTTCCGATCACGATTTGCTGTTTTCGCAAGGTGACTCGACGACAGCGGGTAAAGGAGCAGCTAAAGTACCGGATTCAAAGTTAGGCGGCGGGAAGAAGAAAGGCTCGTCGAAGACCGGTAGCGGAGGAAGTGGCGGTGGCGGCATTCTCGGTAGTAAAGGAAACGCGAACAACGCGAATTGGGGCGGCGCTGGATTACTCTCCTCCTTGGCCGCCAAAGCTGATGCCGTCGCAGTCAACGTCAAACGACGAGGGAGCGACGCTGGAGAAGAGCGAGACGAAAAATCCGTCGCCGTCGCTCGCCTGCAAAAGTTACAGAAAGAGGAAACGCGAACGAACGAGTTGCTTTCCAACCAAATATTGTTATCGAGACTTCCCGATAACGGCGAGCGCGCGCAATTAAAGAAACAAGATTTAGAAAAGCAAATAGAAGATTTGACGCGATCCATAGAATCCTTGTAATTACTTCATCTTCTAGTAGATGAGAAAAACAAAAGCTACCTACTAACCATAAATACTACTACACGTTCCCTACGGACGAAGAAAACTCTTAAAACGCAGCCTTGATGACTTCCGCAACCTCTTCGCAACCTTGCATGGCCAACTCCTCCGCTTTCTTCAAATTGTTCGCGTTTCCCCACCTCCCAACCGATAAAATATTGGTCACTTTCTTCACCCTCGGCATGTACGCCACCGTCACCGCCCCCACCGCTTTCCTCGCCGACGACGTCTTCTTCCTACCACCGCTATTCTTACTACTCTTACTCTTCGCGTCGTTCGTATTAGTATAATCTTCAACTAACCGAACCTCCCCGTCCTCTTCGATAACTGCCGTGCACGCGCACAAAATATCCCTCACTTCCACCCTCGCGTGCATCAACGCTGAACTGGTCGCTAAAACTAACCCTCTTAACTCGTCCCCGTTTGCGTCCGCTATCGCGCATCTCACCTCCACCACCGCTTTCGGGAAGGATTCGAGGACAACTACCCCTCTTAAGCATTTCGTCAACTTTTCCGTCAAATCCATCTCGACATCTTTTATATTACGAGAAGACGACTCGAGCGACTTAAACGCAAACGAGGCCAGAGTCACGGAGACGTCCAGAGTGCCTCGTAACTTCGACACGCGTTCGTCTTGCGCTCTCGACGTGGTCTTTTTTGGACCGAACACGGAGACGAAAATCTTCGTCGTCGTTCGTCCATCGCCGAGCTGAATGAACGCGGAACCAGAACTGTTCGTGATTGGGTTTAAAGAGAGAAAGACGGAAGAATTATCGTCGTCGTCGTCGTTTATTTCCTCTTCTTCTTTAACTTCGTCTGATTTTAATGGTGGTGGCATCCTCGTTCGCCGTTTTTAAACGATGATTAGAATTTTACTTATAAGAATGAAGAATTTTACTTATATTTACACGCAAACACGCTACAGTAGTTCATCATCCTGTTGAAGGATGATTCAAAAATCCTCACTCATCGAGCGTGCCGTCGCAACTGGTCGCTGTTGACCTTTTCTCCGAACATGTTCGTCGCCATCGATGGTGAATGTGTTTCCTCTTTCTTTTTGTTATTGAACGCTTCTCGTTGTTTTTTCATCTCCCTTACGCTCCCGTCTTCAAACTTGGTTTTGATGTGATTGCTGAGAGAAGCACCACCCATGGCGATGAGGACTTCAGTTGGTATGTATCCAGGTTTCGGGCGTTCCATGGGTTTCGGGATTAAACGGTCTCGCTCCGGGATCGGGTTCGTGTAGTTGTTGACGTCGTGTCGAGGCGCTCGTAATTCGTCGTTTGCGTTTATCCCTCTTCTGTGTTGGTTGTAGACGTTTTCGGCTTCCGGCGAGCGGTTGGAGACGCGGCGTTCGTACTGGTCGCGAGGGTCCACGTAGTTTTTCAAAGCCTGCGTGCCTTTGAACTCGTACCCCATTTCGCGGCGACGCTGGCCTGGGGATTTGTAGGAGCCCCACGATTCGTTTCTGTCCCACTCGGGCTGGGATCCGCCCAGTCTCGAGGCCGAAGAAGAATTTTCATAGTAATCGACATCAGACGGGCGAGGAACGTGCGCTCGCGGATCGACGATGGGGATTTCCGGCGTCCAAGAATCGTACGCTTCTCTCGCGGCGCGTTTAGACGGCGAGGATGGTGGTCGAGTCGGATGGACCATGGGAGGCTCGTACCGTTCCACCGCTTTGCGTCGTTGTTGATATTGTTGTACAGGTTGTTGCTGTTGATAGCTTTGTTGTTGCTCGTTGCTGTTGATGATATATTCATCATGATGTTGTTGTTCGTAGTTCGTGACGACGTTTTGTTGAGTTTGTCTCGGTGGTGCATTACCACCATTCTTCTTCTTTTTAGTAGTACTCTTCTTCTTCCTCCGCTGCGCGTAATTCGCGTTGGCGCTCCTCGTACTCGCCCCTCCGAAATCGGCAAACGCGCTCGCCGCCACAAAGAACCCACTCATAACGCTCGCGAAAACCGCAAATCCGGACAGTATCACCCCAGCCGTCGTCATCCCCGTCGCTAACTGATACACTTGACTCAACATCGTGTACCTCGCGCTGTTCATGCTCGCCGCGGCGACGCACGCGCATATCGCCGTGAGCGGCACCGTCGTCTTGAGCGCCATGAAGCATAACTCGAACCAATCGCGAGCGGCGGCGGAAAACGAAGAAGGTAAAGAAGAAGAAGAAGGGGAAATCGCGATACCGCCGCCGTAAAAGTCAGGGTTTCCATCGTTTCGTCGTCCGCGTGTGTGTTGTTGTGGTTCGCGAGGCGTATTCTTGAAGAAAAAATCTTCCTCCTCGTTCCCCGTTGGTTGCCACCTACCGTTGCTCTGTGTCTCGGGTTTTCTTCCTCCGCGTGCATCGTTGCCCGGGAGTTCATCGTACGTCGGGTACTCTCTCGCAAACGCACGCGGTACACGCATACGTTTTTTCTTGTTCGTGTGCGTCGTATTCGCGTCTGTGTCCTTCGTTCTCCTTCGTCTCGTCACCGTCACGCGCGTTGGTCCTCCTCCTCCGGGGTTTCGTTCTCCATTGACTCCCCCGAGGAGAATTTTGCTCGTTTTCGTTGTCAACATTTTATATTATATCTCACAAAGTTTTAACGCGTATATATATACACGACCACTCAAAAAGAACGCCCAAAAGTCTCTGTCTCTGTCTGAATGAATGGACAAAAGTAGTAAAAGCGCTAAAAGCGTCTTCTTGGGATCACGCAGAGAGAGAGAGAGAGAGAGAGAGCTCAGCACACGCGGAGAAAAAGTCGCGTAAATCTTTGTCGTCTCTCTGTCGTGAAATGTTTTCTTTTTTTATTGCGACGCGAACGTTTTTTCTAACTTTTGTGTTCCCCTTTACTTTCCAGCTTTTTATTTAGGGTCTGACACCCTAAAACATTAGTCTCCACATCTGATGTTTTTTTCTCGTCTTTACTGTTCACACGTGTTGCGTGACGACGATGGAAATGTGTTGATGCGACGATAAACGACGATATAAACGACGATGGTGGAAGAAGAAGAAGAAGAAGAGTTTCTTTTTCTTCTTCCGAAAGATTTCGACCCGCGCGCGATGCCGACGTGGCTGCTCCCACCGCCGTCGGCGGAGATTCTCTTTCGCGGTCCACCGAATGTAGGAGTCTCGCGACAACACCAACGACAACCTTTGGTGTCGTCTGATTCTTCTCTCTCTTGGGAAACGTTCGTGTCTTGGCCGCCGCCGGAGAGGAGGAGAAAAAGGAGGGAGAGGGAGAGGAACAAAAACGAGAATTTGAGCGCGAACGCGTCTTCTGTCGTGTTCTTTAATAACAATAATACTAACGATGATGATGAAAATGAAAATGATGAAGAGGAAAGAGTAGAGTTTGCGTTGGACGAAAGGTGGGCGAAACGATTCGCGGAAACCGAATTGAAAAGACGAGAGCGAAGGAAAGCGAGAGAGAGAGAGAAGAGGGAAGAACAACCGGTGAGCGGGAGAGTAGAACGAGCGCGAGCGAAAGCAGAGGAGACCATGCGGACGTGGGAAGCGTTGGAATAGTTTCGTATGATAAAAGATAGTAATTGACGTAAAAAAATAGAATAAATAGTGTCTCCATCCAGACATCATCGATAAAGCACGTTTTGAATCTCTTCCTCCCCTCTTTTAATCTTCGTTTGTTTCTTCCTTCTTTTCTTCTTTCTTCTCCTCGGGCTTCTTTTCTTCTTCCGTCGGAGTGGCGGCGGCGGCGGCGACTTCGGGAACCGGTTTCGGTTTCGGCGGATTTTTCTTCGCCTCTTCCAAGCGTTTCTTTTCCGCATCTTCGGCTTCCTGTCTCATTTTAATCGCGTCCAACTGCTCTTGCGACATTGGTTTTTCCTTCTGCTCCTCCTTCTTTTCTTCGACGAGTTTTGACGCCGGAACCGCATCTGGCGCGACTTTTTCAACCTTCTTGACTGATTTCGCCCCGATGCCAAAGAAGCCTTTACCTTCTCCGGATTTGTTGGTTCGTTTATACGCGCGCCATCGCTTCAAGACGACCGACGCGGCGCTTCTTTCCGCCGCCAACGGCCAAATGTTCGACGGCATGTACCCTCGCCACGCACCGGAGTCCAAAAGTTCCTCGACTGATTTGTGTTTGTCCAAACCCAAATCGCCTTCGTGCGCTTCTTTGATTTGTTGCGCGCGAATGACGCCCATTCGTGCTTTTTTGATGTCCTCTTCGGTTTCGCCGACGTTGTCGACGTACATTGGTCGTTTTAGAGCAATTTGTAACAACTCTCTCGAGCGCATCGTTTGCAAGATGGTAATCACCGGGATCGGGACCAACCAGATTCGGTATTCCTCCGAGCCGTACCCCAACGTGGGCATGCCTAAAATCAACACGATTTGCGCGAAGAACAACGTGAAGATCATTTGACGCACGAGCCAGGCCCACATGGCGATGTCGCCCATATACTTTTGCAAATAGCTGTACACGTACATGTGCTTACCGAAAATGTACATGGTGTAGAAGAAGACGAACGCAAACGGTAAGATAATTGGTGCGATGACGCAATAAATCATCGAAATGAAGAAAATCATCATCGCTTGCGGCGGGACGAGCATCATCGGCGTCGCCTTCGGTGTCGCCCATTCAACTTTCTTCTTCTTTGGAGGCCATTGTAAAGAACGAACGCGGTACATGATAGATTTCACAATGTAACCACCAATAGAACCGATGTTCAACAACTCCATGATCGTGGACGTGGCCGTTCTCATGATTATAAACTTGATGAAGTAGGTGGACGTGGCAATCATTTGTCTCGTAAACGTGTACGCGAACAAGTGAGGTTGCTGCAACCAATCTTCCAAATCGAGCCACAGCTCTCTTTCGGACATGTTCCCAACGACCAAATTGACGATGACGATATAAAAATACGTCGAGGCGCCAAAGGAGTCCATCAAAGAGTACGAGGTCAAACCCGTCATGCGACTGGTAATCGACGCAATCATACCGGCGACAGCAATCAAGACGGAAAGCAACACCGCAATCATGATGGAATACAAGGTTTCCCCGTACTCTACGCCGACATATTTCACGATTTCATCCTTGTAATCGTTGAACAATTTTGTCGCGTACGAGACTGGGAACATGAAGAAGATGGTGATGAAAATGGTAAAGAACCGAATTTGGTTCGTTTTCCAATCTCTCACCGGTTTCGAGCTCGCGACGTTGTGCCATACCAAATCGGACGGACCAGGCGCTTGCATCGTTTGCCATTGGCCAAACTGGTCGTCAATCTGTACGGAACCCATGACCAAAGCATCTTTTTGATCTTTGAAAACAACCACGGCCCCGGCGGCAGGTTCGATGGAGTTGATTTCCTTTTCGCGAACGGCGTTGAACTTCTGGAAGAACTTTGCCTCTTTCTTGACGTACTTCGTGTAACCTTTCGTCGCTTGCTTCAATTCGAATCGCAAAATACGGGCACTTCGAGAAGAACCTTCGAAAGACTTCGGGTCGACCTGTTTTTGTTTCGTTAATTCGTTGTACGCTTTCGTGTACTGAATCATGTAGTCCTGCACCGCTCTCCACCTGCGCGCGACGGCGTCCAACTTTCGCGTATCCGAGGCCAGCATTTTAAAAGCAATCTTGTCTGGGCCGACAATGCGTTCGACTTTCGAGGTTAAGATAGAATCAGTTTCCCAACGCATCAACGCTCGAACGCGTCCGTCGTTGGCAAATACGACATCCGCAGCGGATTCTACGCCGCCTTCGTCGCCGCCTTTGTGACCTTTCTCCATGGCGCTACCAACCCTCTCCATGGCGCTACCAATTAAACCTTTCGAATGTTCCTCGTCTTGCGCGAACTCCGCGCCCATCTTCTGTTGCACTTGCGCGAGATTCGCCAAACCTTTGAATCGCCCATAGATCGACGTCGTCTCTTCCTCCTCCTTTAATTCCTTCCCGAGTTTGTCTTGCATCGCGGCAATCTTTTTCATTTGTGCGTCGCTCATTTCCGTCGTCGGGAACGGCGAGGTGGTGTATCTCGGAATATCCGTGATGACCACGGCGTGCGATTTGATGCCAATCTCTTCCGGTTTCAAGTTCCACATCAAACGCGCAAACTTGACGCACTCGCGTTCGATGAGTTTCACCAAAACGACCGATAATAAAACCATCTCGGCGACGACTAATTGCCACGTCAAGTGACTCTTCGCCGACGCCATAGAGATTTGACGCACGTTTCCATTCAAAGCGGCGTCGATGGTCGCTTCCGTGCCGCTCGTGGCTTCGTCACTGTCCACGAAATAAAAGTACACCAAAACCGGCGTGCAAAACACAGAGGCGAACAAAAAGAAAATGGAGCACATGCGAAACCATCTCAAAACCATGTATTCGTCCAAAGTCATGTGCGAGCGTAAATACGGCATGTCCATTCGTACCGCGTGCCACAACCACGCCAAACCTAACATTCCAGTAGGCGCTGGCGGTAAATCTGGATATATGGAATAATCCGGGTTCGTTCGATCCAAATGCGCGCACGGATCGACCACTGATTTCAGCCAAGGTCTCCCGCGCAAGAATAAGAAGATCATAAACGCGAACCAAAACACGATGACCAACGCACCGACGTACTTCGCCGCGTCTATCCCGCTCAAACTTTCTTGGCAATTACCGCCGTCCGCGCACTTGTATTGAAACACGCACGCGACGCCGGTACCGACCGTCCCGATACCTTCTTGCGAATACGCGCCGGAATACCCAGTGGCGTAGTACCCTTGCCCGTTATTACAGTGGAAACATACCATTAAACTCACATCTGGACACCCTTGTAACGTCATTCTTTCCGCGGTTCCCGTGGTGTTCGTATACCCGGCGAACGTCGCCGAACCCCCGGTACTAATCGCCACCGTCGGCATCGTGCTCGTTGAATACAACGTTTTCACCGTGTTATCCCCGCCAAACATGGAAGAATCTTGAAACGCGCAATTCATGCATCCAACCGGGCAAGGACACGATGTCTCCACGCCGCCGTCGTTAAACGCGAGCTGGACGGTGGCCCAAGCTCCGCTCGAGAGAAATTCGCTCGTCTCTTCACTCGCTTGGACGAATACATTAATTCCACCCCCAAAATTGGTGTTACTACTCGTCGTCGTCAAAGGCGCGTCGTTGAACAGGCACGACGAGAACGCCAGAAAACAAAGAAGCGCGAATCGGGAAATCATCGTTGGAATCGTCTCGTTTATATTCTCTCTCTCTTCTCTCTTCTCAGGACGAGTAAATAAATAATTAATAAATACTGTACCGGGTAGGGCAAAAGATTTTTTCTGAAGGATTGGACAACGAACAAAATTACAAAAATATCTTCTTCTTCTAAATAACTACACTACGATTAATGAACTCTCTCTCTGTGTGTGTTTCTGATAAAGACTTTAACGATACAAGGCAAAAGACTAACCTCTCCGCTTGCTCAATCGCCAGGCGTCTTTTTCGTTGAATCTATCGAAGAGAGGTTCTAACTTTTCCATGCGTTTGCGCTTGCTCATGATTCTGGCGTCCGCTTGTTTGAAAAATCTCGGAGCGAGTTCGACGAGCCATTTCGGGTCGATGGCGACGCATTCACGCATGTACTCTTTGGACGTCAGGACGAGTTCGTGGTAAACGACCCAATCTGGTTGGCGTTGAAATAAAGAGGAGGAGGGGTGGATGTATGTTGGGGTGTTTTCGACCAAGGTTTTGAAGCCTTCTTGCGGATCTTTTTTGGCGGCGTGGAAGAAGAAACCGGAAGTGATGGCGCGACGGATGCGGTTGAAGTTGCGACCGGCCGAGGTGACTTCTAAGCGGTAGCGATCCATAATTGTCAACAGTTGTTTCCGAACGTCTTGCGCACGACGCAAAGAGCGCGCTTGAAGGTAGTTTTCAAAACACCACGGCGAGGAGAAGTTGTTCGCTTTCCACGCTTCGTAGACGGTGAGCAACGTGAGATGGTCGCCTTCCGGTTGGAAGAATTTCGCTTTTTTCTGATCGGCTGGGCCTTGCTTTTCTTTCGGACGGTAGAAGATGTTTTGCGCGGAAAGCATGGCAACGATGGTGAGAATTTCCTCGGCGCACCCGAGATCGACCGATGCGATGAGCATTTTTGACATTGGCGGTTCGAGCGGAAACTCTGCCATTTTACGACCTAAACGGGTGAGTAATCCTTCCTCGTCTAACGCGTTCAAGTTGTATAACTGCTCGAGTGCTGTGACTAAGGTTTGCGCCGGTGGCGGGTCCATGAAATCGAATCCACCCGGTCCTAAATCGTTGATACCCATTGCTTTCAAAGTTAAACACGTCATCCCCAGGTTCGTTCTTTGAATTTCCGGTACCGAGGTTGGTAACATTTCGTTCTTAAAAGCAGCTTCGGTGTATAATCGGAAACATTTCCCTGGACCAGTACGCCCAGCTCGTCCCGCGCGTTGTCTCGCGGACGCTTGCGAGATTGGCGCGACGATCAAGGAATCCATGCCAACTTTCGGGTTGTACACCTTTTGCTTTGCGAAACCTGGATCGATGACATAGTAAATGCCGTCGATCGTCAACGACGCTTCTGCGATGTTCGTTGCGACGACGCACTTGCGACTTCCTGGCGGTGCCGGCTCAAATATTTTCGTTTGCATTTCAGACGGTAAGGAGGAGTACACTGGTAAGATGTGCAAATCTGGAACGGACGGGCCTAAAGCCTTGACGCGTTCAAAGAGGATTCCGCATCCTGTGTCAATTTCCTCTTGACCGGTTAAGAAGAGCAAAATGTCACCTTCAGGTTCGGTCAAGTGAATTTGCATGACAGTAATCAACGCCGCGTCTAAATAATCGCTTTCTGGAGCTTTTGTATACATCACTTCGACAGGAAAGGTTCTCCCCGGGATGGTAAAAATTGGGCACTCGAAGAAATACGTGGAAAATTTTTCCGCGTCCAAGGTTGCAGAGGTGACGATGATGCGTAAATCTTTCCTCTTGGCGCAACATTTCTTCAACAAACCGAACAAAACGTCCGTATGGATCGTTCTTTCATGCGCTTCATCTAGCATAATGACAGAATATTGCGACATCTTGTCGTCCAACAACGCTTCTCTTAAAAGCATACCATCAGTCATGTATTTAATAACCGTATCTTCACTCGTGCAATCTTCAAAACGAATGGCGTAGCCAACTTCTTCGCCAACTAAACAGCCAACTTCGTCGGCGACTCTCTTAGCAACGGACATGGCCGCAACTCTTCTCGGCTGCGTGCACCCAATTCGACCTTTGGTCGTGTACCCGCTCTCCGCTAAATACTGCGTCATTTGCGTCGTTTTTCCCGACCCAGTTTCACCAATGACGACCAAGATTTGGTTTTCGTTCACGGCTTTGATCAACTCTTCACGCAATTTGAAAATCGGCAACGATTGTCGCTGTTCGAGAATGGACCCTTTTTGTGCGAAACCAAACTGCGGGGCTTTCCCGACAGATTGCTTCTTCCATTCCGGCATATCCTCCGCAAGTACGTTTTGTCCTCGAACGTCTGCGACGAGTTTTCGATCGTCCTGAGCCGCCATTGGATCTAACCACGCTTGATTGAGATTTTCCGGAACATCCTCGTCCATCGCGGCTCTTTTTTGTGTCTCTTTCATCTCTCTCCGTTCTTTCGCCAAAGCGCCTTGTGTCATCGCCGCTCTTTGCATAGATCCGTCTGGATTCTTCACGATTTTGATCGGGGAAACGTCGCCTAAAGCCGCATCAGTTTGACCGGCAAGAAACGGGGCTTCTTCGTCGTTCATTTCGATATCGAATTCCTCCTCCGCTTCCTCTTCATACGCCAACACTCCGTCGTTTTCCGGGTCAAAGTTCGGGTAATCTTCGACTTTCAAAACGCCGCTCGCGATCAATTGTCTCGCCTCCCATAACTCAGGAGAAGACATGCGCTTAATCGGGCGACGTCGATTTAACCCGTTCTTATCGTCCACCATGCGTCCGTCGGCCGCAAAATCTTCCTCGGTTTGCTTGATCCCAGATAAGCCTTTCACCGTATTCATATTCGAACCTTTCGCGCCGGCGCCAAATCTAGGCACAATCGGATTACTACTACTATCGTCAATACTACTTCCAGCGGCACCGCCGCGCGGTGGCGCTGGATTCGATCTCGGTGGCGGTGGTGGAAGATTGTTCGCGTAACTCGTCTCTTCCTCTCCAGTCTCTTGATTCACGTCCGACATGGACAAAGCTATCCTATTGTTCGTCAGCGATAACACTTTCACATACACCGGGTTACCTCTCTGCACGACATCTCTCGCGGAATTTCCGTTCGATACTCTTGGTAATTTGGAAACGTGCGCTAAACCTTCCGTTTTATTCACAAACTCGACTAATTCCACGAACGCTCCAAAATCCATCACGTTCGTCACGCTACCTCTGTATACCTTCCCGACTTCCGGTTTGCCTTGAATCGTCCGTTTTGCCGGTTCTGATGTTGACTTTCTTTTCTTCTGTCCAAACGCGGAATCATCGTATCCTCTTCCCGAACTCGACGCGTTTTTGTTCTCGTCTAATCGCCCGGGATTCATTTTATCCAACCTCGGATCGTCGCACGCGTTTTCAATCGGGTTCCTGTCGCCGTACAACTCGCGCGACAACATCTTCGCGTGTTCTTCCGCATCCGGTCGGTGTAAACCCGGAAATGGATTCTCCTTCGTCGGTTTTTCTACGATAACTTTCTTCTTTTCTCCTCCTCTCGCACCTCCGCCACCTTTATTCGCTAACCGTTCAATCGTCCCGACTAACTCGTTCGCGAACGGTTCCGGCAACTCCGCCCCGTTCTTTTGCAATTCATTAAAAAACGTTTTCGGATCAAACTTCGACGCCTTGGCAATATCCACGATAAACTCCGCCAACGTCTTATCGTTCACGCCGAGGTTCTTATCCAGTTCTTTGGTGACTTTATTGATGAGCGAGAGGTGTTGGAGCTTTTGCATCGCCGACGTGACGTTGTTTTTCGGCTCTAAAGACGGCGCCATTTTCGCTTCTTCGATGCGATTCTCTTCTCTTCTCTTTTATGTTTGTGTGCGTGGGCAGGACAAGAATACTCGCACAGAGAAGACAACGCGCGGGAGCGTGCGCGTGCTTTATGACGCAACGCGCGTCGTTGTGCCTTTTTTCGTCGCGCGCGGCGCGTTTCTTCTTCAACGTGTTATTACGACTGCGCTTGTTGAAAACGGAAGGTAATGGTGTTTTTTAGTGAAGCGATTGCCATGATTTGCGCTCTTCTTTTTCAAAAAATACTACTACTTTCTCTCTCCGCGTCGCATCAATACTCGTACTCGTCGAAAACGTCCGCGAGATCTACGTGCGCGTCCTCACCGTGCTCGTTGTACCACTGCTGGAGCAATCTCTCGCCTTTCTCGTTCGCTTCGTCCCAGTCGATGTCGACGTCGTGTCGCGGAAAGCTTCCGTTTTTCTTTCTTCTTCTCGGTATATCTTTGCGAGAGAAGAGTTTGACTTTGTATTTTTTCTTCTTGTTGCTGATGTTGATTGTTTTTCTTGGGGTGGCTATGTAGAGGAGATCAAAGTATACGCTTGGTTTTTCTGGGATTGTTTTTCTTTTCGGTATATCTTCTTCTTCTTCTTCTTCTTCTCGATTGGCGTCCCTGTGAATTAATCGTGTAAGATATGATCGCTAGAAACCTTGGTCAGTATTTTTATCACGAGCGAAAGGAAACACGAACAGATGATGGTTTCGGGTAAAACATAGGCCACAACGCGAAGGCTGTTCGCGCTAGCACGAGTCGAAAGATATCTTTATCAATCGCAGGCGCGCGGATGTCGAGCGCTCCCGAAGAAGGAGAATAATCTTGATAAACGTCGCACCGTCTCTTTTGAAACTCTTTGTCCAACATGAGCGAATTTTGAATCAAGGGTTCCCAAATGTCGCTTCGCGTGATGATTCCGATTAACTTTCCCGGGTGCGCGTAATCTTCGCCTTCCTCGACCACCGGCAGACGGTGGATCTTATGCTTTAGCATCAATCCCGCGGCGGCGGAGATATACGCCTTCGGCCCTACGGTTAAAGGCATCGATGTCATCGCGTCTGCAACCGTGCGAATATGTCTCTGTTCTTCGCCGAAGGAAATGTACGACAATCGTTTAACGTCGTTCCTCGATATGACCCCGACCAGGTTTCCGTCCTCATCGACCACCGGCCCGCCGTGATATCTCTTGATAAAGCTTTTCACTTTCACGTCCGTCAACTTCAAACTCTCGCACAACGTCTCTGGATCCTTCGTCATGAATTCCTCCACTCGACTGTACGGCCACGAAATCGCGGCTTCGTCGCTCATGTCTGGGTCTTCTGCTTTTGATGCAGACATCGATCGGCCGCCGTCGAGGTGGAGTTTGCCGATCTCTTTTTCTCCACCTTCGAACGTCGTTTCGTTGTCCGAGGAGGAGGAAAAAACTTTAAACGCGCGCTGCCCACGCGACTGAAAACGACGACGAACGAACTTTTGAACGTCGCGCGAAATGAACGAGGCAGATGGTATCGTGAGAATGGAGAACATTTTGCGTGTTGCAGTTATTGATGTTACGACGTGGCGCGCTTAATCTTTCAAGAGATGTGACGAGTATTTTTTTATAGATACAAAGATATTTCCTTCCTCTTGGATTGAACTAAAATTACAAATCGAGCAAGCTGCGCGTGACTTTCGCGGCCCCGGCAGCGCTATTGGTGGGATTGCTATTGGTGGTGGTGGTACTATTTGTGGTGGAGAATAAATCGTTCAATTGCTGATGGTGAGTAGTCGCGGCGGTGTTCCCGGAGGAAGACAGTAAACATTTCACGATTTCCTGGCGACGGACGAGCGAAAAGGTCGAGGCGTCTGCTTTCGAAAACCAGGCGTTTGCAAAGGCGCGACAGACGCTTTCGAGTCGGGTTGACGATGAAGGAGAGTTTCTGCCGACGTAGTTGGTTAAGAACGCGAGAGTGTACGTCGCCGACGCGTACGCAGTTTTCTCCAACGACTGGCGCAAGACGTTTTCGAGGCGTTGCTTTCTCGCCGCTTCGTCCATATACTCTTCATCTCGGAAACATCCCGTAAAGAGAGAGCCGTCGCCAAAGAGCGGTTCGGGTAAAGCGTGGAAGAATTCCAATAACGCAAGCGCGAGTTCCACCACCGAAGAGGATGGTTTCGATGAGGACATCACGGACAAAGCGGTGAAATCGTCCAACAAGGAAGAGGAAGAGGAGGAATGCATGTCGTTGAACGCGCTCTGGGAGACTCCGCACAGACGCAAACAGTTATTCACGGCATTCATCCTTTCCTTTTCGCTGCTTTTCTGCGTAAACAAATCATTCTTCGATATCGAACCAAACGCAAAGAGCGAGTCGATCAGTGTAGAGATGACTGACGGAACATCCGGTGGAAATACGCTCGGAGGTAAGGAGCGCAAAGGCGCGCCGAAAATCGGATTTTGCGCATACACACCCGTGAGTGCAATGTACGCGTCTTGACAATGTTCGGCGCGGATTACTAGAACGGCGTCGAGCGAATTCGATGCGCCTACAGAACGAATAGTTCCTGCTCCACCAACAAACGCAGAGATGTCTACAAACACGGACGTTTCAGCAGAAACGGTTGCTTTCGCTGGCGTAATATCGCGCACCCATTTTGGCGCGTCGTCTTCGGTATCGTTGACGAGGTCGTCGTAACTTCCCCCGCGGCCGTGAAATCCAAGAGTAAAGGACACCGCGTTCCCGTGATTGTTTCGTGGGAATTTGAACTGAATCCTCCTCGTCACTCGCTCGCAATAATGCACCTCGCCAAAATCACACATGGTGCCGCTTTCCAAAACTACCTTCGTCGCGTGCGCTCTGTTCGTCTCTTCGGCATCTAACTTCCGCTGTAAATCTGTCAGCATTCGCTCTAAACGACCGTTATAATCGACCGTACGACACTTCAACTCAAACGTAGCAGATACTGGTTTGTGGTCTGAGTGGTAAATCTCGTCGTGGTCTCTGTATCCCAACAGATGTAAATCGTCGCCTTTCCATAAAACTCGATCGCACCACGCCGGCGCGCGCTTCTTTTTCTCTTCCTTATCGTCTGCTTTGGTGCTATTGCTTTCACCGTCGTCAAATTCGTCGTTGAAATCGTTCTCGTAATCGGATTCGTTGTTGTTTATGTTGTCTTTTGACGATGACGTAGCAGCGCGTCCGATGCCGGAATACCGCGACGTCCCGGGTTTAAATTTATACGTCATAGGGAACTCAATAGAACCTTCTCGATAGCCTGGGAGCACATTCCCGCTTTGCATTTCGTTTAATAACTGATCGTGCTTCAAGAGTGGAATATAATTGCTCGCGCTCGCACGAAACGATGACGCGTTCAATTCGGCTTCGTTCGATTTTAAGCGAACGTGTTCTAACACGTCATCTTTCGGAGCGTTTAAGCGATAGTTCAGATCGCCAAAGAATATCGAGACCGTCGCGTCGTGTATAGTTCTCGTTCGCGAGGGCTTTTCCCATCGAATACTATTCGAAGAACGAAAATCTCTTTCATCCTCTCCTTGTTCGTCTTCGTCCGGAGCGAACACGCACTTTTGCAAAATTTCCGCCGCGTCCGCATTCCTTCTCTTTGCGTCTTCCTCTTTAGACCCCGCCGCTAAATGCGCGCATACGAACGCAATCGTCGTATCTCGTATCTTTATCAAAGCGCAACACCCACCTTTATTCCCTAACTTTACGTTCATAGATCCCGTCCCGAATCCCAAAGAAAATCCAGTCGCGACTTTCGTCGCGATTGGTCTCTCTCGTATAGAACCTTTTCGAATCAACTCCTCGCGAACAAATATCGTCAAATACACCCCAACTAACTGCACGGACGTTATTTTCACGTATCCTCCCCCTACCCCATTTCTAGCGCTAACACTATTCAAACATCTCAAAATCTTCTCGTCCCACATCCGCGCGTCTCGCTCCACGTCTTGCACTTTCAATACTTTCTGCACTTGCAACGGCACAATCTCTTGAAACCCAACCGCGTAGACGTCAACCACGGCATCATCATCACCGTCGTCATTCATCAACCAGTCTCGAATGTCCAACTTTTCGTTTGGTTTCTTCCCGTTCGCGTTGAACGTATTCGCTCGTATTCGCGCCGTTTCTGCGACCGAAGAGTACACGGAAACGTCTCGCTGAAAAAACAGATTTCGTAACCGAACGTCGTTCGGTTTGTTCATCCGCGCGAACGCGACGTCCTCGGATATCGGATGATGGTTTCTTGCAGAAGCAGATTTTTCAGCGTTATTATTCTCCTCGGTTGTTCGGTCGCGGTTCGAAGGTTGCGCGTCGGCTAAAGAAGGACGACGACGCACACTTCGACGTGCGCGCGCATCGTCATCATCGTTTTCATCGTTACAGTGCACGTCGTCGTCGTCGAAAGTTTCCCAAGAAGAACACGAATTTTGTGGAGAAGAAGACGACGCGAAAGCTCCTCCTCCTCTGGACGACGACGATGGAAATTCCACCTTCCGTAACGACGACGACTTTGACGACGAGTTCATCCTCCTCTCTCTCGCTCTCTCATTGGGGAGTCTTCAAAGGCAGTCCTCGGTGAGATTCATTTTTCTTTCGAACTTTTTCTTTTAGGGTTTCGCCGGAGAAAAGTTTTAGGGTTTTTTTTGAAAACCCAAAAGCTTTTTCTCTTCTTCTTGACGTGACACCCAAGGAATACCAGAACGACTACATTATTCAGAGCACACACAAAGGATGAGCGCGGTATGATGATGTCGTTTTCGTCTTTTAATCGTCTGAACAATAATCGTCGTTTTCAAATCTCTCTTTCGTTGCAAAATCTCTCGTATTCTCTCTCTCTCTCTCTCTCTCTCTCTCTCTCTCTCTCTCTCTCTCTCTCTCTGACAAATTGTTGTCTCTTCTTCTTCTCTAATAAACTTCTTCTTTTGAAATCTCAGATATTCGAGAACTACAAAGTGGAGTTTTATTCGTTGCAAACGGCGTTGGAAACAGCGATCTCTTCTTTGTCTTTGTCTTCGATCGATGATGAGGAGGATCACGTGATAGGGGGGCTCGCGCAAACTCTAAAAGCTGCTTCGACAGAAACGAACGACGAAGGAGAAATTGAGGACTCGTTGGCGGAGATGGAACAACTCGTGAGGAGAATGGATTTAGAAGCGCGAAGCGTGGGCGGGAACGACGCGAAACAGATGAAAATTTTGAGAGATTGTAAAGCGAAAGCGCAAGAGTTGAAAGCGGACGCGCGAGAGGCGAAAGAGCGAAGGGCGCAGACGGAATCGAGAGCGCAGTTGTTCGCGTCTTCGAGGGGCGGTGGTGGTGGAGGCACGGGACCGGCGATGTTGAGCAGTAGTAATAGCGGCGGGGAACAAGATAGAAGACGAGAACAAAACTCGGCGTTGGATTCGATGATGAAGAACACGGCGCGGATCGAACAAACGGGCGAACGCATACGGGAATCGAAAGGGAGATTAATTGAGACGGAGGATTTGGGTGCGGCGATCTTACAGGATTTGCACAGGCAAAGAGAGACTATTGTAGAATCGAGGGAGAGTTTGAGAGGCGCGGACGATACGTTGAGCACGTCGAGGAAGATTTTGCAAACGATGAGTCGAAGAGCACAGCAAAATAAGCTTTTGTTTTACGGAGTCGTGACTGTGTTGGTTATCACGATACTCACGGTTGCATACAAGAAACTGAACGGTTAATGTTGATTTTGATACGAGTGCGTTATATATACGATACGAGCGAGAGATGTAGAGGTTGTGTACAGTTTAGAATCTATTTTTTCGTGGACCTTTATATCATCTTTTAGATTGAAAAATTGTCTCTCTGTTTGTCTCTCTTCTCTCTCGCTATACTACTACCGTCTTATTGACTTCTATGTTTCCAATCTGATGATGTATTATATTGGTCGCGATGGATGGTGTATTGCTTGCATGTTGTTGTTGATGATGATGATGATGTTGTTGTTTTGCTAAAAAAAATCGATGACGTTGTTTGTTCTTCTCTCCTTCCTCCTCTTTCCTTCTCTTTCCTCCTCTCTCTCTCTCTCTCTCTCTCTCTCTCTCTCTCTCTCTCTCTCTCTTTCTCTCCCCACCCTTCTTACGTACCGTTACGTTTCGATGATGAAAAAGCGAGTATTATTGTTCACCTTCGGTATTAGTACCGTTAATGTTATTTTCCATCGTCCCGTCGTTTCCTTCGTCTCCCGTCTCCTCACCTTCTCCGTTCGTCGATTGTTGTTGCGAGGACGTTTGCTGCGCCGACGCCGTGGCAATCGTCGGAAACTCCTGCGAGTTCCCGTTGAAAAACCCAAACCCAGAGTTATGTCTGAACCCGTTCCCTCGTCCGTTATTTGGAACGTCCGCATCGGACAACACTTTCGCCTGCTCTGGCTTGTGCACGCCACATCGAAAGCACTGCGGCTTGCTCGCGTACACGTTCCCGCACCCGTTCGGACACAACCAATCTCCGGCTCGCGGAGCGTTTCTATGATGGTGGTGGTGCATACCATTGTTCGCATTATTATAACCACCACCGTTGTGATGATGACTCGCTTGCCCGTTGCTATATTGTCTCCCACCTCCTCCGATGTTGTTGTTGCTCCCGAACCCGTTGCTCCCGAATCCGCTCGACCCGCTGTTCGAGGACGTTTCCCCGCCGTATTGTCGGTTATTATACCCGCCCGCTCCACTCGTTCTTTGTTCTTCGCCGTTGCTAAATCCCCCTCCGTTGGCACCGTTGCTCTCTTGTAACGAAGACGCTTGGATTTCCTAATGTTTTGTAGAGTAAAGTAGAAGTGAGGAGAGAAAAAAAAAGGTTCGTCAGTTTTCGTCTACTAAAATTTTTCTCTCTCGGGAGTTGTGTTCTTCGACACCAAAAACGTATCTTAAAACCAAGAGTGAGAAGGATAAGGAAAACTCATCGAGACGCTCCCGCGACGAACGCATAGATGTAAAGGTAGTAAACGTACCGACCCGGGAGGCTTCAACACTCCACACCTGAAACAGTTCGTCTTGCTGGAAAACACCAACCCGCAACTGTTCGGGCACATCCAATCCCCGACTCGAGCTCTCGGGGAAAACTGTGTTCCTCTTTGTACGTTCCCGAACGGATGATGATGCGGATGATGCATGAATCGCGATTGTGGGTAGTGCATCTGATGATTAAAGTGTTGAGGATACGGCTGTTGGAAGTATTGGTGGTGCATTTGCGGCATCGCGTTGAAGAAACCGTTGTTATTGTTGTTGTTGTTGTTCTCCTGTTGTTGTTGATCAACCGCCCCGCCCGAAGGAGGCGTTTGCGCAGACGACGACGACGGATGGAAGCTCAACTCCTCCATATCTTTGTTTTCTTCTTGTGTGGGGTCTCCCCAGAAAAAACAAAGCGACGTTTGAAAGTGTAGAGGCAGAGAGACAAAGAGGCATATAACGTTTATTATATTATTTCTGGTTCTGCCTTTTTTTCAGAGAATCACGTGTTAAAAAGCGGCCGCAAAAAATGAAAAAAAGAAGAAGATATTTATTGAGAAACGAGGGGAAGAATGAGGAGGCGGAACATTTGCCTCATACCTGGCTCACACCCCCTCTCTTATAGTACACATCACAACGATCAAAAGGAGTAGATACTATATATATAAAGTTCGAACAACAAATCGCGCGATATATATTTCTCCCCATAGATTGATATAAGAAGGGCAGACGAATCGAGTTCGCGTTCTTGAAACACGGAACGGAATTCGATTCGTATCATTGTAGTAAAAATTTGTTTGAAAAGAAGCGCTTTTACACGTGGTTGTGGAACCGAAAAGTGCCCGTTTGATTTTCTAATCATCCTAAACTTAACGAGAGAGGAAGGAAGACATGCCCTCGACGCGATCATCCCGCGCAGCGATCAAGGACACGACGGACGCGGTGAAACCTACCGATCTTGAAGGAAGAGCCAATGCGAATACTGTAATCGCGGTGGAAAAGAAAGGAAATCATCGCTCGTCGCAACGATCGACGAAAGCGTCGTCGTTGGTGAAAAAAGAGGTGCCGCCGGCGGCAGATATTTTATCAAACGAAGGAAGAGGAAAACAACAACTGATGATGCGCCATCAGTCGCAACAAAAATCAAACTCTGGCTCCAACGAGAACAATAACAACACCCATACGCACACGAATAACGATAACACCGATAACAACAATAACATCAACGACGTGAACGTCAACCGAGAAGGAGGACAAAAGAAGGAAAAGTTATCGGTGATGTTAATCGAAGACGACGTTCCGACGCTGTTGGAGGTGCAATCTATGCTTTTGCGAGCGGGCGCGACGGAGGTGCACACGGCGTCGAGCGGGAAGAAAGCGCTGGAGTTTTTAGATCGAGATTCGAAGAAGGATATCGATTTGATTTTCGCGGATATCATGATGCCAGAGGTGAAGATTGACGAGGTGAAGCGGGTTTTGAAAAAGAACGAGAAGTTGAAGGAAGTGCCGGTGATTGTCATGAGCACGGTGGCGCAGTACGATTCGAACAACGATTCCGGGCGGAGAGAAGGTGGCGGAAGCGGGAACGGCAGCGGGAACGACTTAGTGAACGAATACGGTGGGAGTTTAGAAATGGCGGCAACGACGACGAGGTCTTCCAAACGCTTAAAGACGAATGATAACACTCCTCAAGGAAAAACAAACTCAAACGAAGTTTTACAAAAGCCGTTGTCCTTTCGAAGAGTTGAAAACGTGGTGTATTCGCACAAACGCTTGTTGCGTTCGCACAATTCTTCGTCTTCTGAAGCCGAAAAGCAGCAGCAGCAGCAACAGCAGCAGCAACAACAACAGCAGCAGGAAGAAAACGATGCGACAGAAGTCGATCCCGCGAAGACTCTCGCCAATCCAAACGGGGAGGTAAAAGCTGACGGGGGAGAAACGAAAGAAGGTTCCGCCGGCGGTTCGGGAGGCGGATCCGGAAACGGTTCCGGTGGCTCCGGTCCAACTACCGTCAAGTTGATTAACAACGAATCTTCGGAAGAAGATTTACGCAAGAAATCGAGCGATGGTGTGAACAACGCCACCGGGGCTGCAGTCGCGCCGACGACCACCGCCTCGGACGAGAAGACCAAGACGAAAGATGACGCCGGCGGCGTGACCACCGCTCTTCCATTAAACGACGTCGGGGGACTCGCAAAGAACAATTTGCAACACAAACAAGTCGATGGGAACAGCAGTCCGCCGTTAGACGCGGACGTTTTGAAAGTGCGACGAGCGGCGGCTACGGCTGGGAACGAGCGACGACGAAACGACGAAAAGCGTTGGAGAAACAATCGAACGCACACGCGCGACGACGGCGACGGTTCAGACGAAGGTTCGGGTGCTGGTGGACGAAATCGCTCGAGAAGCTTTTCCGCGGAGGACGACAAGACCGAATCTGATTTGAAACCACCGACGGTGACGAGAAAGAAACGTTCGTTGCGCGGCTCCTCCGCCGGCGCCAAGAAAGTCTCCGGCGGTTCTGGTTCCGACGAAGCCGGTTTAGAAGGCAAACTCGCAACGATTGATGGCGCGACGAAAGTAACCACCGCTGGTGCTAAAGCTGCCGAAGGTAAAGACCATCCAGGTTTAGCCGTCCAGCTTATGAACGAACACGACGGCCCGACTGCGCTTTTGCAACTCGCGCTCGCCGGTTCCGCCATGGATTCGAACGCCTCCTTACGTAGATCACAGTCGCGCTCGGCGTTTCATGGGATTATCGAAAAGACGCAACAGAAGATGCAAACTCAGTTTCAGAAAGTCGCGGCGGCAAAAGGTAAGACAACAACGTCGGCGCAAAAGAAAGGAAACGGCACACCGACGAGAGCCGCCAAGACAACCGCGGGTGGTAAGAACGACAAGATGATGATGACGATGAATAATAATAATAATAATAATAATAACAACAACTTTGGTAACGTCGGATTAACCATGTCCGCACCGACTGGGTCAATCGAAACAGAAGAAATGCGCAAGGCGAGAGAGTTGCATTCGATGCAGCAACATCATCAAAACGCGTTGTATTTGTTTCACACGCAACAGCAAATGGCTGCGCAGCAGCAGCATCTCATGCGCCAAATGTCGAACTCGCCCGGTGTACCCGGCGCCGCTCCTGGACAGTTTCCGAACCTCGCTGCACACATGGGAGTAATGGGTGCGATGCCGCCGATGCAACCGTTTGGGTTCCCTCCGCCGCACGGTCAGCACAATCCGTTTATGATGTTCCCGATGCAATCGTTTCCGCCGCAAAGCGAATACGTGAATAATTTTTTCCAAGGTTTAGCGAGCACCGTAGCAACGCAACATCCGCATCATCAAATGCACAACCACATGCAAAATATGAATATGAGTCATAACATGGGTGGTGCGAATGGTGCGGGGAATAATACTGCTACCGGTACAAACAACGGAGGAAGAACGAACAAGAAGGATAGTAACAATAACAACAACAACGTGTCGACGTGCGCGGACCGTCGGGCGCAAGCGATTGCGAGATTTTTGAAGAAGCGCAGAGAGCGAAAGTTCGAAAAGAAGGTTAGGTACGAGAGTCGTCAGAAGTTGGCCGAGTCTAGGCCGAGAGTCAGAGGACAGTTTGTAAAGTTGGACAAATCTTTGAGCAAAGAGCAACAGCAAGAAGTGATTGAAAAGATGAGACGCGAGGGCGAAAAGAAAGCTGGCGCGAAACCGACATCAACCGCGACTGTTGCCGCCGGTGGTGTTGCCGATAAAAGCGCAAGCAAAAAGCAATCCTCCGACGAAAAAGGCGGTTCGAACGACAAAAGTAAAAGCTCTTCGAAAGAGTTGAACACGACGTCCGACGACGACGACGGTTCCGGCGGCTCTCTCAATAATCTCACCTCCTCGGACGAGAAAGGATCCCGAGGACGATCGAGCAACGAAAGCAAAGATGGTATGGACAACGACATCAATAACATCAATAACTCATCGGAGAAAGGTTCAGACGGTCACGACGGAAGCACGGAAAGAAGAGAGACGCCTTCTGTGTAAAACTTTTTAAAAAAACAATAAAAACCAGCGAAGCGAGAGACATTTTTTCACATAAAAACAATATTATAATTTACTAATAAGATTATTCAGTGTACTACAATTACATATATACTAATACATGAGACTATTATGCTCTATTATGCTCCTTCTCTTGTTTTGTTCTATTTCATACTACTCGTTCGCGTTTAATCGACCGTTCGCAATCAGTACGATTCGTCCCTCTCGATTGCTCTCCCGTTTGCTCTCGAAAACCAACTGCGCTCCGCAACAGTGACACTCGTGCTCTACGATCGAGCCTCTTCCCTCCCCTTTCTCTTCGTTATCAAAAAAAGTATACACTTCCTCGTCGCATCCTGGGCACAAACCTTTCATCGCGACTTTCCTTGCTCGCGTTTGGCCGACTCGCTTCGAGCTCGTGTTGGTTATAAACATTCCCGCGAGCGCGCCGACGACTCGCGCGAGAGAGATCTCTTTACGACCGTTATTATGATCGTCCAAAATACCCAAAAATGAAGAACTAAACACAGAAACGCCAAGGAATGTAATCATAAAGTACAAATTGACCAAAGCTTTCGTCATCGATGGATCTTCTTCAAACTTTCGTTCTCTTCTTTGTTTTTTCTTTTCCTCCTTTACAGTTCCGAGAGGAGGAACAAAAAAATCATAATCTTTTTCCTCGTCGTCGTTTCCAATCATCGCTCTTCTTCTTAGCTGCTCTCTCGGTCGCTGAAACTTCTTTTTTAGTTGATGATAATTCTGCTGCGTCCTCCTTGTTTTTCGATGCCGATGATGATGACGACACAAAAACGCTCCTGAAGGTGTCGATGATGCAACAAAAAACATTTTATATAACAAACAGTCTTGCAGAAAATGAAGAAAAAAAGGACAAGAAAAACAAGAAGGAAAAGACAGACACATTCCTCAAAATTCATACGCGCAAAAGAACTGCGAATAAAGAAACAATATAAAACGCGAACGATGAAACTGGTCAAGTTTCTCCAAAAGTTAAACAACGAAACGGTGACGATCGAATTAAAAAACGGGACCACGTGTTCGGGGACTATTTTAGGTGCGCTTTGCGAAAGTTAGAATACGCGTGCATTTCGATTCAAATTTTGATGTGTGTGTCTCATCACAACTTGCAGCCGCTTTGAAAGATCTTCTTCTTTCTCTTTTGTCTTCTTCTTCCTCGTGGTAGTTAAACAACAAACCCGCTGACCTTCTTTTCTTTACTCACGCATTCATCGAAACAACAACAAAAACAACTTTAAAAACAGGCGTAGACATTAGCATGAACACGCACTTAAAATCAGTCAAGCTCACCGTCAAAGGCCGGAACCCGCAAACGCTCGACCATCTCTCCATTCGAGGGAACACCATTCGGTATTACATTTTACCGGAATCGTTAAATTTAGACGCTCTGCTCGTCGAAGACATGCCGACGAACAAAAGTTTAAATCGATTGCCGAAAGAAGACGGAAGTGGAGGAGGTGCAGGTGCTGGTGCTGGTGCAGGGAGAGGACGAGGACGGGGACGAGGACGAGGGAGGAAATGAACATTGGATAGTAGCGCGATAGTAGAGAGATTTAGTTTCACACACATGTTGTTGAATGTAGTCATTGTTTTAGAGCTCACACTTATTTATATATATTAATCGCACACACACAATAAAAATGAACAAAACGCGATGCGAAATCGCGCTCGACCTTTCCTTGCGCGCGGTAGAGCACGATCTCGACGGCGACGACGCTTTGGCGTGCAAACTGTACAAAGACGCGTCGCGAGCTTTGGAAGATGCCATCGCCCACGCGAGGAATGGGGAGACATCTTCGATGGAGGAAAACGACATCGAGCAGATGCAGAGGAAAGTGAAGGAGTACAGAGAAAGAGCGGAGACGTTGAGTAATCGTAGTAAAGGAGGAGGAGGAGGTGAGGATGATGATACGAAAACGAACATCGTCGCCGGTGCCGCAGCAGCCGGGGCGATGATTGGATTTGCGACGATGGGCCCTTTCGGTGCGATAGGCTGGGCGTCTTCGATGGCGTACGCGTCGACGAGAAAAAAAGGAATCGCATCGAGCGTATCAAAAATAAGCGGCTCCGCGGTGATTAACACGATGGAACGAGCGAAATCGCTCAACCGGAGGTATAAAATCGACGAGAAAGTGAAAGAGAACGGGAAGATTGCGTTGGAGAAAGCGAAACAGTTGGACGAGAAATATAAAGTTCGCGAGAATATGAAAACGCAAGGGGAGAGACTCGGGAAGATGCTGGAGGAGAAGTTTTTGAGCAACAAAGAGAGCGTGTCAAAATTACCGGAGACGCCAGGGAAGCGTCGGTAGTAGTACTAGTATGAATAGTATGTTGTATTTATAGCTATAACATTTTCTAATCTAACTCTCGTCGAACCTCATTCTCTCCCTCTTCCGATTGCATCACGTACTCTAAACATTTCAAACTACCGTCCGTACCCGCCTCTCGGCACAAACGAATGACTTGCTCTCTGTCCCACTTCGTCTTCGGCACCTCTCTTAACCAACGCAAACAGTCCAAATGTCCCAGTCTCGCGGCGTATTCGCAGTGTTGCGGCCAAAAATCCGTCGTCTCGCACACCTCTTTTTCTAATATCCACTCTAACGCGTCCAACCGACCTTTAGTGAGTGCCGCCCCGACTAAAACTTCCTCGAAGAGACAGTCGTCGTCCCATTGACATCCTCTCTGCAAGAGAAAATCGATGGCGTTCAAGTGCAAGTTTCGACACGCGCGCGCGAGCGCTCTCGGCGACCATCTCCCAATTTTCACAATGTCCCTCTCTTCCAAAAACTCTAACACGTTCACTCTTCCGTTCTGTGCGGCTGCAATAGAAGCGAAATCGTTAATCGGACACCCTTTCTCTAGTAACCATTTCAATAATTCGACGTGTCCAAACTCGCACGCTTTTTGCGTCGTTCGCCAATCCCACTCGCACAAATCCTTCTCTACGACTAAATATCGAATCACGTCGATATTTCCAAATCTCGCCGCAAACGTCGCGAATCTCGTGCGGTCGATCGGACATCCGCATTCGATGGCGTATTCAATCAAATTGATCGAAGACGCGAACTCGGACGGTTTGAATTTATGATTTTGCGTCGTTGACAACGCTACCGACGACGACGATTCAGGGGAAGAAGAAGTTAAAGAAGACGAATTTCTATCCACAAACTGTTGGACGCAACGGCTGCATCTTCGCAACAATAGCAGAGAAGTCGGGTCGATTTTCGAGAGAACGTGTTCACGTGTCACCTCTGGGTAGGATTTGATCAGTTGTTCGAGCATTTTATGACGACATTAAAGAGTCGACGACGAGAGACGGAAAAACAACAACAAGCAAGGGAGGAAAAAATGGCGAAAATGCTCCATTTTTCCAATTCACAACGAACAACTTTTCTTTTTGACGACCGGACGATGAAAGCGACCGGGACGTCTTCAGGCGACGAAGAACAAGAAGAGGAAGAAGCAGACCAAGAGAGCTCTCTAACGGTTGGTGTTCGGATTAATAATAATACTAACAACGCGAGAACGAAGAAGAAGCAACAACAACAATCTCAATCTCAATCAGTTCGAGCAGGAAGCGGAGACGAATGGAACGACAGCGCTTTGGTGAACGCGTATAACGTCGCGATTAAGAGCTATCGCAATAAAAAGAGTCTCACGACGAGTGTTAAACCCGAAGGCAAGAAAGGAGGAGGAGAGTATTTGGCGGCACCAAATGCAGATGAAAGCCAACAAGAAGACGAAGAGAAGAAGTTAAAGAAAGAAAAGAAAAAGAAGACAAAGAAGACGAAGGAAGACGAAGAAGAGGTTTACCGAGAACAACAACAACACGACGGACGACGCGGTTATTACGAGCAGGAGGAGGGTGAAAACGAGCATCATCATCGCGCGAATCATGGCGAGTATTATTACTTTCAACAGCCGCCGCGCTATCCTCACTATCCTCCTCCTCGTTCGCCGTCTGATTACTACGCGTATCCTCAACAATATTCTCCTCCTCCTCCTCCTCCTCCTCCTCCTCCTCCTCAACAACAACACGTTCCTTATTATTATCCTCCTCCTCCTGGACAGTACTATTCGAATCCGTACGACTACGCGTCGTATACCAACGACCCCGCCGCAAAAGATGAAAAGTCGTCCAGAACGAGGAGCGGCGACGAAAGGAAAACGAACGACGCGAACGGTTCAAATCTATTCCATCCTCCGGATATGCGAGACTCGGCGTTACGAGCGGCTGGAAACGATGAAGAGTTGGCAAATTTGTTGTTAGCGTGGTATTATGCCGGGTATTACACCGGTCAGTTTCGAACGAACAGAAGAGCACCGTCTGTTAGGGAATCAAAGAAAGAGGATGGTGGTGGTAAAAGCGCAAAAGGCACTTCTTCGAGCGAAGAGGACGACTTTTAGAACGTTATTATTATTAACAATATATTAGATAGATGTTAGATATTATTAGATAATGAATAAATATGATTAATTTAGCAGTGACTCGTCCCGTGAGTTACTGAGCACCATCACCGCCGGTGGCCGCCGCCTCCGCTTTCTTCGCCTTTGCCTTTTCCCTCTTCTTCGCGTTCCTCTTTTGCGACTTGGTTCTCGTGTCCTCGCCCATCTGCGGCGGTCTGTTCGGGTTCGTGTTGTTGCTACTAGATTCCTGCGGTTGAACTGGTTTCGGATTCGGCGCCGGAGGTGTAGGAGCCGCTTTTTCCGCCGGTTTCGCCGCCGGTGTCGGTGTCGGTTTCGGTGTCGGTGTCGGTTTCGGCGTCGGTTTCGGTTTCGGCGTCTCGACGACTTCTTTCTTGGACGTTTGAGCTGCTGCTGCTGCTGCTGCAGGTTTTTCTTCTTGTTCAATCACTTTCTTCGGTTCCTCTTTCTTTTCCGCCGGTTTCGCCGCCGGGGCTTTCGCTGCCGCTGAAACAGCGGCGGGTTTCGTCCTTTCTTCTGGTTTGGAAGGTCCGCAGCCCATGAGTGACGCTAACTTTGTGAATATTGATGTGGATTGGTTTTCTTCTGATGAGGACGAAATGTTGTCTCTCGTCTGTTCTTTTCAATTGATCGATCGGTGTTTTCGAAAGAGGACTTTGAGAAGACGGTCTGTTTCTCTTCTTCTGCTAAAAGTCTGAACGTGAGTGATTCGAACTCGCGCTTGCGTGCGTTTATGCGTGCGTATAAAACGGTGGTGTCCGAACGTCTGTCTGTCTGTCTGTGCGGTAGTATCGCGCGTGCAGATGTAGGAGTGTCGAAAAATTCAAAGAGGGGTCACAGGTCTCAGGAAACCCCTCGAGGAAAACTTTCCTCGATTTTTTCACGAAGCAGTTCAATGAAAATGAAGCACCCCATTTTGTCAAAAGCGACCTTTGGTGAATTTAATTGGCTGTCGTTGTTGTTATAGTAACCATACACACAACGTACCACCACATGAAGGGGGCAGAGATACACACACACACACACACACACACACACACACACACACACACACACACGCGTGACGATCGAGTCTTCTCGAAAACTCCAAGAACAGCGAGATACAGATTCGTGTGTTGGGTTTTAAGACGTCCAAGGAGATACTTCCAAGGAGATATAATCAGGGCACACATCAAGTGGTGATCGAACCGGTACACTTAAAATTTAGAGACGAAATGGTGATCGAACCGGTACACATAATATTTAGAGACGAGCAGTTGGCTTTTATCGAAGAGCGGGCGACCCGGCTTGAGGCACGAGACCACGTGATGAAGGTATTAAATAAACATGCGGAGATTTCTGTTGGGGAAGAACAAGAAGAGGAAGAAGAAGAAGAAGAAGAAGAAGAAGAAGAAGAAGAAGAAGAAGAAGAAGAAGAAGAAGGAGTTGATGAAGAACGGGAGTGGAAGGAAGAGGATTTCTTTTGGGATAACGAACTCGCTCTCGCCTCCTTCGCGAGTCATACGAATGATTGCTCAAACGGCGGTCGTGATCAAATTCAGTGGCGGTCACAATCGAGCGATTTCGCGAACGAAGGAATGACCAATAATATGAAGAGAATGGTGAGGTCGAGCCAAGATCGAGAAGAGGATAAGAAGAGCCATTTGTTGCGAGGACAAGAGCGAGCTTCTGTCGAGACTATTCGTAAAGTCGATGATTGTAAAACAGACGAATGTTTGGCTTTGAATTCTATTCGTTCGAAGATTTGTCAGTTTCATTCGAAAGCGCAATCAACGAGACACGAAAATTCAAGAATTCGGAAAACAGGAACTAAAATTGAACCGATTTCATTTAGGAAGGAATTCGTTAGTAACACTTTTGATGTGACAAAAAACGCAATCTTTGAAGATTTGACAGAAGAGAGTGAACAAAAAAGTCGCAGAAAAGATACTGTTAATTCGATATACAGTACCGAGAAAATGTCTGCTTTGCTGCTCGCGCGGCACTCGCGCAGGCAGAATCTCATATCAATGCCAAGGAGGGAAGTTATGATTCCCACAATTGCGGAAATTAAGATTCAGAATCGACAACCACATGAACTGGGCGCTTCCGTTGGAGAGGGCATTCGAAAGTTTTTTTCCGATAAAAATGGCCAACCGCCGGCTTCAATAATGATCACCGCCGAACCGGGTTGCACGAAATTGAACGTAGAAACGTTCATTGCGCCAAATACGCACTTAAGAGAAAGGCGATCTTATGGAAATGAGCAGGCTACTTCTTCACGAAAATTAGGGAAATATGCTTTTGAATCTGGAGATGCGGCGTTGGGTGACGTTGATGTCGATATTAAATTTGATCAAATGAGAACAAAGAGAGTCAATGGAATCTGGATGGAAGAACCGGATATTCAAAGCGAAACGGGAGGTGAATTTTTTGAATTGAATTTGAGCAAGCACGCGATATGCACTGATCCGCAGTATTCGCAAAGTGGTAAAGGTGAATTCACCATGTCAAATGTGCCAAAAAAGGCCGAAGTTATCGTACGTGTGAATGGTCAGGTATTGCGCGAAGCTAAAATTACATGTTTTGGTGAGCACAGAAGCTCAAATTCAAGTTTTCTGCATATAAGCATTCCGCTCGATTATGCTGAAGGTTCTTTAAGTATAAGCGTCTCATGGGATGCTTCGCATCGTACAAGGATGGGGTTAGTATCTGATCCAGTCCTCGTCATGTTATCTCCAAACGCTGATCTCGTTCATGAGCTTCAATCAGCTTTGACCGAGGTGAACAGTTTGTCCAAGAATGTCTGTAACACTTTGAAGCGATATTTGAAAACGTGTTTCATTAAAGATCGTGACTTCCATTCTTACAGAAATCGAAATTTTTGTACACTTCAGAAAGATATGACACTATGGGCATTGAAGAACGGCTTTAAGAACGTTTCGAAGAGATTGCTAGAACCGCAAGTGTTCGCTTTGAAAGATGAATCATCGTTGTTGACCATAGACGAGGATTACAAAACGTACGTGTATGCAGCTACATTATCGGAGTCTATCGAAACAGTACGCGAAGTCATTTCTTTGGGAGGAGATGAGAGTTTATTCGGCACCGTTACTAGTGTTGGGAATTTAACAACGAAAGATACCGCTTTACACGTCGCAGCAATGCAAGGGAACGCAGAGTTGATATTGGACCTTCTATCAGTCGTTGATTCTATCGATTTATGGTATACTTTGAGAAATGATAACGACTTTACGCCAAAAGAATTGGCACATTTGGCTGCGCAGAGTTCTACATGTACCTCCCAAGTGCTATTACGAGTTCTTGACGCTCCGCTTCGAATCGCAGCAAATGCCGTTCACTTTTCTTATCTGGAGTTTAGATCTGAAATATCGCATGATAGGAACAGTGAGGATGATGAAACGGAAATGCAAAATGAAACGGAAATGCGAAATGAATTTGCATCAATAGATCATATCGAACAGGTCGAAATTCTCCGCGAAGAAGTTTACCCGCGCACTTTTGAACTTATCCTTGAAAGTTTCGATGCAACCGAGCAAGAAAATGACGAACAACTAAAAAAGAAGCAGCTTCAATATCTGGAAATTGCAAGTAAGATACTCGCAGACGAAGAGAACTTCTTGAGGCTTTTCTCGATAGTGCAAGCCAAAGAAAGGAGCGAAAAACTCGACGGTTCTTGCAGCACGAAAAAGGAAAAGAAATCTACTCAGTCCACAACCTCCGCATCAGAATTTAGTGCGAACGCGTTTTTTGAACAGGTTCAGTGTGGCGCAAAGTTAGGTCGTTTTAAGGCTGGATGTAAGTTGCGAAGATTTATAAACGACTATGTTGAAGGCAAGGCGATTTATGCCTTTAGCGATCCAGTGGTTGAAAAATCATTTCTTCTCGAATCTTCGTTCAACGAGCAAAAATTCGACGTTTGGAGAATCATGTTAATCTTTTCCATTTTCGTCGGAAGACATTTAATCGTGCTCGCTGAAAGCTCCGAATTTAAAGCCCTGTCCTGGTTCGTTTTAGGCGCTGCTTTTACATTACAAGCGATTATAATTTATGCTTTGGTGGTTTATTCGAAATTTTACGTGAGATACAGAGAATATATTATAATTCTGTTACAGTTCCTGTTTTCGCTGCTAGTGAATATTTCCGAAACTAAAACCGACAGAGCTTTGAGCTCAGTTTTACTCCATTTCACGGTTTTAACTATATGTTCGAGTAGGATAGAACGGCATTTGGTAACTCTGTTCTTGGCCAGCCGCCTTCTTTTTCGCGGAGTTCAGTTTAGCGCACTCGCACATACACATACGTCGAGCGTTCTCGACGTATGCTTGAACGGCTTCATCGATTTTCGGAACAGAATAGGACACGATAATTTTATCACGAGTCTATTGGTGCTTTTAAATTTCACAATTTATCTCCCATTGGAATTGAGATCGCGTCGCCAATTTGCTGCAAAATACGGCATCTTTTGGATGAAGAGAGAGTGGCAAGACGATTCCGTTGAAAGCGGAGATCAAATATACCTGAAGCAAATTCAGGAAGAAATCGATTCCCGAGGAAATGGAAACTGTTTTTCACACTTGTTTAAATATGTTTCTAATCAAACGAAAAAGTTTCAAGCGAAAGCATGCTTTGCTTTTCCGGATCCAAAACATGAACGCGAATTCATCCTCGATTCGGCAATTATGCATCGACCATATGACTGCGGATTATATGTCATTCTCTCATATTACGTTGTTGCCATGTTTTTGAAGCTATTCAACGAAGAGCAAGGTGGTTTCAAGGGGATTCAAGTTGCTCTTTTTACATCGTGTATTTACAACAAGGAAACGATGGATGATATAAACATCGCGGATGATCCTTATTTGAGTTCAACTACGGTCACGCCGATGTTTCTCTTAAAAACTTTCAGTTTGTTCGTACCAGCGATTTGCCTTAGCATTGGCATCTTCTTTCCTCGATTTTATTGTTTACATAGAGGACTTTTAGTCATGGCTATGCGAAACATATGTCCTTGGTCTGCGTACGTTAAATCGGATTATCCACAAATACTCAACTTGGTCATATATCGATCAAGCGCGTGCATATTGAACGTCAGATTGGAACGACATATTCTAAGTTTGTTCTTGAATCACGTCGTGCAACCGTATTTCATATCCAGATATATGGTCGAAACCGTAATCTCGAGTGGTCAATCTTGCAAAGGAAACAACATCATCTTACAGTCGTCCATTTTCAGTACGGAGTATCCTCTCGCTGCAAGTCTTCCTTTGGGATTATTATTCGGTTTCGCGCAAGTTTTGATCCCTTATCATCTCGAGCAAAGCCGACGGAGATTGTTCGCGTTGAAGAAACGAGAGCAAAAGGAGGCAGCGAAAAAAGTCATTTAGAAGTCATTTAGAGAGAGAAAGAGAGAAAAAGAGAGAGAGAGTTCTCGCGTTCGGCAGCGAATTCTTTCGTCTTAAACAGTTTCAACTTGTATATATATCAACTTGTATATTGTATTTGTACAACTTCATTAACATGCCTATACAGGTAAGGTTTCTATTTTTACTACTCTATTCTACTTTCTGCTGACCAACGGCGGAATTGGCGATTTGAGCACGGGCGGCGAAGAAAAGAGAGGGATTTCGTCTTTATCGGAATCTTCCTCTTCCGCATCGTCGAACTTGTTGTCCACTAAATGTTGATTCTTCTTATTCTTTTCCGTGGTGTTGAGCGTTCGCGTTTGTAAGGCGGCGGTAAACGTGGTTCTCATCATCGACGTCGATGACGTTTTTTCCATCATTTTGAGCAAAGATTCTTTGGACTTTAACTCGGATTGTAATCGCACGCACGTGGCTTCACTTATCTCCGCTCTTTCCTCTGCATCTCTGCGTTTGTTTCGCTCGATTTCTAAGCTGTTTTGAAACGAACGCGCGGCGTCGGCGTTTTGCGTGAGCAACTGTTGGATTTCCCATCGCAGCGCTTCTACTTCTTCTACTGATTGTTTTTCACTCTTTGTTTCCTCTTCTTTGTTTTCTTCTTTGTTTTCTTCTTCTTCTTCTACTTCGTCGTCGTCGTTATTCACGGCGACCAGACTCGACGAACTCTCTTCTTTATTGATCTTTTTCTTCTTTTTAGTATTACTGTTACTGTTCTTCTTGAGTAATCCTTCCTCGTCGTCCATCTGTTGTTGCCTCTCGATGCGTAATATCTTCTCTTGCAGAGACAAGTTCGACGGCGTCATTTTTCGTTCAACTTTTGACGACGACGACGACGGCGACGGACCTTGATCCGCGGAATCGTTTTCTCTCAAAGCCTCGGAAATCTTCGCGTTCGCTCTTTGCATGAACACCTTCGCGCTCCTCTCCGCCTCTTTCAACTTTTTGTTTGCCGTTTCCAACGCGTTCGTTCGTTCCAACGCTAATTTCTCCGCCTTGGCGCATCTCGCCTCTAACTCTTCCCGTTTTTCCTCGATCGAATCCACTCGCGTCCGCGCGTTCACGATGTCCAGTTTCGCTTGCGATTGCACCGCTTCCAGCATGTCGTCTTTCGCTTTCAGTTCTTGCTTTAATAAACGCACTTTCTGTTTCATTTTTACCACGAGAACATCTTCTTCTTCTTCTTCTTGGACGACTTCTTCTTCGACAAAATTGGGACGTTGTTGAAGAGGAGGAGATCCGCTCATGGAGAGAGAATCCGCGCGTTCAGTCACCGGGTGTTTGTTGTCTATGGTTACGTTCGACGATGAAAAGGAGTAGGAGGATCCTCCTTTTTGTTGTTTGTGACCTCCAAACATAATAAACTAATGAATATTTGTGTGTGTGTGTGTGTGTTTTCTGCTTTTGTGTCGAGAGTTTGAAATGTGGCGAATTCCAGTGGAAAAAAAAACGGGCTAAAATTCTACTACAATGTATTCTATATTACAACAAAACTATGACGGGAGAAGCTACTAATGCGTGATGTAATATGTAACAGTTTTGCACGCATCATCACTTTTGGGCGCGACTGAAGAACCCCCACTTGTTGTTGTTGTTGTTCACGGCATCTTTTCCTCTTTTTTTCTTATTACGTTCAATCAACCTTTTCATCTCCTCGTCCGAGGGTGGATCCGGCGCACTCGCCGGGTACACGACGTACATTCGGTTCCGAATGATTTCCTCTAAATTGCTCGGGTTCATGGCGAAAAAAACCGTCATCGCGATTGGAATGGAGAGGTAGACGGAGAATTTGAACGCTTCCAGGGAGAAGGATTTCGCCATGCTTGTGAGTTCGTTGTGTTGAATGGGCGAGTTGTTGATGAAAATCAAAGAAAAAAATAAAATTTAGGGTACGTTTACAATTTTTTTTTGTATTCTAAAATTTGTGTTAGTAAGCACATTCGACTCTGAATAGAGTTCAAATTAAGCGAATGGCCATGGGTTCGACCCCCATACGCGGTACACGCATTGTATTGCCTCGTTAGCTCAGTAGGTAGAGCGTTCGCCTTTTAAGCGTTTTTTTTGCATTAATGTGCATTCTATTACATTCTATTACGTTCTATTACGTTCTACTAATCATCACGACAGACATCCATACTCAAAACCATCTCGCAAAACGTTCTGTGCTTTCCTCGAAATTGCCGCAACGGCATTTGATCGAGCCCGTAGCACCGGTCGTCTTCGCCGCAGTTCGCGCACGTCGAATTCCATCCCCCGTCGCCAATCCACCACGGCGACCCACACGCTAAGCAAGGCATCTTTGGAAAATAATGTCCCGTAAGATTTCTGTTATTCGAGAAAACTTTCGTTTCGCCTTGTTGTTTGGTCGGTCGCAAAAACGCTTCGGGAACGCGAACGCCAATTTTGCCGCCGAGTGGCAATAATTTTTTCCCCTCTTTTTGTTCTTCTTTTTCTTCTACATCTTCTTTTGCTGATAGTTTATCCTGCGATAACAACGAAGAAGACGTTTTGTCTTTCAAAAACACTCGTTCTTTTTGTTGCATCAGTGCGACGCAACCGGCGCCGCCTCGACCTTCGGCGATGACGCCACATCGCTCCATGGTGTCTGGAACCGACTCCCAAACTTGTTGGCACGCGATGAAAAAGTTAGCTTCTTTCTTCTCGCAAAAATCGTCTCCATCAAAAGCGGTATCGTACTCGCACAAGCACGCGTCTAACATTTCGCGAAGCTTTTCGGCATCTTTGACGCCTTCAAAGACCAAATGATTCCTTCGATCGCCGCACAAACTAAAGCTTCGTCGAAACAACAACTGTTTTCGTTTTTGTTCATCATCGTCTTCGTCTGCGTCGTCTTTAAACCACGGCTTTTCGTTCACGGCATACACGCGAACGGGTTCCGAGTGTTTATGAAGCCACTGCAGAGGTGTTGTTAAGCGCGAGTTTACCCAAACGACGCCTTGTGAACGCAAGCTGGATGACAGCAACGTAGCGGTAGCGTTGATTTTATCTTTGTTGTTATTATCGTCATCATCCAAATCTAAATCTTCCGTGAACGAGACCTTCCCGTACTCTTTTCGGAGCATTAAGAACAACTTCCTGGAATCAAACGGTCGTCGCGCCAGGTACACGACCGGTGGCGGATCCTCTTCGTCCTCTTCTTCTTCTTCTACCTCTGCTATTTTTATTTCTCGCTCCTTGTTCCCGAGCGCCTCGGAGTACGTCTCCGTGCACTCCACGCAAACCTGCTCAATCTGTTTATCGTACTTGTTGTGTTCGAAAGTGATTTTAGAAACGAACAACTCGGCGTAGTTTTCCGACGCCTTTTCGGTTTCTAATATCCACTCGTCCACTCTGTTGCTCAACCCGTGAATCGTACTTCCAGAAGCGTCTCTCTCTCGCACCGCATCCGCGACTGCTTCGCCCAACTTTGCGCCTTCACCTTTAACGAGCACAGAGACGTCTTCGTTTCTAGAAGCACTCTCGACAAATATACGCTCAATTCTCTCCCTCTCTCGGACGTACTCTTCCCCTCTGGAAGAGAGCACGACGAACATTTTTACCGTTCCAATCGCTCCTTCCCGAATCTCCTCGCACGCCTTCGCAAACTCTCTAGAACTACTACTAGACGACGACGCGTCATCGTTGGTAGGAATCGGATTTATCAAAACAACGCTCATCACCGATTCCATTTTATCGTGTTGCATGAGCGCGTTCAAAACGATTAAACTCTCTTTACTCCCGAACGCAATCGAAATCGCTCGATCCTTCGCGTTGATTCTTTTCAACACGTTGTGCAACTGTTTGCTCGTTTTCTTCCTCCCGTCTACATCGTCTTCAATTTTGTTGTTGTTGTTAATGTTACTGCTGAAATCAATCGCGTGGACGCAGCTCGCGCACTTTGAACTCGCAAAAATGTGCCTCATCAGCGGATGAAACGTTTCCATCATTTTCTTCGTTCTCGTTTCGATGATGGTATCGTCATCATCATCATTATCGTCGCCGCCAACTTCTTTCGTCGTTGAAGAAAAAAGTGCATTTCGGTGAAACAAAAAAAGTAACGCCGACGGCGAGAACTGTGGCTTGTACCTCGTTCCTCTCGATATCGCGTGGACGATGATGGTATCACCAAAATCAATCTCAAGGCGACCACCACCAAAACGACCTTCTTTATGTCTTTCTTTATGTTTCCGACTCATTTGTGTTACATCATCACGACGATGCGTTTTCTACTCTCTAATAAGGGTGTCAAACTACTGTGAGGAAAAACAACAAAAATTCTGAAAAAAATCAGAACAAAAGCAAAAGGAAAAAAGTGAAATTTTAAGGCAAATTTTTTTCACTCTTTTCGCCCCAAGATTGATTGTAACACTATTCCTTCCTCTCAAAGTGTGCGTGTGAGCGTTTTTTATATCTTTCTCTGTCTCTTCTTCTCTCTTTATTGAAGCGTTTAAATAAAGCGCGAATATATATACGCACCACGTGACGGAGCTGCGATCTTTCTTCTCAGTCGTCGCGATCGAAAAGAGAGAGAGAGCGCGTTTTTGCAAGAACTTGGCGCCCGCGAAAAGAGCGACCACATCATCATCATCCAAATCATTATAGAGAAAAGGTCAGCCTCCTCTTTTCGTACTTCCAAATGATACCACCGACTGATACCGACGAAGAGAACAACGCAGACGTGGAAAGTCGACCACCGATGATGAACGACGACGACGATTCGGCGTCGGTGGCCTCGTCCACGACGTCGTCGAATTCTCCTTTATTAAACGCGGAACAAGAAATCTCTCGAATCTTGGCCAACCGACGAAACTATTACGGAGTGTTAAATCTCACGCCGCAGACGACTTCAAACGCGAGCGTGAAGAAATCGTACCATAAGATTGCACGAGTCATACACCCGGATAAGTGCAAGCACCCAGACGCGTCGGCGGCGATGAGCGTGGTGACGGCGGCGAATTCCACGTTGACTACGCCAAAGTTGAAACAGAGTTACGACTTGTATTACAACACGCAAGACGTTTCGGAAAACGCGAAATCGGGATCAAACTTTGACGAGTGGCACTCGAAATCTGGAGCAGCAGTTGCTGGGTTACCTCCGTGGTTAGTCAAAGCGTTATCGACGCCAGTTTTAGGCGCGTTCGTGATGCTTCTCATGATCTTATTTGGCTTAATCTTTGGCGCGGTGTTAATCGTCCTCTTCCTGGCGTACATGTGCGTCCACATGGTCTTCTGGGTCCTCTGTTGCTGCGGCTGCGGCGGCCACTGCTGGCCGCGATACGGCGAAGGCGCTCGCATACATGAAATTCGCCAGCGCAGATTCTTCGCCATGCTTCGCGATTACGAACAAGCGCAAATGTTCGCCGCGCAAAGAGGCGAAACGGACCCGGACCCTTCGGCGTTTTTCCAGCGGTGGAACGCGTTGCACCCGGAAGACTTGTCTTTTCCAGACGGGTACGATCGAGAGTTTAGCGGCAAAGGTAGTAGTAAAGGTGGATACGGAGCCACGGACGATTACGGCTCGTACGTTTAAAATTTAATACTGTTTTGTAGTGTAGTTTGTTGTGTGCTTGTAGAGTATTGATGTGTAATATTATTAGTATTGGGATGATGCATTTGAAATCTTTGTTTTTTCTCTATCCATCCACAGAAAAAACCACAGACTTAACGCACGAACGATGCTGCGCTTTTCTCAACGACGACGAGGGAGGACGTTTTGCGGGAGCGGCGGTTACGGTGGTGGTCCTTTGTTTTCTCTTTTATTTATCCTCCTAATATTTCTTCTCTTCTCGTTGAAGACTTTGATGCGTGTTGTCGACGCGCAACAACAACGCGAACCGGCGTCGCGAGAATCCATCGAGAAATTTTTCGAAGCATTCGACGAGGGAGAAGAAGAAGTAACGACGACGACTGATGACGGCGACGCGGGCGGTGAAGGGGACGGAGGAAAAGGAGGAGGAGGAGGGTTTCAGTCGTTTCAATCGCTGGAGAACTTGGTCAAGCTGGCGCAAAAAGTCGCGGACGAGTCGTCGGAATATTATTACGACGAGAAAGAAATGACCAGTCGAGCGAGCGATGGGAAAAGCGGTTCATTCGTGGACGTTTCCGACGACGATTTGGACGAGTTTGACTTCTCGGACGATTTCGAAAGCGAACGAGGACGAGGAGGAGGAGGAGGAGAGGAACGATTCGGGGAAGAGGAGGAGAAAAAATTGTTGTGGGAATCCATCAGTCAATCCGGGGTGATTACGAACGAGTGCGGGTACGGGGAATCGAAGGAGAACAGTTTGTGCTTTAAAATCGACGAGGCGAGCGGACGAAGCGATGGAGTGTCGAGGCAGGTAACGACGGTACCGGTGAACGTCATCGGCGGCGCGCTGGTTCGATTCGAAATTGCTATTGACACGTTGTCCTCAAACGATGGCGATGAATATGGAGGTAGCGGTACTAGAGAGTCAAGAAGTAGAGGTAATAGTAGGATTGTGTTAGAGGCGAAACCGTTGGGGAAGCCATGGAGAGTTTTAGAGAGTTACGACTCGGAAACGTACGCGATATCCGGAGCGTCTTCGGCGGATGATGAAACGATCAGCGAAAAGAACGTAAACGTGAACTCGTTGGCGAGTTTTGACGCTCGAGCGAACGAGTTTGGGTTCATCGGGTACAGAGTAGAAGTACCGAAGAGCGCGGAGTCGTCGGCAACCAAGTTTCGATGGAGACAGGTGAACGATAACTTGGAGGAGGAAGAGAATAGCACCAACGACAACAACAACAACAACAACAACAACATTAGAAATTGGGCCATCGACGATGTTATCATCGAGCGAATCGCCATCGCGCCGCACGCGCTGATTGCCGCCGTGAAAACGAAGCGAAAATCAAAGTCAAAGTTTTCGAGAGACGAACATTTGGATAACGTATATTTATCGATCAGTTTCTCGAAATCGGTGTATGGATTCGACGCGAACGGTTTAAAAGTTGGCAACGGAACCGTTTTAGCGCTTTCGCAAGCGAGGACGTTCACCGGTACCGATAGGTCGATATCGTCTTCGCACTTTGTGGCGACGGTGCAACCTATCGTACCCAACGACGGCGACTGGGTTGGTCCGTTTGCAGTTTCCATACAAATACCCGGTGGCGTGTGTACGAATGCGGACGGGAGAGCGAACGTGGCTTCGAATACGCTGAAATTAAGGCGCGTTTCCGCGGTGACGAACAAGTTAAAAGAGAAAATGCTAGAAGTAGTAGAAGAAGATGATGATGCTGAAGAGGGAGAAGAAGAAGACGTGACGTTATCCATCGGGGCGTTGAAAAAGAAACGTCGAACGAAAGAGTCACAGTTTGGCGATGAGAACGAGATCAAGAAAAAGCGAGTCTCGTTCGAGGAAATCACGCTCGGTCCTCGTCCGGGACCGAAAGATTCGAGATGGGCTGCCGTCGTCGCGGAAGAAACTGAACTGAACACATCAGCAACGTTCGATAAAACGTTTGTGGTCGTTTTAGACGATGATACGATGCATTTACATAACCCAGACTTGGCTAAAGATTCGAGTGCTTGGAAAGACGATCCGAGTAAAGTTGGCGAACGAGTCGAAATCGCGCAAGAAATTCACGGACGAATGAAACGCTCAAAACGGAAACCCAGTCGAGAAGCGTTCGATAAGATGGAAGATGAAATCGTGACTTTGAAGAAAGTGCAAGAGCGGGCATTAAGAAGATGGAAAGATGCCGATTCAGGTGGGTTCAATCGAGACGTTGGGAGTTATACGGATGCGAAAGAAAAGACGCAGCAATCTCTCTCGCCGTTTGCGAAAGAAATCAAAGAGGAAGAAATGATTGAGGATATGTTAGGGTTATCAAAAGACGCTAAAGGTGACGAAGAGTTAAAGAAAAAAGTGCGCACCGATAGCATCAACGAAGTGAACCTAAAAGATGAAGAAGATGATTACGACGACGATACGTTTGCGAGCGGGGAGATTTCTCCGGAGGAAGAGGAAGAGGAAGACACGACTCTGGCGGATTTGAAGAGAGATTTGGAAGAGAGCGAGCGGTTGCACAAAGAGTTGGCGAGCGAAGTAGAAAAGAGTCACAAAATGCGTGAAGAACTCGATTCGGAATTAGAAGAACTTCGAAGTCTCGAAAAGGAGAAGAAGAGGAAGAAATACGATAGCGATAGCGGCGGCGGCGGCAGTGATAGTGGTATTGAGGATGAAGATGGATTTTTGCAAGGCGAAGGACACTCAACGATTGATGGTCAAAGCGTAGAGTTTCGAGAAGAGAAGGAAGAACAAGATAATGATTTAGCGACTATCGAACGGCTTGCACACGAAATGAGCGACATGTTCGAGGAGGAAAAGGAAGTCGAGGAACTCGTGAAAAAGTCACGAGGCGACGAAGCGCCTGAGAAGGAAGAAGGCATGTCGCGCGATATAAACGCGGACGCTGAAGCAATCAAAGAAGAGGCACGAATCATTCGCGAAGAGCTCAAGGCGGAAAAGGAACTTCTGAATAAGGAAAGGGAGATGAAAGCAAAGTTTGACGAAGAGTTGCTCAAATTGAAAACGGCGCAAGAGGTTGAAGTGCTCGCGAGCGACGAGGATGACGATGATCTTGAGTAATTTTCGCGTTTATCGCGTATGAAGGGTGTCAATAAGCGAAAATCTGCTAAAGGCAGTTTTTCGGTGAGTACTCTTACAAGGCTAATCTACTGGTACCAGGTACCACTATCATATTCATTACTACTATTATTTAGTCAATTAAAAGTCCGCAAACCCACTGAAAGAGCTGCGAGAACTTCCATTCTGTTCGCTATCGTTTTCACCGTCGTTGTCTTGCACGAGCCAAAATTTCTCCCCTTTTTTGCCCAAGGAAAACTCGCTTTCACCGTCATTTTGACTGAAAACGTTATAGCTGTTCAAATATCCTTCTGGAAACATTTGCAAAGGTCTCAACGTGCCGTTTAGAACCGCATCCCAATCTAGATTATCAAACCAAGGATGTTCCATGATTTCGCCAATATCCGTTCCTCCCAAACGCTCGTCCTCGTCTCGGACAAAAATCTCACGCAATAACATTTCAGTTTTCGCGTCGAAATTCGCCGGTTTCGCAACCGCATCAAAGTTTGCGTTGACGATTAGATCATACATCTTTTCACGACTATCCTCTCGAAACGGAGGATACCCAGCAAGCATTTCAAATAGCAACACGCCAAATGCCCAGATATCCGAGGCATACGATCCACCTTGATGAAGCAATACTTCCGGTGAAAGATAATCAGGCGTGCCACAAATCGTAAACGCGCGTTCGCCACCGCTGAGTTTTTTCGCAAAGCCAAAATCGCAAATAGCGATGCTTCCATTCTCACGAATCAACAAATTTTCAGGTTTAATATCGCGATAGATGTATCCTTTTTCGTGGATAGATTCAAGACCTAACAAAACCTGCGAAGCGTATACTTTCGTTTGGCCAGTCGAAGGTAAACCAACTGCGTTGAATAATTCAAACATATCACCTTGGCATAACTCGATCGACAAGTACAAAGCTTTCGCATCTTGAAAAGCGGAATAAAACTGCGCGATGAAAGGTGCGCCCCGGAGAGAAAACAGGCAGTTCTTTTCTTCCACGACGTGACTCTCTTCGTTCACCGCGACGACATTTTTCTTGGGCATGACTTTGATCGCGCACCTACGGCCAGACACTTTGTGCGTCGCAGAAAAAACAAAACCAATCATTCCCTTGCCCACCATTGCACCGAGTTCAAAGTCGTTTATACTCTTAGATCGGGATAAAACGAGAGATGCAGCGACAGCGACTCTCTTATCGCGATACTTTTTGAAAAATAAGCTCTTCGTCGGAGCAAACTCGCTTTTCTTTGTTGGCGTCGGAGCTGCTCGTAAAATTTCCGACCCCCTCTTTTTATTACTAGCGCGAAACCGTTCCTTGAACTGAAAAGCTATTCGAGAGAACGTGGAAGAACGTTTATTCAATTTCCGCTCAACGGAACGTTCCACTTGCGCGTATACGATTTCGCTTTTACTTTGTATTGCGATGTCTCGCGCCAATTCTTCTCCTTCTTTTCCAATAATCACAGGTTGTTGCGTCCCTAAAGTCAACAACGAATCTTTCGTTCTTCCTCCTGGCACAGAAATCGCATCTCTATCAAACGTATTCGATATATCCGGGAACGAATCACTCGTCTGCGAATGTATTTCACTCATATCATCCGTTAATGATTCTGAGTCGGATGACGCTACCGTTGATGGCGTTACCGTTCCGCTTTCGTCATACAATAGCGATTGAGAACGACTATGTTTTTGCTGCTTGTCTTCGCGCGAGCCGTGCATCCGCGACACATCGATGGAAAACCGCTTCGGCGTTGAAGAAAGGGATATTTCCATGTCTGAAGAAGAATATGAAGGGGAATAGATACCCGATTCTTTCCGTTGACGCTGGCGTTCCTTTCTCCGTCTTTTCTTTGATGTACTGTTGTCGTGTTTCATTCGATACATGTTGATCCATCTGATGTAGGCGTCGTTGCACGCTTGAAGGCGATCCGCGTTGAAGCTGATGATGACCGAAAGAGCGCTCGTGGAGGAGCAAATTTCGTTCTTCTCGCCATGCTCGTCGTAGGTTGTTTCAAACCAAGAACCAGCTTCGATAGTTTTCGTTGCCGAGGGATCTTTAGTATTCACTAAAATCACCGTCCCGTCAATTACAAAGTGTAGAAGGGATTCTGTTTTTGAACCCGCGACAATCTCATCCAAATGACCACAAATCTCTAAATCTTTTGAAAACGTTCGCTTAAACTTCTTGAGTGCATATTTAGAGGCAAACTTCATGCGCTCAGTGTCGTTATCAAATGCTTCGCTTGTTTTCTGACACGACAAAAATATGCGCAACGCCACAGTCGCCGCAAGTTTTGTTACCGTTTTAATGGCACGTTCAAAATGCGACTTGTGAATCTTGATCACCTCGGCGCCTTCTTCGCTGTTGGCAACGAGCAAACGTGCGTTGACTTGAGGTTCAACCATGGCACCCTCGGCCCAAGTTGATCCTTCCTTTAGAACTGTTGTATTTTTCTCCTTTGTCGAGGGGGAAAATTTGCCTCCTTGATCGTCTGCGATGCGCATGTTGTCGTCATCCTCGTAACTCATCGCCGTTCCTTTGACTAGAACGACAAAGGATTCCTCGATATCCTTCGGTTTTGCTATTATTTGGTGTTTCTCGTACGTCCTACGTTCAATACCACTAATCAAAGCCTCCATCGCTAACGAGAAAAATCCGACGTGCGCAATCGACGCGTTCTTCTCGAAAGCCTTCTCCAAATGTTTTCGTTCAATATCAGTCAAAAGGGGCAACTTTATATTTTGCGTTTTGTCGTGATGTTGTTCCGTACTTTTCGATGATACTTCTTCTCCATTCTCCTTTTCTTGGACTTCAGAAACGCTCTTCTGCCGATTATATTCTTTCTGCTTTGTTTGAACACTCCCACTGTTTGCGCTGCCACTCGTACTCTGCCGAAGACTCAACTCGCTCCGATTGTTACGATTGATCGAAACGTGTCGTTCGCGCTGTAACACGCGGCGCGTGCTCATGGAGCGAGTGCTATATTGAGAAGACAATGATACAGAACTGTTATTCGAGGTCCCAGTGGACTGCGAGCTCGAAGACAAGCGCCGACGTTCTTTGGCGACGAGTTCCTCTTCGTCTTTTTCTACCACTGGTGTATCTTCTTCTTCTTCTTCTTCTTTCCCTCTTTCTTTTACCATCCCTGTCGTCTCTTCCTCCTTTGAAGACGTTTCCAATCTCAATTTCTTCCCATCGTCACTTTTCACAGCGCAACTTTCGTAAACAATGTACGCGAGCAAAGGTACCGTAAACGCAAACGCTCTCGCGCGAGTCCAAACAGTCTCCGGCGAGTTCTTCCAAAAATCTCGTATCCCCATCACGAACACGACGACGAAATACAAAAAGAACGCTCTGATGTGCTTCTTCGTTGAAAGCACGAACTTACCATCGGAAAGAAAAGTGAACGCGGCAGAGTTCGGCGCCAATCGATGGACGATGTCGGTCGCGCGCGATGAAACGCGACGATAAACACCTACTTCGTCCCTCTTTTGTCTGAATTCGTTTTCATCATCATTTTCATCCTCATCGTCATCACCAGCCGTTCTCTCTCCCTCATCGCTTCGAATACTCTCAGAATACGCAGCGGCGGTCAAAACATCGTCTATACTCTTTCTCTCCTTTTCATCGTCTAAAGATTTCATCGTCGTCGTCATCGTCTCAAAGCTTTGTTGGTGTTCAAAAACAAAAACAAATTCCGCAATTCAGTTCGCTCTCACGAGACTCCTAATTCCCCGACATATTCCTTCACTTCAAAGCTGTGTGTATCTTCTTTATGCGACCACTTCGTCGTAAAAAGTACTAAAGCACGGATGTATGCGGTAGATGTGCGTGTTTTACGCGCGACAAATGCCCGCGTTTTTAAACATCAAGAGCCGGCAGGCGCGTTTTCGACGTTTAAAAAAAGTTGTGTGGTGTTCGTGCCTTTCGGTACGAAATGCTCCTGCTGCGTGGATAAAAAAAAACAACAATTAAAATTTGAACTCCCAAACGACACTTTTTAACGAACGAACGGAAGGATTTGGACCAAAAATTTTTCTGCGTGGGAAACTTTTTTGTCGAGACAGACAGTTAAGTACATTTTTGCCTCAGACAAAAGCCCGTTCTCGTCGTATGCGCATTATATAATACTACGTATATTTAACACAAACAAAAGCACGTGATAACTACACACATGAAGTAGAACAACATCATCAACGAAACACTTTTTGCGCATTTCCTACTTCCTCGAATAAAGAAAGGCTTTTCAAAGTCGTAAAAGAAACGATGGTGTGGTTCGTGTGCGACGACTGCGGCGATTCGATTAAAAAACCAGCGCTGAAGAAACACTTCAACAACTGCTCCGCCTCTCGATTGAGCTGCGTGGATTGCGGAGCAGAATTCGATCGATATGCGGTGCAATTACACACGAAGTGCGTGACCGAACACGAGAAGTACGCGCTCGGGGCGACCAAGCCGGGCGGGAAGGCGAACGTTGTTTCAGGCGCTTCAACCAAGGCGGCGGCGACGCGAGAACCAGCTGTAGCACAAGCAGCAACAGCAGCCGCGCGAGAAGAGAAGGAGAAAATAGTCGGTCGAGAATATCTGGCCACCGAAGCGCCGTGGATGTGTTCGTGCTGCAACGTCGAGTGCACCGGGGCGGAAACGCTGAAGTCACACGCGCTCGGTAAAAAACACAAAAGGAAAGCAAAGACGCTTCGAACGCAGAAAGAGGAGGAGAATAAAGCGAACGACGAGGGGAAACCGAAATCGATGAGTCCATCAGCGGAAGAGGAGAAGAAGAAGAAGAAGAAAGAAGAGAAGAGAGCGAAGAAAAAGTTGGTGCGATTGAAGTCCAAGGAGAATAAGAAGAAGATTTTAGAGGAGAAACTGAAAGTGGCGAAAGAGAAGAAGGCGCGGAAGGACGAGAAGAAGCGGAAGCGAGAAGAGGAAAAAACGGACGAGGAGAAGGCGAAAGACGCCGAGAAGGCAAAAGAGAGAGAGGTGAAGAAAGCGAAGCGAATAGAGTTGAAGGCGGTGAAACGAGAGAAGAAGTTGGCGAGGAAGAAGGCGAAGCAAGAGGCGAAGAAGAACGGAAGAGGGAAGACGAACGTCGCCGCGCTGGGGACCAAAGAGAAAGGGGTGAAAAAAAAAAAGGTCAAGGCTAAGTATTCAGGAGGCAAAAAGAAGTAGTTTTTTACATCACTGTGTAACTTTCGATATTTAACTAAAAAGACTATTTTACTACGCATTAATAATCTACAGCCCGTCCGCGACGACGTTCGGGACTAAATCACCATCCGGGCACCGTTTACTTTGCATAATCGCAGAACCACCTTCGATTCTTCCCGTTAACTCGTGCGTCGGCCCCCAATCCATGAACAACTGTTTACCGTCTGAGTCCGGAATAACACCCCAGGTTCCTTTCCCCCACGGCGTGACTAAATCACCGTTGTCTTTCCACTCAATACCAGCGACGCCGCCCCATTTACCCGTGTGCGCATCCGCGACGTGCTTAGCGAGCTCACTGGATTGAATCCCTTGCGTGCGCTCGATTTCACCAACCGGTCGCGGTTTACACTGCACCGAGCTCGATAAACCTTCGCCTCCGTTCCATCGCTCGATGGCGCCTTTCTCGCCTTTCCAATACTGCTTAATAATATCGAGCATCCTTTGCGGTTTTTCTGGGTGGTAGTTCACATGTATCGACGCCGGATGAAACTTTTCCTCCGGGTATAACTTCTCGTCGTGGCGCATGTATTTGAAAACATACTTTGAGTTACAGAAACATGCAAAATTCATTATTCGCGATGAAGCGGAGTTCCTCGAAGGTGTTTTCTTATCACTCAAAAACGTGTGTTCTTCGTTATACGCGGTCTGATCCCACGTCGAGCGTTCTGTGTTCATGCGATTGGCTAACACGGTCATCATTTGCAAACTTTCGTGCGTGGCTTGCGTGAAGAACAAACCGGAGTTTTTCACAAACATGCGGTACGTGAGTTCGTCCGCCGAGGATAACTTATTTCCTCGACCTCTCGTAGGGTTCCACCTAAAACCATACGTCGTCCTATCGTCCCATCCGTCCGACATCCCTTCAACGTCCACGTCTCGGTATAACAAATCGTTCTTGAACGGGTCTCGCATCCAGACGATATCGACGTCGGAGAGCAAGACGTTTACGCCAATTTTAATAAACTCTTTGAGGATTTCAAACTTTAAGCCAGAGGTGGCATGGTTATCGGTCGAGCCAGTAATGGATGTTAACGAGCGCAAGTAATAAGGCGCGTCATGTTGCTCGCACCACCGCGCGGTTTGCTCGTCGAGTGCAACAATCATGTAATTCGTGATTTCGGTTTTTTGCAATCCGTCAATCCATAACTGCAACATATGGAAGATGTTTTTGTTCGAGACGCCGACTAATACTTCTCGGTTGATGGCTACTTTCTTCACAACTTCGCACAAGTTTTCCGAGCCACCTTCGCAGTTTGCCGGCCACGAGGTCATATCGTCATCATTTTTTGGCCACGGGACAACGTAGCGCAACTTTCTCGGATGAGGTCCAGAACCTTCTGACCACGCGCTTCGTTCGCACTGTTTGTGCTTGTTAACGATATCATCCGAACTTTCGTCGCCAAGAGCAAATGGGCGACCTTTATCAAACGATTGAGACGGGATAATCGCGTTTGGATCACCGGATAACTCGTCGCCTCGACTCACGTCTTCGCTCGGCGCGTATCTCGATCCTCGGCTTGGGCTGTTTTTCAAGTTGTACCTACACGCGTGTCGAAATGGTTTTAAGCGCGCACCGGCTTTAAACGCATTATCGTAAGCCGGCATGATAACCTGTTCCGTAACTCTGTCGTCGACGCCAATGCGTTCTATGTCCAAGTGCTCGCCGAAATATCGACACAACTCGATCGCCGCTAAAGTTGGATTGAAGCGCATAAAACTAGATCTCGCCATGGGTAAGCAAACGCTTTGTGCGTACTGCGACCAACCCATAGACTTATCGCCAATACCAATCACTTGTCCATTCGATCTGCACGTGATATCGGTGGCGAGTTCGATATCGAATCCGACGTGCGCGGGCATCATATCGTCGAGGGCATTCACGTCGGCGCCGATAGTCGTAAACGAAAACGCTTCGGATTCGAGTGGATTCGCCGTAAACTCTGCGCTTTTATCCGAGAGAACTAGCACCGCGTAGCCTCTTGTAAGTAAAACACTCGCCAAACGGAGAGCCGGAGATCCAGTCTCACTCTCACCTTTGACTAATACCGCGGAAACGTGTTGTTGTTCTTTAAACTTTTCGCGATTCCCGTAGGCGACGAAAACCACGCTCGTTTGCGTGGCGTCAGCTAACCTCGACGCTTCATCTGCGCTCATGTGTGTCCCGTCAATGACGACAACGGCTTTTTGATACTTGATACTTTCTCCGTGATGACTCGTATCTCGCTCATCAAACATCTTCTTTAAAGCCTCGCGCAGAGCATCCGAGGAGGAGGGTGAATTTTTCTCGCCAGCAACAGTCTCAATCTTCATCCCATCCGTAACCATCTTCTGCCCATTCCCTCCGTCGTCTAAATACCCATCCTCCTCCGATTGCGCCTTGGTGCATTTGTTTATCCCGCCTCGCCTACTCGCTCTCGTCGCGTGGTGAAACACGTCTACTATTTCCGCGCTCGTCAAACTAAACTTCTCGCAACTGTACCCGTCCCGGATGGACGCCACGCACCGCTCGCCATCCATCATCGGCTTACCACTTATGCTTCCTCCCATGCTATTGTCCTCGTTGTTGTTATTTACACCGTCAAACGAGGAACCACCAACACTCGTCCTCGTACCGCTGCTGCTGCTGCTACTCCTACTCCCGCTACTCCTCTTCTCCGCTCCTCCTCCGCCTTCATCACCAGCATCATCATCACTCGTTTTTGTCGCGTCGTGAATCTCCGCAATCTCCTCCGGTTTCCCATCTCTCACTAGCACTTCGTCATTATACTCGTTTTGATGACGATACGAATGCCGACGATGATTATCGATTTTATGACTCCCGACTCTGGTCTCTTCTCTTTTCGCCACGCTTCGTAATTTCGTCTCCTCGGTCTCGTAAAACAAAACGTCCGAGACGAACAGAACGAGAATGAGCGGTGAGACGATTCGAGAGAGTAAGCGGGAAATGAATGAATTTTGCTTCTTTTTTCGATTTGAAGTGGAGGAAAAGGAGGACAGAGATGCGTCTTTGGTGGTTACGACGGATGACATTTTTCCTTTTCGAGCGCAGAGAAGCGCGTGAACGCGCCGCTCTGTTTTTGTGCCGATCTGCGGCCAAATGTCGTCACACCACGAGCGGGGAATAAAAAGAGATGTTCTCCACCACCACAGCATCGTCGTCGAGATGCGTGGTCAGATCTGCGTCCACCGTTAAAACCAGTTATAAGTCGTGCGATGCTATTCGCAGGAGTAGTGGTAGGAGTCACGCGCGTTGTCATCAACGACAACAACAACAACAACGAAGAGTCGTCGCGACGATTTTGAGCGTATCTTTGGATAATAAGATTAGTAACAACAACAACAACAACATTAGAAGAAGAAGAAGGAGATATTCATCGAGTATCGTCAAATCGTCTCAGGACGACGAAAACACCGAAACGCCTTCTTCCACTGGTTTCGATGGATTCGATACCGGAACCACCGTGACGGATGAGGACCAAGAACGTTTGCAACTCATGAGCCAAGAAATCAAAGACTGGTTGAAACTTTTATACGTGAAACGAGAGATGTCATTTAACGAGGTCAAGTTGATCATTGGTATCGAAGATCCTCGATTAGCGGACAGAAGAGAACGGTTCGGGATCGAAGACGAATCCGGGTGTTCCGCGGAGGAAAAGATTCAGGTTTTGGAAGACGTGGACGAGGGAAGAGTGCCGACGGATATCGTGGCGTGCGAGTTCGTTTTGAACGAGTTGAGAGAGTGGCCTGGGTTGGATTCGGATATCGAGTTACCAGAGAGACGAGAAACTGGACCGTCGAGATACGAGGAGATTGCCATGGACGCGGCTGGAATTAAAGGGCGAACGAGAAACCCGAAGAGAATGCTGGACGATTATTTGGAGGAAGACGATAAACCCGAGGAAAAGAATTTACTTGGATTTTTGCCTCTTTATGCCGTATCCTCGGCTCCGATTTTCATCACGATTTTCGCGTTAGGAATCATGTTTGTCAACTCTTTGCAATAACATACTACTATACATCATGAATACATTACAAATAATACTTCTATGGACGAAGATGTCCTACTTTCCTACGCTTTCCCCCTCCTCCTCTTTTGCGCGAAGGCCAAAATCCGTAAAACAACGCGAACAAGGTCAAAGCCCATAAAATGCCGGCGTATTTCCACAACTCGTTCGTCGCCACATCTTGTTGTTGCGCGAGCGTAGTTTCACCACCTCCAATGGAGACTCTTGCGTGTTTATACCCTTTATCGCCCTCCGTGTTTACGCTACCGCTGCTGCTATGACTAAGACTATGACTGACTTTTTTCTTCTCCGCCTCCCCCTCGTTGTTACTACTACTACTACTACTACTACTACTACTACTACTACTACTACTACTCTTTGGCATGCACTTCCTCTTCCGTGCTAACAATATCCCACGATTAATCTTTGACACGCACTCGTGCATCAACTCTACTCTGTTTCTCTCGTACTTATCGATGGACTCGTCATCTTCGGGATACAAATCGCACACCGGGAACAACTCTCTTCTGTTTGCCTTTCCGCACTTCAATTTATCCTTTTCCGTTTCCGATTTCGCGTATTCAAAGTGTTTATCCCACTCGTAACTCGTACCTTGTCTCATCATCAATCCGTAATGTATGACGAAAGAATTCGCGCTCTTCTCGTTCCACGGTTTCGATCCGGCGTACATTTGCACGTCGTTGTTCACGTTGTGCGACAACCCGGCGCTCGCGACGCCAAAGACGTACCCGTACATTTCCGATATCCACGGTCTCGGTGCTTTTTGAGTGATGAATGAATCGCCGGTACCGTTATACGGCCACCACACTCTCTTGTCTCTTCTCACTTTCCTCGTGTATTCGAACCATAACGGCGCCGCTTTCGCGATATCGCTCCTGGCGAATATCTCCCACCCGCCCACTTGCGCCAACCGCTCGCGAACGGCAGGTCCGACAAACATACTCGCCATGTCGTTTTTCACGCCCGATAAGTATCCGTAGTACCCGCCGGCGACGACGCCGACTCGCGCGGGAATCTCTCTCACCGTAAACGGTCTTCGTAAAATCATATCCGCGTCCAACTTCACCACCCACTTCAAGCGAGTAAAATTGCTCGATTTCGTCCAATGATTGATGCTCCCCGGTAAGTTATACGCGGAATACGAATCCGACGGGTCGTCTCGGCTGAAATCCGGCGTTTTATGCGTCGGCACGATGTGTAAATTCTCGTACGAATCGTACTCCGCATCCGTGCAGGACAACAGCCGAGTCATCTTCCCCGGCGCACCCACATCCATCCACGACTGATATAAAGCCGCAGATTGCCAATCCATGTACGGTTTACAGTCCGCCGAGAAGACGTAGTGGTAGTCGTCTATTTCCCTTCTTTTACTTCCCACCATCTCTTAAAGTCGACTACTCTCTCTCTCCGTCTCTCTTTGTGATTGATGACTCTTTTTCTCTCTCGTCGTCTGTTGAAAAAAAGTTTTGCCTCGAGCGAGAAGAGAGAAAAAAAAACTCTCTCGAGGAACTTAATATGCTGCCACTCTGCTTCGAAAAAAAAAAGAGGACAAAGAGACGAAATCGAGGCCGCGTCTTGTTTCGAATGAATGCTCATTTTTTCTTCATTCTATCGAACGCACGTATAACTTCTTCCCGCGCGCTCTTAATATCTGCTGTTTTACTTCTCACGGAAGAGTAGTGGTCGTAAAGAAGTTGTTGTTGTTGAGTAACTTAATAATACCTTTCGATTTTATACGCGCTCGTTGTGAGTACAGAGAGTAAATCACGATGATGAAAGAAGCGAACCATTCAGAAGAAGAGCGGCAAAGTTTACTTTCAAACGGGGTCAAAACCGAAGACGATGCGACGACTTTGACGTTTACGACGAGATCTACACTGATGATCAAAATTGCCACGATCACCGCGTTGGCGACGACGTTTGCCACGTTTGGGTACGTTTCCGAGAGCAAGAAGTTGTCTTTGTTGTCTTCTTCTTCGTCCGAGTTAGGGTACAGACGACACTACCGAGGAGAGGCGGACGATTTTTCCCGTAAACAACCGTCGTCCTCGTCGTATTCCTCGTCCGCGCGTTTAGGTCGATGGAGTTCAAGAGATGACGACGAAGACGATCGATACTCCTCGAGACGATCGTCGTCGAGACATTCAGACGATTTTGACGACGACGACGACAGAAGAGGAGGAAGAGGAAACTACGCAAAGTACAGAGACGAGGACGACGATGCGTACGAGAAAAGAGGCCGCGGACAACGAAGAGATTTGGGCAAAGACGAAGACGAGGACGAATATTCGAAGAATAAACATTCCTCCTCTAAATACGACGACGACGATGAAGACGATCATCGCAAATCATCTGCGGATGATGAAGAGGAAGATCAAGAAGAAGAAGAAGACCCGGCGATGAAAGAAAACTGCGTCGGCGAAGCCGCCGACGAAGAAAAAGGCATCTACCAGTACCCGGACAAAATTTGCTTGACGAACCCGTCGTTGACGCCGGCGTGTCTCGGGAACGGAGGCGCGGTTACGGCGTGCAGATTTTGCCAAACCGAAGAAGCGGTGAGAAAAGTTGCCGGCTGGCCGCAGTGCCCACACTCGGTGTGCGAGAAGAGCTCCGGGATTGGATGCATCGGGGATTCGTTTTCCAAGAATGAAATCTCGTGGAGGATGCACGTGAAGGACATCGCGAAACACAACGCGCGCGTGAAACAAATTGGGATTTCTGGAACGTGCGATTCCACGGTTTCCGATCAAGCGGTGGGGAGACACATGTTTCGCGACAAGAAGTGCTCGGAACGATTATTACCCGGGTGCCAAGACGCGCAAGGGTGTCGATTTTGCGTCACAAAATCGGGAGCAAAGTTGGACACGGAAAAAGTCACCGCGCAGTGGCCGACGTGCCCAGCCGCGGTGTGCGCGAGATTTTCCTTGGAGAAGACCGATTGCGAAGCGACTTTAGGATTATATACCGTGCCGACGTTTGAGGTTCCCGAAGGGTTTGATGGTTCGAACTTGCCGAAGCCGAAGTTGGACTTGGAGGCGACACAAAAGATGCAAGAGCGTTTGAAGCTCCAAATCAAAGCGGCGATGACGGGGCAAGACGACCCAGTGTTTGAAGACGAGGACGAAAACGAAATGCCGGAAGAAGCTCCGTTAAAATCGGAATCTCCCTTGGAAGAGACGAAGAACAACAAGGATGAAGACGAAGAAGAAGACTCCGATCGTAAATCTTCCTCCTCCTCCAAAGGTCGCTACGACGACGACGACGACGACGACGATCGAAGACACTCGTCGTCAAAGTACGACGACGATGGAGAAGACGATCGACGCTCTGCCTCTAAAAAGCACTACGAGGATGACGACGACGAGAAAGACGACCGCCCCCGAAGAAGCCGGGATGACGACGATCGACGCGACGATGACGATCGACGAGAGGACAAAAAATCTTCCTCCAAGAGTCGATACGACGATGAAGACGACAGACGAGATTCTCCCAAGAAGCGTTACGATGATGAAGACGACAGACGAGATTCTCCCAAGAAGCGTTACGATGATGAAGACGACAGACGAGATTCTCCCAAGAAGCGTTACGATGATGAAGACGATGACGACAGAAGAGACAGTCACCGATCTTCTCGTTACGACAAAGACGACGAAAGAGATCGATACGATGACAGAGATGACGATCGCAGATCTTCGCCCAAGAGCCGATACGACGACGACGACGAGGAAGACAACAGACGTTCCTCCTCCAAGATGGGTCGCCACGAAGACGAGGACGACCGCGAAGGCGACCGACGCTCCAAGAAGCGATCCGACGACGAAGTAGAAGAAGAAGGCGACCGCAGACGATCCACAAAGTATGACGACGAGGAGAAAGACGATCGATCGAGGCGCCCATCGTCGAAGTACGACGACGACGACGAGGATGAAGACGACAACCGCAAATCCTCCTCCTCATCGAAGAAACGTAACGAAGACGATCGAGAAGAAGAGGAAAGATACGACGACAGAAAAGAAAGCAAGAAATCTTCCTCCTCGTCCAACGAGAGAGATGAAGCCGACCACGATAAAGAGTACGACAAGGAAGATGTCGAGAAGTTTGAAAACGATAGCAGATTAAAAGATGTGGACGATTGGGGAGACGACGACGATAACTCTTCGTCCGGTAAGAAGTCATCCGCCGGAAAAGGGTCGAGTAGAAGCAAATCCTCCTCCAAAGAAGATTGGTGGGCGTCATCTGCGAAGTAAATACCATCATCTTTTAGCTACCAATACAAAAAACTTCTAATAAACGCAAAGCAATAATACCCAACATCATATAACAATATCACTACTCTTCTACTAATACTAAAATACAACTAATGCTACGACACACTATAACAAACGAAACTCTAGTTTGCAGCGTCTGCAACCATCCAATTCGGACGCCAATCTACTTTTTCCATTTTTGCATTGGGATCTTGTAACAACGTCACCGCCGCGAAGGTAAGAAACACCGAACCGCCCAGGATGGTCATTTTCTTCTCTGAAAACTTATTCGCGATGTATTTCCCCCCTATGCAGGCCGTCCCCGTGGCAATGGCGTGACCTAAGAAACAACCAAACACTATGCCGTACGCTTCGTAATCGCCAGCTAACGCTACCGTGGCTATTTGACTTCGGTCGCCCCACTCGGCGATGAACGTCAGCGTGAAAGCTTGCATCCACACGCCGTTACACAAGCACTCGTAAAAATTACCACCTTTCTTCTTTTTGTTCTCGTTTTCGTTGCCGCTCTCTACGTCCTTTTCTAACATCGGTGCTCTCGAGTTCAAATCTTCTTCGATCTCTTTCAGCTCCTCGTTCTCCTCCCCCTCTTCGGTATCCTTCATCCGACTCGCGCTATACAGCATGTAAAGGCCGTAAAACACGAACAAACACACCGAACCGTAGTGCATGACTTTTCTCGGAATCATCGACGCCGCTTCGATCCCGATCACGACCGAAACGAACGTCATCAGCCAAAGCGCCATAATTGCGCCAAAAAAGACTTCCTTTGAATCGTATTTCCCGGACATTAAACACGCGATGAAAAACGTCCTGTCTCCGAACTCAAGCGAAAGCATCACCAGTAAAGACTGCACGAATCCAGAGAAGTTATCGCCTCGGTTGTTTTCGGTCGCGAACGCGCGCTCTTGGTGCTCGAGTATTCTTTTAGAAATACTGTCCTTCGCTTCATCTCCTCGTTCTAAAATTTCCTCTTCGGCTGCTAAAACTGACGAAAAGAAGATGAAGACAAAGACGAAGAGAAATAGTTTTCCATGAAGATGCGAAGGGGCGCGTAGCATCATCAACTCCAATCGCTTTCAAGTGTTTATTCTCCGAGATGATGTGCACTTCTTTAACGACGTCTTCGATGAAAACACCAAAAAACACGACAACAACAACGACAAGACTCCAACGGCTTTCAAAGTTTTAAACTTTTCCTTTGTCCTCTCTCTCTTTCTTTTTCGCGCGGTCGATGGAGAGTTTAAAGTGAAGTCATTACTCTCGAGTTATATAAAACAATGTATATGAGTAAATATATATTATAAGTGTGCGATGATATGATGTCCTTATTTTTTTTAAGCCGAAGGGAGAGCACCACTTCCAGAAGAAGAAGTCTTCATCCACTTCGGCAACGCTTTGGCGTAATCCGCGCTCGGGTCGTCGAAGACGGCCAAGATGCCGAAAATCAAAAAGATGCCGCCGCCGACCATGGCGATTTTCTTCTCGGATATTTTCTGAGCTAAGATGCGACCTCCAATGCACGCCGTGGAAGTGGCTAAACCGTGGCCTAAGGAACCGCCAATGATGATACCGTACGGGTCGTAATCGGCAGCCATGGCGATGGTGGCGATTTGGGATCGGTCGCCCCATTCCGCTAAGAAGGTGAGCGTAAACGCTTGGACGAAAATCGCAGAGACGAAGAATTCCCACCATTGCTTTTCGTTTTTCGAAGTCCCTTTTTTCTTTCCAGGCGACAATTTGCCGCCTTTTTCCGCCACGTCGTCGTCGTCTTTGCTCGCGTTGTTGTCGTCGGATTTCTTCCCAGATCGTCGGTTGGCGATTTCGTCCAACTCGTGTTCGACTTCCTCGAACTCCTCGGAAACGTCGTCGGACATGAATTGGGAGTTGTACAACATGGTGACGCCGTAGCCGAGAAACAAGATCACCGCGGCCCAATGGACAAACCATCGCGGTAAGAACATAGGCGCGGCGACGCCTAATAAGGTGGACACGATGGTCATCACCGCCAACGCGCTGAAAGCGCCCAAAAATACAATTCGTCGGGAATGTTTCACCGACATCAACGCCGCGATGAAATACGTTCTGTCGCCAACCTCGATGAACAAAATAACCAAAAACGAGGTGACTAATCCACTAATGAAAGAGGTTTGGTCCGCGTATTGCGCTTTAAACCACGCGCCTAAACCAGCACCAGATCCTGGTCCACCTCTTCTACCTCCGCCTTCGTAATTCTCCAATCTCGTGACCACGGCTTCCAAGCGGTTGATCTCCTTCGCCATCGTCAATAACTCCGTCGCCACCGCGCCTTGCTCTTGCTCGACTTTATCCATCACCAACGAATTCACCGCTTTTGAGCCTTCTAAGTTCGAGAGAACTTCCTGCGCGGTATCCGTAATATCCGCTAAACTATCCGCGGCGTCTTCCACCGCCTCGGTGGCTTCGTCCACCGCCGCCGTCGCGTCTTCCACGTCCGCGGCGACCTCCTCCACCGTCTCCGCGGTATCTTGTATTTGCTCCGCCGCATCTTCCACCGCTTCCGTCGCATCATCCACCGCATCTGCGGCATCTTCGATTGCTTCGGTACTTTCCGCCACCGCTTCGCTCGCCTCTTCCACCGCTTCCACCGCCTCTTCCGTTTGCTCCGCCACTTCCGCTATCGCTTCGTTCGCTTCTTCGATGGAATCTGCGGCATCCGCGACGGTTTCCGTCGCCTCGTCCACGGCATCCGCCGCGTCTTGCACGTCCTCTGAAATCGCTTCTGCCGTAGATTCCGTTATTGGTTGTTCTTCATCCGCGAGCAAGCTTCGTCTTCTTTTTTCTGACGATACAAAGCTTTCTCCTTCGTTCGAAACCCTTTGCGACGATCGCGCTTTAGAAATTGAAGATGTTACGAAATAATCGGCATCATCTTTCGCCGAAACAAAACCCAGAGAGAGAAAAGAGACCACGAACAACAACAGCAACACAAACGAGGAATAAAAGAACGTCTCATTCTTCTTCTTCGCGTGTGTGTTCTTCGCAGATCTCGCAAAACTCAAAGATCTCATCCTTTTGTGTCTTATTTATATGTAGATATAATTCTAGTCCTTCTGTGTAAAGCTTTTATTACGTAAATACGAAAGAAGAAAAAAATTGTAAAGATAAGTGCAGTAAAAGTGCATGTGAAAAAGGCACAACAGAAAGAAAATTTTCTCTCTTTTCTCTCTCTCTCTCTCTTTTGTTTTGTTGCTTTTTCTCTCGTTTTGGCTGAAACACACGTAACTTTTTTTTAAACCAAGAGGAGTTCATCATAAAAAAATCAGAGAGAGAAAGTTTTAAGAAGAGAGATGTTTTCCTCCTCCTCCTCCTCCGCCTTCGGTGGTGGTACGAACAACGAGGAGAAGAACAAAGTGCACTCGAAACCGGTCACTTTTAAAACGCAACAACGCAGACGACGAAAAAAACGAACTCTCGTTTTTGTGTTCTCGTTTACGTTTCTCGTCGTGATGTACATCTCGTACAATTTCCTTCGCAAGCAAACGCTGAGCGAAGCTCGACGAATCATCGGCACGGGACGGAAAGCGAGAACGGATTTAGAAGGCCAAGTTTTAGTGGAAGAAGCGATTAAAACGGGGAAGATAGGACGAGAAGTGATCAACTTCGACGATGGGAGTTTAGACAGAATGATCGAGGAAAATATACGGAAGAAGAAACAGAAACAGATGGAGGAAGAGGAGAGGAAGATGATGTTTCACGAGGAAAGTCATCAACACCGCGAGGACGAGAAGAACGATATATATAACGACGAAACAAAAGAAGAAGATCTAGAAAACGAGGGCGTTGATAATAATAGCGACGATAATAATAACAATAATGATAGCAGTGGGGAGGAGGAAGAGGAAAATGCGGTTCGTAGTAGTACGTCTAGCGATGTCGATGTCGAGAACATCATAAACGAAGATGAAGATATCGCGAACGAGAATGAGAAAGATAACGCAGAAGAGGAACAAGAAGAAGCGCGCGACGAGGACGACGACAATAATAACAATAACAACGAACAAGAACAAGAAGATACAATAAACGATGAGCCGTTAGAGGAAGTCAAACCAGGCGCGGGCGATGCGGATGATTTAGACCCCAAGCTCCCTCGATCGGAGTCGCTCCCGGAAGATCCTTCGCGCACGTGTTCGGTGGATCGTTTGAGAGCGTTGTTTAAACCGTGTTTACTCGGCGGCGACGTGCAGAAATGTTGTCAAACGCTCGATTTTGCGTTTGCTCCGGATGCCACGCATCGTTTTGAAGATCAAGATGAAAGCGAAAGCGGTGAAGACACGACGGCGAATTGTTTGTGCGTGTTTACGGCGATATCCGATTTGAACGAAACGTTTTCGAAAGTTGGTTTGAACGTCTACGAGGACGTATTGGGTAAGTGCGAACCGGATTCGAGAAAGTTTGGATGGTTCGGCGACGGCACGGACGCGTGTCCGGAGGATAACCTGGAGGAGTTGCGAAGACGCAAAGATGAGGAAATTCGAGAGCACGAAGAGGCGAGGAAAGAACGCGAACGTAAAAAGAAGGAAGTTTATAAACGTAACGTAGAAAGAGCAAAGAAACAAGAAGCTATTCGAGTCGAAAACGCGTTGAAAAAGTCGGACACGGAACGACAAGCTCGTGAATTGCGCAGGAGAGAACGCGAAGAAAATCTTAGAAAAGAGGCGCGACTGGTCACGTGGCGCTTGAAAGAGGCGAAAGCGGCGGAGAAGGCGCTGAGGGAAGCCGAGGCGAAACAGGCAAAGTTTTTCGGTACCGGCGGCGGTATTCAAGACGTCGGATGTTACGAAGAAGGCGAGAAACCGATGAAAGGTCAGAAACCGTGTTAGGTATATTTAATATAATGCGCTATTAATCGTACACACCTATGTAAAATTACAAATCTTCGACCGCTTCTTGCGAGAGCAAGTGGACGCTCGCTTCTCTTTCCAGCCAATCGTTTTCTATCAAACTACTCGTGCGATCAACGGGAGCAGTTGTTGCCGACGCGTCCGTGCCTAACGCGCGATAATATCTGCTTTGCTTTAAAATGTACAAATCCAAAACGCACGTGCCTAAACTACCGAGCAAGAAGCTCAGCGAATCGACGATTTCAACCCATCTAAAATTCTTCATGAAGATGATCGACATTCCATAAGTCACGTTCGCGCTAATGGCAAAGAAAAACATCAACGCCGACACGCCTTCGCACGATTTGCGTTTCCTATTTTTCATGATCTGAAACACTCTCCCTCCTAAATAACTCGTCGCGGAAGCGTAACCGATGAACCGACCGGACGTTACTCTCGCTTCCGACGCCGTACTTACGGCTTGATTCAAACAACCGGTCGCGCTTTGCAACGAACGCGTAGCACCGCTCAACGATCTCATTGCATCAGAACCAGAAAGCGATCGTATTGAATACACGGAAACGCCTGCGCCTAAGAAACCCGTCACGTATGTCGACGGTGACACCGGCTTCTTCTTCTTTTTGTGTTTCTTAGTAGTGCGCTTCGGCGTCGTTGGATCGTTCCTCGATTCCTCTTCGTAACTACGCGCGGTGCTGATGTTCTCATCAATCCTCGCCATCGTGGCCGATATCACCGCATTCTCGTTCTCGTCCTCAGGAGATTCTTCCTCCTCCCGTATTATCGATTCATTGAAACTCAGTCGTCGTCGTCTTCTCGTTTGCCTTTCTTCTCGTTGAATTTGTCTTTTCCTATACAAAACGAATTGGGAAATCAGCACCGAATCGCTCATCAAAAAGTACACCGCGGTGTACATCTGCACCGGCGTTTGGTCTCCCGTGAGGACACACGCGACCAGGTTGCAACTGTCCCCGAACGCCCACAGGAGTAAGAAGTAACCGCTCAATCCTTCGCTCGTTTTCAGCTGATAGTTTTGCAACACTTGTGGAAATTGGCAGACGATCCAAAACGCGATCGAACACAAACCGCTCAAGAAACCAACATATTCGATCGGAGAGTACGCGCACACGCGAAAGATATCGCGCACGAGACCAGTGTACGCGTTTGAATCGCACTCGCACGAATTTGAACGCGTAGTCTGTCCGCTCATCATTCTTTCTGCTGCTGTAGAAGCAGTGGACTAATTTTTATCTCATTTTTTCACCTTCTTTCTTTCGTGTGTGCTTTGACTGACGATGTCTTTGAGAGTGCAACGCTTATTATATTTTCTCTTCTTCTATTACAACAACAACAACAACAAATAAAATGTTTGATGATTATGTGCACGTATAATTTAAAGCGATTGTATGTGTAACTAATTGTACAGTCTCCTCTTTGTTCGTTCGTTTTAGTCTCTCGTGTTATTTTTGTTCTCGTCGGAATCTTTGTCTTCCTTGTTCTTCGTGTTGGTATCGTTTGTGGTATCGCCGGAGGACGACGAACCCGTGTTGCCGTCGAGCATGGCGCGCAAGGACTTTTCCAACGCTAACTTGGCGCGTAAGCCTCCGAGTTGCTCTTCCAATCCAAACTTAGCGAGACGCAAACGGTCGACTAATCCTCTAGAAGTTGACATAGCAGCAGCTCTCCGAGCGATCAATTTTTCGTTCTCAGCCTCGGAGGAGAAAGGGACCTCTTGGAACGCAGCGAAAGAGAGACGCTCGGCGCGAACCATAGTGGAGGCTCGAGATTTCGTTTTCAAGTCTGTGGCGGTGGTTTTCTTTTCATCCTCGTCTTCGTCTTCGTTCTGGGTCATCGTGAGAGCAGCTGAACGACGCAGGCGAGATAAGATGGCATCGTCCAAGGATAAGCCAGCCTTATCTTGGTCGCGTTTCATTCGCGCGACGTTTTCCAATTCGATTTTAGCGTCGAAGAAGACGCCGTCTTCTTCCACCCATTTCATGCTTTCGTGTAACGAATCAACTTTGCCAACTGCTTTTGCCCACCGAACCATTTTCGCTTCTTCAATGGCAAACTTGCGATGAATTTCGGTCGGATAATCTCTGGCATTTTCCGCTTTACGAACGATGTCATCAAAGAGCGTTTCTTTCGTCACGTTCGAAACTTCCAACAGCTTATCGCTGAACTCGATGACGTAATTCATGAGAAGTTCGACGTCGTCAGCCAGTTGCTCGATTTCTTTGCGCTCATCTTGCGTCGGTTGAGCAGCAAATTTTGAGTCTGGCGAGTTGACCAGGGAGTACGTACCGGCAACGTAGCCCGCGGGTGTTTCGTTCACGTCCTCAACCATCATTCGCGTTTCGCCGACGACTAAAACTCGGTAGGTTTCACCGAACGTACTCGAAGATTCGCCGCGTTCGTCGACGATGTCGAAAGAAACGCCGTCATCAAAATCATCACTGGATAAAACTTTAATCGGCTCGTAGTGAATGACTCTACCTAGCGTACACGATGCGTTCAATTGCACCGCTTGCGTCTCTTCCTCATCGTCGTCATCGTCGTCGTCGTAGTAATAATCTTCTTCTTCGTCTTCTTCGTCGTCATCGGCGGACCCAAACCCGGCTTCGTCGCCGTACCGACTGTTGACTTTTCTCACAAACTCGCTGAACCTTTCAAACTCTTCCTCGTAGTCGGAATCATCCGAATCCGAGTCGCCGGAAACTTCTCCAAACACCTCCAATTTCTCCGCTCGCTCGTTCGGCAACGGCCTTTGATTCAATTTATCTTCTTCTCGTTCCGTTTTTCCTGCCATCGCGCCGTCGATGCTGGTACTATTACTACTACTCGTTACCTTTTCCTCCTCTTCGTCGTCTTCGTTTTCATCCTCTAAAACTCTCCTCCCTCTCGTCTTTGCGCTTTTTCCTCTGCTCGGCGGTATTTGCGAGTAGTGCACGAACGCCAACAATCCTCCGTGCGTTTCCACGCTATCGTTCAACAGACTCACAAACCTCGGCTCGTACAGGTGTAATACTTTTCTTTGTCCAGGAATGAGCGGTTCGGCGACTGGAAACAATAAAGACGGTAAAACGTGCGTCGATTCTCCGTTCTCTTCCTCGTATTGTATCGTTTTCTCTCGCAACGATTCGCTCGCTCGTAAATATTGCTCGCCTTCAAACGTATCGCCTTCGTCTAGACTGCCCGTGTTTTCTTCTTCATCAGCTCCTCCTGTTCCGTAAAACTCGTGGTCGTCGTTATTCCACGCGTTGCATGTTGTGATCGTATTCTCATTCCTTCCTCGTCTCGTGAGAAGAATACTACTCCTCTTTTTCGAACATCGCGCGAGGACAACAAAACGTCGTCTCATCATCGTCCTCATCATCGTCCGTGTTATCTTGTTCTCGTTTTTCGATTTTGTCCTCGTCGTTCCGTTGTGGGACGACGACGAACTCGCGACGCACAAAGACGTCGCTCGTTCCAAAGAACTACAACGCGTCGCGGACCATATCATCTTGTGAGTATCAATCACGGGCAATCAATACTGTGTGTGTGTGTGTGTGATGATAAAAGAGAAAGAGAAAGAGAGAGAGCGCGCGAAACGACGATTCCTTATATGAAGGAATAAACAGACAAATACAGTCACAAAGAGCAGTTTTTTTCGTGGTCTACAAAGGCAGGAGATCCTCTCGTGGTCTTTTCCGGCCACGAATTTCACTTTAAATTACTGCATTTTTCTTCAAACATTTGCCTCCTCAAAACAAAAAAGAGTGAAAAAAAGGTAGTTTATTTTTTTGTTTCTCTCTCTCTCTCTCTCTCTGTTGTGTTCCACAGTCGACTGTTTTCGCTATGCCATAGCTCTCGAACGGAAACAGAAAGAAACAGAAAAACGAAAAAACGAAAAAACCTCTCGATTTGAAAAGGGACGGGTGTATCCCATACGGTTTCAAAGTATACGTTGACAAGACGAACGATCTCATCGTCTGTTTGAATAATTTTCAAACGCATCTTCACTCTTTCCAGCGCGCGTGCGGTGATATAGAGTACACACACACACACACCAAAGGGAGGGTGAAAGAATACACGACGCGCGAGTAATACATCGGTAATACATCGGAAGAAGAAGAAGAAGAAGAAGAAGAAGAAGAACAGGAAGAGCGCGTGTGAGGAGAAGGGAAGCGCGAAAGAAGAGAGCATAGGTTAAACGATTCAATAAACGAAGCTCTCATCATCGCAACGCAGAGAAACGGCAACAACTTTTACCGAGAGAAAAGAGAGAAATCCAAATCGATCGAATCAAAAGAGAAAGAGAAATAAGGAGCGAATAGAGAACAATAGAGAACAGCAGAGAAGAAACGAATAAAACAGAAAAGGAGGAAACGTAATGAGCGCGATTAACATCACGCAAGTCCAAGTGTTGGTACGCGTTTACTCTCTTTCATCACTTTTTTCTTCGCCTTTCGCCTGCTGGTTTTAGACAGAAATTTTGAAAAATCTCGCTCTCGTCTCAAAGGCGAAAGAGGTATGCCCTTTTGGCGGCGAGCGAGCGATGACGATTGGGAAGACAGCCGGTTTCCTTCTCTCGATTACACATAAACTGACACGTTTTTATACGCATATTCTTTCTTTCTTTCATAACTATAATAATAATAATAACAGGACAACCCGCAATATTTCCAAAACCCGTTACAGTTTGAAATCCAGTACGAGTGCCTGACGAACCTCCAAGACGACTTGGAGTGGAAGCTCACGTACGTCGGCTCCGCGGAGAGCGATCAACACGACCAAATCTTAGACACTGTTTTAGTCGGTCCTGTCTCGAGAGGCGCGTATAAGTTTGTGTTTCAAGCGAACCCACCGGACGCGACGAAGATTCCAAACAGCGACATCTTAGGCGTGACGGCGTTGTTGTTAACGTGCTCGTATCAGCAAAACGAATTCGTGAGAGTCGGGTATTACGTGAACAACGAGTACAACGACGAGGAGTTACGGGAAAATCCGCCATCGGTACCGCAGTTAGATAAGATTGTGAGGAATATTTTAGCGGAGAAGCCGAGAGTGACGAGGTTTCCGTGCGAGTTTGACGCCGTGTCGATTCCAACCGAAGACGGAGGGAACATGCAGATGATGCAAGAAGAGATTACGACTGAAGGTTTTGGTAACGAGAACGTTGGATTTGATAACGGGAACACGGTTATGGCTGCGTTTGCAGGGGGGTACGTTGACGAGCAACAAGCTGGTAGTTCGTACGAGCCGTCGCAGACTCAGTTTCAACAAGGCGTCGAGTGCGGCGCGGACGCGCAGCAACAGCAACAACAACAATCGCAACCGCTTTGGTGATGTATACTCGTTCGCACTACCATATTATATACTACTATTACAAATACAGAATCGAAAAAGGGAATATAGATAACCATAAACGATACAGCTAAATACAATTCGAAAGTTGCAGCGCTCTGATTATTAATAAAACATTTCAACTACTAATACATTCTTTATATTCTCTCCTCCTTCTAACCTTCTCGTATGCGTGATTTTGCTATGTGTATAATAATGATGATGATGATAAATCTGTATTTAAATGACTCTCACGAACGCTGGAATGTCGTAAATCCCAGCCTCGTAGCCGCCCTCGATCCATTGCCCGCCCGAGAAAATCTTCTCGCCGTCAAACTCTTTCCACTCACCTTTCGGCAAATAGACCTCTCTTCGTCTCTGCTTATCGTATACGACGGGCGCGACGACGATATCGTCGCCTAAACAAAACTGATCGTTTATATCGAACGTGTTCGAATCTTCCGGCGCGAGCCACCACAACGGTTTGCAAATTGGCTGCAACGTTTTGGAACTTTTGATGGATAAATCTTCGATTAAATCAATCAGTTTCAATCGAGTTTTCAAAATTTTATTCGTCGCTTCCGAAACGTCTTTACCAAACTCCCAAGGCGGGATGGAGAATTGCATGGCGGGCATGAAACAGTTCGCTTGCGCCCATCGCACGAATAGCTCTTTCGAGGGACCTCCGGCGTATGCGTTACCACCAATCATATCCGGTAAACATAAAGGATACCCGACGATGGAAGATGTCAACAAGTGCGGGATTAAGCTTCGCAATCCGTTCGAGGTGGTCCAGGAACTAAACGTATCGCCGATTCTTGTCCACACTCCGGAATTCGTGGAGTGATGACCACTCCTCACTTCGCAAAGCTCAAACGTTTTCGCGATTTCAGTCGACCATAACTTCGTATACTCGGAAGGATGTTTCATGGGAACTTTCGTTTCAAATTCTTTCGGTAAGAAACACGGCTCTCCGGCGTCGAATTTAAAACCGTCGATGCCGTATCGCGTTTGTAAACTCTTCAACCCGTTTAAGAACCATTCTCGAGCATCTTTGTTGGTTAAATCGATCGCAACAACTGGTGTCGGTTGCCACCACGAAAAGAATCCCGCTTTTGAATGTCCGGGAGTTAAAACTTTTGACTTTACGAAGTAGCCGTTCTTCACGCCTTCTTTATACGCTCGCGTGCCTTCGGTGACAAACGGAGTCACCCAAAGCGTCACTTTAAATCCTTTCAAATGTAAATCGTCTACCATTGCCTTCACGTCTGGGAACTTTACCGAGTCGAATTCTAACTCGCCGTACGCGGACGACCATCTATCGTCGATTTCCATGATTGATCGTTCGTATTTTAACTCTAAAATTTCACTCGCGAATTTCAAGACTTTCTCTTGGTCCACCGCGGTTTTATACCTAGACCAGGTGGACCATTTTGGTCCTCGAACGAGCGCGGTATCGACCGCTTGCGTGGGTTTTGGCATGGATTCCAGCACGTTTTCGGTCGCTTCTCGAACGTTACGTTTTGCGAGCATCGCGACGCGCATAGAACACGTTCGCGTTTTTACGTTTTTTCTGTTGTTGTTGTTCTTCGTTTTCGCGGCGGCGGGTGTTTCCTTCTCTTCAGTCGGTAAGGACAAGTTGCCCATCGGATCGATATTTTCTGGAAGTTGCACGTGCGTTTTCTCGCTTTTCCAACCAACCAGTGGGTGCTCTTGGGAGAACGCGCCGTATTTAGAGTCGCAATATCCAGACCGAGACTGTAACCGTAATTTTCCGTCGCCTTGTCTGCTTTGCGAGGTGAGCGGCAACGCCGTCGGTCGCAAAATGTTCGCCACGCCGGTGTGAAATTTTCGTCTCGATCCGTTCGGCGTCAACGCTTCAAAGAACGTGTTTTCTTTCGGTGCATTTAAGCCGACGTGGAAAAAAGAGGTTTCCGGATCGGCGACGATGGCAAACCCCGTGGACGTGACCCAATGATTTGAAACTAAGGTGTTGATTCCGTGCGGCCCGAAATCGAACGGATAATGCGGGCCGACTTCTTGACACGCGCCGTTCAGAGGCCACTCTTGCCGAACGAAATGCCCACCGCCGAACCATTTCCCGCTCGATTCTACATCAGTCACGATTTCTGCCATTTCCACGGAGTACTCGTTCTCCTCGCTGGTTTGTACGACGTAATCGAGAATGAATCCAGAGGTTAAATTATCCGTCCATTCTCTTTCGTCTTTCGTCAAACTTCCTTTTGCCGATAACGGTTTGATCGTCAAAGTGGACAACACTTTCTTCTTCGTACTACTATCAACGTTGCTCTCAAAACCGTCCGACTTGCTTCGTTCCAAAAACTCGACTTTCATCGTTGTCTCATCACTCACAATCCTCCCGACACTCTCCGCCCCAGGAGGGACCGTCACCAAACTCCGACTCGTCAACTCCCACTTCGTCTCTTCCTCGTCCTCGAAGTGCGCGTAAAACAAAGAAACGCGTCCGTCTGAACAGACTCGCAATCTCGCGTTGCCATCCAATAAAGTCACGACTCGTCGAGATGTTGTTGGATTCTCCGATGATGATGCGTTGTTCGTTGTTGTCGTCGCATCGTAATTCGAGGAGTATCGCTGTAAGAGTTTTTGTTTCCGTCTGCGTTCGAGTTCGTCGCTCTTTTCTTTGTTGTTGTTGTTGTTGTTCGTCTTTTTGGGTGTTCGTCCTTCTTTATCCAAGTCAGCAGCATTCAAATTCGATGTCACGTCTTCCACCGTTGGCGCGTCGTTCGCCAGCGCGTTCGTCGTGTTTACGTTCTTTCTTCGCTCTGAAAAAGACGACGGACAATTCTTGCTGTTTTCGTTCGTCGAAGATGCGATGACAGAGATGTTTCCACTTTTGCTTTTGTCGTTTCGCTGCGGCTTTGTCGAGACCAAATTCATACAACGTCTTCGTCTCAGAAAAGAAGGCGGCGTCCCTCCTTTCCCGAAGAGTCGTTGACCTCTCGAGGAAAAGGACGGCTGCATTTTTCCTTTTTTAGTATTATTCCTTTTTGTTCTCTCTTTTTGTTCTCTCTTTCTCTTCTTCTGTTGTCCTTTTACGATCTCGACTTTTACGACTTTATTACGATGATGTTTGTGTGTATCGTGCGATGTTACGTGTTTTTATCGTTTACGTGTCTCACGCGCGACAGCGTAGGAAAGATGAGAGATTTTAATGATGAGAGTAATTTTAATAATTTTGTGGCAACGAACGACGAACGACGCTTTTTCACGCAACACCGTTATCCAGTCAGTTTTTTTATCGAGAAGAACTTTTGTGTTTGTTGGGAAAACGAACGATGATGAGTTGTTCACGAAAAAAATTTATTCAACAAAGTACCCCTCACATCAAGCACGAGGTAAAGACTACGTCAAAGTGTACTAAGTTTACCTCGGAACGCGCTTATGATACTCTCTCACTAAAATTCACTCTATTCTCCTCTCTTTCAATGTCTCAAAAACGTTCTTTTTCACTGCGTCGTACCTTTGTAAAAACACTTTGTACTCGTCGAGGTCCCAGGTCGCGTCGACTCTTCCGCCCATATCCGAGTCGATCGTGTTCGGATGAAACGTCGCGTTCATTTTTTTCGCCGCTTTTTGTTTATCGCCTCGAGGTTGAACGAAACGGATTTTCGATTTGGTTTTCACGTCTATGAATGGAGAGATGAGTTTCCAAAAGACGGAGAAGACGGATGGCGGATCGTAGCACACGGCTAAGCCTAATCGCTCCGGGTAGTGTTCTTGCATGATGTGCAACGTTTCCATGCTCGTGCGCCACGGCGGGGAGAGTTTTAACGACCACTTTGTAAAGTTAATCAAGACGCAAATCTGCTCTTGCGCTAACGCGGGTATGTTGGAGGAACCTCGAACGATGCGTTCGCCATTCGTTCGCCACAACGCGTTCTCGAACGTGTACACCAATAAACGAATGTTGCCGTCGTGTTCTCGAGTGTTTTCTCGCGACGGTCGCATGACGATGATGCGTCGACCGGATCGATCTCTCCCCGAACGGTACTGTTTCCCAGTCTTTAACTCTTCTTCGATATCTTCAAAAGTAATCAGCTCCGGTTTGTATTCTTTCCTCCACAGCAACGTTTTCTTTAACATTTCAAACGCTTTCAACACGTCCCATTTCCTCGCGCGCAAGTTTCTCGCCAACTGCGCGTCCGAACAGTACATTTTCAAAGCGTCCGTGGATAACAACTCCTCCTTCTCCTCGTTGACCAACTGACGCAGTTCGGCTATTTTCGTTCGCTCTTCGACGGTAATGAGCGACTGTTGCGAGAGCGCGTTCGAACCCGCCGCGGGTTGTTCTTTCGCCACAATCGCCGTCCTCTTCGCCTTCTTCGTCTTCTCCGTAGTAACCGTCTCCGCTCCGAAGGTCTCGTCGATGCTCACGCGCTTCACCAGCGGCGATTTCTCACTCGTCGCATTCGCATCCCCCGCAAGGCCTTTTCTGTCCTTTTTCCTTTTTTCGTTTGGCGTGAAATCGTCCACCGTAAAACTATCCTCCTCTTCTGGGTTCATCGTCACCGAGCGCGAATAGTCTCTCTTGATGGTTTCCTTCTTTTCCTCTTCGTTTTCCTTTAAAACGACGTTTCGATGTTTTAAGAACGACACCAACACGCGAACGCAAAGAAGAAGAACAAGAACGAACGCAATCACAAACGCGACCAACAAAACCGTCAAAACATCCTCGTTGGTTACATAATATTTCCTCTGTATCAAACGAGATCTTCTTAAACTTTCCACGATCCATTCCCGTCGCTTGATTTCTCGCGAGATTTGTTTCAGATTTCGTTTCCCGCCGAGAACGGTCTCGAGGAATGTTCGTCGGAGCGATGCGATGGATATATAATCAGCAAAAGATGACTTCGACGACGAGGAGGAGGATGTAAAAGTCCACGAAAGCGCTCGTTTTTTCATTCTTCCTCTTCAAATTGTTGTGCGTATCGCTTCTTCTTCTTCTTGACTTCTTCTTCTTCTTCGAATGTAAAATGTGTTAAAGTGGAGCAAAAGAAGGGACGAAATTGCTCCAAAATCTTTCCCGCACATCATAGTAATAGTATAGAGCATTAAAATGGAAAAGGAAATGTCCGCCGAAGAAGAAGAAGAAGAAATGGGTGGAAATGTTGTCGTTGAAGTGCCGCAAACGTCTCGCAAAATCGTTTTCGCCTGTCGCTACGACCAGTGGCACACACATTTCAAACGCTGGACGTTTCCGTCGGTAACCATCTCGCCTTTACTCGATTCGGACGTCTTGTTTTTGCTCAAGGATGAAGTAAGAGTCGAGGAGAAGAATAAAGCGGCGATGCCAGCGAGGACGAGGGTAGATGTGTACGATCGATTGGCGATAGACAGCGCGTTCGATGAAGACGACGAGTTGTTTATTACGGACACTAATGATACTAATAAAAGTCCAAGCGAGAGTTTGTTAACAGCCATCGCGAAAGCGATAAAACAGTTGGGAGGAAGCGCGCATCCGAAACTGACTTGGTCGGCACCAACCGACGCGATATGGTTGACGCAGTTCAGCACGAAATGTTTAAACGCGGACGAAGTGATGTTGCTTTTGCAATCGAGCGATCGAGTGGCGCACGATTTAGACGGGAGCGCGTACGCGTGCTGTCGCGAAGACGAGGACGAGGACGAGGACGAGGACGAAGATAAAGAACGACATCAACAAGAATTTCATAGTTTAACTTTACGGAAACACTCGGTGTCGCTGGAGTTATCGAGAGAATTTAGAGTGTTCGTGGTGAATGGAACCATCACGGGCGTCTCGCAGAGAGACGTGACGTCGTTTTATCCGTTCTTAGTGAACGAGAAGAGTAAAATCGGGTGGACGATTGAACGCTTTTGGAAAGACGAGATACGGCCGTCAGCGTGGCACAGGAAGATTTGCGGCGATGGGAGCGTAGCGTCGACGGAGAAAAGAAATGCGTTTTCGAATAAAAACGGGTATTGCATGGATGTGGTGCTTTCCAACGATAACGAGAAAGTGCGCTTCATAATCGATTTCAATCCGTTCGGCGGCGCGACGTTACCTTTACTGTTTTCCTACGACGAACTCTCCAACGACGACGGCAACGAAATCGCGTTTGAAGTGAGGGTCGTTGAGACGCAAGGTAAAGTTTTGCCGTCGAAAGGGTTTGGCGTGCCGTTTGATTTAGTCGATACGAGCGAACATTCAGCCATCGCGGAGTTTATCAAAAAGCAACAGGAAAAACAACATCAATAAAAGCGATACCTGGTACGAATAGAAAAGTAGAGTAGAAGTAGTAGTAGTAGTAGTAGTAGTAGTTGACAACGCGCGCGCATACATCGAAAGAACATATCATAAATATAGTATCGCAACATCATCGCTATTTTTGAACTTCCAACGCTTCTAGTAACCCGCCAGCCTCTTCGAATGGTCCCCACGTTACTTTGGTAAATCCAGCCTCTCCGACCAACCTCTCCACGTCTTGCGACCAATCGCACCCTTTTGCCATTTTCTTCACCATCCCACTCGTCGCAGATTGATACGTCGATAACAACGCGTTCTTTTTTGCTCTCGAGTGTTCGAACAAGAGTAGTTTACCTCCTTTCTTCAATACTCGTTTGGCTTCTCGCAAAGCTGCGTCTGGTTTTTCAAACACGCACATGGAAAACGTATCCACGACGTAATCGAACGTCTCGTCCTCGTACGGTAACGATTCCACGTTTGCAATTTCAAACTTTACGTTTGTGTTCTTTCTATCGTCGCTATTATCTTCTATATCTCTTTTTTCTAACTCTCTGAACTTCTCCTCGGCTTTCTCCAACATCCCCGGAGATAAATCGATGGCGGTTAAACTCTTGACTCGTTTATAATACGGTAAGTTCAATCCAGTCCCTACGGCTAGCTCTAACACGTCTCCTTTTACACGTTCGAACATTTTCGTCCTCAGTTGATCGATCCCTAACGTTTCGACGACTCTTTTATTCCCGTCGAGATCGTCGTACGTTCGCGAGTACGCGTCGTAGTTTTCTTTCATTTTATTATTTTCTTCTTTGTCTTCTTGTGCACGAGCGGCGAAGTTGTTGTTGTTTTTGTCGTTCGTCGCATCCAAGAATACCAATTGTGCTTGCGTTGACATCATTACAATCGCGCCTGTTTTCAGCACGCCTTCTCGTCTCGAAATCGTTTTGTTGTTGTTTCTTTTTCTGTCGTCCTCATTCTTCTTCTCTCGCGCTGTCGAAGCAGCAGACAAAGAAGAAGATGATGAATGTGTTTCGTAACAACTGCAACAACTCCTTTTATTAAAACTGCTTCTGAAGATGCTCTTCTTAATCTTCTTCTTCTTCTTCTCGAAAGACAAAGTTTTTGTTGTTGTTGTCGTTGCTACTGCTACCAACGATGACGACGATGATGATGGTATTCTCGGGATTGTCGTCGTCATCATCGGGTACGTATCAGCGGTATTATTTTTGCGCAAACAACAACACCAACAAAAACGTGTGATGTTGTGTTCGATACTAAAAAAGGCACACAACGAAAGAGAAAAGATGATGAGAGCAAAAAGCACAAAAAGAACAAAAGAGTAGCACACACAAAAGGGACGATGAGTGATGAAATTGTTAAAATCGAGCTCAAATTTCACACCATATGTACTCTATTTATATGTGGACACACGCCCTTTCCAAAAAAGGATATATATACTTCTGTACTTTTTGTGCGCTCTTCTGTGAACTCTCGGCTGACTTTCACGCGAAAGAGTCGCTCACTTTCTCTCGTAAAATTCGCCGTCGTCGTCGTCGTCGTCGAGTTGTTCGTGTTGTTTGCGCGCGCTCGAGGCACGAAAGACGAAAAGAGAGCCTCCTCCTCGTGCTCGCGCGCGCTCTTTAAGAATTAATGGAATTATTCGTAAAGATGTTCAATTTGGAACGACGACGACGACATCAACAACAACAACGTTTTCACCGTTGCGTGTTGCAAAAGATGTTGATGACGATGTTGGCTTTTATCGTCATCAACAACAAGAATAACGGTGTTGTACACGCGCACCCGTATTTAATTGGCGATACTCAATGTACTACGCCGCATCCGACGACGAGACGACACGCGCACGGCGCGCCGACCGAGGATGCGTCGATAACGTTCCTCGTGTCGTGGACGAACCCGGAAGGGTCGAACGCGGAAGCGCTCGGGGAAAACGATCCAGAACGAGTGATACCGGAGAGTTGGTCGGTTGGTGGGAACAAGTATTGCAAATCGTGCAGACTGACGTTGACTGTGAGACATACGGATCAGCAAACGTATAAAGAGTTGGTGACGGTCTCGAGCGGGACTTTGTTGGAGCAAGGTAGAAATATGGACGGACAGTTGAACTACGGCGACGGCGCGAAGTGTAGCGGGAAACGGTACGACGCCGGTTTTCAATCGAACGTACATCATTACATATGGACCGCTCCGAATGGGGACGTCGGGCCGATTACGGTGAAAGTGACCGGAGCGAGCGGGCAAACGAGTCAATTTAAGACCAACGCGGTGACGTTGACGTACGACGAGGCGATAAAAGAAGCCGTAGAAAATAGCCAACAGCCGAGTGCACCGCCGGGCGCGGTGAATCCTTTCGAAGGGTTAACCGACGATGAAGCCGTTCACGGATCGCAAGGGAAAAGTAAATCGGTGAGAATCATCGTCGCGCACGGTGGGATCATGTTGTTTTCCTGGATGGTTTTTCCGCCCATCTTATTATACGCCGGTCGATTCAAGGAGAACATTTTCGGCAAACACTGGTATCTCGTGCATAAGTATACGGTGACTTTAATGATGTTGTTCGTAGTCACCGGATTGATATTAGCAAATCGGTACCGAATTGATACGTTGGGGAGACTCAAAGGTATCATGCGATCCAGACACGGGATTGCCGGATCCGTCACCGCGTTTTGCTGGTTCGTACAACCCGTTCTGGGGTACTTTCGACCGCCGAAATTTTTAGAAGTTGGAGGCGGTGCGACGACGACACCGAACCTGAAGAGGACAGTCTGGATGTGGATGCATAGATCCGTTGCATTGGCGTCGGTGTTGTTTTCCATATTCGCCGTTAGAACCGGGTTGAAAGACCACGACCCGGAGATGACGTTTGGCGAAGAAGCGATTGAAGAGATTTGGAACTTGAATTTCTTCATCACGTACGTCGTGCTTGCGTATATTTGCATCCCGATTTTGCTCGAGATTTTGAGTCGCAAGAGAGGGAAATCGACGAGACAATACTCACACATGGAGCTTGAAATGGGCGACTTGGAGGTGGATACGTAGCGAGATTGGTACCTGGTAGTGTATAAATATTGGTGTGTAAGCATGGATAAATAATACTGTATATATGGCAAACATGCTTCTCTACTGCGTGCGGCAACTCTTCGTGCTTACAATCTGCATCAATAATAACAGTAATAATAATACATGATCAATCAACCCGTGTCTATGTCGTCTTTTTCTTTTTCCTCTTCAATCTCAACTCTTTCTCCTCTTTCGCGTTCATCTCGTCCACGCGATCATCGATTTCATCCGCCAACTCTGGCCAATACAACAATACGCCGAATAATACTTCCAGCCACACGTAAAACGGTGCGTATAAACTGGTTTTTATAAATGTGGGTATAAAGTACCTCACCCCGCCTCTGGCTAAAGTCGGTCTCCTTTTTTCAATCACGCCGTGCCCGACCACCACTTGCATGAACCAACCTCCAAACCATCCGTATTTAATCACTTGAGGCATAATCGGCGTCCACGAATACATACACGCGATACTCATCAATGTGCTCGGTATCCCCCAACACATGAGCCACAACGTGGCGGCAAAAAAATCTCTCGTCGATGCGTAACAAATGTAAAAGAACGCGCACGCCGCGTGCGACATCGTCGGTTTCGCGAATATATACAGAAGATGATTGATGCCATACTTCTTCGCAAAATCGTATGCCATATCAACCATATATTCTGGCACGGGTATTTCGTATCGTTGCAAATAGCACTGTCCGGTAAAAATCAACATCGGCATGGTCAGTAAGTGTAACCATTTGTTCGCAAAGTTTTGGTGCTTGTGAAAATATTCCGCCGCATCGTTCACGAAATTTTCTTTGATAATTTTCTCCTCGTTTTCGTTTTCCAAAATCCCAGCCGCAGTGAACATCTCTTTCGCTATTTGCTCCGTCGTCGCGCGTTGCGAGAGCTCTTTTTTTCTATTTTTATTCTTATTCGTTTTTTTCTTGTTCGACGATTCTTTCGTCTTTTCGTTCGCGTCGTTTGCGGGTGGTGGCGTTGGTGTCGCCGTCGTCGTCGTCGTCGTCATCTTCATGTCGTACGTTGAGTCCCTTAATTTGATTACTTAAAAAAGTACAGAGTATCAACAGAATAGAATGACGACGACGATGTTTTTCAGTCGAACGAAGAAGCGCACAAAAGGAGCGCTTATTTATATAACGCGCCGCGCGTAAAGTTTCTCTCTCACTCCTCTCTCTCTCTCTAAAATCTCTCTTATTCTCTCTTCAACAGATGAGAAGAAAAGAGAGACTCGAAAGGCTGTAAAACTTATATGACGTGATGAGAAAAAGAGACGAGAGAATAATAATAATGGTGACGCAACAACGACGAAAAAAGATCGAGGATGACGCATTTTTTTGAAAGGCCCGAGGAAAAAGCTCCCGTCAACAAAAAAGGACACTTTCAACGAACGTTTTTTAACCTTCTTCCTAATGTGTGGTGCTTCATAAAAAATTATTCATCGTACAAATTCTGTTGCTGCTCTTCTGTTTCGAGAGCGCGCACTGACAACAGATCGTGTAATAATAATCTACGAATAAACCAATAACAAATATATAAAACGATACATAAAAGAATGAGTTCTTCTCCGTCTGCGATGATGACGACGATGAGGAGTACTTCTTCTCTCATCGCGACGACGAATTTGAATTCCCGATCGAACGTTATTAACAAGACGAATAAAGTTGGGGCATCATCATCAGTTGGTCACGACGGCGCGAAAAGAGGCGATCGATTCGTTCAAAAATCGTTCAACACCGACGACGAGAAGAGTAACGCGAGAATTACCACCTCTTCTTCGCAACAAAAACGGTTGACGTCCCAACAGCTCGCGTTGTTTGCCGCGCACTATCACCACCACGCCGCCAGTAACAACAAAAGACGAGGGCAAAAAACCAACTCGACCAAGGGTAAAAGCGACGCGAACGTCGTCACGTTTGCCGCGGCGAGTTCGAGCGGCAACTCGGCTTTGGTGAATGGCAAAGGTGCGAACGCGAAGAACCTCGGGTATTCGGTTTTGGCCGGTTTACTCTTGTGGATCTGCCCGGCGCCGGCTGGCGTCACCGCACAGGCGTGGCATTTGTTCGCCGTGTTCGTGGCGACGATTGTCGGGATCATCACGCAACCGTTACCGTTGGGTGCAGTAGCTATGATTGGTCTCGGTGTATCCATGACGACGGGTTTGTTGCCGTTTTCTGCGGCCTTTTCCGCGTTTGCTAGTGAAATTCCGTGGTTGATTGCGATTGCTTTTTTCTTGGCGAGAGGCTTTATTAAAACCGGCTTGGGGAACCGCATCGCGTATTACATCGTCTCTTTGTTCGGTGCCTCGACTTTGGGTTTGACGTATTCCCTGGTGTTTTCCGAAGCACTTTTGGCGCCGGCGATCCCTTCGTTGGCGGCGAGAGCCGGGGGTATTTTCTTGCCGTTGGCGAAGGCGTTGTGCGTCGCGTGCGGTTCCGATCCGGCGAATAAGACCGAGAAGAAGATGGGAAGTTACGTCATGACAACTGTCTTCCAAACGTCCACGATTACTTCCGGTATGTTCATCACTGCGATGGCAGCTAACCCGTTGTCGGTCAACTTGGCCGCTGCGGTTACTGGTATTACAATTACCTGGGGTCAATGGGCCTTGGCGGCTTCCGTCCCGGGTTTGATTTGCTTGATCCTCGCGCCGTTGGTGTTGTACGTTTTGTACCCGCCAGAGGTGAAAGATTCTCCGGAAGCGCCGGCGAAAGCTAAGGAAGAGCTTGCAAAACTCGGTCCAATGTCCGGTGACGAGAAAATTATGTCTTTTGCGCTTGGTTTGACCGTTTTACTTTGGGTCTTTGGCGCCTCCGTCGGCGTCGGCTCGGTTGCAGCCGCGTTGAACGGCTTGACCATTTTGCTCGTTTCCGGGGTCATCTCCTGGAAAGAGTGCTTGGCTGAAGGTCCGGCTTGGGATACTTTGACCTGGTTTGCCGCGTTGATTGCGATGGCCTCGTACTTGCAGAAATACGGTTTGATCCCGTGGTTTGCGGATTCCGTCGTTAAAGTCGTCAGTGGTATGGGCTTGGCCTGGCAACCGGCGTTTTTGGTCGTCGTATTGTTGTACTTTTACTCGCACTACCTCTTCGCATCTGGTGCGGCGCACATTGGAGCAATGTATACGGCGTTTTTGTCCGTCTTGATTGCCTGCGGCGCACCGCCGTTGGTTTCTGCCATCATTTTGGGTATCTTCTCCAACATTATGGGATGCACCACGCACTACGGCATCGGCTCGGCGCCGCCGTTTTTTGGCGCCGGGTACGTTCCCTTGGGTACCTGGTGGAAGATCGGCTTTGGCATGTCCATCATGTACATCACCATCTTCTTGGGTGTCGGATTTCCATGGTTTAAGATTATCGGTTTGATGTAAAATATTATATATTATCATCGAATCGTCTCTTTCGAACACAAAATGCTTCATGATTCATTTTGGACTTTATTGTATGCATGAAAAAGATGGCGGCTTCTACACACAAAACATCTCGCAACGACGTTTTAATAATACATCCAATACACACACACACACAACATTATCAGCTTTATTACTATTAATAGTACGAACATACAATTTACAACATTGGACTCTCTCTTTCTATATTCTCTTTTTTTCTTTCCCTACTTTTTTAAGAGCGTCGATAGAATTCCATATCGGCTTTCATCTGCTCTTGGTTCACGTTCTCAATCGTTCGGTAGCTATCTCGCATTCTCTTCCCGTTTTCCACGCTCCCTCCCGGCGGCACCCACACGAACAATGAATATAACCTCCCTCCGTACACGGTGATCGTGGCAAAAATATGCCCGAATGATTCCGCGCCGACTAAATCGTAATCCGCGTATAACTGCCCGGGACGGCCTCCCTTGCCTTCCTCGTCTGGCTCTATTTTTCCAATGTATCGATCGGTGATCGTTGGTTCCCCATCTACAACGTAAATTGCATCTTGCAACGTGTAATCGCTCAGCGCTAAATCTTCAAAAGTCCCCATTCGATCCTCTTTCAGCTTTGTGTACCCCGGCAACGTTATGCAATACGCCTTCTCCGCTTTTTTATCCTTCGGGTTCACCCACCTCGCGTCGGTTCCGTTCGTCGATTTCTCCGTTTTGTTCACCGTATCTTTCTCGTAATTGGATGGGATTTCGAAATAATACTTGAACTTATCGAAGTTATTATCGGACCCGCCGTAGCCACCGTAGGAAGAGGACGAGGTCGCTTCGCCGTAGAAACGCTTGAAACCGTCTCCCAAGTCCTTTGGGTTTTGGATGATTTGTCCCGAGCTGTCCGTGTTTTCTTCTCCCGCGTGTGCGACGCTCTTCTTCTTGAAGGACCAAACAGGAGATACACAAAGAGTATTTTCAAGAGTCGTCGAGGAAACGATCGACGGAAGCGAGGCCGCGGTCAAGGAGAGCATTAATCGCCGCGATGATGAACGAATCTGTTTTTGTTGTTGGTGTTGTTCGTTCGGCGACGCAGATAACGAAATCTTCTCACCGTCGTCATCTTTTCGTTCCGAAGAAGAAGAAGAAGAAGAAGAAGACGCAAAGAGAAGGAAAACGCTTCCGCGTTGCTTGCCGCTGTTACATCTCGCGTTCGCTGTTGAAACCTTCAGCGATGATACCGACGACAATTCGCAGGAGGGCAGCGTTTGAAACATTTTATTTCTTCTTTATCGAGACCGGTGAACAACAGAAAGAGAGCTGTTTTGTGACGAAAGAAAGGAGACAAGAACGACGCCCCCGCCTCTCTTCGCGGAAGAGCAGAACGTTAAAAAGCGATTAAGTTATTATTTTGTATTCATTTTAATTTCAAAATAAGTATATATGTTTTTAGTTCTACAGCAACTTCCATCTTCCGAGAACGATGGAACGTACCAATACACACCACTGAGCTCCTCCTTCTCTCCCCGCTCTCTTTTTTTCTCTCTTTTCCTTCTCTCGAGAGAAATCGCACCTCCTCCTCTCTTTCACTCTCTCTTCACCTTAATCTTCTCTAAACGCGCAGTACCATCTGAATTTAGTTCAAGGACATCGCGGTGTTGGAGGTTTCGTCGGAACCAGCCAAGACGGCGCCATCCAAGTACGCATCCGCCAATTGGACTCTCTTGACGTTTTCTTGCTCGTTCTCCAAAGCTTTGCCGTATTCGAGCAAGATTTCAATGGACATAGCCGGCGCGTCGAAGGACACTTCTTCGCCCTTTCTCACGTTGACCAATCTCTTGCCAATGTTTTCGAGGCCCATTTCTTGGATGAACTCTCTGACCTTGTCGTCGTACACACGAGCTCTCAAGGCGCCAAAGAAATCGATGGATTGACCGTCGAAGGCTTCGACCAAGGAGCGAACGTCCGCCTCATCGACACCATCAGCCTTGAAGATACCGTTGGCAATACCAACACGATCTTCGAAGGTCGGGGCCCAGTAGAACTTGTCCATACGACCATCACGAACCAACGGAGCGTACAAGGTGGAGAAATCGTTACCGGTGGCGATAACCGGGACTCTCGGGATTTCGACAACCTCGTATTGGCCCGGCAACTGAACGTTCGTGGGGTTATCCGCGATGTTCATCAACGTGGCGTTAACCATTTGGTTGTTGACGGTGTATTGCGTGGTACCGCCCATTCTACCGGCCCCGGCATCGAGATCGTTAATGAACAAGGTAGACAACTTACCCTTCTTGACGATGTCGGACGCCTCGCGATAACGTTGACGAACCAACTTGGCCGGCTCACCGGCGTTACCGGATTCCAATTCACCAGCAGACATGACAATCGGTGAAATGCCCAATTTGGCGAAGATCAAGTTCGACTGGAAAGTCTTACCTTGACCCTTACCACCCCAGACGCCCAAGATTAACGGAACCTTGATCTTCGGCAAGTCCATAAAGTTCTTCGCGACGTGCACGGCGGTCTTGTCCAAAAAGGACGGGGAGATGTAGTAGTTGTTACCATCGACGGACAAGTTGTCCAAGTTCTTTTGGCCTTGGGAGATGTAGTCCGTGGAGGACATGACGGCGTTGTGCGTACCGCCCATACCGAAGCCACCTTGAAACTTGGAGTCGACCATGTCTCTTCCTCTGGCGATGTCTTGTTGGTCGTCGGAGATGTCCTCGTCCATGCCTTTCCACCTGGACATTTGCACCTTGGAGCCGTTGGTGACCGAGGACACCTTGGAGCCGATGAAATTCTTACCCGCGAGGGAGCGGGTGTTGACCTGTTTAATAATAACACGAGTGGCATAGAAAGAGATATCTAAAGGTGAGTATACTTTTACTAATTTTTTTTGTAAAATGGATAGAAATTTTTCCCGTCGCACGTGTCGTTCTGAGACCAAAAAAGGACACGTGTTCCTTCGCTCTCTCAAAGAACCACTACGGCGAGTGGTCCCTCTCGAATTTAATCGCGCGTTTAAGTAAAACTCTCTGTTAAACGCGACATCGAGAACGATTCCTGAACGCATAAAGAAGGTGCGCGCGAGTATAATTGATACACATTTACGCTCGCTTTTCTCGTTCGTGCGCGTCCTCGAACCACTGCGATGCGCTTTCCGCGTTCACGATCTTGTCTCTCGCGATGGGTAATCTATCTTCTTTCTTCTTCTCAACTACCGAGAAGAGATTATAGAGAAGACAAAATTTTCGCGCCAAAATCGGTCCGCCGCGCGTACTCCTCTTCTCACAAAGATGCGAACGTTGAATCGAGCGAGAAGAATGAAAATCGCGACAAAAAATATAGAACACTTACCGCAGTCGTAGATCCTAATTGCGCGATAGACATTTTGAGTATGTGTATTATGTGATTGGATATTATAAAAGTGAAGATTCCAGAATCTTTTTTCTTTTTCCTTCTTCTTCTTCTCTCGTGGCCAAGAAACAAAAAATCTTGTTGTTGGTCTTTTCGGATGAGCCACGTGGTGAAAACAAAAAAGAGGAGATTGAAAAAAAGCAAAAAAAATTTACACACAGTCACCATTTACTTTCTCAACTGTGCCAGAGAAGAGTCGCACCAACGTATTCGAGAAAGTTTCCTTCTTCTTCTTCTTGTTTTTCCGAAGGCACCTCGTCCTCACAACAATTAGAGTATTGGACAGACAGAACAAACAAACTCTCTCTAACTAAAATGAAACGCTTGTTCGGAGTGAAAAAGACGGTGGAAGCGCCTTCGTTGGAGGAAACGACCGGCAAGGTAATACTTCTCTCTTCTTTTCGTCTCCTTCTTTGTCTTCTTCTTCTTTTTTCTTTTCTCGTCGCGCATCCAAAACTCATTATTCATCTCCGAGTCCAACACCACAAAACAAATTGAATTGACATCTTCATTTTCATTCTCTTCTTCTCTCTAATATTAAACAAATAAAAGTTGGACGCTCGCGCACAGTCAATCGACCAAAAGATCAAACTGATCGACCAACAATTGGCAAAATCACGAGACCAGATTAAGAAAATTCGACCCGGACCATCGCAAGACGCGGTAAAGAAAAGAGCCTTGATTATCTTGAAGCAAAAGAAAATGTACGAACACCAACGAGACCAGTTGTATTCGCAACAATACAACGTCGACTCGGTGGCGTTCGCGACGGAAAACGCCAAGGCGACCGTGGATACGGTGCGAGCGATGAAAGCGGCGTCGAAAGAGTTGAAGACGCAATTTAAACAAAAAGAATTCGATATCGATAAAATAGACTCGTTGAACGACCAAATGGCGGATTTGTTAGAGTATAACGAAGAGGTGCAAGAGGTTCTCGGACAGTCGTACGCGACGCCGGAGGATATAGACGAGGACGGGCTGATGGACGAATTAGACGCGTTAGAGTTGGATTTAGAAGAAGATTTGGAAAATGAGATTGGAAATGGGGAGATTCCGAGTTATTTAAGGGACGACCCTTTACCGGCGGCGCCGGAGGAAAAACCATTAGGCGCGATGCCAAACGCGCCGAGCGAAAAAGTCCCGGAGGCGCCCGCACATGCTACCAACGCGGGAGAAGTACCACCACAGAAAGAAACCGCGGAGAAAGTTTGATATATATATATTATCTTATAGCAACATAGTAGAGAGTATTAATGTAGTAGGCCTTAATTACAAAACAATAACGATAAAATAATAACATCAATCAATCAATCAATCGAAATTTATTATTAACGAGCTAAAGGTCCGACTCGAGCGCAGTCGCCTTGATGCGCTTCGCACAACAAACCACCATCGACGGCGATGATTTGCCCGTTAATGTATCGACTGCATGGCATGGCCAAGAAAGCAACCGCCGCCGCAATATCTGTCACCTCCGCTGCACGTCCTAACGGCGTACTCTTCTCCGCCTTTCTCAACGAGTTCGCGTTTGCTTTCAACGCTTTCGCCAACATCTCCGTTTTGGTGACCCAAGGGGCGACGCAGTTTGACCGCACTTGCGGGGCCCATTCACACGCGAGCGTTTTCGTGAGTTGTGCTAAAGCTGCTTTACTCGCCGCGTAAGCGACTCCAGAACCGGTGGATGATAAACCAGCGACTGAGGAAACGTTGATGACGGAAGGATTTTTCGAAGATCTGTATAATCTTTCCGCAGAGGCGACGCACATGAAGTACGGCGCGGCAAAGTTCACGTCCATGATTTGTTGGAAATCTTCAGCGGTTTGCGCGGTAATCGCCTGTCGATTGTTCCAACCGGCGTTGTTTACGAGAACGTCGAATGAATTTGCGCCAAAAAACTCATCGCACATGAGTAAAACTTTTGAGCGGCCTTCTTTCGTCGTGATGTCGGCGTCGATGCCAGACACTTTGTTCGCGCCGAATTTTTTCCTCATTTCCGAGACGGCCACATTCACGCTCTTTTGCGTTCTCCCGCACACGAAAACTTTGGCGCCTAACCCCAAAAACTCCTCCGCGCACGCGCGTCCAATGCCTCGAGTGCCCCCAGTGACGACAATGCGGTGGTAATCCAACCGCCATCTTGATTGCGCGGCTGTAGTGGTGGTGGTAGCTTTGGCGTTGGTAGTAGTAGTAGCGGTAGTTGTTGTGGTAGCGGTACGAACGGGCGCTGAAGGAGGACGCCCGATTCCTTGATGTGGTTTTTGTCGAATTTCGTTCGTTGTTGTATTTGTCTCTACTGATTTCTCCTTTGGCGGTCGTCCTCGACCGCGCTTTGACGGTGTTTCAATGACTTCACCGAGACTCGGCGGCGGCGGCGTTTTACGAACCGCCGGTTTAAACGCGCCATTGCGCGAAATCGGTACAAACTTTTCCGCGTACGGCAAACCCATTGTCAACGTCATCGCTCTCGATACGTTTTCGTTAATCTCCATAGTAGGGAAGGATTCGAGTGCGTGGAGGTTGACGTCTCGAGAACGTGATTGTTTTTTTTGTTGTTGAGGTGGCATCACTCTCGCCGGGTTCTTCCTCGGTCGTCCCGGACTCTTCTTCGGTAGATTCGCTACTGGCGCAGCCGCCGATGGTTCTTTCCTTGGCCTCCCCGGTTTTCTTTTCTCCGTCGTTTGAGTAGACTGTGGCACAGATCGCGATTGTTTTTTTTGTTGTTGAGGTGGCATCACTCTCGCGGAATTCTTCCTCGGTCGTCCCGGACTTTTCTTCGGTAGAATCGCTACCGGCGCAGCCGATGACGGTTCTTTCCTCGGCCTCCCCGGTTTCCTTTTCTCCGTCAAAGTTTGAGTCGTCTTTGGCGGTCGCCCTCGTCCTCGCTTCTTCTCCACGCCTTTTGACTGGAGCACCAGTCTCTTTAAAACAACATCTTTCGGCAACGCCGGTGGTCGCCCTCGTCCTCTGCCACCACCTCTGCCTCGTCCTCGTCCTCTGCCTCTGCCTCCTGTGGCGCCTCGGTCTAGTCTGTTCTTTTCCGCGGTCGTTATCAACTCAAACTCTTTACGAATAACAATTCCTTTTTCTGGAGCAGCTGAAGTGGTTTTCGGTTCTGGCGTTTTCGGCGGTCGTCCTCTTTTCTTCTTCGTCGTCTTCTTCGAATTCGATGATGATGAATTCACCGATTTAACAACCGGGAAATTCTTCTTCGTAATTGCGCTTTTCGTTTTAAAAGTCGTATTCATCTTCTTCTTCTTCGGTGGACGGCCTCGACCTCTTTTCTTCTCACTTTTACCATCCGTACCACCACCACTCGCAGCAGCAGCAACGCTCGATGTCGGAGTCGTCGTCTTCTTCATCTTCTCCAACGTCTTTTTATTCTTTGAACCTTTTGGCCGTCCCATTAGTATTAGTATTATTATTCGTAATTGAGAGTTGTTGTTGTTGTTCGCGTTGTTGTTGTGTGGGAGAAAATTTTTTTTTTTTTTTATTTGAGATTTTGAAGGCAAATTTTACATCATATGCAAGAGTACCAGGTATATTACATACCCAGTATGATAGTATTAGTTGACAACGTCTACGAAACCTTCTAAAGCGAACAAACGAACCAAGGCGTACAACACTCGATCGCCAAAGATGTCAATTTTCGTCGGTTTCCCCCCACTTTCGGTTTTCGTTTTTCGAGGCCAATACGGCTGCGTTTCCAACCGGTTGGAATCCGGAGACGGGACGCCGTATAAGGTGAGGCGGTTGCATTTGGAGAGGGCGAAGAAGAGAGCAAAGGCGCCAACTGGTGGCGTCTGGCGGATTTTGAAGTTTTCGCCCAGGTCGTTGAGTAACGCACCGGCGGTGGTGTACGCTTCGCGGATGGCATCGGCGAAAGAAGCGTCCAAAGCGATCGCGTGCGTGAGTTGATCTCCTCTTCCTTCTTCTCCTCCGTCGTCGTCGTTCTCATCATTCTCTTCGTCGGTTAAGGATAAAGCTTCTCGAATTTTCTCCTTCGCGACGTCGTCTAAAGCGACCAGATATTTAGCAAACGGCGACGTATATTTCTTCATCACTTTTCGATCTTCGCCCTCGTCGCCGTTGCCCCCCGCACTTTCGTCCTCGCTTTCGCCTTCCATCGAAGAAGAAGAGGTGGTGGTCATCGTCGTTCCAATCGTTACAATCGATTTCTCTTTCACCGCCTCCCCGGACGAAACAATGTCCTCAAAAAACGACGACGTACTGCTACTACTGCTACTCCTACTACCACCACCACCGCTCACAATCCTATACGTCGCTCTCCTCCCTACAAACTGTTCGTACCTTTTCGTCGGCGCGTCGTCCGTCCGAAACACCGCGTCGTTCGCGTCAATCTCGCCGCCTCTCTGCGCGTCCGTCACGATAGCCGCCGTGCCGACTAAAGCGCACGTTTCGTATTGCTTCTTTTTATTATTATTATTATTATTACTACTACTACTACTGCTGCTGCTACTAAATATATCCATCATCGGCAAGTCTTTCATCTTCGTTAAAATACTTTTCGATATCGTTGTTTTTGTTGTTTTTCGCAATCTCTTGAAAGGCGTCTCTACTAAATCGTTCTCGCGCAAATCGCCGAACACATTATTTGTATCCTCCTCCTCTTCGTCGTCGTCGTCTTCTTCTTCTTCTTTTCCTTCTTCTTTTGAAAAGATCATCGGGTTTCCGGGTGGTAACGAAGACAAAGACAAAGACAAAGACAAAGAAGAGTTGTTGAAATGTTCAAAGTAAAATCGCACGCTTTTCGAACAGACGACGGCGAACGACGCGAAGAAAAGAACGACTCCGACCAAACGATGAGAAGATGAGCGCGACGTGAACGACAACGAAGAGTTTGGAAGAACTTTTCTTTTTCCTCCTTTTTCCTCCTCCTCCTCCTCCTGTCGTTTACGTCGAATCATAATCTTCTTTCAAAGAAAGAGTGAGTGAAGAATTTTGGATTTTTTTTCTCAACAAACACACAACGAAAAAAAACATGTGGAAAAAACTTTTTTTAACTACCAGTATAACACTTCACACGTTCTATGAACGCACCTCTCTCTCTCTCTCTCTTAAAAAAATAACTCTCTTCTTTGTGAAGATGACGATGCGTTGAAAAGTTGAGAAGTGAAGAACGTCTTCAATAATGAATACTACCACGAATACTACGAATACGAATACGAATACCAACGATGATGATGATGAAAATTTCCTTCTCAAATCGAGGAAAGAAATGCTCGACTCCTTCCTCTCCCCGGAGTGTGATTTTACGAGAGAGCTCGTGGAACGAGCGGCTGCTGCTGCTGCTGCGACGACCACCACGACCACCACGAGTACGACGACGAGTGCGACGACGACGATGGTACAGTTACACGCACCTCCACTGAGGAGCAAACGAGACAGATTTATGAGCGCGTTTAAAGGACAGATAAAACCGTTGCAAAGCCATCGGTTGTTGGACGAACGGGAGAGGATATTAGCGCTGAGCCAAATGCCGTTGAAATGGAACCGGAGGAAGAAGTTAAAGAAGAAGAATGAGAAAACAAAAACGAACAACGATGGTAATAACAATAAGAATAATCATAATAGCGAGGAGGAGGAAGAAGGAGACAAAATAGAATTAGAGAAAGCGGACGAAATGCATCGGAAAATGGTGTTGACGATTTACGCGAAACTCACGGGAGACTATCGCGAGGAGGAAATCGACGCCGTCGGGAAGCACTGGGAAACGATCGGTTTCCAAGGTGAAGACCCGAGCACGGATGTGAGAGCGTGCGGAGCGTTAGCCGTGGCGAACATGGTGTCGTTTGTATTGTTTAACGCGGCACCTGCGATACCCGCCGCGGCGAGCGCCGCGAGTGGGAACGCGAACAACGGCGTCACGCTCGGCCGAAACGCCGTGGCTGTCCACCGTCTTTCCCGGTGCCCAGGCCAACAGTTTCCAATGTGCGCGTTAGGCGTCACCTTCACCAGCTGGTCCATTCGTGTCCTCGAGAATGGTTTCCTAAACGAGCACATAAACGACCGGAACTCCAAGTTCAACTCCGTCTGGGATTGCCTCGACAGTTATTACGTCGGCGTGTGGAACATCTTTTATAAAACCTGGAAACGCGGGAAGTATTCCTTAAAAGACGCCAGCGCGGTCTTGAAACACTTAGAAAAACACTTAGCGTGCAGAACCGGGGTTAGCAAAGCCATTCGCGCCAGCGAGCGGGTTTTGGATATGTAAATGGATTTCTAATGCGAGTAGAAGTAGTAGAGTAGTAGAGTTCATATGAAGCAGCTCTGAGTTTTTTTTTTCAGATTCTCCACTACGAGTACTTCCTTCTCACGACTTACTTTGAGATACCACCACCACCACCACCAAAATGGCGTCCACCACCACCACCACCACCAATAATAATAATGAAACTCCTGATGCTCCTCTCGCTCCTGAACAACTCTTATTCTCGTCTACGGATTCGGAAACTTTATCGAAAAACATCTTAATGGTTGGCGCCGGTGGCATCGGATGCGAGTTGATAAAAACGCTCGCCTTGACTGGTTTCCGAAACATTTCCATCATAGATTTGGACACCATCGATATCTCAAACTTAAACCGGCAATTCTTATTCCGAAAGAAACACGTCGGGATGAGCAAAAGTCAAGTGGCGAAAGAGAGCGTGGAGAAATTCGCGGGCTCGAAACAAACGGGGATAAACATTGAAGCGTATACCGGGAACATCAAAGAGGAGCGATTTGGGTTGGATTTTTTCAAAAAATTTGACATCGTGCTGAACGGTTTGGACAATCTGGAAGCGAGAAGGCACGTCAATCGGTTGTGCTTATCCGCGAACGTGCCGTTAGTCGAGTCCGGGACGACTGGGTACAAAGGCCAAGTGACGGTGCACTTGCGAGGGAAGTATTGTTCCTGTTTCGAGTGCGCGCCGAAACCGGTCCCAAAGTCGTTCCCGATTTGTACTTTAAGAGATACGCCGAGCACGTTCGTGCATACGATAGTGTTCGCGACGGATCTGTTGTTTCCGAGATTGTTCGGGGCGAATAAAGAGGATCCGAGCGATTTAGACGAGGAAGAAGCGCGAGATGCGTTTACGAGGAAAGAGAACGAGGCCGGGACGGCGTTTGCGAAACGAGTGTTCGCGTACGTCTTTGAGAAGAAAATCAAAGATTTGTTAGAGCGAGAAGACATGTGGGCGAACAGAGATAAGAAACCGGAGGCTTTGGACTCAGAGACGTTGTTAAAAACAAAAGAAGAACGGACAGCGACGACGGGTTACGGCGATGCGCATAAGAAGTGGACGATGGAGGAAGCGTCGGAGATTTTTGTTCGGTCCGCCGGGAAGTTGTTTGAAAAAGGCGACCGAATAAGCGAGTTTGATAAAGACGACGACGACGCGGTGGCGTTTGTCACCGCTACGGCGCAACTGAGATGTGCGAATTATGGCATCGAGTACATGTCTAGATTTGATGCGAAAGGTGTGGCCGGGAACATCGTCCACGCGGTAGCTACGACCAACGCCATCATTTCCGGGTTAATCGTCATCGAAGCTTTGAAGATTTTAAATGCGCAAAAACATCTCGATGAAAAAGAAGAAGGAGAGGGCAAAAACGATAGATTGATTAAACTGGCAAACTCTAGATACACATTTGTCGGTAATTTTAACGCCGGACGACAGCTGTTGCAACCGCTCGCGCCAGACGAGCAAAACCCAAAGTGCGTCGTCTGCGCAAACGCTCGCGCCGAATTGTGTTGCGACATATCCAAGACAACCTTAGCCGACGTCATCTCGAAAGTTTTGAAGAAGAAGTTGAACACGAACGAACCTACGGTTTTGAAAGGCGACGATATGTTGCACGAAGAAGGGGAGGATTTAGACGACGACGAGGTGGAAAACTACGCGATAATCGGGAAAAGAACTTTACAAGATTTAGGCTTGGAGTCTGGCGGTATTTTATGCGTCGACGATAACAGTCAAGAGCTGAAGTTTGACTTGGTCGTCGTGCATCAGAATTTGGAAGAGTTTGACGAGGATGCGTTCCCGGAAGGGTTCGAGTTGAGAGGTGAAACGCCAAAGGTTGCGGAAGGTGCAGAAAAGGAGAAGGATGAAGACGGAGCGGCGACTGATGGGGAAGCGAGCGACGAAATAGAAATTGTGGAAGAAGGGGTGGAGATTACGAAAGCGGTTGAATCGCCGCGTCTCGGTAAAACGAAAGCGATAGCGTCGTCGCCATCGCCGGCATCTAAGAAACGGAAGACGAAGTGAACTCATTCAGTTTGGGGATACACACGTACATATATAATTACAAACAAGCCGCTCTATAATAAAAGTATACATACTTTATAAAATCGAAAAAGTTGACTCTCTCTCACGCCTTCGTTCTTTCTTCTACACAGAACACATACTATTAAAGATCTAATAAGCAATTTTACGGATAACTCTTATACGACGCGTTTTCTTCCTCCTCCAACTCTCGGTCGATAAACTTCTCGTATTCACTTTCGTTCATTAAATCCGAACACTTCTCCACTTCTTCTCCGATCGCTTCGCACTCTAAAATACTCGCGCTCGGCACGCACAGTTTGTACGCCTCTCGGACCATCTCGTCGTTAAATCGAACATTCGTCACTGGAAACGGTAATTTCAAATGTCTCGTCCCGTTGACGTTGGACCATAAACTGTGGTATAACTCATCCGCGGCGGTTCTGTGAAACCCGGACCATTTCAAAGTCGCCAACGACGTTTCGTTTTCGATGAACTCATTTTTTGTTTGTGAGTTTTTGAGCACCTTCTTCTCAATCTGCAAAACGTCTCCTATTTTATCGAATCCAAAGTCGCTGATGGCAACGGCGACGGACACATTTTTATTCGCACTACTCTCATCATCGTCATCGTCATCGTTCAAAGACGACGATGGTCGCTGAATCGTGAGTTTTTCGTGCGTCGTGGTGTACAAAATCGTCGTTTTTGGTTCTGAAGAAGCGTCCGCTTTTTCTGCTTTCGCGACAAAAGAAGAGGAAGAAAATCGACGTCGTCGTCTTTCTTCTTCTTCTCTGAATGGAAAGGACACGTCTTCTGCCTTTTTTTTCGTCGCAGCGTTCGAAGAAGAAGGTGGAGAGAAGTAATTTTGAGCGCTTCTGGTGCTATAATGACTCGCAGAAGCGGTGGTAGAAGATGACGCGGACCCCGATGCGTGTGAGAGAAAGTAGTTTCTGCACACCGCGCGCAAAGAAGAAGAAGAAGAAGAAGAAGAAGAAGAAGAGCGTTTCATTGTTGTTGTGTCTCTGATGGGTCTGGTGATTTTTTTTATGTATTTTCGTGGTTGTCTGATGAGGCTCCTTGCAAAAAAAAATTTCTCGCTTCGTTTGCTTTTCTCTCTTCTTCCTCATTAAATTAATATAAAATGGAAGAAAAACTTCTACCAGTGTGATGATACTATGACGAGCTTTATATACGCTTTCGCGGTGGAATTTTGTTGAGCGTCATAATCATCGCGCGAAGAAGACGAAAGAGTTTGTGTGCTCGTGGTGAATTCTCTCTCTGTCTGTCTCTCTGTCTGTCTGTCTGTCTGTCTGCGCGCGCGTGTGTGTTTCCTTCAAAGTCGTCTTTGAAATTTGTGAAAACATAATGTACCCGAACCAGAGACAACGCCCACAAAGAGGAGGAGGACGACGACAACAACAACAACAACAACCGTCTGCAAACCCACGGCAATCATCTGCTCCCGGACAGTCTTCTTCTTCTCCGTCTGCGTCTGCATTTGCCCGAGGCGTGGCTTTAATCAGCCCGAGAGGTATTCTCAATCAGTCCAGACGATTTTTCGATGACTATCAGAGACGACGAGAGAGAATCGGTTTTGGACGACAACCGAGGTATCGTCCTTTGTTGGCGAGAGAAGAGTATCAAGACGGCAGCGGGTTTCAAACGCCGAGATTTTTATCCAGCTGGTTGAGAGGTCCGGGTGGAGTTTTATTATTGTTCTCGATCGTCTCTTTGTGGTTTACCATGAGAACTTTGGATCAGTTCACGCACCAAACGCACGTCGACCACCGAGACAAACACGTCTCGAGGAAGTTTTGCGAAGAGAGGAACGAACGCGCACCTTTGATTTGCGCGCATGGAGGATTGCACGGCGGCGTCGGGCAAGAAAAAGGCGCGTCGTTTCCAAACACGGTATCTGCTTTTGTCGCCGCGAGTAGGGAAGGATTCGAGTGCGTGGAGGTGGACGTCTCGAGAACGCGAGATAACGAGTTGGTGTGTTTACACTCGCGAGAGTTGAAAGCGATTACGAATAATAAGTTTGAGAGAGTGCAAGACGTGACTTTAGACGTCATACGAATGCATGCGAAGAAGAAAGGCGTTTGGATATCCACGTTTAGAGAGGTTGTTGACCAAGTCGTAAACAGAGGGTTTAAACAAGTCACGATTGACGTGAAGGACGACCCGAAAGCGGGATGGTCGGGATTACCGGAACAAATATTCGAGACTGTTTTTGCGGAAGATAGTAGCAATCATAACGGGGGTGGTAGAAGTAGCAATAATAATAAGCATAATAGTAAGAGAAGTTGCGAAGAGTGCGTATTTTGGGGAAAAACAGACGCGATGTTGAGGAAATTCATAGAATTCGACGGCGGTAAACACAAAGTCGGGTACACGGTGGCGAATTTCTCCCGTGCGTTGAGAGACGAAGGGTACCACGAATTGAGCATAAACAGACCTTTAGGTGCGTATTGCGTGGCGATTCAATCGGAAATGGCTGAAGAAGAGAAACTCGTTCGAGACGCGAACGATAAGTTAGGTTTAAAGACGTTCGCGTGGACCGTAAGCGACGCTCGAAGAGTGCGGAAGTTGGCGAACAACAACGTCGACGGCATAGTTACGGACGATCCGTTGATCGTTCGAAACGTGTTCGAGAAGATGCGAAGGGACTGTTTGAGAGGTAGCCACCACGTCCGCGACGAGCGTTTGTGAGATGACGATATAGTATTGAAGAAGATAAGTCTAGCTTATAAATAGTAAAACACACGCGTCTTCTACTACATCTTGTCACCGCGCAGGAAACATTTTGAAAAGAACTATTTTCTTTTTTGCTACATATTACTACTCCTACTCCTATTTCCATTATCCTCCTCCGAATCCGCTGAATCCCATCGCTTTCATCATCTCTTCCTCTTCTACGGTCTTCTCCACCTCCTCCTTTGTCTTCCCCATTTTCTTCGCCTCTTTCTTCAACCGTTTCCTCTCTCGCTTCGCCTCGGCTTCTTCGCGTTCTTTATTCGTCGCGTGTTCGATCCTTTTCACTAAATCTGTTTCAGTATCGATGCCTTCGTCTGGATTTTCCCCTCTCTTGATTATTTCTTTCCTCTTTTTATGCACCGCAAATCTGTTCCTCACTTGCTCCACCGTCGACCGTTCCGCGTGTATCGATATCCCTCGTTCGCGTTGCGTTTTCTTCGAGTTGATGTGGTCTAAATAACTCAACGAATCGTGTAAAATCACTCCGGTTTCTTTACATCGAAACCCGGATCCTTCCCCGGTGTTTGGATTTACCAACGTCACCGTCCCTACTTTACTCTCTAAATCTTTCTTAAAATCTCTCTTGATCATGTTCTCTCTCGTCAGTGGTTGTTTCACGACTAAACCAAAATCCGACGCTTTCGGTTTTTTCTTGTCTTCCTCCTCGACGCGTTGCAACGCTTTCGCGGCGTATTCGGATTTGTCCCATTTTTTTCTCGTCGTGTTATCGATGCCCGCTGCTGCTGCCGTTGTTGGAGGGGACATTTTTGTCGCTCTTCTTCTTAAATCCTTCTTCTTCTTCTTCTTCTTCTTCTTCTTAATGTATCAAATCAATCGATTAATAATGCGCAATACGAAAGCGCAAAGTGTAATCGTGTCTTAAGTGAGTGTAAATTCACAATAATTTTTCTCTCTTCTCTTCTCTGTTTGGAGGAGTCTTTTTTGACGGCTCAAAAATTCTTCTTCTCCTCTCACGCACATCAACAACAACAATTAAAAAGACATGTAGAGAAAAGAAGGAGAAAACCACAGAAAAAAGAATCACATCCGAAATGGCTTCGTTTGCAGAAGCTCCCGCAGGAGACGTCGCCAAGGGTACGAGAATTTATATACAGGATTTCTTTTAACATTCCTTCCTTCTTTTGTGTTTTTACGCGTGACTCGTTTTACTGACGTATTGTCTCTCTCTTTCTTTTACTTTCGTACTCATAGGCGCGAAGATTTTCAAGACGAAGTGCGCGCAGTGCCACGTCGCAGAACCGGGGGGAGGACACAAACAGGTACGAGAGTGTGTTTTCGTCGTCATCTTTTCTCCGATAGGCTTTGGAGTGTTTGAGAGGAAAGGGTAACAAGGATGTTCGAGCAGTTTCAGTCGATCGTGCGATCAGATCTGGTCGTCCCGGACGCGCTTTCTTCGCGATTGGATTTGTTTTCGACTCGATCGATTTTGGGTGTAGCCCGTGCAAGGTGAAACGTTATCGAGTTTCTCTCGTAGCGGCTGAGAGAGAAGCGAGAGATCTTTACAACGACGAAAACTCACACACGTTTTACTCTGTTTACTACTGACTTAAAACCAACAGGGACCAAACTTAGGAGGCCTTTTCGGTCGCGTTTCCGGCACCACGGAAGGTTTCTCCTACTCCGCGGCGAACAAAAACAAAGGCGTCAAGTGGGACGAGACGACGTTGTACGACTACTTGTTGAACCCGAAGAAGTACATTCCAGGGACGAAGATGGTTTTCGCCGGCTTGAAGAAACCGCAAGACAGAGCCGATCTGATCGCGTATTTGAAAGACAGCACCAAGTAAATGAACCACCACGTTTTAATCTATACTATTCTTCTATTAAGTTATACACCCTCCTCGGTAGTCCTAATTTTGCCCATCGAAGGAGCGAAAGAAAAAGCAGACACAAACACAAAATTCAACAAAAACTCTGAATTCTCTTCTTCTATTTCCTGTACTCTCTACTCTTATTCTTATTGGTGGTGTTCTGTTTCGAATCAGTTCATTCATACGCGCCCAGACAAAGAAAGGGAACCGTGAAATTCAAATCGCGCGCACTCGCACAGAAGAAGAAGAAGACGAAGTGGAAGTAGAAGTAAAAGAAGACGAGTTAGGGAAATCATCAATTCAATCAAATCAATTCACTTAATAAGTATTAGATACAAAAAAATTCAATAGTCAACCACCATGTACGGGGGCGATGAAGTTTCCGCGATCGTCATGGACGTCGGAACACACTCCGTTAAAGCAGGATACGCGGGACAGGACACACCGAGCGCGGTGTTTTCATCCGTAAGTGCTGTTGTTATGTATTGTTTCTTTTTTCTTCTCTTTCGTCTTTTGCGTCGTGTTGTTGCCGCCTTTCCTCGATCGAGAACTCTTTGTCGTTTATGCTTGAATACTCACGTTAAAATCTGTTTCTTTCTCGATGGTTTCGTGCGTACGTACAGTCTGTCGGACGAGGCACCGGGCAACTGGGCGGTCCATCGAAGGATTCCGACGCGGAAATGAAAGACGCGGACGACCCGCACGATATGAAACCGAAATCGATCCAAAACACAAACATATTTCGAAAGTCTCCTCAAGACAAGGATTTTTTCGTCGTAGACTCGGATAACATCCGGAGAGACGACGTTGAATATTGCTCTCCATTTAACGCGGACGGCGTGTTGGACGATTTAGACGCGTACGAGGCGATATGCGACCATGTGTTTCGAGGTAGGTTGTGCGTGCAAACGGCGGAACATCCTATTCTTTTGAGCGAGCCGGTACTGACGCCGGAGGCGAACCGGGAGAAGATCGTGGAGTTGTTGTTTGAAAAGTATAAATTGCCGGCGGTTTTTTTGGGTAAAAATCCTGTTCTCTCCTGTTTCGCGAGCGGGAAGGCGACGGGCTTGAGCGTGGATGTTGGTGGACGCGCGGCGACGACGTGCGCGGTACACGAGGGGTACGCGTTGGTGAAGAGCGTGATTCAATCGAAAGCTTTAGGCGGAGATTGCTTGACCGAAACCACTTTACGATACATGGAAGAGAAAATGAAAAACGAAGTTAAACCTAGATACGCGTTCAAGAAGAAGTTACAGACGGGTGGAAAGAACGACGGCGAGTTTAAAATTGAAAATTTATCCTTTCCGAAAACGTCCAAATCGTACAACTTGTTGAAACGACATCAGATTGCAGAGGACGCGAAAGCAAGCGTGATGCGATTATCGGACGTGCGTTTGGATTTAAAAAACAGCGAAATCAACCAAATGCCTACGGTACAGTACGAGTTGCCCGATGGGAACACCATTGAAGTTGGCGTGGAAAGGTTCATCGTTCCGGAAATTATGTTCAACCCGGCCATCGTGGACGAGCTGAAGTTGAAAGGACCGCCAGTGGTGGACGACATGCAAAACGCGATGTCGTTGCCGGCACAGGTTTTAGCGAGCATTCAAAACGCGGACGTGGACGCCAGAAAGGATTTGTTTGGCAACGTCATCTTAACCGGTGGTGGAACCATGTTTGTCAATTGCAAAGAGCGATTGGAAAGCGCGATTTTCGACCACGCGCCGCAAAATGTCAAGACGAAAGTCACCGCGAGTCAAAACGCAGTCGAACGACGATTCGCGACGTGGATTGGTGGGAGTATTTTAGCCTCGCTGGGGTCTTTTCAGCAAATGTGGATGTCCAAGGCGGAATACGATGAATACGGTGTATCGCACATTCACAAAAAGTGCCCTTAAAAAACGGAATGTAATATCTGAAGAAACTATAAAATTTTCATCTACTAAAGTACAATGTTCTTCTTCTATTCGTGCGTGTTTCTCTCGCTACTATGTGTGTTGTTTGTTTTTCGTATGTTTATCTCTCTTTCTTGCGACAATGATACTCTCTCTCTCTCTCTCACGCGCGCGAATATTATTTTGCGAATCGATACAGTATTATATTCCATTTTACGCCGCAGTCAATTTCCTCTTCTTGTTCATCATCTTATTCATCTCGTCCGCTCTCATCTTCTTCTTCAATCCGTCCAATAAAGCTCTGAACTCCTTCTCCTCCACCCCATTCGCCTCATCTGTTTCGATTTCCAACTGTTTCATCAAATCTTTCTCCTTCACGCTGCTCCCTTCGACTATAGTCGCCGCGATATCGCGAAACGCGCGCTTGCGTTTCAACCACGTCTCACAATGCGTCACGAATTTTTTTTCCGTTTCCTTTTGCGCTTTCATGGCTTCTTTTAGCGCGTCCTTTTCGCCTCCTCCTCTTTCTTCATCTTTTTTCTGTTGTTGCGCCATCAACTTCTCCTTCAACGGTTTCACCTTGTTCATAATCTCTCCGTTCTCTTTCGTTTTTTTCGTCGTTTCCTCTCGAATTTCCTTCACTGAAATCTGATTCTTATGCGTCTGCAACTCTCGCATCTTCCTCTGAATCTCTTGCTTCTTCGCCATAACTTGCTCCGTTTTCGTTTTCACCTCCAATTCCAACGCGTGCACCTCTTCTTTTCCCAAAACATCCTCCGGTTGCAACGCGTAATACAGTTTTGATTTCCCACTCTCTTTAAACGATAATTTCTTCTCCTCGACCAAATTATCTAAATACCTCTGCGCGGTGGCTTTTTTCACGCCTTCTTTTTGCAACGCGTCCGCGAGGTTGGTCGCGTTGAACGGACGGTTCTGTTGCGTGCAATATAAAAGGACTAAATCCTTCGACATTTTTGTTGTATCTCTGTTGTTGTTGTTGTTGTTGTTGTTGTTGTTGTTGTTGTTGTTGTTGTTGTTGTGTGTAAATATATGAGAGAACAAGAATTTTAAATTTTTCTTTGATGTTGTTGTTTGTTGTTGTGGGAAAATGGATCCCGACCATCGATATTTAGTGTCTCAATGCGAAGAGAAAAAAAAATGGAGCGGCGTCGAAAAGTTTTCATCATCATCATCATCGGATCTTCGTATAAAAACGCTAAAAACGAGCCCGGTTGACATTCAATTTAGCTCAATTCGCGAAGAGGAGGATATTTCTTACGAGAATCTGACGTTGTATCGATCGTGACTCGTTCGCACGCGGAAGAAAAAAGGAGGATTTCGCGTCTTTTTTTTTAATTCGCGCATAACGAAAAACACCAGCTTTAAATTCTTCTCAAAAGTTTTACCCTCGATTGAAGAAGAAAGTCTTTGATATACACGCTGAATACAAAGAGCGCGAGATTTAATATAAACAGAGAGAAAGAGAGAAGATGGGCACCATCAACCAAGTCATCGAGAGAGGATGCACCATGCTCGTCCATTTCGACAAGTCTGCGTCATCGAAAGAAATCAAAGAGTCACTAGAAACCGGATCGAACGAAGAAAAGGCGGACGCGATGAAGAAAGTCATCTCGTTGTTAATGAACGGCGAACACTTACCGCAGATTTTCATCACCATCGTTCGATACGTTTTACCGAGCGAGGATCACTTGGTGCAAAAGTTGTTGCTGTTGTACATGGAGATCATTGAAAAGACGGACAGCGAAGGAAAATTGCTTCCGGAAATGATCTTGATTTGCCAAAACTTGAGGAACAATTTGCAGCACCCGAACGAGTTTATTCGAGGGTCGACGTTGCGATTTTTGTGTCGATTGAACGATCCAGAGTTGATTGAGCCGTTGATTCCGTCTATCGTGCAAAACTTAGAGCATAGGCATCCGTACGTGCGAAGGAACGCGGTGATGGCTATTCATAAGATTTACACCGAAACGCCTAGAGGCGAGATTATGATTCAAGACGCGCCGGAGATTGTCGAGCAGTTGTTGAATGGTGGAGAGTCGGATTTGAGTACGCGACGTAACGCGTTTTTGATGTTGTATCATTCGGATCAAGATCGCGCGGTGCAATATTTAATGGCCAATTTGGAATCTGTCGCTAACTGGGGCGATATCCTACAAACAGTCGTTTTGGATTTGGTTAGAAAGGTGTGTCGAACAGATCCGTCGCAAAAAGGGAAGTACATTAAGATTATTTTGATGTTGCTGCAAACCAACAACACTTCTGTGATTTACGAGTGTGCAAATACGTTGGTTGCGTTGAGTAACGCGCCGACTGCGATTAAGGCAGCGGCGAATTGCTATTGCCAACTTATCGTCTCGCAAGGCGACAACAACGTCAAGTTGATCGTGTTGGATCGATTGGCGGATTTGAAAAAGAATCACAGAGAAGTGATGCAAGATATGGTTATGGATATTTTGAGAGCGGTGGCATCTCCGTCCGTGGATATTCGTCGAAAGACGTTGGATATTGTTTTGGATTTGATCAACTCGAGGAACATCGAGGAGGTGGTTACCGCGTTGAAGAAGGAAATTATCAAATCGCAAAGCGATACCGGTTTAGGTGCGAGCGAGAAGAACGCGGAATATCGGCAAATGCTGGTACAGAGCGTTCACGCGTGCGCGGTGAAATTCCCGGACGTTGCCGGTTCTGTCGTGCACATGTTGATGGACTTTTTGGGCGATCCGAACACGGCGTCAGCGTTGGATGTGATTATGTTCATTCGAGAAATCGCGCAAACGAATAGCGGTATGCGCGCATCGATTTTGCAGAGATTGTTAGATTCTTTCTACTCGATTCGATCGAGTCGAGTGTGTGCGACGGCGTTGTGGATTATTGGCGAGTACTCCGAAACGAGAGAACAAGTCGAAGAGGCGTTGGCGACGTTGAAATCGAGTTTAGGCGAAACGCCATTCTTTGAACCGCCCTCGGACGAACGATTCGTGGATGATGCGGAGGAAGAGAAGGAAGTGTACGAGTCTGGATCGAAGCGACCGATAGTTTTAGCCGACGGTACGTACGCTACGCAAACGGCTGTTCAAACCTCCGGAGGAGGCCCTTCGACGCCAAACTTGAGAGCGTTGCTTTTATCCGGCGACTTTTTCTTGGCTGCCATTTGTGGCGGTACGTTGACCAAGCTCGGTTTGAGGTACATGAAGAGCAACACGTTTTCGGAAGAGGAAAAGAACCGAACGCAAGCGGAGGTTATGTTGTACATTGTCGCCATCTTGCGCTTGGGGAAATCTCACGTCGTCGCCCACGAGATGGATTACGACTCGACCGAGCGTTTGACGCAGTGCTTCGCGGCGATAGAGTCTCCGGAATCCGAAACCACACGAGTCTGGCTGGAAAACTGCCGAGAATCTTTCTCGTTGATGATCAGCGAAAAACTCGAAAACGACGCGAAAGAACGAGAGAAGAAGGAAGAAAAGCCAAAATCTCAAGCGGATGATTTGATTGACTTCTATCACTTGAAATCAAGAAAAGGTTTATCGCAAGTCGAATTGGAAGATGCCGTGGCGACTGATTTACGCCGAGCGACTGGGTTTAACGACCCAGACGCGGCCTCAAACGCTAGAGATTCCAAGTTGAACAGAGTCTTGCAGTTGACAGGCTTTTCCGATCCAGTGTACGCCGAGTCCTACGTCACTGTTCACCAATACGATATCGTCATGGACGTCACCGCGACGAACAGAACGAACGAAGTCTTACAAAACGTGTGCTTAGAGCTCGCGACCATGGGTGACTTAAAACTGGTGGAAAGACCGCAAAACTATACCTTAGCACCGGGAGAATCGAAACACATTCGCGCGAATATTAAAGTTTCGTCCACGGAAACTGGCGTCATTTTTGGCAACATTGTCTATGAATCCAGAAACGAGGATCGCAACGTCGTCGTCTTAAACGACATCCACATCGATATCATGGATTACATCTCCCCGGCATCGTGCGCGGACATTGCGTTTAGAAACATGTGGGCCGAATTTGAATGGGAAAATAAAGTCGCCGTGAACACGAAGTTTACGGATGTGAAAGAATACCTGGACCACGTGGTGAAGAGTACAAACATGAGGTGCTTGACTCCCGAGTCGGCGTTGGACGGCGAGTGCGGATTTTTAGCCGCGAACTTGTACGCAAAGAGCGTCTTCGGTGAAGATGCTTTGGTGAACGTCTCTGTAGAAAAAGATAAAGATGGAAAACTTGGCGGATACATTCGTATCCGATCCAAGACGCAAGGCATTGCGTTGAGTTTAGGTGATAAAATTACTTTGAAGCAAAGAGGGCCGGAGAAGTAATTTTGATAATAAGAGTATGAAGAGATTAATATAAGACTAAGGAATGGATTGGCTTTTAAATATATACATATAACGTAAACATAATCACAAACACATGTATGACGCGTCGTCTTTGATTATTGACTGTATACGTCTTTTTTTTCTAATGACATCGTGACTACCAGGTAAACTAAAAAGAAACTACTACGTTAGAAATACACACGCTTTTAAGCTTTGTACGTCCCTCCGGTAATTTTTACATCGCCTTCCAACTCGGGCACGCCTGAATTCCGCGATAAAAACTCTGGAAAAACTTCCTGACACTCCCCTACGCACGCGGGCGCAAATCTGACGTACCCACACACGCGTTCGTAACAAAACTGAACGAATCCCCAGAGTTGATCGAACTGCGCGTCTCTCGCTTTCGACAACTTTTCCAGAGATTTCGGATTCGTCTTCATCACATTCCTCTTCCCGTCATCCTGTTCTCGCTCGAATTTCACTGATTGCGCGTCCAACACCGGGATATTCGACACCCAATTGTCCGCCAAATTCCTCCCAAACACTCTCGACCGTTCCAACTTATCTAAACTATCGTTCACGTACGTCTTTTCTTTCTCCGAGTTGACGTACACCGCCGGTTTATATTGCTCGCCGACTTCCGAGTATTGCCCTTTACTCGCATTTTTCGGGTCGAAATGTTTAAAATACACTCTCATGATGCGCTCAAACGGAACTTTCTCGTCATCGTAGGTGACTTTCACGCACTGTTTCCCATCGCACGTTCCAACGTCCACGAGCGAAACGCCCGCGTACGTCAAGTCTTGATACTCTCTTTCCAAAAAGGAGTAGTTCCCAGCGGCGAGATAGTTTGTTATTTGGCCCGCTTCCGCTGGTTCGACAGCAAAATTCATCATCAGCAGCATAGCCATCATCGTTGTCATCGTCGTCGTTGTCGCGAGAGTGGTGGTGGTGATATTTGCACACGTATCATCACTATCAGATGAGGATAATGCGCGCGAGGATGCAAATCTTTTTTGTCGTCTTCTTCTTTTCCTAGGATGATACCGTGTTGTTCCTGTTGTACTACTACTACTGCTACTACTCGTGGTTGTACGAGCGATACTCATCACAAAAGTCATTTTCATCATCATCGTCATCAATCAGTATATCCAAAATACTAATAAAAGTGTTGAATGAATGAAGAATTGATGAGAGAAGAATGAAATTTTCACAAATTGATCAAATTTTTTCAATTTTTTTCGCTCTTGCAAAAAGGGAAGAAGAAGAGACAAAAGAAAAGATTTGAGAGACGCAAAAATGCCTTCAACAACCACCACCTTCTTCTTCTCTTTTGCACGGTCGCTTTTGCCTCTTTCTTACTCTCGTCCTCGTCGTTTACGTCGAGAAGCATCGATGGGTTCTCCTTCTCTTTCTTTTGTATCGAGCGAGAAGAATACTTCTTACGCTTCTTTTTCTTCTTCTTCTTCTTCTTCTGGAGCAGCGACGAGAGGAAGACGAAAGAGTCGATTTCGAGTGACGACGACGGCGGTGACCAATACTAATAACAATAATAACAACGACAGAGAAGAAGGAGAAGAAGAAGAAGAAGAAGGAGAAGAAGCAACGACAATAACAACAACAACGACGACGACGACACCTTCACCTTTTATTATTAAAAAAATCGAACGGAAGCAAAGAGGCGCGTGTTACGGGTGCGGCGTGAAAATCCAAATGGTTTCACCGTCCGCCGTCGGTTTCGTCTCCGAACTCGACTACGAGACGAAGAAGAAAAATAAGCAGTTGGATTTACTTCTGTGCCTGAGATGCTCGAATTTATCGAACGGGCAAATGATTAACGCAGTCGTTGGCCAAGGTGGACAGAAAATCGAGACCGGGTTAATCACTCCGGAAGAGTTGAGAGAGACTTTGAAAGATATTCGCGGGAAGAAGGCGCTGGTGGTGAAGATTGTCGATTTGACTGATTTTCACGGGTCGTTTCTCCCGAAGATACGAGATTTAGTCGGGAGTAATCCGATTTTGTTAGTCGTGACGAAGTGCGACGTTATTGGGAAAGGGTTCGCAATGGAAAACAACGAGAGTTTAATCGAGTACGTGATCGAAGAATGCGCGAAGAAAAAGTTGACTCTGGCGGGAGATCCGATTTTCGTCGCCGCGAGGAAGCCAGGATCCTCGAGAAGTAATAGCAGTGTTGGTAACGATACTACTGCACCGGGAACGAGAGGAATACGGGGAGAGGATTTGAACGGGATGAGAGCGGCCGTGTTGACGACTATTCGCGAACGACGAGGGAGAGACGTGTACGTGGTAGGATCCGCGAATGTGGGAAAATCGACGTTCGTGAGAGAATTCACGAAGGTGTTGAGGACGGAAATGGGAAATTATTTCGCGCCGTCGAAGAGGTTACCGACGGCGAGTTCTATGCCGGGAACAACTTTAGGTGTTATTCCAATCAAAGCGTTTGAAGATAAGAAGAGTTTATACGACACGCCGGGTGTGTTTTTACACCACAGAGTGAATTCGTTATTAAACGGGGAGCAAATGAAGTCGCTGAAATTAGGCGGCGATTTGAAAGTGTATCGAGCGCCGGTGTCGCAACAAGACGGCAGCAGCAGTACTAGCAACGTTAATAGCAGCAACAACAATAGTGAAAAGTTGAAGAATGTTTCGTTTGATTGGAACGGGTTGGTTCGATTAGATATCCTCGACGCTCCGGAAACGGACGATTTGAACACGGTGAACGTTTCGTTTTACGGACCGAAGAAGATGCGCATATTTAAGTCTAGGATTGACGACATGCAAAAACACGCCGATGGTGGAGACAAAACGTGCTTATTTGATGAAAGTGCGCCCACTCGAGAGTTTTACCAATCGCTTCCAAGCTTGCGCGTTTCCAGAGAGGTGGAGATTAGTCTAGACGATTACAAAGGAAAAGATCTTTCGATTTCTGGTTTGGGCGGATGGATCCGCGTCGTTCGCGAAAGAAATCACACCAAATATACAAACTCTCCCGGTGCAAAAGGAAGCATCACCGTGCGTGTTTGGTCGTTACCTGGTGTGGAGGTGTTTGTTCGAGACGTCATGCCGATTTGATTAAAGCGAACTTTTTTATTTGCATACAAAGTTTGATGCTCCGATGCAGTATGAATTGACAGCGACTTGAGGAGGAGTTTTCTCGAAAAAATAATTAAAAAAAGCGTCAGTTACAACTACTAGTACAGACATGGAATCAACTCCAGTCGTCGACGACGACGACGACTACAACGAAGGCGAAGACGTGAAGCTCACGGCGAAAGAGTATCTCGACCTCATCAAGTTCCACAACGATCCCAAAGGTCCTCTCAAATATACGTTCGTCGATGAAGATCCCTTAACGGGCGAAGACGTAATTTCCGAAGGCGAAACTGAAAACTTAGACGTAAAAAAGTGTACGAATGGAAGTTTAGACTTTGACGACGTCCCCGAAGCCACTCCAGAACAGAAGAAGAATAACGGTTGGACGAAGAACTGGCCAACCGTGTGGCGTTCGCACGAGGAAGATCTAAAGAATTTCAAACCTGAAGAGAGAGAGCAATGGAGGATGAAAGAGATGGAAGGCGAAAACGACCGCGTGCAGTGGTTCGATCTCACCGGCGGAAAGCGAGTGATGGAGGCGAAACAGAGAGCGAGGATCGAGAGTTGCCGTCACGACACGAAGAATTTGAAGATTTGGAGAAAAGAGGCGCGAGAGGAGATTGCTCTCATGCAACGTCTTCGCAAAGAGCACGGGCTCGTCGATGACGACGGAGAAGAAGGGAACATGGGCCCGAGAGAAACGGTGGCGCCGGCGGCGGCGCCGACTGCATTTCTTCGATACGATATCGACGAAGAGAAGATCAACATTCCTTTACTAGGCTTGGGTACTTGGAAATCGAATCCTGGTGAAGTGCGTAAAGCCGTCGAAGTCGCTTTGAAGTGCGGTTATCGACACATCGATTGCGCTTCCATATACAAAAACGAGGATGAAGTCGGCGACGCGCTCGAACACGTTTTCAAGACAACAACGTTGGTCCGCGAAGACGTTTTCATTACCTCCAAAGTCTGGAACGACATGCATAAATACGAGCAAGTGTTACCAGCGGTTCAACAAACGCTTCGCGAGTTGAAATCTGATTATCTCGATCTCTATTTGATTCACTGGCCGGTTACCGATTCGAACACGCGATATATCGATCCTCCGATTGAAGTCACGTGGCGCGCGATGGAACGACTCGTGGATATCGGCGCAGTCCGTGCAATCGGTGTTTCAAACTTTTCCGTCAAGAAGTTGAAGCACATTTTGAGCTTTTGCAAGATCAAACCGGCAGTGTGTCAGGTAGAGATTCACCCGTATTGGCGCCAAGCGGAAATTATTGAGTTTTGCGAACAGAACAAAATTCACGTCACGGCGTATTCGCCGTTGGGGAGTCCGGACTCCGCATCGGTTTTGGGGAGAAGTGGACCAAACTTGATGGACGACGCGGTGGTGAAAGAAGTCGCATCGTCGGACGAGGCGAACAAAAATATCGGGCAAGTTCTCGTTCGTTGGGCGTTACAAACTCGACCGAAAAGCTCAGTATTGGTGAAATCAATCAATCCGGAGAGAATCAAGTCGAATTTAGACGTGTTCGATTGGCAGCTCTCAAATGAGTCCATCGCGACGCTTTCGAGTTTACCGACGCAGAAACGAATGGTGGACGGTTCTTTTTTCAAATTAGAATACGATTTGTGGGACGAAAGAGTCGACGAGAAATCGTCCTACGGCGGTGCCATGCCTTCGGAAACATTCGTCACGGCGGAAACGTTCGACAGAGACGGGAGTAAAAGCAGTAAGTTACACCCAGGATTCGTCAAAAGCGCAGCAGTAGCTGGGAGAAGGAAGTCTGCGGGGGTGCCGTCTACGATCAAAGAAAATTTGAACAACGATTCCTCTTCCTCCGACGACGATATCGAAGATCCACGAAAGGCTTTACGTCAATTGAAAAATCTCTCGACGCGAGGCCAAGCTGCGTTGCGCTAACTCTTCTTCTTCAAATACACTACTACTTTTACACTAACACTAACGCTATGTTCATATCTTCTTTCGCATCAGCAAATCTCGTCGCAAAAAGTTTGAACTGCGTTCCTCGTACCCTATATTTTCGTATAATCGAATGACGCCAACTTTTCTGGTCGATACGTGTAAGTAAACTTCTTCGCGACCCATCTCTTTACACAAACTCTCTCCGCATAACATCAACTTTTCGCCCAATCCTCTTCCTCTCCATCTCGTGTCGATGACTAAATCTGATATGTACCCGCCGTCGTCGGTGAACTGCAACGCTCTGTCAAAGTCGTCTCTTCTGGTTTCTGGCGTGTTGGAGACGCCCACCACTCCGACACATTTTTTACTCTTTTCTTCTTCTTCTTCGTCGTCTTTTACCAAGACGATGTACGCTCCTCGTGGGAACGCGTTTATGCTTTTCTCTATGTATTTCTTCAGCTTGCTTTCTTCCGTGGGAAACCCCGCTAATTTACTTCGCATCAATAAAGATGCGACTGCGGGGATGTCGTCCACGTCACACGCCCGACACGTGTACTTGACCCCGTCGTTCGTCGTGAACGTTTTCTTCCACTCTTTTCGAGAAGGTACTATCGTCGGGTAGGGGAGTGCGTCTGTGAATGGATTTGATGATTGTGGTGAAGCCCTTGCGCGTGCTTCTGCTTTTGTTGTTCTTCTTCTGTTACATTTTTGGCGATAGTAATGAACACATGATTTCGCTCCTTCGAAATGAGCCGTCTGCCTATCTCTGTGGTGGCACACCACCAACAGTCGTCGCGTTGGTAAAGTTTTTGCATTCATTTAGTATCTCAGAGAGTTTTTGAGGTGTTTGTTGAAGTTCTTTTGAAGAAAAAAGTTAAATTGAAATTGACAAAAATCACCTAATCGAGCCGCCTTCTCTGATGGACTCTACCGAACACGGACCAGCGGTCGTTTGGAACGGAACGTTCTTATACGTGGCAATTCCATCTTTATTCACCAGAAAATCCGGTTGCACAGCTTCGAACACCTTCTTCTTCGGGTTTAACTTCTCGTCTGGGTCGTTTTCGTAGCCGTCGAAAGTAACGCGTTCACCGATGGCAGCGCCTTTCGGCGGGGTGACAATTTCAACTTTGTTGCTATCGTTCGGATCGGTGGCGCATAAAACCATGGCTTCCGACTCTACACCGCGCATTTTCGTTGGTTTCATGTTCGCGACGAGAACGACACGAGCGTTGAGCATTTTATCAATCGGAATGTGTTTTACCAATCCCGAACAGACTTGCAAGGGTTTGTCGCCGTTGATGTTGATGTTTTCCACGTAAAGCGTATCCGCGTCAGGGTGATTCCAAACTTTCGTGATTTCACCAACGACTAAATCTAATCGCGTGACGTCAATTTTCGTATTCTCCTCGCCTTTCTTCTTCTTCGCCAATTTGGCGGCTTTTTCTTCCTTGCTCGATTGTGCCTTCTTGAAGAGTTCTGCGGTGTCAATCTCGTGTTTTTGAAAGAGCACTTCGCCGACGGCGACTTGGGTCCCAGGTTTCACATTCTCGCCGAATGGTTTGAGCTCCCAGAGTTTGTGGACCTTCGAGGCGTCCATCCCGAGTTTCTTAAATATGTCTTCACACGCGGTCGGTATGTACGGTTGTAAAAACAACGCTGTGATGTACACAGCCTCTAAAGTCGTGCGAATGATCACGTCTCTGCGATGTTTCGTTTCCTCGCCTTTTAATTTCCACGGTTCTGCATCGGTGATGTATTTATTTGCAGCTTTCGCCGAGTTGATGGCTAATTCGCAGGCTTGTTGTAACTGGAACGATTCCATCGCGCGCTCCGTTTTCAATCTCAACAGGCCGACGTCGATTACTTTTTCAAAGATTGGAACATCTGGGACACGACCTTCGCAATTCTTCGAGCACAAATGCGTCGCTCTGTGAACTAAATTTCCGAGCGTATCCGCTAAATCCGCGTTGTGAATCAAGGTCATAGATTCTTCGCTAAATGGAATATCGGACCCGTAAATGCCGTTTCGCATGAGTGCGTATCGAAACGTATCCGGAGAACACCTTTTCAAAACATCCAACGGATCAACGACGTTCCCGATAGATTTGGACATTTTCTGTCCATCCGCTGCGGTGACAAAGCCGTGCGCGAACACAGCTTTCGGCAAGGCGATGTTGCAACTCATCAACATGCACGGCCAAATGACGCAGTGGAACCAGATGATATCTTTCCCGATGATGTGTACATTCGCCGGCCAAAACTTCGAGTAGTTTTCTCCGTTCGGAAAATCACAACCGGTCAAATAGTTTGTCAAAGCATCGAACCAAACGTACAAGACGTGTTTGCTATTTCCAGGCACGGGAATCCCCCAATCGAACGTCGTTCGCGAGACGCTCAGATCTCTCAACTCGTCGTTTTTCAATCGGTATAAAATTTCTCCTTTGCGTCCTTCAGGCTGAATAAACTCTGGGTGGTTTTCAATGTGTTCAATCAATCGCGCTTGATATTTCGATTGGCGAAAAAAGAACGAGTCCTCTTCCATTTGCTTCAAAGGTTTGCCCGAAACTGGGTCTTTGTAATCCATTTCTTTCGCTTCGGTTTCAGTCACGAACGTTTCTTCGCGAACGTTGTACCACCCCGAGTACGTGTCTAAATAAATATCGCCATTCTTTTCGCTTCTCTCAAAGAGTTCTCGACAGCACTGTTTGTGCTTCTCTGAGGTTGTTCTGTTGTAGACATCGTTTTCAATTCGTAACGTTTTGTTTAAATCTTGAAACATTTTCACGTGTTTATCGCACAATTCAATCGGTTTGCACTCAACGGCAGCCGCGGCGTCGGAAATCTTTTGCCCGTGCTCATCCGCACCAGTTTGGAACAACGTCGGTCGACCGTACGCGCGGTGGTATCTCGCGATGACATCCGCACTTAAACCTTCATACGCGTGTCCCATGTGCGGGGCGCCATTCGCGTAATTGATTGCCGTCGTGAGCGAAAACGCATCTTTTGATGGATCCACGGGAGGATTATACGCGTTTTTCAAATCTGAGACGTTTTGCGCCTCTTGCGCGGCGAACAGAAACGCGGACGATGGAGTCGTCTTCGCTTTTTCCATCGCGTTTTGCACAGAAGAGCTTTTCAAAAAGGCGTTGAACCAAGTCTCGATGCTTTTAAACTGTTTCGTTAAGGACGCGTCCGAAGAAGTCTTTCCAAACATCTCCGCGCCGTTTGCGAAGACTGGATACACGCTCGAGAAGAACGCTATTTCACTATTGGTCGGTTGAGTCGACGCGGGCGAAGAGAAAATACCCGGGACGGTATCTTTCAATTTTTTCTCGTTCTTTGATATGTACTGTATCAGTGTATTTAAACTCTTTTCCGCGCAGCACGTACCCACAGTCAAACCGAGCTCGCGTTCGTCCAAGTCTCTAAAGTTGATGAAAGAAGCATCATCACCGTCTCGAACACACAGCAACGCGCTGTTCATGGACGTGCCTTTTACAACCTCTCCGGATGAAGAACAGAGAGCGATAAATAACGTCGCGGATGCGCTGGTGGTCTTTTGCAACACCGCTCCCGTATTCTTGTTCTTGTTGTTTTTATTCGAAGAAGAAGAAGAAGAAGAGTGGTCCGAACAACTGGCGGCTTTCCACGGGTCGAACTCGATTGCTGTTTTGTTTCCATCGACTTCCGCGGCGATGTACACGCGCAGAGGTTTCGAGTCCCCGGCTCGGTAGATTAACTTTAACGAAGTGCTGTTATTGTTGCTCATTAAATATTTGTACTTTGCGTTTAAAGGTGTAAATACTAAGTATATGATGTGTGAGGGTGAACGTCTGAAGAACTTTTAACGCGTGTTGAGGTTTTTCTCGTACGAGTGAAAAAAAGTGTACTCGAAAAAATTCTATTCTTCTTCTATTTCTCATCATCATCATCATCATCATCATCATCATCATCATCATCATCGATTGCCGGCGAGGCGGAGGAGGATGACTTCATGCTCTCGCAAAAGCTGAAACGAGATTTCACGTCTTCCTCGCTCATGACACCAAAGTACTCGATAACTGTGTTGTTATTGTTGTTGTTGTTGTTATCGTCGAAACGCTTCTTCGCTCGTCGCGCTTTGGGTTTCGTCCCGTCTTTATCGTTGATCTCCGGTTTGCCGTAATAATTGAACACGTCTTGCATTTTTCTTTTTAACGCGCCTTTCATGTGAAAGACGCTCGTTTTCGTCGTCGCTGGACATCCAACGTTTTTGCGGCCACTGTTCAATCGTTTGATCGGGAATGTTTGCGGCGGATTTGCATTGAATAAAAAGCAAGGGTAGAAACGCGCGGACACGTGCCGACAGCGGAATCCTTTCTCTTCTTCGTTTATACTGTCAACGACGTATCGAATAGGGGCAGACGCATCCACGAATTTACCTCTGTCGCCGGCTTTGCGGTTTTTGAAGCGTTTAAACCGTCGGGCGAGCCAGTTGGCCACGTCTTGTTCCCAGAAAAACTGAGTTGAGTCGGCCCGCATGTTTGGTCTTTCCGTGTAAAAAAACCACTCGTACGCGTGGACGAAATAGGCGGAGAGTAAAGCAGCTTCCGCGATGCGCTCGGCGTTGACAAAACGTACGCCAAAATTGATCGGCCATTTCTTATTCGCGCCAGACGACCCATCTCTATACGTCCACGCCGCGCCGAACGTGTGCGGCACTTTCGTCTCTTCGTCCCGAAAGACGTTTTTTATCGATTTTGCGAAAATTACATCGGTCGAGTCCATGAAGACGATGTTGTCGCGCAAATGCTGCGGTTTTTGTTCAATTTCGTCAAATATGAACTGTTTCTCTGCCGTGGCCCTCAAATATGTCGTCCACCCTTTCGTTATTTGAGCAAACTCGTGTCTTCGCACCTCTAAAACTTCCGGAAAATTGTTCGTTAAGGGCGTAAAATCTGTCATCGTGTCCGTCAAAACAACTAATCGACACCTGTCGTGTTTATTAATGGCGCTCGTCAAAACCATCGTTATCCCATCTACTTGCGCCTGCGACAGTTCGTGTTCTTCGTTATTGGCAACGTGAAAGATCACAAACGTTATCTTGGCGTTTTTCATTTTCGTTTTCGACGGTTGTGCTTGCTGCGTTTTTGGCATTTCCTCCGCATCATCTTTGTCGTTGCTATCGCTATCACCCTCTCCTTCTTCTATTTCCTCAATAGTATTACTAAGATCATTGCTATCATCGTCATCAACACCGACACTACCACCCCCACTGCTATTACTCCCTAAATAATAATACATCGCTTCCTTCTTGCTGTGCACGCACTTACATGGTCGCGTAGGTCCTCTCCCCGTTTCCTCTAAAGCCTCTGCGATACTTCTCGGTATGTACACCGGAGGTACTTTAAACGGCGGCTTTGGCGCCGTCTCCGCGTCGTACTTTCCCGGAACGTTTTCCCGCTCGTCTGGTCGTTTTCTATTTCCTTTTGGTGTCGTTTTTGTTATCATTGTTGTTGTTATCACAGGAGGAGACGACCGTTCATCTTCGTCGTTCTCTTCTTCGTCTTCTGTTCTCGTCGCTCCTCTTTTGCTGTCCTCTGTTTTCTCTTCTTGTTTTTCTTCTTCTTCTCGAAAGCTTTCCTCCGCCGATGGAGTCGCGGTCGTCTCAACAGCGAACGCGTTCTCCTCTTTCGCCCCGATACTCATCGCATCATCTGCGTTCTCGTACGTGTTCTTCGTGACATCATCATCACCATCGTCCCTTCCTCCAACACCTACCACTCGTCCTCCCACGTCGTCGTCCTGGGAAGGTGAGAACGTGCTCGCGCGATGATACGTGAACACCACACATAAGAAAAGAATGCACAGAAGACATATGAAGATGGAAACTTTCCTTCGTCTTCCTCCTCCTCTTTCTCCTCCTCTTTCTCCTCCCGTTATTCCTGGTATCGTCGTTGACGATGATGATGTCTTCATCGCGACATTATTGGATTCACATGTAAGAAGAGTCTCTCTCTTTGCAATTTTTTTTTGAGAAAAGGTGTTTGTTGTGTGAGAAAAAGAACGGAGGGATGACAAAAAACACACAAAACTGCAAAAAAAGTGTAACTCTTATATGCACAAACGAAGATGATGATGATGATGTTTTACCGTCGCCAACCCAGCCGCCGCGCGTTCGTGGAGTCTATCATCGCTACTACTACTATTACTACTTCTATAACTACCAGAGCGAGAGATGGTGTTGCGGGATTAGTATTGAACAACAACAACAACAACAACAACAACGACAACGACAACACGAAAAGCAGCACGAGCGGTATACTCCTCATCAACAGACGAGGCATAGCTGGACACAGCAACAACAACCGACAACAACAACAACAAAATCAACAACAAAATAATTCTCAGAATCAGATGGAAACGTACGTCGGAGGGAACCGAGCGAGAGTGATTCCATCGCACCAACTGACTTTGGCGCAAACCACGAACCCTCTGTTATACCGAAAGCTCATTCGAAAGCTCATGCCGGGGGTGCCGTTATCGAAACCAGGTGAAAGACAAACGGTGGCTTTGGAGGATTTCATGAAAGAGTTTCAAGTGTTGCACGTGAATAGAGGCGCGGCGGGAGGGATGTCTTCATCGTCGCCATCTTCCTCCGCGACGGCGAGAGGTGGAAGAGGAGGAGACGAACGAGATTTATTGGTGATGAGTAAAGGCGCGAAATTGGTAGGTGCGAGGAAAAGAACGGCGAGGTTTTTTTCACCAACGTTTGATGGTTCGTCGAATAGTACGAGCGTAGAAGGAGGTAATAGCGATGGTCGAGGAGGAGGAGGCGGTGGTGGCGGTGGAGGAGAAGGAGGCGATCGGCAGCATCATAGCAAATCTATGTGGCAAAAATACCGCTTCTACGCCTTTATGCTCGGGTGCGCGTTGAGCTTTTATGCCTACCGAGAGAGCGTCAAAGAGACAGAAAATCTAGAGAAGCAAAACTACACGACGGAAAAAGAGTACGAGATTGAAAATTGGTCCGGGACCAAAAAAGTAGTCGTAGACACGTTCACGCAACCGGAAACGACGGAAGCGTTAGAGGCGATTGTACGACATGCAAGTTTACGAGGGAAGAAAATACGACCGGTTGGCGCGGCGTTATCGCCAAACGGAGTGGCGTTTGAAAAAGAAGGCATGGTATCTTTAGCGTTGTTAGATAAGGTATTACACGTGGACGAAGAGAAGAAGCAAGTGACGGTACAACCCGGAGCGAGAGTATCTGATGTCACTGAAGCTTTGCGAAAATACAATTTGACGTTGCAAAACTACGCGAGCATTCGCGAACAGCAAATTGGCGGGTTCACGCAAGTCGGTGCGCACGGCACAGGGGCGAAAATTCCTCCCGTAGATGCAACCGTAGTTCGAATGAAATTGATAACACCGTCGAGAGGAGTGATCGAGCTTGGTGTGAAGGAAGGCGAAGAGGACAAAAAAGTCATCGATCCAACGTTTGAAGCCGCGAAAGTAGGTTTAGGTTCCTTAGGGGTCGCCTCGGAGATCACGTTACAGTGCGTCGACGCGTACCAATTAAAGGAAGATACGTTTACGACCACGCCCGAGCGAATAGAAAAGAATCACGAGACGTGGATACGATCGTATAAACACGTGCGGTACATGTGGATTCCGCATACAGATTGTGTTGTGGTGGTCGGATCGAATCCGATTGACTCGAAGAAAAAGAAAAGTTTGCCAGGCTTTGGCACAGTACTTTCCTATTTGACGACGCCAAACGAACGCAAACAGAACAAATATCGCACCAAACCAATGATTGATTTGTTGAAAAAGTTAGACAAGGAGTCCGCGAAGAAAGCCGAACAAGAGAACGTCGGGTTCGGCGAACTTCGAGATTTGCTTTTGCGCATCGATCCGCTCAACGTGGACCACGTTAAAAAAGTAAATGCGGCAGAAGCGGAATTCTGGAAGCGTTCCCACGGCACTCGCGTGGATTGGAGCGATCAGATTCTCGGGTTTGATTGTGGAGGACAGCAACACGTGTTAGAGGTTGCGTTTCCGTGTGGCACTTTAGAGGAAAAAGGTGAAAATTTGGTGTCGTCCGCGAACGCTGGTGTTTCTCATCCTTCTTCACTTCGAAAAGATTTACTTTTCATGCGCGATTTACGCAAAATGATCGCGGAGAACAACATTCCGGCGCACGCGCCGATCGAGCAACGTTGGACGAGTGGTAGTTCGAGTATAATGTCACCTTCCCACGGCGAAAAGGACTCTTTACACTCCTGGGTTGGGATTATCATGTACCTTCCGACGCAAGTCGAAGCCGAACGAGAGGAAATAACCGCGCGGTTCACTGAATACGGCGAACAAATGCGCGACGCTCTTGGCGACGAGTACTTACTCAAAACGCACTGGGCGAAAATTGAGCTGGAGAAGAATATGGTGCGTAGAAGTAAACAGGTCGAGCGCTTGAAAACCGCGTACGGTAAAGAAAACTTTCGAGCGTTTAGAGACCTTCGCAGAAAATTCGATCCGAAAGGCGTGTTAATGAACGAGCTCATAGAAGGGTTGTTTGAATCCAAATGATGATACGCGTTTGAGTAGTTTTAGCAGAGAATATATCATAGTATTAAGTTTGAATTAGATTGATGTAAATATTGTAAGGCAGCGTTGTCTAACTCCTTTATTTTGGATGTTTTTTTCGTGTTTTGCCTCATTTTTAACCTCCCCAATTGGTTTACAACAACAACTTCATTTGTGTAGCTACGAAAGAAGAAGAAGAAGACAAAAGAAGAGGAGCAACGCGATGGACGAAGAGGAGGACACGACAAACAAGATGCCGTCTCAAGATCTAGATTTATTCTTAAATGAGTACGTGGAACAATTATTCAGTCAAGAGCTCGACGTAAACGCGATCGGGTTACGAACCGAAGTGGAAGATGACGCTGTCGGCTCGTTCTTACGCGGTGGTGGTGGTGGTGGTGATGGTACGAATGTTACTAATACTACTAATACTACGAATGCGACGACCGCCACCACCACTGATGGAAGGAAACGAGAACGGAGTAACAACTCGACGAATGGAGACGAAAATAATAACGAAGAAGTGCAAAATGCAACAAAAAAGAAAGAAACGACGGTGTTGAAACAAAACGCGCACGCTCAACGACGATACCGAGAACGAATAAAACAGAAATCAGAAGAGATGGAAAATCAAGTGAAGGCTTTACAGGAGAAAGTACGAATGTTGGAAGCGGAGAAGGCGACGCAAGTGCCAATCAACCAACAGTTGTTGGAGCATAAAAACAACCTGTACGAGTCACAGTTGATGATGTTTAAAAGAGCTAGGAGAGCGGACATTGAAAGTTCGACGATGTCATCTGCAATGACGATGAACACGGCGCTGAATGGGGCGATGTCAAGTAAAAATAATCGCTATGAAGCTACAATGGGAGAGATGGTGATGTTGAACGGTATGCCGGAAGTTCCAAAACAGTTTACGCTTCCAGAAGGCATCGATTCTTTGGAAGAGTTCAAGAAACAATTTCCTGAGTTGAAGCATTCTATCAATGGCGTCGGCGATGTCACTGCGAAAACTGAAGACGGGGGATTAGAAGAAGAAGAAGTGATTGTTGATAACACTTTGGAAAGCTTGCATTACAAGTGGATGAACCAAATTTCCGTTTTGTCGCTCACGAATATTGAAGAGAAAACAAATAAGAAAGGCGGCAACGCTGACGATACCGCCGCTAAAAGTGAGGGAAATGATGAAGAACGCCCCCTCTCCGTGAAAGAAGCGAGCGTGGATTTGATTAATAAAATGGTCGATGAAACGTGCACTCTGTGCATGCACATTGGGAACGCTATCGGTAGAGATAACGCCAAAATAAGCTTCGATTATTACGATAACATGGGTTTTAGAAAAGATTTTGACGTGCTTGGAAAGGATGAAGATTCAAAAATGAAGTTTTATTCGAACGTTGTCGCAAATTTAGGTTTGAGCGAGCAACAGAAGCAGGCGCTGATCGCCGTGCACGATATCTCGAAGGCACAGTTCAGAAGACTGTTCGAAGCGAGGGCTCGAATCAACGATGGAATGAAGGAATTGTGCGCCAAAGGTAAGGAAAATACGAAGGACGGAGCTAAAGGGTTGATTCGTTGGCTCGCTGGAAGTTCAGAATCTTCTCGAGTCTTGATTTCAGAGTTACGATCGAACTTAGTCGACGAGAGAGCACTGGCGATGGACATTTCAATGGACGTTGTGCATAAAATTCTCGAGCCGAAGCAAGCTGCGAGATACTTGACAGAAATGTACCCAATGCACCACCATTCGGGTTTGGTTTTATGTAACGCTATATATAGACTGTGTAAATGATAAGAAGGCGAGTAAATTTTACGTTCATTTTACAATTATTGTACTACCAAGCCAAGTGCCCGCGCGACGTCTTTCTTCGACCGATATGACGAGCCGTCAGAACGATGATACGTCTTGTAAGCTGCCGCACTTTTGCCAGACTTTAGTCGGCATATCCTTGTCCATTTCTTTATCACCCAATCTTTTGCTTGTATCAAGTTGCCGCTTCCACCAAGTTCTTTGATGTACTCTCTCAGCGCTTGAACTCCATCTGCCACTTCTTCCGACTCCCACGCAATAGTGTCCTGTTCCTCCGCATCTTTTGCCTTCGTCGCATTTGCGGCCTTCTGTTTTTGTTTATTTGCCACCGCTTTCGGGCGCTGTTGATTGTTTTTGTCTTCTTCTTTCGTTTTCACCTTCCAAAACGAGTCATCGATTCTTCCTATTCTTGCTGCTTCTAATCTACTCGCGTACGTCACGTTGTTCACTTTGCCTTTCTTCCTCTTTGCAATGTGCTCTTTCTCCCTCTCTTTCCTCCTCTTCTCCATCCACGCTCTCTTCTCTTCTGCGAACGTTTCTCTTTCTACTTTTCTGCGCACGCTTTGAAACGCCATCACGTTTTCGTTGACTACTTTTGCCATCATCCGTTCGTCCAAAACGTTCACCGTTTTTTGGTCGAACCAATCTCTCCTCGCGTCTTCCTCGTCCTCGTTTTCATCCTCCTCCTCGTCGCGTCCATTGATTTTTTTCTTCTCGTTTTTGGTGGTGTTTGACTTGGACTTGGAACGAACAAGAGATCTCGTCAATTCGCGCAAGAACTTCAACACAATCTCTGGTTTCTTCCCTTTGAACTTCTCCAACGACTCTTGCGTGTCCGATAACTCTTTCAAATTCTTCCTCGTGCGAGATTCCATCAGCACGATCGCCCGTTCGATGTCTTTTCGTTTCCTCTGTCTTCTGTTTCCTATAAAAGAGGCGTTCGGGGTAGCATTGGACTCGTAGAGTAACCACTGCTCGAAATCGAACGAGTCGTCGTTCACGCCGAGAAGAGGATTTCTTCTATTCGTATCGTTGTTGGTGTTGTTGTTATTATTATTATTATTATTATTCTCGTACTCGTCGTCGTTTCTTTCTTCTTCCTCCTCTTGTTCTTCTTCTTTCGACGATGATGAAAGCGGTGGTGGTTCTGGTGGTGACATCATCACATCATCCTCGTCTTCCTCCCTTCCCTTTCGTGATGAGCTGTGTGTCAGACTGTCAGACTGTGGCTCTTCTTTTCAAACTTTTGTTGTCCTCTAAAACACACATCACAAAAAAAATCAGAAGACACAAAAATAAAGAAGAGAACACCAGAAACGATGACTTCTTCTTCTTTGTCTTCTTCTTCTCTGCGGTTGAGTTTTAAAGTCTCCTCGAGGAGGAATCCTGGCCTTTGCTCATCTTTTGCTACGTCGTCGTCGTCGTCTTTATTGAAGACGAAAACGAGTCTCAAAGGAGCACGACGCGCGGCGGGGAAAAAAGTAATCTTCTTCTTGGCAGCAACGAAAGACGGCGATCGATGTTTGGATGATATCACTCTTAATAGCATCAACAACAACAGACGACATTTCTTGACCTCCTCCGCGCTCGCTGCCCTCGCGGCTGGACTAAACTTGAACGCCGAGAACAACGCTGCGTTCGCTAAATTCAATCAGGACGACGACGAAGAAGAATGGATTGTTAACCCGAAACGGATTAAACTGGAAAACGAACCCGATGGATACAAGCCGAACGAAAACTGGACGGAGGCGAAGAAAGACGTGGAGATCTTGAGACCTCCTCCTGAACCGGTGAGAGATCCAAAAGACGTTTTTAAAAGCAACAGTAGTGCTAGTAGCAATAGTAGTAGTAGTTACGAACAACAAGAACCAGAAGAAGAAGAGAATGTGATTGAAATAGATATCGATTTGGTGGAGCCGGGATACGTCCCGGCCACGCAAAAAGAAGTGGACGAAAAGACGCTGAAACAAGCAGTTAATAACGCCAAAATTAAACAGTTCAATAACGCGCCGGATGATTTTCCAACGTTCATCAGAGAAGGATACGAGGTGAACGTGGTTACCCCGAGCGGCTTTAAAAAAACAGAGGACGGTTTAATGTATTATGATTTCGCTAAAGGAAGTGGGAAGTTGCCGGGGAAGGATCAAGAGGTTACATTTCATTACGTAGCGTATAACGAAAATGGTGGAGTTATCGATTCGACTTATAGAAAAAATGCGCCTGCAAAAGCCCGATTGGGCATTAAAGGAATGATTCCTGGCTTCGAGGAAGGGTTAAGCACGATGAAACCGGGCGGGAAAAGACGGATTGTCGTGCCTCCGGAATTGGGACCGCCGATTGGTCCTGCGACGTTTTTCTCCTCGAAACAGTGGGAGGTGTTTGACATCGAGTTGATCGATTCCAAGAGCTGTAGTCGAGAGGGAGGATTGCCAGGCGGGTTCGGTTCCTCCATCGTGTGCAATTAGATTTGAAGGATATATTGATTCGTTTGTAAAAAAATGCGAATTGTTTAGTTTCACGCATCGTCGTTCTTTGACTTGCTCTATGAGTAAAGGATTTTTATGTAAACGTTACTGTACGCTATTTATTGTGTTTTTTACTTCTTACCGCCGAAGAAACTTTTCTTCTTAGTAAGCTCTGGTGTGCCCTTATCCATCGATTCTTTCTTTAAGAAGCGCTCGCCGAATTTCAGACGCTCTTTGTAATCATGTTTCCAATGTTCGAAGCGAGATTGCAAAACCTTGAACTCTTTCTGCACGTCCATGCCGTCGACCCCGCTGATTTCACCCGCCGCAACTTCCCTGATGAATTCAACGTCATCGTCCAAGACGCGCGTCATTGAGTTAAACTCTCCTTTCATACCGTCCACAAATTGAATGACTCTCGAGGCTTGACCAGATGGGACTTTGTTCGCATGCGCGGAAGGCTTTTCCAAACGCGAAGGTTCTTGTTTGCCAGTCGGCGTCGAAGCGGACGGCGAACTCTGTTGATTTTGTTCATTTTGCATCATAGCAGCAACTAGCGCATCGTCCGCAGCGGTAATTTGCTCTCGTAACTCCTCTATTTGCCTCTCGAGCGCCATCTTTTCTTCCCTTTCGGCCTCCACAGATGCTCGCAACGCTTCGTTTTCGGCTTTAAGAGCCTTGACGAACGGATTGTTCAACGCGTCTACGTCCTCGGATAACGACGCCGCGGACGAATTTTCGCGATCTAGAGTGGATTCGGGAGAGTTGTTGCGTTTGAGAGCGGCGGTAGCAGCATCGGTCTCTGCTTTTACTTTTGCTTCTTCCTCTTCTCTCTTGCGCGCCGCCGCGGCAGCTTCTGCCTCCGCTTCCTTTCGAAGACGTTCTTTCTCCTCTTTTTCTCTCTTTTCTTCCTCCAGACGCATCTCGAGTTCGCGTCGCTCGCGCTCGGCGACACGCAATTGGACTCGCGCATTGAATGCTTTCTTTTTCGCTGCCATTTGAATCTTAAGCGCTGCTCTGTTTCGATCTCTTAAAGTGATGAACTCCTTTCGCTGTTTTGTGCCTTTCCAGCTCGCTTGCGCGATAATCGTCGCGGAACGGATGCGTTGGTACTCTTTGCGTTGCTTGAAACCTTTATACGAGGCCTGGATAATCTTTGAATAGTAAATCGCGTTCGATCGTGCATCTTCCAAGGCGCCTAAGACGCCTTGCTTGAAGAAAATTTTTGTGGTGCCAAACTTGACGTGCTCTTCGGCGTCAACGGAGAAATGCTCCAAAATCATCTTCGTGACAGTTTTACTGTCTACTCCGGAGGATTCAATAACATCTTTACCGACCAAGAAACCGAACCTGTGCGCAAAATCTTCGTAGAGCGAACGCGTCGGGTACCCAGCTTGAGCGATGCGAGTCGCCTCCAAAATACCAGCGCAAGCGCACTGGTGCAAAATGAGTTTTTGATCGGTTTCGGTTGGAACGAGGGAAGCGTTTGGCTTTACGCATCGAATGAAGTGCGGCTCGCACGAATTCAGCTTTTGAAGTAATCCACTCAACTGGTTGCGAAATTTTGTGCAAACGGTTGATTTCATTTTCGCTGATTTTGAGGCTTTCGTTACCATTGTTTCCATCGCGCGGTTGTGCAACGCTTCACCGATGTTTGTCTTCATAAACTCGAAAGTGTTATCTGTATACAAAGCCGTCGCCAAATCTAATGGTAACGCGTCTCTGTTCTTTTCGAGGAACCCTGCGCACTCGTACGTGACGCTCCCGGCGTAGTGAACGATATCAAACGAAGTCTCCGATGTTCCTTTCTTTCTCATGCACGAAAACTTTTCCATATTGGAGAGCTCGCTGACGATTTTCGCGTGGTACGTTTCATCCGTCGCGCCTGGGAAACTGGCCTGATCATCTAAAAGTGCAAACAAACCCATGGGTTTGTTTTCAATCACTTCGAGCGTAGAAGAGTTATCGACGAATTCGATTCTCGACCATTCGATGTTCTCTGTCTCGTAATCTTTCTGTTCCACTACGAATAAGTGATGGTTGAACATCTTCTGCATGGATTCGTTGGCATAGTTGATGCACAACTGTTCAAACGTGTTGTGTTGGAAGCTCTCAAAGCCGTAAATATCCAAAATATTCAAAGAAACCAAATCTTCGTCGTCTCTTTGCACGGCACCGTCGCGCGCGAAGGATTCGTTTATTTTGCTAACCAAATACTCGAACAACGCTTCGAACATGGCCTTCGCCAACGCGTCGCGCGCGTCATTCGCTTGCGTCAATGTCAAATCCGTTTCAATCTTCTCTCCACCAGCAGAAATAACACGCTTAATCAATGAACGCTCTAACGCCGCAGAATCCACCCCTAACAATTCACTCGTGTATTTCAAAGCGTCTTTTGTCTTTACAACAGCGGCGTCGTGACCAGATTCATTCAATGTGTCAAACTCGATGTTCCCGAGATGTAACACCGACGCGAGCGTTTGATAAATGTCGTCGATGGTTTTATCCGCGATACCAATCGCCTTCAACGCCTCCTTCGTCTCCTTGTGCTTGTTCTCGTCGTCGATTTCCACGCTCTTTTTGCTTTGAACGCCGAATCCGCCTAAATAGTTGAATCCCTCTTTCGCGTCGTCCAAGAACCACTTTTTCTTCTCTTCCTTAGACGCGCCGGCTAAGAGTTGGTAAAACACGTGGAACGATCGTTCTCTTTTCGAGTGGTGCACGACTCGAGACTTTTCCAAGAGATACGTCTCGATCATCGCCTGCGCTAACTTTCCGTTGGACTTTTTATCAAACTTGATGTCGATCAATTTACCAAATCGCGAAGAGTTCAAGTTTCTCGCCGTTTTTGCGTTCCCAAACGCCTCTAAAATCGGATTTGTCATTAACAAATCTCTCGAAACTGCGTTAAACATATCGATGTTGTGCTTCTCTTCGCCGTTGCTGCTACTATCGTGAGATGTCGTTGCGGCTAAAAACTTCATGATAAACTTGGTCGTTTCCGTTTTCCCAGACCCGGATTCTCCCGAAATCACAATCGCTTGATCCAATTGATTCTCCATCATCTGTTCGAACGCGTTCGAGGCGACTTGGAAACAATGTGGAGGTAGATCCTTTACAGATGAAGACGAAGTTACATCCCCTTCCGCGCCAGTCGTCGTCGAGGATGCCGTCGCTTTCACTCCGCTCGCCGCGTTCCTCGGCGAGTAAAAGTTCATCACTTCCCGGTCGTATTTACTCGGCAACGGCTCGCACGGATTCAACGCGATAAGAATAGGTCCAGCCTTAGAGTAGATTTCTCTCAACGACGAATTCTTACTTTTCTTGGTGTTTCTCATGAACCGGTCCTCTAAGAAATGAACGATCGATGGTGGATTCAAGTTGGTCAATCTCGCGACGTCCGAAAGCGACTCAATCAAGTTGGCTGGATTACCTGCGAAAATTCTCTTATACGACACGCCTTTTAGCAAAGTCGTTTCGCCGTCGGAAACGAACGCGTTTACATCCATGCACTCCCCTTGTTGATCGTTCTTTACAACCGTACCTCGCAAGAAAACCAATCCTTTTTCTCCACCACCTTCTTCGAATGAATCGTCGGCCCCGTTTTGTTGTTGCTGCGAAGATGTTTCATCGGTTTCTCCTCCTCCTCCTGTGGAACCATCATTATTATTCCTTTCTTTTAATAAAGCGCTCAAGACATCTTTCCCGATTGGTTTCTCCGGGCACACGGACGTTCGACAATCGATATAAATTGGTGCGTTGATTACCAACGAAGAGAGAATCGCCGGGTTATCGAAGCTCTCGATAGCCGCACTCATGGTGGTATAACACTACTCTTCCTTCCCGGCGGACGACTTTGATATACTCCTTTTGGGCACACGACCTTTACCTCTTCTCTGTCTTCTGTGGCGTTTCGAGGCGACGTTTGGCCTCGCCTCGTTTCTCCGCAAAGAAAGAGAAGAGGCCTTTTGGAAGGGAAGGAAAAAAGAGGAGGAAGAGGAGAGCTCTCCAAATTAGGGTATAGCATTTTGCAAATTTTTTCAGAGAGTCTCCTTTTTCTCCCAATAAAAAAAAGGCAGCTTTCCTCCCTTCATTCATCAATAATAATAATAATAATGTCTTTCGGTCTGGACGACGCGTACGGCTCTTCCTCGGAAGACGACGACGTAAAAGTCGTCGAGAAGAACGAAAAGAAGAAGGAGGAAACTGCTGCTGAAGAAGAAGAGGTGCGCGTGGTGCAAAGCGGCGGCGCAACCTTGAACAAGAAACGTCCGCGAGAAGAAGAAGAAGACAAAGAAGAAGAAATCGAAAACGCGCCGGTGCTTTTCGAAACGCGTTTACCGCCACCTTTGGAAGAGGAAGAAAAGAGAAAGTCTGTCGCGAGAAAAAGATTTTTGAACAAGCAGCAGAAGAAGTTACTGATGAAGAGTAAAGGAAGAAGAAGAGAAGGAAGAGGTGACGACGAGGCTGAGGACGAGGAGAAGGACGACGACTACGAATTGCTGGAAGAAGAAGAGAGGAAAAGAAGAGACGTTTTAGCAAACGCGAAGAGAAACGGGGGCGGGTCTGGTCTAGGCATGTTCCTACCAAAACCAGCAGTAGCAGTGGATGCGGGAACGCTCGGTATTGGAGGCGATTTTCACGACGGTGGGGCATTTGGAGGTGGATTTGGAGGAGGAGGAGGAGGAACTCGCATAGACTTGCCCGGTGGAACGACGACGAAAAGAGCCGCCGCGGTAAAAACGCAAGACCGAGAACAAAACGAAACAACAACAACAACAGTAGCAGCAATTCCGACGATTCATCCCTCGCAGTTATACGAAGTAGACGACGATGGGAACTATATTCATCAAAAATTGATCGATTCTATGCAACAACAACAACATCCATCGACGGGAGGAAACGAGCAGGCGACAACTAAAGTTGAGAACAACAACATGAGTTTAGAAGATATGCTCGCAAAGTCCAACAAGATGGTTGAAATCACCCAAGATGACATACGAGGCTCGTATAATCCGTTATTGGCGAACGAGCGCGCAATTCAAAACACGAACGATATGGGTGGCTCGTTAGGGAAGGTTTCCGGAACGGCTCGAGCGAAGAATCAAGTGACTTCATTAGTGCACGACGCGAGACAGGCGGAATTGAAACTAGCGCAACAACAAGGCATGCGCCACCGAACGATGGCAAAATCAAAGTACGGGTGGTAAGATGTGCACACCCACACGCGCAATAGAAATAGCTGAAGATAGATGTATTATTATTATCATTATTGTTCATTATTGCAAACAGCAAATGAGGCTTCTCGTTTAAAAGCTACCTTTTTGTTTTGTTTTATTTTTAACCTTGCAGCTGGTTTTCGATTATGGAAATAACCGTCTCCGCCGGTATCATCCCTTCTGTTCTCAACGCCGGCGACGCCGCATCTTTCGAAACGAAGACTATCGTGGGTAAACCTTCAATGCCAAGTTGCGTAGCTAACTCTGTCTCCTCGTCCGTGTCCACTTTGATGCATCGCACCGCCTCGCCGAGTTGTTCCTTCACTTTTTCCAACTCTGCGGACATCAACACGCACGGACCGCACCACGTGGCGTAAAAATCAATCACAAGCGGTGTCGACCTGTCCGCCATGGCCACTTCCAACTGTTCGGCGTTCATTTTCTCCACTAATCCAGCTTTTACTACGACTGATAATGATCCGCTTCTTTTTTGTTGTTGTTGCTTAGTATTGCGACGAGTTTGGTGGAAAGAAGAAGGTTGTTGATGACGAAACGCGAATAATTTCGACGACGCGGGAGGACAAGGAGCGCGACGAGAAGATGACGACGACGAAGTGGACGCGTAATGCGTGGATACTCTGGATTGCATCATCATCGTTGTTGTTGTTGTTGTTGTTGTTGTTGAGTGTGTGTTTGTGTGTGTGTGTTGTGCGTTTTGTCTCTAAACAAATTATTCGCTTTGTGAGTGTGTAGTTTGTGCGCGAAATGAAAAACCTCGTTTTCTTGTCATGCAAATAAAAAAACAGACCAAAAAACGCACAAAAGACAGACCAAAAACGCACATAAAAAAAAGTTTGACCGCCTTACACATATTTAAGTAAGTGAACGCCTTTACCACTCCTACTGCGCAAACGTTAAACAAAAACAACAACACAGAATAGTGATGTCGTTCGCGACGAGAGTCATCGCCGTCGTCGACGCTTTGTTTCCTCGAACGAGCGTGAAAACCAAGCGCTATTTCGTGGAGAAGAAGAAGATACACACGACGACGACAAAAACGACGACACCAGCAAAAGAAGAAGAGGAGCTTTTTTTCGTTCAACTAAAACGAGAGGAAGACGTGATGGAAGAGGAGGATGATTTTTACGAACTCTTAGACGCTCTTCCACACAACAACAAACGAGAAGAAGAAGACAAAGAAACAAATACGATGATTGCCAGTAGCACAAACAGCGCGAAAATTGCATCGAGAACACGTCTGTCTTCCTCCTCCTCGTCTGCCTCAATCGTCACGCGTAAGAAGAATCTTCGCAACGCCGCGAAGAAAGTGAACACCAACAACATTCGTTTGTCGTCATCGACGTCGTCTGAGGAGCAACTAATCGCGAGTGAAAATATCTCCGATATGCCACCGTTAGAACTGGATGATAAAGGCATCGAACGCGTCAAGTTACAAAAAAATGGATGGGAAACGTACAAGTACCAAGATAAATTCGATTGCAACTACATCAGCGCCGGGAAGGAGAACACGGGACCGATTGTCGTTTTAGTCCACGGATTTGGTGCGCACTCTTACCACTGGAGATACCAGATCCCGTATTTAGCGAAGAAAGGCTATCGAGTGTACGCGTTGTGCATGCTCGGGTACGGATGGTCCTCAAAAGCGAGCGAAGAGCAGTATTGCATGGAATATTGGGGCGAACAAGTGTCTGATTTCGTGCGAACGATTGCGAAAGCGACGGAGACAGACAAAGCGTTCATCGCCGGGAACTCCATCGGCGCGTTGGCGGCGTTGTACGCGGCATCGAAAGGGGCACCGGAGAGGACTAAAGGTCTGTGCTTGGTCAACGCGGCGGGAAATTTCGAGCCGAACGCGGCGCCGGGCCCAGAAAAGAAAACAATGGCACAAAAGGCCGTAGGAACGGCGCAAGATATGGAAGAGGCCGAGGAAAACAACACGTTACAAGGTAAACTGCGGGTAGCGTTTGGGAAGTTAGCCGCATATGGTATCTTTTATTTCACTAAGATTCGCATCAAAACGATTTTGAATCAAGTATACGATAATGATGTGGACGAGGATTTGGTTCGAAGCATTGCGATGGCTGCAGAAGATCCGGAAGCGAGAGAAACGTTTTACGCCATCTCGTTGGCCGGTTCTCGAACGCAAGTGAAACCGAGGGATTTATTAGAAAACTTGAACGCGCCGGTTATGTTGTTGTGGGGAGAAAACGATCCGTGGATGACGCCGACGAAAGCAGAAAGAATCATGAAGATTAAACCGAGCGCGACTTATTCTCCCGTGCCGGCTGGTCATTGCCCGCAAGACGATAATCCTACGGACAGTAACAACGCGTTCGTGAAGTGGGCGGAAACTGTGGCGTAAGAGACAAAAAGAATTTTTCTTTAGAAAACCAATGCCGACAAAAGCGAGCACGCGCGCACGCGCGAGTATAATCAAAAGCGAATCAAAGCGTGTACATTAGAATAATAAGAAGGACGACGAAGAATGACAAAATTGTGTTGATTTATATTTTTATGCTTACGTTAATATATCAAAAAATCCTCTGTTTTTATATATGTCACACACCCCCCCCTTTTACTCTTACTCTTAATTTTATAGCTGCGGTTTGAATTTGTTCTTTCATCGATTATACATCAACAAGTTTACTTCGCGACAACTTCCGTCTCCGAAATCTTCTCGTAGAGCTCTCTCACCTTCAAGCCAACCAAAGTTTGGAAGAAACCGGTACCGTTGTTGGAGCCCGGGCCGTTTTGGTATTTCAACATTTGTTGCGTCAATTCACCGTAGAACTTGGTGGAAGTGTTGGACAACAAGGATTCAACGTAGATCAACTCCTCCAACTTGTCAAACTGACCGTCCATCTCTAAGACGGAGACTTCTTCTCCGTAGAAAGTGTCCGGGCCGTAGAAGAACTTGATGCCCGGGTACGAGCACGTCAACTTGCGGCCGCACGGGATCCAAGAGATCGTGGAACCTTCGTCGAACAAGTACGGGGTGTCAAAGAACTTGACGCCTTCCTTCATGATCATGCGCACTCTCAAGATTTTACCTTCGTTGTCATCCGGGATCAATTGCGTCGGCAAGACTTGGATGACGACATCCGCGAACTTCTTTTGCGGGTCAACAAAGGCATCGAAATCCGGCTTACGGGCTTCAATGGACGCCTTGATGGACTCCAAGGAGTGACCACGTTCGGCCATGTCTCTTTGGATCTTCCACGCGAACTTGACGTCGTCGGAGATGTCTAAGTAGATTTTGAAATCGTAGAAGTTTCTGACGCGGTCGTCGGCGAACGGGTGCAAGCCTTCCAAAATCAAAACTTTCGGGGAGACGATCTCTTCAGCCGGGTCAAAAACGCCAGTCACGTGGTTGTAGATCGGCTTTTGGACCGTTTTGCCTTCCTTCAAGGCTTTGACTTGTTCGTGCATCAAGTCAAAGTTTTGCTCTTTCAAGTTGAGCGCGGTCAAGCCAGATTCCTTACGGCCTTGACGGTCGTTCAAGTGGTAGTCATCCAAGCACAAGACGGTGGTAGTGTCCGAGATCAAAGTGTTGGAATCCGGGTTGCCCCCCTCAGGCGGGGAAGCCTTACCGCCGAACAAAGAAGTCATTCTTCTCATGAACGTGGATTTACCTGTTTGATTATTTAAAGATAAAGAGAGAGGTGCGTGAGCAAAAATTTGTTTGATATCTTCCACCATCGACAATCATCTGTCTCTCTAATCTTTCAATATTGAGAGATTTAATGGGATAAAAAGAGAATATATCCGCGGAAAGTGCGACCAGATGCGAACGATAAATCTCGCATTCCTCTGCGAATTCACGTAAAAGAATAGTACTATCACTTACCGCATCCAGAATCCGCGGCTAAGCCGATGATGACTGGTCCGTCAGCCTTGGCGTTCACGCGTAACGACGCTCTGGATTTCACTTGGTTGCGCGCGGAAGATTTCGCGGAAACCTTGGCGCCAACGAACGCGGATGATTGTAAGGAGAAGGCAGACATTTTAGATTAGATTTACTTAATGTAGTTTGTGGCTTAAAAGAGATTGGACAAATTCGTGTCGTGATGAACGCGAGTCGTTTTCTGATGAATGTGAGAGCAGTAATCGGATAAACGCAAACTCACTCGAGAGAGAAAAAACGAGCTTTCCGGTGTTTAGGGTATCTCTTGGTTCGCAAAATTCTACTTTACACTATATGCTATATGCTATGTGCATTTGATAAGGGCTACAAACTACGCATGCGAGCTGCGAGATTCGTGTTCACTCTCTTACTCTCTCTTTTTCTCTCTCTCTCTCTGGTGCTCTTCTTCCTCTCACAAGACGACAAACTCTTCTTTTTCTTCTAAAGTCCATCATTTCCAGCTCCCAAAAGGTGCTTCACTCGATTTAAAATGGAGTCCGCCGAAGGATCGTACGGATGATCCGGCGATGGAATCTCCAACACCGCTGGAATCGGTTCAGCGTACTCGTTCACTAAATATCTAATCTCGTTGGCCACAAACTGTGCGATTAATACCACCGCCACGTCTTCTCTCGTCGTAAAATCCTTGAACGCATCTTCCATCTCTCGTCTCGAGGTGTCTGGTTTTACAATCAGAAAGTTTGATTTTCGTCTCGCGTCCAAGTTTCCTATCCCGGCGAGGAGAAACCCGGTGACGGTATCCTCGTCTCCAATGACGGCTAACAGAGATCCCTCGGAAGATGATGCGGCGACGGCGGCGGCGTTGGACGCGGTGGCGGCAGACATTAGTAGTATTTATGTGTAATTTTTCTTCGTCTTCTTTGGCTTCTTTTTTGTGGCGAGCACTAAAACGGCATATCAAAGAATACTCTTTAAACGAGTTTAACGCGTTTTTCGAAGAAGCGGAAATAATAATGGAGGAGGAGGACAAGGAACACGAAGAAGAAGAAGAAGAAGAAGAAGAGACGACGATGGGGAAAAGCACGAGGACGAACATTAATAGTAACAATACTAAAATGGGAAACTGTCGAATGTGTGAAGAAGAGGAAACAACAACAACAGTTGGTGAAGGAAAATATCGCTGTCCGAAATGTCTCCTCATCTCGTGTTCGTTAAAGTGCATCAACAAACACAAAGAAAAGTTCAACTGCGATGGAAAACGAGACCGCTTTCAGTTTGTGAACTTGAAAGAGATGGAAGATAAACACGTGACTTCGGACTTTCGCTTTTTGGAGGAAGCGACGGAGGTTTTAGACCGAGCGAAGAGGAAACGAACGCTGATTAGTAGCAAGAACAAGAACGGACAGAGCAACAACAACAACAACAATAATAATAATAAAAGGAAACGCAACAGTAACAACAAGAAGAGGAAAAGCAACAACAATAAAACAAACAACAACAATTTAGAGTCAGAACCAACAAGAGTAGTCGTAGGAGTAGCACCAGCAGTGAAATAGTAATGTACGTAAGCGTGTATTTGAATTATATTTATGTTACAGCAACACAGTAAAGAACCCAGTAAAGAACCAACGAGGTCTGCCTTTTCATCACGTCAACTCTTGAACTTTTACAATAGCCGTTCCGCTCAACTTTTGAATGATAACCACGCGATCGCCTATGACTAATCCCGCTTTCTTCTTTGCAAAATCAAACACCATTTGTAAAAGCGAATTCGCTTCGGAGTTTTGCGGGTTGGCTAACATCGGGACGATACCTCGGGCGAGTAAAGCGCCTCGCGCGTCGGATTCGCCTTCTAACACCCATCGAATAGAGTCTTGACGCAAATGAGGAATGACTAAGGAGACTACCGGCATTGGCGCGCGATATTTGGACACCATTCGCGCGGTTTCCCCGGTTCGCGTAAACACGACAATCAGTTTTGCACCGACTTTGGTTCCCGCACGAACCGCCGAGGACGCCAACGCTTCGGCTTGCGACACTTCTCCAGCTTCAATTTTTCGTTGCGAAATCTGCGCGTTGTAAAACGATTCGTGGTCGTAAAAGCGCTCGGCTTCGCGACATATCTTACGAACCATGGCAACTGTTTCCGAGGCAAAGTTACCTCGGAGCGTTTCGGCGCCTAAAAGCAACGCGTCCGCGCCGTCTAAAACGGCGTTGGCGACATCCGTCGCTTCCGCTCGCGTCGGTCTCGGCGCTTCTGCCATCGTGTCCACCAATCGAGCGACGATGGCGTGTTTTCCAGCGTAGTTACACCGCGCTAATATCATCTTCTGTAAGATAAACACTTTTTCAGCGGGCAATTCGGTTCCTAAGTTCCCTCTCGAAATAATCACTCCGTCCGCTTCTTGAATGATCTCGTCGATGTTTTTCAACGCCGAAGCGCGTTCAATTTTGGCGCAAATCTTCGTGTGAAACGATTTGTGTTCGTCTAATATTTGTCTACATTTTCTAACATCCTCGGCGCTGTCCGTGAACGATAAGGAAATGAAATCGACGTTATTCTTCACCCCCCAATTGACGATGTCGTTTTCGTCGTGTCGGCTTATCGTCGGCAACTTCTCGCCGACGTTTGATATTTGTACGGTTAACAAAACCCCTCGCATTAACGCGTCGTTATTGCACGTGCACACGATCTCTTTGTTTTCCAAATCAATACTTTCGACGGTTAAATAAACCGACGACGTTTCTGACCCGGTAAACAAATACTGCCCGATGAAAATTGAGTCGCCGACCGCAACTATTTCGCACAACGAATCGCAGTTCACCACCGGAAAAAACTCCGACGTGGCTACCATCTTCTTCTGATCTTCTCGATCGTTGCACACCGACAACACGACTTTATTGCCTTTCTTCATTTCCAATGGAGTTTTCGGGGCGTCTTTATCGAAGGAAGACACGTCCTCCGCGGCTAACCGAACAGCCACTTCACTCCCGAACGTGTCCAACATCGTCGCGCATAAAATTTTCGTATTCTTCATCGCTTGTCGCAGATTCATCAGCGTTTCCGTGTGATATTTGTGCGATCCCCAACTGAAATCAAATCGCGCGACGGACATCCCAGCTTCTAAGAGTTTCGATAACTCCTCCACCGTTCGCGATTTCACACCGATCGTGCATATGACTTTCGTTAACGACGAAATCGTGTTCGATTTGTCGGTTTGTAATATGCGGGAGAGACCGATGTCGTCGATCGACTCCGTTCGATGAAACATTATTCTTTTTGAGTACGAGTATAGCGAGCGTGTATGTAGTCAACAATCGAGTGAGTGAGAAGTGAGAAGAAATAAAAAACTAAAAAGTCTCTTTTAAAAAAAGTTCGTTATATGTATTACGAATGTTGTGATGACGATGATGAAGTATCATCAGTAACAGAACGAGAGAGAGATCCGGTTTAACGCGTTTTTTAAAATACCACCACTCGTCGTCGTCGTCGTATTCGTGTGTGTGTGTTCTGGACGAGACGTATTACCGCCAAACGCATCGAATACAAAAGTATGCCGTGAAGATGATGAAGAAGGATAAAAACAGAAGAGTCGTTTTCTCGTCAGATTTCCACGGAAACTTAAATATGCTCGAGACGTTTCTTTCCTACTCTGTGAACGACCTGGACGGCGATTATATCATTTTAGGAGGCGATATAGGTCCTCGAGGCGAAAGTGCAGGAGACAAAGAGACGGTAGAATATCATCACGGAGAGATGATGAAGCAAAAGAGATGGTTTCAAGAACAGTTTTGCGAGTTGGTTGAGAAATATTTTCCTCATCGAGGGGAGGAGGAGAAGCAAAAGAGGAAGAGAAAATTGTTCATTGTTCTCGGTAACAGCGATTGGCAAGTAAACGAAGCCGTTCTGAAACAAAAGTTTTCTTTTCCGTTAGAAAACGATTCGGTAAAAGTGTGTTCTGGATTGGGCGACGTGTTCGTGGAAGACGAGTGCGTGGAGTTCGTGTTCACCGCTCTCGTCGTCGCCTCGAATCACCGAAAAAAGGATTGGGAGAGAAAAGATGTAGACGCAGAAAACGTTCCCGAGAAGAATCAAAGAGCCGGGTTTATATCACGATATAACGAAGAACGAGAAGAATACGAAGTGGAGAAATATGCGGGGGTGAACGATGCGTGTACGAGACCGACGATTGCAAAAACATTAGCGGCTTTGCAACCAAAAATGGCTCCGTTAGAAAATTCTTCTTGTTTGACGAAAGTGTGGGTCAATCACGGTCCTCCGTTTGATACAATTGGTGATTTAACTCACAGAAACGAGAGAGTTGGTTCAAAAGCATTGAGAAATTTCATAGCAGAGAGAATGCCCGATATTACTTTACACGGGCACATCCACGAATCCGTTAAGGAGCACGGCAACGAAGCGTTCACTTCGAGGATAAAAAATACACTCGTCGCTTCCTCGGGAAACGATTTCATGAGCGACGTTTGTCACGGCATCTTCTTTGAAACGAACGATATCGCAGGAACCGTCTCACGATTCGAAGTTAAAGTCAAAGAGAGTAATAGTACCTACTAGTAGGTATGTAAACCTGTAGTTTTAGTTTTTTTCAGCCGCGAGATAGATGAAAAAGTCGAATGAAAGTACAAGCAAGCCACACAAAAAAAAGCAAAAAAGCACACAGCCGCCACATCATAAATTTCTACCTTCCTCTCTTTCTTATTATATACGCACACCACACACGCGCGCGCGAAAACGAGAAAAAAGAAACTCTAAACTCCAACACCACCATAATAATCGTTGAAAAGCTGTTCTTCTCGTCCGTCGTCGTCATTGAACAGAGTAACAATGGGTAAGAGTTCGAAAAAAGACAAATCCTCCAAAAAGGACAAGAAGAAAGAAAGCGCCTCCTCTGGTAAAAAAGAGAAACGGAAAGAGCGAGAGAAGGAAGACGATGACGACGAAAAGAGACCGACAAAGATAAAAGCGTTGACCATGATGGATGGGCAAAACTCCGACGGCGACGACGACGGAGGTGGGTACAACTCGGACGAGGTTCCGAATCGAATGGACGCGCGAACGCCAAATCCTTTGGCGTTGGAGAATTTCAGCCTCTCCCCGGAGGTTGTCAGCGCTCTTCAGAAAAAAGGTATCGACGCGTTGTTCGCGATACAGGCGCAAACTTTAGACACGGCGCTGAGTGGGAAAGATATCGTTGGAAGAGCTAGAACTGGATGCGGGAAAACCTTGGCGTTCGTGTTGCCTATCGTGGAACAGATTAACAAATCCGACCCGACGCCGGCGAGCGGAAGGAGGTTACAAGGACGACGGCCGGTGGTGTGCGTTTTGTGCCCGACGAGAGAGCTTGCGAAACAAGTCGGCGCAGATTTTGATTGGGTCGGACAAGCGTTTAATTTGAAAACCGTGTGCGTGTACGGTGGTGCGCCGTACAGAGATCAAGAGCAAGGTTTACGAAGCGGGTGCGACATTATCGTCGGCACGCCGGGAAGAGTGAAGGACCATTTGGATAGGAAAAATTTGAAGTTTGACAATTTGAAGTTTCGAGTGTTGGACGAAGCGGACGAGATGTTGAATATGGGTTTTGTCGACGACGTGGAAACAATTTTGAAAGTTTCTGGAGATATTCAAACCTTATTGTTTTCGGCGACTTTGCCTCCGTGGGTGAAGGATATTGCCAAACGGTTCTTGAAGAAAGATTACGCGACGATCGATTTAGTCGGCAACGAAAAACAAAAAGCGAGCGGTCAAGTGCAACACTTGTTGTTGCCATGTCAGTGGCAAGAGCGTGTGTCGTTGATTCCAGATTTAATTCGCGCAAAAGCGCCGACTGGAGGGAGATGTATTTTATTCTGCGACACGAAGAGAGATTGCACGGAACTGTGCGACGCTCTGCAATCGAGTTTGGAAAAAGGCGCCAAGGCTTTACACGGCGACATCGCGCAAAACAACAGAGAAGTTGTTTTGCAAGGCTTTCGTGATAACAAATTCCAGGTTTTAGTTGCCACGGACGTTGCGGCGAGAGGTTTGGATATTTCCGGAGTCGAGCTTGTCATTCAGTGCGAACCTCCGAAAGATCCAGAAACGTACATTCATCGCTCGGGACGAACCGGACGCGCTGGAGCGACTGGAATCTGCGTGACACTGCTCACGCCGAGAAACGAATGGGCTATTCCGAACATCGAGCGAAAAGGTGGCTTCCGATTCGTGCGAATCGGACCGCCGCAACCGGCGGAGATGGCGAAAGCAGCGGCAAAAATTGTCTGCGAAAAAGTTCGAGCTGTGCACAAAGGCGCGGCGAAGCTCTTCATGCAAGCGGCGAGAGATTTGTTAGAGGAAGGCGATGACCACGACGAAGGCAGAGACGCGGTTGAAGTTCTTGCGATGGCATTAGCACATGCGTGTGGACACGGTGAGTTGCGACAACGCTCGCTTTTAACCTCGACGGCGGGGAGCACGACGTTGATTTTATCCGCCGGCGGCACCGAAATCCGAACGCCAACGTATGTGTGGAATTTTTTGAAACAGAGATTACCGGAGGATGAAGTTCAAATCAATCGTTTGACGTTATCTCAGGACAATTTAAAAGCCGTTTTTGACGTCCCAGCAAAGTTGGCGGATAAGTATTGCGGGTTGAGTGAGAATTCTAGCGGGAGAAGCGCGATTACCATCGAAGTGTGCGAAGAGCTTCCTGAACTGAGTCAACGTCCTCAAGGATTTGGAAGCGGCGGTGGAGGCGGAGGTAGAGGAGGGGGTGGCCGAGGATACGGCGGCAGAGGTGGAGGCAGTCGCTCACCGGGCGGCGGCGGGAGATTTGGTGGAGGCCGAGGTGGAGGTGGAAGAGGTGGAGGTGGAAGAGGTGGTGGACGCTTCGGAGGACGTTTTGGAGGACGTAAATAAAACTTAGGTACAGTGTAGCACAGATTATTTATTATTTTAGATCCACGTATTCATCATCGAGTGTTAAACAAAACTATTCTTATTTCTTATAAAAGTCTTCAATCGAGGTTGAGTATTTTTGCATCACGAGCTCTGACTTTACCTTCCTGGCGCAATCAGTGGCCACGCCGACGAGAATCAACAAACTCGTCCCGGCGAAACCTCTGAAGGTTTGCAACCCGGTGAGTTTCTCGACTCCGCCCGGTGTCAACGCAAGGAAACCTAAAAAGAGGGAACCAAGCAAAGATAGCCTCTCTAACACTCTTGTAATGTACTCTCTCGTGTTTTTACCCGGTCGAACACCCGGGATGGACGCACCTTGTCTCTTCAACTGTTCCGCGACATCTTTCGGATCGAGCTGTAAAAACGTATAGAAATAGTTGAAGAAACAGATCAAAGCTACGTTCACGGGTATGTACCCAGCACCTCCAGGATAAATAAACTTCGCTACAGATGTAACGGCACCGTTATCAGTAAATCTCGCCAATGTTGCCGGTAACGCCATCAACGAAGAACTAAAAATAATCGGCATGACACCAGCGGAATTCACTTTGAACGGCAAGTACGACGATTTCGATAATCCAGCTCCTTGCGAGTTGAACTTTGTCGAGTATTGCATGGGAATTTTACGCTCGGCTTCTTGAACGTACACCACGCCGAGCGTCGAAAGTAAGAATGCACCGAAGAACACGGCTAAGGTAAATGCTCCGTTCCCATCCGTTTTACTTTGTTCAACCGTTTGACCAATCGAGGAAGGCAACGACGAGACGATGTTGGCGAAAATCAAAAGTGACGTCCCGTTACCCAACTTCAACTCGTTCAAAACTTCACCGATATACATTAGAATCATTGCACCAGCTGTTAGAACTGCGGTTGATTCAGCTAACCACATGACGGAGAAATCGTCCACGTACGGTCGGACGTACAAGCACTGGCCTACGGCTTGGATCAACGCGAATGCGAGCGCCCCATATCTATTTTTTATAAGAAGAGAAATATACGGGTGAGCGTGCGTTTACATAGATTGGTACGAAAAAACGAAAGAAGAGCATCGAATTGCTTTCTCGTTTCTCTTTAGCCTCTTCGTATAGCAGTAGTGTTCGCTCAATTCCGTTATTCTTTTCATGCGCCGGTGACGCTCAATCGAACGAGACCTAAAAGGTCACATCATCGCGAAAAACTACAGATTACTACACACTTTAACGGAGATCGAAAAGAATTCGTGCGAAAGAGTATTCCAATAATAATACGTACCGTTGATACTGCATAAACTGACGTCGCCCAGATTCACCCTCTTCCTTTTGGAGCTTTTGCAATTCTGGAAATACAGACGAAAGCAACTGAAAGATAATACTCGAGTTGATGAACGGCACGATACCGAGCGAGAAAATACCAAGCTTAGAAATAGACCCGCCGGTTAACGTATCCACGTAACTCATCACACCCCCAGTGTTCGAAAGTGACTCTGCAAACGCCGTTCTATCGACACCACTGATTGGAATGTACGCGCCAATTCTAGAGACGACGAGCAACGCAAGGATAGTCGCGACTTTTTGCGGAAGATCTCCAGAGAAGAAGTCCCCGAAGTTCCCATCGTCGTCACCACCGCTGGACGTCCCAAACGCGGACGTTTTCGTCGATTGTCTGCTACTGGTCGTGCGTTTGTTGCTACTCGTGTTTTCCTTCTTCTTGCTGTTTTTGTTGTTTTTGCTGCTGCTCTTTTTATTGCTCTTCGTTCTCATCATACCACCAAACCCAAAGAGGGAATCTTGCGCGCGCTCGTCAAAAGCAGAATGAGATGATGCCGATAATAACCCGAGCGGGTCCCAAGAGTCGAATGAAATTTGATCCCCCTTTTCCTTGAAATCCGCCGGTGTTCCCGTATACAAAGCGCTATGAATCACCACCCTGGAAGTTCGTCTAGTATTTTGCCGATGACGATGACTTCGACGAATTCTGGAAGACGAGGAGGAGGAGGAGGTCGATGCACCCCGCATCGTCGTCGTTGTCGCAGAGGCAAACATGATTATCAGTAGCTTAGGTTGAGAGAGAGAGAGTGTGTGTGTGTGTGTGTAGAATGAATGAATCGAACTGATTGATTGATTGATTGCCAAAAGTGTGAATATATTATTAAGCAATAATGACGCGCAGTCGATGATGTGGGTGGGTTATCTTGTTTTTTGTGTGTGTCACCCTCAAAAGAAAAAAAAAGAGAAAGACAGCACTTTTTGCTTCAAAGAAAAGGAGAACACACACACACACAGACACAGACGGACACAGACGGACGGACGGACGGAAGCCGAGTCGCGCGCGAAAAATGAATTGGTGTTGCTCTTGTTTTCCTTCTCCTCCTTCCTCCTTCTCCTCCTCTGCGGCGGCGTCTCGAAGAAGAAGAAGAAGAAGAAGAAGAAGCACTCCTCCCAACAAAAAAGGCGTATCTAAAACAACGCACGATGACTTATTATTGATGTCTTCTTCTTCTTCTTCTTCTTCTTCTGTGCGAATACCAAAAGCAACGTCGTCGAATAACGACGAGCGCTCGTCGAGAGGAGACGCTCTGGGAGGGCAAGATTTCATCTACTCTCAAAAGTCTGGAGTGACGGAGGAACTGTTCATGAATTCCGTGGACGCGGATATCGCCACCGGAGAGATGCGAGTGAACGAGTTTAAAGAGATGAAATCGATAAACGCGGACGATTTTACGGTTCCTGAACGACTTTTAGAAAGGATAGGGACGTTTTTAACCAAAAACTATTTGATGCATTATCAAGCGAAAACATTTATGAAAAAAAGGACGATAGTGTCTCCACTCGTGTTAGGCATATGGGGTGGTAAAGGGTGCGGCAAAAGCTTTAACGTAGAGTTAGCGTGCGCAAAGTTAGGCGTGTTACCGATAGTCACGTCGGCGGGAGAGCTCGAGGACGCCACCGCGGGAGAACCCGGAAAACTTCTCAGAAGACGGTACCTCGCGGCGGGAAAGATGACGAGAGAAACGGGCGTGCCGACGTGTTTGATTATTAATGATATCGATGCCGGCGTCGGTCGGTTTAAGCACACGACGTCCTCAACTGTAAACAATCAAATCGTGCAAGGAACTTTGATGAACATCGCGGATAATCCCACGAACGTTTACGAAGATACGAGCATCGTAGGCAATCGCGCGAGCGTTCCGAGAGTACCCGTTATTGTCACTGGGAACGATTTTAGTCGACTTTATGCACCTTTAGCGAGAGATGGGCGGATGGACAAATTCTTTTGGGAACCGTCGCGAGAGGAAATCGTCGGTATCATGACGCCTATTTTCGCGCAACATGGATTAGACAAACGAGATACCGAAAAATTAGTCTCTCACTTTCCAAACCAACCTTTGGATTTTTTTTCAGCGGTGAGAAATCGTGCAATCGACGCGTTCGTGTTGGATTTTTGCGTAGAGAACGAGATGGCGTTCACGAGCGCGTTACTAGATGCAAATAAGTCGTCTTCTCAAAGTAAAGTGAGCGAACGAACGGTTTCGTACGAGACGTTTTTATCGGCGGCGCGATACGTTCAGAACGAACAACAAAACGTGAACAATTTGCAATTATCTCGCGAATATTTGGCGAACTGGGTAAATGAAGAGGATATAACTAACGCATCACCACCGTCGCCGCCGCCGGAACGATTACCTGATAAAGTTGTTGACGATGAGAAATCAAAGGCGTTATTCGAAGCGGCGAAAAAGAAAATGTTGGAAGGAAAATCGACGCTAAGCATCAAGCAAGTTGTTAAATTTATCGACACGGAAGAAACCGACACTGACGATGGATTACCATGGGAAACAATCAACATTAACAGAGCTTATCAAATTATGTATGAAAAAGCGATGGAAGGAGAGAGAGTGGTTACGATTGACGCCAGGCCGGTGAAGGATTTCAATCGCGAGACTTGCAAGGGCGCATTAAGCTTTCCGGCGGCGATACGCAAAGGAGGCTTGAGCGACTTTGTAGACGAACCAGACGTGGAAGAGTGCGTAAAGAAAGTAAAAGACAAAGTACCCGAGGAGACGCACATCATCGTGCTGTTAGACGATAATGGAAATGAGTACGAAACTTTATTTCTCGAAGCGCTGTCGAAGGAATACGGTGGAGATTTAGTGAAAATAATCGAAGGCGGGTTGCCAAACTATTTCAAGCACTTCACGCCAAAAGGAACGCGAAGACCTCGATATGTAGGGTACGGCCAAGATAACGAAGAAACCATGTGGACTGGAAGTAATTAACAACTACAACTATTTAGAGGCACCGTAGGGACTCTTAGTATTTAAAATTAGATTTTTAGTAGAAATAGGATGCAAGCACAGAATTACAAATCAGCGAGCGCCTTCTTTGGCTTTTGCTTCACCGCGCGCGGTACGAAGCCTAATACACCGCGACCAGCCGAAGAAGGAGGCGCATTTCCTCTTCCTCTACCACCACCTCTACCACCGCTACCGGGAAAAGAGGGAGGCGGGCGAGATTTGGCAATACTCAACGCCCGTCCTTTCAACGCTTCACCATCGCGCATGATTGCAGCGAGTAAATTGTGTTCACTCTCAAAATCCACGTAAGCGATACCTTTGGATCGACCGGTGTGCCGATCTTTTATCACTCTCGCTTTCACCGTCCCTTCTTCCTTGATGTCAAAAAACTTGACGAGTTCCTCCTCCGTTATGCTAAAATCAAGATTCTTAACGAAAGCCGTTTGCTGATCTCGGTCGGGATATAGCTCTTTTATAACTTCTTCCCGTGGTTTCTCTGATCGCGGAACAAAAGATGACGTTGGAATGTGGCTTTTCGAGTCGTCGCGTGTCTTGGTCCGTTTATTCTTTTCACCATCCGTAGCGTTGTCCTCGGCGTCATCGTCGGCGGCGGCGAATTCACCGTCTTCCTGTTCGTTGTTGCGTTTTCGCGCAATCTGACCTTCTCTGCGCATGCGCTTGATGTCTTCAGCCGAGGCAGGAGGTTCGCACGCTTTTTCGAAATCAATCAAATGTAGCTCAGATTTTACCTTCTCGTACGAGCTCGGAAAGGAGTCCTCAGAGGTTTCCAGAAAACTACGCCAGGAAGTGCACAAGTCCCGGGTAATCAACAATTTCGTATCATCTTTCACTCTACCCTTCACAGCTCGAGAGAGTTTGTTGCGCTTGCTGAACGCGAATTCGTACGCTCGATTTGCCAGTTGTGGGTCGCTCGATTCAAAATATCTGGCGCGCTGCAAGTGCGCCTCGAGATAATCGCCATAGATCTTTTCATTTTCCACGAGGAAAAATTTCCAAACCGTCTCTGGATTTGCGTGGCGTTGCGCCCAATATCTCGCTAACTTCATCTCTGGGTCGATGCGTATTCTGTTCGGAAATTGTGCTACTAAAATTGCGTGCATGTTGCTCAGCAAGTTGTTGGTATCGTCTGATTTTTTGTCTTTCCATTTCGCTCGCAAAAACGCGAGAGCGACATCGTTGGCCACTTTGAAACTTTTTAAGCTCGAGTTTTCTAGGAGATTCGCAAAGGCTTCAGTTGTCACGCTAACATTTACCGTTTGTATATCGCCATCATCTGCGGAAGAGTCAATCTGTTCAATTAAGAGCTCGAACGATGACGGACACGCTCTGAGTGCTCGATGCAAAATATCAATTTTAGAAGAAGAAAATTCCATCGCATACTCTATCCATAAGCACACCACGTACGGGTTTTTCAGTAGTGCTCGCTCGTATAGTGATTGGACGGACTCGTTCAAGCCTTTGTTCTTTTCTCTCTTGTGCAAGGTTTTCTCCATCGCAATGTATGAGCGATACGCGCGCAAATTCGCTTTTGGATCCGATTTTTGTGTGGTGATATTTTTGCTTGCGGTTTCTTCTATTTTGTCCTCGAACGCTTTCCTCAAATCTCTCCGTTTACGCCCAACCTCGTACGCTTTCGTGTATGAGCTGAGCTCGTCTCTATTTTCTACTCCAGCTATTATTTTTTCTTTCAACTCGTCCAACTTTTCCAAAGGCGTCTCCAGCGCTCGCGTCGACACCATTTGAATGCGATTCTTCTTTTGCGAGAAATCATCATTTTGCGAGCATTCGAACGCTCTATACGCGAGCCAAAACGCGTCGCCTCGTTTATAGTCCTTCGCTGCAATCTTACAGCTTCTCTCGTAAAATTGGCGTCTGTCCTCTTCCGTATCTTCGCTCGTTTTCGCCACCGAAAAAGACAAGTATTTCAGCCAAATCGGCACGCTCGCTGGGAGCGTGGCCGTGGCTCTTTCAAACAGCTCTTGAACGCGCACTTCCATTTCTTTTCTCTTTTTCCCAGACGCGCACTCATACAACTCTTTTGTTTTATCGTCCAACCAACTCAACCACTGCTCTTCGCTCAAATTGAACTTTCGGTCAAACGCAACTCTCGACTCTTCTAAACGTTCCTTCAATTTTGCTTGACGAAGTTTGAGTAAAAGCTTTGCGTGCGCGCCGTAATCCTTTCCTTTACTCGCCTCTACTTTATTTTCTAAAGCCATGACTTCGTCCAACAAAGTGTCGTCAATGTCGTTATCGTCGTCGTCGTCGTCGGAATCATCATCTTCATCCATATCATCGTCCGAATCGTCTTCCGAATCTGATAAATCTTCACCAGCCTCCGAATCGTCGTCGTCGTCGTTTTTGTTGTTGTTGGTGGTGGTGTTGTTGTTGTCTGCATCCATTCTATCGTCATCAACTTCTGCAGATAATGGTGCTACTTCTTCCACATCATCAGCAGTAGCAGATGCCGCGGTTGGCGCTTTCTTACGACGCGGTGGCATTGTTTTCCCTTGTAAAAGAGTAAAAATAAAGAGAAGCGTGGTTCCTAACGAACCAAATGTGAAAAGTGAGGAGAACAAATGAAGACAGGAAAACAACGAAGTCAGCAAGTCACATTGATTCACATTTGGCGCCGCTAACTTACTATTGTGTTGTTATTTTACAAAGATGACTCTAATATATTTTTCTATAATTTTCTACTTACACGTATCCTGAACCTTTACACGTCTTGCAAAGAATCATACCTGCTCCTTTGCAACCGGTGCACTCCATCGGAGACCGTCGCGTTAAACCGAGCACCGAGTCGTCGCGTCGATCTTTCTTCGTAATTTCAATCGGCGTTTCTCTCCTTCCCGTGGCATTGCAAAATATACACGCCTCGCCTCCCGAAGTTGCACACGATGGACAAGGTTTTGGTTCAGATTTTAAGCCTTGCACGATAGCGAGACCTCCGAATAGGATAGAGGTTGCGACGACTGATATCGCTTGGTTGGTCTCCTCGGTACCCATAGAAGATGGGTCGATGATAGAATGCGTCTTTATCAAAGACCGATGGTTTTGACTGTTTCGAGAGACAATATTTGGTTTAGTATTGATCCTCGTATCTTTTACGCGCGATGTCGAGCATGCGTTACAGCTTCTTGCGATCATCGCTCTCGATTTTAACTAACGTCCCTGTATTTTAGATTTAAGTTTTCAAATGTGCGTAAGTTTAGAGAAAGAAGTCACAAGGAAACAACAACGACAACATCATGAAATATGTCAGACAAATGCCTCGATTGTCAATCAGGTGTTGCACGAATGCAACCTTCAGAGCGTGAAAACCACACTCACGAAGGATCAGATTCGTCATCTAATTATATTTCTGTCATCATCCATATTTATATGTGCGTTGTTGTCTTTTGTTGTAGGTTTCGAACGAAAAAATATCGTTCGGATGGTAAGGATGCCGCGCGCATCACGAATGTCTAACGCGTTTCCAGCTGTCCGATCGGCTGTTTGCTCTTCCTACTCACCCAAGGTACCATTCACTACCCGTAAAAGAACGAGTTCAAGGTACTCTGACACTGTGAGAGGATATGGGACGAAAAGTACGACAACGACGACGACGACGTTAGAAAGAAAGAAAGAGAAGAGAAGAGAAGAGAAAGAATAACACATTTTTCCCAATGAAAAGAGAGAAACCAGGAGCGTTCAGACGTCATTAATGAAAACAACGCGTAATCCACCAAGTTCTTCATCGCAAAGCTCTGAAGCAGAACTGGCGTTTTGTGGTGATATCATCCTTACGCCTCTTTTTTTCTTCTCGTTATTTTTGTTCTCTTTCCTTCCTTCTCTCCCTGTCTTTTCTCCCCTATCCATCTTTATTCAGCAAAGGATACAAGTAACGACGACGACGACGACAGACAGACGCAGACAGACAGACAAACAAACAAACAAACAAACAAACGCACCACGCTGCGCTGCGCGATATGGTACACGCTCAAAACGGACGTACCTTGTTTCGTTTCTTTTTCTATATATTTTCTACCGCGTCGTTGGTAAAAATCGGCGGAGGATCGGTCTTACTTAATCTCTCTCTCTCTTTTCTTCTCTCTCTTTCCTCCAAGGGCGGGAAGTACGAAAATGAAGAAGACGCCAAGCGAGGAGGATTCGCTCCCTCTCCCTCTCGTGTGTGTGTGTGTGTGTGTGTGTGTGTTCGTTCGTTTAAGAATTTGACGCTCTCTTCTGAGTGTGCGCTTCTGAGAGTGAAGAAGAGAAGAAGGAGAACGAAGAAGAGTTTTCGTCTTTTTCGCTCAGACATGTCAGAACCAAAAAGAACGAAAGAATAAATAACGCCTTCAGAATAACGCTCTCATCATATCATAATAATAATCAAAAGGATTTATTAATAACGCGATGGGACGAGGATTTAAACCGAAAGGCGGACGTGGCAGAGGCCGTGGCAGAGGATACGCCGCGCAACAAGAGCAAGAGGAGGATTGGAGAGCACAACAAGCGAGAAAAAGAAGAGGCGAAGACGAAGAAACGAGCGAAGAAGAGGAAACGAGCGACGATGATGACGATGAAGAAGACTCATCATCCGGAGACGAGGAAGAAGAAGAAGAAAAAGAAGATGACGATGGTGAGAAGATTGTCAAGGTGAAGGATTTTGATCGATTCGCAGGGATTGGAGTTCAAAAGGAAGAAGAGGAAGAGTCCTCGGATGAGGAGGACGATTCCTCGTCTTCCTCCTCTTTTGAGGATGAATATTTAAAGCCGAAAGCGAAGCCGAAAGCGAAAGCAGTAGACGAGGCGCCGCCGCCAAAATCTGCGAAGCAGCTCGCGGAAGAAATGGAGAAATTAAGGCTCGTGCGCGAGAGGAGAGCGGCGCAAGCCAAGGCGAGGATTGACGCTGAAGGCTTTGATAGATACGCGCCGCCGGAAGCTGGAGGGCGCCCTCGAGTCGAATGAAATATTATATAATATAACTAAACTTTTAGAATTATCAACTACACGTGCGACTGCTACTACGACTACACCTATTCTATTTACTGCATGAATGCCGAGGGTAATCCTAACGATCTGCGAACTTTGAGTGGAGCGTTGGAGAAATTTCCATCAGGCGTGGCAGTGACTAAGGCTATTGAATACACCAAGTGGAGAATGAGTGTATACGATAACGAATTCAAAATCACAAATACAAAAGCAACGCACAAAATGGCCGTCATGTTTGGAACGAACGTTGCTCCCAGAGTCGCGCAAATTTGATCAATCAACGCGTAGACTTGCTGAACCATTAAGCGAAGGACATTTTCTCGAATAACTAAAGAGGAAATCGCGAGAGACGAAAAGACGCCGATGGTTCGAGCGAGCGCAGATATAGGCACGCTCTGCACCCAAGAGAACTTTCTCTTCCAACACATTCCCAAGGCTAGGCCGGTGAAACCATGCAAACACGCGTAATTTGAGGCGCGTAAAGGACCGCTAAGTAATGTCAACAAAAGGAACGCCACCAATAAAGTTCTCCAAGCGGCGACGTCGCCCCACCGCGCGGACGCTACGACGATTGGAAGAGGAAAGAGAGATCCTAAATAGGTTTCCAATCTGAACGACGCCGATAAGTGGAAACTTAAGCCTGTCATGGCAGCCAGCATGGCCGTCTCGACGACCATTCGCGTCGGTAACTTGTTCAATTTTCTTGTTTTCTTGTTTTTGTTTTCCACTTCTCCCGCTGTTGAAGCTCCAAATGCTGCTGCTGCTGCTGTGACTGCTGCTACCATCGCTCTGGTGATAATGGTGGTAGAAGAACGACGAAAGCAATTAGGTGTCCTTCGTTTTTGCGCAGTGCACGCATCGTTTCGTCTTTTTGTGTTGCCGCTTTCAATGCTCACTCTCTTTCCTCTGTTTTTGGAAGAAGAGGAAAAATGACATCCAGTTGATGACTTTGTGCGACAACCCGCACGCGACCACGACGACGAAGAAGAAGAAGATGAAGAAGAAGAAGCGGTGGACCGAAACAACATCGACGCCGATGTCATCGTGATCTTTACGGTATTGATTCTTCTTCTTCTCCTTTTCCTTTATCTCAAAAGTAGCGCGCTGTTTTTGAAGCGCGTCGTCCACTCTCTCTTCAACAATTTTCTCATCACACATCTAGAAGCAAGTTTTACTTTTTGATGGGCTTGTTTTTTGTCATCGCGTCTCGCCTGAAAATCCTCACTTTTCACTCAAAGATACAATAAAAAGATGAGGTACGTTCGTCGCGTCTCGTATTATAGCTCTTCTACGCGCGGTGCATTCTCTCGCGAACACATCAGTTCTACCTCATGGATGGGACGAGAGAGAAAATGCACCTTCGCGTGGCACTTGTAGCGCGCGATTTCCGTCTTTATGCTAATAAATGGAGGCGCAAACTTTTTTTAGGATTTTGCCTCTGCGAAAACGCGTCGCGTTCGCGCTCGTGCGAACGTTCGTTTCGTATGGTAAACGCATCATCACGCGCTGAAATACTATTTGCGTGCGAAATTCAATCGTTTTTCGGAATAACGGACGCTAATGAATCCTCGCGGACACAAAACTGACTTTATACATTTTCTCTCCATTTGTGTGTTCTCTCCAATCCCACAGTAAGCTCAACTCGGATACCTTGAAAGAAGGCGTGACCTTCATGTTGGAGAAATCCAAAGCCAAACCTAGAAAGTTTGTCGAAACCGTCGAGCTTCAAATCGGTTTGAAGAACTACGATCCGCAAAAAGATAAGCGTTTCAACGGTACCGTCGTTTTACCGGCGATGCCGAGACCGAAGCTCAAGATTTGCATGCTTGGCGACGCCAAGCACTGCGAAGAAGCCGCGGGTATCGGAATCGACAAAATGGACGTCGAAGCGTTGAAGAAGTTTAACAAGAACAAGAAATTGATCAAGAAAATGGCCAAGAAATACGCTGTTTTCGTCGCTTCTGAATCCGTCATTAAACAAATTCCAAGGCTTTTGGGTCCGGGTTTGAACAAGGCGGGCAAGTTTCCGACGTTGTGCACGCACAGCGAGTCCTTGGAAGCGAAAGTAACCGACATCAAGTCGCAAGTCAAGTTTCAGCTCAAGAAAGTGTTGTGCTTGGCCGTTGCCGTCGGTAACGTCGAAATGACGGAGAAGGAATTGTTCATCAACACGCAAATGGCGGTGAACTTTTTGGTTTCTTTGTTGAAGAAGAACTGGCAAAACGTCAAGTCCTTGTACATCAAGACTACGATGGGCCCGCCGTTCCGTATCTTCTAAATACTTGAAAGCATATTAACGCCCATACCTTTTTTACGAGAGGTATTTCGCGTACACCAAAGGTCGCAGGAGCACGATTTGCCCGATTTTCACCAATGAAAACGGGCGCACCTGTTTGTACTCTATTGGAAGATCGTATTAACTTACGTCGACGCTTGCTTTGTCTTTATAAATTTGAATGAAAAGAAGTAGTACACTATTTAAAGGATAAACATATTCATTAGATACTTTTGTTGTAACAGATATAGAGTATTCCCACGCATGTGTTTTGGTAAAGTTATTATATCAAGTGTACTCGCAAAAACACAACGTAAAAAAGCACCCACAGTCTCATCGTTCTCTTTCGTCTATCCATACCTCGTAACCACCACATTAAAAAAAAGGTTTGCACGCCGCGATAAAATAGAGTTCTTGATATTAAACGGAATGAATCCATGCGTAAACATCAATAAACTTGCCATTGGAACCGCTTTCTCGCATCCTGACGCACGGCGGAGCGAGATGAGCACGAAGTCCGCCGCGCTGTGTTCTCTGTCTGTGCACAAGCGCCGTCGCCGTCCTCAAAATTCACATTCTTCTTCCTCTTGTTCTTCTTCTTCTTCTTCTTCCTCATCATCGTCGGCGTTCGGTATTTTAAGAAAGGAAAGCGCAGACAGGGTAACGAATGAATATCATCGCGCTTGGTGTTGCTTGACAACAACGCGTCGTCTGTGTGCCACGTCGAGCGATGGTGGGAATATTGGCGAGGAAGATGAAGAGTTCGAGCGGTTACAAAACGTAGACGCTTTCGAGGAACTCATTCGAATGGCAAAAGAAAACGGGGTTGATCCACCGGCACCAGCACCAAAATTTAGTGCCGCTGCAGCCATGTGCGGACCAGTTGCAACTTTAGAAGGATCATTCGGCGGAGAGACGACTTCGAGCGGAGGAACGACCGCAACCGCGACTATTCCCGGTTTACCTCCAGGTTTGAAGAAGCCGCCGTGGCTGAGACAAAGAGCGCCGAGTGGAGAACGCTTTGAGTTCTTGAAAGACACCTTAGATAATTCGGAGTATAAAATTGCTACCGTGTGCGAAGAAGCCATGTGCCCAAACGTAGGCGAGTGCTGGAATGGGGAAACAGGAACGGCGACAATTATGCTCTTAGGGGACACGTGCACTCGAGGATGTCGTTTTTGCGCGGTTAATACGGCGAGCACACCAGCGCCACCGGATGATATGGAACCCGAGAACACTGCCAAGGCTATTGCTGCGTGGGGTGTTGGGTATATAGTGTTAACATCAGTAGACAGAGACGATATTCCGGACGGAGGAGCGGAGCACTTTGCGAGAACCGTGCGCACGTTGAAAGAGTTAAAATCGAGCGTTCTCGTAGAAGCATTGACGCCTGATTTTCAAGGTGATTTAGACGCGGTTAAACACTTGGCAAGCTCTGGTTTAGACGTATTTGCGCATAATATTGAAACCGTGAGGCGATTACAGCCTCGAGTTCGAGATCCGCGCGCGAACTACGAACAGTCTTTAACCGTCTTAAAAGTGGCCAAGGAAGCAAAGGAAGGCATGGTAACGAAGACGTCCATTATGCTCGGATTAGGAGAAACGGACGACGAGATTAAGCAAGCCATGAAAGATTGCAGAGATGCCGGGGTTGATATATTTACTTTAGGTCAGTATTTACAGCCAACGCAGAAGCATTTGACGGTGAAAGAGTTTGTAACGCCGGAGAAATTTGAATATTGGAGAGAATTTGGCGAGAAGGAAATTGGTTTTCGCTACGTAGCCAGCGGGGCCCTCGTGCGCAGCTCATATAAAGCTGGTGAGTTTTTTATCGAGACTATGTTGCGTAAAGACCGTAGTAAAGCTAAAAACTAAGACAAAGTCTCTCTCTCTCTTCAAAAGTAAATGTAATAATATATCTAATCATAAACGAAACCGCTTTCTTTCATTTTATTCTACTAATAATTTATCGATGATCTCTTTCAGTTCGGCTATGTGTTTGATCGTATACGTAGGCATCGGCTGAAAAGTGCTCGCATCGCGCGATTTGACGTTAATAAAAACCGTCGCTAATAACTCTGCGTTGATGCCTCCTTGAATATCAGCACCCAGAGAGTCCCCGACGTGGATGGCTTCGCTCGGCAAACATCCCACGTATTTGCACGCTTTCATAAAAATACCACGGTCTGGTTTCTCTTTACGTCCTGCTAACACTTCTTCACCACCTACGATTATGTTCTCAAATAACGTGTACGCGCTGCACGCTTCTAATTTATCTCTCTGCACCCGATGATGCCCATTTGTGATTATGCACATCTCTAAGCCTTTCGAGTTGATGTACTCGCTCAGTTCTTTCACGCAGTCGTGCAAAGGAAAAGTGCCCATGCGGTTGTCGTCGAAACATTTTTGACACTTCACTCCAACTTCTTCCGCGTTTTCCACGTTTTGCAACTTTAACGCGTGCTCCCAGACTCTCGAACGCCACGTGAACACGTCGGTTTTATACTCTGGATCCCACGGTGCTTTGACGAATTTCTCTTTAAAGTCCGCGACTAATTTATCCACGTCTAACGACTGGAATTTTTCTTCTCCAACCCAAGCGAGTACGCTGGTTTTCACGTCCGCGTATGCTCTCACGTCGTACACGGACGTTGGAACTAACGTGTCGTCTAAATCAAAGAACACAGCTTTGAGCGTCGACATTTTCTCTATCTACCTATCTGTGTGTTATTAAGAGGATGAGAATGATGGTGATGGTGATGACGATGATAGAAGAAGGAAGAGAGAGAGGAAGTATTTGTGGAGTCTCGAGAGAAAACTCCCGCCATTTTTTGAATGACAACAACAAATATGTTCGCGAAAGAGAGAGAATAAGAAAGAATAATGCGATTCTTTCGGAGAATGCAAAGGAGAGATGATTCGTCTTTGCATTCTCACTCGCATTCTTCGATGAATAATAATATTTGGTACGGTGCTGATGATGCTCCCGGTGTTATCGATGTTGACATTTCTTCCTCGGTGGCGATGCTGGATTACTCTTATTACAACGACAACTCTGCTGAATACACGAGCGATGGTAGTGGTGGCAAAATAGAATACGTATATGTGCACGATGATGATGATATACGTGATGGTATCTCTTCAAACTATCGGCTCGATGACGACGAGGAGGAAGAGGAGGAGGACAACGACATCGTCGCTGAAGAAGATTTTGTTGAAATTGAAAATTTGAGAGCGGGAGGAGAAGAAGAAGAGGAAAGCGCCCCGGTTGCTGTTGTTGTCAAAGGAGAGGAACTTGAAAACACAACTGAAGAGGAAGAAGAAGATAGAAAGATAGGAAGAGACTACTACACCGAGTTTGATGATTTTATAAACGCGGTCGCTCTCGAAGAAGAAGAAGAAGAAGAAGAACAAGAAGAAAGAGAGGGTGTTCGCGCAAACAGTGAGAACATGGATGAGGAGGAACGGACGAGAGCAAAAGAAAGTGAGAAAGAAGAAGAAGATAAATTGGAAAGCTCTCAGAAGCGCGAGAGGATAGGTTCGCACGACTCTGCGACAACTAGGACGAGAGATGTTCAAGAAGAAAGCGAAAAGCGATCCCAGACGGGACGCGCTCACGGCATGGAAGGAGAAAATGAAAGAAGAAAAAGAGGAGGAGGAGGAGAGGAAATGAAGGGCGGCGTTTTTCGTCATTTTAATACGTTTACTAAGAGTATCTCGCACGATGTGAACGTGCGTTCTCTGCTCACAAATGTACTGTTGGGGGATAAATGGGTCATACATTTCGATGGAATACCATCGATTCGGTTTCGAATTGACTTCAACGTGGAAAATTTTCGTACCTGGAAACGATGGACCGCAACGCGCTGTTCGGATATTTCAAAGTGGCTTCAAAAGAGGAGGCGCGCAGCGGCTGAATCTCGACGAAGACACAGAGAGGAATATATTCGCTCCGTCACGAAGAGTCCGACGAAGGAAAAGAAAGAAGAGGGGACTCCCAAAAAACTTCTTCCGATTTTTTCTTCGCGGCAAAAGAAAGATGTTGCAATAAAGGATGATATTAACTCACCCCAAAGCGGAATGAATTCGATCGACAAAGCCCCGAGTAGAAGCACGCCAAAGTCGTGGAAAGAGAAGGAGGAGGAAGCTTTATTTAAGATTTTAAACGCTCGGAAAAAGAAGGAAACGAACGGAAGAAACAACAACGCTGCAGCCAGCGACAAAACGAGAACACTTCCGTCATCGAAAATGTTCAAAGATAAAATAGCGAGGAGGGCAACTATCTTGCTTCACATTTGCCCCCCTAAATAGATAGATAGATAGAAAGATAGATAGATAGAAAGATAGATAGAAAATAAAGTGTGTCGCGTTTAGTCGTGTACACTCAGAAACATTTTTGATAGATTCGTCTATTGTGTAAAATACGCATAAATATTCAGACAAATTTATATATTCAATTCAATTTTGTTTCTCTTTGTACTTCGCCATCTCCTTCTCATACCGCACCTTATCTTTCCTTGACAAATCCTCGTATGGTTTCTTATCGGCTACACTCGTTGCGCTCCACATCTGGCCTAGCTTCGACATAACATCTTTGGGAGCAGTTTCTTTGGGAATCGTAGATCTCTTTGCCGCGCAGAAGATGATGTACGCAGACTTTGCGTTCTTCGGCGCGTCCGGGTCCTTCTTTCGTCGCTTTCCTTGCTTTTCATCGTCATCAGTTTCTGGAGGTTCGTAATTCTTCATCGCTTCGTTAAACCGCGCTCTATCTGTTTCGGCTTGTTTTTCGTAAGGCTTTTTCTCTTTGTCCGAGAGCGCTTTCCAGCGTTTCCCCAATTCCGTCATGATTTCTGTGGCCGCCAAATTTGGATTGTCTTTGGCAATATTCGCTCTTTCCTTTTCACAGAAGCAAATGTATGCAGATTTAGCACCTTTTGGAGCGCTTGGATCTTTCTTTCTTTTCTTTTGTGCAAGAAGCGCAGCTTTGATGACAACTGTGCTCGACGGCGCTGGCTTCGGCAAGTCTTTCTTATTATCCTTCTTTTTCTTATCTTTCTTAGATGGAGTTTCAGCAACTGCACTCGTCTTCTTCTGCACGCCACCGTTGTCAGTATTCTTCAATGTCTTCATGATTTTCGACAAGCCTCCGGGAGTCATTGTCACTTTCTTCTCGACAGCGGCGGGCATTTTTTTCTTCTGAGCAGTCGGCGTCGCCGCTTTCTTTTTACCTTTACTCGAAGAACTGCTGCTAGAGCTGCTGCTACTACCGGAACCGGAACTACTCGAAGAGGAAGAGGAGGAGGAGGAGGAGGAGGAGGAAGAAGAAGAAGAAGAAGAAGAAGAAGAAGAAGAAGAAGAAGAAGAGGAAGAAGAGGAAGAAGGTTTCGGAACTTCAGCCTTCTTCGTAGCTGCCGCAGGATTCGTTGTCTTGACTTTTTCCGCTGCACTCTTGTTCACTCCTTCTACAACCGCTGGTAACTTCGCATCATACCCTAAGCGAGTCGCGACTTCACCGAGCAACATTCGCGAAGTTTCGTTGAACGTCTGAGGTCTTTCTTTTATGACACCAATCATGGATGTCCACACTCTCGTCGGGAGTCCTTTCTTTGATTTGTAGCCTCCTGGATAGGCCTTCGCTACTATCACACAAACGGCAATGAGAGGTGTTGAAGGTGAATTGATTTTTGGAGATAACGCTTGGATACTCGCCAGCGTTTCCTCGTAAATGTTCTCACTCCCATCTGCCAAATCTGCTTGGCATTTCTTCATTTCCTCCACAACCCCTTTTACAGACGCGTACGCTTTCTGAGCAGAATCTCCAGACAAATTCTCGCAAGCCAATTTAAAGCCAGAGTGCTTCATCAAGGCCTTAGCAAATATCGGAAAGCGGACATTGGTTTTCTTTGATGTATCCAGCAATTTCGTAATCTTCTCTTCTGTCGTCATCTTAGTATCAGGTTTTGAAGCTGCAGCGGCGGCTTGTCCCGCCGAAGGTGGGGTCGGCGTCTTGGCTTTCGCCACAGCGGCGACTGGTTTCAGCGCAGAGGCGATTGGTTTTGGCGCAGTAGCGTTTCCTGTTTTGCTTTTCTTTGCCGAAGGCGCATCAACGTTCGCGGCTTCGGAGGCGAATCTACTCTTCAAATTCGGAACCGGCGGGGCGGCGGCAATTGTCGTTGCGCCTCCCACAAGGTAACCGTCTCCTTGAAACCTGGACTGGCCGGTGGAAATCGGTGTCGAACCTTTCGCCACGGCTTTCACGTTCGCATCGATCAAGGATTTTGGAGATAAAACGTCAATCGTTCTCGCATCGAAGCCTGATTTCTTCGCGCTCGAGTTGCCCGCTTTTTCTCCTCCTTTTTTAGCCTCCAGCTGAGCTAAATAATTGGTGAACGGAAGCGATCGAAACGACTCGTCGTCGACTGGGTACGAGACGCCAACGCCGGCACCTTCGTCGTTCTCGCGTAAGAATCCATTTATGCTGGTCACTTCCACTTCTCCGTATGTCTTCCCGTACACCTCCGAGTGTTTCTTCTCAATCGCACGGGCCAGCGTTTTGTAATTCGAAGAATTCGGAAGGACAACGACTACAGTTGTCGCGTACGAAGTCATCACCTTGCATACTTTGAGGTCAGACATTTTCTCTCTCCCTCGTCCCTTTCTCTTCTCTTCGCGCAGGATCGTTCAAAGAGAGATAAAGAATCGCCCCCACTCTCTAATGCGTGTGGTTGTGTGTTGTGGTGGTGATAGGGAACACCCGCGTTGTTACAATAATAATTATGAAGAATCGGCAAATTCAAATTCAAAAGTTGTTCTTCTTTTGTTTCGTCGTTTTGGCATGCAGTTGTTGAAGCATCGAGGATTTGAGCCATTTCTTGGGAAAAACAAGTGCCAAACAACAATCTGGGCATCACCACAACATAATACGCACCTCGTATTCATAACAGAAGAAGAAGAAGAAGAATGATGATGAGGAGGAGCACATTTCCGTGTTCCTTTTCCTCCTCCTACCCCTCCTACCCCTCCTCTTCCTCCTCTTCCTCTTCCATCTCGGCGTTGGCTTCTTCTGGGAAGCGCGTTATTAGGAGCAAAGAAAGACCAAAAGGGGTGGTGGTGGTTCAAAATCATCGCTCGCCTCGTTACGAAGAACCACTTTCACGCTCCTCTTCCTACCAGTCTTTCTCTTTTCAACTCTATGGAAGGGGAAGGAGAACATATGTTTCTCGCGCGCGGCGAAACGACGGCGACGATGAAGAAGAAGTAGAAAAGGAACAACAACAACAACAACAACAACAACAACAACAACAACAGAAAAATGTAATCTTTCAAGATATGCTCGAAGGACGCGTTCGAGGAGGTTCCAAGATGTTGAAAGGACCATCGTCTGGAATCGGAAGCGTGCTCGATATAGCTCAATATCGAAGTAAATGGGACGTTCCCTGGGGTGGATGGACAGTATTCGGAGGTATTGTCGGCTGGTTAACGAGCTTTGTTCTCACGGCGGCAGTCTTAGTTCCGCTCTTCGTCTCGCAAGCGCTCGGCTTAGACCGAAGTCAGTTTGATGTCGAGCAACAGGCGCAGTATTTATTACTGGTCCAGGTCGCTGAAACGGTGATATCTTTGGGCATAGTATACGCGTGCGTTGCGAAATATAAAGACGAAATGTTTTCGAAGCCAGAGAACGATTGGTTCAGGATTGATTTTTCGCATCCGCTGGACACGAGTAAAAACGGCTGGTTGGTATACGGCATCAGCGGTTATCTGCTGACCTTTGTCGTCGTCGCGTTGACTGGATTTGCGATCGAATCTACGCAAGAAGTTGTACAATCTATACAAGACAGTCAAATTGCAAACGATCCAAGCTCGACGATCGATGCTATATCCGCGGCATCGGCTTCAGCTACCACGGCGAAAGTTCAAGAAGCTGGAACAATCGACGGCGTCTTACCGTTGATTAAATCAGAAGACCCAGTGGCTGTCGGATCTCTGCTCGCAGTGACGAGCGTTTTTGCACCTCTTTTAGAAGAGACTGTTTTTAGAGGGTTTTTATTAGCCTCGCTCACAAAATGGCTGCCCGCTCCAGGCGCGGTTGTGTTTTCGAGTTTCATTTTTGGATTCGCGCACCTGGCGCCGAGAGATTTTCCTGAACTCGTTGCGCTTGGGTGCGTGTTAGGCTTTTCATACGTACGAACGAGAAATCTCCTCGTCCCTATGTTCATCCACTCGTGTTGGAACTCGGGAGTACTCGTACTCGTGCTTGTTGCGATACATTTGGGGGTCGCTGACGAGCTGGGCATTCCCGGGTTTTAAAGTCGATTTTTTAGAAAAAATGTTAGCTTTAGTGGTATTTAGAATAGCAGCTGTAGTAGAAGATAATGATAGATGTACACTCCGACCGCACAACATCCCAGACGTGAATTTTATTCGCGCGGGCAAAAAAACACCACAGCGCAAATGTCAGATACTACTACGAAAGCGTACGCGGCGCTCGAAGTGAACGCGAAAAAGCTCGAACAGATTGAAATAGATTTGCTCCCGTTAACGGACGACGGAGTAGAGATTAAAGTGGAATGCTGTGGGCTTTGTGGAAGCGACGAGCACTTGATAAAAGGTGATTATGGAGAATACGCGGTGTTCCCTCAAGTCTGCGGACACGAGGTCGTAGGTACGGTCCGCCAAATCGGGAAAAACGTGAAAGATGTAAAAGTTGGTCAAAGAGTCGGAGTCGGTTGGCAATCGGCGTCGTGCCACTCGTGCGAGTGGTGCACTAAAAATAACGAACAGCTTTGCGGAAAAGTGAAATGTACGTGTTGCGAAGGCAACCGAGGCGGGTTCGCGGACGTGATGCGATGCGAAGATTCGCAGTTTGTTTTTCCGATTCCAGATTCGTTAGATAGTTGCGAAGTCGCTCCGATGTTATGCGGAGGGCAAACCGTGTGGACACCGTTGAAGGAACAAACGAAGCCGGGCGATAAGATTGGGGTGTTAGGCCTCGGAGGTCTCGGGCACATGGCGATCAAATTCGCAAAGGCGTTTGGAAACGAAGTCATCGCCATTAGCTCTTCGGATTCGAAAAAAGAAATGGCTCTCGAACACGGCGCGACTGGCTTTCTGGTGCACACCTCGGAAGACGAGATGGAAAAAGCGGCGGGAACGTTGGATTTTATTTTGGTGACCATCGCGACATCAGAAACGGTGGAGTTTGAAAATTTTTTCAGCCTCTTGCGACCTCGCGGGACTATGTGTTTTGTAGGTATGGTTCCCAAGTTTATGATTGATACGTTCACCATGGGTTTCACGATGACAAACTGCACGACCTCGAACACCGGAAGCATCAAAGACATGAAAGAAATGCTCGAGTTTTGCGCGAAGAATAAGCTTGGCGCGAAGGTGAAGAAAACACCGTTGAGCAAAATAAATGACGCGTTAGATGAACTCCGAAGCAAACAATCCGCGTTCAGACACGTTCTCGTGAATGATTTATAGCGAATGAACATTAATACAACGAACATTATACAACGAACCTTACTACAACGAACCTTAATACAAATGCTCTGTTCCCTCCTCGTCCACCTCCTAAATCTCCTTTTTTTTTAAAGGGGCTGGCGGCTGAAAACACGCCAGTTCTTTTGCATTGTATTCGTGCGCACGGTGGTTGGAAACTTTCTAACACATCCATAAGACAGAACAGGCACCACATTATCGAAACATCATATCGGATTCCTTAAAGCCGCAATGACCTTTACTACGGTTTCAACGCGCGCAAGCTGGTGCGTGCCTCGCGCGCAATCAGCCCAATTTGCAACGACTTCGTCCACTTCGTCGCTTTTATCGCGGTTTCCGATGAACAAGAACACGCACCACTCGTGCATCTCAATATCGCGAAGAATACAACACCATCATCGCAGCTGCTCTCTACGCGCGAAGAAGAAGACGTACGAATCTTCCGAAGAAGCTGCAGAGGATTTATTGTTTTATAACGAAGAGGATTTGCTGGAAGAAGACGAGGAAGGAGTTGAATTGTTGGAGAAAACTCGAAAACTTTCAGCAGAGGAGTTGATAATTGAAGACCGCGAACTCGCCATGCTCGGACTCGACGTCGACGGAGAGGACGCTGATTATGACGACGAGGATGATGACATAGATGGTCTCTTCATTGAAGGAGAGGACGGCGAGTCCATGGATATCGCCAGTTTCCTAAAAAAGAATGGCAAAATAGACTCGGAGAACGACTTTGATTTTGAAGAAGACTTGAACTTTGACGTCAGCGATGAAGATTACGATGATGATAATGCTGATGACGACGAGGATGATGAAGAGGATGATTTCGTGTTCATACCGAAAGGCTCCGGAATCGAATTCAAATCTGAGGATTTGTACAACATCGACTCCCCGACGAATAAAGATTTTGGTTTTCTCTCGGAGTATGTAAAGACAAAACCAGGTTACGAAGAAGATATCGACGGGGAAGGCGATGAATCAAATCGCACGACTATTAATACCGCAACGCGGTCTCCTCGAAAATCTAGGAGCAAGAACGATGTCTTCATCCGCGACACTTCCAAGGACAAAGCTCCGAAAACCTCCGAATTCGACGCCAAGAGCGAGGAAGAGGATTATCTCGCTTTTGGTGCCGACGACGACACTAAAACGAAAAAACGACTCGATTTAGCGGCAAAAAATGCGGCGTTAATACAAATGGGTGTCCCGAAAGCATTGTTGGAGCAAATTGAACGAGAGCAAGAACTTGTCGATGCCGTCAACGATAAGAAGAAGAAAAAGAACCTGGATTCCTTTGGTGAAGAGAAAAAGACGCACAAACGATTGCAGATTGTGGCGGGACGACACTCAAGGCGCGTAGTTCTTACTCCATCTGGGTTGAACACTCGGCCAATGATGGGCGTCGTCCGTGGGGCGACGTTTGATATGATTCTAAGTCTCGTCGGGTCACGTTCAAACGTGCAATTCCCAGAAAATTCCAGATGGTTAGATTTGTTCGCCGGTACCGGCGCGATTGGATTAGAGGCGCTTTCGAGAGGATGTGTAGACGCACATTTCGTTGAGATGGACGACTGGACGGTTAAAAATGTCACGCGCGTAAATATAAAGACGTTAGGGGAAGAGAAGAACGCTACGGCGCACTGCGCTTCCGTGGAAACGTTCTTACAAAGACACTCCAAAAACACCTCTGGTGTCGGTGGAGCTTTCAATTTCGTGTCGTTCTGTCCTCCATACGAGAAAATTTCATATCCGGACCTTCTTTTAGAAATAGATTCGTCGCCTTTGGTGAGTGACGATGCCATAGTCTTGGTTGAATACGCCATCGGGCAGCGAGATGAAATCAAAGCATCGATTGGTAACCGTCTGAGACGCGTTCGAAATCGCCGCTACGGTCGAACGTTTGTCGCGCTTTACGTGTGCGATGGGCGCGAGCTGGACGATGACGTTGTCGAAGAACCAAAACTTCACGGCAAAGCCATGAAGTAAAAATTGCTTATGGCATATGAGTTATTTACAACAACAGTGTACTTTAGTTAGGTGCAACTTTTCGGTTGACTGATTTCAAACGTATGCGCTTAAGTAAAACATTCTCTCATTCTTTTTTTCAAGACCACAACGCGGTAGCTTTTCCTGCTTTGTTCAATTTCTCAATCACCGCCGAAGGTTCGATTGATCCAGTCACGGTGACTTTCTTCGTATCTAAAGTTACGTCGAACGATTCAACACCTTCCATTTTACCTAAAATGCGTTTCACCGCGCCCACGCAGCCTTCGCACATCATATCCACTTTGAGTTCTGTAGTTTTCGCAGAAGACATGCTTCTTCTCGCTTTATCTTTCTTACTCTATCGATGCTGTTCTTTATCGCTTGCTGTGAAATACTTTGATGTGACGAGGAACTTTGAAACGCCTATTTTATGATGTGTGTTTGAAATGTTCACGCGAAGAAAGCAAAATCAACACAAAAAAAGGTGTAAAGGTCATCAAGAAGAACCAACCTTACTCTATCTTTCTCTCTGGTTCCGCTTTGAAGAAAGTGCTCGCGTGGTGCTGCTGTGATGAAATCCATCGAGAGTTTCGCAGATTACGTTTGATAGAGGGAACTGATATAGTTTATCCTCTGTTTGTCTTTGCTTCCATTCGAGACAAACACTACAGTTACGAGAGTATAACATAACAGATAACAAGAATAGCAAAGGATGGAACGCAAAGCAGCAATTATGAGCCAAAGAAGAAAGCACAAATATCGCAACGATATGGAAAAGCCGTTTAATTTTTGTAGAGAAGCTGCAAAAGGATGTCACGTGTGCTTGATGGCGCCAAACAGAACGAGCGACTTTCTGATTGGCTTGGAGAAATTCTACGCTGACGAATACGACTCAGACGTCGAGATACCTTCGGTTGCGTTAGATCCAGACACGAATACCTTGACTTTAACGAATACACACGATTATGCGCTTTCTGCGACGATATCGGTCAAAGGTCTTCGATGTTTAGGGAAAGATGGTATAGAATTGGAAGCCGGTAATACGGTATCGAAAGACGGCTGTAAGTCAACGTGCACAACTTTTATCGTAAAGATCCCCGCGAACACGTTCTTGCACGTCTGTCGATTGGTCGTGGACTTGGAAAGAGAAGGCATCAAAGATAGAGACGAACTGTTAGAGTTTGTCATGCAGAAACTCGATTCAGACGTCCAGAGATGCGAAGGACACTCGAGACCAAACGATTTCCATCCGTTACATCTTACTTTTCCTTTTCAAAATACGAAACATGAAAAGGACGAGTGTTTCTATTTGTGCACGCAAGGCATCGGAGGGAGCTTTACGCACACTTTCTACGGTAATTACCACGCCATAGATTTTCGATGTGAAGTCGGCACGCCAATTGTCGCCGGGGCAAACGGGATAGTTACGGATGTACGAAACAATGCACAAGATCAAAGCACGGGCATCTCGGCGAGCAACTTGTACTCATGGAATTCGATTCAGATTCGCGTCACTGAAGAAGTGAATATAAAAGACGGAGAGGTAGAGGAAATCAACGCGGATAGCGCGGAGCAAAGGAGTAGTAGCGGAGCTTCAACAACCGCATCCGCACGAACGGGAATAGCCGGTTTGAGTATATCTGAAGCGACGGCGGCGGCGGCGGTATCATCACCATCATCATCCAAAGTTGGACAAGCTGGCCCTTTGTACATTGAGTACGTTCATGTCCAAGAAAACTCATTCAAAGTTCAAGTTGGAGATGTCGTGGAGAGAGGCCAAATCATATGCCGTTCGGGTGAGAGCGGATTTTGCCCAGAGCCGCATTTGCATTTCAGCGCATTTCGTACGTCGGATAGCAAAGCGCCTACGGTTGGCGTGAAGTTTATTGCATCTGAAGTAAAAGATGCATTCGTTCCAGAAGCAGGAAAGATGTACAATGCGCGCATCGGGGAGAGGAAAATATAGTAGGTACAGTTCGCCGCAAAGCGTTCACATAGCACATAACATAATCAAATCTAATATTTACGCACTTTTCAATATTGAGCGTTTTATTCCTACCAAGCTCTCTTCTATTCTAGTTCCCGCTTTCGTTTTATTCGTTTTATTTACGTTTAACTCCTCAAGTAGCACGTCGCACTGGTCCACAATCGCTGAAGCGACATCCGGCGCGACATTTTTCTCTTGAAAACATGACAAAAAACGCGAGCAATGCATCGCAATGTCGTGCAGTTCTGCAGCTAAAATCTCTGAGTGCAAGTTCGTCCGTTCGCTCGCAGTTCCCGCATTTAAAGAATGAATCGGTGAGGGGGATTTCAAAATACCTCCGTCTGGCGTTTTTGGCGATTTTGCATCGTTAAAACGCTTCCTGCCCAACGGCGTCCCCAGAGCTTGCCCGCCTTGATTTGATATGAGCGTCGGCGTCGATGGTGTCTTTGAGACATTGGTAGTGTTGCCATTAGTTGGCGTCGAGGAGGTAAACAAGACCGAGTTCTTCGTCCCGAGAGGCGTGGTCGATGGTGTTAAACCTAACATCAACGGGCTCGCGCCATTCGCGGCCGGGGACAACGCCATAGGAGAAAGAGCTGAAGATTGAGTTCGTAGCGATGTGAGCACGCGCGAGCCACGATTCAGAACACCAAACCAACAGCTGGATAGTCCTGCCTCGGATGGTTTAAGTGTACGGGCTTCCTCTGCTGCATTCTGAGGTAAACAACAATTGTGCGAGGTGGCGCCGGAGTGAACGGGCGGAGCCGCAAACCACCTGAGAAAGAGAGCGGCTTCATCGCGAAGGTTCGCTTGTCCGTTCGGAGATTGCACTTGCCAGCCAAACTTCAAACGTTCATCGCTAGATATAGAAGAGAGTAAAGCGCAACACACTTTTGCCTTCCGTAGATTGCTGAGTGTAATTGACGTTGGTTTCATTGCCGAAAGGATATAACGCTCCACCAAGCACGCAAACGACGCTAGTTTGGAAGTGACGGAAGAATCTATATCGGAATTTCGCAAACTCCTAGCAAGTTCAGTTGATATTTGAATCGATAAAGTCAACGTTGCGAGTTTCAAGACATCCAGTTCTTCAAAAGATTCGTCTGCCATGGGAGTGTACTCATTCAACAACTTTGCAACAAGTTCGCGCACTCGGTCGTAAGCACCCGTTTGCGCCAACACATATGCTCCTTCGGGCGTCTTTGCCAACTCTAAGCACGCGTACAATGCAGAGAAGACAACGTCAGAAGAGGTTAATCGGGCGAGTTCGTCAAATTTGGATGGATCGCAATCAACTTGTATTTGTTCTCCACTCGTTATCGCTACTCGCAAGCTCGCGAGTGAGTTGTTGTTGGAGTCAACGGAGGTGAAAGCGCTAGATATGTCTGGAATAAACATTGACGATGAAAAGTCGTCACTTCCAAGGACAAGCATCGAAGGGGATGCAAACGCACCACCATTACCGAACAACTTTGTTAGTAGTCGCAAAGCGCAAACAGAAGACGCTGCAGGTACCGCATTCGATACCGCCAGATCACGAATCTGTGGAATAGCCTGAGACGCCACGTTCCCTATATCTATAGCTCTGGCTGCGTCCTCCGAGTTGGCTTCCTTCGACCAACATGATAGACTTCTCTCGAATGCAGCACACGAATGTGCACACGCAATGTGACTGATTGGACATATTTTAGAAGAGAGAAATGCACACGCCGCACGCGCAACATTTTGTAAAGCCTCATAATCTTCGTTTGCGCCATCGCTTCGATTCGCAGAATAATTTTTGCGAGAACAGCTCCATAGCCGGGCAGAGATTTCCAACAACTCGCAAAGCGAGACAATCAACGAGACCTGTCTCGGACTTTCCGATCTGCGGTTTTGGACCGCGTGGATGAGTTCAAGAGCGATTGTGTTCACCGTATCTCTTCGCGAATGATGTGACCACTTTTTGAGAATTGAGGGCTGAACTAACGAGAAGCCGCAACCATTCTGTTCGTTGTTGTCGTTCTCTCCATCAGATGTTCTCACCTTTCCCCCATCATTTCTCGATCCCAACGCAGATATACCTACATTTGATAATGGAGCTAATAATTTCTTTTTCACGTGTTCCTTACGTTCATCCAGAGCTTTTAGTTGCTCGGCGTCCAGCGCGTCCAACTCTGGGCCCACAATGTTCTGGAAGGTTTCCAAAGATCCGGATGCTTTCAAAAATGCGCTCAAACTCTCAATCGCACTTATCTTGGCATCACACAGGCTCACAACGAGCGACACTTCGCGCGAACACGCCGCAACCTTGCGAGCAAGCGATGCAAGACGCGTTTCTGGTGCGCCCCATCTACCGTCATCCGTGTTGAAGACACCGCAGGCACGCTCAATCCATTCCGAATCGTAAACATATGAATCTCCGTAGACAGATCCACCACTTAAGCCGATTGGCGCATCTACAAAGATGCAATTCTCACAATTGGACGTTGTTGCATGGTGTAATAGATCATTTACTCGTGAAGATGCGTGTCTGATGTCTCTAACGAACGCATCATTGTCTGCGAATACGGTCTCAAACGTCGCCGTAGCTGCGTGCGCAACGTCCGTGAGCAGACGCGCCGCGGCTTTTTGGCCTTCGCGCGAAAGAACCTCTCGAGCCACAGGTTGCTCGAGAAGAGATCTCGCTAAAAGCTCCGCACCTGCTTCAAGGGTAGCTGAAGCGAAACAGACGCTATCGCCTCCAGCCTGAGCTGTTGCTAACTCAGCCGCTGCGGAGAGCATCACCGCCCGCAAACCTAATATGAATATATCCATTTTCATCCATGCCACGTTCGTTTTGTCCTCCACAGAAGATAATGAGAGCTTTATCGATCGAAGCAAGCCTTCGTCTCGAGACACAAAGGGATGCACAGCTTCGCGTAAGTGCTCAGAACGGTTCACTGGAACAGTCAATGCAACCAAAGACTCGCTAGCGAGAATACCTAGCGAAGACGAGAGCGCAGAGAACGCGTTGGCGTGGACGACATCATCATGATTTGAAGCTTGTGAGCACACTTCATTCGCACGTTCGACGATTGATGCGAGCTTTTGAAACACACGTGGCTCAGAAGCCAAGCCGTCGACTGGATTTGGTAAAGCAACCCTTGATTTCCAGAAAATATTAAGCGCAAACGCAAACGTGGCCCCGTAACTGACGTCTTCGATATCCAGTATTTTATCCAAGGCTAACCAAAGTTCATCGTATGTTGGATACTGCGGCTCGCTGGATTTCAATATCGCTCGTGTAATTAACGCAGCGGATGATGGTTGTTTCTCCGCGAGAGCATTCGCATTGTTACCCTTGCCGTCTTCTGTACTCTTGGTTCCGTCATCTTTTTCAACTCCGTCATCTTCTCCCGAAGCCCCGTCGCGGATAGTAAGCATAAGCTGCGCATAGTCTGGTCCATAGATGATGGCATCAGCAAACGGTGGCTGATTTGCAGATGCACTCGCAAGCAGAGTAATGGCGTGAGATGTAGACTCCGGGTCTATATCAAATTCTTTCAAAGCGAGTTTAATCCTATCGCGCAGTTGACGGCAAGTCTCGTCGGCCTGTACTCCACCGAATGCCGCAGATAACGGTGCTGATGCTGGAGCCGTCGTACACAACGGTATTAACGCAGGTATCGCTAAAGTACAACATTCAGAAGCGTACGGGTACGAAGCATACGAAGCGATCGCTTGCACCATCGGTGGTCCTCGCTCTGGAGGAGGCGCTTGAATAAAGAGAGCTTTCGCGATTGACCTCGAAAACGTCCCTCCGGTTATTTCGGAATTATGTTCAAAGACAGAAGATAACGCCGGGATGACACGTAAAACACTCGCAATTGCATCCTCAAGCGCGACAATCTCTTTTGAGCGACACTCGGAACCGCTTTCGTACGCGCGCTGCAAGAATTGCGCATCGAATCGTAATGGTGCAAAAGCTCCAGCGAGGGTTTGCTCATCGTTCATCAAGAATACACAAGTGCGAATACTGAACGTTTGTTTCGGAGATCGAGAAGAGCGCTCCATTCCATTTTTGAGATTTATATCATCATCAATCATACACATTCTCTCGAAATATTCAAACTTTGATGTCAGCAACGCCGCTTGCAACGCTTGAGATGCGTATTTATGCACAATCCACTTTTCCGAGCGTTCTAGGTATCTCCAGCTATCGAAACGAAGCATGGCGTACAACGCAGATCGCTGAAACAACAATTGCGATTCATCTCCACACTCACCCGCGAGTAAAAGCGTTTCAGATAACGCGCATAGCGCCTTGATACTATCGTGGACTCCTCGAGACTCTTCAAACTGGAGGCATTGCGAAACAGTCACTCCGTTGGTGGAAGACGCTTTATCGTCTTCTGTGAAAAAAGGGGTGTTGAGTACGATATCCGCCGCGCGGCGCGGCGCTGCTGCGGCGAGTGGTCGCAAAGCTGCGAGTGCCATTGCCTGTATACTATAATCATCGGACTTTTCTACGCGCAAAGATAGAGCGAGTGCAGATAGGACGTCACTCGGCGTCCCTCCAATTTCAGATGCCGAAGCGTGTAAATCGCACCTCAACAGAGGCGCCGCAAACGAAGGCGCGTTTTCTAGCGCAACCGCGATGAACGATAACGCAGCGTGCAGCTCTGAACGATCTTCTGGAGTGAGATGCTCTCTCCTTCGCCTCGCAACCGAGCTCAAGTTTCCTATTCTAGACAAAGTGATGTATAACCCATCCGCCGGTTCGCTCCACACAATTAGGTTTGTTCCAGACGATGAAGAGCTCGGTATAGAGACACCCCTACAGTTCGAAGGAATACACGCTCCGGGAACTTTTGAGCTAGAAATAGGTGCTGAACACACTACGTGTCCAAATATATTCCCAGTGCTCCGATCGAATCGACTTTTAATACTGGCTTGCTTGATGGCAACTTCGGCAACCTCGCGATCTGGATACGGCAAGGCAACCGCGGGTAGTTTTGTGAGGTACGAAAGCGCGCACTCTGCAGCTTTCGGTCCTTCCGAGAGAGATTTTAAGATGCGCAACAAAGGCGCAGATTCTGCGGGAAAGCGCTCTCGACAACCTTCTACGAGCGCGAGTAAAGGCGCTTCCTGCCCATTTTCGCTCGCACCTTCCCAAAACTGTTCGCATAATTCGCGCTGTCCGCATATAATTTCATCAAAGCACTCGAGAATCAAGTCGAGTTGAGTGGGTAGCAACCCGTGCACGGGAAGTATGTCAAATCCAGCTAACGTTGCCGAAAATACATTCTTCAAGACACTTCTTCTAGGAACCGCAGATGGATCAGAACCATCAAAACTGGACTTTGTGTTCATCGCTATATTTTTCAAAGAATCTAAACCGCTGGCTACGTCTGACGCGCTCAAAAAAGCAGTCATTGCTTGCTCGTCAGCTTGGCTGATACCAGTAATCATAGACTTTGCCAAGGATAGAAACGCAGCCCATGCGAGCTTAACTGCTCCAGATTCAACGGTATCTGTCGTTTGCGATAGAACTGTCGTGACTTGAACAACTGACGAGAGTAAATGATGCTGGGCTTCGCCAGAACCTTGTCCACTCGTGAAAGTGTGCACGATACGTTCTAAATCTACCGCAACAATCAAAATGATTGCACATCTCGCTCGTATATCAAACGTAACCGCAGTCTCCATTTGCTCTGCCATAGATGGAGCTAAGTTTATAACTTCTGTGCACTTGTGTGGGATTTTCGAAAAAACCTTTTGATCGAACGTTTTCGCCAACTGAAGAAAACGTGTCGACGAGCATTCTTTCACCACGCCGTAGTATAATGAAAATAGAACATCAAGAGACGCTCTAATTTCTTCGACAGATTCAAGACACGAACTCAAACGAACAAACTCTTCTCCTTGCGTACGAATGAGTGTGCTTGCTTGTTTCTCTCCCTCGTTTGAAACGCCGGTGGCGAGCGCAGTCGATGTTGGATTTTTCACCGCCAAAGCGGTACTTCTCTCTTCACGACTGCTCCCAATTGCGAGTAAACCTAGTCCTTCTCCATTCGCAAGTAACGAGTCGCACAAGTAATTCACGATGTTATCTTCTAATCTATTCTTTATCATCTCTTCGAGCTTTTCTGAAAGTCGCGAAGCAAACTCGGCTTCTTCTCCTTCTTTTTCATTTCCCCCAAAGCCGTCGTCGTTTTCACCGTCGAAAACATACGCCTTCTGCGTTCCTAAAACCGCGACGCATTTCAACAAAGCGAGGCGTTCTCGATGGTAAAAGGTGCACACTAACTCAATCAATTCACCGGTCACTTCTTTCGGACGCGCGGTAATCCCTTTTTCTTCCAACGCTCGACGAAGCATGACATACGTTTGAATTTCGTCCAACTTGAGAAGTTGCGCAAGCATAACGGTGCATTTCTGCATGTCAGCTCCGACGGCAATCGTCTTGCCTCCCACATCAATTGAACCCGATTCGAGTGCAGCTTTTGAAGCCGCGCTATTCGGACCGTACGCTTTCAAACCTTGTTGCAAAAAGGGCGTCGCCGCATCTAGTTTCTCGAGCACTTTCTCCCGGGAAGTTGTTTTCTGGTCTAAAGCGTAAAACAACGCTCGCGTGGAAGGAACATGCGTCGTGGTTTTCGCCGTCGAAGCCATGCCAACAGGAGAGAGAGTAATACTCGCTCTTTCTCTATTACGTGAAGTGAACGTAAAAATAAACGAATACGCGCTGTCAGAGCTGTGGGGAATTATTAGAGTTCGTTTGAATTTTTCTGTTAAAAACTTGTCGCACGTCCGAATTCCCAGAAGAGAGAGTGAACAGTGAAGCTTTATATTCTCCTTTATAAAAAAAGTGCTGGCGTGCGCGCGCGCAAACACAACTAAAGCTCCTTCCTTTTGGCAGAGAAAATAGACAATCACTCAGATGCCCTGGTCGTTACAATCACTTAAAACGAGATAGGAAACTCTCGGTGGTGGTTGAGATTGTTGTTCTTGGAAACAACTCCCTCTCGTTATTCGTCAAAAGTCGTTACGCTTTGTGATTTTCGAAAAGGCACCAAAACGCGCGAGACGAACACCCTCTCATGGTGGTGTTAAGAGCGAGCGAATGGGCGCTGAAGCGCTTCGTCAAGTTCATATTGAAGCGCACGTTGAGTAAGATTATCGGTAACAATGATGGAAGCGCGAGAGAAAGTCTCGCATCGATAGATATTGCGTTATCCGAAGGGATTTTAGAGTTGAAAGACGTGGAGTTGAACACGATATTCGTTCGGGACGCTTTGTTCTCCTCTTTCATAAACAGTGAAGACGGAAGCGAGAACGACTCGATATCGATTGCGAGCGCAAAGTGCGGCAAAATAAAGATAAAGATTCCTTGGAATAGTTTGTACTCTGATCGTTGCGAACTCCTCATCGAAGATGTTGCCGTGCTCGTCGTTCGAAGAAGCGCGCGAGGAGGCGAAAGCGCAGAAGGAGGAGAGATGAAAAAGAAACACCCGGAAAGAATCCGAAAAGATAAAACTCTCTTACACATCTACGATAACAACGATTTATACTCGCACTCTGAGAATGTTAAGGAAATAGAACGCGCGCAGAAATTAAACAAGGACGAAGATGATGATGTAGTAAAAGGAGTTGGTGAGGGAGACGCAAGCGAGGAAGACGAAAAGACAACAGAACCTGGAGCGGTTATGAAAGCGATTAAACGATTGGTACGTGGTGCACTGTTAAGCGTTCGAAATATTTCTTTTGATTTTGATACTTTTTGCAACAACAATGTGGATGAGAAATCCATCGTATCGCTATTGATTGAAAGTGGAGCGTACGTGCACGATGGTCAAGCAGTAATGAACATGCGTAGCGTCGAGCTGAGAGTCGGAGAGCACGTTGTTCTCAGTCCCTTTCATGCGCAACTATCAAAACGTGAAGATGAAAGCGAACACTCGACGTACGCTTTATCCATAGAAAATTCAATCCACGCATCTTTGACGGAACGCACAGTTCACGCATTCTCGCAACTTTGCGAGAAAAGTAATGAGAAAGGGGATGCAACAGGAGACAGCGAAGCCATAGAAAATTTAGTAAAGGAAGAAGAGAGGGAATCAGGTGAAAAAGAGAAGTGTTTCGTGGAAGATTCGCGAATGAACGCTTTGAACAAAAGTTTCTTGGATTGTATATTGGAGGTTAAGAAAAGAAATCGAACTGGAAAAGTTGGCGACAAGAATGGCAACGAACACAGCTTCGTCGTAGACGACGATGACGGCGACGATGAATTTTACGACTGCGAGTCTTCTGAGCATTCGAATGACTTGGATATAGAGAAATTTACGCGGTCGGTGATTTCATCGTTCTACGAAGAAAGTGTGAGTCGCGTTCAATCGCAGGCGGACTCTATTATAGTGCCATCGTCGACGTATTGCATCGCTTTTGGGAGCGACTCGAAGATGTCCATGGAGTGGGACGATGGCTCGAATCTGTATTTAACTTTCGATCGCTCGTCGCGATTCGTGTATTGCGAGTCTTCTCTGATGAAACTATTCGCGCCGCGAATCGCGATGACTTTGCAAGTTGACCAGAGCTCGCCTATCCTTTCGCTCGAAATAGTCTCGGATGAAGTTTTACCCGTTGTCTCGATCATCAACAAGAAAATCAGTCCAGAAGAAGAACGCATCACGACCTTGACGCTTTCGTCTGTGGGCGCTGAATTATTTTTGGACGGTGACACTTTTATTCGAATACCAGAGCTTGCGCATCAAGTGTTCACTCTTACGAATAGAAACACTCGAAATCAATATAGTGCGCGAGATGCTGCTTTTGCAAGCACTACTGATGAAACAATGGATATTGCCAACTCTGCAGAGCAAATTCTCGAACTTGCTCGAGCTAGTTCGATTCAGTATTCGATGACTTCAACCCACTTGGACGTATTTTTTACTAGGACGCGCATGGGACAAATTGACACATCATTGAACTCATTTCGCAATTTACCAGATGTCCACCCGTTTAAACTGAAGCAAAACGAAATTGGAGACGTAGTCGACTCCTTCTCGATTGATTTTCATATTGATTCGCTCGATGTTAACATCGACGGGAAATCGGAAGCCTCGTTGATTTTACCAGAAGAAAGCGATGTGTTTGCTTCCGCATCAGAGAAATTACCGTCGCTTTCATCGAGGAAAGGCACGCGTTTTCATGCTTGCTTTACTGAAGTGGCTTTTGTAGCAGCCTTGGCGGTATGTGGTGATCAAGATGCAAATTTTTTGTCGTTCACGTCCTCTCGCATATCGAGCTATGGCGGCGACGATGCGAATAGGCGAATATTGGCCGTCGATACGTGTGCAGTACAGCTTTCAAAATTACCTGTTTTGGAAGATTGCGCGTACTCACAAATTTCATCTCGCATTTTTGTTAATACTTGCGATATATGTCTCGGGAGGTCTTCTAATTCCAAAGATAAGTGCTCACGAGATGGGCGTGCTCTCTTCGAGGCGTTAGTTTATTCGTTCGGGATGGATTACGGCGATACAAGTGAGGAGGTAAATAGAGAAGAACAAAAGAACACATCCTCCGTCGTCGTTGCGGTGAGTGCATGTGTGAACTTTCAGAGAATACAAGCCATCGCACGCGACGCAACTTCGACCGTGATCGTGGAAACAAAACGCATAGGAATTCAGGTCGCGCCAAACGAAGACACTTTTAAAGTTTACGAAAACTTTTTAAAAAATCAGAAGGTTTTTGCCACGCACGTCATCGACGTTGGTCTAACACCTCGATCGAATAGGTACAAATAGGACTGTATTG